GGATTTTTTTTTCGGAGACGTGATTTTATTTCGATACTTTGTTCTGGCTCTATTTTAGAAAATGGAAAGGGATGAGCGCCGTTTGTCAAATGCAGGATATGCTTGTCACTGATGCAGCTCTTGAATATGTCGATTGGAGAGTAATCGTGAGGAAAAACCTACTTTTTGCTGAAAAGACACTTGAATGTACCAAGAAATACGAAAGATATTGAACTTTTATTTGGATTTATAGAATTGAAATAGATGGTTTAGATGAGTTCTTCTCGATAATTCATTTTCTTTGAAGAAATATATCTTTTTATTCTTTCATAATTTGATATGATTTGGTCGATAAAGAAGCCGTCCAAAATCTGCGGTACACAAAGAATTTGATCATCTTCAGAATCGTAAAGAGGCCTACGTCCAAAGCCTTCAGACCGGGCCCTGCAAAAGGATGTTTGAAATGTTGATCCTCTCGTAAAATTTTGTCTGGCAGATGGTAGACGTTGTCGGTTGCAAACAGATCGTCTCTGGAAATTTGGGCTTTCAAATCTCTTTGGAAAAGTCCGCGTTCTTCGAAAGACACGCCCAAAAGATTGCTTATATATTCGTTGAAAAAATTTCCACAGTTTCATCGATGCTTTCACATTCACTCAATCGAAAACTGGAGAATTCAGGAGTTGACAGTCATAAATTTAACCACTGCAAATATTCCCTTCTCGAAGAAAAGACTTTCCGGAAGATCACAAGTAAACGTCACTGATTTTGAAGTACCATGAGATTTTTTTCTAAAGGGAGATCGGAGAATCTGAGGGTCCTAAGCCCTCTGGGACTCTCAGGTTAGCCGCGCGCGCCTAGCGCGGCTAGCCAATCAAATGACGGTATTTTTCCGCAGTGCGCCGCACTCTAAATTCTTTATTCTGAGGTACCCAACAGGAGCTGAAAGAAATTTCTAGACTTCTCCGAGAGTGAAACGGGGAAGCGAGGCCAGGGGCCTTCTCCCTCTCTAAAAAAATCTCATGGTAGTCCAACTGCTGTAAGAAAGGGAAAACTTTGTTTGCTTCGCTAGCTGTTGATCCCTATCTGAATGAGTAACTGTATTACAGCTTTAAAAACGGGCAATCAAGTCTAACAAAGCCGCAATAAAGCCAAAAATGCAGTCTTCTTATAGCGGCTCCATTCCACATTCTGTGGGATCTCAGAACTGCAATCAGAGTCTGTTCGAGTTTGGCAAGGTAGTCTGTATTATAAATTACAAAATCGAGAATGCCGGCTCCTGACTCGGAGTCGTAATAGCGAAGTGGCAGGTGGAAAAGGCAGATGTGAACATTTCCTAATAAGGATATTGTGAACCTTGAAAACAGTCTGACGAACAAGTTGAGTAGCTCGAATCCCACATGTCCCCCCACTTTTTCGTTAGGCTGTTGGACGATCGTTGTTGAGTTCGGCGCTTGCGCGTTAGACGGGCGAAACAAATGTGAGTGTTTGAAAGTAAGAATTCTACCTCGGCGATTAGGGTTTTGAGCCACATAAAACGCTGTTGCCGGCGAGACGGTTTTCCGCTGGTAGTTTGTGTTCGGAGATATAGTGTGCGTAAAATATATTGAGAAACGAAACGATGGTGACTACCTCGACTATAAAGGATTCAGGCGGAAGGCCCTGCTTGATATGGAATCACTTGGCGACGTGTGTGGGTGCCTCGTCGGAGTTGTTTTTCGGGAATTTTGATGCCACGGGGAGACGCTTTCCTCCCAAAGACGGCTTCGAATGGACTAACTGGGTACGCCGAAGCAGAATATTCGACGAGATTTTGGGTGTTTTTGGATTTTTTGTGAACGATTCTTAATCCTTCGGCATCGGGAATGCACTTGACGTCTTTTCGATCGAAAATCACATCGCGCCCGATGAGCATTGGTATTTGGTTTTCGATAATAAATATTCTTACGCCTTTCAGCCAAAATTTGCCAATCTGGACGTCGGCATCGATGTAACCTGTAAGGGTGCCAGCTCCAATTCCGGCCACTTTACCGTCGTATTTTTGGATGTCGCCGATCAATTGTGATGGAATGTTTCCACGCGATATCATCGTTAGAGAACTCCCAGTATCAACCAGTGCGTTGAGCGAGGCAAATGTGCCGGACTGTGATTGGATAAAAGTATCGACTCGAGGCTGTATTCTTCCGGCGAAAACTTGATGTGTGCTAACTTCTTTATTAATCGGGTCTGATGCGTAGCACTCCGCATCAGCTCTAACTGAGAAATCCGCCCGAGGGTTTGAGATAAAAAGCGTTTGTTCTCTGTGCTCTTCCGTTGAATCGTAATCTTCATCGTTATCTTCCGATTTTTCATCTTCTTCTTCGTTCGGGTAGGCTTCGTTCTTGATGAACTTCTTCTTATTGTAGAATTTGTTTCCTTTTACATTGCTCTGGCCGCCTCCAGAAGTGCCCTGCTTAAGATTTTCTCCGTGGCTTCCCCTCCTCGAGTCTTTGTTTCTGTTCTGGCCACTGTTTCTGAATCGGCCCCGTTGGCTATATGATTGATGTCCGTAGTATGTGGTCATTTCGCCTCCGCCTGTCTGTGACTGATAATACTCCGCGTGCTCCGCCAGCGTGCCAGCATCGCCTATTTTCTTCCATACTGGCGCCATCGAGTTGTACAACTCGTTGTGGTGTACCTGGATTACTGTCGCCATAATGCTTGCCCCAAGATGTTCCATGAATTTATCGATCGTCAGCAATTCGGAAACGACCGTGATCCCACTGTTGGAACTGCTCCCGCGTTCCATTTTTATTTCTTGTTTCTTTAGGCTTTTCTCTATAGTAGCTCTTGCTGCTTCCAAGTTGAGGCTTATCTGCGTGGCAAGTTTCTTGAACCCCTTTCTTTTGTCGTATGGAGTATTCAGGGCACGCTGAAGGGATTGAATCGGAGTGATACCACCGGAGAAATTTGAAAAAATCTCTTTCTTCAGCTCGTCCCAGTTCTTCTGGTTTGTTCCCATCCTGTGCGTCACGTGAACCGAGCATCGTGATTTGACGCCGACTAAGAATTCCTTCTCTAGCTTCATATTCGGTTTCACGCATAAGTCGAAAACTTTTTGGCAGCGGGCGATGAAATTATTCGTTACCTCGAAGGAACCTCCTTCGAAAAGATGCACTTCGCCGAGCTGGGCCCTTATTGAGCTTAGATCACTCTGATCTTTTCTGGTGAATTCGTCTTCGTTGTCGCCTTCTGTTGCGGATGCGATCAACTTCATCTTCAATGAACTAATTTTCTTTTCGATGTCCGCTTTCTTCTGCGCGTCGTTTTTAACTTCCGAGTACGTGAGCGCTTTTTCGTATATCTCTATTTCTTTTGCGATTTCTGTTGCTCGTCCCATGTTTGCGAGCAAGAAAGAAAATTAAGCTTTATTCGTTGACACCGGATTCTCGTACCTTGCTTTTACACCCTTGCTTTATTTAGTTCAAAGGGTGACCCTCGCGGGATTTCGTTGCGCTATTTTCAGGATGACGTAATCTCTCGGCCAATCGGAATTTGACGTGGATTCGTTTCTGGAGCGACTGGTACCAATTTGTGGGATCTCAGAACTGCAATCAGAGTCTGTTCGAGTTTGGCAAGGTAGTCTGTATTATAAATTACAAAATCGAGAATGCCGGCTCCTGACTCGGAGTCGTAATAGCGAAGTGGCAGGTGGAAAAGGCAGATGTGAACATTTCCTAATAAGGATATTGTGAACCTTGAAAACAGTCTGACGAACAAGTTGAGTAGCTCGAATCCCACAATTCCAGGCAATCACATTCTGACCTTCTTGTTCTGCTTGATTTAGGGAATGAATTCATCCACCGCAGATTTTCAAGAATCCCTCGCGCTCATAATCGACAACTGCGGTTTTGCTGCTTTCAGAGGCGCGTTTCCGGCCTGGTTTTATGCATTTAAGACTTTTTGGAATTAAAAGAACTTATTTTTAGTTGATGAAACTCGTTTCGAAAGAAGTGCTTAGCTGCAAATTGACATAATACTTTCTAATCCGCGCCATTATGCATTTTGCGCTTATGCGATTCTCAAATGACAGCCTGCGTAGCGGAAGTATTCCACTTGAGCCTCCTCCACCAAGTCTCTAGTATCGTCAAGTGGCTTTTACTCCAGAACCATCGTTCCTCTCTGATATTATGTCGTGTCCGGGATGTTGATCTATCAAGCACCGGAATCCAGCTGAAATGAACTCTGTCAACTTTTTTTTTCAAAAATTAAAGAAAAAATTTATTCACATTCATAGAAGACGACAGAAGAAGATGATGAAACTGCTGGTAAGACTGTAGCAGTAGATATTGTTGAAGCATCTCGACAAGATTCAGTAAATTCCGATTCGAAGTCCGAGGATGAGGGACTTCTTGAGCTCTCGTTGATTGAAATTGGTATTTTCAAATCAGTTATTCTCTTTCAGCCTGAGTTGGTGATGGCGGTTCAAACTCTTTTTCAAAAGTACTGATGCTAGAAACATCGTCAACTTTCATAGATTTTGTGGAGCAACAAAAAATATTTCTCCAAAAAGAACATAATTTGCTGAAAGTCATTGTCTCATAACGATTAGCGAAAATCGCAAATTATCTATCAATTTTTCCCTAATTTAGGTGTTTTTCCTTTTTCGCCGGGGTACTCTTGTTTTAATGATCATTAGTCATAATGATTGATTAGTTTATTATTTGTTGAAATTTCAACAAAGAAATGCGAAATATTGTTTTCTGGTAGTGATTTTATTTAGCTTTCGGAGAGCCAGACGTAAAAGTTCTCCACAAGAAGTGGATGTTTCAAAATTCTTCATACAAAAATGAAGACGAGTACATTTGGCAGTACAGTTAAAGAAACAAATCTTGATCGTCGAAAAAATAGACTCACAAGTTCTGTTGTTTCGTTCAGAAGTACAGTAAAACCAAACAAATGACAGGAAAGAAGAAGGAAAAAAGAAAGAAGAGAGTACTTCGATTTCTTTTTTGATTTCGCGATAAGCGCTTGTTTTGCCTTGCTTATCGGAAGTTTCGCGAGTCGGGTCCGCCGTAACGCGCGCGTTCAGAATTTCGCATGAAGCCTTTTCCGCAGGGTTCAAAGCATGTATATTTTACTTAGCCGAGCATTTGTGTATTTATATATATGGGAAAGCCGCGGCGCTAAAAAAACGTGCTAACACTATTATAAAAACTTCTTGTCTATTTACTAACGCAAGCAGCGAGTTTTTAGTCGAATCAGGGATTCGGAATAATTTTTAAAAATTAGTTTATGTTTTCAATCAGTGATTATCCGATTAATTACAGCGTGTTTATCAAATCTTTTCGGAAGATGTAATGATTTTTTACCAAAATATGGACACTTCAGTATACGAGATATCTCGTTTTTCGAGATTCAAACACTATGAAAATTAGTCGATCAGAGGTGAGAATCGCTGTAAAAGAATATTTTTCTTGAACTTTGAAATGACATTTTTTGAAGAACAAGTTAATATTGCCTTCATGTATAGAACTTTGTATCTTTGGCTTGTCAAAAACGTCATGCTCTGTCCGTCTCTACTAAGCCGCGACCGCCACTCAAAATCGTAAAATTCTAGCTTTGCCATATATCTTCATTCTACTACTTTAGCTTTGAACCCACGTGCCTGGAGTGCCGTGAAACGCTCTTCCACGAGGTCCTCCGCGTCCCTAGAAAATTGGCGTGAGAACGTGCTACCGCGGATTTTAGCTACTATCTTTAGCGCGTTATAATTGTTTTGAACGTGACAATGTTATCATCAGTATAGCTCGTAAAAAGTGCGGATTTCGACGAAATTCCACGATGACTTTGCTTGATTGTGAGAGCATAACTTGTTCATTCTTGAACGATTCGAAACCGGTCGCAAAAGAATTACCGCGTTAACGCTCTTCAAAAATTTTGTTGTGACAATTGACGATTTAAATTTTTAGTGGCCACAGAAAATGGCCGCGAAAATCATCGTGAAATATTCGTATCTCAAGAAAGGTTTTCAAGAAGATTCAGAAAAAAGAATAAGCATCAGGTTTAACCTAAAAGAGTCTGATGTGCTATTTTTAAATTTGTCTGCAGTTTAAACCTTAAAGACAACGGTTTAAAAACGTTTATGAAGGTAAATATTTAACCTAACAAAAATCGATAACTCGTGTCTGCATTAAACTTACACCACCACGATGGTGAGGGGGTCCGCCACCGCCGCCTCCTCGGCCTCCACCGGGCATCATTCCGCGGCCTCTACCAATTCCTCGGAAGGCGCCTCGACCCAAACCACGTGGCTGCTTCGATTTCTTGTCCACGTTCAGCATCGGCGCGTTCTTCAACATGTCCGGAAGAATGGCGAAGCGCACCTAAATCAGCGTAAATTTAAAATTTAAACAAACAAAATGGCGTTTCATAATCTATTAAGAGAAAAAGAATCTAATAAGAGCGGCCCAAGATGCTTAATCTTTTTAATACACGTAAGGCTGATGATTTGTTTATAATCCGAGCCTCGGAGAGGAAGGGATCCGACGCTCGAGCGGCGCTCTCAGACGGCCATTTCGTTAGCATTACCTGACTTCCGCGAATGAAGATGTTGCTCAAGTGTGCGCTCCGACCATCGCGATATGTGGCACTAACGTCGCGAAGCTTAATTTATATAAATATTGTTGTTTCATTCGGCGATAGTGGAGCGGATTTAATTAATAACTTCGTGACAATATCCAGTTATAAAGATCAAGATAACTAAACAACAACATACAGACAGATAGTGCTGTTTATAATCCCACTAATCCGAACGAAGATGAGCGAAGCGAATCTTTGTGAAAATTTATTACTGTGCCGAACTACTGCTGAAAGTCGAGAAGCCGCTTGCGCCTCCAGTTGAGAAAGAATTGAACTGACTGAATTGAATTTTTGACTGATTGTACTCGAAGCCGCAAGCGACTTCTCGATTTTCAGGAGTAGTTCGACACAGTAAAAGATTTTCGCAAAGATTCGCTTCGCTCATCTCGTTTCAGTAGCTGGTGTTATAATTTATAATTTATTTATTTTATAACTTATAAAATTGACGTCATTTAGAATTGTGATCCAAAGCGAAATTCAAAACTGGAAGTAAGTTTTCCGCAAGTTACGCTTGAGCAGGGATGGCTAACTACGTACCTGCATATTCATATTATCTTCCGCCTCGATAAGTACGCCACGGTAGAGCTCCCCGGTCGCCGATTCGACCGTCACAGTGTGGCCCTCGGCCTCGTGGAGTACCTTTACCGGAACTCCCAACGTCATCTGGGTTGACTTAGGTTTGAAACGGTTGCGATTTTGTATCAAAAATATATATTTGGGTTGATGGTGAAAAAATACAGTATTCAAGTACAGAAAAATAAAAAAGGAGAGAGGGTAGTGGAATGATAATGAAGGTGCTTTTTTGGACAAGCTGTCGATTTTTTTCTAGCGTTGTTTGAGCATGTCGCAGATTTTCTTGTGTTCTGCCCAGTGTTCGATTTGACATTGGCGACGGCAGTACCAGACAGTTTTACAACTGTTGCCGGCAGTTCACAAAACGTGACAATTATCTGATCTGTTGTGGAAGGAGGTGACTCACTTCCCACCACTTGTTTTTCGCCTATCTTTCTTTTTCATGTAGAAAAATGTAATTTCTAAATTTCTAGCGCAACGTTTTTGGAACTGTTCCTGGAGCATCGATTCTCAGATTCTGCGCCGCAAACTTCGCACTTTGGAACCTCATTCATCAGCTAAAAACGAGCTTTGAAAAATCCAATTTTTGAAGAAAAAAATTGAACCTGTTCGAGGCGATCGATCTGCCACATTTTGACAAGCTCCTTTGCATCGCGCTGTGTTTGCTCAAAAGAAGGCTTTGCCCAACTCGTCATGGCGGATTTGGCGAGGGAGGGGTACGCGTCTGAATAAAGTTTAACACTTGTTACCAGAGTTGGTAAAAAAGTATACTTCACTCGCCCTTCAGAATGAAGTATACTTCATGAAGTATACTTCAGGGCGTTGCAGGGCGTTGAAGGGCGTGAAGTGTACTTCCGCCCTTCCCCTACTTCAACCGCCCTTCCGCCCTTCAACTTGGTTCTGTCGGCCATCAGAATCCATCCGCCAGAATTTTTTCAAATTTCGCGCTCATTGGCTCTCAGGCGCCATAATTTAAATCACGCTGATTGTGGCAGATGAAGGGGCAGCTAAAGTTTTCGATAAGAACCGATAGCTGAAGTATACTTCAGCGCGTGAAGTATACTTCAGAGCCATTTCGTACTTCACCGCCCTTCAAGAATGAAGGGCGCCCTGCAGATTTTTGAAGGGCGGGGGGAAGTATACTTTTTTCCAGCTCTGCTTGTTACTGTAATAAATGCGCATTCTACCGCCGTTTAGAGCATTTCTTGCTGATGAGGGTGAAATGAAAAAAGTCAGTATACTGACTATGAAAACTGTCTATGAAAAAATTTCAAAGTTCTGACTCAGATTTCTACACAGGTTACTGAACCGAGTCGCTAAAACACCGACAAAACCGCAACTAACGAATCTTTGAGCTCACAAGTTGTAAGCCACGTCGTAAACCGTAGCTTGAATTTAATTAAGCTTCTTTGATATTGTATCTGTTGAATTATTGAATTATCAACTTTGAATTGTCGCGATTTTAGACCCTCTTTGATGGCGAGAAATTTCTACAAGGCTGAGCTGATGAGCTGGCCGCTATCTAATCGCAGTGCACCAAATAGTCTCCGGACATACAAAGATAAGGGACTCGAATCTCTACTCGGGCTACTTTCTATCGTACGGGTCGGGCACAATTTGGGGAGTAATTATAGAAAGGATCAAGCCGCACCCTTCTTTCTTTCGTAAATTTGAAAATTATCTTTTTCTAATGGAAACGGCTCCTTCTAGTAATCTGTAATCAGCGGATCTCTTCAATTAGGGAATGTCAAAAGAGGTACAATTGGTTTAGAAATAATTACTTGCTTTAACAACAAACAGGTTATTAAAAATGTTAAAAAGAGAGATGTTTTGATGGAAACAAATGTAAACGCATCCTCGTTTGGGATCGTCTTTATTAAATTTAACCGTAAGGTGATTAAGGAGTCACCAGTGTATATCGCGAAAAAGTGGGTCGTGTCCCCTTAATTGAATCACGAATCCAATATTCGGTAAAAGAGAATTCTCACCTTTAAATTCTTGAATCATTTCATCCCTCAACTCCGGCTCGGATTCTATCAACAAGGAATAGGATTTCGCTTGATCGGGAGGAGAAACTTGCAACTGAGAAAGAACAGTATTCAAATCATTCAGCGGCGAGCAAAATTGAAGAACAGTCGGCGTCAAATATTTCTGAACTCGCATCAGGGCCGAAATATTTTGCTGGTGGAATTCGTATGAAGAAAAGTCTTTTGAAAGGGCTAAATGGTGCTTCTTGGAAGAGAAGCTGCTTTAGAAGCACTTTTGAAAACATCTCAAAAATCTCTCTCTTATCATCTTAATAGCTCCCTTCAAGTAACCACAGATAAGGGGTCAATTATTGTGGCAGAAGGGCGCGTATTATCTGAACATAGAAGATTCCTGTTCGAGGCTATTTAGCTCTGCTCCTTCGCATGTAAGTAGCTGCCGTAATAGGAGTAAAATCCCTGTTTCATGTGGCGATAACGGATCCGTTTTCTTGTGCCACTTTTTCCAGGGTCAAAGTTATTTTCTTCAGAAACGATTGAAAGCAAAACTGCGACCCAGTCCTTTCCAGAAATATAAAACCTGTCGCTCTCGATCCAACCGCAGCCATCTTCCATCAAAGCGACCAGAAGCTGTGGAACGTTGAGTTTTCGAATAATTCTCGTGTGTGCGTCCAATGGAATTCCCTTCCCAGCTTCAGAGAGGTATCTGAGTATCGTGATGCATTTTGGACCGTATTCCAGGAACATGGAAGTTATGAAGTTGTTGTAGATGTCGCGAGGTGTTTGATCCCTAAAAAAAGAAGTTATGAATCATAACTTATAATTTTTAAAAATTTAAAGAAGAAGTAGATAAATATTTAGGCTATGATTTTTGAACTACTTGGTATTAGCTGGAGATAGCGATCTACCGCGGTGTCTGATTGAAAAAGGTGTAAGAAAGAACGCAGATGTCCGACGAATTTGGCTTATAAGAGACGAGAGGTCTTCAATTTTCAAAGCAACTGAGAATCATAGACTATGATTTTTGAAAAAATTAAATGAACCTAGAATGAAGAAAACGTATCATTGAATTGTATTTATGCCATTTTCTGCTATGTGTCCTTCATATACGATGTCAAATCGGACCTCAGAATCAGAAGCAACCCTTGAAAACTGATCCCTTGAAAAATATTAAATGCCGAAAATCTTACCCGTCTGGTTTATCGTGTTTCACTCCATTTTGATGCTGAGCATAAAGTAATGAAAGCGTCCTGTAGCAATAATCAACCAAATCGACAGCTAAATCTCCAATCGTTTCAATAACTTCTGCGTTGAACGAAATCGTTTCCAGGAGATTGAGAATCACCGCTGAAAATTTTTTAAATTTTTTGTTGATCTTTAATTATGAAAGAACAAGTCGCGCTGATTATTTTTCTCCGCCGCAAATTGCTTTTCAGAACTAATGAGAGAGAGTCAAAAATATTCGTTGAAAAACGAAGTTGCGCTTTAAAAATTTGAAAAAACGAAAACGCAAGAAATTCAATTTTTGGCGGGACGCGTTTTCGAGTTTTGAAAAATTGAATAAGAGCATAGAATAATTTTATGGGAAAAACGCTTCTATGGAATGCCCGGCGCTTGTAGAACATACCTTCGTTATACATTGATAAATAGAACGGAATCGTGGACTTCGGGGCGAAATCCTGAATCGCGGATTCTTAGCATTCATTTTTCCAGCACAATGTCATGATTTTGAGTGAATCCTGTCCTTAGTTTTGATCATAATCGGCACCACCTTCTCGCGCCACAGTTCTGCGGCGAGCAAGTCCTTGACGAGCGTTTTGATTTCGTGCGTGACCGCAAACGCCTCGGAGATGTAATCTAAAGACATTTAATTACACCCGATTACTTATTTTCTCACTAAAATTTATGTTTACCAAATCATTCGTTGCTCACCTGAAACTTGCGCGTGAACATTGAGTTGTGCTTGCTGGTTGAGTTTGTTTAGGTATTCGTGTTGACGTTTCCATTCCTTGGAGCCGATTTTGTTCAACGGGATGTGTCTGGTAGACAATTAATCAATGTAATAACAGTCGACAAAGTGTAATTACCTTAGAGTTTTGACCATAATCTCTGCTTCTCCATGCAAAACAATATCCCCCGCTTCCTCTTCCATTTTCCTTTTTTCTAAAATAATTATAGGTAGTTTGATTCTTGCTTGATTCTCTTTGAAGCTGTTTTTTGAAGGCAGGAACGGTTGGTTATGAAAAGAAGATAGTTTCGGAATGCGGGCGGGGGCTCAAAAGACGCTCCCAGTAATTTTGCTCGGCGGCGATTTTCTCGTTGATGGCGAAATAGATCAGCCAAATGAACAGAACGAAAAGGATGATCCAGGTTGGAAAAGCGAGAACCCAATATTTGGAGGGAAAGAAGTCGTCGAGGCCGTATTCGTCGAGGATTTTCTAAAGAAAAGTTTAGTTGACTTTAGTATTTACTGCCTTACTTATTGTCTAACGGCCTAACTTATTGTCTTGAGACCAAAGAGAGAGAGAAGTTTTCAACTGAGTAAATTTTGAATTCAATTTTAGTTACCTGTGGTACAACGGCCCAGATAACATAAGTGAGAAAATACAACCGGGCGGAGAGATACAACACAAAGCCGTAGACACCTCTTGAAACACTCGGCCCGGGACGTCGTGGCGCTAGATTCGACATTTCATTACCCTCTTTCTGAAATTGAAACCGACGGTAATTCAAATTTGTATGAAAATAAATGAATTTATGACTGATATAAAAATAAAGTAAGATTTGATTGAACGATATAAGACTTAATTGAAAGAATAAAGTATTGTAACGAAGCTACAGGTTTCTTTCGCCCCAGTGATCATCAGACATGATCCTGTGACACTTGTACTGTTCATACGATGTCATGATGCTCTTCAACTCTCTCATCGCCTTCGTCCTAAATTTCTTAGTCACAAGGAGCTCGAGACGCTCGGCCCCCAACAAAAATTAATGTGGTAAACCCATCATTTGAGACTGTGGTGGAACTAGTCAATCAAACTTTGGATAATGCCATACCCACGAGTAAAATAAGTATATTTACATGACCAATGTACCTCTCCAAGTCAGCAAAAATATCATTTATGTGATAAGGAGAGCGAATACATTTGATTGATAGTCACCACTATCGCTAGCCCAAAGAGGTAACGGAAAATCTGGTTATGAAAATAAATTGAATCATTTATGGCTTGTAGCCGGGGCTCTAGAAAAAGAGTGTACCGGTAGTTGTGTTCCTTGACAGGGTCGATGAGCAAAGCTTCCAGTCGCAAAGCAGCTCGCGCAGAAGTCTTTCCATACGTGCTCAAGAGATGAAAGCTGACGATTTACATAAGCGCCTCCGCCCCTAGTACCCTACTGAGTAGGGCCTACTCCACACTTATGCAATCCTCGTAGCGACATGTTAACCCTATAGAGATATACAGTTAGAATACTTGTTGTACCAGATAAATACTTCTCGAAGTTGGGAATTCTAAAATCAATTCATTTCTTTAGAAATACACAACTGTTTCGTTGAAATCTTGTAATTAAAACATGCAACGCGTCAAAAAATACTGATATCTACTGACAGATGCTGACACTCGTCTTCTTTCCAAAGATAAAATTACTGTCAGAAGCCTTCATATAATTTCAAGAAAGAAAAAGAATCTTTCGTCCATTTTGCGGAATAATCTGAAGAAATATCTCATTACCTCAGTAACAGTTATTCATTACGGTTCGGTAAAGAAAAGATAAGCGAGAAAATTTGAAGTGTGCTCCTTCCCCTTATCTTTGAAAGCAGAGAAGCACGTTGCCTGATTTTCGATCGACTCGATCAACCCCTCCGAAATAGCCGTGTTCACCTAAAAAAGTAGTTCAAACAATGATAGATTTATTATTGAGGGTCTCAATTTGAGACTTTTACACGAACAAGCGATGGTCCTTTATCTTGTTCTCGTGTGAGTTTGATTGATTTGAGGAGGATATCTTAGAGAGTTAACTTTCTCGTCTTAGATTCAAATATTCTAGTGACGAAAAATACGTTTATTTTACCGGCGAGCTTAAAAAACTTCTTTTTCTATAATTCAAAATTCAGACTTTATTTTCAACTCTAGTTTTCTAAGAAAACTTTTCTTAGTCCCGTTCTTACCTTATTTCTGAGTTCAACAGTTCTATTCTGCGATTGCGCCGCCTTCAGCTGCCCGATCAATTTCTTATCATCAGTATCAGCTTTATTCTGCTGCTGGAGGAGGATTTCGCGTTGTTTCTTTTCGCGCAACTTTCGCTGCCTGACACGTTGGGCGGCTAATTCTGATCCAGTTTTTTCCTTGTCCGCCATCTGCGAATTTCAGTTCTGATAGAATTACAGAATTTATTATTCAACGCTTATTTTCATTTTACAAAATAGAAAAGGTCAAGATACACCAGTGTCTTTTTGTTTGTCGATTTTATTGTTTCTCGATTAAATTAATATTTTTATATCTTTTTTGTTGAAGAAAGTACAGATAGAAAGAGCAATATGGGCGGCAAGATAGTGGGTTTGAAAATATATCTACATGCGCCAGTAAACTACATTTGTGGCACTAGAAAGTGTGAACGTATCATGGAATAGTGGTAAAGCGGATAGAAGATTCTAGTAATCTTTTGGCAATGGAGCGGGCTTCATTTCGGAGAGCTCGTTCGGTGAGGAAGATGAGTCTTGATCGTAGTCTTTAGGAGGCGCCGGCGGAGCTGGTGGCGGTCGTTTTTGTTTTGGAATAGCTGAAGGCTCAGAAACTGGGTCACCCCAGTTGACTGCGAAGGGGTCGCATTGAGGCTGCGAAATTGGAGCTGGATTTGGCGGCTTCGATTCTTTCGTTGTTTTCTTCGTTGTTTTCAGCTCTTTTAAATAAACAGGTTTCACTTTTTCGGCTGTTTTAGGCGCCTTGGAAAAAGCAGTATTTTGATTGTCGTTTGGATTATCGCCCCATTGATTGAAAATATCGTGCGTTCCGGACGAAGATGCGGCGGTTTTATTCCGGTTTAGGTTTTGAGAAGCTTCCTGCTTTTGTCTCGCTGCTCTTGCACGTGCGGCAGCAGATTTTCCAGGGCACGGTCTTGAATTAATGATAAGAAAGGGTACTAGAGGATGAAAAATTAATTGAAGAGAATGAGATGAAATGCGAATGAATGGAATAACTTACTGATAATAGCATATTTCCGAAATGTTGCGCCCAAAGTGGAATTTGTAAACAACAAGGCCAATAATTGCCAGTAGAAATAGCAGGCCGAATACCACGCTGTAAGAGACCATGTTCTCGTCCAACACTAAAGCAGGTATCAATCAAACCGAATTCCGAAGAAAATATGAGTCGCTTACCGTGTCGTATCATGGGCCCAGAATCGACGGAGCCCCCATAGCCTCTCTGCGAGCAAGTTCTGCCGCCGTAGCCGACGTTGCAGTGGCAGTTCCCACGAGAATTGCAAATACCCTTGCCGTTGCAGTTCTCTGGGCACGGCTTGAAGTCCTCGTTCGTTTCTCGCATGTCTGCCCTGGAAGAGAATTAGGATAGGGCCCGATTCTTTCGACTTACAAAGGAACGCATTCAGAAAAAGACTCGTAGGTATGCCAAATATTCTCCTGCTGAGAAGAACAGATGCTCTCTTCTCCACATGGTGTTCCTTGAGGAATTCTATCGCTGTACCAGAGCATTTCGCTCCCCGCCAGGTCTCTTGACCCTCTCCAGTCGACATATTTACAGTTAGCGCCTTCTACAGATCGTGAACGAACATCAACGTCGCGGAATTCTTCCTGCTGCAAAGTCGCTAGAATTAAAAATGTGAAAATGTAGATGTTGGAAGATTTTGGTTTGTTTAGGGTGGCATCGTGGAAGTATACCTCAAAATATACCACAAAAATGAGCATTAGTTTAACATGCCACAAAAGTACGTTTTTTGTTTACATTCAATTCGGTACCTGAACCGTGTTCACATTGGATCTTTCCACAGAGATAATCGCTCGGCGCTTTGCAGTCGTAGTAGTTTTCAGACCGACTAAATTCAAATATGAAAAGACTTATCTAAACTATTGACCATTTCAATAGAGCTTTGCAGTAAACATATGCTCTACAAAATTTTTTTCCACAAAAAATAATCTTAATTAGGCATCAAAGTTTGATGACCAAAGACGGCTGATTTCTTTCATTTATTATCTAAAGAGATCAAAAACGCCGGACATCTATCGCGGAAATTAACTGCAGCTGTTCAAAACGACATCTATCATATTTTACCAGTATATAACTCGGATGAAGATTTCAAATCGAAAAATAGTTTTTTTTTATACAAAATAATGATTTTAAATTTCTTTTTCTAAAATGACGCATTTATAGAAACGAAATCCCTTTAGATGGCACTTTCTGCTGTGTAGAGAGAATTTTTATCTATCTATTAATTAGAGAAAAAAACAGTGCGGGAGACAACCCTGATTTTTGCACCAAACTATCAACAAAAGACTTTACATTCCGAATTTTTTAATTTTAATTTCTTTATGTTCTAATAAATACAAAAAAAAATAAAAATTCAAAACTTACAATATGCCCGGTTTGTACATCTCTCCACAGTTTCCACTATAATCGCCTCTTGTTCGATTATTCGCCTTTTCCATGCAAACTTCATTGACTTCAGCTTTTTCGCCAAAGAATTTCTTGCACTGATCTGATCGTTTTCTACATTGTCCGGAGAAGCAGCGTCCTTCTTCCTCACACTTCTCTCCGTTTCTCGTCCAGACATTTTGAGGGCAGTATGGGTAGATTCCGTCGCAGTATTCTGGCAAATCGCAGCTATTTTGCTCTGCTCGGCAGATTGATCCAGCTTTTCGTAATTTGCAATCTTTGCAGCAAGGGCCATTCGTATCTTGAAAAATGCATTGCATTTTGACTTTCGTTGCAAATTTCAGCTCCCTTACCAGAACATTCCTTTCCTTCGTGGTACATGCATGTTCTGTGGTTGCAGCATTTTTTGCATTCGTCAGATGGGCTTTCCCCGCAGTCGCACTCTTCCTCCCGCTCAACCAAACCGTTTCCGCAGTTTTTCGCGCCGTAAAGAAGCTTCTTTTCAGGAATATCTTGAAGGCATAGCTCGTCCTTTTTGTCATTCAAAGCGGTTATCGACGCTGGCGACCAGATGGAGATTTTCGTCGAGAGGGAGTAGCTAAAATTTTCGTAGAAAAGAAAAAAGAGGAAGAAAATGCACCTAGGAGCCATGATACACTTTTGACCGATCGGACACTCTTTGTCTTTGATGTGGTTGAGTCCCAAATTGTGTCCCATTTCGTGCGCCATCGTCGTCGCCAATCCTACAACTTCGCTCGCATGATCTTCATTGACCCCAATAGAGCTCCCTCCGCGGCAAATCGTCCCTACCCAGGCTTTTCCGATGGTCCCGGTGTCCTCAAAAGTTCCTTTGGCGACGATCAATTGGGAGTTGTCGACTCGTTTCCATCGCTCTTTCAATCCCTGGCTTGGATTTGAACTGAAAGAATTGGTCTTGCAAGAAGAAATTGCCGATTTCTCACCGATATTTCTGAAAGCTGCTTAGAATTGTGCCGGATTGCTTGTTGACAAGAGCAATTTCATCTTTTTCTTTCCACAGAATAATATCGAGCAATGCCACTCGGAAGCCAGCTTCTTTGTAGAAATTGTCAATGATGTTGTGCGCGGATTCGTATCGCTTGAGAACTGGGCGGTATCGAGCATCCGAATCCGTTGCGTTGTCTTTCTCATGCTCCTAAAATCACGTGTGAATAAGTGCTCTTGAACGTCTTGCCGATTCTCACCAGGACGAGTGATTGGGCGACCACCATGATGAGTTCAATAAATTTTATCGTATCATCTTCTTCTGCTGCTCGTCTTTTTCGAAGATTCGCATGATTGTTGCTAGAGTCGAATTTCAGCTTTTTCCCGTCGTTTTTGAGGAATTGTAGTGTTTTGGAACATTCGTGGTGGAACTCGTAAGGGAATTTTCGATAGTTAGACAGGTGGGCAGTGGAGTTGATCGTAAAAGAAGAGTCGTGGAAAGAGTAGTAGCCATCTATCGAGCCGTCGATGTCAAGTGAGAGAGCTCCGGTGATGTTCGTCGCTGAAAGGGATGAATTGAACAGAAATAATGTCTATTTTACCTGTGTCGATGAAATAATGGCACAGGCCGATAGACGATCCAGCCAATTTGTTCAATTTCAGCCTCAGCTCTGGTATCCGTTCGCTTTTGTTCTCCGGTATCTTGAATTTTTCTCGACATTCTTCATACGCTAAAACAGTTCCCAAAAGCAAGAATCTTCCCCAAGTCGCTTTCATCCTCGATTCCTCGTTTTTTCTACGCGATTCTATCTCTTTCTCCTCTCGATTTCATGAGTCTGAAAAACGGTATAATTTGAAAGGTGAAAAGTATCAAAAAATAAGCCGCGGGAAAACTCTGTCAATTTGCGGGTTTCCGCAATTTTCTGAACAATAATAAAATGAAAGAGACCCTTGAGGCTTTCGGCCGAATCCGGGATTGGAGAAAACAGAATCCAGACGGATGCGATATTGCTCTTTTTGATTAATAAATGATTAACAGACACGAGTCTTGAGGGGAGGTGATTTATTGCAAAACGGGCTGAATTATCGAAAAGAAGATAAGATTCTTCAAAAGCTGATTTATACTAGTCAAGGGTTATTCTCTCTGACGCCCAAATTGAAATCTTTTCTCTTTGAAAAAAGGAAGGAAAATGGCTAATTGGTAATTAATAAATTGGGTTAACCAGATGATCATAAAAAGGATTATTTGAAGCGGCGAATGATTCAATCGATTTTTGTTTTCTCTTTGTTATTTTCTGCTTGAAAAATGCTCATTTTTCCCTATTTGAAGCCCTAATGAAAAGTTTTCTCTAGATTCTTCAGTCAGAAAGGAAATCCCTCGCGGGCGCCAATCAGCGCGCGCCGAAAAACTCATTCTCACAGAAACTGAAGAAACTGCTTCGTTGTTTTTTCAATTTATTTTGTTCTCAGAGAAAAATACTGTCAGCCTACGTGTGATTCAGTAAGGTTTTGGCTTCGTGCTGCTGCTTCGACGCATTTTCGACTTCGTTTGTGACTTTTTTCTGTTTCTGGAGTTTTTGATATTTGAAAATGGAAAATTCTAGATGCTTTTATGAATTTTCATTTTACTGAAGCTACTGTTATTTTAGTTTGAAACGAGAGTTTCCAAAACTGAAAAAAGAAGAGAAAAAACTTTTTTGTTTCAGAGATGTCTTCGAAAAAGCAAGTTTTCGACGAGGCAGTAAAACTGTACCAAGAACTGTCGCAAGAATTCAAAGGCAAAAGCGGCCAGCCAAATCTCGAGCAATGCGGAAATATTCTTTCAAAGCTGAAAATTCTCCTCACTAAACTCACCTTTCTCCCGGCAGAAGAAACTTCAAACGCTCAAAAGGTAAGTTTCCTCCCTCTTTTGAATCCTCCAATATTTTTTTTAGGAATTAACCCTGGCCCGCGATGTGATCGAACTGGGAGCGCTGTACTCCGTCGCAACTCGTGATATTCCCGCTTTCAAGAAATACATGCAGCAATTGAAGGCCTACTACTTCGACTACAAAGACATGCCCAAGTCCTACTTTCGCAGCCAGCTCTTGGGACTCAACCTTCTCTGGTAACCACTCACTATCTTCTTCTTCCTCCAGCTTATTCTCGTTTCTAGCCTTTTGGCTCAAAACAACGTAGCTGAGTTCCATACTGAAATCGAGCGTCTGACATATGATGAAATGCAAAATGATCTGTACATCAAGCACCCGATCAAGATTGAACAGTATTTGATGGAAGGCAACTACAATAAGGTACAGTAACAGCCACTTTCAACCTCATTTGGGTCCTCAACTCAAGAAACCCCGATTATCGAACCAAAAAGCCCGATTTATGGTCATATTATAGCTTTTCCTTGCTAAATCGAACATCCCGTCTGAGTCGTACAGCTACTTCATCGAAATCCTGTTGATCACAGTCCGAGAAGAAATCGCCTCTTGTCTCGAAAAGGCCTACAAAGACATGTCTACAAACGAAACTCAGAGACTCCTTCATTTGGCCTCTGAAAAGCAGCTTCAGGTACCCCCTTCCCTTTACCGATTTAATATCAAAAATTCAGGAATTCGCGGGAGAGCGAAACTGGGATATGGACGCAAAACTCGTGACGTTCCCACGTGAAGAAGTAAAGGACAGCATCCCGGCCAAGGACATGACGAAAATGATGCTCGACTACGCCTGCGAGTTGGAAATGATCATCTAATAGTTATTTTTACATTTTCGTTCACTGCACCAGTTATTAATACATGTATCTCACGGCAAATAAAAATGATAGTTGAAAAATTTTAACCCAAAAGCGTTACAAAGCCATTTCCTTGGATTTTTGACTCGCATCGCTGAAGCGCTCGTAGCTTTTTTGAGTATTGGAGTCAGCATTGGTCGTCAAAGTCCAGGAATCTGAGGATCCGTACATTGTTCCAAGGTCAGATGTTTGAGGTGGGAGCTCTACTTCTTCGTCTTTTACTAGCGACAGTTAGTCACGTGATTCTCACTTCTCGCTTACCTGGTTCTACCATCGATTCGATCTTAGCCTTGAGCTCTTTATTTTCCTTGACAAGAGCGTCTCGTTGTCTCTCCATGATTTTCCGGGATTGTTTCAGATACTCGACTTTATTCGATTCATAATTATAAAATTCACAAATAGACTCCTACCTCGCTGCTTGAGATATTGACGATCAAGCCTTTTCTTCTCCTTTTCAAGCTGAGTTGATTCAGCTGAAATATATTCTTTGCTCATTTTTGCTTGTTCGAAAACTACTCTCTCGAAAAAATGAACTCAGAAGTGGAAAACGGACCGCTTTTATATTCTCTCCTGCTCGAAAAAATTCTTTTTCGACTCGTTTTTTCTTAGTTTAGTTATTTTCAACCAAGCTGGATCAATCAGACTAGTGTATAAAATTTTCTTCGTTGATTTTTGCAGCAAATTTAAAAAGCCTAGCATAAGTAAAAAATCATTCCTCCTCCCTTTCTACTACACGGTAGTATGTGATGATGAGAAGGATCATAAGCTCAAGGACGAGATCATGCAAAAACACAGAGCATTTGATATCGAGCACGTGGAGATCAGAAAACATTTTTGCCAGAATTTCAAGCTCATTTTCAAGCTGGTTCAACGTGCTATTCTTTTCAAGGTGCGAAAAACTAATAAATGGTAAATTTTGGACTCATGTACCAGCTTCTCGTTTAAGCGATTTTTATGCTGGTCGAGACAAGTTGCTTTTTGTATTTGGAAATTAATACGCGAGAAGACCTCTTGTCGATCAAAAATCCTGACTGTTTTACTTTTCATTTAAAAATCTCTTTCAAATCGATGATTCGACCTTGATGAGTTGCCCGGAACTAAATAAAACTAGAGAAAACGACGGTGGACTATTTGTTTTTTTTTTATATTTATTGGAAACAGTTTCAATGAAATGCTGAAAAAAATAAAGCATATGCAGTATTCAGGGTTCTCAAAGAGCAAAGAACAGAAGGCAGGCAATAGCAAGTCCGATGGCAAATGCATCGTTTCCAGACTTCGCACCGTTGCCGGCTTCATTTCCGCGTACGAAGAAAGCCCCCTCTTGGTGAATTGTTTTAATAAGAACATTGTTGTCATTAGCGAGAGACGTTCTACGACGTCGTCTGGAGAAGAGATTGTCGTATCGGTTGGGGCATTGGTCGGACAAGTGGCAAGGTGAGCCGACAACAGAATCTTCGAAAACATCAAGAGGGCACAGGACCATCTCGCATGAGTATTTGATCTTTGAAAATGAATTTTTTTCTTGGAATTAAAATAAACCTACCATTGCGCCGTTAGCACCGCTAGCTGCATTGACTCTCAGGTTGAATTGATCCTTCACGGTTGTTTTGATATTTGATGTCCATTCAGTCCGGGTAGATTTTTGCGAGTACGTGACGAAATTGTTGTCGATACAGCCGTCATTTACAAAAGCGAAAGTTGTCGACGAGTTGCTGTAGATAGGATTGCCATCAGTATCCTCACCAACTTTAGGGTAGTTGTGGCTTGTGCATTCTCTAAAAGTTGATAGTAAAAAAGGAAAAGAGAAGAATTTTACCTGAGATGCATGATATGAGACTGGAACTCACCGGTAGCCTCGTGCTCAGCCTCGATGTAGAGACCATTGTACTCAAACTCATCATCGAGTTCGATTATACTTCCGTCGTACTCGTCCGAAAATTGTCGATCGTTGTAAGCGGTGAAAGTGAATGGGATCTGGGCTTCAGACTCAGTGTAATTGTAGGCTCTGTTAGATTGTGGATTGGGATCGACCCAGCCGTAGTCAGAAGCTTTCAATCGGCACTGGAATTGGTTGGAGACCCCACCTCGGAGAATGCGTTCATCGCCGAATTCGTTAATGTACCAATAGTCATCGAATCCTAAAATATCGAATGACATTTTTCGAAAGAATATGATTTAATTTACCGATGTAGAAGTCGACGATGTAGGTCAGGCCATTTATGGGACTGATGATGTGACTGAAGTCAAACTCATCCGTGCAATTTGGGTCGTTGACATTTATATTGAAACGGACCTTACTCCCATTTTCAATCGTTTCGCCGACACATGTGCTGTTGTTGAATTGTTTGAAGGCGGTTTCCGGCACTTGCTGATCGTGTTTGGTTTTGGAGATGAGAGTAACCTTTCGTTTTTCATCGTCGTCGTCAGGTCCATTAACCCAGGGTCGTTTGTTATTGATGATAGCGTCAATGTAGAAGTTGCCCTCATCGTCGAAAGTGCAGATTAGTCCATCACCATTCGGGTCGCAGAAATACCCATCAAGGCCGTTAGTCTCGTGGCCAGAGTCGTTTTCATCACTTCCTTGTTGGTTGAAGACAGTATAGTTCGTGTCAGCTGGACAATCGGTAGCAGCCACACACCCGTAAGCATCACATGAATCCGAGACAACGCATGCGTACTCCTCTGAGCATTTCATCTCGTCGGTACATACGGCTGCATCTGGGTACAAGTAGCTGCGAACTTTGTTGCAGTCAGTTTCTGCCAAAGAAAGGGCTGCTAGTAAAAGTGCAAAAAAATTCATTTTTTTGCTTTTTTGAAGATTCCGAAGAATGAAAAATGTGAAATAGGCTGCTCTTTAAATACAATTCGTATTCAAGATATGAGTGTTTATTTATTGCTCTGTTTCCGGCGGGGTGAAATATGCTGCAATAAATTTTCATCATAGGATCGTAGGACCTCCTAAACTGAATAGGGACACTAGAAATATATTTTTTGAGAAAACTGAAAAGTTCTTGTCTCAAGGAACGAGTATGCTCAGCTGAAAGAGCATCCTCGATTACGTATGCTGACTCTATCCGGTGGGGGGCTGAAAACGGAAATTTTCGAAAAAATGGGGTCGAAATCTCGAAAATGGTGGTTCTTATGACGCCAGTTTTGGGTACTTTTACTTTTCCGTTTTAAAAGGTCAATAGCTCATTTTGTAGCTCAGAGCCTGCGCTTCGCTGCAAGGTATAGATGAGCCGGTCAGTATCAGCCAAAAATTTTTTTCAGGACCTGAGAAGGTGGGTTACTTTTTCGCGATAAGCATGTCCCTTTCTTCTTTGATTTTGGCTAATTTCGTTCTATATCATGGTTGACTGAATAATAATTGTTATATTTGCCACTTATTGCCACCCTCTTCCTGGAAGACTAACTGCTGGAAGACCAATATAAAAAAAAAATAAATAAATAGCCTTGCTTGGCCACCTATTGCCACATTAGGTCAATTTCGGTCGCTTTCTGCCGGAGAATCTCACGGAGGACTCCTTTACTGGAAGACCAACTGCTGGAAGACCAATATAAAAAAAATGAATAAATAACCTAGCTTGGCCACAAATTGCCACATTTGGAAAATTTCGGCCGCTTTATGCCGGAGGACCTCCCGAAGGACCCCCTTACTGGAAGACCAACTGCTGGAAAACTTGTGGGGAATGAATCTGTCTCAAGACACTCAAGCACATTAAACTCAGTCAGGGAGGGGGCCAAGCCGAACCGTAGGGGAGGCCATTCAAGCTTATTCGATTCAGTAAGGCAGGGGCGAAGCCGACCCGAAAGGGAGGCCACGCCCGTTCATATTATTCAATCAGAGTCAGGGCGAAGCCGACCCGAAGGGAGGCCACGCCCGTTCATATTATTCAATCAGAGTCAGGGCGAAGCCGACCCGAAGGAGGCCACGCCCGTTGATTTCAGTCAGAGTCAGGGCGAAGCCGACCCGAAGGAGGCCACGCCCGTTCATATTATTTAATCAGAGTCAGGGCGAAGCCGACCCGTTTATTTGATAAAGTCGAAGTTAGGGAAAGGTTTGGAGGATCTCCCGGAGGACCCCTTTACTGGAAGACCAACTGCTGGAAGACCAATATAAAAAAAATGAATAAAACGATATGAATGAATAAATAAAGGATTTAACAAGTCTTTTCTGGTTGGCTTTCGTCTTCTTTAATTTTTGTTCCTTTTGGAATCCCGAACGTTGAATCTGTTGTAAACCTCCCGGATTATTCGGGAAACTGTAAGATTTGAAAAATCTCGAAATATTCGGGATCTTGAAATTTTAAAAGAGACAAACCTTTCCCTAACTTCGACTTTATCAAATAAACGGGTCGGCTTCGCCCTGACTCTGATTAAATAATATGAACGGGCGTGGCCTCCTTCGGGTCGGCTTCGCCCTGACTCTGACTGAAAAAAATCAACGGGCGTGGCCTCCCCTTCGGGTCGGCTTCGCCCTGACTCTGATTGAATAATATGAACGGGCGTGGCCTCCCCTTCGGGTCGGCTTCGCCCTGACTCTGATTGAATAATATGAACGGGCGTGGCCTCCCCTTCGGGTCGGCTTCGCCCTGACTCTGATTGAATAATATGAACGGGCGTGGCCTCCCCTTCGGGTCGGCTTCGCCCTGACTCTGATTGAATAATATGAACGGCTTTCCTTTCTTTGCTGTGAAATTATTAAACCGGCGGCTTCCAATGAATAAACATGATAGATGAAAATGACTTCTGCGGAGCAAAATCCTGACCTCAATATTTTTAGTGCTTAGTTTGTAGCGCAGAATCTAAGGAGTCGAATGGTACAATTTTTATGTGTCCAAGCCACGAAGAATGTCAAATTCTAGCGCCTAAAGTACCTGAAAATGACAGGTCATGAAGCCCTGTATCTCCACAAATTTTCGAAAAAAGTATGGATATATGGGTATCAGTCGAAAGCCCAGCTGAAACTGTGTATGGGCACCTGGTGCGCAAGAAAGAATTCTGAAAAAAAAATTTGAGTGGAAATTTTTCGTCTCAAAAAATATTTTTTCGCTTGGAATTTTCTCTGGCGCAGTGGGTGCCCATACACAGTTTGAGCTGAGCTTTTCAACGATATCAAAATCTCCATATAATTCTGAAAATTTTCGGAGATACAGGGCTTCATGACCATTTTTCAAAGAGGGGCCTTTATGACGTCATATGTGATGACTCAGACCCTAAAAATTATACCATTCGAATCTTTAGGTGTTGTTCTTTCGAACGAGCATAAGAAATATAGGGGCTACAATTTTCCCCCGCAAAAGTCATTTTCAAGTATCACATACAAAATATCAATCTACTTAATGACTATAAGAATTTTTTGGAAAATATTATGTCGCTAACATTGGCCCTTCAGAAGGAGAATCTCCTTCTGTTTATTTGTTTTGGAAATCTCAGCAAACAAATATGCAAACAGATATGCAATTGGATCGACGGTGAGAATAGTAAAAAATAGCAAAGCTTTTTTCGTGAAATGATTGTAAAGAAAACAACGAAGATTACTGCAAATATGAGTGTTTCGATATTTGCAATAAAAACGCTAATTGCTACACTGGTTACGGCTATAAGGATGAACGATATGGATGGACCTGCAACTGGATACCTTCACAAGGATTTACATTCGTGCATGGCAAAGAATTGCAATTCTGGTTTTTTCTTTCAATAAATTATGTTTAGCTTCACGATCATCTGAAGTCAAAGAGAATCTTTTTGTCTTCAGAAAGATTCACATGCGAGGATATGCTGAAACGATGAATTACCATAAGAATATATTTTGCCCGAAAAATTTTTTTGGTAATTCATCAAACACTAGAAAGGCACACGCAGGATATTCATAGCAATCAAATGTGCTCGCTTCGCTAGAATTCGCAAACACTTGAGAATATAAGCTTCCCAGTTTCGATGAGTTGCCGGGATTACGAGCACAAGTGCATATTTGGGCTCGTAGTCGAAGGGGAAAGAGTGAAAACGATCTGTCAAATTAACAACATCCTTTTCCTAGCCGATCATTTCTAGCCTAAGGATGGACGTCGTCGTCGAGGAAGATGTGAGTGTACCGACCCATTCACGAAGGAATCCAAGAAAGCACGGAAGTCATCGATCAGAACTTTTTCTTTGGAGACATGAGAATCTTTTCGGACGGAAAAATTGAAGAGCAATTTGTTTGCAACCTCTTGGCCAAACGACGGTGGACTATTTGTTTTTTTATTGGAAACAGTTTCAATGAAATTCTCAAAAAATAAAACATATGCAGTGTTCAGGGTTCTCAAAGAGCAAAGAACAGAAGGCTAGCAATAGCAAGTCCGAAGGCAAATGCATCGTTTCCAGACTGCGCACCATTTCCGGAATCGACGCCACTTCCGGCTCCGTCTCCGTTGATGAAGAAAGCTCCCTCTTGGTGAATTGTTTTAATAAGAAAATTGCTGTTCTTAGCGGGAGAACTTCTACCAGCTCGAGTCGAGAAAAGATTGTCGTATCGGTTGGGGCATTTGTCGGACAGGTGGCAAGGTGAGCCAACAACCGACTTTCCGAACACATCAAGAGGGCACAGGACCATCTCGCATGAGTATTTGATCTTAAAAATTGAGACTTTTTTCTTGAAATTAAAGTAGACCTACCATTGCGCCGTTAGCACCGCTAGCTGCATTGACTTTCAGGTTGAACTGATCCTTCACGTATGTTTTGACATTTGATGTCCATTCGGTCCTGCTAGATTTTTGCGAGTACGTGAAGATTTCGTTGTCAATGCAGCCGTCATTTATAAATGCGAAAGTTCCCGACGGGTTGTCTTCGTAGATAGGACTCCCATCATTGTTCTCGCTGATTTTTCGGTAGTTGTGACTTGTGCATTCTCTAAAAATAAAGAATAACATCAAAAAAAATCGTATAATATTACCTGAGATGCATGATATGAGACTGGAGTCCATCGCTGGCCTCGTGCTTAGCTTCGATGTAGAGACCGTTGTTTTCAAACTCGTCATCGAGTTCGATAACACTTCCATCGTACTCGTCCGAAAATTGTGGATCGTTGTAAGCGGTGAAAATGAACGGGATCTGGCCTTCATACTCCACGTAATTGTAGTTTCTGTTAGATTGTGGATTAGGATCGACCCAGCCGTGATCTGATGCTTTCAGTCGGCATTGGAATTGGTTAGAAACGCCGCCCCGTAGGATGCGCTCATCGCCGAATTCGTTAATAAACCAGTAATCATCGAATCCTATTTAATGGAATATCATTGTTTGAAAGAATATGACTGAATTTACCGATGTAGAAGTCGACGATATAGGTCAAGCCATTTATGTCACTGATGATGTGACTGAAGTCGAACTCATCCTTGCAATTTGGGTCGTTGACATTTTTATTGAAACGGACCTTATTGCCATTTGCGATCACTTCGCCGACGCATGTACTGTTGCTGAATTGCTTGAAGGCAGTTTCAGGCACGTGCTGATCGTGCTTGGTTTTGGAAATGAGAGTCATTTTTCGTTTTTCATCGTCGTCGTCAGGTCCATCAACCCAGGGCCGTCTGTTATCGACGATAGCATCAACGTAGAAATTGCCTTCACCATCGAACGCGCAAGTTAGTCCATGACCTAACGGGTCGCAGAAATACCCATTAAGGCCGTAAGTCTCGTGTCCAGAGCCATTTTCCTTACTTCCTTGTTGGGTAAAGACAGCATAGTTCGTTTCAGCTGGACAACCACTAGCAGTTACACAACCGTAGGCAGCACATGAGTCCGAAACAACGCAAGCGTACTCCCCTGAGCATTTCATCTCGTCGGTACATACGGCTGCATCTGGGTACAAGTAGCTGCGAACTTTGTTGCAGTCGGTTTGCGCCGAAGAAAGAGTCGCTAGTGAAAGTGCAAAAAAATTCATATTTTCTGCTTTTTTTTTTGAAGATTCTGCGAAGCAGAATGAGAAATGTGAAGTTAGCTGCTCCTATATATGGAGATGAGTGTTTATTTTATTTATTCGTATCTGGCGGAAGAAAATGGTTGAATTTCACACGGAAATTCTCATTCCATGAAATAAAAAAAATTATACTCTATTCAGTCTTTATCCACTCTTGTGCATAAAAAAATCTGCTGCAATTAAATTTCATCATAGGATTATAGGACCTCCTATACTGAATAGCCTATTCACTTTCCTTTCTTTGTTGCGAAATTATTAAACCGGCGGTTTCCAATGAATAAACATGCAAAATATCAATCTTCCTGATGAGTATAAGAGTTTTTTTAGAAAATATTATGTCGTTAACATTGGCCTTTCAGAAGGAGAATCTCCTATTATATTTAAAATGTTATTTGCTTTGAAAATCTCAGCAAACAAATACGTTTCGATGAGAATCTACTTAGTTACTACTTAAGAAGTAAGAAAGAGAGCTTTCACTCATAAATTCAACTAAGAATGCGTAAAATACCGCTGATTTTTATTCTTCATGGGACACTTGCGACCTGGGAGAGAGGATGTCCAGATTGCAACAAAGATAATGTGTATGGACGGGATTGTAGCCGCGGTCGTTTCTGTACTGATTGCTTAGAGAATTATGTCGAGTCGTTTGATCCATCTAAACCGTGAGTGAGCTTTTTGAAGTCGAGTTTTTACTGAAAATTTAGAACAACTGTTGATGTTCCTGTCGATAAATATGCGATAGGATCGATGGTGAGGATAGTAAAAGGCAGCGAAGGGTAATTTATAAAGTTGAAGATATATATTTGCCTATTTATAGAGACATTATTCGTGAGAGATATGATTGTAAAGAAGACAACGAGGACTACTGCAAATATGAATGCTTCAATATTTGCAATAAAAACGCAAATTGCAACACTGGTTACGGCTATAAGGATGGACCAGGGGTCTAAATTCGCAGTGCGAATTCGCTTTATTGCGAAGCGATGCGAAGCGAAGCGAATTCGCTTTCGCTTCGCTTCGCACTGGAGAGCAGAATTCGCTTCGCTTTCGCTTCGCAAAAATTCCCAAATTTTCGCATAGATTTTCGCACATCAAGCGACTTTGCTATTCGGAAATTTTTTATATAAGAGTTGGAGTGGGGCATTATTGATGCCGTTATAAATTCAAGTTTTCTCAGTCTTCTGAAGACGAGTCTAATGGTGGGTCTAACTATCAATAAATCCAAGGATTGACTGGTTATCAAGCTGGTCCTACCCCGGAAAACACGTTGTCACCAGCCTTTTTTATTGTAAATATTATGCTAGAATATTTTTTGAATGATCAGAATGATCTTTATGAACAGGGATTATCTAGAATCGAAGATGATCTCATCTCCTATCGAGCAAGGGTGACCATTTGGGCAAGAAATCGTCGATTGGCCATCCGAATGCCAGGCCGAAATCAAGGGCCAAGAGTCGCGCCGTCCAAATGCCCGGTCGACCTGGTGATGGGATTTTCAATAGATGAGGGCTAGAAAAATAAGTTTCGAGAGGCTTTTGATTCAGTTAGAGGAGCAAGAGAGCAAAAATAGTTGTAAAGAATGCGAATTTTAAGAATTTTCCTCGGCGCGGGCTAGACTGAAATGCCCGAAAGCGTTGCATTCCCAGAAAAATCCGAACATGCCAAAATGCCCGAAATGCCCGCTTTTGCCCGGCCAAATTTAAGGAGCTGAGCCGTCCGAATGCCCGGCCGAATAGATTTTGCCCGAAAATTGTCCGTTTTCCCCGACTTCCCGATGCCCGAACGGTCACCCCTGCTATCGAGTTTATTGCTAATGTTGAATTTTCAACAGTTAGACCCACCATTCGGCATATATTGACGAGCTGAAAAAGGTACAATAACAGATTTTTTTGTAATTTTCTGCCCCAAAAATAGGTTTTTGAAATCATCTTTGCTTTTGAGTGGCTGATTGCTAAAGATTCTTGCCGAGAATGCGTTTCAATTCAAGCGAAAAAATTTTCGCTTTTTTTCGCAATTTTTAATGATATTTCGCTTCGCTTTCGCTTCGCACATGGGCGAACGATTCGCTTCGCTTTCGCTTCGCAAAAAAATTGAAAAAATGGTTTGCTTTCGCTTCGCTTTCGCACTAGGATTTCGGCTGATATTTAGACCCCTGGATGGACCAGATGGATGGACCTGCAACTGGGTACCTTCACAAAGATTTACATTCGTTCATGGAAAAGGTTTGTAATTCAAGTTTTTTTTTCAAAAATGATGTTTAGCTTCACGATCATCTGAAGTCAAAGAGAATCTTTTTGTCTTCAGAAAAATCCACATGCGAGGATATGCTGAAACACTCAAAAAGCGCGCGCATGATATTCACTACAACCAAATGTGCTCGCTTCGCAAGAATTCGAAAACACTTGAGAATAAAAGCTTCCCAGTTCCGATGAGTTGCCGGGATTACGAGCACTTGTGCAAATTTGGGCTCGTAGTTGAAAAAGATAGAGTGAAAACGGTCTGAAAATTTAAAAACTTCCTTTTCCTAGCCGATCATTTCTAGGATGGACGAAGATGCGAGTGCGCCGACCCATTCAAAGTTCACGAAGGAATCCAAAGAAGCACAGAAGTCATCGATGAAAACTTTTTCTTCGGAGACATGAAAATCTTTTCGGACGGAAAAATTGAAGAGCAATTTGTTTGCAACCTCTGGGCCAAAAATTATGAACGATATAAAAATGAAAATATGGAAAGGAAAATAAACATGCCGGAAAGTATTGGAGGCAACAGATGCAATTTGAGAGCAAATGTAAGATTTTTACTTGTTAATAATCAACTTTGACTTTTTTCATTCAAAAGCCAATGATGGCAAATTTATGGGACGACTACTACTGCGACGGTGGCTACCTGATTCCATACGAATTCTCTGAACAATTTCCATTCTTTGAAGAAAAAAGAACAATCACCAGAGAGATCAATAAAGTCAAAGAAATACTCAAAAACAATACTCAAATAAGACTTACTCCTGTCAACGAATTCCTCAGAAAAACCGGCCTTAAAGATGCCTTCGCCGACCGATCGATCAACGAGATGAACTGCAAAAACACAACTCACATGTGTCACAAAATTACATTTTCCAACAACGGAATGGCTTGCTCCTCGCTTGTCGGGAAAAATGGAGGAATGATGGCTCATTCGATTGACTTGGGCGCTAAATACTGTCATACTCCGATCAACATTCTTCATGAGCTTTTACATGCTTTCTCCTTCATGCACGAACATACCCGGCCAGGTTCAGACATTAAATTTATTATTAATCATAATCTGTATTTAAAAGATCGCGATGACTACATAATCATGCACCCGGAAAACTACCCCGAGAGGTTCGCTCACAACTTCGCTATTCTACCAACAGAGCAGTTCAACGCAGAAGCTAAATCTTACTTCGATTTTGATTCGATCATGCTTTACAGTCCTTCAGCGGGAAGTACTGGCGGCCCAACGTGGGAACCTCGAAGCGGAAACTGGGAAATGTCCTCGAATGACCATATCATGTCCCCTGGAGATATAGAAACATTGAATAGCTTGTACCCAAAGAAGTTCGATGATTTCTGTTACAAGCCGAATTTCGAGCCTCCTACTGTTCAACCGACTCCGCCAAGACCAGCTTATGTTCCTTGCCCTATTCCTGACTTCAGTAAAGTTTCTTACAATCTTTGTTTCGCGAATGGGCTTCAAAAAGATTAAAAAAAGGTTTTTAGAAAATAATCATGAAGCCAGAAAAGATGAAGAAATAGCAAAAATTTGTAAAAATGACTGTCGTCGATTCTATCGCAATCAGTGCACAGGACCGTCCGGATACAGTGGATATTCTAGCAATTACAGATGTGACCCTTGCTTACTTCAGGATTTGACAGTAAGTCATTCGTTCGTGTTATTTATTAATTATTTTTCCAAGGAAAATTCGAACTGTAAAACATCTTGCTGCGCAAAAATTCAAAATATTTTCCAATAAAAGTTCCTAAAATAAACCACGTATCAAAATTTTCTTGGCGATTTCCCACGTTACGTCGCTTTCAAAACACACTGTTGATTTTAGTAAATCAAACTCAGATCCACTCCTCAAATTTGAAGTACAAAAGAGGGCATTGTTAAATTCTCAAGACAAAAAAGTTATAAAAGTTAATTTCTCAAATCTTCCTACAGGAGGACTCAAAACCATTTCATAATTATGAGCCTCTGTCTCTAGAACGCAGCTTGCTTACGCTTTTTTTTGGAAATCAGGAAGTCAGATAAGAACGCTCTATCAAGGTAACGGCGAGAAAGGTTTTCTAACCTGTTTTTAATTTTTAAAAATAGAATTTGTTCCCGCTAGCTTTTGATAATATTTTCATCCCTCGTAAACAGCGCTCCATCTTCCCTCGGGCGAATCCAAGCTCAATCATCCCTCAAAGGATTGGGCTCCTGACTTATTCTAGCGAATGCAGCTCACTTAGATTTTCGGATAAGCGACAGTGAAAAAAGCAATATAATTTTAATTTGTTGGCTTTTCCTCTTTTACCCCTTTGTCAAGGCTAGCTAACGATGGGACGTGTGAGTTTATCATGACGCAGATTGATTTCGACTTGTTTCAATTGAGCCAAGTCTAAATCCTTTCGAACTTGAGAGCTTGACAAATTGCGAAGACGTTGAACGATCCTGATCCCTTTTCTCAGGTTTAGATTTTTCAACATTCGAATTTTTTTTATGAAGATCAATGATTTTTCCTTCGAAAAAAGCCGAAAAAACCGTGTAGTAAAGTTGAAATAGAGAAGAATAGAGTTGGATTCCAAAGTCATTTTTTCTAGACCTTCGTTGTTTTAGCACCGACGTTGCTATGCCCTAAGGCGTGAGCCTTCAAAACGCCCAACACAAAAGTAGTGGAAATTTCTTTTGTCCGTTCCACTTCGTCATCTGTGTCTTTTCAGGCTTTTTTGGCGGAGAGAGCTGACTGATTGCGGCACTGAAGAGCGCTGACTCGTCGCTGATAGAACCTGGGAAGCCAAGCGAAACGATAGATTATCCTCATTCACAGAGAAAGCGGACATACACAAGAGCTTGAAAAAGAAGAAACATGGGCTGCTTTGGAGGCTGCGATAAAGACGATGGGAAGAAGGAGCACGATATCCGACAAGGTAAAATCTCATGTCTTTTACTAGCCGGTTTTCAAAGAAAAAATCGACTTTAGAATAAAAAACATAAACTGAAAGAAAAGATGAAAGATTAGATAAATGCTCAATCTTGTAAACAAATGCAAATTGCAGTTGTAGATCGTTTTACCGAGAAATTTGACCGAAAAGTTTTAAATACAAAAAGCTCTTCGTAGGAATATAATTGAATGAATAAGAAACAGTTAATTTATTTTCAAAAAACGTAATGCTCGCAGTATTATAAGCCCCGGAGTAAAGCCACACTGATTTTATGATGATTACTAGGTTAATTATTCCGCTTCGAATTTCAATGCTAAAGAAGCAGTTACATGTAGATAATGTTCGAGAAGGACACTGAAAAATTCGACCTCGATCTCGAGGATGAAAAGGAAGCCACACTAGAGCAATTACAATGGATACCTCCCAGTGAGCGAGCAAATATCTAATTGCGGATGGGAAAAATAATAGGCCGACCTTTTTAATGGCAGCGCATTGACAGATCTCGCAGTTAGAGCGCGATTTATCCCGTTAGACACAGTTCGTTTGACTTACATTCATTTCAGGGCCAAACCAAAAGCGAGGATGCACGGATATCCTTTGTGCGCTCTTCTTCATGGCTTTCGTGGCATTTTGGATTGCGAGTGGTATCATGGCATTCCAGTCTGGAGACCCAATGATGCTTATTTATCCCACTGACTCGTATGGAAACCTCTGCGGCGACCCAAACAACAACTACACTAGTGAAAAACCTTACTTGATGTATTACGACATTACTGCATGTGGCAATGTTGGTGACACTGTTGTAAAGTAAGATTTCTATACAAACGTTATCTTACTAAAAACGAAATCATAAATTATTTTTAAGCAACGGTCAATGCGCGACGCACCAGTCCTGCAGAGCCGAATGCCCGTCGGAGTTCTGGTCATATTGGACTGATGCGTATCCTCTTATCACTGCTCAAGAGGCTGTGCTTGTAGGTGCAGGTCAAGACCCCAATGCGAATCCAATCTTAAATTGTGCCACTTCCGCGGACACTGTTGGTTGCGTTGATTTCACCAAGTTTATTTGCAAAAAACAGTACCAATCGGTAATCAACAATATCGTTTCTGGTACAACGAGTTTGGCCGAGGCGAAAACTCAGCTTGAAGAGTTGATTGAGTTTGGAGACTGTGCCGAGTACTATGTTCCATCCACTCCAGTCCAGCATAGATGCATGCCAGGAGTTCCAGGAGTTGACGAGGATGAGTTTGCGGCTAATATTTCAGGTATGTCTCTCGGGTACGAATTGATCGGTTAATTACACGGGAAACTAAAATTTATTTATGAATAGAAACAATAGTGCTCAGAAAGGGTAAGATTTCATTGATTGTTTTGTAACATGCTGTTTCTCATGTGATGTCATTTGTAATCTTTTTAACATATGAAATTCATATTATGGATTGACAACTTTCTGATATATTATCAAAAATATTTATGCCGTATAAACGTTAACACTACCTTTAAGCAAACACCAACGCTACGGAAGAAGGCCTCATCGAAGGAATAAATGGACTTGCTAGCAATGCCGCAAGCGAAGCATTCGACATGGCCATGGCTGACATTCAGACCACGTACCCCGTCATTCTCCTTGGCCTTTCTCTCGCCATGGTTGTTTCTTTCACCTGGATCTTTTTGATGCGCTTCTTCGCAGCTGTCATTATCTGGGTCATGATTTTTGGCTTGTTTGGTGTCCTTGCTTTTGGAACTTACTACTGCTACACTCAATACGCACTTCTAAAGGGCATGGAAGTTGTCGGAGCAAGTTTGACTGCTGATTATATTGGAGGTAAGAGCCAATATCTCTGAGAATCCATATAATCAATTCATAGGTATGGCCCAGGCATCAGGAACAGTCGAACTTTGGCTCGCCCTCTTCATCATCGCTTGCATTCTTCTCGTTGTCTTCACCGTCCTCTTGCTCTTCTTCGCCAAGCGACTCCGAATCGCTACGAGAATCATTGGAGAGGCGTCAAAGGCTATTGGAAAGATTATGAGCTCCTTATTCTTCCCTCTCTTCACCGGAGTCATGTACATGGCTGTCACTGCTTACTTTGCTCTTACCTCCGCATACATCGCTACCAGCGCTGAAGCCAAATTTCATCTTGAAAACAGAACTTCTGAAGGTAATTTCTTTAAAAATTCGCAATCTCTACTGATTTTTAGTCAACAATTCCGTCCTTTCCATTCCCTGCGATATTCACGACTGGAACAGTGAAGACCACGAGCACTACGACAATCCCAATGTTACTTGCGTCTTTGACAAATACGTCGGAAACTACGCCTGGACAAACGAGACCGTTTACGTTCATTTGGTCAACCTCTTCGGATTTTACTGGATGATGAACTACATCACCGCTCTTGGCCAGATGACTCTCTCCGGCGCCTTCTCTCACTGGTATTTCACCATGAAAAAGTCCGATCTGCCTGCATTCACTCTCTGGGCTTCCTTCAAGCGTACTTTCTATCACATCGGAACTATGGCTTTCGGATCTCTTATCATCGCCATCATTCAGATCATCCGAACCATCCTCAACTATATCGGTAAGAAAGCTGTTATTTTACAAATCATAAACTATTCAATTAAAGAGCGAAAAACAAAGAAAGGAAACAACAAATTCCTCAAGGCAATCATCTGTATGTGCAAATGCTGCATGTGGTGCCTCGAAAACGTCTTCAAATATATCAACAAAAATGCTTATATTCTGACCGCAATGTACGGTTATAATTTCTGTAAAGCTTCATGCAAGGCTGTCAAGGTACGTTCAGCTCATTTCACAGGGAAAATATTTTTCTAGCTAATTATCGCAAATGCTGCTCGCGCCGCTGCCATTCTTGGCGTCACAACAGTTCTCCTTTTTATTGGCAAATTCGTTGTTGCTGCTGGATGCGCTTCCTTCACCTGGGCCTTCTTTGCTGGACAGTTTGGCGATGCTGAGACTAACAGGTAAAAAAATGAATCCAGCAAATCAGCATGAGTCTTTTTCTAGCTTCGTCCAGTTCATGAACTCCGATCCCGACAAAATCAACTACATCTGGTTCCCCACTGTCATCACCTTCATTGGTTCCTACGTCATCGCAGTTGGCTTCTTCAATGTCTATCAGATGGCCATTGAGTAAGAAATCTATAAAATTCTGTTCTTAATTTTTCTCTAGCACCATTTTCCTCTGCTTCTTGGAAGATTTGGAGCGAAATGACGGCTCTGCTGAGAAGCCGTATTTTATGAGCAAGGCATGGCATGAAATTCTTCATAAATATGCTGTTTCATCGCGATTTTCGCTGAATTTTATGTATTTTTACAAACAAATTAATCAAGCCCTCAAAGTCCCTGATGAGTCTCCTTGGCAAGAAAAACAAAACCACTGGCGACAAAGAACTGAAGAAGATGTAATTATTTTTTTGTACTCAGCCTTTTTTTCTATCGTATTTATTTATCCATTCCACCATTATTCGCTTCAACCTTTTTCTATCTCTATCACATCTGTGAAGACATGTGTTTTCCAACCAAAGACAGACACCCAGTTCAATTATTATCTAATAAACAGAAATGATATCAATACCGTCTGAAAATGTTCCCTGGGAACAATTTTCTGCCCTCCTTGTTGTCTTCGATAAAGAATGAAATCAACAACGACAAATATTGTAATGCATTCTAAGTAAAGCTGATTTATTTGCACTTCTCAAATCGCTGAGTAACAGGGGAGCAAACATACTTTCTCGAGTGTTCGTAGGAGATTTTTGTTTTTGAAAAAAATGGTTGACCCGAAGAAGATCTTCGCTGAGTTTGACAGTGATAAGAGGGGGTATTTGAACAGAAAAGAGGTTCCAGATGCAATCAGATGCTGCGGACTGAATCCATCCGAGGAAGACATTATGAAAGCTTTTCGGTAAGATACTATAACAACAAGAAAAGCAAAGAAAATTAAGGACAACAAATTGCACGACGACAAAAGTTCAAGAAAACCAGTTTCACTCTCTTGTCAAGGAACTTCGCAAAACTAGTCTTCCCGACGAAACTCGATTACGGAATGGTTAACAGCACTAAAAGTGTGAGCTACAACAAGTGATTGAGTATTAACCTTATAAAGGGCTGCATTCAAATCACTTGAAGATGGTTCCGACTCTGGATTGATCCCAGCAGCGGATCTTTCTCACATGTTGAAATCGAAAGGGGAGAAAGTCTCCCAAAAAGTGATCGACGATCTGCTCAGCCTCATTGACGTTGGTGTCACTACTGATATCGATTACGAAGGTATATAAACATTTTCTGAACCAAATTGGATCAGGTTCAATTCTAGAGCTCATCGCTCTCCTCACAGCTGACCTCGAAAAAGCCGCTGGATTCTGATAACAAGAACAAAATTCACTTCAATTGAATAAACAAGCAGTTAAATAAAAATAATTTGGCATTTTAATCTCTTTCTTTCTGGAAAACCTGTTTCTGTCTATTTTAAAGATATTTTATTGCCGTTGAGATCGCTCCATTTTATTGCGCGAATCTGCCCTTTCGTACTCATAGTAAATAAGTCGATAACAGAGAAACGCAACCTTGAATATGGGGGTTGGGATAGATGCAGATAAATTTCACTTAGTGAAAGAAGAAGATTATTTACAGCCATTTCGTTTCAGCAGAGTAAGCAAAAATATAATGGTCAAAGAGGTTATTCAAATTCATTTAAAGTTGCCGCGAGATCTGAAAAAAGCTTACACAAAAAATGTTTACCAGGAATGCCCACAAATGAACTCCTTTTCTAAGTATAAATAATTGATTTGTGAGCAATCTTAGTTCTATCATGAGTTCTTTCCCGGAGTCCAGGTTCATCGGAGAGGCAAAATTTATGTCAGTGATTTGGACAAAGGTCTTGGCTTTGAATTAAAATAAACCTCTGATGATTTCGTCACTTCACACTCAGACAGAAAAATAATTCGACATCATAAATCAGACAGCTATAGCTAGGTTAAGACTGCATCTTCACCACCTAAGTCGTAAACTAATTGTGCTGGGCGACAAAAAGTTCGAGCTTGACTCCGCCTAAATGTCATTTTTGATCTTTCTTTTCAAAAATTCAAAGCCCGTAAAGCACTAAAAGGGGCCGCTCTCACTCACTATGGCCCGGGAAGGAAGTACTATGAAAAGCTCCTAACCGAAATGCAGCGAGCTCAAGAAACGGCTGATCAGGAGCTAAGAAGCGAAGGTCAGAAATGCCCGATGATAGACTTCTACGCCGCCCGCGATTTTATTGTCAGAATGAAGCGAATCATCGCTTGTGTGGACAACGGTTATAACGTACTGAAAACATTTAATTATGACCCTGACGACTGGGCTACCTTTTATCATACAGCCCAACGATTTTACCAAAACTACCACGAAATGATCACAACAAATGACGGGTCAGTCGACATGGACGAAGTAAGAAAGACATATTCAGATGCAAAACGACGATTTCCAAACAGCAAAGCATTTGAGGAGACTGCTGATGAACATGTAGAAAGTGAGTTTTCCTCAGAAATCAAAGAAAGCAAAAAGTTAATTTTCAGTCGTCAAAGCTAGATACGACCTTGACAACAGTGGCGAGCTGACTTTCGGCGAAGCTCGCGAATGGATTCTTTCTTTCGCATGGTTCTTTGATGGAGACAAGGTCAAAGAAGAAGAAGAAGCAGCCGACACGGATGCTGAAGATACTCCTTGTGGAGAAGAGCTTAGAAGCCCTACTCCTTCTTATTCTTCTGAATCGATTCCATCATCTGTCGACGAGGAAGAATCAATCGTGGTAGAAGCAGAACTAGAATCGCCAATCAACGAAGGAATAGTAGCAGATATAACGATGGCACGCGACACAGTAATAAAAATGAAGCTTGTCAACCAGAAAATCCACCGCAGCTTGAAACTCGCGTCAACGCACGTGAGAGAAAGACGTTCAGGAATGCTGAGGTCTCTCTACCAAAAATCTGCGTCGAAAGCCAAAACCCGATCTGGGAAGACAATAACGCACGTTGGCGCCGAGCGTGTTTATTTTACGACGCTAGGTATGAATATTGTGACCGCGCTGGACAAGGGTTACGATGAGACACTTTTTAATGCGACCAAATCGATCGAATGCTATGTCGAAGACTGCCTTCATGCTCTCAAGCAGATTATGAACGTTCTTGATCAGGAGAACTTCGCTGAAATCGTTGATGGTCAAACAATGGAAGCTACAAGCAAAATGGTCGCAAACTATTTCAAGCCACCAAAGTTCAAAAAATATGAAACAGGTTCTATTCAACTTTAAATTCTTCTCAATAAATCTGTGTTCAAGACTTCCGAAAATGGGGAGGGAAAGCAAAGAGCAATATTCTCGACAGCTTGAGTGGAATGACGCTGGAAGAGAAGGTCGACCATGATAAAGACAAGATTTACAAAGGAATTACTGCTGACTACATGGTTTTAAAAGCAAGTCTGATTTTCCGGATACTTGTCTTATTAAAATTTTAAGAATTCGAAAATGAACCCGCTTCCTCGAGCTGCAAAGGAAATATCAAAAACGCAGTGGAACTCATATTTTGGAGAAGTAGCAGGTTAGGACGCTGATAATACTAATGAGATTTTATAATCATTTGAACTCTAATTTAATTGCCTATTAAAATATTATAGGAAGTGCACTGACTTCTTTCCGGGAGGAAATGATGGATACTATAAATCACAGAATTACGATGCTGAACAAGTTCATAGCTAGCAAGGTTGAATTCTTGGGTAATGCCAGTCGAGCTATCAACGAGGTCGAGGTATGAGATTACTATAGTCTATAGATTAGATCATCATTATTTTTCAAGGATGGTTTATGGACATATTCTATCAAAGAATTAACCGCTCGTGTCGCCATTGAGAACCTGGCCGACGACAATATGGATCTAGTTCATGCTCTAATGAAGGAGGATTCGAAGAGTCTTTACAAGCGAGAGAAAGAAGGAAGTTCTGCAGCTTTTTCGAGCATTGCGCGAGATGTTAGACCTCGTGAATAACAAGTTTTATACCTTTTTATAATAAACACATTTTGTAACAACCATCAAGAACAACAACAGCAACAACTTTGTGTTGATCATTGTCAGGAGCGATATTTTATTGTGATTTCTTTTTCAATTTTCGAACTGAGACAGAGAAAGATGTTTCCCACGGTGAATTCATTTTTATGAAGGGGAGGCAGATTTAATGAAGGGCTTGAGGCAGAGTTTGAAATGCTCGCAAATGCTCGCGAGCGCAAAGAGCGAGAGCAAAAATTTATCATTGCTCTGAGAGCAGGGGAGCGGGAGCATGAAAATGAAGTTGGCTCGAGAGCCAAAAGAGCGCGAGCCCAAATTTGAAACCGCTCGCGAGCGCGGAGAGCACGAGCACATATGTCGGCAATGCTCGGGAGCGAGACGAGCGGGAGCGGCTGCTCTCGTGCTCGCCATGAAATTGACTCACGAGCGGCTCGCGAGCAAAATTAAAGGAACAATTTTTTGCATAATTATTCACTTTCATGGATAAATTTCTCTTGTGGATCAATTTTTCGTGTTTCCGTTTTGTGCAAGCTTCATTAGGTCCGTAATCTCAGCAGCGGAACGCGGAAAGCCGAGAGTAAACAGATAAAACATGCCCACCGCGAAGTGCTAACTCCTGTGAGAGACACTCATTTGGAATTAGTTACGGGGTCGCCGAATCATTTTAGGCTCTTGAAAGCTGCTCGCGAGTCAGATTTTTCAGCTCGCGAGCCAATCGAGCGAGAGCAAAATTTGACCAGTGCTCGGGAGCCAGGAGAGCGAGAGCGCGAAATGAAATGTGCTCGCGAGCGCAAAGAGCGCGAACGCTGAAATAAATGCGCTCGGGAGCACAAAGAGCACCATGCTCGTGCTCGCTCGCTCTCAAGTGAGCCGCTCGCGAGTCTCGAAAATTTCAAACTCTGGCTTGAGGTACCTTTTAGTAGCATTACAGTAGAAGAAACGGTGGCAAGAGAAAAACGGTGGCTTATATGTTGTTTTAGTGAAAAAAAGGGTTTGAATATGTTTGATGGTGATGTGAGTTGATGATGAAGTGATGAAGGTAGCTCGTTAGAAGAGCGTTGCTATGATGGGTCGTGGAATGCGTTTCGGTGAATATATGAATGGCTAATATTTTTGAGTAAGTATGAGAAAGATGATTAAACTTTTCTAGAACCCGGCCCTTGAAGTGTAGGACATGAGTAGTCGACGATTGGACCTTCCGAGTTCCAGATCATGAAAACGATGATGGACAAGAGTGCGCACCAGACAGCAGAAATCATCGTAAGAACGGGGTATTTTACCAGAGAGCGTGTTGCTGGTTTCGGCTAATAACAGCTATTAAAATTTATAACGCAAATGGAAAAGATACCTGAGAGACAAAGAGAGAAGATAACTTTGGGTCACTCTCTTTTTGACCTCCTTGATGGGCGAAGTTTGAATCGCAGCATTCGTCACCGGAACCTTTTTAGCTTTTTTCTCTGGAGTCTTTCGGGTCTGAGTGATCGCTCTAAAACAGCTTGACAAGACTGAAAAAAACGATGAAGCTATACCTGACAGTTTTCAATTCTCGCTCAAGTCGCGCAACAGTTTCCAGGCCCTCTTCTCTTTCTTTCATCGCAATCTCAGCTTTGCGAGTTGCTTCGTCTAGCTTTTTCTTGAGGCTTTGCATCTCTTCATGCTGGAAACTCCTGTAGTCAGTGCTTTGCTCAAACTCATCCTGCAAATTCTGAAAAAGTTATGTTGGCAGTGAGCTTGATTTATTTGAAGATAGAATTAAAAGATATATCCAAAAGATTTGTATGGAACCTTTTGTTTCTTGATTTGCTCTTCGGGGGAGAAGTAAATGACCTCCCCAGAGTCGTGCATTTTCTCCTCGAGCTCGTGGACGCGCGATTTGTACTCTTCGACCTCGCGGCATTTAGCCTCGGATTCTTTGACCACTTGAGAGCAGCGGAACTTCTCGTCTTCCAGGTTCTTTCGAAGCTCTTCGCAGTTCATTCTCAGCTCTTTCACTTGATTTGCCATTTCCTGGAAAACATAAGCGCCAGAAGTAAGATTCTGGGAATTACCTGGCGATCAATGGTCATCTCTTGGCGGAGCACAATATTTCTCGATCGCTCTTCTTCGAGATCCGAGATCAATTGGTCCTTCTCTCCAGTCAATATATTCACTCTTTCCCAAGCTTTCTCACAGTCTTCATTGACCGACTTGAGCTCCAGTTCAAGCTCCTTGATTCGCGCATCTTTCTTGCGACTGCCCTCTCTGATCTCATTCATGTGATCTAAAACGCATTTAATCAACTTGAATTTAATCTGGAAACGAACCTATGTCAGAGTTGAGATTTTCATTCGTCAGCTTCATCATTTTATACTGTTTCTTCATCTGCTCCAGCTCGTCTTCGATCGCTTTGTAATCCCTTTCTTTCACATCCAGAGTCTGCTGCAAGCGCTCATTCTCAGAAAGACTTTTCTGGTAGTAAGTCTTGTAGTTCGCGATCTCAGCTGCCAATTTCGAATTGCAGAGCTCCATCGAGTTGGATTCTTTGAGCTTTTTCTGTGGACTCGCGCCTCCATAACCTGAAGATAAGATTAGAGTCTCTTCTATGATTTCAGTTAAAAATCAAGTCGTGTAAATGTGTGTCAAACTAAAGCGAAAAAATCGTGCGATAAATGTCAATTCGTTTTAACTGAATAAATGTTTACCGATGTTGGTGATCTCTCCCAAGGGCGCTAAAAGATTGTTAAAATAGTCTGGTCAGTTACCTGTGTAGCTCCCAACAGATATAGTCTCCTCAAACAAGGGGCGATTTAGGTGAGCTGGAATCGAAAACGAGCGAGTAATCGACGAAAGCTGACTGACTGAATCTCGATTCTCTTCCGATACCGAAGATGCCGGGGAATGCCCTGTTTGTTGGTCAATTTAGTTTGTCTCTTTCAACTCGAAAACAATACCTTGGGAATAAATTCCAGAAATGTCAGGCCGACTGTCAGAGAGCTGTGAGGTATTGCACAAGTCTGCAAAGCTGTCGTTGTAGTACGAACCTTCCTCTGCGTTTTGACACTCTGCAAGCCAGTTGCTGAAGATGAGGAGAAAGTCCTCTTGTCTTATTCGCAGAATTTCGCTCCCAAGTTCCTCCTCAATTTTACTCGCTAGCATTTCGATGAATTGAGCAGGGACCCCTAAAACTCATAAAAGTCTGTTTTTATCAAGCCAAAATCTAACCGAAAAGATTGAGCTTGTTTAAAACATCTTCTTTTGGAAGCCCAATATCGGCAGGAGCGTTCTCTTTGTCCTCATTGACAAGGTCAGGGTTGCTGTAGATATTACTCACGATTTCAGCCGGATCGAAGCCTATCATCGTCTAAAAAGAGCGAGTTATAATAGGAAAGAAGTTTGATAAATGATTTTTGGTTGGAGAATTGTTGAAAATGTGGAAAATAATATTATCAGTTATTACAAGATAAATGGCTGTGATGAACTATCTGGGAGATTATGGGCGGGCAAGTTAGCAAGCAGCGGTATACAGCTTCAGTGAGTTATATTTTCATTTTCAATTAGTACAGACTATGAATCTCTTCGTGGGCGGGGCTTCCTGCGAGAATTCCGCACAATAACTGGTGCTGGTTGACTGTCTGAATCAACCTCACCCGGCTGTACAACCGAATCTTCCTGCTCGTCAACGATCAGATTCTGGATTTCCATATTTTCTGAAGAGTCAGGCCTTGGAGGAATGTTATGTCTTCTTTTGATAGCAGCTTCTCTAGGACGGTTAGATTTTTCTTCCGAGTTTTCGTTTGTTTTCGCCTCATTTGGTTGGCTTTTGTAGGATTGAAAAAATCCGTTTGAAAATGAAATGCGCGGATTCGTTTTCAACTGGGCAGATTTAGCGATCATAATCAGAAAGTTTATCTACTGACGCGATCAGCCCGGTTTCAGTTGTTTTTTCTATCCTCTCCTTATAGAAACTTCATCGATTCTCTCATTCAAATCTGAATTGACTTCAGCATCGTCGTGATTTCCACCAGCAGTTATTATAGGCAGTTCGTTAGGGTCTTCTACTGGATTTTTTTCATCGACGTTGAACCAGGGGATGGCATAATTTCTATGTCGTCGCTTTCGTTTGACTTTCTTCAAGTCTCCTCTTCGTTGAATGTCACTTTCTGTAGTTTTAATTTCATCGCTTGAGCTATCGAACCTTTTGCTGTCTCTTGTCGAGACGGTTCGGGGCCTTGTGGCGGTTCTCGTTGTTCTCTTTGCAAGTGTAGCTGAGGTGTTCAACCTCAAAGCCGTTGTAGGGAGGTTGAAGGAGCGGTTACCCTGTTTATAGAGCTCTTCGCAGTCCTCTGAGTCTGAATCGTTCGAAAATGCGCCATGCTCAGCGTGGGACACCTCCTGCGGTGATGTTCTCGCTGCGATCGAAGTCCTTGATTCTTAAATTATTTATTAGTTTGATGTTTTCTCTCATGAAAATCTTACCGCGATAATCATGATCTTTGTAGCTGTCGTAGTCATATTTTGATTCGTTGCGCTGGGTTTCCGGCGAGTCGGAAATAACGATGGTACCGTTGACCATTACCGTATTTTTAAGAGCTTGTTGGTCTTCGTCCGAGCTTTGGGATGGCCTCGGTATATAAAATATTCGTCGCTTTGGCCGATTTTCCACTTTTGGCGTGTCTGGAATCACGGTGAAGCTATTGACAGTTGCGGTTTTTGTGAGGTTTTCTGATTGTTGTGGTTCATCATCATCCGAGCTTGAGGAAAGTGCTTGTTTCGGTGTGATAGATGGCCGTATCTTTTTCAGAATCTTCGGTTTCGGTTGTGCAGGCATCCTTGTAGTAGAAGATCCTGAATCACGAGCTTCCTCCTCTTCATTTTCGTTATCTAGGAAAGAGTGAGATAATCGTATAACGATGTCTTACTTTATCAGTCTTATATTCTCAGAATATTATTCTGTTATATTCAGTGGTAATATTCTACTTACCAGAAGATAAACAATGTACCAATTCTTTTCCGCTTCTACGGGAGTGGAAATGCACATCAGGCGATGGAGGATGAGATTTCTCAGAGTCCGAGTCGGTAAAATCGACTTTACTCTTTGATTTTTGCTGCGGTGCAGATGAAACCACTGGCTGATAAGGAACGGTATCTTGCGACGGTTCAGGTGTATTGTCCGAAAAGTCAGGGAGGCCGTTGTCAAATTTGGGCTTCTTCTTCGCCGAGTTTAGTAAGCCCTTGTCGTCAGCAGCTTTCTTTTTCGAATTTTCTGACTTTTTCGGAGGGATGACATCATTCTTTTCCTCTGGCGTAGACTCATGGAAAAGATCGAAGCTGTTAGCGCTACTTCCAGTAGATGTCTGAGTTACTCTTGTGTTCAAAGCAGCGTTCCATCCTGGAGGCCTGGCGTCTTCTTTCGACGGATCTGGAGTATCGAAATCTGATGTTTTCGGCGATGAGCGGTTGATTGTTTCTTGAGGAAGCCGCTTGACACTCACAAAGAGTTTTTCAGCGCGTGCTCTCCCGAGACAGATCCAGAAGAATGATGCGTTGGCATTCCCTCAGCCAGCGTAAGTGCCTGTCTTTTCTTGGAAGTTTTTGGAGTGATGATGTTAGGTTTTCTTCTCGTCTGCCGTTTCATTAACACCAAGGGGTCATCAGCAATTCTTTTCCTCGACGCATTGTCTTTCTTTTTCTTCTCTTTTCTCTTTGGTGATTCTTTGGTTACTTCGACTGGTGGTAGTACGAATCGATCCATTTCAGTGGAAGTGATTTGATCAGAAACGCTATCTGACAGGTAGATACTGCTATCCTTCGTATCCGTTATAATTTTCTGTTTCTTTCTGAGAGCTTTTGTGGGGCGCTCTGGGATGGACGCTGTCAAGCCTTCATTTTCTGAATCACTCGAAAATGCGCCACGCTTAGAAATTTTCTGCTCAGCTTGTCTCACAGAAGTAGAAGATTTTTTCTGAGGTCTGGAAGTCTTCGAACTTGGGCACTGGCCGCTAGGGGCATTCGAAGTGGTTGGCTTCGTCTGATGTGCCTGAGAACTGCTTGTTTCTGCTGTAGATTGTGTAGATGAATCTATTCGCACGGGTGTGCTATTGATTGGTGAGGGGACTTCTTTGTAGGTCTTGATCCATTGGATTTCGCCCTTGACATATTTCCGGACATTTTCGCGCACTTCGCGAAATTCTCCGTCTGGACCAGGACCCATGAGTTCCGCTCCATCTAAAAATACAGTTGTTCTAGAGACCTTAATTTATCATCTTACCGTTGGCGAGAAAGGCTAGCTTTTCATCCATTGTGAGGTCGTCGAAGTCCTCCCTTTCCCACCATCTCTCATTTTTCAATCTCTTGCTCATCCTTCCGAATTCTCGAAGTCTGAAAAAGATCGAGTTTTAGTCTCTCTGAGATGAATATGAGAGTGTTATTTGTCACAAATGATTTTTCAGCGAATGAGAAGCGCTCTCGGAGAAACATTCGACTCGGACATTTTATCTTGTTTTGTAATTTATACATAGAACGGGGGAATTTCAATAGGGCCAAATAAAAGCTAAGAAGAAAAGTTCAGTGTCTGCCAGTGAGTTCATAGTTTATCTCGTCTTGGAGCTGCTTCATTTCCCTCAAATGCTCTTGTTCTGCTAGAACGATCTCCATATCGTCTTCGGAAAAGTATGGAAAGCAAATGTCTTGATTCGGATAAATCTCCTTCGGGTCCATGTATCCGTCTTGTTTCTTTGTCTGCCAAGCGGCCATCAGCAGGTCGATGCTGTTTGTTCCAAAGATCGCGATTGACCCAAGAAGACAAGTCGCTAAAATAAGACTAAACACGATGACTCGACGGTGTTGATACCTATGAAAACGTAGAGCAAAAGCTGATCGAGAACGAATGCTACGTATTTCCACTCTGCTCGGGATCGATTGTAGTACTCTTCTTCTTTAAAGCTTTTTGCCATGTATTCGACGCCCATGATTGCGCGACGGACATCGGAATTCAGTAGCAATGGATCGGAACTGTCATCGCCGCTGGTGAGTTTCGCGATTTGACGATATCGCTGAAGAAAATTACAACAAGCCAGCTAAAGCAGGATAGTACCTGAGTTCCTTTGAAAATTCCTGCCATGGTTGGTTCTTCCGGCCCATGAGGCGACAGCGTCTTCATCGTTGATGGAAAAAGAACTCTCGGAAGAAAGTCAATAAAGATCTTTCTCATCCAGGCTGGCATTTCGTGCGTTTCCGGGCCTCGGTGATGGACGTTTTCGACAACGACCGTGAGGACGATCGAGAAACTGTTGAGCGCCATGGTAAAGAGAATGTAGATTCCAAGCATAGGAACAGCAGATGCTGTTGGGGGAATTGTGTCGACGATGACGAGGAGAAAGACAACGAGGGAGAGCAAGACGGAAATACAGAGCGTAATCTTTTCACACTCATCGGCTAAAATAAATGATAATGAATGGTTCCATCGGGGAAATTAGTTCGTTCCAATAAAACGATCCATGAAATTCGAACCATCACTTTTAGAAAAACAGATACTGAGTGAATAAAATGCAAATCTAGTCGACTTGAGTTTCATAATATTTTTAAATGAAAACTTGAGTATTTTTAGTGTAAGGTATAGTCATTCCAATTCTGTAACAACTGCACTGCAAAAAAAATACCTGGAAGATAGAATACGGCACATGACAATAACGAAAAGAGAATCGTCGGAAAAACAATATTCAAGATGAGATAAAGCGGCCTTCTCTTCAAAATGACATGAAAAGTTGTATCCAAATAAATTTCTTCACAACAATCGTATTTTACATAATGTTTCCAGCATCCTGTTCGCAAGAGTTCCCACTCGCCATTTTGTTCGTAAGCGGAAAGGTCGCCTTCTTGGCAGCAGGAAAGTTCTTGAAAGCCCTCGTCAAAGCTGACGATATCAATGTGGAATTGACTGTGCGTCCAAGTTCCGATCTTCATCGTGCAATTTTGAGTATCTAAGAAGGCTCTCTTACCAGTAAATTTTTATCCCTCACCGAAGGGAAAGTCCGCAACGAGAATCTCGCAGAATGTTTTGGCAATAATTGGCGGCTTCCAAACAACAGCTCCCGTATGCGATACTTTTGCTCTGACCATTTCCATAATAATAAAATCACCATCGGCATTGTTGTAGATAGCCAGATCCGGTTTCCACAAATTGTCCGACGGGATGTGCAAGTACTTGATATTCCCATATTCTGCCGGATCCCAGGCTAGCCGATCATCCTGCCACTCATGTAAGTACCAGAGCTTGATGTCGATTTTTTGGTTCACTTCTGATACGGCCAGAATCGGGCTTTTTCAAAGAATATTTCTCCCGTGATAGCGGCTATTGAATATTATACGATTAAAGCCCTTTCACTAGAATTTGATTTATGATAATTCTGAATCTAACAACAACTGGCTCTGCTGCATCATAAACTGGCCTACGAATGGATTAATCTTCAGACAATCTCTCAAAACTGCTACCGTACCTCACGTCGGGATTGTAATCATTCGTGACAAATAGCTTCTCTAATAGTTTTTCCGTGATGCCCTGCTTGCCACTCACCACCGCCAAAAGCCAAAACACCACCTTCGAGAGGACATTCATAATTACTGTAAATCTCCTTGCTAATTTGCGGTCACATAAAAGGTAAATACTCTAAGTACCACTTAGTAGCTACAGCCAATCTTGGTGATCCTTGTAGCTCAAACGGGCAGCTGTTTATCAACGGCTTACCACATTTGAACGATAAAAATAAGCCAAGAGAAGAAACTTTATACACTTATCTAATATCCAGCAATTTCCGTTGCAGAAAAGACGACTATTTCTTGCAAAATGGTATCGTTTCTTTTTTATAAAAAAAAATAATTCGACATTTTCAATTTTCTGTTGATTTGCCTAAGAAGGGTTTTATTCATGATTAAACGCTGGCAGTTGACAAAATGTACAGAGAAAAAAAATTACTATTTCTGTGAGATAAAGCTCCAAATTCTAAAAAACCAAGCATTTCCATCAGCGTTTGCATATCAAAGTTTTATTTCCCGCGGTTTTGTTGGTCCGAGGACAACTGCAACTTTTTTCGCGTTTGCTTCGTAGCAGCTACAATAATTATAAAGTCAAGCGTCAAAAAGAGAATAGAACATACCTTTTATCGTTGAGATAGTTGTACGTCGCCTCCAAATTCGAGGGCTGATCATTTTCAAGCTCCGGTTGCTTCAAGATTTCGTAAAGATTCGCGACAATTTCCAGCAAGGTAAACTGCTTTCTCCAGTTATCCAAGGCTTTCAGCGATACTTTGCCGCTTGCGAAGATATTTGGATGCGAAATTGACGGAGAAAAACGCACGGTTGGAGCAACATCGGGATATTCTTCGAGAATTTTATAAAGGAAAATTTCTAGCGCTTACGTTTTCCATATGAAATGACGACAGAGTACATTCCATTCTCCCAAGGAGACCCTGTCGGTCCAGGAAGCCCGAGGAGGACTGTAGAATCGTTCTCTTTTCTAGCCTTTACTTTGCCATCTGTGATTTTATAAATTGCATCAACTTCATCTGCTAAGACGTGCTTTTTTTAAGGTTAAGAAAGTTATTTCACCCACTTCCTTGTTTTTAGACCCAGAACACCAAACATATTTGGAATCAGTGGAGAAAATCTAGAATTTTGACGGTTTTAGTTTTTCGAAATTCACTTCCGGTTACGATTCTAGAGCCGGAAATTCACGAAATTTATAAGAAAAGCATGACCTATCAAATTGAAACTTACAACAAGTCCAGTAATTTATGACCGAAATCGAGTCCAACTCCTGTCAAAAACCGCCGGTAAACGACCGGTAAAAATTGAAAATTTTCTCATTAAATCATGCTTTTTTCATAGTTTTACCGGTCAGTTTAACCGCGGTTGGGACTGTTTCGTCTTATTAATTGAAAATGAGATGACTGGAAATCTTCTGCGCATCAATTTGATACATCGCACTTTACCCTTACTCCAAAATTTTGCCTACTTCCGGCTCTAGAATCGCGACCGGAAGTGATTTTCGAAAAACTAAAACCGTCAAGTTTCTAGATCTTTTCCACTGATTCGAAATATGTATGATGTTCTGGGTCTAAAAACGAGGAAGTGGGTGAAATAACTTCCTTAACCTTAAAAAAAGCACGTCTAAACGATCAGCGACCATTCTGATTATGACAAAGGTTTATTTTAAAACTTGTTCGTGACAGTAAGTGTGGGTTTTTGAAATTCGCAAATTTGGAATGTGAATGAGCTAGGGGCAGTGAATAAATGTGTTTTGGTGAACTTATGATTCAGCAGTGACATTGGCGACGTTGGTAAAAGGGGTGCGTTCCTTCTCGCCGTGCTCTTCTGCTCGTTTGGCGACCTCCTCCGGGTCGTTTTCCATGAGGACCAGTTTGGTACAGTCATGGGTCTTGTAGATGCCGATCAAGCGGCTGCAAAGACCAAACATTTGATTTCGCAGCGAGATGATGACGAACTGCGCGTTTTTAGTTCGGTCCTAAGTGAACGAATTTATTATTCTCTTCCTTGATTTCTGAAAAACGTACCTTGATGTAATTCGCCACAATTGAGACGTTTTTAATATCAAGCGCGGCATCGATCTCGTCCATGACGTAGAGAGGCGTTGGTTTGTAATGATGGAGAGCGAATACCAACGATAGGGACGAGAGGGTTTTTTCTCCACCGGAAAGGTTCATGATCGTCTTCCAACTCTTTTTAGGAGGACGGACGGTGAAAACGACGCCTTCTTCGAATGGAGCAAGGGTGTTAACAAGCTTGAAAACGAGTAAGTTTTTCGAAATTCAAGTAAAAAGGATGTACCTCAAGTTCAGCATCACCTCCCATGGTGATCATCTGGTACATTTGCTTGACCTTTGCCGTAATGATCTCAAAGCCCTTTGTAAACTCTTAACAATAAAATATATAAACGGCAATATTTTTTGCGTAGTTACCATCTCGTCGCATTTTCATGAGATCGTTTCGCATCTCTCGCTTTTTATTCCTCACATCGTTGATTTCATTGAACTCGTCTCGTCTAGCCGTGTAGACCTCATTCTTATCGCGGTACTCTTTCATAGCGCTGAGATTCGGCCGCGCTAGAATAAGATAAATAAGTGGAGCGATAAATGGAACTTACATTCGTCAAGAGCCTTTTTAGTTTTCGAAGCTTGCTCGGAAACGGCATTTGTGTCGATTTCGGCGAGTTCTTCGTCGGGAATTGTTGGAATCGTAAGGTCCTCATCCTTTTCGCCAGTCGAAGTGAGCTTTAAATGCTTCAAGTTCTCAGTGGACTCCTTTATTTTCGTCTCGTAATGAACCAGCTTTGACTGGATATCATTCCGTTGCGCTAGAAAGCAGTTACAGATGAAAAAATTAACAGTTTTCTACCTTGGATCTTTTTCAAGTCAGTGATCTTCGTCTCAATCGCCTTTTCGGAGTCAGCAACTTTGGCATCGATCTCTTTCTCAGTTTCAAGCGCGGCTCCAAGATGATCTTCTTCAATTCCAACAAGATCGTCTTTCATTTCTGCGTATCCAGCAGCAAGCTCGTCGACTTCTTTCGCGATCTCTTCCAGCCTGTTAGCTTTCTCTTCCTTTTCTTCTTTGAGTGTTTGAAGATTATCCTCAGCCTAGGAAAGGATACAAATCAGTCAGTAAGTTCTCTGAAATACCGTTTTCTGTTTTCGACTAGCTGTTTTGAGATCGTTAGCGAGCTTCAAGAGCTTCTTTTTTCCGTCTTTGATGGCATCTTTTGTCTTTTGCATCATCTTCTTGATGCCCTCGACTTTTCCTTTGCCCATCGCCGTAATTTGTTTGTTGATTTCTTCTACTTCTTCTTGGACAGATTCCGCGGAAGCCTTGAATACATTCAGAACGAAGTTATCAGTCAGAAAGTTACCTTTGTGGCACCCCACTCGCACTCAGCATCCTTCACGGCATCTTGCAACTCATGAAGACGGCCAGACTCTGGTGTTGCATCCTTTACTCGCTTTTGCTGATCCTTGATGCTTTTTGTCACCATCTCGATCTTTTTCAAAGCTGTATCGTACGCCGCACTGAGCTGCTGGAGCTCTGACTGTAAAATTAGAGTTAGAAGTGATAATCCGACAGTTTATTTACCTTATTCTTGGCGATTTCTTTCGTCGTGCGAGCGATGAAGCCGTTTGCATCGCGAATCTTTGAATCAAGATCTCGAAGTTCTTGTCGGAGATCATTCAAAGCTGTGTTCATTCCTTGAATCTCCTCTTCTGAAATCGTCTCCTTGCGAACATTAATCTGTGGCTTCTCTCCCATCGCTCCGGATTGCTTTCTGCTACCGCCACCAGTCATCGCACCGTGTGGCTCAACAAGAACACCGTCGAGGGAAACGGCTCGCTGGCGAGGTCCACAGTGGAACGCAAATTTCTCGGCTTCTTTTGAATCTCTTGCCACGAGAGTATTACCACACGCTTGGAAGAAGCAAGCCATCAAATCTTCTCTATCGCAGCGGATTTGATCGACGAGTCGTGGGCCGGGAAGGTTGAACTGGCTTGCTGGGACGAAAGGTTTAACCTTGTCGAGGGCGAAGAAGCTTACCGCCCCGACTCTGTCTCTCTTTATGTATTCCAAGATTTTCGTAGCATCTGCAGCTCGCTCGACAACGATGTATTCCATATTGCAAGAAGAGGAGAGCGCAACATCATATCGCTGGTCGATACCACCAAGGTCCCCGAGTCGGCCGACAACACCAGGAACTTTTCCGGTTTTCTTCAAGTTCATGACGTACTCCTGCACCTTTCCTCGGCTTCGTCCACCGCCTTCTTCTGCCTGAGCGTCAGCCAGCTTCGAGCTGAGTTTTTCAATCTCGGATTGAATATTTGGCCGCTGATTCTTCATCTGCTCTACTTCTACTTGTCGCTCGCGCACGGCTTGTTCCATTTCTGGGATGCTGCTCTCAAGTTGCTCTTTCTTCTCCGTGTTGTCAGCGACAGTCTTTTCGGCGGCCTTGATCGATTCATGCATTTCATGCAGTTTATTCTTCTCACGATCATATTTTGCAGTGTACTCGTCGAGTACGGCTTTTTCCTGGTCGAGGATTTGCTTCTTTTCGTTGACGGAGCTAAAAATGATTGAAAAACGTGCATTCGGGGACTTAAATACTTTTGAATTTCCAGAAGCTTCTTTTCCAAAGGAGCCTTTTGCTTTCGCAGATCCTTCGTTTTAGCTTCAACTTCCTCGATCGCCTTATCGTAGTCTTTCTTTTGATTCTGCTCGTCAATCTGCAGCTGTTCCAGCTTTTCGTTCAGCTCAATCGTCTCGTTCTCACACTTAGCCGGCATCTCTTGGAATTTTTCACGTTCTTCTCTTCTTTATCGAGCTCTTTTTCTAGCGCAGCTTGTCGCTTCTTTATATTTTTCTGCTCTTCTTTAAGTCCCTTTGCGTCTGCTTCGGATTTTGCGATTCCATCCTTCAGCTTTTCCATCGTTTCTCGAATTTTGACGAGCTTCTTTTTGATCTTTTTCTGCTCGACATAATGCCCTTATTTTTCGGTAAGTAAGAAATAATCATTCAAGAGCTTTTTACCTTTATTCTCGACCTTGTACGCCTTGATGTCATCTTCGATGAGGGCAAGTTGCTGCTCAAGAGTCTGTAATTCTTCTCGATCTCGCACAGTTTTTTGGTTGCACTGGTAAATTGTCGCTTGATGGATCTTGTTGATGTCAAGAATCATTTCATTCTTTTTGGTGATCCAGGCGACGCCAGCTTCATAATCGGGCTTGAGCTTGTTCATCTCCGTCTCGGCGATTTTCAAACGGCCTTCTCGCTGACCTCGGTGGTCGTTGAGCTGTTCTACTTGGTAACCGAGCTTGTCGATGAGTGGCTTTAGACGTGAAGAACCGATGATGTCTTCCAAATACTCAAGCATGCCCTCTTCGTTTTTGTTGTCAGCTATAAAAAGAGTAACTTTGAGTGGAAGTCTTTGTTATACCTTTTGGTTTCATTTGTGAAATTTGCTCAACTTCGCCTTGTAAAATCAAGAATCGGTTGTGATCCAAGTCAATCCCCTTTGTTCTCAAGAATTTACCGACTTCTTTGAAGTTCGTCTTTCTCCCGTCGATGTGATAGCAGGACGAGTTATCTTTGAATGCAGTCCTGCTGACTGTGAATTCAGAGTTTGGGACGACATCGTATTCGTCTCCTTCGCGGTCGACGATCATGTGGAATTTGACAGACACAGTTGCTTGGCGAATATTTGGGAACTTGGTCGAGTTGTGGATCAGAACTGAGACTTTCTTCGATCTGATCTTCTGCGCTCGGTACCCAAAGACAAACAACATCGAGTCGATGACGTTTGACTTTCCTGAGCCATTAGGTCCGATGATTGACGTGAAGGCTTTGTGAAAAGGACCAATAACTTTTGTTCCAGCGTACGATTTAAAATTCTCGTTGACGATCTCTTTGATCATGAGTCGAGGGTCTCCCTCCGCGCCGACGCCGATTGCTGCTGGCTTTTCAGGGACAATGAGCTCGCTGCAGTCAACAAGCTCTTCGAGAGAGTACTGACGATCGAAGTTCTCATCGGGATCTGGAGCCATTTCTAAGAAAAGAAATTTTGAAATGGTTGGGTAAAAGATTTGTATTTTTGAAGTTACTGAATCACAATGTTCGTCAATGAAAATAATGATGAGGAAAATAGCTGATTGTCAGAGAATAGAGTTGAGTTCTTCTATCCGTAATCGACGGAGTATTTAATTTTGGCAGTAGCAAGAAAGAAAGAGTGGTATTTTACAGAATTCTAATCATTTTTGAGCGAATCTTTTACGATATCTGGCAGAACGGACAATTTTCTCGGTGGCTCGTCTCCAAGTGGGACGACGAAGTGTGTGAACTGCTCTGAGAGGGGGTACAAAAAGCGCATGGCATCCATGTTATTCTTAAGAATACAAGGTAAATTCAGATTCTAGAGAGGACTTCTTTGAATATGAAAGGTTGTGCGACTGGGCCTTATTGTCCAGAATTGCCTCTCTAGCGAGTAAAAAATCTTATTAATAAATTTTGGCTCTTGCAACGGGCAAGGCCAAAATTGAGTTTGACCAAGGCGAAAACTGAAACCGTTAGTTTCGCGCAGTGTAGGTGGGAAAATCGCGCGCCCTTTGGGCGCGCTTGTCGAGGGCTTCATCGGGGCCGATGACTAGTCACTTAGGCTAACAAATACCTGAATTAGTCGACGCACATATTCATTTTCATATGCTTCGCGGGAATCTTTCACAGAATCGATTGTAGTAAGAATCTTTCCCTAAATAATTTCTGAAGATTTTTTGATAACTGATTAAATCTACCATTTTTTCGAGCTGAAATGTCCATGATCGCATCGAATTTGCCAATTCTAGTGTCATTTCTCCAAGATCGCAGCCAGTTGGTTCCTCTTTGTCTTCGTATCCGTCGTTTTCTATGAGCGCTCGATCTTTTGGATCCATGTTTTTCACGCTTGATTCTTGTAAAAAAAATTGACGAAACACTCACATAACCAATTTTACCTATGCATGCATTGAAATTTTTCTGCAAAAGGATGCAATTTCGTAGAAGGGTTTTTGACGTCAAAGCGTTTCGCTTTCTTATTTCATTCATTTCAGCAGACGATCGCTGGCGTTTCAAACGATGTGGGAATTTGAGATCAAGTTTGAGCTCCGTCTCGCCATTCGTCAAAAAGTGAATTTCTTCCGCTCCATTATCCAGGACTTCATCATCTTTGATCAAAATCAAGTCCGAGGCTTTCTGCGGCCTGCCCCGTTTCTCAAGCTCTAAATGTCAAATTGACTGAAAGAGGGACAGGTAGGAACATACCGGCGAGAATATTTTGTTTGATGAAATCGACGTTGTCATCTCCGGCAATTTCAAACACAATCGGATCGAGATTCGAGCTAATGGTGACTTTTATTGACCTCTGATCAACAGGGATGCTCTCTTCGTTGTTTTCATGTTTACTCATTAAAACATCGCCGTTTTCGCTCATCCTAAACGATGCAAATTTGAGTTTGAAATAGAAAATGGAATCTGCGGACACATGTATTGAACGTGAAGAAATAAGAAGATAATTAGCAGGAAAGTGCATCAATGAAATAAAGTTCGAGTTTAAAGTAGGTAAGGATTTTTGTTTCAATTCGTTTTTGTTGTATCGGAGTAAATTCGCAGTTTAAACTGTCTTAAACAAGAAAGATATACATGTGTTTCAGTTCACCAAGCGTTGCTTTAGCGAGAAGAGCAGGCCTGTCCACCAATCATTCCTGAAAGAATATTGATTGGGAAAGTGTTTTCAGAAAGATGAGAACCTGTAACATTGGTGCTTTTTTATTAAATCTTCGATCGCATATTGAGTTTCCATTCGAATTTCATCAACTGTTTTTCCAATCGTTTCTTGTAATAAAAGAATTAATGAAACCGGCAGAAAATGATAGCTTAAACAGGTTTTTTTTAAGACTGCTCCTCAACTGTGGAGCGGTTTTGAGTATCTTAGAGTCCAGATATTTTAATTATCTCTTTTGCAACAAGTAGGGGAGGGTCCATAGTGTGTTAAATAAGCTTTTGGTGTCCTCATCTGAATCGGTGGTGGAGCAATGACGTCAGCATTCCGAAATTCTGGCTCTTTTATAGACGGCAACCAAAAATCGAAAAATGGTAAAAAGCGATAGACTTTTGTTCTAATCGAGCAGATGTCTTCCGCATATGGGTAAAAAGTATTTTTGATTATTTTTGGTGTTAGCACCAATGTTGGTGGTGGAGAAATGAGGTCATCGTCAATTTTTTCCTATGATTTAAGTGTATTTTTGACTATCTGGTTACTCCACCACCACTGATGGTGCTGACACCAAATCCTTATTTAACACACTACAGACCTTTTTGAACAAGGTCCAAAAGAGAGAATCAAAATATCTTGACTTTAAGGTACTCAAAACCGCTCCACAGTTGAGGAGCAGTCTTAAAAAAAACCTGTTTTACCGATTGGATCGCCGATGTAAGTCTTCAGCTTGACCGGAAAGCCGCCGAATAAAAGAGAAATAGGAAGTCTTGTGTACTCATAGAGCCTTCGCATTGTTGCACCTTTGAATCTGTCGGGGAAGTCGAACGCTTGGCGAACGTTTTCAGTAAACATGGGGACTATTGGTACTTGAGCTGCTGAAGCGCATTTGGCAAATCCATCACGTTTTCCCTTCAAAAGATTTTAGGAAAACTGCTTCAATTTCTGTTCATTACCCAAATTTGCTGGTAGTGTTTTGAATGGAGCGCTTCTCGAACGCCACCAGGAGACACAATGACGATTTCCCCATCGCTGAGGAGCTCTTCCAGACGGCTTCGAGGACCGTAAGTAGCTCCGAACGCGTCTAACAAGAGTCGAAAGCCTGGTAGCTTGAACATGAAGTGGTCAACGACGGGGCGAAGAGCGATGGAATGGTTGACATGCGACCAGGAGTTGAGGTAGTAAACGTCGATTGGTAATGCGCCGTGGTAGTAGACAATCAGCAGCCCCTGAGATAAAAATAAGTTGAGTAAAATAGAGTTTGACACTTAGGGGTTTTTTTACTCTCTAGGACTGCATGGAGCGAACTTCCCTAGTAAAACGATTACGGACGAAAATACCTTGTTTTGTTGCTGAAGCTTGATTATATTTTCAAAGCCGATGACTTCATAAGAATGCCAGAGGCGAGCGTGAACCGACCAGCAGTAACAAATGACATTGACGAACTTTCGAAGCGGGGTATCATCCCTTCGGACGACGTTGAGAAGCTGGCCCCGATGCCAGCGGTAAAGATGAAGAGCAAGAACGGATAAATAAATGTAGATGATAAACAATGCAGGAAGAATTATGTAGAGAATAAGGAAGGAGTTCATCACATAGTTGCGGATGTCGAGTATCTTTAGGCGCTCTATAAATCGGTAAATTTCGAGAGATTTCGGAAATGCCCATGTGGCGAAGAGGATGATTAATGCGATTTCTGTTTTATAAATCATCCGCTTAAAACTAAAACTAATTGGAAATCCAACGGTCTAGTGATCTTATTCTAGAAGTTACTTACCAGCACGGGCAAAGAGCCAGTCGAAGAATCCGGTAAATTTGTCGACCGACAAAACGGCGATGGTCGACACCCATGGCCAGAATTCGTAGAAAACTTCAGCGCATATCTTTCCGGACATACTGTTTCTTTTTCATATCAAATGGAACATCCCATTTCGACTTTCTCTAAAAACAGAAATTTGCTAAAACCGATGTTTTCGAAAGATTCAGACAAAAGTTGATGAACATAAAGGGCAGTTTCTGATATTGAAAAGGGGACTAGTCGAATGTTCTCTTTCTCGTATTGCCGCCGAACTTTTTCTTTTTAAAAGCCACAGGCTATAGAAAATGATTAAAATGGTAATCCTTATTCAATCCTACCTCAACTTTGCCTGTTTCATCGCCGACTGAGATGATTTCGGCCTGTTTCTCGCCCCCTACTTTGAATCTTTCGTCTTTATACGTAAAGCCTTTATATTTGTCCTCATCGTTAGCTTCTTGTTCGTAAAACGCATCTGCCTCTGGAGGAAGACCGAGACTTTCTGCAGTTTCTTGCTTTACTTCCTCATGGACCTCTTCAGTTTTCTTTGGAACCCAAGTACCGTAAGCTACGTCGTTGGATCGTTTACTGCCGGCTTTTGCATCATCAGCGCCCTATAATTTTAGTACATCTTTGTATTTATAATTCTGAAATATCCTTACCTTCCAAGAAAGCGTCTTCGCAAAAGCAGAATTACTCTTCAGCCCGGCTGTTGTCGAATTCGAGGTATTATTCGTTCCTGCGCTCGATTTGAACAGGCCCTTGCCGGATTTTTTGAAGGAAGGCTAAATTATTCATTCTTGAGAGGCTCATGAAAATGATGAAGAGTCAGTCAGACTGACAGTGACAGCGAATGACCAGTGAACTCACCTTGCTGATTTTGACATTTGATGCTCCTTCAGCAGCCGCGCTTTCGATAGATTTCTGCTTGCACTCCCACATCTAAGATTATTTTTAGTTTGAGGCTTTGTCGGACATTAACCCCTATAAGCGAAGCAGTCTAAAAACCCCCTTAGACGAAGTGTACAATTTTTGTTTATTTGGCCTTCTTCTTGAGATAATCTCCTGAAAATCACAGATTATACAAAAACGAACATTCTCTTTCAAACTGCACTTTTAAATTTCTAAAAAAACTATACTACGCACTAGAATTTGTTTTTCTTATATGATTAATTATGTTGAAATTATTAAAAATCTTCATCCAATCTTTTCAAAGATCCCAGATTCGAATTCTCCATACTTAAAAACCTGTAAATAAGTTAAAAGTAATAGCTCAGAGACGCCTAAAAGATAAATAGAATTTTTTGTTCCTTTGAAGCGCGCAGGTGGAGGTGAGAAAAACGGTGCTCACGCAGTACTCGTGGGTCTTATCAGGCTGAAACTTTTTAGGGAGGTGCGTAATGCGTGTGGAAATACTCATTTAAGTTTTCAGATCGTTCCGATTTACCAGTTCTGTTTGGCAGGCGATAATAACCCGAAATCGACAAAAATTGTACACTTCGTTTATAGGGGTTAATTTACCGGCGGCGGTTTCCATCTAGTTTCTCTGGTCTTCGAGTTCCAGTAGTAAATATTCCCACTAGAATCTTTCGCTTCATGCCAATCCTTGGCCTCTTCTTTTTGTTTCTCTTTTTCTCTCTCAGCTTCGAGTTGTTTTTCTTCATCGCGTCTTTGCCGTTTCAGACTTTTTGCAGTGACCCCTGCTTCTCGCAGATCTCGTTTATACGCCTCCTAGAAAGGTGATTTAATTTACTACAGAAATTCTGTAACAGAATTTCAATATCCTCTTACTCTAGCAGCTCTGTCAGCTTCAGCCAAATAGCACTCGATTTTGTCCTGCTCCTTGGCATTGAATTCGGAGATCTTTCTGATGGACGCTAGCGCCTTGGTCTTGAGCTCCTGATGCTTCGATCCCCTGCAGGAAAAGGGAATAAAAAGTTAAAGATAACAGATTACCTCTCATGAGTTTCCTTCTCTACTTTATTGTCCGCATACCAGCATTTACAAAACTCACAATAGACTCGCCCCTGCGAGACCCAGAATTCCGACATCTGAAAAAAATAAACATCATTTTTTCAAGTCTTATGACCAGAAAAACAGTCGAAGAACGAATTTTTAGAGGAAAATGAGCTGGACCTTAGAGCGACGACTCTGATTGGCTGAAAAAAGAGGCGCTCAATTTAAAATGAAGTCCAGCGCGCGAGAAAATTTTTAATTTTTGAAGCAGGAAAATGAGTTTATTTCAGTATTTCATAAAGGAACAGAAAAAGGCCGGAGGTACAGTAAAGGTGACTAAAAGAACTTTCCGGTATTGGGAGGAACGATTTTCGGCTTAGTAAGGTTTCGGAAATACGGGAACTTGTTCGTTTTGTCCGTTGATTCATTCAGGAGGGTCTGGAACTTTTGAGCTTCACGCTGGTAATCTCTGAATAAATTGGATTATTGAAATTTTCTTGAGCTTTTTTTTGTCAATTACCGATTCTGGGCAGCAGATCTGGTCCTCTGAAGAAGCTGCTGTGAAATTCCAAAATTTTGTTTCAAAGTTTTTTGCACAAACATTTTTTCAAGAATTCTCTTTTTTTGGCGACAGGAAATTGGCTTTTTGGTAACTGAAAAATGGACACGAAGAATTTATCAGCGGATCTCAAGATCGTGCAGTAACAACTGATTGTTACGTAAGAAGCAGCTGATGACGATCTTTCTTCTCGACCAGGGGTGGATATTTTGATATCAAACCAGTTTTTCAAAACTGTCGAATCATTTATTTCATCGTTTCAAAATTTGAAATTTCAATTGAAATTGCAGGAAAAAGCCGATGCAATGACTGAAATCTATTGAAAATGAAAAAAAAGCGTTTTCAAAAGATAAAGCTTCGTGCGGAGTTTTGAAATGAATTTGAAACTGCAATAATTGACATTTCAATCAGTTTTTCTTGTTTAGCGACTTGAAAGGAATTTGAAAAATGAAATTGAAAAAATGAATCGTTGCAAATTTGAAGAAGGCGCAAAAGGAAAAACTCAGCGCGCCTGCCATCCCTTTTTGACTCCCGCATTTCCAAAAATCCCGTATTTTTAAAATCCTAAATTTATGAAAATCCCGTACTTCTCAAATTGGCGATCGGAAATCGCCAATTTAGGATTCTGCCGATTCAGGATGATGGGAAATGCGAGATTTTTTTCTTTTGAGTTAGTTGCTTTACCAAATTTTCATTGATTGATCATATAACTTTATTTTCTTGGCTTCTCCACAGCCAATCCCGGCTTCACCAACTTTCATCCCGGCTTCAATAACTTCGATCCTCGCTATACATACGTGAATACTGGTGGCTCAAGCAACAATTCGAGCGTCACTTTCTTCAATCCTAGCTTCTCAGATGCCAGTCCCGGCTTCTCAGTTCTCTATAATTGCTTCTTGAATGTAGATCATGGCTTCTCCAAGATTAGATTGACGTTGGTAAAACCTAGATTGAAACTAATGAAGCCTGGATTGACGTCGAAGAACCTGGGATTGAAATTAGAGAAGCTATGATTGAACTCGATGAAGCTAGGATTGAAGAAATTAGGGTTCCAATTTTCGTCGAAAGAATGTTGAGCTGAGCGAACGGCTGAGCGGTCGACCGCTTAAAATTTTTGAGCGGAGCGAGCGGTTGAGCTTTTGACAAAAACAGCCGTGAGCTGAACGAGCAGACTTTGAGCAAAAAGACTGTAAGCAGTGTATTTTTTCCCTCAAAAAATACTTTTTCAGTTTTTATTTTGAGTATCGACTAGTGTCGGACATAAATTTCCCAAATGCGGCTGAAGAGTGTAAAGAATCTGTAAGAAGTGTTTTGACCAATTATTTCTAATAATTTCTTTTATTATTTTCTTCATTTACTCACCAAAAACACTAAAGAAAGTATTGACTTACCGCTCAACCGCTCACTGATCTCAAGTTGAGCGAGCGGCTGAGCGGTCTTAAGAAATGACGGTAGTGCTGAGCGAGCTGACGGGCCGCTCATTCCTTAACCTTTCGACGACAAACGAGAATTTCCCGCACCGACGACAATGTGTCATATGACACATCTCCTTTACTGGCCTCTAGAGGCGATTATAGAAACCAAAATTAGACTCTGGAGTCTGGAACAAAACTCAAGCCTCAACTTTAACCCGAACTCGAACCGAAATCCCCCAAAAATGTATAATTTTGCCGGCGGAAGATATCTTACCGACGACAATGTGTCGTATATGAAACATAGCCTCTACCGCCTTCTAGAGGCCATTTTATAGGCCGAACTCCGTGCGCACCAATTTTCAAAATCTGCGTGCGAGGCAAACACGCGCACGCGTGCGCACGGACGCACGCGTGTTTTGGAACTCTGCTCAGAAGTCGCCTACCTGTTATTTTCTAAATCCAGGTTACAGAATTCGACGACCTGAGACTGGTAAACCCTGGGTTTACCTTTAAGGTTAGACATTTTGAGAACCTTGGTTTGTAAACCCAGGTGACCGCATACCACCGAATTTTCGGTCTTTCTCGATTGGTCTCCGTTTGCCCAGGTCGCTGTTTCCCCAAGTTGGGCAAACGGAGATCAGCTCAACTCAGTGATTTTTGAAAATGCTCAGCTCAGCTCTGTAGAGCTCTTTATCGATAAGCTTTCTCCTGGTTATTCTTTAACACTCTCGGTTAGGGTTAGGGTTTGGAAATCGGCGTATTTTGAGAATTACTGCATGCATCTCCTGAGGTGCATGGCTAGAATGATGGATGCACCTCCTGGCGGGTAAGGATAAAATGTCGATTTGGGGGTAAGGTTAAAACACAGTAAAAACAGCTCAGCTCAGCTCTAATTAGGGTCCGCTCAGCTCAGGTCAGCTAAAATACCTTAAAAAAATCTGCCCAGCTCAGCTCAATGACCTCTGAAAAAGGCCAGCTCATCTCCGCTCAGCTCAGAGAACTTTATACTCGGGTCAGCTTAGCTCAGCTCAGCAAAAATATAGCAAAATTTGCAACTCTGCAGATAAGGGCCTTATCTTTTTAAAAAGCAGTAGCTGAGCTTAGATAGCGGAGCTGAGAGGAAAGTTTAGCTAAGCGTAGCGGAGCTGGCGAAAATTTATTTGGCCGTAGCGGAGCTGGTCAGAATTTTCTTCACTGTAGCTGAACAAAAACCTTTTTTTCCGTAGCGGAGCCGTCAGCTCCGCTATCTCCGCTACGCAAATTTCCAACTGTGGCCCTACATGTCCCAGTGTGTAGCTCAGTCTATGACGGTAATTTTGAGCGCAAGAATTCCTTGTCCCGGAAGGTCTAGGAGGTGGTACAAAGTTCGGGAAGTCGACCAAAAATTGGTACTTTTGAAGAAAATTTTCCTTTTTTCTATCATTTATGAGTCTAACTTCACTTTTTATACCTCTTCAACGCATTGTGTCCTCCAGTGTCCTCCAAGGCTAAGCAATTTGAAATTGATTTGAAAAATGAAAATAGATTGAAAAATCTGTCAAGATTTGAAAACCTTTCGCAAAATGCAAAATGAAACAGTTGAAAATTTCAAAAAAGGCTCGGCGTCATTATCATTTGAAATGAATTTGCAATTGCGAAAATGAGTTGAAAAAAGGATTATCTTTTGAAATTTCAAATCAAAAACGGTTGAAATAATGATTTGATATCAAAATATCCACCCCTGTTCTCGACCATCTTTTTTTTTCTCCTGACGATAAGTTAGAGAAAGTACTGTTATTCATCTTTCTGACGGGAGTTTTATGGAAATCTTTGATTTTTCAGAAGAATTGTTCTTTTCTCTCGATGACTCATGAAAGCCATTAAATTCTGCTGAGTGTCTCCTTTATTATTTTCTCTGGAAAGTTTCATAATTTTTCACGTCTTTTCTATTTACGAATTTTTCGAAAAAGGGCATTTTCGGCGCCAGTTTAATTTTTCGCCTCTGGTCTCATTGGCCGCGCCACTCCTCTTTTTTCATTTCAAAAAAGAGCAATTTTTGAAAAACGCGACTTTTACTGTATTCACTGGAGAGGAAACTGGAGGATTCTTTTGCTTTAGAATGGGTGTGAAAACTTGCTACAACAAGGCTTGCTCCAACCAAGGGAAATTTAACGAAGAAGAAAATGGACCTGAAGCTTGTAGATTTCACGCGGGAGGGCCTGTTTTTCACGATGCTTACAAGGTGCTTTTATTTCTTTATATAGAAAATGATACTATATATTTCTTTTTATATAAAGGCTCGATTGTCAAGGCGATTATATGGCGTGCTTTCTTTGCTCTTTCGAATCGAGTTAAAATCGATTGGAAACACAAAAAACTGACAAAATTGTGATTTTCTTTGAACAATTTTGAAGGGCTGGAGCTGTTGTAAGAAACGCGTGACGGATTTTGGCGAGTTCTTGGCGATTCCAGGCTGTACCGCTGGCCCCCATAATCCCGAAAAGAGCGAGGCGGCACCTGTAAAGCCAGACGTAAAAAACACCGGCGCCAAAGAAAAACCCGCTTTTTCGAAAGGTTTTCACAGTAATTTTATGATCATTTTTGACAATGAGCTTCAGAAAGAGACCCGAAAAACTATGGAAAAGAAACGTATGTTTCCGCGCCGCCAAGTCGAGAAAAATTGGCAGCTCAAGAAGAAACGAATGATTCAGAAGAGGTTGAGCAGAAATGCTCCCTGAAGGCGAAGATTTTGAGCTCGCTGAAGACGGAGCTGGCGAAAATGGAATTGGCGGAGAAGAATAGGGCCGATTTGACGAAAACTGTTCAAGGTAAAGTGGCAAAAATCGAAAAGCCGCTTGCGGCTTCGAGAAACGAAACATGGAGCCGCAAGCGGCTTCTTCATTTGAAGAATTTTCTTTTCCAATAAACATTATTTAGTCGGCTGGCCTTGTAGCCGCTCAGGCTGTTCCGAAACTTACAAAGGCGAAGCTAGCAACGCCAACTGCTGTCATTACCATCCTGGCGTGCCGATCTTCCACGAAGGCATGAAATTCTGGTCCTGTTGTGAGCGAAAAACATCCGACTTTACCGCCTTCCTCAATCAAGCCGGATGCGAGAAAACAGACAAGTAAATACGAATAATTACGAATAGTTTCGTGAATAATGGGTTGGCTCAATTTCCTCTTTGCTTCGTGGGTTGAGCAAATACATATTTTTAGTCACGATTGGGTGCACCCGGACGAAGCAGCGCTCAAATCGAAGGAAAACGCGAGATATGATTACCACCAAACACCGACTAATATCACCCTCAATGTTTACTGCAAAGGTTTGATAATGAAACGATGTTGATTTTAAGAGGATTGATCATTTTTAGGAGTTATTCCGAAAGAAACTACAGTTCATGTGTCAAACAAACGAATCGACATTGATGTAAGGATTCCTACGGAAAGAGTTAATTATTCAATGAATTTTAGTTTTGCTTTGGAATCAGAAAGACAAAAATGTCCGTGGCGGTTTCCGAACTTTGGGGAAAAGTAGTAGCAACGAGCTCGAAACTCAACATTGGCAGCACGAAGCTGGAGCTAATTATGAAGAAGAAAACGAGTGGAACATGGAAGAAGTTGCACGCCGAGGAGATAGGCGCCACCGTGTTTTTCGGAATGAGAGATAAGAAGCCGGACATTTGGGTTAGCCCCTTTTTGTTCGAGAAAGACTTTCAATTATTTTTCAGCCAGAAAATGTCGTCGATGATAACGGAGAATCAGCCCCTGCCAAAGCCGACCTGAAAGCAGCTCTTCCAAAAGTAGAAACAAAAGCGTCCCCACATGTTATTTCAAAGCCCATCGAAGAAGACTTGGACGTTGACGATTTGATCGAAAGTGAATGGAGCTAGAATTTTTCACTCTTTAGTCAATTTTTTGAATTAACTTATAACCAAAATATCTTCAACTATCATTTTTTTCCTGAGAATTTTACTTGTAGCTTCTACAAATTAAAATTTGTTTCAATTAATGTCTTTTAGAATGTCTTATTACGACCACCCAAAGCATCAAATTTTTGTCGGGAATTTACCAGATGAAGCATCAATGGAAGATGTGGAGGACAGAGTTCCAAAACACGCGTGCGTCCGTGCGCACGCGTGCGCGTGTTTGCGTGCGTGCGCACGCGCACGCACTCGCACGCAGATTTTGAAAATCGGTGCGCACGCGCACGCACGCGCACGCGCACGCACGCGCACGCGAAGATTGAGATTTCGCACGCGTGCGTGATCGTGCGCGTGCTCGTAATCCTAGAAAATTTGGCGTTTTAAGGTCATTTATGCCGAAAATATTTCTAGAATCAATTTAAATGCATAAAATTCTCGGTTTTCCTATGTTTCAAAACAATTTTGACTTGGTTTTAGCAATAATTGTTCTAGAATTGTCGATTGAAAAAAATTAGAGATGCAAAAAAGTGCTAAAAATTTGGCAATTTTATCCCTTTTTGCGCACGCGCACGATCACGCACGCGTGCGCACGCGTGTGCACGCGTGTTCGAAAGTCGTCTCCGCACGCGCACGCACGCGCACGCGAAATTCTTAATTTCTTCGCACGCGCACGCACGCGCACGCGAGAATTTTGCGTTTTTTGGAACTCTGGTGGAGGATCTTTTCAAGCCGTTCGGAAATGTCAAGAGCATCAACCTCAAGCCCGGCTTTGGTACTTTTGCTCATCAAAAATGTTGTTTTGACAATTTCAGGTTTTGTGACGTTTGATGAAGAGGAAGATGCAGAAAGAGCACTTGATTCGCTAGAAAGAAACGCAAAATTGTGCGGCTATCGCGTTGATATAAAGCCTGCAAGAGGTAAGACGGTTTATTTGTATTTGCATCAATTAAAAAGCCCTTGCTTTTATATTTTTATACAATGATTATAAAAGAAACTTTAAGAAGATACTAAAGATGTAGAGAGAAACTTCGAGAGAAATATCTCTCCCCAAAGAAGGGATACTCCTCAAAAAAGGGAAACTCCCCAAAGAAGGGGCACTTCCCCAAGAAGGGACACTCCTCAAAGACGGAACTCTCCCCCGGTTAGACGGAATACTCCCCAAAGATGGACTTCCCCCGATAGAAGGAACATTCTTGATAGGCTACAAAACTCTCCAAATAGAAGGAATACCCCTGATAGACGGAATTCTCCTCGTTTTCCTCGAAGGGTTTCTCCAAATAGCAGGGGCTCGCCAGATAGACGGGTTTTCCTCCCGAATAGGCGTGGCTCATTCCCGAATAAGAGGGGGCTTCCTGATAGAAGGACTGTTCCTGATAGACGGGGAAATAATCCAGAAAAACGGGATTCCGTTGTTCCAAGAGTTCCATCTGGTAAGGCTGTTGGTTTCAAAATCTTATATAATCTTGGTGAATTTTATTAAATGGTGATCTGGAGAAAACTTTCTAGTCAAGAAAACAACATCTTCAATAACATTATTTTAGTCAGAGGTGACCGAGGCAGATCTGGTGGTCCAGTAATCAGAGATATGCGAAGAAGAGTAAGTTTTCATAAATTTCTTACTTTTGAAAATTCGTCTTTTTAGCGAAGCCGAAGCAGAAGCCGCACAAGAAGTCGAAGCCGAAGTCGCGGTCGAACTCGGGGCTACAACAGAGGTCACAGCAGGGGACACAGCCGAGGCAGAAGCCGCAGCCGTGGACGAAGCCGTAGTAGAACTCGAAGTCCTGTGTATCGACGAACGCCAAAGATTCTGACAGATTACTGCTTGAAAGTTACGAATTTGACGACACGCGCGAGCTGGCAAGACTTGAAGGATTTTATCAGAAAAGAAACTGATGTCGAAACGGCTTTTTGTGAAGCGCATCGAGTGAAAGTCAGAGAGGGACTAGGTAAATAGCCTTTTTGTAACTTCCTCAGTTTCAATCATTTTTACAGTTGCTTTACGAACAAAGAACGATATGAAGCTCGTCTTGAAATACTGCGATAACCAGCTTATAAATGGAAAAGAAGTTTTCTTCCACGAAATGATAGTTGATCATCGATCCATCAGTCGCTCGCCGGTCAGAAATCGTCGAAGGAATGCGTTTCAGAGTTTATAATTCGCTCGGTTATTCTACTCCATATTATGAAACGTTCAAAGAAGTTAACCTATTCCGTTCGACATTCTCTCTTCTCATCCATCTTCAATTATCCACTTGCCAGTATACATTCTTCTTAGTTAGTAGATTCAAAAGTAACCTGACGATGCTCACAATCGACAACACCGAAGCCGCCAAGATATCGCCTAATCTCAGCTTGACTGCTTTACTGCTTCCTCCTTCCTCTGCTAGAAACCTACGGAAAACCTTGCTGATCAAGGGCTTCATTGATAATTCTGCTTTACCGGGACCTGCCTAAACGGATTGCCCCTTCATTGATTTGACGATAGGATTCACCATCCATCGGGCGCGGGACCAGGAGTTTTCTTTATGCTTATTTGCCCTAGGCTCTTCTGCATCTTTGCTTTTCTACTACTAGAAACTTGACAATCAGGTGAAAACATCTCCAGTCCAATTTATCCTCAGTTCTCCAGAGTGCGGTGTTATTTTTCCGTTCCCGATACTATTAATTAAAACAAAATGTTTCGTTTTTCTGTGATTCAAATCAAAATCATCAATGTTGATTTCACTGTTCTAGGATTGAAAACCTGTGAAAATGGACCGTGAGGAGGCTCAGATCTACATTGGCTATTTGCCTAATCATGCACGAATGAGCGATGTTGAAGAGTTCTTCAAGGGCTTTGGACACATCAAATCGATCAATCTCAAACCTGGGTATGGTTTTGTCGTGTTTGAAGATAGAAGGGACGCTGAAGAAGCTGTCAGGGTATGAATATTTAGTTCTAGTCCTTGTTGATTTCACTGATTCAAGGATCTTGATGGAAGACGAATGTGTGGAGAAAAAGTTGACGTAGAGATGGCTAAGGGGCCGGGGAATAAGGCGAAGAAAGACTCTTACCGCGGCGGAGATCGTCCTATCGTTAGGGATACCCGTCGAATGCGAGGAAGATCTCGCTCTAGAGACCGATTCGTAAGCATCTCCCTCTAAAAATTCTGAAAATCTAACGACTCTATCACTAGTCAACGCGAAAGAAGGAGCCGTACAGGGACGATCCTTGCATTGAAATTACAAATCTTTCGACACGTTGCAGGTTTTCTTTCTTTTACGACTCCGCGGTTTTTCTAATCTGGATTTAAGCTGGCAGGATTTGAAGGATTTCATTCGCGACAATGCGAGGGTAGAGCCGGATTTTTGCGACGCGCACAAGTTCGAAGATCGACTAGCTACTGGTAAAACAATTTGTCATGTTTTATGATGTTGATCGTGCTGATTAAGTTTCGTTCCGGAGCAGCAGCGACATGAAGAAGGTGGTCTCGAGGATGGATGGTTTTGAAATTCATGGCAGGAAAATCAACGTCAGGGTAATGAAAGCCTTGAAGTAACAAGCGCTTTATTTTCTCCTATTAGGTCAAGTGGGATCCTGAATCTGGAAAAAGAAGTGTTTCGAGAAGCCGATCTAGATCAAGAAGCCGATCGAGATCACGTTCAAGAGGACGACGATCGCGAAGCCGCGGACGAGACGATATTCCACGACGCTCTCCTCCCCGTCGATCTCCTTCTCGATCCCCAGCGCGTTCTCCAAAGAAAGAACAAAATGGCGATGACGAGAAAGCGCGCTCGAGATCTCGATCCAGATCTAAATCCAAATAAAGTTTTACTAACAAATGTAAGCACTGAAAATCGTTCGAGAGAGAGACTAACCAACATTTTAAGGAAAGAAGCAATACGATCTTTGATGAAAACACTGCGTTCTCAACTATTTTCCTGTCACAACTTCTGATCTGACCTACTTGTTGTTGATTAAATCATGGCGAAAGCAGAAGAATTGATAGTTTTGTGGCTTTTTTATTTGTTAACAGATTCATGAATGACACCAAACTCGTTATTCTCCCTTTTGATATGTGATTGTGATCCGAAAACTCTATTTCTGTATGATTGACTTGAGCGGGGAAAGCGGATAACAGCGTAGAAAAAGTCGCCAACAAGTAGAACGATTGAAAATACTTGAATCGAGACAATGTAGCGCATGAAAAGCGTCTTTTGATTGCTTTTGTCGAGAAAGCAGCGGACGTTTGGGTCCTGAACTGGCATTAAAAAGTGACGGGGGGATTTATGATTGTACCGTGCAAGAGTTACGATTCAGGTCAGCGCCGATCGTACAAGTGTAGTCTCGAGGAATCATCCATGATTCCCAAAAATGCTCTTTCTTATTTTGCCAAACGTTGAGGCTGTAGACCGCGTAGAGCGATCCAAATTCCATGCCAATAAGAACTATGCATAGACACATGTACAGTCGCCCCATATTCGGGTGCCACGTGACTTGTTTCTTATTTTCCTCTTCTACGTCTTTCATTATGTGATATCTGTTTTCTTAAATGATGATTATTTCTTGAATCGGTAAAGAAATTACCAAGTTGTGAATATTTAACGATTTTGCGAAGATTTCTTGTATATTCGGCAGAGTTTTCGGGGAGATTCTCTGATTCCTTGCTTAGGGTGTGATATTTCGAGTTGTAGAATGAAGCAACAAAGTAAAAGAGTGCCATCGGGAGGGAGAAAAATAAAACTTGAAAGTGCCACAGCCTCGTGTGGTCCATGAAGATAAATCTGTTGTAGCACTGCTGAGTACAGGCCTTGACATCGGTGAGGCAGTTGAATCCTTCATCACCTTCGTCGCTAATGTTGCTTTTGAAAATATTCTCTCCGATGATTTCAACGGCAAGGAAACGGAACACAAACAGTGTTACGAGCCTAATAATCGTCAAATTAGAATAGTTCTTGTTGACTTCTTCTTACCAAAAATCTCTAAAGGGCGTATTGTAGACAGAAAAGCTTTCTATGATAAACTTTTCGAAAAACTCTGTTAAATTCATTGTCGTTAAATTAAATTTGTCGCCAAGTCTCGGACTGATGCCAATGTGATCCTGGTTCTTTACTACCGAAGCGTATTTAATACTACGATTCTTTTTACTTTCTCGTAACAACTAAAGTAGCAGAGCGTATAATTCAAGTTTGGTCGTTTTTAAATGACTCGAGTAGGACATTTTTATGATGATTTTCATTGCTTCGAATAAGGACATAGTTTTTATTGTCAATAAAGCAGAGGCTGAATCAAAATTTATTCTATTTAATAAAGAATTTGAACTTTCATGTCTTTGTCTGAAGGAAAAGTGGTATTTCTCGAAGTGTGGAGGCATGCCAAAACAGTTTACCGAAGAAATTATGTGGGATTTTGTGCACGAGAGATTTTGATGAAATTGTCCAATTTACTATTTTTAGCTCAATAAAATGATTGCTTATTATTTTTCTTGAACAGGCAAATGGATGCTTTTGCCAGACCACTGTTTCATCAAATTTCTCCACCAGATTTGATTTGAATTGATAAAACTATTCGAGATGGCCTCACCTCAAGCATTAAATTTATAAGAATGAATCGATTGCAAGAACGAAAGCTTCGAACTGAGCCAGCGCAGTCAACCTTCCAGAAGCTTGAGAGTTCCCATTGCCTCCCAGCTGGAATCAAAATTCACGACCTCCTCTCCGGAAAATACAAGCCTAAGAGCGACAAAAAACTCATCCACTTCAAGGACGCATCTCGTGAGCAACGAGAGCCGTTTCACGCGAAAAATCTCCCGCAACGATGCCTCCAAAACTACCATTCCATGGCCCATCCAGCAGGAATGGTTCTCAATGAGTTCGCGCAGCTTCGAAATTTCACAATCAAGGTACATTTAATCTTCAGTTTCTCGTATAAAATCGAATTCCAGCATGAAGCTTTCAAGCCAAAAATCAGCAACTTTGGCCACCGAATCGTCATCAAAGGCATGGTCTTCGCCGAGGCCGAAGGTAAACTCAGATTCAAATCTTATACCAACCCTTTTTTCAAGCATTGAACAAAGCAGATGCGAAGCGAATCGCGTATGACATGACCGCCAAGATCATTTTTGGACCACCTCGCCCAGATGCCTACTAAACAAACTCTCTAGTCGAGCGTCTCGACAAGTGCCTTATAGATAGAATTGATAATTTTTTTCTGCACTCTTTTTCCAACTGCCTTTTATTCGCTTAATACTGCTAGAAAACCTAAATTGTTTAGGCTATTTTTGAAAGATCATGTCTGAGACTCGGACAACGACCCAATTCACTGATTTCTAGAGCATAGAAAATCTATCTCAGTCAATAAGTCCAGCTTTCAATAAAAGAGAAATATTCAGAATTTGAAAACCGTTTTCAAAAATGGATGACGAGTCGGAATCGGAAGAAACTCCCGGTCCATCCGGGAGTCAAGGAAACCAGTCTCCAAAGATTTCAGGGACGAACAAACGCACATTTTTTGCAGAAATTACCAGGGACAGCGACCTGTTCCACGATTTTATATTAGTCATGGATTCAATCCGTACCGGCACGCCGTACACCAGAGATCAACTGAAGACAGCCGATCGCGTTGGCTACTACACTACTCGGTCGAATAAAAACCAAGATCCGGATCTTCCAGAGACACTGAACATGTACGAAAAAACGCGCTCTTCGAATAAACCTCTCTTCGACAAACCGGCAAATGTTCTCAAATTCAACGAGGCAGAATTGCCTTCTGACGACGAAGAGGACGAAGAATTCCAGCCGCCATCTGAAGAGGCAGAGGAGGACGATGAAGAAGAAGAACAAGAGACGATCACTTCCAATAAGCTTTCTGATGACGAAGAGACAGAGTCCGTTACGCTCTCCCACCAAGACGAGAATTCCCGCTTCTCAGAAAAGTCCGCCAGCTCAACCATCGCGAAGAAAACTCGTTCCCAAATCCGCTTGCCTGATAATTTCGACGATCTTTTAAACGGAACGCAATTTTTCGACGATGAGCCTGTTCAACAACCATCGACGAGCTATCTAGATATGCAAGACGATACGACTGAATATGACAGCGAATACATGCAGTTTCTCAATGAAACGTTTCAAACAAAACCCGAAGAGCTCAAAAACATGAACCACGATGATGAGAGAGATGTTGATTACAACCCTGTTCCGGAGATGTTTCAGTCGAAAAAGACGATGGATGAGGAGGAAGGAAATGAGAAGAAAGGAAATTATAGAATTTCGAAGAAGGAATGTCGAGACCTTCAGGACGATAATTTGAATGATCTTTTCGAGCAGTTCACTCCGAAAATCAACCTAGAGGAAGATCTCAGAAGGCGGAATCAAAGTGAGTCCTGCGATGCACCAGTTGGAGAGGCTGAAAATCAGGAAAATGTAGCGACTGAAGAGTTCATTTTCTACCAAGAAGTGGAGGAATATGGAATGACTCCTCAGCAACATGAAACGCTTCAGACTCAGCTTCATCAGCACATTCAACTCCTAGGCCAGAGCATGCTTCTAATGCGCGGCGATGAGAGCCTCGTTGAGAAAATACAATACAAGCATGGATTCCTTTCTCAGGCGGATTACAATCTTTGCGAAATTATTGAAACAACGAACCCAAGCCGTGCGCCCGATTTGCAGCTAGTTTACAATCATGCCTTCCCGATGAGAGAACATGTTTGGGCAACAAAAGATGAAAACTTCGTTTCGAAAAAGAGGCGTTATGACGAGCGAGTGCGATGGATTACTCCACTTAGCGCTAAAAAGATGATCGAATGCTACCTGTTTCCGTTCATAGAAATGCTTCCGCGAATCGATAAGATCTACACCCAGCAAAACATCAAATCAACCACCTTGGGCATGAATATTTGGGGAAGAAACTTGGCAACATCTCCGGGAGAAGAAAACTTGTTCGTCTTTTATTGGAACTTCTACATCAGCTATTCTGAAATCAAAAACTGCACAGAGTTTATCGACTGGCTCAGGAAGCATACGATTTTCAAACACTTCACCGACTCTTTCTTGAAAAAGCTCTACAAGGCGCTCCGAAAGAGAAATCCAATGAAGGTACCATCAGAGCTGAGAAACACAACTTCCAGTAATACGGTAGTCGAGCTCTTCCGGGATACCGGAGAACTGCCACGAAAGAGCATCACGATCAAACCGATTGTTTATGACAATTTCAAGAGCGCTCGTTGGCTGATAAAGAACTTCGTTGTTCCAGAAGATGATATCAACTATCCAGTAGAACTTTTACGAATAATCGAAGAATCGGAGAAAATGTATAGGCAGCCTGTTTATCAAAATCCTCGTTTTGTTCAACAAAATGTTGTTATGCGAGCTCCGCGTATGCAGACACGATTTGAATTACCATGGCGAGAATTTGTAGCTCAAAATCGTTCTTTTTGCCCGATTTTGCCACCTTCAGTTCTGCGGCCGTATTCTTTCCCACAAACTGCTCCACCTTCTTCTTTCCCATCAGCTCAGCTACCAACTTCATGCCAACCAGAAGTTATCGATCTTGTCGCTGATCATTCTCCAGTGGTTCCTCCAATCTCTCAAAATATTGCTGAAGTGGAGCTTTCGCCTGTTATTGACCCTGTTCCACTCTCGGTTCCAGACACAGTTCCAACGCAAGAATTACTGTCAGATGCAGTACCTGCTGTAAAAAGTGCACCTCTTTCCATCGAAGCTCCAGCGCCAAATACACCTAAATTTGACGGTGGCATTTTACTGACACCTGAGCAACTAAAGAGAGCTATCAAAAAAGTGTCGCCAAAGAAAATCGTCAACAGAACTCCAATTAATCAAAATCAAGACGAGCCGCTGGATTTAAGCATGAAGACTGACCCAAAAGTGGCTCAGAGTGCTCCATTAGACTTCTCAAGAACGATGCCTTCACAGGAACCGAAACAGCAAGGTAAAAAAAAACCAAGGAAACGAGCTCTGATCACAACATTAGCGACAAGGCCGTTTTCGCCCTTACCAGAAGAGGGACAGCCTGAGAAACTATTGTCTGATGGTACGCCTGCCAAGAAGATACTCTTCCCAAAGTCTCCTGCGAAATCATCTATCAAAGATCCCTCATCTAGTAAGAATACCCAAAGATCTGTGAAAATCGGCAGCGTTACCGAGCATCTACTTGAGGAGCTTGATCCACCTTCGTTTTCCCCTGCGAAGAATCTGATGGATGCAATCGAGAAAAGCGGAATCCCGACATTTTCACAGCCGTCCAAGAAGAGCTGCCTGCGCCAGGAAACCACCCCCGATGTGCCGATTCGGCAGATGGTTCCATCGAAAATTATTCCTCCAACTCAGGTCAAGAAAGTTGAGACTCCAGTAACACCGGAAAATGGGCCAACAATCAGGTCCATTATGAAACTGAATGTGGAAGAGGATGACAAGCATCAAACTTCGGAAGTAAAACCACGACAATGCTTCTCGAGATGTCCTGCTGTTCAGTGTGATTTGAGACATATCTCACCTTCACCAAGTAGAGAAAAAATCGTCTTGACTCACCAACCAGCAACCAACCCGACCGGTGAACTTCGTAGGAATCGTCAACAACTGCCACCGAATAAACGGATTCCTCTCACAACAATTACACTGGCAAACGATAATCCTTCCAAAAAGATTCCAACTGGAACTCCTTTAATTCCACTAAACCATCGCCAATTCAATGTCAAAGAATCCACCATCCATATGAATAGAATAAGACAAAGAAAATTATCAGCTGAAATTCAACAAAAGCCTCTTTCACCTGAACTTGAAGGAGACAAGCTTATTCTACTTGCACAAGAAAAAATAAGACAGAATTCGATAGCGCGGATTCGAAACCAAAATCCACCAGCCGACGCCACAACCTACTATCAAAGTATTCTCGATACAACTCAAAATTTACAACCATCCATTCATCCTCCTCTTCGAGCTGAAAGACAATCACCGTTCGAAGAGGAAAAAAGAATAAAATCGATGATTGGAGTGACAAACAGGAACCAAAATATTTCTTCAAATCCTTCAACTTATTCAAAAACAAAGGATGCAGAAGAGACAACTAAAGCGACAGTAAAGCAATATTGGAATCCCCTCAAATCGAGACATGAGACTGAAGCTATCGAAGTCCCATTTGATCCTTCTGATCCTCCCCGTTACAAAGAAAAATCAGCTGTGAACAAAATGAAGAAAGTAAACCATGACCAAAGAAGAAAAGACCAGAGTCATCAATTTCACGAAACTCTAGTCGAGGAAGAAAATCTAGCCGCTGCTTGGGGAAACGCACTCGGAAAAAGAAGAAAAAAGCTCGCGGAGAAACCGATTCAAGAAAAGAAAACTGAGCCAGTGAAGCAACCCGTCAAACAGCCGGACGTTTCTACGGTTGATACATGCAAAACAAAAAGCCTGCCAGTTGAAGAACCAACAGCCGATAATTGTGATTCTGCTGAAGAAATATCCCAAGATAGCTTGTCCCCTGAAAGACTAAAACGCTCAACATCTTCTGTAGTCCGAACTGCCAACAAACGAAAACTTGCCGCTCCGAACTGGAGTCCTATCAAAGCTCAAAAGACTGCACGAAATGAACCCGAAACCCCTGCGCAAAATCAGCCTACCCAAAAGGTAATTAATTTCCGGAAGCCATTTATTATATTTAGACTCAGCATCCTATCGCTCCACCAGAAGTCCATCAGTTCCATCCTCAAGCCAGAGAGTGCCATATCACGAAACTGCTAAAAGAAACCGTGATAAACAATATCCAAGCAGACGTTGCTTTTATAAAGTCCCCTAGCATAAAATATGAAGGCAGGAAGTCTTTTATGAGTCTGCCTCACAACAAGATCTTGGACCAGCTTTCTAAAATATCACCGGTGAGTTCTTAGTTGAATTGTTGGTTTTCAAATCAACTTTCTTAGAATAACCGTGCACTCTTCGACTCATTACCACGAGAAGGGGACAAAGAAAAATTTTGCAAAGCCTTGCGAGAGCTTATTCTTCCTGGAAGACGCTCAATTATCCCTGAGATCTTGAAAAACTCAGGTATGATAGCCAAATGTTCAAATCTCTTTAATTTTTAGGCGGCAAAAATGATTTGGACCAAGATTTGATGGATACCAGCACAACGACAATCATTCCAGCTCATTCAATTTTCAAGGTGATTAATTTAACTTTACCAATCTCTGACCATTATAGGATACATCACCAACACCAAATGTCATGCGCCTAAATGAAAACAGCACATCAAACGAAGCTGAACCTGACACGACTATTGTCCCAAAGCCTGTCATGCCAGATATTGTTCTCAGTAGCGCAAATGAAGACAGCATGTCTTCGAACCCAGATCCTTCGGTTTTCGCGGAAAAAGCGAAACGCATAATATCGAAAAATAAAGACGAACATGGAATCAACAAAGACAGCGTCGAGCAACAATCCGGAGAAAAAACTCAGTCAATTGATCTGGACGCAACAGAAAGCCAGTGGGAAACTGAAAGCGAAGAAGAAGTTGCTCCGCCAGCTGCAACTACTGAACACGACGACGATGATGATTGGGAAACAGAAAGTGAGGAAGAAGTTCTTGTACCTCAAGCTTCCAATAAAAAGCCTGATCAAGCGAAGGTAGTCGATTTCAGGCAAACGGATGATCAACAAGAAAGTAAAGATGTTCAAAAGGTAATACAGCTTACTTTAATTAAAAATTCAAACGAATTTAGATCGTGTCTGTTGATCAGCCCCCAAATGAAGATGCACATGCAAAAAGAAAAATTGAACATCCAGAGCCAAATCTTGAAACGAAAGAAAAGATTCCTGAAACAAGCGAAGCTGCTGCCGTCTCGTCAAAAGTCACGTCGGCTCCTGAGAAAAACCAGACTGATGCACCAAAAGAAACTATAGCAGATTCTGAGGAACCGGAAGAAATACCTATTTCATCAACTGACGAGTCTAGCGAAGACGATTCGGATTCAGATTCTGACGGCGACGAGGTTTCATACCTCAACGAAACCGGCCTCAACGATGAGTTTGAAGAGTATGATCATCCCTTCTTGAAGCCGCCGTACACAACGTTTGACTTGCCCTTCGAGTTTTCGGAGCACATGAGGCTACTTCCACAAACGAAGCTATATTTGGACACTGAAGATCAGTGCGACTTTCTGTTTTGGCGGATTCTCTTCTCAATGCATGATTATCCACCTGAACTTTTCCAAAAGGTAACAAAATTTACTCATTTAGTCGAAGTTGATCGAAATTTAAGCAAAATCGCATTTATTGGGCAGAACTCCTGAGTGTAAACATGGAAAGAATTAACGCTTGGATTGATAACCAGCTCAACCTTCTTGAATTATATCCGAAGAAAACCGCTGCTATGCGTCATTTGATTAAAATGAACCGAGCTTTAAAAGGCAAGGAGGAGTTTGTGGACGATCCAAGCAAGCACAGAGAGTCAAAGTACTGGAGCATTTATTTCTCCCCAAAGTACAAGAAAATAAAGAAGAAAAAACTCCAGAAGAAATTTCGTTTCTTGAGCAAAGAAGAATTCAGAGCTTTGCAAAAGAGGACGCTTGAAGAGCTAAAAAGGCGAGAAGAGGAAAAAAGAAACGCCTTGAAAGAATCTGCCAAAGCTGAGGCGAACAAAAAATCTGAAGAAAATGCACCACCATCGCCAAAAAGAAAGAAAGCAGAAGCACCAGCAGAAGTGACTAAAACGAAATCGCTCGTAAAAAATAAAAAGCCTACTCCAAAGAAAAGACCTCCGCCAAATCTTCTGAAGGCTACAGTCATCAAAGAAGCAAAACGGCGATCTGGAGAGGAAGAACGACCCGAAAAGAAGAAGAAGAAAAGGTCTGCAAACATAGAAGAGTTTTCAGAATCTGGGTCCGTGAAGCCGAAATAAACAAACAACTTTTAAATATATGTTTCTGAGAATCAGTTCAGCTTTTATCCTACTTTTACACATTCCATATACTTAAGCTTTACACTTGACTCGAAATAAATCTCAAAAATATAAAACACCTGACTTAAGTTTCAAAAGAATGGATTCGTTCATCGAAGTAGATGGGCAAATTTTCTTCATTCACAGACTGCGGCATTACGCAAAGCAAGGACATCTTGAGGTGGAAATTTGTTGTTTCTTTGGTCGTTATTCTTAGATAGTAGGTTGTGCAGAAGTTTTGTGAAAAGGGGGTGGGGATTATGGCTGATGCAGCGGAGGGAGCAATTGAAGGAGGCCATGTGAGCATTTTGAAGTTTGTCAAAGATATCGGCTTTATTTTCCCGAAAGAAATCGCCACAAGGTAGTTTCGAAAAGCTTTACTTCATTCCCTCTGTCTTTAGAGTCGTTGATCGATCCTACCAAAAGATCGTCTTGCCAGAAGAAATCAAAGCTTTCCTCGAGGCAGAAAACGTGACGATCCCGGACGACAAGGAAGAAATCAATACTGAAAAAGTAACTCCACAAGAAGACTTGACTCAAATAAGAAGCCACTCGGAGAATTTAGAAGCAGGAATCTCTATCGGGGAATCGCGAAGGCGTCTAATTCGACAAGCCGAGTTTCATCGAAAGCCGTGGCAGCCAAATTTGCCAATTTATCGAAACGACCTGGATACAAACTTAGAGGACTGCTTCGGAAAGGGGATTAAACTTACCAATTTTTTGCATTAACCTCTTGAGTCTTATCCCTCTAAAGCCGGACTATCTTGCATAGCTGAGCAGCTGGCTATTGTCAGACAAATCAAAAATCACGTAGGGGTCAACGACTCGCCAGAAATGAAGGTCGCTGTTTCAAGACTCCGAAAACAAGTTCAAGAAACAAGAAAAGTTGTCAAAGAAGTTGAATGCCTCCAAATTGAAAATAAAAACTGCCAAGATTCGCTCGATTCTGAAATCAAATAAAGCACATTCTTCATTTGAAAATTCATATTTTCTAAATTTAGAGGGTAATTCGTAAATTGATCAAAAATGTCTGACAACGAAGAAGAGCATTACGACTTGGACGAGCCTATGGACGAGACTGGAGCTGTCGACGATGCGGGAGATGCTTTTATCACGACTGGCGAAGAAGTTGAGGGCGGCCGAGCTGTGCCAAGAGATGAGAGAATCACTGTTAGTTTATGAGTGTATTTTTGTTATCTTTATCAAATACTCTAGACGCCCTTTATGACAAAATACGAGCGAGCGCGTATTCTCGGAACTCGGGCGCTGCAGATTGCGATGAATGCCCCCGTCATGGTAGAACTGAGAGGAGAGACTGACCCCCTTGCGATTGCGTTGAAAGGTAAGTTAAAATAATTGAGTTAGTTGTAAAGTTTTGTTGAAGAATTGAAAGTGAAGAAAATTCCGATTATCGTGCGTCGGTATTTGCCTGATGGATCTTACGAGGATTGCTACGGGTTTAAATAATAGTTCTTTTCTTATTTATTGTAAGATTTAATGAATAAAGAAAGTTTTTAACCCAAGTAAAAGGCCCTCCAGCGAGTTGATCCTGGAAGGAGAAGGAACGCTTTTGACAGACGACATCCAAGAAACCTGCTTCGCATGAAGAACTAAAATCCTACTGCCCTTTCTGCGCGCGATTTGCTAAAATCTTGAATAAATTGAAAAAAAGTAATCGACAAAAAATAAGCTTGTTCACAAAAAGCGTGACCTTTTGCACTACACGGCCACGGTTGGTGATTTAGGAGGCTGATTTGGCGATCAGCGCGGAATTTGACTTTTGCGAATTTCGCGCTGCCAAATGGTATTAGTTTAAAATTGAAATTGAAAATGTCACCCATTTTTTCTTCATTTCCACATTCAAATTCGATTTTCATAAAATGGCAAACCGGATGTCCGATTGACTTTTTCTGACTTTCGAAAGCGCCGTAACTATGCACGATTGTTAATCCAACTCGATCCATTGAAATGCGACAGTGCAACAAAGTTAGTGCCAAGCGAGCCTTTCCTCCTTAGATTTGGGCACATTTCAGGGCGACAAAGGAAACCGAACACTTGAAACTGGCTCAAACGCCACTCATCATGATGAGCGGAAAGCGCGGCTGTTTTGTTCTCCAATTTTTAAGTCTTTTCGTCTAAAGACAGAATCTGCATAAAAACAGGTTGATAGAAGAGCGAGGATCAATAAATTGGAAAGACAGTCAAAAACGACTTACCGAAATAAGGCATTCAACTTGTGACAGGTTGAAATAAGGAATCGGATTTGCTTTTGCACATGTTTCCATCGAATCAGTTCAATCATCCTTTGACGTCTTTCTGATTGAGAAGTATTATACTTTTCTGAAATTAGCGAAGTTCATCTTGCTTTGATGCTCGCATTATTTACTGCAAAAAACTTGCTTCTCACATTTTGATGTGGAAATAATAATGAAGGGTGGTTGAAACAAAGGCCGGATTTTGGCTGGATTGATGTACCAAACACCGCCACTTTTGCGTTATCAGAAATGCGCAGTGATTGATTCCGCGGCAGGTGCAATTTGTATTATCACTGATAAGCACTGTTATCGGCATTCAAATTACGATTTCCAAATTTTGATTCAGAAATCTCGTTCTTTTCCAATTCTGCGGTCAGATAAAGCTTGTGAGTCGACATGCGGCCGCTGCTTTATTTGCCCAAACAGAAAGAACCAGTTAATATCTATATCAGAATATTTATCGGCGGCGCTTTCATTTAGGTTGGTGTCACAGCAAACCAATTCCAAACGCAAAGTGTATCAAGAAAAATGAGTTGATAGAGGCACTCCACAACTGTGATAAGGGCACAAGCAAGAATACGGGCATTCCCAAGTCTTAGACTTGTTGGTGCTACTATGGGAAACCTGTGCTCGGTAACCTGTGTAGAAACCTGAGTCGTAGAGAGGGGTTTTCATTCGAGCGTATGATTCTAGCCATCCAATATCTCTAGAATCTGGGCTAGTTGTTAGGGTTTGGGACTGGGAACTCTCAAGGGGGTCCGTGGGGCGAAGCCCCCTGGTTTAGGCCTTAAGTGGGGGGTTCCGGGGGGGGGGCATTGCCCCCTGGATTTGGGTTAGGGGCAGCTCGAAAGATAACCCCCTTCTACCACCTGAGTCAGGGTTTTGAAATTGCTTTACTTTTCAATAACGCGTTTTCAAGACCCTGACTCAGGCTCTATATAGGTTGCTGAGACAAGTTGCCTTAGACAAAATATTAAGCGGTGTATTGGTACCTAAATTTGTGTTTGATATTCATGCAAATTCCATATTCTGAGAAAAACATAGAACGTGACGAATTGCTATTGAAAAATCGAAGCATGCAGGAGATTAATCAGTTTGAAATGTTTTTCAAAAACGGGCAGGAATCCTTTTGGGCACAGATCGATGGGGACTCATCTGGTGGCCTAATTTTTTGCTCAGAAATACAAATCGCCCATGCGTTTGAAGTTTTTCTTTTTTGGGCACGCAGCAATTATGGTGAGCCAGTTGAAATGAGCCCATCGATCATTGGAGTCGATTTAGATTCTACTTACAAGCCGACTTACTGTTGAGTTAAAACGATAATGCCGATAGTATCTCACTGTATCAATCACTGTATTTCTTGGATTATTGCTAATAATTGGATTTTCTTTGGGGGAAAACCGCCAAAAATTTATATAAGAATCATTATCCGAAAATTGAATAAGATGGATACGTTTTTAGCATCGAAAATGGAGTAGAACCGCTCAAGTTTGAGAGGTTTGCTCAGATGTAGAGACAGGCGCCTTTGTAACAATTGGGTCCACTTGGAAAGTGGCTTGAAACAAATTTCTTTTTTCGATTTTTCAAATTTATCATTCAACTCTAGTACTCTTAGGCGCTTTTGTCTGCGACTCGGGAGAAAGTCACAATTCAATGTAGAAAGAGCTAATCCGGATCTAGGCAGACTGCCTGGAAACCGAACTGCTTCAGTATCAGGATTCGAGAAGCATTCGTTCTCGCTTTAATTTGACTATTATTCGAAGTGTCAAAAGATCTGCAACAAGTAAACTGGTAATTACCACGTCCACAATTGATAGGCTAATTAGGCAAGCAATAAGTTACAGTTGGAAAAAGATATTCTCTCCGATTAGCAAAAACCACCATGATAAATGTGGAAATAAATGCGATTTTCAAAATGATTTTTTGTTTTGCATGAATCGCAAATTTGAGGCTTTGATTAGACCACTCAGATTATCATCAATTTGTGAAGCCAAAAATCGCTTTTAGTTTATGAAGGAAAAAAATTCCGACATTTCAGAATCTGATCTACTTTAATTTCTATTAATAATTTGATGAAAAAATCTTGTTTTGAAAGCAAATTAAACTTTATCATATAAGGCGCAACAGGTACACTCCAACTCCCAAATCGAAAGTATTCGGCAGAGGAAAGTCGTCTTCCGCGATTTCATGGACTAATTTATCGAAATTTTCCAACGCTGCTGCATAGAACTGGCCGCGGCGCACCTGCTCCACCGCCGCAATTCGAAAAAAAAAATTTCATCTCTGCAACAAAAATTGCGAATGGCGCCCTCCGCCAAAGTGGGCGCTGAGCGATTCCAATTCGAAACACCTTTGTGAAACGCACCTAGCGCCAAACAAATTCCGCATTACAACTTACTCAAACAGATCAAACTTACACACTCAACTAGATCGTATAAACCTTATAAATAAAAAAAAAGAAAATACACTGAAGATTATCAGAGATGGACCCGGCTCAGCTTCTTGCTTCTTTCAAGGTAATCAGCTTTTTACCAGAGAGTTCATATCATTGGACAAAGCTTCTGACTTTTTCAGATGATATTTTTCCTTAGCGTTATTTCTTCGCTTTGAAAATCAACCCCGAAGTCCCTTAAGACATATTTTGTCGACTAAACAATACCTGTATGCTAATATATTGCTTTACAGCATGTTCAGCAACGGCTCTCCCAAAACTTCCAAGATCGTCTTGCGATGGACCGTCCCGTCTACTCGACTCCTCCTCCCGTCGAATCCACGCCTCAAAATAACGAGTGCCGACTTGTCGAAGTCCACGGCCACAAAATTGCTGCGTTCACAATCAACCATGAAGAATACATCTGCTTGCCACAGGTTTGCCCCTTGTTGCTCTTCGTCCAATAGCTTTGGGTGGTCTTAAAATCAGTTAGGTCTGTAGAACTTGTCCAGTAGAGGGCTATGATTAGTCTCGAAGTTTATACATATATATTTCAACTGAATTGGACACGAATTAAGGGAGTTATCCATTTTGCGCCCGGACGCAGAATCCGCCTTTCGCAAATCCGGCCTCGCATTCGTCAATTGAAAAATCGCTCAAATTTGAATATTAATCGTAAATCCTGCTCGGTATCCGCATCCATTCATTTTCGCGAAAGCTCGATTTCTGCGTCTTATAAATATATATACATTTAATGAAATTCTGCATTTGAAATTCGGAATTGGCTCTTCCGCACTTTTGGGCTTGGCGATAGAATCTAAAGCTGGGCGATCAGCCCGACAAGCCACTTTCTGCGTCACTTGCCTCCAAATTAGAGTTATAATTTTTATCTGCGAATATGTGGATGATATACGGACCGAGAGCGATTTAGATAATTTTAAAAATTTAATTTCATTCGTCGCGTGCCACTGTTTTCGGCGCGAGAGGACGATAAAACCAGAAAATCCGAAATGCAAAGAATTAGTAAACGTAAAGCGGCAGGCCACCTGCAAAGGATGAGCACTAGATAAGGAATTATTCTTCATTCCCTCTTCTATATTCAGGTTTTTTTTTATCTTTTTTGGTTATAATTTTTTGGAAGTTCGGAAAATATTTTCTTAGTGATTTTTTATTTTCTTACCCATTCTGAGGGTCCAATTTCGGAATAAACCAATTTATGGAAGTGCATTTTGGATTACCAATAAGATTGCTGTATTTGGCCTACCTGCCAATCAAAACCCTGATCCATAAAATCACTTTCATAAATAAGTTTAACCTCCAATTTCGGACCCCATTCCAAATAGGCTTTTTGGGACTCCCAAACCCAAAATTCGAGATAACTAATTTTTTCTCACTAAAATTTTTAGGCATTCGAAATCTTCCTCAAACACCTCGTCGGTGGCCTACACACCGTCTACACAAAGCTGAAGCGGCTCTCAATCACTCCGCTTGTCTGCAATGTCGAACAGGTCAGTGTTATATGATATTCTACACTTTATGAGTATTATTATTAATCTTTCAAATTCGCCGCTTGCTTGCTTGAAATTTGTCAAATTTCGCTCTCCATTACCTTGATCGAGTCCGTCTCGGATTGCGCGTGGATATCAAAGCTGAATTACTAAAGAAAGCGGCGATTTCTGTAACTACGCGCATCTTCAGTTACAAAGAAACATTTTTTCTCTCTTTTCGCATCCGCCATTGTGCGCCCGAAGGGGTATAACATTTCTATTCATAACTATTATTCAAAAAATAATTTTGAATGTTTCCCATCTCCAATTCAATAGGATCCGATTGCACTTCGGCCCAGTCTCTTTCTTTCTTTTGACATGCTGGATTGAATGCGACCATTTCTTAGAAGTGAGTTACTAACTGCAACTGTAGGTGCGAACGCTACGAGGTCTTGGAGCCATCCAGCCTGGAGTGAATCGATGCAAGCTGATCACTAGAAGGGATTTTGAAACGCTCTACCAAGACTGTACTACTTCCAGGTAAATTATCAGGCATTCTTCAAGGAAAAACTGAAGTTCAAAAAGAGCTTAAATAAAAAGCCGCATAGCGGCTTTTCTAAAAATGAAGCTGCGAAGCGGCTTCGCCAAAATCATCATCTCAATCTTCTGTAATTTTCCGCCTTCGCTTTCTTCCCTTTCTAACAGTAATGATTCTAGCAGACCCGGACGACCACCAAAACGATTCCTCCCCCCTCACTTTTCTCCCACTCCTCCAATCCTTGGAGCGACACCTCCCAAGATGCCGAAGACGTCCTTTGAAGGTGAGAGTTGTCCCAAAACGCGTCCAATGTTTTTCCCCCAACAGATTATCGCGCAACCCATTATCGCCAAGTTCGATCGTTTCCGGAGCACTAGCGCGAGAATCGAGATTCGGCAAGAATGGATTCAAGTGTTGTTTACCCCCGTTTTGGGTGTATAAATGTATTACACTTGAGATAAAGAAAAGGAAAATACAAAGAGAGCTTTTATCTCCAGCCAAGTTTGATACTTGAAGTGAAAGCCGATTTTAGTCAATTTTTCATTTTCATTTCGAAAAAGACAAAAAGCCGAAAAGTGTCTCAGTAAATCAAGCGTGGCTAATTGACTTACACTGCGTCGACCGCAAAACTGCCATAACAGAACAAAACACATTTTATTAGAATACAACACCGACCGGGATAATTGAAATATAAACACCACCACCGCCAGCTCTGGTTTTCCATTTCCAGCGCTAATTCTTCTTTTCCCGGTCTTTTTTCCTGAACAAATTGAGAATTTCTAAATTCTCTGAGAGGAGAGAACTAAACGAAAGAATTATTCTTCGTGTGCGTATTTTGGCAACGCGGGATTAGAAGACCGAGGAGGAATCTTTTCCCGTTTGCGTGATGCATATCGAAATTTGAAAAAATGATTTTCCTCAAAAATCACAACGGAAGAAGCGTGAGAATATTGCGCTAGAATTGATTCATTTTTTCATTTTTATTCGGGACTGGGGCCAAGAAAAGGGCGCCGCCGGTGACCGGATTTGGAGAAAACTTACATTTCATCTCTGACTGGTGGCGCTGTTCTACGGCCAATCAATGACTAGATCAAATGAATAGAGCTCCGAATATGAATTCCATTTGTAGATTTGGCATTTTTGGTAGACAAAGTCTTCTAGAGCTAGGGTCAAGGGTGGTCTTATGTTTAGAGGCATCTGTAGAAATCATTAAAATGAATTGTATGATGCAAATTTCCTGCTTAAAATCCCCAAATGAGTTAATTCTGACTAAGTAAGTGGTTGGAAAATTTGACCTTTTCTTTTCAGAATCTCTACCCACCGCTACAATCGACGAATTCAAAGGCGACGACGACGAAGCGAGCAACAAGGCCGGCTCCGACGAGGAAATCACCACCTCTCCCTCCGCCCAGGCGATTTCTACCTCCGCTCCCGCCCTACCCGGCGCTCAATCCGGCATCTACGCCAAGGCCCAAGAAGCCCTCCGCGCCCACTACCAACACATGGGCCTCGTAATGTTACGGGTTTTCGCATCACCAGAATTTTCACTCAAATTACATGAAAAATGATAAGCGTATTTGCGCACGAGTTGTTCGGTCAAACGGCACTTGGGATTAAAATTTTAGTAAATTGGAGAAATGGAAATATCATTTGTCTCACAATTGCGATAACGAAAACGGCACGAGTGGCGCGGTTTTGATATTTCAATTTTGAAACGACGCTATCACAAAGAGCTCCTTGTTTTGCATACAAAACTCAATCCGACAATTTTTTCATATTTTTTATTTTTGGGAAGAGTGATTTTCCGAAATCGAAGTCTTCTTCAAAAATTCTCAGAAAGATAATAATAATGTTTGAGAAGCCGCTTGCGGCTTCGAGCGAAAAATAGAAAAAGCCGCGGCTTCAGTTTTCGTTTGCTTGAAGCCGCAAGCGGCTTCTCAACTTTTATAGTGACGCCCTTATTTAATTTTCCTGACAAAAAGCTCTGAATTTCGCGTGAAGAAAAAAATCTTATACCTATTCCAATTTAATCCTGCTAGCAGTGAAAATATTAATTTGCTGAAATCGATCTTATCAAAATAAGGAAGTCAATTTTGGTTCTCACTAGTTCCACTTTGGCGATAAGGAAATGTCGCTCGATGTCTTTGATTCCGCCGACAATGTTTTTTGTTCTATAAAAATCACATTTTTTCGTGCATCCGAAAATCCATGTAAAGCCGCCACATCCACTCCTCGCGAATCCGCTCCTTCAGCTTGGCGCTCAGAATGGAACAGCAGCTCAAAATGGAGTTCCTCCAACTTCGGCGCCGGTCAACGTTGGTGCTGCTTTTGGAGCCGCTGGAGCGGCCCTTGGTCTGCCTACTCCGCTCATGGCCGCGCAGATGAGAGGCGCGGAGAATGGAATCGAAGCGGGAAAGAAGGAAAATCAGAATAATGCCTATCCGAATTGCTCGCCTAGGTCTCCTTCTGAGCGAGCTACAGCAGGTAAAAACTAAAATTTATATTTTTTTTTCAAAATTTTTCGAAAAAATTCTGATTTCTAGCGTTTTTCGAAGCCGCGTGCAGCTTGATATATTTAAAAAAGGAAGTCGTTTTTAATTTTTTTTTTCTCAAGAAATCGGAAATAGATGAGGAAAACGGTGTAAATTTACGTCTGATTCACGGGCAAATCCAATCTGCAGCTCTAATTGCGCGGCATTATTTGCGTTCTACAATCTGCTGCTACAGAAAAGGAGGATTTCGCATTGAAAATGCCATTTCGGGATGAGCACGGATATTAAAACGAATATTAAACCGGCCGTTTGCCACTTTTCTGCAAACACAAGTGGCCAAATGTCGCCAAATGTCATCAGGAATGTTCAGCGAGGCGCATGACATTTTCACATTGAGTCTCAAATGTTTCACATTAAAATTTCGAAACGCTAATTTCTCCATTATCAATTTTTCTCAATTTCTGCAGGAATCAAATTTCACAGAGGAAAAGGGCACGTAAAGGGGATCTTGCTTCAGCGCAAAGTTTTAATCCGAAATTTTCAGCCCGGCGCGTACCGGAAATGTTGGAGCGCTTGGACGAGATGATCTCGGAGCCGGAGGAAAGCGAGTCTATTCTAGTGCTGGCTTCTAAATTGGCTACATATGCAGCGGAAAATGCTAGAAAGCGGAATCAAGAAGCTAGAGCTGAGCTTGGTAAGTTTAAAATTATTAAAAATCTGATTATTTACATTGAATTTTTGTCCTAGACTTAGCAATGTGACACCCTTATTTTTCAATTAAATTTGAAAGAGAGGAATTTAAACTTCAATTTGCCCTTTACAATTTATTTTTTTACTTTATCAATGAAAATTTTTTTTAGAAAAACTACGAGAACTCTACGAAAACGAGCGTCGACAACGAGAATCCGCAGAAAAGAAGCTTGAGCAATCCGCAAAAAGCTCACGTGAGTGCTTAACTCTTTACCATCAACAAATATCAACTCTTCTCTAGGTCGGCTATTCCGCATCATCAAAAACCTGCGTCAATCACGTGGAATCGCGGGGGCTAAAAACGAAGAATCTCCATCCAAATTCTCCCGATCCTCGGCAGAAGAAGTCGTCGACGAGGACGAAAACTATTCCCCATCTTGCGGCGGAAATCTGACGATTCATTCGCAAGTTGAATTTCACAAGATCCAGCAGCCTCACGTGGCGTAAATCATAAAAAAAGAATCGACAATCATATTTACTAAAATAAGAGACCTAATACTGTAAATACGTATTCCATCCTAACTGTAACATTCTTTTCCTGTAGGAGATTCTTATCTCGCGAAAAATGGTTAAATAGCTTGTTTTATTTGAAGAAATAAATCTTAAAAAAGACATTTATGAGTCTGTTCGTTCTAAATTGTCACGAAAACGAGAAATTTACTTTCGAGGGAAATGAACTTGTTTGATCTTTCATATTCGCATCAGACATATTCGCTTTTATTTGCAGATAATATTTTAGCCCATCATTTTGAAAGGCCTTCCAAATTTCCTTCCAAGGAGAAAAAACGTCCAGCGAAGCTAGTTCAAGCAAGATTCCGTCTAGCCAAATGAGGAATAGATTCGTAAATTTACTGACGCACGCATAATTTTATGTTTTACTTAACAATTTTATTGAAAACCCCTTAGAGAAAGGACCACGACTCGGTTCGAAGGTCAGATTATGAATTTTGATGGACATATCTGATAGGATAATTTGTAGGAATTTTTAAAGAAATCAAACAAGCTGACAGAATTATCATTCAGTTGTCAATACCAAATCGGATATCCCTGTTTGTCAAACAAAACCGGTGCTTATCTGAAGAGAACTTGACAAAGATCGAACGAGGACAACTATTGAATTAACAACTTTTTCCTAGGCGTAGTCTATAGGAGCGAAAAAACTAATAAAAATGCTAATTGATTAATAATCCGTATGATTAAAATAACGAGCGGTACAATCATCTTCGTTGTAAATAAAGAATATTTATTGCTTCAAGTACCTGAAGTGCTCGAAACAATCACAAACCATAATAGAAAATAGAGTGGATGTAACCTAAGTTTGGGCGCGGTTGATTTTATCTGAGTCCGGATTTTCGCGCGGAATCAACCCTCGAAGCATTAATTACAAACGGAAATATTTAAACTCGCGAAAATATATACCATCGCTCAGGTACGCGCGGATATTTATCTAATCCGGAATGATAACGCATCTACCTGCCAGTGCCTGGGCCAGCCCCTCCGCACTCCAAATTTTGAAGCATCTCGTAATGACGCTTGTTAGTAGTAAATTCCGTTCGAAAATACAATGCGCTTCCTTTGAGCGGTACCAAACTCAGAATACGGTTGTACTCGAGATAAGTTTATCCGATTCCAGAGCCAATACCAGTAAGCCAAGAAGCCAATAAGAAAATGAATTTATAAAAAATGTATTTTCAATTTACAGAACAGTCAAAATTAAACAGGGAAAATGAACAGTAGTATGATGCCTAAATCTATGATGAAGCTACTAATGAAGAAGATAGCCTTTGAATAAGCGGCTCTAATTGTTATTGCAACGTCCCATTCGAAAAATTGCCAGTGAAAACGGAGATGAGTGTAATTAGGAGTAGAATCACCCTCATTATTGTGAGTGAATCACTGACATTTCGTAGTCGATAAAGTTTCATCACTTCAAAATGCGAAGAATATTAACACAAGGCTTTCTACAGTAAGGGCATCCCTTCGTCGCCCACTGCCACTTGAGAGCGCACTGCTCGCACGCCACCAAATGGGCAGAGGCATCGTCCGATTCTAGTGAGCCGTGGAGAAACGCGTGACTTCGATCGTTCTCTCGGCAGAGGATGCAAAGCTCGTTTTCTGGATCTATTTTTTGTCTTTTTGAGCTTGGCTGGTTCTCTTCCTTGTTTTCAGATTGTTCAAAATTTAGCACTTCTGGCTTTTGATTCTCAGCGGCTTCTTGGTCTTCTTTGTCTTGTTGTTCTTGCGCTTTTTTGATCCCATCGAAATCCCATTTATTTATCTTCGGGGATGGACCAGATGTTGAGGGAATATCAGACGAGTTTGGTCGCTTCGTTGAGCGGTCGAAATGCTTCCAACTTTCTTGCAGTCGACGGCGGGCGAGTGATTCCTCCGCATCGACCTTGTCGTAATTTACAGAACGTGGTTCGTATTGATTCATGTAAAACTGCGGATCCATCACCCTAAAAGAATGTTACGCACGTTTGCACCAGGCACGTTTTTACGATTCTTTCAAGTTCTCGGTCGTCTTGAAAACAAAGAGGCCTGTCTCCGAGACTCGAAAACACAAAATCCCCGTAACAAAGAAGAAAAGCTTTTGAATGCACTTTTAAACTTTGAGGTCTTTCTTTACAAGTCGTCTTTAGGAAGTTCATAGGAAAAATGAACACTTACCGTGGTCTGACAGGCGTTCCATCGATTGCTAGAATATTCTGTTTGAGAATCGCCCATTTTAGCTTCATATTCTTAGGATCCAAAGAGTCGACTCGGCAGATTTTTCGTAATAAAGGCTCGTTTTCCAGTGGTATTTCCGTTGCTAAACGAGTTTGTGTAATGACGCGAGAATAAACGGAAATGAATGGTGGTTGTCTTTAATTATACTTTTCATTGTTTGCTCAAATAACGACCCTATAACTTCCTACGTACGACTCTTTTCCATGACTAATGAACTTTGTTGCTACGTTATTTACAATTTCATTTGTCAATTTTTGGGCGTAGCCGTTCTTGAGACAATTGAATCTACAGTCATTGCATGGCTAAATTACCTGTACTATCGAACTTCTTGACGACATTTGAAACATATTTCGCGAAGCTATTGTGCATATGAATACATTTAACAGGCCCGCCATTATAATTTCTGTATTCGTCCGAGTACATTCGTATAATTTCAGTAAATTCTTCCACAGGCGTAACCATACTTGCAGCTCTGAAACTCGATTTATTCATTTCCTCGAAGGAAAATTTCATTTTGAGGAAGTATGCGGTCGGCTTTCTTTTTAACATCACTCAAATAGCGCCTCTTATTGATGTTAGTTAGGAAAAAGGTAGGAAAAGGTAAGACTATGATTGTTTTTACGGCTGAATACATACCTGAGCTGAGGAATCTGCTGTGTTTCTCTGTACATATTATAGTTGAATTCTCAATTGAAACATTCATAGGAACTCTTTTGTCTCTCCTGATGCATTTCAATTTTCCCAGTTTTTTTTGTATTTCTCTCTTTTTTGATATTATTTCATTTCATTCCACTAGATGAGGGCGCAGTAACTCTTTGCCCTAGGATAAAATCTTCCTATCGTAACATGTTATGCGTGGCTGGTTTTTCTGAGAAACGTTTGCTTTGTTTTATAGTAGCGTGGTCGTGAATAACCCCTCGAGCTGGACCTCCGCCAGAATGTTCTTTTGGACAATGTGCTTCTTAGAAACTAAGACTGAAAATAATGGTTAAATATTTACGCGTAGTGTTCGAACTTATCGAACTTCCTTAATCAAATTTGAATTGAAATGTGTTTGATTGAAAATCGCCTTGACTACCAGATTATCAATCGAGCCGATTGTTATTGTTTTTTTATTTTATTTTATTTTATGAAATACTCAGTTGAAGAAATAGGAGTAGGAAAAGGCAGATGTTGCTCTTGAGTTTGCATAGGACCTGACATTAAGACTAAAAGAGTAAATATTAATTTTCCTAAGGGTATTGATGATAGGAATCTTGAAGGTCACACTTGGCTTTTTCAATAGAAATATCTGTTGACTATTTGACCCACAGCTCCTAGAATCTCAAGATCTCTCTCCGTAGGATCATTTCCTGAGGATCCTAAGGAATGAAAGTACCTTGGATTCGTGTCTTGAACAAAGGTCGACTGTATAGGAAAAGAATAGTCATCCAATTCTGTTATCTCCTCAAATGCTTTTTTTATAGTTTGACGAGTGAATGAATGAGTGTGATTTTTCCTATACAATTAAGCAAAAAAAACTTCCTATAGACTCTAGTGTAAGTTTTCAAAAGATTAATCGGCTTTCTTAGTCGAACAATTTCCTTGGTCAACATCGAGAATCTCCTCATTCGTGTCGTCTTCCATCAAATTGCTAAAATTAAAAATGTCAAACAGCGGTCCTAGAAAATTTCTATAGGAGACAAGTATTTTGTCTGTCTTCGTTTTATAATGTCTTCATAATAAAAAGACGGTTTTCCTCTCAAAGACCTCACACGGTCTGCAAGACTTGTAAATGAATGAACTGATAGCCGGTTATAGATGTTAAAAGATTACCTGCCACCGTCATCAAAGTCATTGTCCATCCCCGCATCATCTATTTCCATTTCAATTTGCTCTATAAGCTCCTCTTCCCTGAAAATTTCGTCAACATAGAAATACTTCAACATAAAACGACATTTATTGGTAGTGAATATTGGGCAATGATTAGATGTACACCGACTCAGCGATTATAATTTCACACATTTCCTCGTCGTCTTCTTCATCCTCGTCGAATTCTTCTTCGTCATCGCCGTCGCTGTCGCCGCCGGATTCATCTGCTTCCTCGTCCGTGTCATCGTCGAGATCAGCCTCGGCTTCAGAAACAACTTTTCTTGGTGAAAGTTATACGTAATTATTGTGTCAATCTGGCGGAAGTTGTAACGGCTAGGATGCGAGAAAAACGCGTAGGAATAAAAAAAAAAACATAAAAGAAACGATCACCACACATTCCAGTGTCCGACCCTGAAAGCGACTCAAGGTCGAGATTAGCAATCTCTTGTAAACGAAGATGCTCTCGTTCGAGTTCCTCATTTTCTTCTCCTAGATGACGGACATTCACCCTCCTCACGAATTCTTCGTCCAAGGACTGTGGGTCATCGTATTGGGGCCTTTGATATTTCTGAATTTCTGAGGTTGCTTCAAGTATTTGAAAAATTAACCCAGAACGATCCTGTAAGGCTGACAAGTCAAGCAAAATCGAAGCCACATTCTTCCAGAAAATATCATCTTCAGCTCCTTTTTCAGCTGCCGCCTGAAATTTCAAAGAACACCAACGACTCAATGGTTGGTAGAAAACCTTAGCTTATTTTTCTTTTTATTTTTCTTGATTGTCGCCGTAATTGAGCTTTGTGGTCTGATAGCTGGCTCGGGTTCATCACAGATTTCTTGTTTTTCTCTCCATAAACTTCTTTAACATAATAGATTTTCCGCGTCATTTGACATTATTTTACCTGAAATATCTGCGAGTAAGATACTTTGAGTTCATAATAATGAAGCTTTCACTTGAATTTGCTCCGAATGAGCTCATTTGCCCTGATTGATTTTCAATGCGAACAAGAAAAGTCACTTTCAATTTTGAAAACAACGAAGACATATTAATCTAGTAGCAAAGTTTCAGTATGATTTTAATTTATTATCCAATAGTAAGTTCAGTATTTATTGCTGTCCCATCTCCGCGACGACTTTACCAGTTTCCTTGTTCCTATTTTAATTAACAGTCTAGTTGATTCTTTCTTTAGTTACCGTATTTCAATTTTGATCGCGTTTTTCGCCGAAGAATCTGGCCGTAAAATTCCATCTTTTTTGGTTCCATCAATTTTATTGTTTTTCACACCTGGAAAGCTTTATTTTATCATGATTCGGTCTGCTAATTAGATTATTATGAAATATAGATGTCGTTTTAATTCCTAGCGTGTGAACGAGAAGAAATATCTAAGATTTATAGTCCCAATCCTGAGCCCGTCTTCCAGACTGTGCCTCGCTCGGAAACTTGGCCTTCCGCAGGAATAACGCCCTCGTCAGCATCCCGGGCAAGCTTGATCATTGAACTATCAATATTGAAGCTCATGGAAATTCGTTCTTAAAAGTTTCTTTACAAATTATTTCGATATTTTTTTACCTGTCATTTTCGCAAAACTATCTCTTAGCAAAACAAAAGCTCGAAAGAAAAGATGATTGATTTGTGTTCTTGTGGAGAAGAACTTTGGATTTTACTGTGCTGCGTGACTGTAAGGCGACTAACACGTAACTGAAGCGTCTTTCGTCACCTAGCCTTTCGCACACTGCGATTGTCTGATCATCATCAAAAATTACGACAAGTTTGCACCTTTACTTCACTGTCAGCGAGTAAATTTTGAAACTAATTTACGACGCTCACTATCACTTGCTTTATTTACAGTCAGATACAGGAGCGCAGTTTCGATCAACCAAGCATAGAAGATAGTCGCATTGAATGATGACATTGCCATCTTCGTTGTTTGAAAATTGAAACGCTAGGAAGGAAAATCGCGTCTTCTTTGTCTCCGGATCGCGCGGTAGAATTTCTACTGTATCGTCTAGTAGACAGCCATCTTCAATCATCGTCCAAATCACATTTGGTTGGTCTTCAGTAAATGCCCGGCAATTTGTTATCTTTTCGTGGCGTCAATGAATTTTCTAGAGCATTTTTGATAATGAATTGCTTTTGCAAATTTCAACACAGTTTTCCCCTCAAAAATTCCAAAGACCATGTATCATTTTGCTTACAATCCTCTAGCTGGTAATTCTAAACTAAAATTTAACCTATTTTGACATTGCGTGATTGATAATTGACATCGTGTAGATAAATGTAGGAGTTTATTGCAGTTTGCTGAACGTTTTCGGTCGTGAGCTCTGATGATGGTCTCACGACCGAAAACGTTCAGCAAACTGCAATAAACTCCTATATTTTGACATTATTTAGACTTCAAAAAAGTATTGATCGATCGTCTTCCGCAAAATAACGTTCTCAACCATTGGGCTTTCCGAGAAGATTTAATGGGTGCACCATTGCGCAAAGGTAACTAAAGTAGAAGTCAGTTGATCGCATACTGATTTTTAAAGGGGTCGTCTTCAAGCAAATCGAACTCAATCTCGACAATCTTTTACTGACACTTTTGTTCGTCACTTCTACCATCGGGTACTCAAGTTATGCCATAAGATCATTCTTCTGTACACAAAAAGAAGAGCCAAAACAAATAGTTCTACCGAAAAAGACGCCAAAAGAAGTTCCAACTAAAGAACCATCTGCTCATGGTGATACATGAAGAAATTTCCTCCCCATTCAATTTTATATAATTTAATAAATTCTTGACGCATTCCTGAACTGTTGCGTTGTACTCAACCGAGGCTTGGGCATATATAACTTGATTGACATAGAGAGTAGTTGCTTCTACGGTGAAATCTTTGTCGACGAAAAGTTGCATGTCCATTCTCGGCGTGTATGTCTCCGTCTAGTTGAATTAGCATAAATGCTGAATAATTGACGAACATACCTCAGCATTGAAGTACAACTCATCAATAGCATGGAACTCATCAGTCACTTCGAATTCGGTTTCAACAAGCTGCTCGCATTTTACTTCCAAATTCAGGTGTGGCATAACCGGTTTGATGACTGTCTCTTCGCTGATAAACGTCCTCAACACAGCTTTGTACTCAACCAGATCGCCATTTTCTCTAGGAACGATTCCACAGTCGGTAAATCCAATATCCCATCGCATATACGTTCCATTTCTCGATTCAGAAACAACCGAAGGGCACTTTTCATTATTGATAACGATATCATCAGCGGTGAGTCCATTGAGTTGACAAATCGGAATTTCAAGTGTCATGCTGTTCGAGTTGCACATGAAATTGGTAGATTGCTGCCGGTTGAAGCACTTTTTCCGGTCAAAAAGCGACGCGATTCGAGTAAAACTCATCCGCCAGATATTCATAAGCAAGTCTTCGTTTTCGTCTATGCATTGGCCTCCACCACAGATGGATGCATCCAATTTGTCATTCACCCATTTGGAAGTGAGGACAAAAATCTTATCAGGAGAGGAGTTTTCGTAAGCAATGCCCTTTAGCGGATTTCTCAGAAGCCAGAGGAACACAGAAGCATTACTGTCGTCTGGAGAAATCGTCGAAATCGTGGTATCCGAAGAAGTCGTACAGAAATTAGGAGTCGTAAAGAGAGACCCAAGCGTTGTCATGTAGCTCGCGGAATTCGCCAGATCTACATCTACGTGAGCCAGCCCATCTCTTAGATAGATGATTCTGAAGCTTTTGACCGGCAAGTTTCCATCTAAAACGGAGAAAATCCCATTCAATGTCCTAGTAATAACACCAATGAATCGATTGTCTCCACAAACTCTGTCCCTTGTGTCAACTGCGATTGTTACATCCAACGGACAAGTTTCTGCTGCCTTGCAAGTTTTCTCATCTTCGTCCAAAAATGAGCCACAAGGACAAGTGCATTCGATTTCGCCGAATCCTCTGTCGATACATTTGTGCGAGCATCCGCCGTTATTGAACAAGCAACTCGAATCGAGCTGCTTTCGATTGCAGGCAATTTCTTTGTCAGAACTCCATCGAATCGGCGAAGCAGCAAACTCTTCATACATGCAATATCTTCTCGCTGGTCCGTTCAATTTATATCCAGCCGAGCAAAAGGCCTGACAAACGGAGCCAACAGAGTTATCAGAAGTGCAGAAGACCAGTCCATTTTCAAGCTCTCCGATTTCTTCGCAACTGTATTGTTTTTGCTCGTCTGTGTATTCAGGAACTTTTTCAGAGCCTTATTCAATCGTCTGCAAATGACTTTTGAGGCATCAATCTCTACTCCATTCGATAGGGTGCATTTTCCAACGATACTTTTTATCAGAAAAATAAACACGATTTTCTTCATTTTTACTTTTGCTTATGTTTTTCTTCCACTGTTAGTTTTGTTTGAAGATTTGAGGTGGCGAAAAAGAGCACAATTACAGAAGCCTATTTTTTAATCTCCGTAAAGGTTGATAGCTCAGCGATGAATTTCATGCCCGACTTACCGTATTTGAAGTTGAATGTATTAGCTAAGAATTTTTTCTTGGGTTGGAATGTGGCAATTAAAGAGAGCCCAAAACACACGTCCGCCGGTACGCTGCGTGTTTTAGCGGCCGTACACATCCACATCAGGTGATTTGATGATGTTCGAATGCCGGATGGCAGCTGGTGAACACCGCCACCACCACGAGTTTGGGTAATCTCGAGTAGCATTTTTTCACACGCGCTGAAATCGCTTTTCTTGAGAGAGAATTCAAGGAGCGCGCTTTTCTATAGAAAATATGGGCGAGAAGTACACTTGTGCCCAAACAGACGGGATTTGGGCACACACTACAGGCGACTACATGCGAGAGGCGATTTCCGCAGCTCCAAAGAGCTGAGAGAGCTTTGAAAAACAGAGAAACTTGGAGCTGAAAAAGCGTCATTTTATATTATGCAACTTGTTTTTAAGCCCCTATGGTTGCATAGTTTTAAAGTGATGTTGATTTTCTCCACTTATCGACAGAAAAAATGCCAAATAATTTGTTTAAAATAAACTTTATTCAACCACATGCATATAAAATCCTTTTATAAATACAACTTCAAACTTCATCTGCCACAAGTTTTCCACAAGAACCATAAGTGTAGAAAAATCCAAAGAACGTAAACACGAAGCTCAGTACAAACCCTAAGATTTTCGAATTTACCATTTGCCAGCGAAAATGATTACTTACAGGCAATCATGGAGGTATAAATAGCGAGTTGAAGATTGATTCTAGCGTTGAACATCAAAACTTTCAAGGGTCGTCAAAACCTGTTTTTTCTCATCCCTTTTTGGTACTTGTCAATATATAGGCAAATAATGGCGACCCTCCCAAGCGTTGGTGGTGTAATGGTCAGCATTGATGCCTTCCAAGCATTAGATCCGGGTTCGATTCCCGGCCATCGCACACTTTTTTCATTCTTCCGAGCAATTTTACGACCCTTTCCTGAAATCCCTCGTTCCGGCAGTGGAGCAAAGTACATTACACAAGGCATTACAAGCAAATAGATGATTCCCTAAACAAATTTTAATATTTTTGAAGCATTTTAGCGCCGCGCTATTTGATTTACCAAGCAGGAGAGGATAAATTGGACCAAGACAGAGGCGCGGAAAAGGGCGAAATCGTCAGAATTGACTGTTCGGTCGGTGTCTTGCTGCCTCAGGTAAGAGATGATAAGGAGTAGGCAGGAGACGAAAGCTGCGAAGACGATGATGTAATTGATGGCCGTCAACAAGTTCCGCGCGAAAACTAAAGATGACAGTAATGGTAAACTGCTTTGAAAGAAAGGCAAATTGGAATAAATCGATAATATTAAACTCCATAGTATGGAGTCCATACTATCCTAGAGCCAGACTGTTTTGCTTCGTCGATATGGCGTCAAGTTTATATAAACCTCCGCTAATAATTTTCAACAAATGTGGACCCGACAACAGACGGAAACTTTTACAACTTACCGATACAACACATCCTGTTCTTCGAGCGCTTTCTAGTTCCCCGTCTTACATCATCCTCCTCCTCGTGAGGTCCACCTCGTTTTCTAAAAATTTCGAGCTTATTCTGAAATTCTTACGGTTGCATAAAAGGACTCGCTCCTTCAAAATCAATGTAGCGTTTTTCATGCGCTGGCGAATTTCAATTGAAAATCTGGCGCACCTGTATCGGGCAGGCGGGGATTCCATCTCGTCGACTTCTGTTCTGTCATCGGCGATGACTTTTGCTTTCTTCCAACTTTCGCAGCAGCAGATGATGTGCTTTCCTTTTGCGAAGATGCTTGAGGTGTAGTGGAGAATTGTAAGAAGCGCTAGAAAAAGATGGTTTTTCAAGTATCTAGCCCTCTTTCGGTGTTTTAGAATCTCTTCTTGATAAAAATTCTGTTATTATTTTGGTACCTGGGACAAGTTGAACCCAAGCAATCACAAAAATCGTCGAGTAAACATCTTGGAAGGGCTTCCCCGTGTGATAATTTCCATCACACTCCAAAAACGATCCATAAATCTCTGCCAAATTACTTGGCTCCTGCTCTTGCACAGTCGGTAAACTGGTAGTACTAGTAATAGCAGTGGTACTATTTGCCATTATACAAAAAGAACAACTTTCACAGCCTCTCCTCTGATTTTCGTACCTAGCAACTACAAACTACAACTGAGAAAAGCGAGCTGCTGATCAGTTTGATTTTCAGTGATTCTACTTTTGTGCTGGAATAAAACACTTTTGACTTTTTCTGTTTGCGATGCATTGTGATCGGGAATCCGGTCGACAGGACGGATTTGCTCACTTTTCAGAGCAAAGTTGATTTTCGAAGCTGGACCCGTTGTCAACATAAAGGCGATTCTCCAGGGAATTATGGAGAGGAACAAAGCAGACCGGATGTAGGAGGCGATAGTTGACTGATTTGCGGCCGACAATGAAAAGTACTTGGCGAGAAGTTCATAAATGACTTACGAAATGTAAAGAAAGAGTTCAAATTTGTTATCATCATTTTATTCTTTTCTAAACGATTCAAAATCAGACCTTATGCAATAGTGGCGAACTAGCACCCAGGAAAATAATCAATGAGTTTTGTAGACATCTTTGACAGTGAAGTAGGCCCGGCAGTTTGGACACTTCTTCTCATGGAGGGCCGCGATGCAGTAAAAGCAGAACTTGTGCGCGCAAGGGATAATGATTGCTTCTTGGCGGTCGTCATCGTAGGGATGTAGGCAGATCCTGCACTGATGTTTCTCGTTCACTTCATCGTGTCTTGCTTTCTTAGCTGCAGGCCATTCTGAATATAAAACTTATCATAATATGAAATCATAAAATATCTTTAAGATACCATGACGCTGAAAGGCAACTTTGGTAACAAGAAGCACTCGTTTTTCACTTTTTTCATGCAAACTCCTCAGTTTGCAGACGTTCAACGCAGTAGATTTGCATTTATCTTCTGCCGTTAAAACATTCTCTTGAGCTTTTTTCAATGATTCGCGCGCTGATCGCAGTTCTCTTTTGGCAAAGAAGGACGCTGTCAAAGAAGAATGTCTTTCTTTTTTCGTTTGTAGATAGATCTTGTTGATTATTTCGTGCTCGTCTTTTGCAGCTTTCAAACTTATTAGTGTCAAGATTTTAAAGCAAAAAGTTACCAATAAAATCATAAGGTTCTTTCGCCAAAGCGGCCTCACAACAAGATCCAATGAAGAATTCTCGAAAAGAGAGTTTCTCCGCTCCACAGTTTTCTGCACGACATTTGAATGTTGCGTCCGACTCTCGGAAAATGGTGTCTTCCTTCGGATAATTTAATTCCTTGCATCCCTCGCAGAATCTTCTTCCTCTGATCACACCCGTAGATTCGCATGGACTAAGGAACGCAATAAAAATGGGAAATAAAGAGGAATATTACTCGTCGCAGTTAAAACACTTTCCAAAGTTCCCGTACGACGTAACGAATTCTTCTAGCCGCCGAAACATTCTCTCGTGGGATTATATTCACTTATAATTTTATTGCCGGATCTCCCGAAATTTCTGACTTTTGCGCTTTTGTGATACATTAGTAGCAAGTCTAGAAATGAAACCATTGACACTGTTTTTTTTATGTTTCCGACAACTGGGGAGTCTATGTTCTCCGACCAGAGAAGTCGCAGAGAGTTCCCGAGGGTACCAAAATGTAGCTTAGGGTCTGATCTGTGGCGTAGGGACACTGAGCAAATGTCAATGTCACGTGATCTTTGACAAATGACGTCATCAACCCGAAAATACCCGATTTCGCCAATTTTAACCTCATATTGGGAGTCTATGTTCTCGGAGTACAATCATCGTACAGCGTCTCAAAGGGGCTCAAATGAGAGCTAAAGCTCTATTCTGTGGCGTAGGGGGGTTAAGATAATCTCAGGATATACTCATCCTTTTTTTACAGAGGGTCGATAATGACGTCGGAAACATAAAAAAAACAGTGTCATTGCTTCCATCCACCAGGCCTTCAAAGCACCATCTTTCAAAACGGATCATCTAAATTTCCACGAGCGCTGATTGGCTACGCGTCGCCAATAAAACTGGCTTTCCAGCGCCAGCTCATCCTCGGTGGCAAATTAGAGAAAATTTACAAAATGAAAACTTGACAAATATCGGGGCACTCTCTCTTGCCCCTAACACTCGCCAGCACCGGATCTCGCTAGCACTTTTCACTCGCCTGCACTTTCCTCGAAAGAAAGTGCAGGAGAGTTTTTGGTGCAGATGAGAGTCGGTGCAGGAGAGTCTTTCACTTTGCGTGGGCGGTGGAAAATATTTTTTTTTATAATTTACAATACTTGAAATTTTAAAATTTGTTTATATCAAATTTTGATAAATTACAGTACTTCGGAAAAGTAAATAAAGAAACCAGTAATGCATAAATAATTTCTTTATTTAGTTTCTTCTCGAGAAGCTGATTTTTTGCTCAAAAATATCCAGTCTCGTAGACTCAAACAAAAATTACTTCTATTTTTCTGAATAATTTATTGATTATTTACCGTTTCTTTGTAAAAATAACATTTTTATGTATAAAATTGTACACAAAAATAAATATGAGGAAAATTCATACCTTTCCTCACCCTTTATCCGCAGTCTTAGCATTTATTTCGGATTTCGCCGCACGCGCACGCACGTGCACGCGAGAATTTTGCGTTTTTTGGAACTCTGATTCTTAAGGATATAGCCTATGAAATTGAACTTTCATAGCGCCCAAATGCGACGTCGGATCATTTTATTTCAAAAGCAATCCCAACTAAAAATGTACGCAAAACTCGATTATGGTACTTTTTTAAAATTTTTCATTTGAAATTCTCTCTGTAGAGCGTTTTGAAATCTTACGATCGCGATTTCTCGAAATTTTTACATTAAATCGGTCGAGTTTTTTTGATAGAAAGGTAATCTAGACCCTTATCTACAAAATTGTGGTTTCGGTTTTCTCTAATTCCGACAAAAACCGATTATAGAGCCATTTCCATGAGGCTTCCTCGGCGCGTGAATAGTGTAAAAAACGCTCCGCTGGGTGCTCAATCTCTCGACTCCTCTTTCCCGAGAGAAACTGCGCGTTTGAAAGAGCGCTCTGATTGGTTTGACCCAAAAAAGCGCGCATGGAAGAAAAACAGAAGCAAGAAAGAGGAAAACACTAGAATGAAAATTTGCCCGAGATTGAAAAATTTTCAGCCACAATATTCTAGTTTATCATTTTGCTAATGCAGTCATGGATTTTGTTTTAGCGATTTAATGTAAAAATTTCGAGAAATCGCGATCGTAAGATTTCAAAACGCTCTACAGAGAGAATTTCAAATGAAAAATTTTAAAAAAGTACCATAATCGAGTTTTGCGTACATTTTTAGTTGGGATTGCTTTTGAAATAAAATGATCCGACGTCGCATTTGGGCGCTATGAAAGTTCAATTTCATAGGCTATATCCTTAATATGAGTAACAAAAAGTTCTACCAAAATCAGGTTGAGAAAATTTTCTCACTAATAAATATATTCGATAAGTTCGCCCGCCCACGCAAAGTTAAAAACTCTCCTGCACCGACTCTCATCTGCACCAAAAACTCTTCTGCACTTTCTTGCTAAGAAAGCGCAGGTGAGTGAAAAGTGCTAGCGAGATCTGGTGCTAGCGAGTGTCTGGGGCAAGAGAGAGTGCTCCACAAATATCGTTTTTACAACCAGTACTGCCCAATCGAATACTAGAAAATGAGCGGGCTTAGGAGAAGAAACATAGCTCCAAGCGAGCCAGAGGAAGAAAATTCAACTTTTTTGGAGAAATTTAGAGAACTCGATGCATTTACGAAAATTACAGAAGAAGCCGAAGCGCCAAAAACGTCCCAGGGAGGCTTTTGCACCGGTATTGATGTTTTTTCAAAAATAGAGTCTATTCAGCCTTTCAGTGATTACGTTTTCCGTGATGTTGCTCCTCTTGCTGGGCGAAATGACGGTCTGGTTTACGACGACAAAGATCAAATACGAATTTGACGTCGATTCGGACTACGAGTCGAAGATGCATCTCAACATGGACATTACTTTCAACTCTCCTTGTCACATGATCAGCGCCGATATCGCCGATTCTTCGGGCGACGCATGGGGCTACAACTTTCAAATTCAAGAAGACGCCGCCGAATTTGAGCTTTCCAAAGAAAAAGCGCTGGAAAGAGCGAAGTTGTTGAAGATGAAGGAATCTATGACCGATCCGAATATGCGGTGAATTTAACTTGAGGAAGGAATTCTTAACGAGGGTTTTTAGGGATCAGCTTTTGCGAGAAGGTCACGATGTCCAACACTTAGAATTGAGTCGCGCAAAGAACAAGAAAATGATGGATCAGGGAATGATGCATAAAGTTGTCCAAATCAACCTAGACCCAAGCGAACCGCAAGGCTGCCGCGTCTGGGGATCGATAGAATTACAAAAAATCGCTGGAACGATCAAAATCAGCGGCGGAGGAGTGGGTGGCATTCCTGGTCTCCCAGGTGGCTTAGACGCGATCATGGGGATGTTCATGATGCCGATGATGGGCATGGGTGCGCAGATTCAAGATGTAAGACGAAATCTTCATTTGCATTTTTGTAACGACTGCTCTTTCAGGGCAAAAAGGCTAATTTCAGCCATAGAATCGATCATTTTTCCTTCGGGGATCCTTCAAGCGGACTTGTTTACGGACTTGACGGCGATATTCAGATTCAAGAGAAAGAGACGGACGATACAACTTACGTTGTCAAGGTACAGCGAAAACCGAGGTTCGAGAATCACTCTGTTTAGGTCGTTCCTACTGACCTGAAGACCTTCAAATTTCAGCAGAAAGCGTACCAATACGCGGTAACCCAGCACGTTGGCAAATCTGAGAAACCAGGCGTCACCATCAAGTACGTCTTTGAGCCCCTTTCCAAAGGGCGCTTACGGCTTTTAGGTTATTGGATTGTTAAGGTACGACTTTTCCGGTCTTGGGGTCAGCATCACCGAGTACCGTGAGAGTTTCGTCGGGCTTTTGACACGATTAGCGGGAATTTTAGGAGGTATCGCTGCCTCCTCAGGAATCCTTGCAAATGTGCTCAATGCACTAAGCTGATTACTGTTAGAGTTCTACTGGACTGAACTCGCAACGATTTTCCGAAAGAGGATATTTGAACTCTTCAAGAAATTTCATTAACTATTCATATTTTCTGTAGCATCTGTACCTTCCTGTACGTATTTCGCTCTACTCCATCTACGTTTTTAGCATTCGAATGACCACGCAGATGATCGAGAATAAAATTATTTATATATTCAAACCGAACACTTGTCGATGAACGTATTTCTAATTTTGCCATGGAAATTTTCGTTAGACAAATGTCGATTTTGAATTTCATTTATTTCTCATTATGTTACGTTGTATTCGTTTTCTCTTTGGAACAAACCAAGGGAGGAAAGATAGGTACGATCGAAAGAGGACAGTTGGTCGGAGTTGAGGATGAGATTGCAAATTTCGACTTCTTCGCGGGAAGCAGTCGGCTCTCCAGCCATTGTTCTACCTAAGCTGGACCTGGAAAGGTCGCTCTTGAGACTGGTGAGGGCAGACATTAGGTATTCTTTACGAAAGTTATAAATTGTAGACCAGACTCGGCTCATTTTCGTTAAACGACTTGCGAGATGGTTGAGGGCACATCAATCCTAACTTTTCCTATATTTCGCAAGTCTTTTTCCTTCAGAATTTTCGGCGCTATGTGTAGGAGTCTGAAGTAGACCATTCCCTTGTCTATCTTTGGCAGGGTGGGGAAAGGTCTACGGCACAGCACGGCACGGCACTGCGGCACGGACACGGCACGGCACGTGCCGTGCCGTGCCGCTCCATTCAGTGAATTTCAGTTTGGACACGGCACGGTGCCGCGGCACTGGGGTTAGGGTTAGGCGCAGCCCCGTTCCTTGATTTTTAAATTTAAGGGGCTTGACGGCCCTTCGGGCCGTTTCAGCCCCGTTCCTTGATTTTTAAATTTAAGGGGCTTGACGGCCCTTCGGGCCGTTTCAGCCCCGTTCCTTGATTTTTAAATTTAAGGGCTTGACGGCCCTTCGGGCCGTTTCAGCCCCGTTCCTTGATTTTTAAATTTAAGGGGCTTGACGGCCCTTCGGGCCGTTTCAGCCCCGTTCCTTGATTTTTAAATTTAAGGGGCTTGACGGCCCTTCGGGCCGTTTCAGCCCCGTTCCTTGATTTTAAATTTAAGGGCTTGACGGCCCTTCGGGCCGTTTCAGCCCCGTTCCTTGATTTTTAAATTTAAGGGGCTTGACGGCCCTTCGGGCCGTTTCAGCCCCGTTCCTTGATTTTTAAATTTAAGGGCTTGACGGCCCTTCGGGCCGTTTCAGCCCCGTTCCTTGATTTTTAAATTTAAGGGGCTTGACGGCCCTTCGGGCCGTTTCAGCCCCGTTCCTTGATTTTAAATTTAAGGGGCTTGACGGCCCTTCGGGCCGTTTCAGCCCCGTTCCTTGATTTTTAAATTTAAGGGGCTTGACGGCCCTTCGGGCCGTTTCAGCCCCGTTTCTTGATTTTTAAATTTAAGGGGCTTGACGGCCCTTCGGGCCGTTTCAGCCCCGTTCCTTGATTTTTAAATTTAAGGGGCTTGACGGCCCTTCGGGCCGTTTCAGCCCCGTTCCTTGATTTTTAAATTTAAGGGGCTTGACGGCCCTTCGGGCCGTTTCAGCCCCGTTCCTTGATTTTTAAATTTAAGGGGCTTGACGGCCCTTCGGGCCGTTTCAGCCCCGTTCCTTGATTTTTAAATTTAAGGGCTTGACGGCCCTTCGGGCCGTTTCAGCCCCGTTCCTTGATTTTTAAATTTAAGGGCTTGACGGCCCTTCGGGCCGTTTCAGCCCCGTTCCTTGATTTTTAAATTTAAGGGGCTTGACGGCCCTTCGGGCCGTTTCAGCCCCGTTCCTTGATTTTTAAATTTAAGGGGCTTGACGGCCCTTCGGGCCGTTTCAGCCCCGTTCCTTGATTTTTAAATTTAAGGGGCTTGACGGCCCTTCGGGCCGTTTCAGCCCCGTTCCTTGATTTTTAAATTTAAGGGGCTTGACGGCCCTTCGGGCCGTTTCAGCCCCGTTCCTTGATTTTTAAATTTAAGGGCTTGACGGCCCTTCGGGCCGTTTCAGCCCCGTTCCTTGATTTTTAAATTTAAGGGCTTGACGGCCCTTCGGGCCGTTTCAGCCCCGTTCCTTGATTTTAAATTTAAGGGCTTGACGGCCCTTCGGGCCGTTTCAGCCCCGTTCCTTGATTTTTAAATTTAAGGGGCTTGACGGCCCTTCGGGCCGTTTCAGCCCCGTTCCTTGATTTTTAAATTTAAGGGGCTTGACGGCCCTTCGGGCCGTTTCAGCCCCGTTCCTTGATTTTAAATTTAAGGGGCTTGACGGCCCTTCGGGCCGTTTCAGCCCCGTTCCTTGATTTTTAAATTTAAGGGGCTTGACGGCCCTTCGGGCCGTTTCAGCCCCGTTCCTTGATTTTTAAATTTAAGGGGCTTGACGGCCCTTCGGGCCGTTTCAGCCCCGTTCCTTGATTTTTAAATTTAAGGGCTTGACGGCCCTTCGGGCCGTTTCAGCCCCGTTCCTTGATTTTTAAATTTAAGGGGCTTGACGGCCCTTCGGGCCGTTTCAGCCCCGTTCCTTGATTTTTAAATTTAAGGGGCTTGACGGCCCTTCGGGCCGTTTCAGCCCCGTTCCTTGATTTTTAAATTTAAGGGGCTTGACGGCCCTTCGGGCCGTTTCAGCCCCGTTCCTTGATTTTTAAATTTAAGGGCTTGACGGCCCTTCGGGCCGTTTCAGCCCCGTTCCTTGATTTTTAAATTTAAGGGGCTTGACGGCCCTTCGGGCCGTTTCAGCCCCGTTCCTTGATTTTTAAATTTAAGGGGCTTGACGGCCCTTCGGGCCGTTTCAGCCCCGTTCCTTGATTTTTAAATTTAAGGGGCTTGACGGCCCTTCGGGCCGTTTCAGCCCCGTTCCTTGATTTTTAAATTTAAGGGGCTTGACGGCCCTTCGGGCCGTTTCAGCCCCGTTCCTTGATTTTTAAATTTAAGGGGCTTGACGGCCCTTCGGGCCGTTTCAGCCCCGTTCCTTGATTTTAAATTTAAGGGCTTGACGGCCCTTCGGGCCGTTTCAGCCCCGTTCCTTGATTTTTAAATTTAAGGGCTTGACGGCCCTTCGGGCCGTTTCAGCCCCGTTCCTTGATTTTTAAATTTAAGGGGCTTGACGGCCCTTCGGGCCGTTTCAGCCCCGTTCCTTGATTTTTAAATTTAAGGGGCTTGACGGCCCTTCGGGCCGTTTCAGCCCCGTTCCTTGATTTTTAAATTTAAGGGCTTGACGGCCCTTCGGGCCGTTTCAGCCCCGTTCCTTGATTTTTAAATTTAAGGGGCTTGACGGCCCTTCGGGCCGTTTCAGCCCCGTTCCTTGATTTTTAAATTTAAGGGCTTGACGGCCCTTCGGGCCGTTTCAGCCCCGTTCCTTGATTTTTAAATTTAAGGGGCTTGACGGCCCTTCGGGCCGTTTCAGCCCCGTTCCTTGATTTTAAATTTAAGGGCTTGACGGCCCTTCGGGCCGTTTCAGCCCCGTTCCTTGATTTTTAAATTTAAGGGGCTTGACGGCCCTTCGGGCCGTTTCAGCCCCGTTCCTTGATTTTAAATTTAAGGGGCTTGACGGCCCTTCGGGCCGTTTCAGCCCCGTTCCTTGATTTTAAATTTAAGGGCTTGACGGCCCTTCGGGCCGTTTCAGCCCCGTTCCTTGATTTTTAAATTTAAGGGCTTGACGGCCCTTCGGGCCGTTTCAGCCCCGTTCCTTGATTTTTAAATTTAAGGGCTTGACGGCCCTTCGGGCCGTTTCAGCCCCGTTCCTTGATTTTTAAATTTAAGGGGCTTGACGGCCCTTCGGGCCGTTTCAGCCCCGTTCCTTGATTTTTAAATTTAAGGGCTTGACGGCCCTTCGGGCCGTTTCAGCCCCGTTCCTTGATTTTAAATTTAAGGGGCTTGACGGCCCTTCGGGCCGTTTCAGCCCCGTTCCTTGATTTTTAAATTTAAGGGCTTGACGGCCCTTCGGGCCGTTTCAGCCCCGTTCCTTGATTTTAAATTTAAGGGCTTGACGGCCCTTCGGGCCGTTTCAGCCCCGTTCCTTGATTTTTAAATTTAAGGGGCTTGACAATGGCAGGGAACTCTGAGGTGATCAATTTCAGTTACTTCCCAAACCCCACCCTCCCCCATTAACTGTTAAAATACAATTTATCCAGGTTTTTATTCAAATTATGGTTTTTTTTTTCAGATTTCAAAAAAAAAATTTCAAAATTTTTCGAAAATAATTTTTCACGAAATTTCTCGGCCGATACATACGGTGCAGACGAATTGATCAAGTTAAATTTTATTCAAATATTTTTGAGTGTTTTTTACGAGAAAAAAAGGAAAAAACTGTGCCGTGCCGTGCTGTGCCGTGTCCCGGCACGCGTTCTTAAATTTTTTGCCGTGCCGTGCCGTGCCGTGCCGCGGCACAGGAATTTTCGGTGTGCCGTGCCGTGCCGGTGCCGTTGAATTTTCTTAAGACATTCCCCACCCTGATCTTTGGGATGAGTGGAATCTGTTTCACCACGCGGAGCATTTTCCCACAGCTGAAGATTTCCATCAACAAATCGAAGAGGATTTTCTTTTCATGCTCGTTCCCTGACAGCTCGTCGAGAAACTCTTCCACTGTTTTATCTCTCCTTTTTAAGAGTTGTGAAAAATGGTAAAATTTGATGAAATTCTTTTGTTTTTGAAACTCTTTCTGAAGTATCTTGAGCAGAGTTGATGTTTTGCGTCTAAATCGATATCGGCTAGTAGAAGAGTTCTTAGCATCTCGCTCTGGAGGAGAAATTCACCATTATCTTTCGTAAGATGCAAGGCCAACAAACGGATTTCAAAATGAAGGACATTATATTTGAAATTCTAATGAAAGAACAGACTCATTCGAAATCCCCACAGGAAAATATACTCGTCACCAAATTAGCATTTTCTTAATCTGTCTCATTCTATGAAATCCGTTTCTTTGCCCATCTACGCAATCTTTCCCCATCTGGTTTGTATGACATCTTCATGCTAACAGCAAGATAGACCAAATAACCCAGAGGATCGTCCAAGTCGCTACTTGATTCGATGTTTTCAAGACAGGTCAAACAGAATTGCTCATCTTCGTTTCTGCTGGCGAAATCAAGCGCGAACAACAGCCTGAAGATTATCGTTTCTTTATTGTTTGAAGTTGACACTTACCCAAATCGGCCGGGATTTTTGGCGTATTCTTTGAATGTTCTCCCGTGCGTCGTTAAAGAAACTGTTTCCAGGATCAATTTGAAGATTACATCTCCTGTTTTGAGTGAATGAAAAACGGATTTATCCAATTTATTTTGAATGAGAGGAGACAATTTCTAGAGCTAAACAGAAACAATATCGTTATTTCAAAGTCCACGCACTCGGCGGAACAAAATGGGCTTCCGGAGGCGGAAGGCTTTTAAAAAGGTATGAAATTCTGTGAACAGGGAATATATACGGATTTCCCGAAAAGCAGTTTATCACACTTGACATTCATTGATTCAAAAATTTATACAACTCTATGAAGACATGTGCCTTTGATTCACTGATAAGACACATTTTTATCAGACGGTAAAAGTAGAAGTGCCGGCAAATGTGAATAATACGGCCCGAAAGGCATTTATTTATTGAAAATTCTATCATATAAAATGCAATGTTGAGCGTTGTCAAACGTTCCGTTATAATTTTTCTTATAAATTTCTTCAAGATTATTGAGATTTTTCAGGCGCTAAGAGAAGCTACTGGGGCAAATGCGACCGATGATTCCTCCAAGCTGGAGAAAGATCAGTCTCCACCGCCGAGTCGGGGGTTTAGCCAGCATCTTATCGATGGGTATGTTAATTTCTCACATAATGTTGAGGAACTAATTATTTTTAGAAATTACGCAGTTGCCCTGGACATATTTTTAATGGTAATTTTCTTCGGAATCTGCTTTTGCTGGTCGATTTTCCTGATTGTCATGAAAATGTAAAGAAAAAAATCGTTTCACTGTTCCTATTACTTCAAAAGTTTCCTCACTCCAATTGCCAAGTTGTGTATCTAAAAGTCTGTCCAGGCGAATGACGCGATCAATAAATTGTTCTTCGATCATAGCAAACTCTTTTCCAAGCTTCAAGAAGATTCCCTTTGGTAGCAATGCCCTAATGCTGGGGTACATATTGTCACAGCCGATCTTTTTTGAGGATTCTAAAGACAATGAGGCTCTGGTAGCGTCCACCGTGACGCATTTCGCGTAGAGAGAGTACCAACCGCAAAATCGTCAAAGCCTCTTTCATGGAGGGCAACCATGAGCCGATTCGAAATCCCATCACCTGAGAACAGATTTTCAGAAAATATAGCTTCCCATTCAGTGGCATCTCGACCTTTTGCGCTGACAACGATTTGATAAGGCTCAGCGGGTGATTTGTATCCATGGCGATGTTTATCACGATGTCTCTGATGATTTCGTCCTCTATTTCGTCCAAAAGTCGCATGGATAAATAGCTGATGGAGATGAACTGCTGCGTCTTCCATTCGATATCATCATCAAGGACCCAAACTGACGGGTCGAGAATCGTCGTAATGAGCTCAAGAAAGTCTCTTTTCGACATTAACCGATTGCACCAGTGAAGAGAAGCGCCTATGCAAAAAGATGTATGAACTGGATCTTCGTACATTTGGTCCATCCATAATCTTATACGCTTATAAGGGAGTTTTTGTACGTTTCCGATTCTAACATATGAAAGAATATCTTCTATATAAATATATACAATTTATAAGCGTTTCCTGGACATCTTGGCAATCTCATCTGAGCTCTTGAAGAGCGGAAACTCGGGCTTTCGGGGATAAAATAATGCGATTTTCTATGACTAGAGAGGAATCTAAGTTCACCGAATTTCAAGCTGTTCAATTTTCCATATTTGAACCTCGAGATATTTGAAAATATTGATATGAACCCCTTCTTTCCGAACAGTGCTATTTTTTCGATTATCGATAGAAGTAAGGTCCCACTTTCCGGCGCAGGGCCGCGAAAATGGCTCGCTTCCAAGTCTCCATTTTCATCCGAAAAGAGTCCGACGATGTGATGCACTGAAGCCGTGTTTTTATGGAATTGATGGAAGTGGAATTAATACTTACAAGCGGGGATAACGCTGTTATAGTAGTATTTGTCGAAGAAAGGCATTTCTTCTTGACTAATGACAATATCAATTATCAGACTAAATTCGAGCTCCTTATCATAATAGGAAGCCTTTATCGCGGTAAAAACAGGAGCTCTTTCCTGAGAAAATTCAAACAAGTGGATATTTCCATGCAATTCGGGTTTTCCTTGAAGCTGAAGAGGTAGTCTCCAACGATGTCCATAAAATCCATCTGCAAAAAATCGTCCAGCATTCCTGGAAATTTTAAAACACAAACGCGGAGCACTGAAAACTCTCCAGAGGAAGCCTTATTTGGTGATATTCGACGCCTGTTCTGTCCCTTAGTGGAACATATAATCCTCAGTGGAAACTTATCGATAGACTACTCGTGCCGAAGACGTGCGCAGTCTCAAAAAATATGATATATAAATAGGGTTATATCACTTTCCTTGGCTCTCAGCCGATTCAAGATAGCTGGAATGGACTTAAAATTGATGAAAAACCAGTTTATTACTTTAAGTACCTGTTTGAAGAACTTTTGATCGATCTCTCCTGGTGGAATGTTGTGAATGATCATGCACATCCAGCTGAGGTCCTGATCTCCGATGTCATCCGTAGTTAGGATTTGCTTGAGGACAGCAGATGCAAAGCCATCTTTGAGATTGACAGGCATCTTGAGGAGATGGAGGGCTTTCATAAATCCCGGCCGGAAAGTGAAGAATGGAGAAGTCATGACCACATCTTCGATATCTTCTCGTAGATGATGAAGCAGACCACTGTATCTCTCAAGTGGGTAGTGCTCTTCTTTGATATTCGTAAAAACAGTGGCGAGAAAGACGACGCCTTCTTGCATCGGAATCGTATGCTTTTCGATCTTCGATATAGTTTCCTTCGTAAACGCGTCTTTTCCGCGCTCATGAGTAATTCGTATTTCGAGAAAGGCGAATTTAAGACTTGCAATCATTCTCTGAATCCTTAGTCCTGATCCTTTTTAGAATGAAAGAAAATTCTTAAACGAAATTTATGCGGATAAGACTTCGATCTTCCGCGGAAATCGTCGAATTCATCATGTCCCTGTCTATCAGAAGATCAAAATTTAATAAAGCGTGTCCTAGCATTTCAAAATGAACATCTCCAAAAAGGCCGAAGAATTGCGAGAATGCTCCTTGCAGAATGAATTTTGCTTCTTCACCTGGTTCTTCGCGATATCCGACTAGACAGGAGAAAATTTAATGTATAGGATGATTCAAAACTGTTCCTACCTTGTGTACCAAAGATTATGTACGACTCGAGAAGAGCGAACATAATTTTTCTGTACTCAATATGCCGCAAAAATTCTTCAATCATTGCGGTCGTGACATAATCGACGAAGAATGTCAAATGCTGAAGAAAAGTCGAAGGCCCTCGTGAGTCGACAAGCAAATTCAAATTGCAAAATACACACCTAAGAAAAAAGTTAGGAGCTAATGTTCTTGTTACTCGAGATAGAATCATCGACATTGAGAATTTCCTACGCATCTGTTTTGTCTAGGATTCAATCCAAATTTGCCCCAAAAATTCCGTGAAGAAACTTACCCTCCTTGACTCTTGAACAAATTGTCGCAACTGCAATATTTTTGAGGAACATTCTCATTCGGATTCATTTCTCTCATCTGCTCGTTTTTTTTAAGTTTTTGTTATTTCACGATTATGGTTCCCCATTTCGCTCTAGAAAGAGAGAGAGAGAGCTCGAGTCAAAAAATAAGTCGCTGCCCTGCTTATTTTGTGTTGCCATGAAATCAAGAGAAATAACATTCCGACCACAAATGTGGATCTATTAATATATTATAATAAAAGTAAGTCGAGGTAAAATACAGTTTCTATGAGAGGTATAAAATAGTAGTGCAGTGGTTTAAAAATTAAAGCTACAGTAAAAAGAATTCGGTCAAAACCGCCATTTCGGAAGAAGCAGTCAAGGTATGGTCGATAAAGAAGGAAATTTATCACGTGAGTATATGAATTTTTGTCGCTAGAAATAAGACAAATGCCGTGTATTCGGTCAACCAAAGCTTAAATACGGGCAATTGGCAGATTTTTTGGCGATTTTTGAGGAGAAATATTGTTACTCACATGATTCACATAAAAAGAGCTCTAAGTAGTTGATGTTCAGGAAGAAGTTAAATTGAAAGTTTTAGTCCATTTTAGTCTTTTGTTCGGCCGGAGAATCATGATCTTCGAGTTCGGCGACTTCCACCCCGTCGACGGAAGCAAACGCAGCCGATTGGGGCCGCTCCGTTGGAGTTGGTCTCCTCGTCGTCCCGGTTAGCGGCTGTGGATTTTGGACACTTCTGACTCTTTCTCGGGTCTTTTGGCGAGTCGATTCTGTCTTGTGTTTTTTCGCTATCCTTGCCATCGTCGTTGAATTCTCCGAGAACTTCTTTCAGGTCCTTCCCGTCGTAGATTTCCCAAGGAGCCACTCTGTGGAGCTGCTTCTTTTCGAGCTTCGGCCGGCCTCGGCATTGAGACTTCTCGCCCCAAATGGGCAGCTCTGTGCCTCCTGCCGAGCTCGTAGCCGATCTCTGGAAGGATCTGGTAACCTCTTGGATCGAGCCAGAGGCTGCCTTCTGCTTGTGCATATCTTGCTTAGAGGACGGAATCTTCGCCGTTGGATATCTTTGGGCACACGCCTTGAACCGGGCGCGGCCAAACCTATATCAGAAAAAATGGCGGGAAACGCGTTTGACTGGCAAGTGAGCGAGTGCGCGCTCCGAGCAAGAGATAGATTGGCCCGAGGCGTAGAACGCTCGGCGCTAAAAAGAAAAAAGATAAAGCTCTGGTGGCGCTACACAACTCGAGCGACCGTGATTTACATAATTTAAATCACAACGAACGGCCTTTTTCGGTTATGTTTAATCTAGGTGTATTAATCTATAATTTTATATAATCCTCTTTTCAAAAAAAACCATATACGAAATCAAGATTGAAATTTTAAATTTAGTGCAACTAAAGATTTAGAAAAGCTACCGAAGCACTTCCGCGGATCTCGAGTGGGATTAACCTGGTCTCTAGTAAGATTTTGCCTGGTGTGAAAAAGGGGATTAGGCACCCGTGGAACAAGAAGACATTCTTAGATGCGCATCCGGATTGACGACGTCTTCCTGTGGTCATCACGGGACTCGTCCTGTTTCGAAATATTCTCACAGGAAACTGAAAATTAGAATAGTTTAATTCTTAGATTTGTGTTGGAATATCCAGCTGTGAGGAAATAATAGCGTGAGCACCAATATAATACTGGTACAATTTGTGGATTCTTATGGAATTTTCTTAATTCAAAATAATTTCCATCTTTTCCCTAAAACGTTCATCTGAGACTGTACGACGTATAGTTGGTAGTCTGAGGATTTTCCCGGGCTGAAAGCGTAAAAATGAGGTAAGATTGACGTTTGCGCGCAGTTTTATAGACAAGAATATTGATAGACACCAACAAGTCTGCTGTTCCTTGAATCTTCGTCAAGGTAATCTGCTAGTAGCTTTTTAACTAAAGTCTAGCCCTAAGAGTACGCTTTAATCGATTGATAATGATATGTAAATCGACTTATGTGCACTACTAATATTAATTAAGCGCTGAGCCGATCGACCTCTGGTTATGGTAATGGTATACTCCGTTTTTGGTCAATAAATGTAAATAAGAACACCTAAACATGTAGTTCGTTTCCATATTTAACACCCCCATGAAGCATTTGTTGGACTGTCTGATTTTTTCAAACATATTCATTGACGGTCGATGATTCAGGAATGCTAAAATTTCTCCTTACTCCAATTCGTTAGTAAATTCTGAACCGCCTTATTTGATGGAAATTTTCCTGTCTGGATATGAGTCTGATCGACATCGAATAATTAATCGAAAGATATCTTGGATTGACACATGTAGACATGGATATCTGACAGGGAACGGAGTGCTTAATATGGACAAAAGAGACACAGTGTCTTGATGATTCGTAAGATCTTGGCTAGGAATCCAAAAATGAACTGCTAGAAGAACTCTTGAAAAAAAAAATAGAAGTGACAATTGCTATAATTGAAGATTCAAATTCTCTTCCTTGATATCAATCCCAAAACTGAAAATAATCCTGGTTCAAATTTTACGAAGTTTGCCCTTTTGTAGACTCCAAAAGTAGTCACCATATCTACACGTATGTATTGGCCCATGTGCTGGCGCTGAAAAGCTAACCACCGCCGCGGTTGGACAATCGCCTTTTGTCGCGTGAACCGGTCGCTCTCTACCGAGTACCTAACGCGTTTAACGGTCTTCTAAAATTGTCAACATGTCGCCCTCGTCCACTTGGAGCGGGCACCAGTTGGTGTCTTTTTCGCTGATGATATATAACAACTATCCAGGAAACCGACCAGCTCATACCCGAACAGAGTACCACGCGAAATGCGACTTTTCGTAAGCTTCGCGACTCTGCTGGCCCTAGTAGCCGGCCAATTTGAGACATCCGAGTTTGACGCGACCGCCGAGCAAGATAACGGCTCTGAAAGAGGTTTCACGAAGAGCTTGAGCGCCCGAGAACGGAAAAATGAGAATCGAAAAGCTCAGATTGAAGCAGAAGATGAAGTAAAATACACGCCGAAGAAATTCCTTCAACTGGCTGAAGCAGAAGTAGCCATGGCGAACCAGACGGATAGTCGCCTAAGAAATAGGAAACGGGCCACATAACTTAGTAGACTGTTTGACACTTACCTAAAAAGGAAATTTTCTCACTCTTTGAGAATCGAGACACAAATGTGACCTCGGCGAAAAGACAGACACAGAGGGTGATTTCTATCGGCGTCGACGAGAGTATTAATCCTAACGATGTTTTCTATTCGCCAAAATTCATCGAAAAGCTCGAAAGAGATGGATTTTCTACAAAGGGTATACGACGAGCTCAGAGCACTCCCGAAGATGAACTGGTAAATCACAGATAATTAATTTTTTTGAAAAATAATTCTAATGCTTGTTTTCAGAGAGGCCTTGGCTCTTTGTACCTCAAATGGAACGAATTTTACAACGGAAAAATCGTCGTCCCATATTCCTTTCATCCTGACTACCCTTGGCCAGCACGAACCTTCCAGTACATAAAAGAGCTCAACAAAGATCTCGGATGCCTCCAGTTTTTCTACGTCCCTTTTCAGCGACTTCGAGTAGCTAACTACAAGTACGGTATTCTTTTTGTGCATAAACAAACTACTGGAATTCCTGGCTGCTGGAGTGCACATGGTCGACGTCCCGGTTTTTCCCCTGGTAGCTTCGGACCAGCAAAGTATGGAGCGAAGGACACGTGGCAGCTGCTTCAGATGGATGAGCTCTGTGGAGGTAGGATTTCCAAAGATAACTAATGCCAATAGAAGGTCAGCACAAGACTTATTCCATCAACGATACTTTTAGGGGATACCAAACACGTCGTTCACCATCAATGCCTTCATGCCCTTGGCCTCGCTCACGAACAACATCGACCTGATCGAGACGATTACATCAATATCTTTCCAGAACGATACCGAATGGACGTTCCCAATCAGACCTGGAAGTACAGCCTTGAAGACTGGGAAGACACCGGATTTCCATTCGATCTCAAATCTTCCATGATGGTTTCTTCTTACTCTTTCAAAAAGATGGGCGAGACAAAAGCGCCAATGACTCGAAAAGACGGGACAACTTGGGGCATGCACGGTATTGCCAGTACAACGGATATTCTTCAACTCAAGAAGCACTACTGCACCGGATTTCCAGATGTCCCAGAGAAGAAAGTCATCAACTGTCCGAACCCTGATTCTCTCGGTATCATTCGACCTATTTTCGCCGATCGAGTCTGTGACAGTGTTCCCGATTGTGAAGATGGAGCTGATGAGGACGGAAGAATGGGAGAATGCCGAATGCCAGCTGAGTATGTACCTAATTCATCCCTCATCCTTCTTTAGCAAAAATCATCATATTTTCAGACAAACTCCCAACGGCTGCTGCCGAACATTGATTGTCGCCAACGGTGACATCTGCAACTACCGAGGCTTCTTTATGGGCCGAGATGCTTACCAATGTCAGCGAGTCGCAAAAGAAACCTCTCGAACTGGAACTTTTGTACTCTACTCCCACTTCAGAATTTTCAACATCCAAGATAGAAAATTCAAGCGAGGATGGATTTGGTCGCGAACTGGTTTCGTCTCTGCGGGAACTCAATACTTAGGACTCAAGTTCTCTGACGGCAAATGCCCGATTGAAGGAGCACTGGATGACTGGAGAAACGCACCTTCAGTCTATTGCAAACGACTCGGTCTTACTGAGGCTGGAAAGGCGACTGTTGCGAGATTGATTGAAGAAGCAAAAGTTGAAATTGAGTTTGGTGTGAAAAATGAATTCGAACTACAAGTTGCAAGCTCTAGCACTTCAACCACCACAACAACAACTACAACAACAACTACTACAACCACGACAACAACCACGACAACAACGACTACCACAACTACTACTACTACTACTACCACTACTACGACGACGACGACTACAACAACAACCACTACTACTACAACAACAACGACAACAACGACAACAACAACAACAACAACCACAACCACAACTACGACTACGACTACAACTACAACTACAACTACAACCACAACCACAACAACCACGACAACCACAACGACAACGACAACCACCACAACTACAACGACAACTACCACAACAACAACTACTACGACAACAACTTCGACAACCACAACCACGACAACGACTACCACTTCAACAACTACTACAACAACAACAACTACCACAACTACGACAACCACGACGACAACCTCGACTACTTCTACTACAACTACCTCGACATCGACGTCCACAACTTCAACGACAACCACCACAACAACTACGACCACCACAACAACTACCACAACCACGACTACGACGACCACAACCACAACAACCACTACAACCACCTCGACTACCGAAAACATTAGTTGTTTCGCCGACTTTGCTGCTGCCTACCAGACTGATCTATCAACTTGTCCAGCTCCATCTTGTTCTGGATACCACGTTGAAGTTGTCGACTCCTGGGTTTCTCGCCTTGGAAAGAAACACCAATCATATGGGCATTCTCTCAAGATTCATGTCAACCAAGCGCAATACGATGCAAATGGCTGGACCATGGTCATGGCAATCAATTCGACTAGAATGTTCGTCTCGAGTTGGAATGTCTGGTTCAAGGATGTTTTCGAAGAGAGCGACAGGACTTCCATTGTCCTTCACCAAAAGCACTCTGATGAAGAAGAGCAGAAAGATCTTCATGGACAATACTCATTTAGCATAGTAATTGACTGGCTGCGCACTTCAGATCTTCGTATGATGATTTAATATTGTTTTGAACTTTTAACAAAACTTCCTTTAGCTCAAATTTTCTTCTTTGAAAGACGCCTGAACGACCTTTCCTGTGTCTCAACCGATCCAACAGGATATGCAGCTGCGATCGCGAAGCGAGGTAAAGTCAAAGACTGGATGGACGTCAACACCGTCGTCCTTACTGAGCGCGGCGGCCTCCGCGTAAAGTAAGTGATTCACCACGGTTTGGCCGGCCGTACCAATTTATAAAAAGAAAATCAACCAGCGGCGGAATACCCGATTTATATTCTTATATACTGTACATATGCATTTACTAACAAAAAACAAACACGCAAAAACGGAAAGTTTTTCACGGGGAAAATAATTCCGTTTTTAATTGACTAACCCTTTTTCAATAAACTAAACCAGAAAAAATCTGTATCAACAAGTGAAATCATATCCAGGAGCACCTAATCACAGCCAGCATCAGCTAATTTCCTCGTAATCAGCTCATCAGCTCGAGCTCGGATGCAGTACCCCGCTAAGATTTCCTAACCTGCAGAGATACGGAATGCTCTCGGGCACTTTCACCAAAGCATATATAAATCATGACTTCTACAAATTTTCAAAAACAAAAATACAAAATGAGTCAAACATCAGTCGCATTTCGAACAAAGTTTACACCACTAGAAGTCGAAGCCCTCAATGAGATCTTCGAAAATCACAAGCAGTATCCCAATCGAAAAGTGATGGAAAACACGGCCGACCTTCTCGATAAACCTCCTCAAGTCATCAAGAATTGGTTCCGAAATAAGCGAAAATCACTTCACTGGCGAAGAACCCGTCGACATCACAATCAATCATCGCCATCATCATCCTCTCTCTCGCCGACAACTGAGCAGGAAACTCCTTCACCACCACCACCTGCATCACCGAAATCAAATGACGTCCCTGATTCTCCCGCTTTCATAAAACAAGAGATCCAGCAGCCGGAAGAACAAGAGGAAATCAAGCAGGTTGAGATCATCCAACCTTCATCCCCCTTCAACTCGCAGTTCTACGCCGATTCGCTTCGAATAAACCAGACCTACTACCTCCAGCATTTTTTCTTTAATACCTACTTTCCTATCACATCTGCTTCTCCTGTTTTCTTTCCTATTTCTCAATAAATATCAAATCCTTATCCATGCTTCCATTATTGCTCAAAACTCTCCAGCATTGAACTTGACCCCGCGCGGCACTCGTGGTTGATTTAGTACCGCTAACTGTATAAAACTTATCACTCAGTACGAGAACTGCATTGCAACATGTGAAAAGTGTCTCAGCGTTGAGTCGAGGCGTCATCAAGCTGGCCCTGTGCCATGAATTGACACTTTCTGCATTTTCAGAAAGATCAACTTGTCTATTCTTCTGAGAAGCGAAGAGATGAGCTCTGAGAGACGGGTCGTTATTTAATGAGAAAATTAATAATGATCAGCTTTTTTTGGAAAAAAATTCTTGCCAAAATAATGAAAATTAAAATTCAACCATTTGAAATTCATCAGTTACATTCTCTCATATGTCAGAAAACTAAAAACTGAAGTTATTTTTACTGAACAAAAAAAACAGTAGCTAACTGAAAGAGCCCTGATCAGATAACAATGGGAGCAATTTTCATAGACTATGAATCATAGTTCGAAATAAAATATAAGTACCCAACGAAAAGAAACAATCAATCATCAACATCATCAAACATGAAAAAGTACGGACAATGTCCTCAGGAACTGGTCGACCTCCTCAGTAAAAAAGTCAAAAAGAACGACAGTAACAACTACAAGTACGAGAATCTAACAAATTAACGCCTTCTGAAAATAACCCCTGAGGACAACACCATCAAACAGCGAATTACAGTGAGTCAGATTATGAGGATCGATCTCCGAATCCAATAACTCCTGACAACCAAGTGTTCTATCCAGAGTCGCCGGAAAGTGTCCGTTCCAATGACAACTCGCCAAGGAATCGCTCAACATGACATTTGAATGTAAGCATGGAAAGGGAGTCCGCAATCCCACAACCGATGGTTAAAATCAATATCACCCATCTGAGTTAGAGCGTTCTGGTTCCAACTAGTTCGGAAACTCAAGAATCAATTCTTACATTTGATTTTGGTTTAACCACAAGAGGTGTGTATAAAAACTGTATAAAATGAAGCGAAAGAGTTGAGCGGAAATCAGAACGTCTGGAATCAGTCGATTCAGAAGAATAAAACTTGCCCAGAAGACAACTCGTGGCCGGTGGAAAAGGGATCATCATCACGATTTTCGCCTCTATTACCTCGTAACCGCTTGAACTTTACTTAAAAAGTGCAAGCTTGGAGTTCCGCTAATTGTTTACGAGAAAATTCGAATCCCTCATAAAGATGGTGATGGACAGTCTGATCACGCACATCCCAAAGAATCGCGAGCCGCTCAAAGAGATCAAACGCGTCTCCGACGTTGTGCCCTTGGCCAACTCAAAAGTCCTCCATAAAAACACGGCGAAATCAGTGATGACAGTCATTCCCCTGAAATTGAAGATTCCCACAGTGAGCGGAGAGAGTGTTCAGAAAAATCAGCAGCCAGCGATGGTGATGGAGAATCCTGTCATTCGCTTGCCACAAGAGTTTAATCAAGAGTAAGAAAATCATTTTTTTTGCTACACTCTTTCGAATTTTTATGACCTTTGATTTCTCTTCGAGTCAGAAGCCATTCAAGTTCACGTCAGGTTTCTACGAGTACGTGCCGTAGTACTGTAGATCCTCGACAATATTTTTAACAAGGTCGTTTTCGCCACCGTGAACTCGTTTTTTTCCTGCTCATCGTTGTGATAATGATAAATTGCGCCGCAAATTATTCGGTAATCGACGAGGCCCACTGGGACTCGAGGATGGCGGAGAACACGCGACTCGGGCAAGTTTGAGCGAGAAAATTATTTCAGTGTTAATTTCAGAGAACGACGATTTTCGGAAGAGTCTATTCCTTCTACTGTCGATTCGTCGGTTTACAGGACGCCCAGGGGCGAGAGCCCGCAATCAGTAAGTGGACAAGCTTATCAATTATTGAAGCTACAGGAGGATCTGTTTACAGTTATTAATTAATTCTTTATTCTTAGTTTCACGAATCAGCTGAACACCCGTTTCAGTCGTATCTTGGCAGAATGACTTCAGAGTAAGCGCAACAAAAAAATGATAAAAAATGAGCCTCTTTCTGCTAGTTTAGAGGGAGAAGACATAGAGGTCAAAATTTCAAAATGTCTGGATATCGTCAAAGAAGCCATCGTTAGTAGCGTTAGAGAAGAAATCGAACGAACAAGACTTGCGTATGAACAGACCGCGAATGAACTACAGGTTGATCAATTGATTATAAGAGCAAGCAATCAGTAAGTTCATTCAGTGTCTTCGAGATGAATATCGTCTCTGCAAATCTCTACTCACCGAATCCCAATTGCACCAATTCCAAAGTCAGCTTCAACTTTTGAATGAAAGAAGAAAAAGACAAATTGATCAGGTATTGCATCCTTTCTCGAAATTAATTGCAAAATTATTTGTAAGTCGACGGCAATTACACCAATGGACGATGGCAGAAATCACTTTTACGATAACTGCTGAAAATAAATTATCCGTCATTCGAAATTTTTACAATTTTAGGCAATTCAACTTTATTACTGTCTTGTATTTTGAAGGTATTCTCGTACGTACTGACGAACTTCATTCTCAGTAGATTTAGCTACGGCTGGTTCATCTTCTGGTGGACTTGGCATCACAGATCTCATCGAGTTATCAGTCGCTGAAAATAGTGTTTCAGATATTGAAATCTTGAGTTTACCTCTTTCTTGATTTTGGTTATTTTGGAGCGATTCGACTGAAGATCGAATGGGGTCCGCTTGCGAGTTCTTCAAAAAATCGCAGTTTCCAGTTCCAGAGATACAATTTCTCAACCATTCTGACCCGGGCCTCACCTATAAATAATAATTCGGCGATGATACCACCAAAATTACCTGAATGTACTCTTCGATAAAGGCGCTTATCGGCTCTCTCAAATGCTCGACGTTAGAAGGGACCTGCTGCCCTTCGCCAAACTGAGTTCTTCGATTTTGAACAGGAGCACAATATAACGCAGCTACTAAAGCTGCTGAAATTAGCTTCATCCTTCCAAAAGTCCTTCTCTCTCGTCAAATCTTGACTACAGAGCAATGAACCTTCAGACAGGATTAAACCTGGCATGTTTATTCAGGGCGACCAGAATTGAATATATGGAAAGCTATGTTAATTAAGTGATAAATGAGTTCTCCCAGACCAAGTAAACGTTCAAAATTCTATTTAAAATGAAGTTCGATTTGATAATCTCTTCCTTGATTTCAATAGCAAGTTTGGGTGAAATAATGAAGATTTTTTTTAAGTTTGAAATCGAAGAATTCTAATCTTAGTAATTTTTGTTTTATTTTTTGATAATTTTTTTGATAAAAAATATTCTTCTGTAAAAATCAAAATCTTTCACCCGATAGTTCAAGTAGAATTGCCGAAAATGCCGACCTGCCAGTCGACTGCGCTAGCGGTTGTCATTTCGGACTCCAAAAATGTTCGTCTTTTCAATCTTGATGCAGACAGTCGAGCGTGTACCTTGGCGTTATCAATCACTCGGCAGCTTCCTGCTGCGTTGCGTCTCTCCGCTGGGCTCAGATGGCGCTCGCGAGTCGTTCTCGACGCAGCGGATCGCCGCGCTCGCCTCAAATATTTCCCCTGATAACGATATAAACACATCTAGATATAAAATAAGAAAAACTAAACAAGTCTAAACTTGTTTCGCCTGGCAATAATAAATTCGAAGATTACGACGGGAGAGAGAGAGTTACGTTGGCACGTGTCTAGGGCAAGAAAAACGACAGAGAAAGGAGCAAAGATAAAGATAGAGAGAGAGAATCGTAAAACGACGACTCGTAATAAAAATAACGAAAAGGCGCAGAATCCCCATCTCAAAATCCCGCGCAAAGAATAAAAAAGACTCAAATCCACGAATCTCCATTCAGAAGATCCAAGAAGAATCATCAACGGAAAGAAAAAAACCGTATAGCGAGCTGGTATCAAATTGTTGATAAGAAATAAGGATCCCAGAGGCTGCAAGGGATCAATTAAGAAACAAGAGAGAGAGACGAGAAAAAACGTAGAGATAGTACAAAGAAGAGAAATCACGATGCCGTCAAATCCTAACGATGTCAAAATGGTATGTAAGAAGCGGACCCCCTTAAAGCCGGTTGTCCTTGCCGGAGATTTTATCTGATCCGCGAAATGATCCGCATAATTTGTGAAAATCGAAGTTCTGAATCAACAAATCACGTACCACCCAATTAGCCTGAATGTTTATCAAAGACCTGGCTAGGCAATTCCAGCGCTAGAATGACAATAGCAGACCCCACAAGGGGTAAAATACCTATTTAATTAGTAAGAGTCAGTACCCGCGGGGCAGAGTCGCGCAGGAATGTCGACCACGATCCTTCAGATCAGAGTCTCTCAGTCCGAAAACGCCTCAGATAAAGAAATTTAATTCCTGTCTATATTTTCAAATAATAACATCATTTCCCAAGGCCGTAACTGATACCAGACCGGCCATAAAGGAAATCTTCGACGTCTTAAATCGCTTTCATAGCAATTAAAATTAACGTAATTCATTGATTCAAAACTTATGATAAGTTCAAGAATGGCCGGTCTATCAGACCGAACCTTCGGCTAATAAATAATTTCATAAAACTCTCCGAAATTTTAACGACCCGTGCTAGAGCAGATTTTTTATGAAAAGGACCTCCGTTGATGACCACGAAAGCGTTTAATTTTCGTTGCGGGTTGTACTCATCAATTATTTTTTTAAAGTCTATTCGTAAAGTTGCGTTTTCTTGGACCGATTGATGTTTATTGCATTGCCCGGTCATAAATTTTGAACTCTAGAATTATGACAGGTCTAGCATACGGGCCATTCAGGAACAGCCCCGTGAGAATAAATTGCTTTACGAGTAATTCTCTAATCCAGTGAGCTATTCAAAATACTTTCCCGCGATTTATGAAGGGATTTTTTAACCCCTCAGCGCATTTCTGCCAGTTCTGCGGGCGCAGGGCATGAACTGTAGATTCCCTTATGCTTTATGGTTAGGGTTAGGGTTAGGGTTAAAAAGTCCGCTTTGATAACTCTTGGCAATATTTTTCGCAGGTCCGATATTGTTGATGTCACCAGTCGGTTTCAGCAAATGAGCCTGGATCAGTGCGGACGATTATTTTACATAAGTGCTCACCTTAACAACTGAAACCTGATATGCCAAGGATCAGCCACATTTACGGTCAAAAATTGACTCGATACTTCAACGCCCTACTTTTTTTGCAAATTAACAAAAAACTCAATTAATTTAATTAACTATCTACCAATTCAAATGAACTCAGAGGGTTGTTGCGGAGGATCTTGTCCGATGTGACGCGTTTTGTTTGCTCAACCCTTGTTCCACTGTAGCTCTGGGTCGAGGGTTTTGTACTTTTTTGATAAATGAAAGGCTCGTTTAGCGATAGTACGTGAAAAGACTCGGCCAGGGCCCGGTGTCACTTTCTAACAGCCACCTAAAAATACAATCATCCAACAATTACCGTTAGAAATACAACTCTACTAAGAGAAACTGCAAGTCGAATAAGGGAAAGAGAGAGATAATTTTAAAAAGAAGACGAAATTTTAATGGTAAATATAATTTCTGTCGAATAGCCATAAAAGGAATTTTTTGTTTTATTTTTTAATTTTATGTTATAAGAAAGTCTAGTAGACAGATTCTAGAGAATGAAAAGGAAGCAGCGAAAAAGATATTTTGATAATAAAAAGTTCAATTTTTTGACGACAACGTTTCAGTTCATGAAAGAAGAGCAGTTCATGATGCCGGCAGGATTCGACGAAAACGACAAAAAGACGCGTGACAAGTGTCTCTATCTGAAGCAGCTCCTGGCAGATAAACGCACGATGGCCCAGATGCCCGGCGCTTTCACTCACCTTGACCGCCTCTTAGACGATGGTAAGTACCAAAGAACTTTTTATTGAAAGATTTGATATGAGAAAATGTTTGGACAAAAGAGTAAAAAAGTAAAATTTAAAAATCCCCGTGTCTAAAAATCAAAACAAGAGGCATCATTTTGAAGTGCTCCCGCGGTGAAGGCAAAGCCAGCCTCCAAGTGCCGCGAAAATATACGAAACAAGGGGCGGATTCAGGCTCAAGTGCGTGCACCAGCCCGGCTTATCTGAATCCCTTCGTTCTTTTGAACACCTCCGTGGAGGAATTAGATGCGAATAAACACCACAAAAATATTTTCAACAAAACACTTTCTTTCTTGGAAACTTTTCAAATCTGGTCTTTCTTTTCAAAAAAAGAGTAGAAATCGAGAATTCAAATCTGACAGTAGACTTTACTTACAGGCTTTACATAGTGATACCCTTATTTAACTTGACCATAAATGTGCAAAAATAGGGAGATCACTATCATAATTCTTGGAGAAAACGGTCTGTTTTGGCTCTTAAAATTTCGAAAAAAGAAAAAAAAGAAAAGCTTGGCTCATTAATAAAATAGTAAAAGACAAGGAAATTCTAGCCGCGCGAGCAATGATCGAGCGCCACGGGGACGTCAAGATTGATCGTCATGTTTCCTGGGGCGGAGATTCCTTCTAACTTTGAAATTGTAGCTTTCGTCTAATTTTTAGAATCAACTCTTGATAATCAAATAATCATAAATTATCATTTGTCATCTTTTTCTTCTTTTTCACCCGTGCTATTTTCTTTCGCAAAACACTTGTCACGTGATTTGAGATTAAAAAAAGAACACGATAAGACCCGCAAGTTTGACTAAAACAAAAGACTGGTAAGGGTTGAGAAAGTACCCAAAAAGTTCAGCCTGGGTATGAGAGAAACATAAGAGGTAGGAGCACTTATCATATCACCTCTTGAGTAAAATTATCTGGGACCGGCTTTTTGCCGGAAATAGAGTTATGATTTTTCTTCTCATAAAAATCCTGGGTTAAGAAGAGACGGGACACAACAGACTTTGCGGACTGTTTTGGTGCTCTATCAAAATTCGGAAGTTTTATGATGATTTTTACAATTGCAATTGCCAAGGGTCGATAATTTCCTCGAGTCCGACTCAATCACGTTCGGGCTCGTCAAGCTTAAGGGCCTTGATGTTTAACGAGGCTGATCATTTATAGCGCGCTTCTAAATCATTCAAGGTCTAAAAATTTTAAAAGTACGATGAATAATGTTTAGTAAAAATTGCTCCTCAGGAGCCGCTTCATGTTTCTAGCGCTCTTTTTGCAAATCGGATTTGATTCACTTGCTGCTGACGATATGCAAGTCAAGCGAAGCCCGGGACAGGGATTTTAAATAGGGCTAGAATGATTAAATTCCAGAAATTATTTTATCAATTTTTTTTTGAAAAGTCACCCTTTTTTATCGTTTAAAATCGTTTGAGACAACAAAATTCTATTTTAAAAATCGGGTCTCGTTGTAAAATTGTGTTTCGATTGATTGCCAGTTTTTTTCAATCAACTCGGCCCGCTGTAATTTCCCCCGAGGCGCGTGTTCTTCCCTGGCGGCCGCTCGTTCTCTACGTAAAATGGGGCTTGATTTGTCAACTCTGGCGGCGCTAATGAACTCGGTATCTCTTGCCAGAAAGCGCGTACCGCAAGGAAACCAAAAGGCACGCAATCTCAGCCCACAACCTTTGGCTTATCGACTTTATTGGGAAATTATTACGCCTCAAACTATTGATACACTTACCGACTTTTTTTACCGGTGGAATTTCGCATCAAATTTTTATGACGCTGGAAAGAATTTGTACCGCATCAAAGATCTTAACCCTGGGCTCGGCAACCTGTGTAGAAAACCTGAGTAAGGTTCTGAAGAGCTAAAATGAAAAGCCGCATAGCGGCTTTTTTATAAAGGAAGCCGCGAAGCGGCTTCCCAATTCATTCACTATAATTATTTTTAAAATACTCGCGAAGCCGCTTTGCGGCTTCGTTATTGAGAAAGCCGCTACGCGGCTTTTCATTTTAGCTTTTCAAAACCTTACTCAGGTTTTCTACACAGGTTGCCGAGCCCAGTCTTAGCCCTTCCAGGCACTTTTACCAATTTAGGGGTAGCGAGAAAGAAACTGTTTATAACCGACTTTTTGTGTTGAATAATAACCGCATCGTGCAAATGCCAGGAAGCTGGGATCGGAAGGCTGTTTATCGAAAGAATGCTTATCATTTTTTCGAATCTTGAATTCCGAATTTGAAAAAATGTAGAATTCGAACGAGACCGGTTTGTTTGATATTGAAATAGAAAAAAAACGCAGTTGGTGTTTTTAGTTTGGAACAGGTGTTTTAATCTTTCATCCACTACTTGAATCGCTCAATGACCAGCTCACTTTTGGTACAAATGGACCCTCGAGCACACGCACAGACGGCAAAATATAACTTCGAATAACTAACTCCGTCTTGCTGTTAATTTTTTAATTTCTGAAAGAGTCTCAATTTTAAATTTTGCCAACAAGTTCATTTCTTAGCAATCAATTTTAACCCATTACGGCTCTTGGACCATCTTTCTGGTTCAAGAATTGAAATGAAAATGCAAAATGGTTGACTTTTCTTTCTTCAAAAATCTTTTCAGAAAAGCCGCATGCGGCTTTTTATTTAAAAAAATCAAAGAAACAACCTTGATAGTAAATTTTAACCCATTACCTCGTTTGGACCATCATCTTGGCTCAAGAATCAAAAATAGTGAAAATTTCAATTCGCCAAAAACTCTTTTTCAAAAGCCGCATGCGGCTTTCTTTTCTGAGAAAAGAAATGACCCTAGTTGTAATCAGTTGAAGAAAAAGATAAACTAAAATAACCATACTAAAACTCTCCGTCGAACTTCAATTCTTCTGGCCGTACTTTTATGCACATAATTCTTCGATTGCCATCGGCGCATATGTATCAGCCTTTTTCTTTTGGTTTATCAGCGGTGGTGTCCCGCGGAGCGCCCTCTTCCGAGGCGCCTTGGCTTTGAGTTTCTGGGCAAGAGCGGCTTGAGCGCGCTGCTGAGCCGCGCTTGGGTCCATTCACTTTGTGACTCCCTCTGTGTTCTTCTCGCCTCTGTAACGCGCCAAGAAGAAAAAAAAAAAACGCGAAAAGTGAATTTCCTTTTTTGAAAAAAAATAACAACAAGACAAGAACAAAAGAAAGAAGAGCGCCGAAATTATAGAGCTCGCAATAAAAGATCAAAGAAACGAACAAAACAAAGAGATTTTGCAAAAAAAGAGAGATAAGAAAAACGCAGAAAAGAAACAGAAAATAACATGCAGGGGCCTCTGCATACGATCGGGGCAGCTACAGTAGCGGCACCGTTCAAGGAAAAGGGCCATAGTATCTGACTCCTCAATTTCAGTAATTGAAATTAACGCTTGAGTAGTTTTTTCATTACTCAGTAGTGGCGATAAATCACTGATTTCCCTACCACTTGATGCTTTAATTAATATTTAATGGAAGCACTTTTTATTGAATTCTTGAGATGCTGGATTTTAGGTTCAGAAAACTCAAGAATTTGACTTTTGTTTTCGACCTTTTTTCGCCATTTTTTGTTCTTAAAATTTTGGATATTTTTGTTGTTCCCATCCAAAAATAGGTTCAAAAAGAGCTTTCCGCTCTTGACCACCCAGTACCATGAGTAAGGAGTAACCGGAAACGACCTCTCAACACATGTAGCCAAGGTTGAGGAGCATCGTTGCGAGTCGGGTTACGCGAGCTGACACTTATCCAATTTTATAAACTCGTTCTCACGATAAATACGCCGCATTATGACTGATTAAAAACTTGTTAACACTCGACTTTCGCGCTGCTCAGTGCTCGCATCCGGCGGCGAATGTTTCCGACTTAAAAATGCACCATAAACATTATTACTCTTAATTACAAGCATTTTCATTGGAAGCCTAAACTTGAGGTACCAAAGTAGCCCTTCCCAAAGCCCGCCGAAAAGCCACTAGAAAGAAACGGAACCCAAATGAATTCGTCGACGAGATCTTCCAGTCCCCTCGATAGACCTGCGGCAAACGCTAGTCCGCAGGACAAAGATCGAGCTACCTATCTTCAACAACTAATCAAAGACCAGAAAACTTGCCTTAATTACCCTAATGTCTTTCATCACGTGGAAAGATTATTGGCCGATGGTGAGTTTCAAAGTTATTCTCATGTTTTTCGTTATCGTTTTTACAGATGAAGATGATAGCTCATCAAAGGTGGACATAAATTAGCTAGACTCTATTGTTGGTATAAACTTTCGAGTATCCCCATAAAGAAAAATTCAAATTTTTCATACGATTTATATTCTTATGGTTTCCATTAATCTTCTTTTGACCCGTGAACGGCCTCTGCTTGCAATTATTTAGAGTTTATCTTTTGGCCCTTTTCAACTTTCAACGCCCTTTGTCAACTTGAGAGCAAGAACTGATGGGTAGCAACTGGGAAATATCTGCAAAGTGAAGGGTGCTGTTATTTATGAGAGTTCAATGATGAGAGTTTTTTTCGGGAGTTTAAAAGTTTTTTAAAGTTGATCTCCCGCGGCGGATATCATTGCCGGCACACGCTGGGGCGGACATTTAGTTCGTATAGACGCCCCTCTGCGCGGCTTTAATCACATCGTGTCCATGAACATCGAGCCAGGCCACAATTCACACCACTTAGCCACGGCTCACTGAGTGCTAAAACTGACCAAGGCACTCTTCTCCCTGACGTGATAATTGAGCGCTAGAAGAATTCCGAAAAGGAATTTCGAACTGTCCAAAACAGACAAGGCACAATTTAAAAACAGGAAACTTGATTTTGGGGGTAATCTTTTATGAACTTTCCAGATTTCCTCACCCATTTAGTCCAGTATAATTGAAAAATAAGGGTGGAAAAGATCATCCTTGTCTGGCCGTTTTTATCGCGCCGCTTTTCGCTACTGCCTAACCGAGTTTGCAGATTATAAGCAGCTCAACAAAATGAACTGCTGGGGGTGATTTGTGTGTTCAGCCAGGGCAAGCTCGACAAGCTTGTTAAGGTCATCAAAGTGGTAAGTCGCGTGGCTTCCGCCGAGAAAGAGTTAGACAACTGACACCTTTTATCCCCAAAAAGGATATTTCCCTGTCATAATAAACCGGCCCCCGTGCTAACTCTTGTTACTGCCTATATCCCCCTTTCTTTTCAAAATACAGCAGTGTATCATTTTCCAAAAGAGCGCTAGAATGATTCGAAAATACGGAAAAATCGTATGCGAAAAAGTTCACCATACTCTTTTTTCAACAATAATAGTAATTTTTATCTGAGAAGCGGACGAGTTGAAGGGTAATCTTAGTTGTTTGTTGTTGGCGTTGTCAATTATCCGCTTCAAGAAATGTATACTTTAATAAGCGTAAAAACAAAAACGGCTCCGGTGGAGCTACTCGAGTAGCGAAAACAACGTGCCCGCTCGGCCTGATCCGATGCCCATTGTATTTAGTCACCAGAAAGTATATAGTTTCACACAGCCTTTTTCTACGAACCGCTATTCACCGCCGCCAAGATCATAACTTTTCAAGAAGAAAAAAAAAGCTGCTCATGGGAAAAGAATCCTTCTTGATTCATTTCTACAGCCGAGAGCCATTATAAGACCACCCCTAAAATCTAAAAATATTTTCCCGAATTTCGGAAAAAGCGACCTTGAGTTTGACAGTTGTTGTGTTTTTGACGCGTGCTCAATTCGAGTGTATGTGAGAAACATTCCGGTACGCTTGTTAAGGTTTTTCTATTTGAAATTTGCAAGAAGATTAGCTTCAAACATTCTCAAAGACCGCACAGCTGCGGCTTACGTCAGTTTGTTGCATATGAGACATTTTTTCGCAGTATAAAGCGGCAACTTATTAACAAAGATCTTATAAGAAAAACCTTAAGGGTATCGAGTTTAATCAATCTTGAAGGAGAAAATGAAGCCCTTGGACTAGACAGGGCCCAGATCAAGTCTCAAGTGGGCAGATAAATCCACCTCCGAAGGAAGGGCTCTAAATTGCCGCTAATTGGGGGCCGATTTGTGGCCCATTTTCTACTCGAAATTCAAGAAACTTTAAGTTCATCACAGTTTTATGATATCCCCAGAAATGATCGTTTTTTACTTTCAGAAACATAAAAACACTGAGGAAGGCCCACTTGCTCCTCCAGCCAGTGCGCGGAGGAAAAGGTCGAGCAGTTATTAGCGTCAGCCCGGTGAATTATTTTTGAATTATTCATCACACACTGACTTTACATTTTGGCACCTTGGCCGAACATTTGATTTTTCAAAACAAAAATAGAATTTTCAAAAAATAAAAAAAAATTCAAAAATACCAACTATCAAAAAGTTCAATAAAAAGATTCTTCGAAGAATTCAAAAAATTGAATAAAACCTCATTTTCGGCTTCAGAAATCGTCAAAGTCCGAAGCGTGCTATTCCAAAACAACACAAAACCTCTCGAACTGCCGACTCCAACTGGGAAGACTGTAACTCTTTCGAAAAAAGTCTTTGTTCCGGCAAAAGATTATCCAGACGTGAGTCAAAGCTACAATCGCAGAAGTGTCTGAGTGACTATTTTAGTACAACTTTGTGGGGCGAATACTTGGGCCAAGAGGACTAACCGCCAAACAACTCGAGCAAGAGACGGGTTGTAAGATCATGGTGCGCGGAAAGGGCTCGATGAGGGACAAGAAAAAGGTGAAATTTCTTCACTGTGCATTTTTTCAAATTCTTCATTTTAGGAGGAGCAAAACAAGGGCAGGCCAAACTGGGAACATTTGAATGAAGAACTCCATGTTTTAATCACCGTTGAAGATTCCGAAAACAGAGCTGAAGTCAAATTACAAAGAGCGACGCAAGAAATTGAAAAGCTCCTAGTTCCACAGGTAAAAATGCTTATTCCAACAAGAGGTACAATCTCTTCCTTTAGTCCGAAGGCGAAGATGACCTGAAAAAGAAACAGCTCATGGAACTGGCGATCATCAACGGAACGTATCGAGACAATTCGAATGGAAAAATGGCCGCAGCAAACGGGTTAAATCGGTTAACGATGCCCGGTCTTCTTCAGGCACGGATCAGAACCATAGTTGAACTTGTCGCTTCTAAAAGCTTTTTGATGATCCTGTAAAAGTCGACGAACCCAGCATTCCGTCTTCCAAATCTCATGACGCCCATGGCTTGCGCTCCTGGCCTTATGAATACCTCAATCCTTCGCCCAGTAAGTCCAAGTTAATTCTGTTTGAGCTCAAAATAAGGCGACGAAGATCAAATTCTAAAAAGAGATTTCAAGTAGAATCGCTAAAAAATCGTTCCAAATCAATCCATTAGCGTTGATCGACCAATTAGTTGGAAAAAATCGAAATTGCCAACGAATTGGTAAAACAACGCAAATGGGTTAATTTGTTAATTTTCTTGAACTTTCCAAATTGATTAAATTTAATCAAATCAGCCAAAAGCGCTTATAAATCACGCCATCGAATTCTTTACAACCGCAAATCAATGTTAAATAATCAGAGAGTTAAAAATTTTCGTTCAGCCCATTTCGATCAATAGCAGCATGCAAAACATCGAGCAGCCGACATTATATTATGCACCTATGGTTACGGGCTGGTCAATCTGCGGCGGCAGCTTTTCCTAATTCAATTAGAAACTTAGAAACAAAGTTAAGCCTAGTCCGTTGTTCATCCTTTTCTTCGCTGGTAATAAGAATTGGCACATGCAAGGTGTCAACGGAACATTTTTAGGAGCCAGCAGCTGATTCACACGTACTGGCGACAACTGTAATTCAATCCTTTCTTACAGTTGTTTAAAGCTAAATTTACTCTTAAAATCGAGAAGCCGCTTGCGGCTTCGAGCTTAAAAATCTAAAAGCCGCGCTTTCTCGAAGCCGCAAGCATCTCTTTTGTGAATCCATGACCAGCCCTAGAAAAGACGCCAGCCAGTATTCGTACGCGACATTAAACGGCCTAAATGGTCTAATGGGCGCAAATGGCTTGGACTACGCCTCCCAGAACGTCTCGCCGAACGAAATGATGGGTGAGTCGCCTGGAGGAATGCCACTACCCGCCTCAAGCTCGAACGGGCATGGGCACCTACACAGTCAGTCAGGCACGGCGCTGGGCACCATGGGCGACCTGGTGCACAGCCGCGGGCACAGCCACCACGTGGTAGCCAACGGCAACTGAAATCAACAATGAGTTCATCCCCCAAAAAACAAAAACACATGGACAAGATGCCATTTTAAATATTTTTGTATTTTTCAATTACTATTATGCATAAAAAACGAAAACTACGGAGCCGGTTGCTTATTTGTTATTATTTTCTGCCAAAGTCTGAATTGCTCAATTTTTTTTCAGTACGAGTTGGTCCGCTTTTCATTCATAAAAAAATATTTTTTTGTTTCGAGAATTTTATCTCACACATTCCTCCTCCTGTACTTTATAATTTAAAATTATTATTTCGCGATTTTTAAATGTGCAATTTCAAAAACCCCGAAACTGGGCGTCAATAAAAAGCCGACTTGAGAACCCTATCCGACGCAAATGAAGAGCTTTTTATTGCCGCCCGGTTATTTTTTAAATTACAGTAAGACTGATCTTGCACAAGTGAATATTTCTCGGCCTTGAAGGGGCTGAAAGTGAAACTATCTCATCATGAATCATGACACCACTCTATCTTCAGTCCTTAAAAATCCCATGACAATGAATTTAAGGCGAATCCCCTTAAATTAGGGCTCTCCCCACTAGAACAATGAATCCCAGACTCGTCATTTTGGGCTAATAGTGCCATAAGCTTTATTTTGAAAATATCAATGCTCTCCTCAAATTTCAACCTTGACGCTTTTTAAGGATCAACTGGTGTGTCGCAAGGATCCTCGTCAGCTGGGCCGAGCGGTTCGGGCGGGCCGGGCCCCATCAAGGGCGCCCGGACTAGCCGGCCGACTCTCCAGCCCGGGCAGCATCCGTACGCGAGACCGAAAGGTACAGTAAGCTAATTTTGAATTAAGACCCCCGCTAGATCATTTTTTACCGAAACCCCTTAAACCGAACCACATTTGATCCTATCGCTCTTCAACCATTTCCATTTTCCTCACGTGACCTGAGAGATCACGTGGTGAAATTATCCTGTGTGCCTTTTGAACACTCTGTGCCTTTTCATCCGACCTCTTTTCCTTTTCATCCCTTTTTTAATCTTAAAAAACGATGAAAATAAAAGTTGGTCAAAATTTTAATTTTGCAAATACTCCATTTTCTTATTTCAACTTTCCTTTCTTATTTTCATGAGACCATGACTCTTTTCAACCCTTTTCTGTGAAGCAACGAAGCTAATCTAAGCTATGTATGATAAACTTGTTATTTTCCAATTTGTGACAAAGACTCTTTCTCAATTTTGCAAAGATCGTTATTTCAAAACAACCAAAAAAAGAACAAGAACAAAAAAAAACTCTATCAAAGTGCCAACTTCTCGACCTGCAGGTGGCCCGAACCTATCCTTTCGAAGAGGGTTGGGGTAGGGTTAAAAACGGTACCAAACCTACCTACACACCAATTTTCTGTCACCAGGCTTTTCACTATTTTTATAGATTCAGAAAAGTTAATAAATTCGGTTCAAACAAAATAAAACAAAAACTTTGGAAAATCCAAAATATGGCAAAATGTACAGGCTGCTGGACAAAATACAGGGCAGTGAATACAACATTTTTATCAACATCTTGGTGTTGATTTACGATCATTCGCGTAAATCAAAACAAATCTAACCCAGTTGGTGTTTAGCGTAATTTTTAGTTGGTGCTCAACCCATGCCCGCTTACTGGCCAAAATATTGGTCACTTCGCGCGCAGGGGTTGAACTTTTTAATCAATGATCTGAAACTTGGCTCTCTCTCTCCTTAAAATCTTGACCCTTTTTTTGGAATTTCGATTTGTCAATTGTACAACCGCTATGCTTTAACATCGTCATGAAAAGATTTCTTTTCGATATTGCTGTTATTTGCATGAAAAAAAAAACAAATTGATTCATTTTACTCATATTCTTACTTTTTCCACACTTATTTCCACGATTCTCATCAATTTTGCTACTGGCTTTGAATTAAGGGTACATCACCATCTAACAGACAACGGAGCAGGAACAAACTTTCGGATGTTCCATGCTCCGTAAGTTGGTAGTGGTGCACGCTTAACAACTTCCAGTAACATCAACATTCGTTCGTCTGATAGGATCACTACTCACCCTCAATGTTCTAACCCCGATTCCACCAGTTCAACGCGTGTTCAACAAGTTGATACGCGTTTTCCCCACTGACAAACACCCCCTTAGGAGCAACACTAGAATATAATTAAAAATATGAGACCAAGTTTTTCATAATTTCGTTTACTAATGTTTATATTCTCAGGTGGCCATAACCACTAACTCCGGTGATTCATCTCCTCACAACTTACAAATCACACAAAGGGTGGATGCAGATAAATAACAAAAATAGTTACAAGTAGTGAGATTATTACAGTAACGAAAATTGTAGTCCAAAATCGAATAGAAATTACATTTGAGCACGCAAATTTAATTAACGCTGATTGTATTGATGCCGCTCAATCGCTCCAGATTTCATTAGAAACGCTTCGGCCATTCCCTTGAGATAGAAAAAAGGGATGACCTCTCTTTTCCTCGCTTTTCTTCAAGACTTTTGTCCTGAAAAATGATCAACATAGAGTTGAATAATAATTAACTAAAACCCTTTTTGGTGTTCATAACTCGGTGTTTTCTTTACTAAGCTGGGTGCATCACAGTAGTAAAAACAAGTTCTACTGCCTGGTCATATAAGAAGGGTACCTGGGATGACTCATCTCAGAGCCAAGTCTTCTAATTTGACCAGGGAGAAACTCGTGATTACCGACCTGGTCATTTGACGAGTTCAAAATCTTGAATCAGAGTCCGTAAGTGATCAATTTTGGCAGCCAAATTGAAACCTACCTCTCTGCGGGCTAATCTGACACTATCTAGACGGGCTCTAGCAAAAAAGAGAGACCCTTATCAGCTTAGCCACTATTCCGATTCAGTGGAAAGCCTACTAAAGTAGTTATGGGCTCGTTTGTAATTAAAATTTCTTTCAAACAGAAGAAGATGATCGTAGTCCTTGAGATTATTATTGCGCCTCCTAATTTGATCCAGATGCTTTGTGGCGTCACGTGATCGCGCATTAGCTAAGTGGGATTTTCTTCTCACTTACTACTCGTTCTCTTCATAAGAAAAACCGAACGAATCATCCGTCAAAATAGAGCGCGGAATGTCTAATTTAGTAAAAGTAAGAAATTTAAAGTGGCGAAAAACGAAGTTTTCATAAATATCAAAAAATGACTTGATAGCAAGGAAGAGTATAAAAATCTGCATCCCCGGCCAGTGCCTGAGATTCTAACCGTTTTGGAGCTGACCTGCGCTGAGCTGTCGCCACTAATCTAACAACTCCAACACGCACACTACTACTCTGCTTGCAACAACAAAAAACAAACATCAACAAAAATCTAACGTCCGCCGCCAAAACACACAAAAGTCTTCAAGAAAAAAACAACACATTGTGCTTGAATTTGTCTACTTTAGATAGCCTGACTCTGATAACTAATTCCGCGGTGCCTCTTTTCTTCAGATATCTACTGTATATATCAGTACGTAAATGTGGACAGGAATGGAGGCCCGACTACCTAACCCATGCACCTGTACAAAGAAACCTGTATTTAGCTGTATCTTTGGACACAGCAGCCAGCAGTCTTGCCTTTTAACCTATTTCCATTGATTTCATTTCACGTATTTATTCCTACTTGATGCAGTAAGCAGGATTTTTTACTATTATTATATTAAATAATAAACAAAAGAATATAAGAGAGAATCAATTAGACAAATATGATTTTATTGGAGAATTGCAAAAATACGTTAGAGCATACAAAAATATAAAGATACAGTCAGAGCAAACAGAAGCGCTTTTTAGCGATACCTGAAATTAAACAATGAGGATAAATTTAAAAAAATTGCTTACTTGGCAGCCCAATTGGTCCTCCCTAGTCCAGGCATCAACTGCGGAAGAGGATTCCTTCTTTGTTGATTCGCGCGGAGAGGTAGAACTGACGGAGCAGTGTTTCTGTATCGCCAGCTGCTATCTGAAAAGACCCAGTAATGAAAGATACTCGTAGATATTCAGAAGCGCGAGAAATCGTTAAAAAGCTATCATTTTAAACCTTCATAAAAATGATATAACGAACAATTGGCCTTTCAAGATCGAGTAAAAAAGTCACAAAAATCGGTTGATAAGTTTCATCAACAGAGTTCAACAAAAATCAAGCGATCACGAAACGAGCAAGAATTCGACATATCCCCACAACTACTGTTCTTTTGACTTTTACCTGAAGCTTTCTAACCAATCAGGTAGATTATCTAAATCTGTCAAGAAAACGATCAAAATTAACGGTGAACTTACGATTGTTGGAGTGACTGGAGTTATTGCTATTTTGGTTTTGACTGTTTTGATGATTGGGAGGCGGCGGGTTTTGGCTACCCGCGCCAGAAGAAGGTAGGTATCGAGCAGTATGGAGGTAGTGGTCGCGCGGCGTCAGTCGTTTGTTGGGCACCAGTTTCACCGGCTTGTCTCTGAAACATATTCTAGCGCTCTTTCTATAATTTGCGCCTTACATTCTTCCAGCGTTTTCTTTAGACAAGGAAGATAAGTCTAGCGAAGGACTGTCCGGAGAGAAATCGAATTGCCAGTTGGTTCTGAAAAGACAAAAATAATCTTTGAATCGTGGAAAATTCAAAAACTTACCCAGTGTTCCTAGAAGCAAGTTTGTTCTTGTCGGACGGTGCCGGCCTGACGACCTTGCGAGGAGGATTGAGTTTCGTTTTTGAATGCATCAGATTTGACTTCGGTTTCGTCGATTTTCCAGCACTAGGGAACAACCTGTCAACTTAAAATTCCCTCTTGAATTCTTTATTTACCCATGCGAAAGAAGATTCTCAAGATCGTCAAGTTCCGAGTCACCATTTGCGAGCCCCAGGAGCTCGTCCAGATCTGACGAAATCTCTGTTTTCTTAGTTTTCGTCGTTCCCTTTTTCTGAGAGGTCAAAATGTCGGAGATTAAATCGTCATCAGAATCAACACCGTCGTCGTCGGAAAACATCGCGCCATATGTACTCAAATTCTTCGCTGGTGGCTCTTTCTTTTTCGGCGCACTCGTTCGTTTCTCCGGCCGAGAGCGAAAGGAAGCAACTGAGCTGTTGTTTCCAATTGAAGACTTTCGACCTGTACCAGAGTAAATTGACGTTTTAGTTGGTTCTTTTCGGAGATGAGGGGCAGGAGGAGCATTTCCGAGCAGTTCTTCCATCAAGTCTACAGTGTCGTCGAGCTTGAAATTCGGCTCTTTGTAGCTAAAGAGAGGGATTACTTGAAGGGAAATACGGGACTTTTCTTACGATGGAACTTCAGAACGAGACTTGACTGACTGTTTCTTGACCATTGAAGGTTCTTTGGTGATCTTCGGCATAGAATGATTTCCAAAATGCGAGTCGCCATGGAGTTTCTCCATTGCTTCTTTTTGCGTCGTTTGCGAGCCGAGATTACTGTAGTTCGTAAAGTAAGGGTATCTAAATCAAGAATATGAGCTGTCGGGAATATTTTTGAAGATAACTTGAGAGATTCAGTAGCAGTTGGACGCTTCTTGGGATTCCAGAGCATAAGGTCTGCCATGAGTTGAATCGCTTCTCGAGACGCTTGACTGAGGACTTTTGGGAAATCGGTCGCCACGCACTGGGGAAATCGAAAGTTCATGTTCGCAGCGAGAGTGTGTCCTTCAGGCCATGTAGTTCGATTTGGAGTTCCGAGGATAGAGCAGACTAACATAAAGTTAGAAGATTAATGAAAGATCAAAACTTACTTTTGAAAATCTGATCAATCTCCGTGCTGCCTGGAAAAAGGGGATGAAGCCTGTACAGCTCTGCCATGATACAGCCAACAGCCCAAAGATCAATCGGCGCGTTATAATTTGTCGAACGCAGAAGCACTTCTGGAGCTCTGTACCATCTTGTAGAGACGTAATCCGTATATGGCGGCTTTGAGCGAATTTCCCGCGCTAACCCGAAGTCGGCGATTTTCACCAAATCGGGTCCCATAAGCAGCAGGTTTTCGGGCTTGATGTCGCGGTGGAAATAACCTTGAAGCAGTTACAGTCAGCTTTCTAGCTGAAGATGTACCTTGTCGATGCATAAACTGAAGACCTTGAATTATCTGGAAGGAAATTGTGCGGATATTGTTTTCGGGAATATAACGATCCTGCGACTTCATGAATTGATACAAATTTTCTACAAAGAAAACGTCATTCTTTTGTCCAAATGTATTAAGGTTGTACCTTTCATATATTCAAAAACGAAGTAAAGGATGTCGTGCTCGCGGACGACTTCGCGCAGCTTGACGATATTCGGGTGGCTCATTTTCTTGAGGGATCGCACTTCGCGTAGATTGACTGCTTCCTCCCAGGTGTAGAACTTTTTCTTCATTCTGAAAAGAATTTAGTGTCAACGAGGAGAAAATCAGTAAATTTAAATTGTGAATGCAAGATTTAAATAATAAGATTAAATTTAAATTTCAATTTTAAATTTAAACCCGACGAAGAATGATATCGAGAGACTCCGAAAATTGTTTTTTAGATATCGGCAGTTTTCGAGAAGAAATCTTCAAATTTTAAAAAATTTTATGAATGTTATTGTTTTTGAATTTTGGAGAAAATTTGCTTTTTGAGAATTTTCGTACCTTTTGATGGCGACCATGGAACCATCCTCGAGGTTCTTGGCGAGATTGACGGAGCCGTAGGTGCCATCTCCTAACGTCTTTAGCTGCTGATACCGATTCATGTCATTCCCATCTGAAAAGTAAAAAGGTAGATTTGTTTATTTTCTAGCGCAGTTCTGGAAATCATTGTTTTTCTTCAAAAAGAAATCCAGACTTTTTGAAAAGGCAAAAGAGCAAAATTTCGGGTCGAGAAAAACGAGATGGATTTTGAGTCAACGAGCCAAAGTGAAGAAAGTGAAAAAGGTAAATCTGAATCGCCAGTTCGAACCAGAAAAATATAGAAAAAAGAGAGATGGGGCCGTGGAGAGGTGAAAATTCTATCTTTTTGAGAGTTTTGAAATCATAGAAGATTATTTTTTCTTTTCAGAAAACCGAAACTTCAGCTTCACTGGCGAAAAACGATCGCAAAGCAGCGGCTCTGGAGACAGTCAAAGGAAAAAGGGATGAAATCGGAGAAGTTTTTTTTCTCTAAAATTTTTAATTTTTCTCCGGAAAAAAGGCTTGTTTTCGAAGTGGCTTGGAAAAAACGGAATATCAAAAGCTTATCCTGTATAGATCATTCGTTGCTATGTAAAAAGAAGAAACTAAACAATGCAAAGCCGAATTTCCTTTTTCTTACTTCGCGCCCATCACTGCCAAAGTCAAAAATCTTCCGTGGCTTTAATTTATTGCTGGAATTTTTCGCGAAATTTAGGCACGAAACTTGAGCATAAAATTTTGACTAAGGTTTCAATTTAGTGAGTTAACGGAATTCTAGTGTTTAAAGAGGTGAACCGTTTTTTAAAAGAAAATTAGCTCATAAGAATAAATTTATAAGGGGAAATATATTTTTAGATTTTCTTATTTTCTATGGAAAGAGGATTTTTAGGACATCTGCTGGAGTAGATAAAAGGTTGGATAAAGAAGATAAAATCGAGGGTATCAGCTGTTTACGGATATAAATTGAACATTTTCTGAAGCAGGCAGACAAATTGGAGAGTGATTGAAAAATATAAGATGATTTTTAAGTCAACCAACACCTAAATGCTGTTTCTCAAGAAATTCGCTTTCTCTTAAAATGATGCCTCTTTCATGTTAACACGATTTATATTAAACCTTAGAAAATAAGATCAGGAATAAACTCAACATCTCTATCAAATTGTCTTCATCCCTGAAAAAGAGGTCAACTGACTTCGATGCTGGAATCAACGTCAATGTCTCACTTCACCCCAAAAGTGCCGCGTCAACGTCGCGGCGAACACTTGAGCAGGTAAAAATTCAAAAATCGCTATTTGCGAAAACAAGGTGCTTGTGTGTTTGTGTTCTTGTCACAAGGGGCCTTCACAAATCGATGGCATTAGCGGAGAAGGGATTTCGAAGCTTCCTTTTGTGAGACGGATTAACCATCTTTTATTTTTCTTTTTAGCCACGTGAGCTCCAATAGACTTGAAAATCTACGAGTTGTAGGAAAGGGTACTCTACTCAATCAAAATTTAGTTTCGAGGAAAGTTGCTAAAAAGCCGCGCGCAGCTTGATGAAGAAGGCGAATTTTAGCCTTCGTAGAATTAAGAAACGTATAGCCGCGCGCGGCTTCTTCGGCCAGAAGCAAATAAAATGCAAAAGAGCTGCGGGAATTCATTTCAAGAAAGTTAAGAGAGCTCGATTTAGTTTCGCTAAATATTTAATCGCTTTGAATGCATTTTCAATAAGCCCCTCTCCCGCGAACTGGCATTTTAACACTGGAGCAAATATCAACTCAACAGTACAAAATGTATAAAATTCGCTCAATTCCTAGTTTCCCGTGGATGATTCTAGCGCTAGAAATCGAGTCTTCGAGGATCTCTCTTTTAGAATCTTAATTTGGACAAGATTGATTTCGCTTGCCAAGGCAAATCATCTTGGATCGAAAAGAAACCAAATATTTGGCGCAATGTCACCATAATAATTTCCACCTGTGGGATCACTGAAAAATGGCGCAAAACACAATTTCCTGCGTCACCATGCCGATTGATAGATAATTCACAGGGAAAACTGATAAGCACTCAGTACAAACATCAAGTACTCTTCTCTTCCTACGATTTTCTTCGAATAATTTCGATCATAATTTGTCATTCATGCTATATTCTAGGAAAATCAGCAATAGAAAAGCCGCGAGCGGCTTTCAGACTTGTTTTTGAGTTCAAAAAGCCGCGCGGCTTTCTTGATGAAATAGTTTTCTTCGGTTAAAAAGCCGCTAGCGGAAACGATAAGGCATTTATCATGTTCCTAGAAAAACCGGGAGCGGCTACTTTTTCCAAGTCGATTCAGACTGCACTCTTTCTATCAAATCGGATTTCCAAATTTTTTCTTCTTTGATTTCTCTTTTCGAAAATCTTCTTTCCCAAGATGCCCCGCGGGGTTCCTCTCTCTTTATTGGTCCCTCGATTTTCCCACTTTTCAATTTCTGACCTTCCTCAAAGAAGAGAAATTTCTCTTTTCCTTTCTTTCTTGATTTGAGAAAGAAGATTTTGCTCAGTTTTCAAAAGTTAAAAAAGTGCGTGTTTTTTTTCGGGGAATGAGATGAGCTCGAGTTTCGTTATTCAAAGAGAAGGGAAACAATCGCCGCCGATTAGTCACTCAAAATGGCCGCATCATTTATTCATTGCCAGTTTCGCCCCCAGGCGCGTGCAAGAGAGTCCGTTTCGAAAATATGAAAATAAAGAACGAAAGAGTATCCAAAATGAAAAGAATCGACTATTTCCGGAATGGCTTTACCGAAAGACGATGCAAACGACGAGCAAGACGAAGAAATAGAAAATGATCGAGCAGAAAAGGGAGATAAAAAGTACCTCGAGAACATTCGTCAAACGAACTTACCAGACACTTCTTTCGACGACATCACCGGACAAGACGAAGCTAAAGTAGCTCTTATACAGGTAAACCTGCCTCTTCTACCTCATTCTCATGCTTTTCAGTCAGTGATTTTGCCTATCAAACAGCCTCAACTCTTCCACGGACTGAAGCAATGGCGAAGAATTCTGCTTTACGGACCTCCTGGAACGGGGAAAACATCGCTTGTCAAATGCACGGCTAGTGCAGCGAATGCACCGTTCTATTCAGTCACATGCTCGACTCTACTCTCACCATATCTCGTAAGTCCAAATAAACAACCCTCATTCTTCTATTCTATTCTCAACCCTCTATTCTTCTATTCATTCTTCAACTATAATTTTATTCATCAGAAAATATTTTCTATACCAGCAGAATTTCGACCTAGTCAACCAACGGACTCATTTTGTGAAGATTTTGTAGTTGAGCTATCATAGATAGTCTATCTAAGATAGAATTTATGAGATAAAAACGTTCATTATTTTTTTCATCTTGTCCTGTGAACTTGAGTGTTAGAACGACAGTTTTTATTGTGAACGATGCTCAAAAGAGGGCGCAACGATAGACTCAGCAGGGGATGCACTGAGGGGTGCTACTATCGGTCTCAATCAGATTACTAACCAATTTTTCCCTCTTTCCACTTCTATCTGCGGTTCTAGGGCGAGTCCGAAAGCCGTGTTCGTGAAATTTTCGCCGATGCTCGAGCCAATTCCACAAAAAATCGCCCAGCAATCATCTTCATCGACGAAGTAGACTCTGTAACGCGAACCCGAACCGCTCACGAAGATGAATCCACCCGTCGATTGAAATCCGAGCTTCTTCTTCAACTCGAAGGCGACTTTTCCGGCAAGAGCGTGGAGCCATTCGTCATTGCTTGCTCCAACTGCCCATGGGATCTTGATCCAGGTTCGTTTGTTCAGAAGTATTGATGAAAAACAGCTTTTTTCTAGCGTTTATAAGGCGATTTTCGCGACGGATTCTGGTTGATTTGCCTTCAATGGACGATTGCTGTAGAATTCTAAAGAAGAAACTGGACAAAGCAGACGTGGAATTCGCTGAACGGCACTGGATGGCGATTCGAGACAAGTTCTATCTTTATTCTGGATCAGGTACGCTGTTTCTGAGGGCTCAAAGATTATCCCATGTTTATAGATATCGATAATCTTGCCACAGCAACCCTTATGCGCCGAATAGACGAAGTAATTCTTTGCGAAAACTGGGACATCCACTCCGACGGTCGAGTAACTCCAAGTTCGAATTTTTCCGCACTCGTCGGGACGCAAAGCTTCATCTCAAAATGGGCAGACATTCCCAACGGATCGATCATTCCGCGGAAGGTGAAAATCGACGACTTGCACTACGCGCTGTCTGTAATCAAACCGAGCATTTCTGAAACTGCCTACAAAAAGTTCACTGAATACGAAAAATAAAACAGAAATTTAACGCGAAAATTCACCTGTTCTATTTAAGAATTTTCTAAAACCTAAAAATGGAAATGGGCGAAGGAATGGCTCCACATCCCGGTCCACCGGCTCCCGGCCCTGGACCGGGACTTGCACAAGGAGCCGCCGACCAAAAGCCGCCACCTCCAGAATACTCTCCAAATAACACAATTTACATCAATAATATCTCAGAGAAGATTAAAATTGCTACTCTTCTCACCGAGCTTTCAGCGATTTTTGAGCAGTTTGGCAAGATCTTGGAAATTCATGTAAGGCTCACTCAATGTTTCCTTTATTCACTCGTCTTTTAGGCGAAAAAGAATCTACGAATGCGTGGTCAGGCGTTCATCGTCTTTGAAGAACTTGAAAGTGCCAAGAAAGCGGTGAACTCCATGCAGGTAATGCTCACTTTCTAAGAAAGTCTTTCTTCCATCCACTCTTCAACTAAAATTTCATTCTAGGGCTTCCCATTTCACGACAAGAAGATGCGAATCGCCTTTGCCAAAACCGACAGCGATTCTATCGCCAAAATGAAGGGAACCTATGTCGAAAAGGATCGATCAAAGAAAGACAAGAAGAAAAAGAAGAAGAAGGACAAGAAGGTCAACCCAATGCAGGCGATGATGAACATGATGAATCCACAGATGATGATGCAGGTTTGACTTTTTCTTCTGTAGCTCAGTTTTGAAATGTCCGTTTTTAGATGCAGAAGATGATGCAACAGGGTGGCATGCAAATGCCGATGAACATGCAAGCCATGGCGAAGATGATGCCGCAGATGCAGGCGAATATGGTAATTTTTTGCTAAGGAAACGACGTATTCCTCAACCATTTTTTAGCAAAAAATGATGGCTCAAATGCAGGGTGGCGGTGCTGCGGCTCCTGGAATGGCTGCAACTCCTGCCGCACCGGGCCCGATTGCTGCTGCACCAAACATGGGTCTTCCAGAAGGCAAGTTCGGCTCGAACAACATCATCTTCGTCCAAGATCTTCCAGAAGAAGTCGATGAGAAGATGCTTACCGCGCTCTTTAATCAATTCGATGGATTCACCGAGGTCCGAATGGCGCCTTCGAAGACTGGCAAAGTAAGAACCTTCTATTTGATTACAAAACCCTACTAAATTCTATCTTAGGCTGCCTTTATCGAGTACACCACTGAACGATCCGCTGCCAATGCGAAGGACACGCTCCAGGGATTCAAAGTCACTCCCACCACTCAACTCAAGATCACTTTCGCGAAGAAATAAAAGAGTAATCTTTCCGACTCATCTTCGTCCAACTTTAGTCACATTCGTTGTCAACTGCCCCTGAATCTAAAATTTCTGAATTCCATTTTTGCTAGAACATCTTTCAATCAATGGGACTCTAAAACAAAACTAGAATCTTGATTTCCCTCAAGTTTAGACTTCGAAATGGATCCCTTAGACTTCGACTCTATGAATAAAGAGCCTACTCCAACTTACGCAGCTCCACCGCCTCAGCAACCGACTTTTCAGACGCCAACGAGTCATCGTTTGCCAAACAGAAGGCCTTCCTTCAATTCTCAACCAAATCAACAAGAACAATTTACAAATGACGGTAAATAAGCTCTTATCTTCTAAAATCCAGTATCTTTCAAAGAACGCCAAATCTTCTAGAGTAAAATCTTTTTCCATCAAACTGTCTCTAGAGCCAAGAAAGCGCAGCTTATTTTTGAAGCAAATTGATAAAAATAAAATAGAGAAAGTGAATGGACAAGCCCCTGCCATCATGCATCTTCAGCTTGGAAGAACTAAAATCAAAAGGAAGCGCCGCCAGAAATGGTTGGCAAAACCGCACAGCTCTCGCTCCCGAAGAACGAAATGAGTACATGGATATGATGCGAAAAGGACGTCCATACTCTCAAATCCGGGAGCTTTACGAAAGCAGACACAATAAGAAACTCGCGCCGTCAACGATTCACAACTGGCGAGTCAAGATAAGAAACGAGGAGATTAGAGAGCGCACTGGACGAAGAAGAGAACTTGAATCAGGAAATATAACAGGCAGTCCCGTTCGAAAACGAATGACAGCGGAAGAATATGAGCCAGAATATATTGTGCCGATCGAATTTCCACCTGAAGAACCAGAAGACTCCCCTGGTATCTTAACTCAACAAGAACGTCAAAAAGTGTCCGTCAACCGGCGAAACTCTATTGCTGAAGACTACAGATACTCGTCATTACAGCCGTCTGAAGATTTGATACGAAAAAGGTCAGCTTCAACTGTCACTAGGAAGGATCACTTCCAGCGACTGGGAGATATGAAAACATCTTCTCATCGCACCAGCGGTTTATATTCTGTCGGAAACAAGAAAAATGGACTAGACTCGGGACAATCAGGAGGCCTTCTTTTCACTCCTTCTCGAAAACCAGCCGCTCCAGTAATCAAAATCGACTTGACTGGAATCCAAATTCAACAAGAACGCCCAAAAGTCGCGGCCAATCGCCGAAACTCAATCGCCGAGGACTACCGATACTTGTCATTACAGCCGCCTGAAGATCTCATACGAAGAAGATCAGCGTCCACTTCGACGAGGAAGGATCACTTCCCGCGACTGGAAACTATCAACGAATCTTTCCATCGGCCTAATAGCTTGAATTCGAAGGAAAATGAGCTCAAATTTGGACAATCAGGAGGCCTCTTATTAGCTCCACCTCGAAGACAATCTGCCCCAGAGAACAAATCTCATGAGATCGAAAGTAAGGCAGCTTTTGGTGTTCTTTGGAAGATACTCTTTAATACTTAGTCCTCAATAAGGACTCCTCTTTCTTACCAATAAACATATTTAGATGTGGGTTACCAAGCAGAAGGGCCATCATCAGAATCAACAAGAGAGGACATTCAGCAATTCAGTAACAATCAACAAGCGAACGAAGTTCAATACATCCAAGATGATACGAACCAAGAAGGTAAATACCGTGTTTTCGTGAATAATAATTATACCGCTTCAGCAGATCAGGATAACTACAGTGAAGAAGCTGGGCCTTCACGACTCCCCGAAGAAGCACCAGAAGAAGTTCAAGAATCAGGCGATGATCAAGAAGCCGACTCTAGCTGTCGACTTGACAATACTCTAATGATAAAAGCTGCTGTAATTGGTGACAATGATAAGGACAAGAAAAAGCGAAGAAGAGAGCTGATGGACTACGATGATAGGCAGAGGACTATCAAACTGATAAACAACTTTTCTGAGGAGCAGATCAATAGGCAAGTCATAATCCATCGACTTTGAAGTTAAACTTATCAACCGTAGATACGAGATGTACCGAAGAAGTTGCTTCCAGAAAAACCAGATCAAGCGACTCATGACCATGACAACTCCATGTACGGTGCATCAGCATGTGAGCATAGCTGTCGCAGGAATCGCCAAAGTTTTTGTTGGTGAACTCGTCGAAGAAGCACTCAAAGTCGCGGATAACCAAAATCACAAAGGTAGCGATATATTCCACAAATTTCGACGTCTAACATTTTCTAGGACCGCTTTTGCCAAGCCACATCAGAGAATCTGTTCGCAGATTAGGTCACGTCCCTGGGAGCCATCTGCACGATAAGAAACGCAAAAAAGCCAGGCTTTTTTGACGCAATTTTGTCCTTTTCACAGCCATCATTACTGTCAAGTTAACAAATAAATGTAAAAATTCATTCAAAAAAAGCTTCAACACAAAGAATTTATTTCGACCATTAGTTAGCGGTCTCACAGGGTGGTTTGAGTTAAGGATCCGAATTCGCAGTTGATGTAGTAAAGATAGGTAAGAGAAAGAGAGTGGTTGGTTTACTGGAGGGACATCATGTCGTTGAGGGTCTTGTCAAGCTTCTCAGAGATCTCTCGGAAGTTGAGCTTCTCCTGGTAGAGAGAGTTGATCAAGTCATCGATGGTGGATTCGAGCTTGTCGACGGATCGTTCGGCGAATTCAGCTCGGGTATCGGCAAGTTTGAACTCTTCCTGGAGATCCTTGACCTTGGTTTCGTACTCGTCTTCCTTGACGGAGTTGTCGGCGACGATCTGGTCCATGTCTCGCACCTTATCCTGGAGTTGTCGAAGCTCGTCTTCGGTAGATCGGCCCTTGCCCTCGAATTCCTCAGCTCGCTCGATGATTCGCTCGAGATCGTTGGAGACAATCTTCAACTTTCGCTCGGACTCTTCGTACTTGTGGTTGGAGCTCGTAGCAATCTGTCGAGCTTCCTCGAGCTGAGCTTCCATCTGCTCAGCGGCTTCTTCGTTCTGGAAGGACTGCTGCTCAGCAAGTCGCTTGCCTTCCTCGTTTTCGTTGAAAGCCTAGATTGCAAAATTATGTTTGCTGTTTGTGCAAGATTTGAATCTCAAACAGAGACTTTCCCTTGCGCTCTTTCTCTATCTGAGAGCTCTCATTATATCTTTATCGAAGATACGAGACGTCAATAATTACGCTTATCGAGAGTCTTTCAGCCGAGCACTGAACCTATAAAACCGGCAATGATAGCTATCCTCGCATCAGTTCAGAAAGACAGAGAAAGTTTCAATAAAGATCGAGTTTTTGTTGAAAAAGGGTCTCGTTTCAATCCGCTATGAAAAATATCGGCAAAATTCGACCCTCGATCAACCTCGACGCATTCGACTTTCTTATTTTACCTTTTCAATGGTGGCAATCTTTTCCAAGTTCTCGTTGAGTCGAGTAGTGGCTCGGCTGGTTTCTTCCTCCAAGAGGGCGATTCGTCGCTTGAGAGCACCGACCTGCAACTCGGCATCGACGACTTCCTTGTCGATGATTTCAAGCTTGTCCTGGGTGGTCTTGTGGGTAGAAATAGTCTCATCGAGCTGAAAACCCGATGTTACTCCCTGATGACCCTTTTACTTCTATTACCTGATCCTCGGTCTTGGCGATGGCTCGCTGAACCTTGTCGACTTCCTTTTCGAATCGAGCGAGCTCAGACTCGAACTGGGCGCAGATGGTCTCAGACTCGTTAGCTCGGCTGACGGCTTCGTCCTTCTCCTTGAGGAGGCAGTCCATCTTATGCTTGATCGATTCCATCTTTCAAGGGTTTTTTCTTCTTTTCTTGACAAGAAAAAAAAATAAAAAAGGTACTCGCTGTAAATGCGGATCCTCAAACTGAAGCAAAAGGAGCAGGAGTAGGAGAGGGCCAGGCACGCTGATAAGCTCCCAGTAGGTGATTTAGCAGTGCATTCGTCCACACTTAGATACGCCGCCTGTCAGCAACGGGGAAGGTGACTAAGTCAGCTGGCAAAAAATAACTATGCATCGGGAAGTATCTTTCAACAAGGTGATTAAAAATGATCTGGTAAAGAAGAAAACGAGGCACATAGTTTAGTCATTTGAGCACATCTACGGGACTACCGTATATAAATTACGATTGTATTTGAGGATCCGAATGGGATAAAGGGGGTCTAGCTGCTAGGGTTAATCCTTTTAAAATTCGCAAGAGACGCATGACGCCAATCTTTTGGACAACACTTTTCCATTTCTTGATTGACTTCTTCAGTCCATCTTTTCCAATACGCCCTTTTCTTCCATACTTTTCCCTGGCGGACGAAATGCTCGTCGTTTTATGATTTTCTATGAACGAGTGGATAAATACCACAGAGCCGTGTCGTCAGCTCTTCGAAGAGATCGTCTACCCGCAAAGAAACCGTATAATCGCCCTCGGCCTTCTCGACTTCTGACAGGATAATGTACCCTAAGGCCGTAATTGCGCGATTTTCTAAATTGACAAGCTAATCGCTCAACAAATTGAAAATCGATTATCTCGGTGAGAAAGTGCTCTAGAATTTTGACAAATTGCCCAAGCGTAAAAATATTCAAGAGGCACTACTTTGTGAATACGGTATAAAGTTGCTCGGCACCGGAAAGGTTTCTGAATTACTGTCACGCTACTCTTTGGACGCTTTTTATCTCAATCTGCGTTATTTTTCTTTGCTTGCGTACGTATTATTCCAGCTTACAGGAGTCAATCTGTTGTAGTTTTATTTTGCTGCTACAGATGTCGTGGAAGAGCGAAAACCCTTGTTTCTGACGTTGCGCTGGAAATTCAACAACGACAAAGATTTCAGCCACGGGTTTTCATCGATCATTTCATCAGCAGAGTCATCAGTTTTTCAAGATTTTCATGAAAGCCCGAACTAAGAGCCAGGGACTATCAGAAGGTTTTATCAATAACGCTCTACTGAACACTGCTCTCTTCGCCCAACAATTGCACCAGAAAACAGTCAACGATCAATATATTTTCCGTCCATTTCGATCGTTGTTGATTGCAAAAAGTTGCCGCTCGATGAAGCCCTTTTGGCTAATACGGAGCAATATCTTCGTGGCGGGAACACCCAAATGATGACTCGAAGGGGAACTAGAGCCCTTCCTGTTTCGCACTCTGGCTCAAGAATTGCGGTCCCTGAACGAACGGCCTTTGATTTATGAATACCCTCATATGCGTTTTGATTTTTGAGGCCGTGGAAAAAGTAGAGGGACGATTATCAAAATGCAGCTTGGCATCGACCCGGCTGGACTCTTGCGAAGAGTGACATCAACAACGACTCCTATTTTGCGTTATTTTCTTGAATAAATTGATCAACTAAATATTGCCCCTGTTTGTGGAAATTCATGAATACTGACATGTTTACAGCCTGAACTCGATGCAGCTGAACTGAGAACTCCTGAGTCCCCAATTTTCTCGCAGATTATTTGGCATTTTTAGATTTTCCACTTGAGCGCCAATCGCGCCAAGATCTACCACCAGCATGTCGCTTCGGAAATAAGCAAACTCAAAATGGCATGACGACTGCTGAAACTGCTCATGCGGCACAAACACTTTCGCCCTAGAAAAGGAATTGAAAACGAAGGCTCCCTTTTCATCCTCTACTTTGCATGCTCTTTGTACTGAAATTTTGCCGATTTAGTGAGCCTTCATCGTATACTTTATTGAAAATTTTCAAGAACAGACTACATTTTTTTCAGCATTATTTATTAATAAATGAGATTTCTCTGATTAACAAAGAGGTATTTTATTAGAGTTAACACAAGTATTGGTTCATTTTATTATTTTAATAGAATCGGTTGGTTCTCTTGACCTCCGTGCTCATCGATGCATAAAGTAAATGGAGCTTCCCTTGCAAGTTGTCGGCTAAACTATCGGTGGTGTTTTTGCGCTTCGGTGGTGTTCGAATCGCCTTTGCCGCTGGGCAGGAAGGGATGGCTCGGCCAACCAGTGGGTAGGTGTCTATCGTGGAGGTGCGGGTGTTCGGTGTCGGCCCGAAGCTCTCCGACATTACCTTGACGCTACACAACGAATAACCAAACCAACCCCGAAGGCTACCAACACCCCAAGGCAGCTAGAGGTAAGAGACGACGAGAGAATCTCCTGAAAGCCCCAAATCGTTTATCCAGGCCTCCAGGGGTTCCCCTCTAAGGCTGGACTTACGTCTATCAAATCAGTCTATCGGTAACTTCCTCAAGGGGCCATATTTTATGGGGCGCTCGGTAACAGTCGCAAATTTTCTGCTAAAAATGTAATTTTTAAATCTTACAATATTGAAGTTTTCATTGTTTTCTCGAGCTTTTTCTTTAAATTTCATGAGCAATTTAATGTTCTTACAGGTTATTTTCAATTTGTTTTCAAAATTTTCACCTAAAATAAGAAATAATTGCCTATCTGAGCTCTTTTTCAACGAAGAAAAGCTTTATTTTGAGCAAAAAATATTAAAGAATGAGCTTCTTTGATTTTGGAAAAGCGAATTTATCGAAAAAAATAGTCGAAAGAACTTCTAAAAGGCACTCTTCACCTCCACCCCTTGAAATCGGAGAGCCTTCGGTTTTAGAACCTTTGCCATTTCGAGGCCATCCCCTTATCAACCTTCGATGATCGACCTAGATACGGAAGCTAAGCCCAGTCGCCAGGCATCGGCGTTGGAAAACCGATTGCACCTGCCTTTGAAAACTCGGTCCAGCGCGGAAATAGCACCCGCTAGCGGCGCTGCTCGCGGCAAATTCTAGCTAAAAATTCGCAATTTTTCCACCCCCAGGCAAACATTCTAGCGATAGCGCAACTTTTTGAGAAGTTCTAGAAAACCATGACACTCATGGAATTGAATGAAAATGTTCAGCAACTCAGCAATCAAAACTCGCAAAACATTCCCGGTATGGATCAGCAGCAGCAGCGGATCGGAACAAAACGAGAGAGAGTCGATGTCGTTATGAAAGAGAACGATGGGCAGGACCAGAATCAACAAGTTGTTCAACAGGAAAAGAGGCAACGGACTGTTGTTACCACTGAAGAACAGCAGTTTCAACAAGATGCGGTTAGATATCAAGAGCTACCGGTAAGTTAGGCCCATTTTTCTAAAGAAAAGAACGCTTTTTCACCAAATAGTCATTTTTAGCTTTCTCATTTCATTTTTTTAAGAATTTTTTTCAAAATCAAGTCGATAAATTTATATTTTTCATGGTTCCAGCGCGTTCTTTTTGTTTTCAAAATAACTCGGCGACCTTTTAATATTTTTCGCGAGAATTTCAATCTTGTTTACTTTCAAACTCTAACAAATCTCTCAAAGAGAGACGCTTGAGCCCACCGGTTGTGACAATCTGTCATGTTCTCAACTTCGAATTTTCGAATTTCGCTTCAAAGAAAAAGAAAATTTCTCTATTTCGCGGCGCGCCTTCTAATTCCCTCTCTCATTTGGGTCGAGTGCAATTTAGTAATAAAACACTTGAATTTGATCTTCGGCTCTTTGATCGAATAATTATGATAAAAATTGGCTTCCGGGTGGTATGCGAAAGTGCAGCTTGAACTGAACGGTCGGTCGGTCTGCTGCTCAAGGCAAAGTCGGTCGCTTGAGCTCACGGCAGAGTCGGTAATTCAGAATATAACAATTCGGCCCCGGGATAAGCGTTATTCGAATCTAGTGGATCATCATCTGCCTTCCTAATTACTACAACCACAACTAACAACGAATTCAGGAGGGTACTGAAATCAGACAAGTCAGCGGCGATGGCCAGACCGTGCAGCTTTCAACTGGACAGCAAGGCCGCATCATCCAGGTTGAGCTGACCAACCCAGATGGAAGCTCCAACGGCGTGCAACAAGTTCTCGTCTACGAACCCACTGGAGAGCAAGGAGAGACCAAGTAAGTTTCATGAACAATTTCTTTACCAAAATATGTTTTACTAACAATATTCAAACATTCACTTTCATAATGGTATTAAATTTTTATTATGTACTGTTGGGGCTGACGTATTACTAAAAACTGTAGGAGTACAAAATGTTAGGCGAATACAGTTAGGCGAATACAGTTTTGGTTGATCAATGTTACCAAAATTTACTTCTGATTCGCGGAGTGCGCAATTTCTAACATTCTTAGGCCTCTGATACACCATCATCCGGTAGTCGTACAGGGACGAGAAGCCCTTTTTATATGAGCCTACTTTCGTCCCTGTGCGATGACCGGATAGACAAAATCGTCTATTTTTACGTCCGAGGCCTAAACATTCTTGATCAACAAAAACTGTATTGGCTTAACGGTTTGGAAAATACTTTTTGACTCCTACAAAATGCGTTTGGCTCATACAGTTCTCAGCTATACGGGGACCCCTACTAATTTTTGATTTAATAAAAGTTTAATAAAAAATAATAATAAAAGTTTTACTCGTTTTTGGTAAAAAAGGATTTGACCCCGTACAGAATGATTTTGAGTGTGATTTGAGTGATTTTGAGCATCAGATTTGCACTGATTCGGTTACCGCACTGTTCTAGAAAAGTGGATTCGCTAAGGCCAGTCTTTTCCGGGCCTCGGGTCTTGCTCCGGGAAACGAGCAGCGAGTTTTGCTGTTAGCGAGGCCTTTGGGTTATTTTATCGCCGCCCGAGTGCTCGTTTTTACGATTCTCGAGCTTCAAAACAATTGGCCCATCGTTACGATTTCCCTACTTCGTTTACAGTTGATTGCCTCGCAGCATATTATCGCCCGAAGAGATTGTTTCCAGCTTCGACTTTTTTACTATTGAAAAGTTGGGCTCATTTCGAGATTTACGCGCCGCTGGCGATATCTAGAGCGATTCATTCCTTTTCACATTCTCTTTGGGAACGAGAAGAGAGACGAACGTATTTTTATCAAATTCAGTTTTTATCGAAAAAAAACGCCGCCCCGAGCGCGAACCCAAAGCGAAACCTCGAGCGAGAGTCGAGATACCACCCACTCGGCCACAAAAGCAGAAAACAACAACTAACAAATTATCGTTTTTATTCATTTTTTGCGCTTTTTGCAAGGAGAGATAAAGTTGGAATAAGAGAGATTTTTCGAAATACCGTAACAGACTAGGGTTCAGGATAATTTCCTATTCCAAGAAGACTCTTAGATCAAAAATTCGAAAATAAGAATTTCAAAAATAATAATTATTAATTTTTTCAACTGAAATTATCCTCTGAACTCGTCGTTAGAAAATGGAAACCCCTACTTCCGTACCTACAACCACAATTCCCATCAAAATCGCTCCCCAAGCAGCAATCGTAACAACTTCAGTATCAGCCCAGCCTCTAAACATGGACCTTACCCGTGCGGCGTACATACAGGGCGTCGCTACAGTGAAAGATGCGCCACAAGCGCTAGTGGCGAGTGTTCTCCCGACCACGAGTCTTCCCCAGCCCGTCCAGCGCGTCATCGTTCCTCTTGAAGAAAATGACGTGGCCAAGACTGAGGAAGGGGTAGAAACGGTCGCGAGTGAAATTTCTGAAGTGATAAACGCAGTTGAAGAAGGAAAAGTTCGGAACTTTTCGAGCCATTCTTGATTTTTTTCAATGGTCGAACATTTTTGAAGGGAGATTTTCTGAACTTTTAATATCAGAAGAGGGTAAAAGAGGAGTAAAACGAACGGGGGAGGAAATCGAAAAGGACTCGCCCAAAATTTACCAAAAACGAGTGAAACTACAGCGCTTTTTTCTTGGGTATTTTCAAGTTTCTCAGTTTTCCTTTCGTAACAAAATATTTAGATATGTTGACGAAGAAGGTAACGACTACCAGCCGCCGTATTTTCCGCCCCAAGATGGAAATGGCAATCAGTTTCAGTTCCAGCAGCAGTTTGCTGACGGCCAACAGTATCAACATGCTATTATGATCGGAGAAGATGGCCAACAAATCCTTACTGTAAGTTCCCCTCCTCCCGACTTTGTCTAATCCTCTTCCAGGAAGAAGGAGGCACTAGAATCATCGTCGGAAACAACGACAACTACATCGTCACCCAAGACGGTCTTCTCCAAACTGTCGACGGTCAACAAGTTATCATGATGAGCGAATCCATGGAAGGCAGCGACGTCGTCAACGGAGAAGAGCAGCAACAGCAAATGCAAAACGGAACCATCCAACAAGTCGATGGCTCTGTCATCAGACGCATTCCTTCTGGCGCCATTGTTATCAAAGGCCAACGCGATGGAAAGGTACTTTTGACTTTCAAAAAAACAGCGATAAAACGTGTTCTTTCAGCCTGATTCTCGAGGATCTTCCGATGTCAACGATCCATCAGGAGTATTTTGCCATGTTCCAGGCCGTCTCTCGCTGCTTTCCTCCACTTCAAAGTACAAAGTCACACTTGCCGAAATTCAGCGGCGCTTGTCACCTCCAGAGTGCCTCAACGCCTCTCTCCTCGGCGGCGTTCTCCGACGTGCCAAGTCCAAGGATGGCGGAAAACGACTTCGAGAGCGACTTGACAAGATCGGTCTTTCGCTCCCAGCTGGCCGAAGAAAAGCTGCAAACGTCACACTTTTGGTGAGCTAAACTTAGACCAAATTGAACAAGAGTCTAATCGATCGATTTTAGACTTCCTTGGTGGAAGGAGAAGCTGTTCATCTTGCTAGAGATTTCGGCTACGTCTGCGAGACAGAATTTCCAGCGAAACAATTGGCAGAATACGTTTGCCGACAACACAACGATCCCGAGATTGTTCACACGAGAAAAAATATGTGCCTCGCTACCAAGTAAGTTCTGCAAACAACGAGGAGTATCACCTCCTTCTTCCATCCTCTCAAACACTTCTCTAACCCACTCCTCTAGAAATATCGTAAAAGAGCTGCAAGATCTGCTGACACAAGACCGCTCACCAATCGGCAACACAAAACCAACCCCTGTACTGGACCAGTGCATCCAAAAACCGCTTTCGCAATTCAGGTAAAAATCAACTCCTTTTCGACCTTGACTTACTTCGAATTGTAGCGCGATCACTCACGGATTCGGAACACCTGGAATCTGCGCCGCGCTGACCGCACTTCAGCATTATTTGACAGAAATGCTGCGGCAACACGACAAGCCCATGTCCCTTTCGTACAGCCACGATAAGCCCCAGTCTCTTTCTTATAATAAGGTTAGTTTCTCAACCCCACAACATCACTCTAACCCTTTTTTAGCAAAAAGACATGTCCAGCATCGTCAAGCACGACAAAATGTGAAGCGACCATCTTCCGAAAAAGTTCAGTCCAAAAATCCGAAATAACAAAAAAAACAAACACTTTTACTTAGATAAAAATTCACCATAAATAACTGAAAATTTCTTTCATTCACGACTTCTGCCTTATTTTCACTGTGACAAGGCTTCGATGAAAATCGTCGACCTTCAAAAAATAACCTGCCGATATAAAAAAAAAAGAATTATTTGATAATAATTGTAAATAAAACACCTAACAAAATTCTACGTTGTTATATTTTGACTCGACGAAACGTGTTTGTTTGCTGATATTTTCACGGCAAATATCATAGAGTACTCCACGAGGAGATTCTCTTGAAGAATTTCAAGAAGAAAAATGGGAATGCAACAAAAAAGGAAAGGCTATTCAGAATAGGAGATCGTAACATCCTACGATTGATCAACGTTTCTTTTTATGTACAAAGATGGATAGAGACAGAATAGAATATTATTTTTATACTCTGTTCAAGCGTTCTCTAAAATTATCATTATGCGGAAAACGAAAATATGAATTTTTTTGCACTTTTACTAGCGACTCTTTCTTCGGCGCAAACCGACTCCAACAACTATCACCACGAGACTAACGGCCTTGATGGGTATTTCTGCGACCCGTATGGTGATTGTCTACTCTGCGCTTTTGACAGTGATGGCAAGTTCTACGTTGATACTATCATCGATAACAAACGACCCTGGGTTGATGGACCTGACGACGACGATGAAAAACGAAAGATGACCCTCATCTCCAAAACCAAACACGATCAGCACGTTCCAGAAACTGCCTTCAAGCAATTCCATAAGAGCACATGCGTCGGCGAAGTGATCGGAAATGGGAGTAAGGTCCGATTCCGCAAGAATGTCAACGATCAAAATTGCAATGACGAGTTCGACTTCAGTCACATCGTCGACTTTGACATCGGTAAATTAAATCATATTCTTTCGAAAAATATTATTTCATATTATAGGATTCGATGATTCCTGGCTTGTTAACGAATTCGGCGATGAGCGCATCCTACGGGGCGGCGTTTCCAACCAATTTCAATGCCGATTGAAAGCATCTGACCACGGCTCGGTCGATGCCAATCACTTTATCGAAGCTAAGCTCGAGGCTAGCGATGGTCTCCTTTTTATTTTCAGAGAATTCACTCGCCATAATCACCGCAAAATTGGCGAGCCACTTACACCTACTCGCAAGAATCTTCCAGGACAGAATGGACATCAAATGTCAATTCCGACTTCGAGGTGGCATACCAATCTTTGCCAACATCGTGGCTGTCGATTTCTAGGTCTTTGGAATGACCCACGATTTTTTCTCCTGACAATTTTGCACTGTATTTTACTCGGAGAAAAAAATTCGGGTAATTCCAAGGTCTCGAAATCGACAGCGATGGTCAAGACATTGACTGGAAAGACCATTACCCTCGAAGTCGAAGCTTTTGACACTATTGAAAATGTCAAAGCTAAGATCCAGGTAAGCCAGAAATCAACAATAATAATCATATTCTTTTAGGACAAGGAGGGAATTCCCTCAGACCAGCAGCGACTCATCTTTGCTGGTAAGCAGCTTGAAGATGGCCGAACCCTCTCCGACTACAACATCCAGAAGGAGTCTATCATCCGGACGACTTTAATACCACCATTCGTGTGTTGTCCGCAATAGATTCCTTAATAAAAATCGCTCCTACGTAATTGTAAATCGCTCCTATTGTAATTGAAAATGAAACCGCTTCGTCAAAGTTGAAATAATAAGTTTCGTAGTCAATCGATCTCAGTAGAATTCAGTTTATTCGGTTCCAATCTTCCAATCTTTACCAGATTTTTTGTCGAATTTATTTACAAAGAAAGATTTATACGATTCCTAAGGTTAAAGGAGTACTTGAAGTAAATGATGAATATACATTCGAAATCAAAGGTTAAGAGATCGAGGGAATCAGCGAAGGAACGTAAATAGTAGATGTCAGCGATTGAGTTAGACAGATCGTGCAGGAAGAAAACGGCCCTTTTTATCTCTTCTTTTTCCGTTCAGTAGATTCTCAGCACGCTCCTTTTCGTATTCTTTGATCTCTTTCTCGCAGTCAGTCAAATTCTTGAGAGGCTCCCAAGTTGCCGCGTCAATGTTCCAATTCTTCCAAAGGACTCTGTATTGAATCTTTCCCCAGACGTAACGTTTTCCGATAATTTTCTCGACGGTGTAGATCTCGTCTTCGTGAGATTCTTCATAAAACAGGAAGCCCTCTGGAATCTTTGCACTGCGTCTTCTTTTTACTTTCTCAGAGATTGTCTCGTGGACTTTCTTTTCCTCCGCCTTCTTCGGTGACTCCTGTTTGCTCGATTTTCGTTGCTTCCGTGGAGGTTCGACTGTATCTTCTTCGTCTGATGAAAGGACGATTACTTCCTCCGGGGCTGTCCGTTTTGTTTCGCTGACAAAACTTTGGAGGGGTAAGGTACGAGTAAGGGCTTCCTCGGGCTGTGTCTTCTTTCTTGGCATCATTTGAGGTTCCCGCGGTTCGGAAAGTGGGAACTTTTCTCGCAATTCTTCGCAGATCATCTGGTTCAACTCGTCAAATTGGGAGAAGATGGAATCCCTTCTTCGTCGTTTTTGAATGGGCTTCATCTTTATCTCGGCTGGTTTGTGAAAGTCCTTGTTGGTTTTTATCGTAAAATTTGTTGTTTCTGAGCATTATTAACGACATCCTCATTTTATAGTCATAAAGTTGATCTCTAGCGCCGTGATGATGAGACGCAGGTGCGTGCCCTGACCGAATTTCGCCGGCTGTAATAAAAATAAATAATTTTGCTTGTTATTATTTCATCAAATAAAAGGCAGCGGCAAGCAATTTGGCAAATTTTGAAATGCCGATTCTAAGAACCCAAATTTACTGACATTTCAAATCTCACATTTGTCTTCCTGGGTGTTGATAAGTGGCGATCAATATTCAAAAAATATTTAATAATAAGTCAGGTTATATTCACGAAGTATTAGATTTATTAAAAAGGTTTCAGAACAAGCAATTATTTTCTAACACACTTTGACTTCATTCTTTCTTCATCTGCTTATCCAGACTCAAACCGCCAGGTCCATACAAAATCCACTGCAGACAGACTCCAATAAGTGTTAAATTTGCAAAAAATTCGTAGGCCACATGCTCATAAGCAAATGGTTGGTCCCAGTAATCCCAGAAACGGTGATAGTAGAAATTGTCGAATAGAAGTGTTGCGACATATCCGCATGCAAAGAATCGTGTCTGATTTTTGATGAGATGGATTCACTAGTTTCTTCCTTTACCTTGAAGCCCAAAACGATCATAATAACGCAGGGCAAATTGACGACCCAGTCGAGGAGGAATCGCCAGTGAGAGAAGATGAAGTGAATCTTCGAAAAGAATAGAAATCCAAAAAGAAGACGCCCTAGAAGGATATTTCGTCTGAGAAAGTCTGGCTTTCCTACCAATCAAAGACATGTAGGATTGCTTCGTAAACTTCTGTCCTAACTGTGGTAGACCAGCGAAGAGGTTTTTCGATTCTTCACAAGCTTCAGCATAAACAAGGATGATTGCAGTAAGAAGCTTGGACATTTGCTGGCATTGCCACAAATTGAAGTTTACTCCTCCTGGGTAGCCCTTATTTTTTGAAATAATTGTGGTCTCTGACGAGTTTTACCTTGAGAGCAAGAACGTTATAAAAGCTCATGAAGACCATGTACAAACAAAATCGCTGCTGGACTTTTTTGTCTAACAAATTCGTGACCATCAACAATCCAGGAAGCAATTTCTAATTTACAGCGTTAAATTTATCACTGATCAATCTACTCACGAAGCAGAGTGGCCAGATGAACAGATTTGCCATGAGCCAGTCTTGCTCAAGTTCCTCGGTCATCCAAAGATTGGAGAAATAAGTCTTGTAAGTGGTAAACTCTCGAATATATCTCCACGAGTCTTCTAGCGTCGAAGCCATCAAACAAGCTCTTGCAGCGATGGGGAGGTACTTCCTCGATTTCGTCAAAAATCCTCCAGCTGCTTCATCAGCCTGGTCCAGAAAAGACTCGGCACTCATCTTTCACAATCTCTTTTTCCGGAAAAAGGGAAGAAAATAAGCTTAGTTATCAAACATAAAAACGGAGCACCGATGCCGGGAATTTATGCTCGCGGCAAAGTGCTCTGAAAATCTTTGACTTTCAGAAAATATCGAATTTATTTGTTGGACAGTTGAGGATAGTGGGTTTTTGCTTGTGATGAGTAAATGCGATCCGGCTGTGGAGCTTGTCGCGGAAGGAATGGGAGCAGAATTGCTTGATCCGTTCGTGGGATTTGTGCCATCGCTCTAGCTTGAAAAGTGTTGATCATTAATTCTGAAGCGTTTTTCTGTACCTGTTTGACTTGAATATCGCGCAAGATATCATGATGCATTCCTGGATTAGAAGCATGAAAGAGGCAAGTTTGATTTGCTTCCATTTCCGGGAGCAGTTGATAGTATTGAATGTTGTTTATAAAAGTTTTATGCTCGAAGCATGATTCTTGAATTTCGACTTGTCTTTGAACCAATTGCCGGACAATATCGTCGATTTTTTCATTCCCGATTTCGTTTATTTCATCTATTAGTCGCTCAACAAAATATCTGTATTTCAAGTTTAGAGAATATTCAAGCATATAGCCACCTGTATATTTGATGATCAAGTTCAGTCATTTCCAAGATTTTTGCTTTCGAAACCGAAGAAATCGTTGCCCTAGTCAACTTATCATCCGAACGAAACTGGTTTTGTTTTAGGCTAGTGATGTCCTCGAGGGTTAAATCAAATTTGACCATCATCACAGCAAGAGATTCCTCCAGCTTTTCCGTAATTAGAATAAGGTCGAATTCGTGCGAAATAAAATGAATTAGGTCGGCCACATTCTCGAGCAAGATAAAATCATCGGTAAACATCCTCGCCTGGGGATTTTCGAAGGCAAATGATAGGTGATCATTCTCAGCGGCCATAAGTAGATCGAAGTTGTTGACAAAGTGGTTAAATGCCTCCTCGTTTGTTGAATCTCCGAAGCGATCTTCTATTGTGGAGATGATTTTGTGCAGTTTGTTTTGGTGCCGATAGAAGTCCCAAGTTGACATTATCAGCTCATCTGGTGATCGAAGAATGCCGATTTTCTTCGTGTTTTTTCCAAGAATGGTATCTACGAAAAATCACAGTGAAAGTTATGGCTAGGCTTACCGCGGTGTTTTCTATTTTTCAGGCTCTTTTGAAAAATCTCCCCATACTTTCAGAACATATGCATCAAGACAAGCCTTGAAAAACTGCACTTGCAGAATTTTCGATATGAGTCATCTTACCCCCTTTTTTGGGGGATTTTTAGCAAGAAAAAAGCACTAGTTTGATTAGAAGCGGCTTTTGAGTGCGTGCTAGATCGATTTTGATAATTTGATGCCTACCATGTGAAAGATAAGCGCAAGATGCATCGATACATATGAAATTTATTATTGCGGAGTACTTCCTTCATATGATTCTAGAGCTCCAAAGTTGACGCAAGCAGCCAGATACGAAAATCCAATATTATCAACTTCTGATATAAGCATGCTATGATGATGTTTTATAGCTCAAATTGAAGCTTATAAATTACTGAACAAAATGGAGTGGTATTTTTTGACCAGCCGGTTGTGCTTCCGGTTCGTCGCGGTTCATACCCGGAAAAAGGTCAAAATGTAGAAATATGTATATCAAATGAATTAATTTTCAACAGCGAATCTTTTGAACATATTCAGAAGTTCAACCGCCCGGTTATTATTGCGGTTCATGGTGGTTCATGGTGGTTCAAGCGCAGAAATGAACAAAATAGCAGCAATATGTATATCAAATTGAAACATAAATTAAGAACATTCATAAAATCATTTAATAAGCCCGAACCAACCGGTTGTTCTCCCGGTAAATGGCGGTTCCAAACGGTTCAAGCCGGTTCAAGCTAAAAACATGCTCAAAGTGGTTCAATATGGTTATCAAATGTATTCATTTACAATAGCAAAGCTTTCTAGCATATAATGAAATTCAACCGCCCGGTTATTCTTGCGGTTCATGGTGGTTAATCGTGGTTCAAGCCCAGACATGAACAAAATAGCATCAATGATCCTTCGGGTCGGCTTGGCCCCGTCTCAGACTGAATTGTATAAACGGGCCTGGCCTCCCCTTATTCTTGCCCGTTTAAAGAGACAAAATCGATTAAAACCGGGCGGTTTGCGCATATTCAGTGTTTTACCACGCGTCCGGATCTCGTTAAAGTTTCAAAAGACGTGCTTTTTAAAAAACATTCATTTGATATACATATTGAACCACTTTGAGCATATATTCGGCTTTAACCGGCTTGAACCGTCAGAAACCTTCTTTTTCCACGAGAGTTACCGGTTGGTTTTGGCTAATTCAATGATTCGACGAATGTACTTAATACAAGATTCAATTTGATATGCATATTGATGCTATTTTGTTCATGTCTGGGCTTGAACCACGATTAACCACCATGAACCGCAAGAATAACCGGGCGGTTGAATTTCATTATATGCTAGAAAGCTTTGCTATTGTAAATGAATACATTTGATAACCATATTGAACCACTTTGAGCATGTTTTTAGCTTGAACCGGCTTGAACCGTTTGGAACCGCCATTTACCGGGAGAACAACCGGTTGGTTCGGGCTTATTAAATGATTTTATGAATGTTCTTAATTTATGTTTCAATTTGATATACATATTGCTGCTATTTTGTTCATTTCTGCGCTTGAACCACCATGAACCACCATGAACCGCAATAATAACCGGGCGGTTGAACTTCTGAATATGTTCAAAAGATTCGCTGTTGAAAATTAATTCATTTGATATACATATTTCTACATTTTGACCTTTTTCCGGGTATGAACCGCGACGAACCGGAAGCACAACCGGCTGGTCAAAAATACCACTCCATTTTGTTCAGTAATTTATAAGCTTCAATTTGAGCTATAAAACATCATCATAGCATGCTTATATCAGAAGTTGATAATATTGGATTTTCGTATCTGGCTGCTTGCGTCAACTTTGGAGCTCTAGAATCATATGAAGGAAGTACTCCGCAATAATAAATTTCATATGTATCGATGCATCTTGCGCTTATCTTTCACATGGTAGGCATCAAATTATCAAAATCGATCTAGCACGCACTCAAAAGCCGCTTCTAATCAAACTAGTGCTTTTTTTCTTGCTAAAAATCCCCCAAAAAAGGGGGTAAGATGACTCATATCGAAAATTCTGCAAGTGCAGTTTTTCAAGGCTTGTCTTGATGCATGTGTTCTGAAAGTATGGGGAGATTTTTCAAAAGAACCTTGAAAATCGAAAAACACCGCGGTAAGCCATAACTTATGGCTACTCAGCTGCTTACCTACAACAGTTTTGTTATAAACTCCCTTTTCAAACATCAGTTGAAAGTGATTTCTTCCCGTTTCTGATCCAAAATAGCAGCTTTCCAAGATAACATTTTCCCCCAAAGAGACTTCATCTTCGGCAAAAAACGCGTCCATCGAATACCTCAGCGCCATTTTTTGAAAGATCGGAATGACAGTCGATGTTCCAGCTCTTGAAATCGGCAAGAAGAAGAAATTCGATTTAGGCACTTTTATCGCGTCTCGGGGATTTATAAACAGTACGAAAATTATGTGAGTTGCCATGAATGCAAGAGCAGTGTAAAAAACATAACGAAATTTTCTCATTTTCAGGGTTTATTTTGATTGCCACGGAGAAACAATTTTTGATGCGCTGAGGTGGCTCCCGGCCCTTTTCTGCAAAAACTTTAACATTGAGCTTCCTTATTTACTTTCTTATTGTTTATGTTTAATAAAAAATGTATCTAAATTTTACGATGCTGCCCTTTGGAAAACTGTAAGCAAAATGATGTAACCCGCCCCTGAGCAAACGTCGACAAAAACATAATCTGTGAAAAACAAATTCCGTTTCTTTTTTCAAATCTTTCTCATTTTCCCGCTCACTCGAGAAAAAAATGAAGATCTTCGCCTTTTTAGCTGGACTAGCGCTTGGTCAGGCGCCGATTCCAAATCGACCGGTTGGTTTCGTCTACAACCCGACTGGCAATCAGTTCGTAGAGAATCCAGTTGAAGTCCAAGTGTTCATCGATCTTCAATGCCCAAGTAGGAAATTTGTCTTGATTAAAATGCTGAGTGTTGTTTTCAGATTGTCTCTCCGCCTGGCCTGGGTTGAAAGCAATGGGCGATCATTACGGTCCTAATGTCAAGGAAGGTTTTGAAGACCCGCTTAAAGTATTTGCTTATTTTTCTTATGGCTTAGCTACTAATTCGAAAGTAAACTATCTTGTTTTTGTTATTTCAAGACACCTTGGCGATCTCTTCAAAGAATCACGGTTTTTGAACTTTCTTTGATCAAACAATTAATTTCAGCTTCGAAAATGAGGCTTTTTAAATTTGACATTCAAATCCCTCAAAGCTTTCAGTTGTTGCCTTTCCGCTTCCGTATCATCGGGCTGCTTTCAAGATGGCCTGGGGTCTTCAGAGTGTAAATAAGATGAATCCTCAGCTTGCTTACGATTACATGGACAACATTTTCGCAAACGTGAGAAGACAAAATGATTTATGATTTATTTTGATTTGATTTTTAGCAAGAAGACATTGCAAACTACGCATCAGGCACAAATGACAAGGATCTTGTCCAATACATCGCCAACAAGACTGTCGAAAAGCTCGACATTGATAAGAACGCCTTCCTTGCTAACATGGCTGACCCTGATCTGGACTTGGCGACCCGAGTCGACTGGAAATTTGCTTGCTCACTTGGTGTTTCTGGTTTGACTAATTTTCCTTCACAAGTACTCATTCTATTCCAGGAACTCCAATGCCATACATCAACCGAGTTTTCCTCGACCAAGGCGTTGCCGAATTCACTCTTGACGACTGGAAAAAAGTCCTCGATCCAATTGTCGGACAAAAATACTTTGAAAACGACACTCTTTAAAAAATATTGAAGTTTATGAAAGCTCATGATTCGCTGTTAATAAAAAATGAAGATTATTCAGTCATAAGGTCAGTGGGATATTTTATACAGCTTCTTCATCAGAGGTTTTCACAGCTTGCCACATTTCAATTTGATTGCCCTCGAGGATCGCGCCCATTTGAGCCTGAGAACAGAGCGGGAGAAAGACGGTGAGCAAACAGCTCAGGCATGCTTTGTCAGCAGAGTCATGACCTCGCAGACGGTCAAACTTGCGTCGGATCGTATACTTCAACGCTTGATGAGGGCGATAAAATGTTGGATTTACTTACTAGAGCGACGGTCCAAATTAGGGCAAGGACGATGAGAGTCAAGCCGAAAATAGCGAGGACGTAAACCATCGTGGGCAATTTTTTCCAGTCAACGTCCTTGAATATTTATGAAAACTTTGATTTTCCGGATTTCTAAGGTACCTCTTCTCCAAAGGTCAAGATAGCTTTGATGGCTGGATCATCCATCCAGCCTGATTGGGAGGCTAACTTCCCAGCTTCATCCGGGTCTTCCGTGTAGAATAAGGACAAAGCTTTAAAAATGAAGAAGACGACGACCAAAATGACGCCCATGATCAAATACTTGATCGGTGCTCCGAAGGCAAGTCGTTTTCCGATGAAGTATGTTGCAAGTGGTGAAGGAAACTATTTTCAAAGCTGTTATTTTGGCAATAATTCCTGAAAAAATTACAAAGAACCATTTGCACCACGCTTCCGATCGGCAAGCACACAGTTTTTCGGGATATCTACTGTCGTCGTTTACGAGATACTCTCTCTGAACGGAAGTATGCCGAGTTTTTTCAGGAGTTTCCGACATTTTCTCTGCAACTAAAGAATTTATAGCAAGTCTCAAGTCAAATATAAAATGGTACGCATGGCTAAAGGCTTCGCATATTTTTAACGACGGGATCTAACAGGCGGAAAAAACGACTCAGACGAAAATGCCTGTTTTACGATGAAAGAATATTTATTATTCTGATCTGATTTATACGAAAAAGAATAGTTTCGTATTCAAGGACTTTTCAGCTTTTTCATGAAAATGGAATAGACCCGTTAAAAGTCTAGGTCATTTTTGGTCCCGTAAAAAAATTAAAGACGAGATAAAAATCTGGGGCACTTGCAAACAATAAATTGATTGATTTTGATGGAGGCGTAAAATTCTGATTACAGCGAGGTCTAATGATAAGAATCAGCAAAGTGATCGAGCCACCTGATAATATCACGACCACCTGCCAATTGCTTGTTTTTTTACTCTTTAGCGCCAACTTTCAAGCCCCATATAACCGAGGTTACGAGTTGAGAAACATAAAAAACAATAAAGAGAAAAAAAATCCACAATGACAATCAAGCAGGAGCCAGTTTTCAAACAAGAATGCATCATCAAGGAAGAAATCAAGGAAGAAGCACCACTCATCTTCCCCAGCAACTCCGAAGCAGCTCAAAACGAAGCTCTTGAATCAGCGATCTACGAAGTATTCTTCGAAGAAAAAGCTCAACAATTCAAAGAACTCACAAAATCTATGGAAGTTCTGCAGAAAAAGATTCATCTCAGAACAGAAAACATCGAAAAGGTCCTTTTGGAACTGACAACGATCAAGTTGTTCGATACGAACGCTGAGGAATCAGCAGAAGCTTGGAAACTGCAGCTTCGTCTTGGATTGTTGAGCTTGGATCGGATCAATTTAGAGCAAGAAAGAGATGAGATCGAGGACAAGCTGTATGAGCTTCTTCAAGCTCCGGATAAAAATCCAGGAGATATCGAAAAGGAAGAAACGCAGGAGGATGAGCCAGTTATAAACAAAAGTCTGGTGCCGAACAGAATAAGAAAGAAATCGACAACTAAACAACAATCTGGCCACAACGAACTATCCGCCAAAAAAGTTAACATCGAAAAAATCAAAAAATCGAAATCGCTTCAATACAACAAAGGTTCAGCTAAAATATCTGCCCCAAAAAGAACGGCAAAGAAGAGAAAGTCTTCTGAAGCTGATGAATTTATCATCACAGATGATATTTCTTCGGAAAACAAAGCAAACCTTATGCCAAAACGACGACGAAAAAACAATTTATGAACACGTAATTTCACTGTTTCATTTTGTTTATTTTGTATTTATGCAAATAAAAAGCGGATATGTTGTCTCTGAAGTTTTTCTTTTCAAATACAGCTTGTTGTCGTACTTTTTCTTGGGCGTCTCATTAGGGCGATTCTTCGGAGTTCTCGTTGCTCTTCGGTTTCTATAAGACTTGATCTTTTGGACGAAGAGGATGATTTTGTGCTTTTTAATTTTTAGGCAGGCCATATTAGAACTGAGGTCATCCCCTTTTCTTGGTTTCTTTCTTGGGTTCCATGAAGTCGTATCGATTTCATCGGGTTCCTTGTGTTCGATTTCTTCTGTGCTAGAATCAATGAAAACCACAATGAAAATCCGAAAGTGCTACTTTTCTGGAGCAATATCGACCATCATCGGTGTCCAAGACGCCTCAGCCAGTGCCCTGATCTCGGAAGCTCCTGACAACTGCGACTGTCGGCCAGAATCATCAGATTCGTCTGCTGACATCTCATTTTTCCGCGCTTTTGCTTGTTTTTCTCATTCAAAATTAAACTCTGATTCTAAAACCTGTTTACCTAGTCGCCGCTTTTCAGCCCTGAGCAACTGATCTCTAGGTTCCACTTTGCCCGTCCTGCAGCACGAAAAGAACATGATCTATTGATTAAAGAAGTTTCTATTTAGAACTGGATTAAGAATTTCAGCAGAGCCTTCAGTTGAGTTTACCTTCACCTCTCCGCGGTGCCACCAGCTCTCGTATTTAGCGTATTTTACGTCCCAGAATGTAAACGAGATAGAAGGGTCTATCTTCGATAGCGCAAGGCTGCTCTGGTCAGATTTTGGATGAAAATGGAAGTTTACGAGCGATTTCGAATATTTCTAATTTCACGTGAAATTAATTGACCGAAATTACGGCAGTTATCTGGGTCAAGCCATTTCCGCATAATTCCTATTCATATTTTCCATCTTTATTTTTTATTGAAAAATAAACAGATTAGAACGATCGAGCAAGACACTGACAAAAATATCTCTTCACATGTATAAAATTGTTTGAGGAATTCGTAAACAATCGGCAGTTCGATGCATTGGGCCAACTCAGACTTAGCTCTTGTTTCGGAAGTAATTATCAACATTCGCATAAGAGGATAATTTTCATAAATAGATTTTTACGAGAGCAAAAATGAAATTTGCTGCATTGCTTGTGGCGAACTCAGTGAATGGAGAATGGACACCACCCGTAGCTATTGGAAGACCAAATCCTCTTCCCGAAGGTATGTTTTGGACAAATTTGAATAAAGAATCATTCAATTTTACAGGAATTCAACTTCCACCTCCGGGAAGACCTTTTGGCGGTGCACCACCACCCAGAAATACAGGATGGCAGGGACCAGTTGCCATCGGGGCAGCCCCAGAATTGCCGCCCGGAATAAACATTGTTCACGGACAATCAATGAGCTCAATGCTCGGGCCTCCTCGTCGTCCTCAAGCTCCACCACCAGCTGATGGCTGGACACCGCCTGTGGCCATTGGAGCCCCAAATCCGATTCCGCCAGGCATTGATTTAGTACATGGAAGATCGATGCGTCCAAGGGTTAGTTCAGAAGCTCCCGCTGAAGAGTCAGAATGGCAGGCGCCGGAAGCAACTGGACAAGAGACGCCACTACCTTCTGGAATTGAATTACAGCACGGGGAGTCAATGCAAACTACCCCAAGTCCAAGTCAAATAACACCGCAGCAGAATTTGAATCCAACTGAGTGGACACCACCAGCCGCTTTTGGTGCCTTACCTGTCGAAACTGGTAAATATAATCTTACAGTAGTTAATTATCGTTAAGAATTACTTTTTAACATATTTCTGGGTTATTGATATTATTCAAAACATATTTTTGGTAATTGATGCGGTCAACCAAGGAAAAGATTTATGGTAATGTTCTTATTTCAGATGGAGTAGAAATCGTCCATGGGGAAAGTATGCTTCCTGCTAAAAACGTGGATCACATCGAAGATGCAGAACACGAAGGCAACGAGCCTCAAAGCAACCACAACTCTGAGGATGCTTCTGAGGAGGCGAATGAAGTCACGGTCAAGGAGGACCCTTCTCCGTCCCCCGAGCCCGAGCCGACGCCAGATGGAACAACAAAAACACCATCAGAAACAACAGAGTCACCAGAATCATCTTCTTCTACACTTCCCCTTTCTATTTTGACTCTGTTAATATTACTCGCTCTATGAAATAATATTCCAAATAAATACCCAACCTCAACGCGCATGGAAAAGCTCATTAAAGTTTCAGTGATAAAATGAGCGTGTCAGTATAAAAAGCTATTTCGCTAGGGGCGGCTATCATCAGTAATCACCTGTTAAAAGAAAGGATGAAATCAATTTTTGCCCTGATTATTGCACTTTTTTCGGGACCAAAATGCGAAGCGATGGACTCTCTTGGTAAGTCCCAAAAGTTTTTAAATTATTTTGAGTTTCGGTGAAGGAATCTTAAAAAAAGGCACATTTGATCATGATCAAATTTTAGGTCGGCTAAAACTCTGCCAGGCAGTGGTCAAACAATCATACATCTCCCCATACATGAAAAGTATCTGCGGAATCTCAAAACGACGAAACCCATTCTCCTGAAGTCCCTGCAGGAATTTTTATACACTTTCATAAAATTTTTAAATAAAATTTCATAAAAGAAATTTCTCAAAAAGTTCTCGATAAAAATTTATTATTAGCTGTTAAAATGGAATAGATAAGTGAGGCAGTTGTATTCGTTTTCGACGGATTATTTTTTCTTTGCTTTTTCTGCCTTGTCGTTTTCCTCGACGAGCGCGTCGAAATCGAAATCATCGTCGTCGTCGAATCCGTCTTCTCCTGTATCAGCCGGTGGAGGTACTATTGGTGCTATTTTTGGCGCCTTCGTGGCGGCATTTTGGGGTTCCAGTTTGACTATTGTGGCTTTCTTCGCAGCTGGCTTGGCTATTGGAGGTTTTGGTCTGGAATTAGAGGTTTCTTGATGATAAGGAGATATTTTTGAGGTGGATGGCTTGTCATTTTTAGCGGTGCTCTCCGACTTGGTTCTTTTTCTTGAGTCTATTTCGGTATCGGACCGCTTTCGTTTTTCAGCAGTCTGTTTCAATTTTGGAGAGGAGTAAGTGGGATTTCTTACGACTGTTATTTGGGTCGCTTCTTGCTGTTGGCAGAAAGTACTAATGAAGTCATCGAGTCCATCGTCTTCCCACTCGTCATCGTCGTCGTTGTGAGTAAGCTTATAAAAAAGGCTAGCAATGATTCTAGAGCGGACTTTCTCACCTCAGATTGAGTTATGTCAGTTTGATGGGAGACAGCGGATATTGCGGAATTGTCCATCTCTTTTGAATCATTAGATTCGTTGACTAGGTCTTCGAAGCCGTCCATATCATCCCACGTCTGTGAGGTATCAAGTGCCGGTGATCGTTGAGATGTCAAGGGAGTTGTTTGAATGAAACTACCGCTTATTTCATCAGCTGATGGATCGGGCGTGACGGAAAGAGTGCTCGGAGGAGTGTAGATCGTGCGTTCTCCATTTCGGGAACTCCGACGTTGGCGATGGAGAGAAGTTTGGTGAAAAATGGAATCCGGTGGTGGAGCTTCATCTCGCTCTTCGTCAGATGAAATGTACTCAGCTTCGTCGTCTGAAAATAACATCATAATTTACAATCGTTCTGAAGACAACTTACTGTCAAACTTAGGCAAGCCGAGCGTTGGTTTTGGCATTAACTCCGTCGAATTGCCGCGATTTGGACTACCAATACTCGATTTTGTGTCATTGTACCCTAGCTTGGAAACTTGTGCATGTGTCGGATAGACGATTGAGCTCATCGTGCTCGAATTTTCGGAATCAGTTGATCGACGGTCACTCGGTTTTGGTGCTTGCGTTGAGGTCCCCGACGGGCCAGGCGTATCTAAGTCGGAAGAGTCAGATTCTTTGAAGAGTCCAATGCAAGGAACTTTCGTTTCAACGAATTCTTGCTGTCCGTTCTTTTCAGTTTTTATATATTGGGTAACCATGTCAAGGTTTCTCCTTTTCGCTTGTTCCATCAATACTCTGTTCATTGTCGCGTACCCGTGTGCTGCCGCTTCCTTGCGGGCGTTTCGCTGTCTTACCACGGGGCTACTATTCACGTATCCCAAAGCTTTCTGATACATGGCTTCTGTTGTAGGCGTCCAGTTTGCCGGTATATAAGATGCACTTTGCACCTTTGGTTTCGGAGGGGTCTTTTTTGGCTGTGACTGTGGCCTTGGTCTTCGAGATTTTCTCGGTCTTTTTTCGATAACTGGGGAGACACATTCAAAAATGTCATCCACGTCGTAACCCTCGGACATGTCCTACCGATCATCTGTTCTGAACAAAATCATATGTGAAATGGGTCGTTTTTTCGAAAAGCCGTAGCATTCGCACAAGTGAACTACTACTGAATGAACTTGTTTTTTTATTACTGTTGTCGTTTTGTTTTAAATAAGAACATGAATAGGTATGAATCAAGGACAGGAATTTAAGAACTTATTCTGTTTTTTGAGTATTCTAGGGAAACAAGTGCTCGCACATAAAAAAGTAAAACGCGCAATTTTAAATAGTAAGGATGAATCATAACAACGATCCAAGATGCTTATTAAATACAGTAAGAAATTCAGGTTTTCAGTACTACTGGTACTGAAAGTATGCTGTTTCGAGACTTTCAGTTTCTGGCTTGTGGTTTTCTGTACACTTCTTTTTTGAATTGATTCAATAAATAAAAATTAATTGCATTCTTGATAGTCTATGAAGGAAGGAAGAAAATGAATGAAATCGGGAAAAAATACATGCCGCTGACCAAAGAAGCTCGCGGCACAAGAAAGAGCTTTTCAAAATAGGCAAATTAGTGAAACTTTCTTGTCATTTATAAGGTGGTTTTCTCATGTTATTTGCTTCTGTAGTCAAACTTAATTTTCAGATATTCCCAAACGCCGAACGTAATCGAGGTAGCAGCAACGGCTTTGGTAAGATTGGCGCCTATTCCGTGGTAGAACCCTCTGAAGCCATAGTCCGTGTGGATTTCCTTGACGATTTGGCCGATATACGGGGCGCGGTGCTCAAGCGGCGAGCCCAGCTCCACGTAATCTTTTGGCCGCATGGCTTGCATCTGATAAAAAGAAATTAATTGCGCCACCCTTGTCCGCTGAATTACCTTTGTTCGTATTAAATTGACAGGATAAACGAGCGTTCCAGCGACAAATGAGCTTGATCCGCCGATGAGAGGAGGGAGGAACCAGTAAAGATGCCCATCAGAATTATTTGCCCATTTATGATTGCTCATCAGGTAGCCCTTGGCAGTCTCGGCAAAGAGAAGTTCAAGACCAGCGTAGGGGAATATGCCGAAAACGGTGGGAAGATATCCTCGCCCAAATGCTCTTCAGACCGGTTTTCAATCAGTTCATCATTTTGGTCCTTCGAAAATGGACGTATTGGACGCTGAAAACCGCTTCCTGAATCCTTCTTCCCTAACTATCGTCCTGGCACAATTGAAGACTCCGTTAAACTGCCCCGTCGATCTCAACACCATTCTCGTTTTTAACACCTCGATCGGATATATACAAGTTTGCGCCATTGCACCAGCAGTAGCGCCAGCAAAGAATCGTTGTGTTTTCGATGGCTCTGCGCCGCAGAAGTTGTTTTTAATCGTTTCGAAAATGCCGAACTTGAGGCCTGTCTCAGGGAAGATCTTCATGACGTTTACGAAGTTTCCTCGCCACAGTGATTTTAGGCCGCCTTCGGAGTACATGAATCTGAGTGTACTCAGGTAGCCCTTTCTCGTTGATCGCTCATGGACTTGGAAGAAGACCTAAAAGAACGCAATAAAAATTGGAAGTCCCAATTTGGAACTCATTTCCGAAGTTGAGAAAAACAACCGAGGGGAAAAGGGAGGACCCAATCGCAATAAAAGGAAGGGCCTTTGTGGGGTAGAGAAAATATTTGCTCGCTCGAGCGATTTACATTCACCCCAAACATCCCCCGGTGGGAACAATTGTTCCAAATATAGCTGGTATCAGCGAGTTGTCACCTGTCGAAAATAGGCAAAAATAACTCTCCAGTCTTCCCGTCAAAGAGAAAAATGCTCGCTGTCTACAGAATAAAGGAGGTGAACTCGACAGGCTCTGCAAGCTCTAACGAATGGACCAAGAAAAAAGCAGAACTATCAGAAGAAGAATTACAGAAAATTGTTCAAACTGAGGCTGAGCTGGATCATTTACGAGAGCGGCAAAAGGTCCGCAAAGAAGAAATCTCTCAAACAGCTCAAAAATTGAAGTTCATGAAAATTCATACGAAAGAGATAAAGAAAGCAAAAGACATCAACTGGGGAGACAAATTTGAAATTTTGCAGAAACGAACTATGAAAGAAAATGAACTGAAATCGTCGTTGAAAGATAAAAAGAATGTTGAGGAAAAATTGGAGAAGAAAATAATCAAAATTGAGAGTAAATTATTTGTTCAACTGTCGATTCTACTCGACTGAAAATAAAGAAAACAAAAAAAAGGTTTTTTCTTCACAATTTGGAAAGTTTGGCCCAATTCACGAGCTTTCTCACGCGAAAATTGTTTATCTTGACGAAAAAAATGTTGTTCTTTCTCCAGGAAATAGGCCAGATTGGAAACGATTAGACACCCCCCACTGAGAACAGGCGCAGTTATTTACAACCCTCTAGTGTGGCACAGCGCTGGTGCGAGGAAAATTGAGTATTTATAGAGGCATGACTGTAGGAACCCCGAAATTAATTCTTTCAAAAAATCAAATGTTTTCGGTTTACAAAATCGAAGAAAAGAAAAGAGACGGAAATAGATGCCCACAATTTCAAGCAGAAAAAATTCAAATAAAGGATGAAAAAATAAGGTTCGTATTCTTTAAACTTTTATCTAACTAAGACATACTCAAGTGAGCTAGAAAAGAGTTTCGCTACTTTGAAAAATCTTCAATCCCAGCTTCATTCAGCGAAAAAATTTATCGACGAAGGAATAGAGCGAATAAAAATCATGGACAACAAAGATCGAGAAATCGCGCGAGACAAAGTAGGGCGATTTTCTGACAGAAACGCTAGAAACTTGTTCTTGAAAAAACGATACGAAAAGAAGAATAATATGAAACGAGTTCTAGCGCAGGAGAAAAAAAAGAAAGAGGAAAGAGAGAGGCAAATTAGAGAAATTGAGAGCAAAATTTATCGCCAATTGAATCAAGATTAAACTGTGCATTAAATTATTAACAGTTAATGTAACTGTAAACTTACTTTGAGTCGATCCAAAGGAGCCGTGGTGGTGCGCGAAATCGCTCCGGCTATTCCGCCAAAGAGGAAAGTCTCGACCGGAATGCGATCCAAAATTGACAGCTCGCTATTGTCATCTGTTGTGCTTCGTTGCTGACTGATGTACGCCGTGAATTCGATATTCGCAGTTGAGAGTTTGTGCGAAATGTCGTAGAACATTTCTGCAAGACCCGCCTGAAAAAAAAAGAATAATATTTGAAAAGAAAATTGGCTGGCCATGTGAGCACTGGTTTCTCAGAATTTCAGATTATCGATTATCGGACATACTATTGGACTCAAATAATCACACCCAAAGGAGCTTAGCTCGGCAACCTGTGTTGGAAACCTAGGTTATGTTCTGAAGAGCTCAAATAAAAAGCCGCGTAGACTCGACTCAGGTTTTCTACGTAGTACGCAGGTTGTCGAGCCCAGCAAAGAAGGAGAAGCTTCATGGCCAAAATATCTTTTTTAATTGCTCACTTTGAGGATTTCATTCGTTCTTCTCGTGTTGAAAAGTTCTGATATGTGCCAGTCTCGAAACTCGTCTCTTGTGATTTCTGAAAAATAAAATGATTCAAAGCCCGGCAAGCCCAAATTGCCGGGAAAGATCACGTGATGTCTGTACTTGTATCGTAGAATGTTTGTATTTACCTAACTGGCCATCTTTCCAGTGCGATTGAATGAGATCTTCGTCCAGTAACTCGATCAGAAATGCCGTTGCTTGTGCCTCGCTTTACTAGCGCTCAAGATTCGAATTCGACTTATCACCAAGTTTATCAATTTTACTGACCACTCTTGCTTGTACCTTGCTCGAAGGAAGCAACGTGACACGTTATTGCAAACAAAGAAGAATGTTACAACTTGTAAGAATCACGAGTGTTTCCAAGGCGATAAGCTCACCTTAGGGTTCAATCAAGAACTGAGGAGTCAAGTCTACGAAGGGGTTTTCTTGATGGCACTGAAGAAGAATAACTTATATTTGTTGAGCGCATTCCTGAGATCCAGGTCTTTCAAATCCTCGTGGTTGATGATGTCCGTGATCGTCAAAACACCATCATTATCACTGTCGAGTTCGTTGAAGATAATCCTCGCTCGTTTGTCATTTTCGTGCATGTAACCAATAAACTCCTGCTTCGTCAAACTCCCATCGCCGCTTATGTCCGCTTCTTCTATGATTTCAGACGCTTTTTCTTCCAAAATTTGTCTAGCAATGAAAATAATAAAAAACAAATTGGGGAGTTTTTGAGTATTTACAATTGAATAGGGCATATGCGCGGCGTTGAGTCCAGATTCTTGTCTGACTGATTTTGCTGATCCGAAAGTTGGTTTTCTACCAAAACCTCAACGATGCATTCTTTTTCGATCTTCCCGTCGTTGTCTTGGTCTAATTCGTTCCATTTTTCGACATATTTCTAAACGATAGAAACGCTACTTCTGTGTGCGAAATCAATAGTTTCTTACCTGATGATTTTCAGCAGAAAGAGATTTGAAGCGTTGCCTTTTTCTCCTAAAATTTCCTGAATCTGCGGACGGCGTCGGAACTTCAGGCATTTTCGGACTAAAAGATCAAATTTTATGTCTGATTCGAAACGCTTCAGTAGATTTTCACGATTCAAAGCAATAAAAAATCAAGACAAAAGGCGGCATTTTAATTGACAAAACGAAAAAGTTCGCATTTTTTAACGATGATGAAGACTTCATTACGAGAATAAACCGCCTTTGGTTTTAAGAAAATGAGAGAAATGTGTGACCTTATAAAATGAAATTCAATTATCATTGCAATTGCTACTTCGATTTCTCTAAATCTTCGTCTGTATCTTTGTCATCTTGCCTGTAATAAAGAGTAATTACCTCAAACATTCTCGCTGAACAGCTTCCGATATTGGAAATTTATCCGAATCGATATTTGGCGTCATTTCGCCGATTCTGGTTTTTTCTCTCTTTCGAGAAAAGTTTTTACTTTCGTATCATTTCCATTTTCTTCGTATTCAATTCTTTAAATTCTCTGATTTAAAAAGTTCAGACTTCCAAGTTCAAAAAGTTTTAGGTGTTAAATCTAGCGATAAAGGGAAAAGGAGGATTCTTCTTTCTCTTTTTTGTTCTTTCCACCTTGACAGTGAAATTCGATTGGCCGGAGCGAATAACTGGACTTTGCGCCTACGCATTTTTGTTCTACTCGCGGGGCTGAGCCGCCATCTCCGCCAAATTTGCTAAAATGAATCAAAAGTCCATTGAGGAACGTCTTGCTCTAGGTATAAAGCTAGTGAGCGGATGATCGATTGACTGAGAAATGAAATTCTAGAAGAAAATGAAAAACGAAATAAAGTCAGAAAAAAATTGAAAATAAAAAAAAATAATGAAGAAAATGAGGGAAGAAGTACGACTGCCATTTACTGAATTCTGAATATATATTTTGTGAATTTTAAAATGATAAAAGCTAACGTTAGAGCAACATGTATAGTTATTCCAACGGCAGAACAATTAATCTATCCCGTAGTCAAAGAAAATCGTGATTACTTTCTGTTAATGAACTTTGAAAACAATTAAAATTATTCCTAATGAAGCTTTCGCAACTAGTAGGGAGTATTTGTTCCTCATCTTGACCTTAAGATTTTCAGAAATGCCGCTTTTCGCCGCTGGGGCGGGATCATCCCCTCCCGATTCTAGCAGCGAGCAAAAGCATGCGACTTATGTTGGCCAGATCGATCCTTCGACGATGCTCTCGATCATGCGAGTCAAGAGCGACAATCAACAGAACCAAAAACCCTTCTTTCCAGAACCAGTCCATGTCGACGACGAAGAAAATCAAGCGAAACAGAAGTCGGATAAGAAGAAGAAATCGAAAAAGTCGAAAAAGAAAAGCAAAACCGACGAAAAAAGCGAGAAAACACGACTTCGACCAGGAGAAATCGAAACGAAAAAAGGCGTTTATTATTTGGATCAAGCTCCTGTTGGATCGCTGTTTTGTCTCGACAAGAAAGGGGACACTGAAAATCGCATTTTCCAGGTAACTAGATGAAATTTAATCGCCTTAGAAAATGATGGAAACTCGACAAGTAAAAAATTTCAATTATGAATTTTTAGAGAATCTACAACGGAGAGCTTCCAGTCTACAAACGCATCAATCGAGATATCGTCGGTCTTGAAAAATACTTATTCGAAGATAAGAAGAAATCAAAGAAGAAAAAGAAAAACGAAGTCGGCCGGTACTTCGACAAAAAGAACAGAAAACTGATCAAAGCAGCTCCAGCGGCAACGGCTCGTTCGATGAAGAACAAAAACAGGGCGATGGAAGACGTCGACAGCCAGAAACCAAAACTGACGATGTACAGTACGGAATTGATTGAAGACTTCCACGAAGACAATGAAATTGAAATTTTGCAACTGCGGACTCGCGATTTCAACAGAAAGCTTCAAGAGTTTCCTGAAGACGTTTCGCTCTGGCTTGAATTCGTCGAATTTCAAGACGAGCTATTTGAGGATCAAATAGAAAAGGCTCAAAATGGCAAGAACATCTCGCGAAAAGTGCTAAATGAGAAGAAAATCGCGATTCTGGATCGAGCACTGGATGTTAATCAGAAATCGGTGCGACTCAGGAATGGGCTCGTCAAATTTTTCTGTGTGAAAACCTGAGTCAGGGTCAGTCAAATGTCTATTGATATGCTGCCCTGTTATCATTAATGAAATTCGATTTCACGCATTCAATTTTCTGAAAAAAATCTATTATTTCTGATTCAGGACCTGTTTCCAGGGCTTATTCTTGACAAATTGTTAACAGGTTGTTGAGCCTAAAATCAGGGTAGCTTTGCTCCATTTCGGCAAAAAGATCTGGCCTCAAGAAGAGCTGCAAAAGCGATGGGAAGGACTAGTCTTTTCAAATCCGCATTTACCAGAACTATGGCGGGCGTTTTTGGACTCTCAATTCAACACGCCGCTGAAGGCGAAAATGAAATACTACCAGAAGCAATTCGAGACACTTGGAGCAATCTCCGAAGGTTCGTACGCAACCACCCCTCCGGAAAACTTGGAGGATGAAATGATTATTAATTTGAATCACTTGACAGCTCAGTTGAGCCACTTGGGCCAGACAGAAAAAGGAAAAGGGTAAACAAGAGCTTAGTTTTTTCATTCACCCACAGCGCTTATCGTAATCAGCTTATTATTTACTAAACAAAAGGGCGTATGATAATAAGGGTCCACTGAAGAAAACCTTATTTTTTTGCCTGAAGCCCTTTCTCGTTACTTTTTCATCCCTTTTAAAAGCGACTGCGATTTATCAAGCCATGATTGAGTTGAATTACTTCTGCCCACCTGCTCTGCGAATGCGCAACCGCGAGAACAAGCTCAAGGAAAAGTTCTATCTATTTTTAAACGCTTCTCTAATTATGAAAAGTTGTCTTTGACAACTCTAGTGCATGTCTGTTCGTTGATCTTTGTTGATATAGAACTTGTTAAATTAGGCGGCGGAGCATTACTGGGAGTCGAATCTTCCACGCTGCGGCGAGGGTAGCCATGTCAGCTGGGCTGAATATTTTATCACTGCCGGCGCAAAGGCGAGGGTTGTCTCACTAGTCGATCGATTGCACTCCAATTTCGGATGAATATTACTTTCATATTACCACTGGACATGCATTTGAGCATCGAATCCATGCCTAGTATATTTAATCAGCAGCAGAAATGTTCTATTTGTCAACCCGGCTCGGTAGAGATTCACAGAAGAAAACACGGACGAGCTGGACGAGAACGAGTTGAAGATGATCAATCAAGACGAGGCGGCGGGCCTCAGCTGGGCACGGGTTGAGGTGGGCAAGGCACAAAGGTTAAATAGAATATTCCCACATCGCTTATTGGCTTTTATTGATGCTACGACAAATTAGCGTGTGGAATTCTCGATTCAGCCTTTGTTTAGTAAACAAGGCGCTTTGAATGAAATTCAAGAGAGATCCTCTTCCTTGATTCCAATTATTTTTAAGGTGTACAGAGACAGAAGACATTGGCTACCACTCAGGAGTTTGGAAGACGATGACGATCTGGATGACCACGAGCGGCGCATTAAGTTCTCAGACATCCGTAATGCTTTGTTCTGCCTCCCTGATGATCAATTATGCATTCGACTATTATTCAGCTTCCTGAGGTATTTTTTTGCTCTTTACTCACACTCACCGGCAGTTAAACATACTTGAGAATGTTTCTTTGTCCTTTTCATAGAAAGAGAGAAAGTCCTAATCCAAGATTTTAATCAAAAAATCGTAAATATTAATTAACAAAATGCTCTTTCAGATACCTCGGCGCTCCAACGCTGTCAGACTCTGTCCCAGGCGACATCGTTTCCGACGAGTTCTTCCAACGTCAAATAGTTTCTCACGGGCAACTGTTCTATTCTTCAACCACAAGTACCGCCGCGCCCAAAAACATTGCCGATGCACTCAACTCGCTCACGAGCTGCCGCTTCTATCAACCACTGCCACCCGCCTGCGGGCAAACGTACGACGTTGATCGGCGCCTCGGGACATGCCCAAAGATGAATCATCAATTTGTGGCGAGGCTGTTACAGCAGATTCTCGAGAAAGCAGAAGTCAGTGGCGCTCTCCACGATCCAGATGCGAAACTGTCCTTTGCCACAAATGGAATTTATTACTTCCGAAGCAGACTGTTCTTTTTAAAACAAGGGGGCGTGCAAATATCACGAGCCCACAAAGATTACAAGGAGGGGAAAAAGTTTGCCAAGGCGGTGCTCAAACGTCCGGAGCTCCGTGGGAACGTCATTCCTTGGTGCGAGTTTGGCAGATTAGAGGCTGAAGCAGCTGGAGCCACAGCAGCTGTGAACGAAATTTTCACGAATTGTCTCGCTCTCGGCCACTCGCTCCGGGCAAAGGCGGACGATTTCAAGGTCTTTGCGTGTATGTTTTATGTGCTCAAAGAGATGGCGATGGTGATCCTGTTTGGCTCTGATATGGCCGAGTACCCCGCGTTGGCGCGCGCATTCATATCGGCCGTAGGCACCTTCCTGGCCAATGAGGAGGCGCCCTCGCTGGGCGCGACGTTTGAACCAGTCAAAGTGCTCCGGATTCGAAATGAGCTGATCGATTTGCTGGGAAAGCATGCGACTGCATATCGTGACGATATTTATGCGTACTACGGCTGGTCATGGGGCGAATCAGCCTTTTTCGACGTTGCAGTCGTCGTTTCCGCATTTGAGCTGGCTGTAGGGGATGTTACCAGGTAATGGATAATTGGATGGATCATTAGAGAGAAAATCTTACCCTGAAAGTGATCAATTATCGTGAGCGATTTTGAGTTTACGCTGAGTGCGCTTTTTAACTATTTTTGTTTTTTTTCTTTCTCAGAGAATATTTTTACGAAGAAAGAGAAATAAAAGAATACTTCAGCTCCCTGGCAGCGCTGGAGAATGTTATCGAGACGATGAAGACAACTTTAGGGCCCCTAGTAGAACATTACGACCCGACAGTCGTCGACGAACCGAGAATTAGACGTCGGAGAAAAGATCTTCATTCAATTCATTTGTACCGAATTCAGCTTTTCGCCAAGTTTGCGACGAGAGAGCAGAGTTTGACGAAGAATTTGTTACAGGTATTTTAAACAAAAGATAAAAGGGTTGCTTTGAGTACAAAGTCATTGAGTGATGGTCTTTTAGGCCAATCTTGCGCGAAAATTAACCGTGAATATGTAGAATATTCAGAGGAAACGAAATAATTGTTGTCGCGGTAATTTTTTTAATTTTAAATCATGCAGAAAGAAGGCGACCCTGCCCAGTTGATCCACAAGGTCACTTTTTCTCAATGAGTTTATTTGCGATTCTCAAAGCGCGTCTGAAGTTACTCTGTTTTTTCAGTTCCGACAATTCGTATCGAGTGGATTATCGGATTTCCCATCGTCTGTTGAGCTTCTCTACGTTTGGTACCACGTTGAATCGATGAAACTTGGAATCCACCGGCCGAGCGATAATCTTTCCTCCACTGGTTCCGTTTTACCGCGTCAGATATTTTCGATTTTGTACGACTTGTCGCGAGAGTCCCGCATCTCGAATCTGCATGCTTCGGCTGATACTGATGCAGACTCGTCAAATACGGCGCGAGTAATGACAACTGGTCTGCACCATCGAATCAGGAAGAAATTTTCCGCCGCGGTGGAGAAGTATCCTCAATGCGCGTTGCTCTGGAGAATGTATTTGGCTTTTGAGAAGAAAATGGACAACGAGGCCGAGTATGAAAATGTCTTCTACAGGGCGATTGATCATTTGCCTCATGTGAAGTGCCTGTACATTGATGCGATTATTTACATGCCCTACAGAATCGACGAGTATTTACGAACCATGTCTGACAGAGATGTGAGACTACGCGTGCCTATCGAAGAAATTCGAATGCTGCTGAATATACCCGTTGACGAAACGCAAAACGCAGAAGCAGCACAAGCAGAAAGCGCACAAGAGAACATCAAACAGATGCGAATCGACGATGACGAGGACCCTGACGTAGAAGAAATACCTATAATTATCAAAGAAGAAAGGGGGAGACGATCGAACTCGAGAGAGCTCTCGCCGGATAGAATGGACGATGTAGCTTCAAGTGGCGAAGAAGAGGAGGATGAATACGACTCTGTACCCGCTTATGAGGCGCCCCACAAGAGAGCAGACGATGACGATCGGAAAAGAAGGTCTTCCAGAAAAAGGAAAAAGGTAATTTTACTTATAATGGGTGAAATGATAAATTTCACGCGTCATTTTGAACTGTAGTGAATTTACTACGTTCAAATATTTGCGCGAAATCGCCCATTTAACACCGCCAAATCTGATTTATTTTTCGTGGCTTTTGTTAGTCTGAGTCATCCGCGTTTTTGGGTAAATACAGTACGAAACGCGAGACTCTCTGAGTACGAGCGGTGAACCACTCGCCTGAGTCACGATCCAAAATAGATGTTATTCACGCTCTGATTGCGATTTTTAAGGGAGTACAATACCCCGATCCCGAGTTTGACCGTCGATGGGAAAAGAAGCGGCGCGACGCCGAAGATGCGAAACAAAGGGAAATTGAAGAGCGGCGACGGTAAATTATGAATTGCCAACGAAAGGCCTAAACCATTTTTTCTGTGCAGGCGACGTGACGAGGAGAGACGCGAGCGATATCGAAGTCATGACGATTACTCCGATTATGATGATGATCATCGCGACTATAGATCAAGATCGAGATCAAGGTGAGTCGCAAAAGACCTTTATTAATGCAATTTGAATCTGTAAAGTAGCTTTATTTCGACTTGAAACTTTCAAGTTGAAAGCCCGATTTGAATACTTTATTTTCTTTGGCACGAGATAAGATAAATTTAAATTTTCATTTTTCAATTCGGCAATTTTCAATAAGAGGCCTTTTCTTATATTTACAATTAAGGAGGTAGATATCAAGAATCGGATTTCCTGTCAGTGTTTTCTCAAGTTTTTAACAAAGTGACCCCCTTATTTTTTCTGCTCAAAATTTATTTCAGGCAATTATCTATTTCCTATGGAAGCCAAAAATTTATATTTCTTGAGCTTTCGAGGTGCTACAATGCAAATCTGACACCTCCGATTGTCTCCAAAATGACCATTTTAAGAAAGTTAGCGATCTTTGACGAAAAATTTTGTTAAAATTTTTTTTGAAATTCAAAATTTCAGCTTCCATAGGAAATAGAGAAAGGTCTAAAGTTTTTGTTTCCAAAGTAAAATAAGGGTGTTACTATTTTAACTTTGGGAGAAAAGTCTGACGGAAAATGGCGATTCTTGATATCTACCTCCTTAAACAGGATTTATTTGCTCGGTATGCGTGGCTAAAGAAGGGATGATTTGCATAATTCACATTTAGGTCACGTGAACGAGATTATCGAAGGTCAATCAGCCCAGCCCGGCACCAGCGAGATCGGCGATCGCCGAGTTATGAGAAATCATCGCGCGACCGGAGGCGCGATTCCAGAGATCGACATCGCGATTACGATTCTTACGACAGGCACCGATCCAGGTCGCTGAGTAGAGACAGAAGAGATCGTCGAAAAAGCCCGTCTTATGACGAGAGAAGAGGAAGAGGCAGAAGTCAAGAGAGAGCATCAAGAAGATCAAGATCGCCTTCGTATGAGAAAAGATCAAGGAGGAGTAGAACTCCCGATAAGAGATCAAGGAGGAGTCGAGAAAGATCCCCGGGTAGATCAAGAAGAAGCCCAGTCCCTGTCAAATATGACTACGACGACAATGACTACGGGTCAGAACGTTACGATCCATCGCGGCCTACTCGTAGCCCTCCTAGGGATGAAAAAAGACGAGACAAAAGAGCGCGCTCATCTGAAGAAGGAGGGTCCTCGAGATATTACTCAAGCCGTCGATGAAAAGTTCAACTTTCTATTATATTTTCAAATCCTATTCTTCAATTCAGCAGTTTCATCACTGAAAACTTCCTTCAACAAATTAGATGAATTATTTTTTTTCCTCTTTTAGACTGGGAATGAGCATAATATAGCGTGTATAGTAAATATAAATAGAAAACAACGAAACGAAGAAAAAGAATCCCTACAATATTAAATCGGAATGGGGAAATTATTTGCCTGCTTCGGCGGGGGATTCAAGTGCAATAGAAAAGTCGAATCGTTCGAAAAAACACATGCCTTTTTAGCCAGTGTGCCAGGGACGGGTCAAGATCTTATTAGACTATACTTCACACCTCTTCAATTTCACCCAGAGGGTTCCACGTCACGCTCTTTTGTTTTATAAGTTTCATCTCCAATTGGAAAGAGGGAGATCTAATTTAGTGATGATTGACCCGTTTTATAGAAGAAGTATATCGCCATTCAAGATCGCTAGAAGAGCTCCTGCTCGGGAGCAACAACATCAAAGAGTTACCAAAGCAATTCTTCAAGCTCGTAAATCTCAAAAAACTCAACTTATCCGACAATGACCTCTCAAACCTCGGCCCCGAGTTGTCACAGCTCAGCAAGCTCGTCGAGCTCGATCTGTCGAGAAACGATCTCGGCCGAATTCCGGAAAATATCAAGATGCTCGCGCTGCTAGAATCTGTTGACTTCTCCGCAAATCCAATGACGCGTATTCCTGACACGATGGTCAACCTTGCCTCGCTCAAGCACATGAAAATCAATGCCATTTCGCTGGAGCGTTTCCCGGAAAACTTTGGCGACCTGAAAACTTTGGAAACATTAGAAGCACGAGAGAACATGGTGATGACGCTACCAGAATCAATCTGCGATCTACCGAATCTACAATATCTCGATTTAGGAGAAAACGAAATCACAAAGCTTCCAGACAAATTCGGAAAGCTCTCAAAGCTACTTGAACTGTGGATTGACGACAATGACTTGACATCCTTGCCCGATTCAATTGGCGGCCTTGTAAATCTAACCCTCGCCGACTTTACGAAAAACAAACTCGAAAAAATCCCGGACTCAATCTCCAACTGTGTAAATATAAGCGTCCTCACTCTCAAAGAAAACTACCTTTCCTACTTACCTAACTCGATCGGCGCGCTCAAGAAATTATCCGAACTCACTGTCGACAACAACAAACTTTGCGAATTAACAGACTCTATCGGCCAATGCGTCGCGTTGACGGAGCTCATTCTCACCGAAAATTTAATCCAAGAGCTTCCAGAATCGCTGGCCAACTTATCAAACCTCGGTGTCCTCAATGTTGGTCGAAATCGAATCACGCATTTGCCAGAGAGAATCGGCAAGTGCAAAGCGCTTCGGATGCTCTTTCTCCGTGAGAATCATCTTGAAAGGATACCAGACACAATCGGCGACCTGAAGAACTTGCAAACTTTGGACGTGGCCGGGAATAGACTCGACTATCTTCCCGATAGCTTGCTGCAGCTTGACATAAAAGCGGTCTGGCTCAGCGCGAATCAAGCTCAACCTCTGGTCGCGTTTCAAGAAGACACGATCACGGAAAACGGTGTGCAAAAGAAAGTCCTAACATGTTTCCTTCTTCCACAGCATAAATTCAACAACGAAGACTACGTGCCTAAACCTTTAACGCAAAAGATTCCAACTCACGAGAGCTTATCGCAACCGCCTGAACCAAGGATTCAATTCGAAGCGGAAGAGGAAGAGTCCAATACGGACGAAAATACGACAGGTTTCAATCGAGTGCGTGATTTTACGCCACTGCCAAAGGATCGTGATCGCATGAAACAAGAAGCGCTGAGCTACGCGCAGAAGAAGCAACAAGAAGAAGATGAAAAAGAGCGAGCAGCACAGCAAAAGAAAGAAGAAGAAGAAGCGGCTGAAGAGGAAACGGATGAACTCGACCCGCTTATTGTTCACAACGAGAGTGAAAGCCTCGATGACAGCAGAGAGCATGCGCAGCTTCAGCAAAATGGCGTCAGGTTCGACCAAAGCATCCAGGAAGAGGCGCCAATGGAGCACCGACTAAAGTGAGTGTGACTACGTTTAGCAGCTTTAATAAATTTTAGAAGGACAAACACGCCGCATTACAAGCGAGAAGCAAGGCTGACGAATATGGATCCACCTGGAAATTTGATAATTGACAACAAGCCCAATTTAAATCTATCCGCAACTCCAAAGGTTTGTCAATGGCTGATTTGTTGAAAATAAAAATATTCTAGGTCCTGGAAATCGTCCTCGACGGTGCTGGTAGCTACGGTTTGTCCATTGCCGGCGGTCTAGGCAGTCCTCCATACATTGAAGGTGACAACGGTGTCTTCATCTCCCGCGTTGCCGTTGACGGCCGGGCCGAAGCAGGTGGAATCGAAGTTGGTGACAAAATCGCCAAAGTTAACGGCGTAAACGTTTTGGACAAAACTCACGAAGATGTTGTCGACATTTTAAGACAATGTAGAGAAGTCGACGCTGCACCCGAGTTTGTTCTCTATCGCTATCCATTGAACCAGGGCTTCCAGCCGCTTGTAAATGAGTCTGACTCGGAAGAAGATGCGGACGAGAAGGCTTTTATCAATGGAACAGGTAGCTTTGCGCTCATTATTCTAAAATAATAAAAATTAAGCCGGAATCAATGCGCAGCTTGACTTCAGCGTTCTGTCGAGCGACAGCGTCGATGAAAAACCACTACCAATTCCAGATCTCGTTCAAACTCCAGTATACTCGTCGGAACCAGCTGAAGACGGTGACTCTTCCATGCCTCCACCTCCTCTCTCGCCGCCAGAAGAGAAACAAACTGAGCCTCAAGAGACGCCTGAAGCGCTTCCTATCATCCAGCCCGTTTCACCGTCATCGGTAACTCTTGAGCTCGAGTCGACGACGATTGATCCGTCGATTCCTGAACCTCTATCGTTCCCTGATCAGACGATAGTGAATAATGATCCCTTACCTTCCCCCCCGCTTACAAGCGAGAGTCTACCGGAGCCGGTAGCTTCTCCAACAAAGCCATCTCCCAAATTACCCTCGCAAATCACGCTCGCTACTCCGCCAGCTTCTACAGCACAGCAGCCTCCAATTGATTTTCAATCACCAAAGCCATTCAAGTCTCCTGAAAGACAACCGGTAATTTTATAAATCATTCGCGTTATGATTTTCTACAAATCATCATGCTTCGAATTTTTAATTTGCTAACAATCATTCCCCAGGATGGCGCGCAAATGAGTTTCAAAGAGAAAATGAAAATGTTCAAGTCCGGCCCCGCTCCAAATTCGAGGCCCCAGATGCGAACAAAAATCTCACTCGTTAATAACCAGGATCTCTCCAGCATCCGCGCTGACGAAAATCGAAAGGTACTAATTTTGGCTTCGCACTATCCTTCTTCTTTCCACCGGCAATAATGTGAAGGCAGCATTAGTTGCTTTGAGTTTGGTTTGTTTTTTTTTCACGCGTGTGCTTTTTAGTTGATTTCACAGAGTGCGGCACAGCTTCGACAAGAGAAGTTCTTTGACCTTAATGACTCGGAAGATCTGGTAAACAAATTACCCCTCTGTACTCTTCGTTGATTTCAATTTTAGTACCGCCAAACAGCCGATTTGGACAATGGCGCGGGAGGAGATCAACCACCCAAAATCAAGCGAGCAGTCACTACGTCTAAAATGGAAAATCCTCTGTTACGGGGCTTGCAATTCTACATTCATAGCGCTAGACTTTATTTATTTAAATTTTTAAAAAACCTACTCGGTTTGATTTTTTCTAAGCCCTCGAAGACTGCTTTGGGCGGAAGTTCAAGCACTGGCGGTTCGCATATTCCGAGAGGAACTGATCTGACGGATTTGGAGCGTGAAGCAAGTCTTTCACTTGGTAAATTACGGTTTATCTTGAACTTTGTATTACGCAATATTAAGGTCAGAGCGTGAGCCCACGTGAGTGGGAGCGGGATGTCGAAAGGAGTCGCAAGCTGCGCATGGAACGGATGAAGGTCAGTATTGCGTCGTCTAGACATCTGTTAATCCTTTTAGGAAATGGACGACGACGCCAAGAAGGCCCAGAAAGTCCTCCGTCGCGAACGAAGTCTCAAAGGCGAAAACTACAACCTTCCGACGACGCGATAAAACGTCCATCCTTCAAAAGTACCTAAAACGCCCTAAAGTTCCACCCGTTCCCTTCACTCCATAATTTTTACTCTCCTTACGCCTCCAGATAACTCATCTCTTTTTCGTTTTCTCAACGAGGGACGATGTAAGCAATTGTACAAATTTTAATATTTTTCTTGGAAACAAACGACTGTATGTTCTCTTGTGGCCTTTTGAATCTATACTTTTTACAAAAACACAAACCGTCAAGTTCAAATAACTACCGTTTTTTGTGTAAATAGGTCCTTTTGGTCCATTTCAATTTGCTTTAGGTCAATTTCGGGGACTTGCACTATTAATTGATATTAAATATAATTATTATATATATCGAATTACTTCGGCCGTCATTCCACTGAAATAGTCCCTCCCAGATCCAACCAATCCTCTCTTTGCTTATCCTCCTTTCCCTATTCTTATCAACACTTTTCTTTCTGCAATTATATTTTCACCCATTCGCTCACGACCGAATTCATATTTTAACCACGGTTTGAAGAATCAAACATTCCCATAACTCAAAAAATCTTCTTTTCGAAAATTAAATTTTTCTCAAAATTCCAAATTTTGGAAATTCTCTTCGAAAGTTTAGCTCGAAATTTCGCTGTAACATAATTTAAAAAAATCGCTCAAAGTCGCTCTTTACAAAAGTGAACGAAAAAAACTGAACTGTATAAATCGCAATAGTTTCTTCTTACGGCCACTTAGGCCGTATTCGTTATGTCCTTTCAATAAATCTGCAATTCAACAAACGACAGACAAGACTTCTGTAATAAATATAAACATACAAGAAGTCTTGGGGCTATATATTTTATTCAAAAATAGATTATCATGAGATCACTAGCAGGACCGACCCATTCAAATCCTTCATCACCGTAGGAAGAGGTCAATCCTTGACCGTACAAGTTCATTTGTTCAAAAAGCTCTGCATCCATGGCATCAATGTCGTCCACAACTAAATAAATCAGCAATTTATAATTCTCAAAGTGTTGATATACTGTCGTTTTCATAGCAAGTTTGGTCAATTCCACCTCCAAGGGCATCTCTATCTAGCTCATCCAGAACTGCATCATCAAACTGATCATCGTCTCCATCATCTCCATCGGGGCCATCATCACCGTCATCGTAGTCAAGGTCTCCGGCTTCAAACGCGTCATTATTCATGAAATCTTGAATTTCGTCAATGTTATCTCTAATTAAAGATATATTAAAATCGTCGATTTCTGCTGTTTTACCCGCCATCGTCCTCCTCCTCCTCAGTATCTATCACGAGATGCGACTTATGTCAAGTTTCCATTTCATGTTGTGGACAAAAGTTGAACTTAGCATGATGATGGATCGTTCTCTCTTATTCAAAGGGGAAAGCAAATTTTCATTTCCTCTTTTCAGTTCAGAATCCTTCAAAATCGGGACAAATAATAATCGCAGCTCTTTCCTGAACCGTCTTCTTCTTCCTCTAAAGAGTCGTTCTTTTCTCTTTCCATACTAGCCTTAGCGAGTAGACAAATTGATCGAAAATCTATTCGTCGACTTTTATCCCTTGCTTTCTCTTCGGGTACAATATTATTGATAATATCGTAATTATGACATTTTTTGAGAAATTGCCATCGTTTCACCGCCTTATGCTGGGCTAAGCATCCAGTAAGCAGCAATCATGAATTTTTTTCTATGAGCCCAAGACTTTTGCTTATCGAAGGATTTCGAGCGTCGAACGAGGTTCTCTTCGCTTGGAATTTTCCAGCGCGAGTGAAAATACTCACGCATGTTCATTTCTATTAAAGATCTAGGTATTCTGAAACAGGAGGTAGGAGATCCTGTCTATTATGAAGCGGATAAGAGAACGTCGCAATTTATCCATGCAGAACAGATTGCACGATCTGTCAAAGTTGGAAAACAACATTTGCTAATGATCACGCTCCCGAAATTGCTTGAAGAATATGTGCAAGGAACAGTTATTGTTTATTCTCACATATGATATGAATAGCAGAGATGCTGACTTTATTTTTGTTTCATGACTGCTGCTAGGTAGTCGTAGTACGCCTTCAATGTGTCATCAAAGAAATTCGCCTTCAAATGGGTTAATTGAGGATCAGTTTTGGGAACCATTCTTCAAATCATCTGTTTGAAGAATATCATAAAAATAATAGAACCCCACCGAGGCCCTGAAAGTCTCCGTCGTCGAGATAGTCTGCTAGTGTTCCCCATTCATCGTTTTTGACGACCGATCGTTTTTGCATCGGTCTCCCCGGGCTAAAGGCGACTGGATTGTTCCAATACTTACGAACGTTTTCCAAAACATGTGAAAAAGAATCTTTTGCTGTAGCAATACTGACGGCAAATGCCAAAACTAGGAAATAACGATCAGACTTATTCAAGAAAATATACCTAGAAAAAGTCTCATTCTTTCTTCGCGTCTAGGAAAAAATTGGTCAAATTGGCTTTTATATTCGCGACCCACCACTCAAAATCTGATGGGAGCATAAGTAATTTTTAATGCATTAATTAACCGCATCTCGTGGCTTTTTCTCAGGTGATAATTTATTTTTGCAGTTGAATTCCAAAAAGCATATAATGGCGAAAAAGTAATAAAAAGCTTGATCAATTTGCAGTGGTCGAGTTCTGATTTGTTTGACTTTCGACGGTTGTTTCTGATTCTTTTGTTGTTGTTTCATTTGTCGTCTCAGTTGTCTCGATGGATTCTGGCGCAGCTGATTCTTCGGTGGAGACCTCTACTATTGGCACAGGCCCACGAATATAAGCTTCATCGTAAGATAGATCGATGTCGTCAGGATTGTAGTCGTCAACCCATGGATCTACAGTGCCATTCTTGTGAACCTCACCTTCTGAAATACAATATCGTAGTGCTACTTCGTCGTCTTACCTGTTTCACTCCACTTAGTTCGGTTAAGATGAGACATCTCATCATCTTCTGGATAGTCAGGATATTCATCGTACGTTGGAGGAGCTAAAAACTGGTTGCAAATTATGGTAAATACAGTGAGGGTAACCAAGAGGGTTTGCGCCGTAGTTGTAGTTTTCATAGCTGTCGTAGGAGTCGAACGAGTCGTCAATAATTTCCGTTCTGTCGCTTTTTCGAGGTTCAAATTTTAAATTTTGATTCACGTATTCGCTGAATTTCATATTTTGAACCTACCGATCTCCATTGCCATTGACTATAAGCGGCGGAGCGAGTGGGTTTGTCGTTCCTGGCTGAATATTATTCCGGTTGGAGATGTTTCCATTTGCAACCACATATGCGGTCGACATGCTTTTTGCGGGTTCGTATGAAAAAGAATTACGAATGACGATTTCTAAAAAATCAACCCTTGGCATACAGCTGATCCGAATAATGCCAAACTGAACACTCCAATATTTCTTGACACATTTATTCTTCCACTGAAACAAAAATTACAATCGAAAGTCCTGGTCCAGGACTCCTGGATGATTTACCTTCGCTGAAAATCTCGATGAATATCGAGCCGAGGGTTCGATCGCTGGACTGGAATTTCTTCAAAAGATCTGCCTGACTGTGGCTCGTCACACTGAGCGGCTTCTAAATCAACTGAGATCTTTGGCGGACAGACGTCTTCTTTGGGATCCTGTATCGGAGCTTTCTCTAGATCGACTTCGTATATTTTCAGTTACTCTTAGAATAAGGGCAAAAATTTCATATTTGGCTATTTTGAACAGTAACTGAATTGCCGGCTAATTTCAAGACGTCTTGTCAACTGTTTGTCTCGCATCTGCCGGATATAGAGTTCATGACACCTACAGTCAACAAGATGCTCCTTTCCTTACTCTCATCGTCGATATATTTCGTTACCTAAATCACGTTACATGTAGTCAATGAAGAATCTAATTTTTGAACTCACTTCTTTCTCGAGGTTTGTCTCTGCTGGTGAAATTTTCAAAGTCGGCATTTTGATTTCTGAGAATTTTTCTGTCAGAAAAGTGTAAAGAAGCAACTTTTTTTGATCTATCTAGAAATTACTATGTAAAAATTTATAAAAATGTTTTTAGGCTTATTCTGATTTTGGCTAACTGACACCTTCAGTCAGACGGTGCTGATATGCACATGCTTTGACAGTGATGTCAGAAGGGGATGAGACATTGAATGTCATCAGTAATTAAATGAGACCTCATCAAATAACAAGGCTTCCTTCGAATTTGCCCTCTAAGTGGGGTTATGATTTGCGTTTAAAATAATGACAGTCATTGTGCGATTGTCCAAGCAAAGTGTACAGATTTGAGTAAGAGGATGAGCTCCCAGCGCGTAGTACAGTAATCCTCCCTTTGAAAACGCGTTTGTCCTGGTTCTTTCCTCCAATCGGCGGGGCTCACTTCCTTGTGCAAATATCATCAGAGCCGATTGTTTGCGCATGGCCGCCATAAAGCGTCTACTCCGACACTACGTCACACCCCGAAAGACCAGCGCGGCCAGGCTTATTGCCTCTTTTCAAGTGTGAAACAAGTCAAAAGACTGCAAGAGAGTGAGTAAAGCTAGAGTCTAACTTTCTACAAAAAAAGAAAAAAGAGATATTCATCCGAAATAAGAATCATTAAATTCACGCTAGAATCGTCAAGAGATCCCTCATCTAACCGAACAATCAATTGAAATTCAATTAATCTTCCAACTTATTAACAAAGTCGGATGACTCCGCTAACATTCACCCTTACTTTTATTCAATCAAATAAGAAATCACCGGCCATGCCGAATCACAAAAGAAAGTTGGGGATTTTTACTGCGAAATCTGTTTTTATTCATTTTCCGAAAAAAGCCACAAAAAAAAGACAAATTTATTCAGAAAGAAATCAGATTTCTCGAAGAAGAATAAACAGAGAGAGAAAATTCAGGGATGTCGGAACAAGAGGCGCCGGAACATCAAATTGTGCTTTTTGGAAGGGATACTGAAGGTCTGTTAAGAATCAGGCTTTGTGCCTTAGGGGAGGGCCTTGTCTTGGTATTTATCCACCGTCAAAATCGTACCTTAGTCAAATTTACAGAAGATCATCGTACAGTATTTGGTTTTACACGTGTGACTGTTTGTGTAAATCTGACTGTATTTCGTATCCCTCGAAAAGTAAAAGCCGGCAGCGATCGAGAATGCATAGGCTGCTGCCCCTTCTCGCAGGGCCTCTTCATGATGCTCTGGCTCAAAGGATCCGTATTCAACGTGACTACGGTCGACAAGGATAGGTGAGTTTCTCTAACCATGGGAACGACGATTATTCACAATCAGAAGCTGGGAAAACGGTTTCTAATAGAGTACTTCAGCAAGCCGAAAGAACTCGCTGATATTGCGCCCGGGACCTCTACTCCGTTTATTCTCTTTAATAACGAAGTCGTCACCGATCCGCCCAAAATTGTTGAATTCCTTGAAGCTCAACTTCAACCACCAAAGTGAGTTACCAACTTTGTTGCCTTCATTGTCTACTTGAAAGTTTAGGTACCCAAATTTGATGCCAGTCAATCCAGAAAGCATGCTCGCTGGCTTCGAAATCTTCGCCAAGTTTTCCGCGTGGATCAAGGCTAAATTCGACAGCCCAAATTATGAAAGTAAGTACCCCCCTTTCCAGAGGGTTTTAAAAAGAGTGGTTAGTTTCTTATGTCAAAAAAAATTATCCGTTGTCGAGCAAAAAACTTGTCACATCAATGAAATTTTCGTCCATTTATGGTCTTCAAAGAAAGTCCCCTCTTGAGGGAACGGAAAAATTAGCAATGAATCTAGTTCGTGATTATAAGAACATCCCTACGCCTTTTAGCGTATTTAAATATCAATTCTAGTTACTAGCTAAAGTTTTATGGTGTTTTGGTTGAATACTGCCCGACTGAAAGTATTAGCCAGGCTTCTAAATATTGAGTGCTTTAACACATGATTACGATATAATCAGAGCTTAGTAACTAAGCTTGATCCAAAAGAAAGAGATATAAATATATTCGTGTGATTAAAATGCTACTTTTATTGTGTTTAGTTTTGTGAGCCCTGAGAGAAGAGGGCTTAAAATAATTCACGTGTGCAATCTAATAATGGGTGGAATTCGTTGATAACATTATTGAAATACAACTGAATAAAATGAAAAACAACTATATCAAGTGTTGACTAGATACCCTTATGGTCCCCAATTATAGCTCTAGAAAACGCGCTTTCACGTGATTCAGCCCTGGAAAAGCGATTCCTGACACATTTGGCCAAATTTGATGCCTTTTTGAAAATGAACTCCGACCGAAGATTCATCGATGGAAATACGATGACTGCTGTTGACTGCAACATCTTACCAAAGTTGCACATTGCTATTGTTGTTGCGAAAGCCTTGAGACAGTTGGATATTTGTCAAGTAAGTAATATAACGAGTATAAGCCAGGATTAAAATAAAATTATTCAACCATGATTATTCTTGATTTTATTTCAAAACTGAGTAAAAATATAAGGTGTTTTTGGGTCCAATAACGCCATTTCATAAAAAATAAGACAAATAACAAAAAAAGTATGGGAAATATAACTTTTAGTATTTCCCAGGACATAAAAATCGGCATCTTAACCTGTCTCGGTTCAATAATGTACCCGTTGCAATCCTGAGAAGGAATTTCTTCTCATTAGAAATCAATCAAGAATACAGTGAATGGTTATAAAGAAACCCCGGGTAAAACAGTTACCCTGGCTCCGGAAAGTTTTTATGTGGATTCTTGATAAATAAACCCTTATCAGTAAGGGTTGCAAAGATATATAAATTAAAGGGTATTGCCTCCAATGTTAAATGCGAGCATGGTTAAGGTCTTAAAATTTGGATTACTAAGATGATGGATGGAAAATACAAAAATAAAAACGTCTGTCAAAAGTTATGGTGTAAATCTCTTTTTCAGCAATACACTGGAATCGCGCAATACATGGCGAATGCTGCTCAACATGCTGAATTCTCCCAAACCTGTGCGCAGAACGACGAAATCATCTGGTCCTACGGAGGTCCAAAGCCAAAACTCAAGAACTAAAACCTGAATTTGTCTCCGAATTATCAAATCATGTGAATAAAATGGACTTTTTTATCTTGCTTTATTGACATTGAACGTAAACGTAGGGGTACTCGTGTTATCGGACTTAATTCCAAAGAGAGAACTTCGAAACTCCTTGATGTTGAATTTCAGGAACTTGCGAATCTGGCGGTGTTTTCTGAAAAAAAATGTTTTTCGGTTGAGCAAAACTAAACTTGCTTGAATGATCTTTCTGAGAATCGTGTCGATCGTTCCGTTCGTTTCATCTTTCAGTTCTCGCAGTTGATCGACAGTTTGCTTGAAGAGCGCTGCAAACGGCGAGAGATTAATATCAGAAAGAGAGTTGGAAAAGATCATGAAAATGTTGGTATCCCGTGGGATGCAGCGACGACGAATTCGCTCCGTTGACTCTGAGGTTTGTTCGATCTCGTCGGTGTCCAGGAGGCACTTAAATCTTTATTAACTAGCTTGCAGGATGAAAGGAGGAACAAAATATGAGGCCTACGTGTTGGCCGGTAAATATTAGTCTTTTAGCTATAAGATTGATCGTTTTGATCTTTGAAATTATCTAATTATTTTTTGCCATCTAAAAAACCGTACAATCGGTCAATAAAACACATTTATGATTTTCATCATGATTTCTAGAGCTCGATTCTCAGCCTTTGATTCTAAGCGATACCTGGTTTTTTGGCGTCTTCATCATCCAGCTATCGATAACAAAAAGTTGCGGCTAAAAATATACCCTGATTCAGATCGAGGAAAATTATAATTACGATCGCAATCGCCATCGAACTAAACTTCTTGATAAATTTAGAGGGCTCCGCAGTTTCATCGTCACTTCCATTGTTTCCTTCTTTGATCACCCAGCCATGTCGAGCGTTTTCAGGTGTGATGATGACAATGAAAATTATTTGTGAAATATTCGGTAGGAAGCTCTTTTTCAAAAATGAGCAAAATAGATCTTTGAAATTAGACTGTCTTTTCGACAATTTTGAATTTTTCAATAAATTTGCTCCTTTTAACTTTATCAAAATTTCCATAAAACTCCACTGCTTTTCGCTTACATCCAATTCAGAGCATATGTAGCCGATGCTCTGGAAGACCTAAGACAAATGTTTTCGACGGTGTCTTTCAGCAAAAAGCGAAGGTTCTTCTCTGCGAATATTATATACCTCTGTGTAGTGCTTAGCCGCCACTGCTCCGAATTTGTCTCGTACAATCACCACACGTGGGGAAGATCCTGGACGAGTTCCCTTGATGGTTATTCAATAAATATAAACTCATCTGACCCACTGTACCTTTATCACGATATCTTTTCCTTCGGTTATTTTAATCGAGCTAGCAAGTCGGTGTTTGATTTGAGATACTTGGCCGCATTCGTGGCTAAATCCTTGCCGAACAACCTTTGTTTCTTGCAGCGCTTGATTGATTCTAATTATTTATATATAAATTGCATAAGTTATGTTGCCTGGCACCTGTAGCTAATTTGCTCGACATCAATACTCTCCCCTTTTTGAATCGCTTTTCGATATTCCGTAACCAAAGCATTGCTAAAAGTATTCGGTTTGATACTGTCCAGAAATTTTAAGGCTTACCAGAAAAGAGAACCGCGATCCATGCTCCGAAGACTTAGTGTATTCTTGACGGTTGAAAAATGAATGAATGTGTTTTTATCCGGCCGTATTTGGGAAAAGATTTGCGAAAAAAGATCATTCTAAAAATGTTTTTGAAGAGATCTTCTTTCGAAACTTACTGTGTACTGATTCATCGACACATTTTCTTGGACTGCTTTTTGAGGAGATTCAACAGGCTTTTCGATGGATGGAATGTCTCGATCTGAAATTTGTTTTTTTTTTTGCTGGAATTCTTGAGTTTATTTCAAACTTGAGTCCAAAATCGGCAAATTTGTCTGTTCAAGAATTCTCGTCGCATCATCAGAAGTTATCGGATTAATTTGAAATCTTTGAGCTGAAATCGTCGATGGGATCAAATTTGCTGGTTCGTGGGGCAAACTGTCAAATTGCACAGTTTTCAGCGACTCTTCTTCGGATCCTCGGCAGGCATTCACGTAGACAACAAACTTGGTGTCCTTTAGCTTTTCTTGAAGATCTGGTACTCTCATCACCAGGGTGTAAATTTTCGCGAGTCTCCAGGATCGAACTTTGTGGCCCATCATCTTCAATTTTCTTGAGCTTCAACAACAACATGAGCTTTCTACCTGGAGATACTCTCCCTTTTGATCATTAGTTCCGTGGCATCCGAAGTAGAGCATCACAAAGTCAATCTTTTCATTGCAACTAAAGTTCATCAAGTGATGAATAATGTCATCTTCAATTCTTCCATATTCCTCAACCAACTCTTTTCGCCTTTCGATCTTGATTATATTCTCCCCTTCTTAGGGTTTTTTAAATCAGTCTTACCGACTAACACTAATCTTACGTACAATCAAATTTATCCTAGAATCCAAATGTTTTCTAAAAGTATAAACTCGTGACAAAAACAGGAATGGAATTCATCAAGCCCCACAGATGTTCAGAGTCAGCTGTAGCTCCGTCTCGCTTAGAGATGTCATTGTAAATGAGACTTTATGAGTTGAGCTTTGGGCTTTATTTCCATTCATATAGTAAGCTTTTCCATGAAATAGGAAGCTAAAAGTAAGAAGCTAAATATCTGTTTTAAACTCAACAAATTCCTTTTCGTTTCTCTTGAGTTAGTATCATCTCGTTTAATTTTTACTCCGTTTCGTTCTTAACCTTTTGTCGGGCTCGTTCCACTTCACTGTTCAAAGAAAAGATAATACTATTTTCATGAATTAGATGCGTCAACAGAACTATATTGATATAAACTCAACAATTTTTTAATTTAGCTCACGATTGACGCACATTGCCGTCGTTTATTTTTGAAGAACTGTTTGAGGTGTCATGAGTGTGGAACAACTGGCAGGAAAATCAGGAAATCGAGGAAAGGTTAAAATTCTACGTTGGCGACGATGACTTCCGAGAGAGTTTGCGCGCTTTTGACGAGCTTCGTCTGCTACTCCCGCCAGAGCTGGAGTCTCGGGGATTGGGGTTGTCGGAGAGTTTTATCAACTGACGCACTTTTTGAACGACGAGTCTAAAAGAATCTCTCGATCTTGCCGTGGATTAGAAGTTTACCTAAGACATCTAGCACTCTGTTGATTTGTCACTCCGTCCATCGAGAAAGAAAGCCCAAGAACTCCTGGAATAATCAACAGTCCAGCTCCAGAGCGATTCGCTAACCAGATTCCGTACTTTTCGCACTCTGCCTGGGCTACTCTATCAGCTGCGCAAGCGTTTAAAATTTGCTTCAAGGCTGCCTGAAAATAAATTATAGCAAATCAACTGGACATATACTTCTTTTACCTTTGAGGTATCTACAGGGATGATGATTTCTTCCGTAAACGGGCATTTTCCATTATTGGCGAAAACAGCTGCGACTATCGATGCTGCTTCCGGACTTATTGCCGTCGAACAGAGCTGGAAGTAAAGGTCCAAAATTTCTATACGAGAGCTGTGAGCCCGAAAATGCCATTGATCACCTACCTTGAACGTTTGCTCCTTGCGGAAAGCAGTCGTTAAATGCCAGGTAGTGAATGAGACCGATCTCTCCGTGAGAATGAAGACGTTTCATATTGTAGCTCCAGTTATCACATGCGATTTCTGATTGAGCAGCCATCTTTGAGTAAAACTCATGAATCCGACCCAGTTTTTCTTCAGCAGGAGTGTCTGGAAAAAGCAAGGACGTGAGCATTAAACCACCACTTCTACATAGTGGATTCCATACTCGCCCATCTAGGAGGTTAATATCGTCAATTACTCTGTTGCGCATAATCATTGATCCTACCTGAGTGGAGGGAAAATTCATCTCTCTCACGTGGAATGGGTTTTGACGCAAAGAACTTTCCAATCATTTCCGGACCCAGTGTTTCTGTCGCTAGACTGTCGTAGATTAATTTCCATCGGAAAAAAGGGAAAGCTTACCAAAAGTTTAGTAGGTAGCAAAGTTCATTCAATGGAAAGATATTCGTCTCCGCTTCCCCAAGTTCTCCAACATTCACTCGTTTTCCGTCGACGGTGCAGACAGATAGAGACCAGTTTGTGACGGAATCAAGCTTCGACAAAATTTGCCTGAAAGGAAAATTATCCAGGAGGAAGAATATTCAGAGACCTCTTCAGAGGCTTTATTACATTCTGACGACTGCATCTAACAGCCGCAATAAAGATAATTTGTGAGCTCTCTTTACAAAGCATAATCACGGATAATTAGCGGGTAGAGTTATCTCTTCATTTGTCATGAATGACGGTTTTGTTACCTGCAGGTTTGCTCCAGGGAAACGGCGAACTCGTCCATGTTATTGAGCAAGGGACGGGGAGGAGTATCGGCTTGAGCTTCGTCGGGAGGACGAGGGGGTTGAGGCAACTCTTCTTCCGACAGATGACCATTGCTGAGGACAGTTGACGATCGACGACGCTCGGGGGAGCGGACGATGCTCATGCTTAGATCAAAAATGATTTGAAGAAAAACAGAGAAAAAATGAATCTATTATGTTTGGCACGGCTACTGCAAGAAAAAATTTTTGCTTGATAAAATTATATTCGTACTGAATATTTTCCTGTATAAAACAGTATAACTTAAATCTCTTATTACCTTTGTCGTCTACTGGAAAATAAATTCTTCATGTTTTCTTCTTTTCAATCTCTCTTTTTTTCCTTGTAACTGAAAATTTACTTGAGCAAAATGGTCAAAACAAGGCCGTAGTATTTATTCATTCGGGGCTCAAGCGGATGATCGCCATCAGATCAATTTTCAATAAAGTGCTTCTGGCACGGAACCAGGTGTTTCATAAAATTGAGCACCTTATTATTCTTTCAATAAAATAAAAAACCTTTGAAAGAATCGCAGAATCCTAGAGAAAAAAATTGGGCTGATAAAGACTGGACTTGCTAGAGGGCGAATTCTCAGAATTCCAGCTATAAATATCGGACTCTAACTCTCTTAAATTTCGTTTAATTACCGCTTCTTCCGAAAATACTCTCACTTTTTGAGCTGCTGCCAAATATTTCGATTTATGCTTCTTTGATTTTTACTGTTTATAACTCAATTAAATCTCCTTACTTCTTTAATTTACGTCAGCTGCTATAGAATAGTCATTAGATAGATTTCTAATAATAATTCGCATCATCTACGTAGTGTCTCAGCCCATATCATCAACTCTTGATAATGCTAATTTGACGATTCCGAATTCTCATCCTTTTTGAAATTCAGAACAAAGCAAAAACTATGGTCAAATTTGAATTTTTCAAACGACAATTACACTTGGCAATGGTCCGAGTCCCTTTGAAAAAGACGCCGGAAGATATAAATAGCGACTTTACTACTTTGAACTCGGACAAAAATGACATACTCAGCAATCGAGTGCTCTTTTTATTGAATTGTTAACTTGCATAAAAATATCAACCGGATAATTAGCCATACAACTTCACCAGAAAATGAAGATGGAAAAAAATGACAAGTTTTCTTTCCCTTTGAAAGAAAATGATTCGTAAAATTTCAAACCTTTGAGGAAATTCTTTCTTCTTGACTTCAGATCTCTTTAAAAACGTGTTTATGTGCTCCTAAGTGGGCCAAAGACAAGAACCTGACGACAAGGTATGGACAGAAAGGCTCAACTGGCCCCTACGAGTGCGTGCTTTAGGGTGCGAGTTAGTGTGAATTAGCGCTAGTTTCGCCCTGCTCATTGTAAAATCCAGCCACTTGAACAAAGACCAAGTCCAACGTGTCCTCGATAACCACCTTTTGTACAAAAAACGCTAAAAATTTCGCTAGATATAAAGAAAAAAAAACGATTCTTATAATCAGAGAAGTGTCAAATCATATAACGATTACAATTTTTTTATAAAAATAACTAAAATATCATCTCATTTTCAGTTGAGTTAACACGAATAGTAATAGAACAAAAGAAACAGCTGCAATTATATAATTTTAATTATCCATGAGATTACATGAGAACCTCTCTTTTGAAGAACACAAATCAACCAGGCATGTTATCTTTCTGTTTGGCCAGGTTCCGGGAGACATGGAGGTAAAATTGGTTTATTAGAAAATTCTACGTTTTATCATTTGTATCTGTGTCATGAAGAATGGGTGAACTTGAAGTCACGAATTGACGGATTCTTACACTACTAGTCGGAGCACAAGCTGCGGATCGTCTGCCACGTGAGAAATACAGCACCGTTTGAGGGGAAGGCGCTAAAATTCATAAATTATACGGTAAATACGATCGTTCCTACCGTATACAAGTTGGTACGATGCCGATCCAGAAGAATCTGAAGCCATTGATTTTCAATCCTTCTAGCGCACACGTGACTCCTCGAAATTTTCCCTTGAAATGCTCAGGCTGGTCTGAAGATTATCAAACTCATTGTTGTTTTCGTCAAAAATGTATATTTATACCTAAATGTTGTGCTTGAATTTGAGTCTTCACAACATCCACGGGATAAGTAATTATCCACGAGTTCACCCCGGCACATCCTCCAGCGAAGATCACCTTTGATGTTTCCAGTAGCTGTTCCTTTCCAAAAGAGTTGAAAGAATTATACTATTTTATATAAGACTGAGAGCTCTTTTGATGAATAATCAAACAATTTCAATTCTTTCCTTTGACGCAAAACCAGTGTTCCCATTGAAGTTCAACCAGTTCGTACTTTTCCCAACAAGCAACTCATAAGTGTAGAAAAATGCGCCAAAAGAAGGAATATCCCTGACTGAGCTTTGAATTCGTTCATGATCGACTTTTACAAGAGAATTTGAAGCTCTGTTCCTGACAAGCGCCAAGGTGATGCCTCGGCCAAAGCCGAAGCCATTTTTGATGGCGTTGATCGATTGCTTTGAATCTGCCACTGTTCGGAATCCTTTGTACCCAGAGTGTTTGTAAATATGTAAACATGTCTCTCGCCAGCCTCGGTAATCTTTGGTATCGGCTTTACCAATGCCTTGGATTTGCATCTGAGTCTTTGAAATTGTTTTCGATAACTTTCTACAGAGGAGTGGAGAATCTCTTGTGAGAGACTGTAGCCTACAAAATAAAGTAGGAGGAGGCGGGAGAAAACTTTTCCTTGATAAGTTCCACCGGAGAAATGATGCAAGTCTGGGCAACTCCAGCCACACATCCGGCCCACCAGTGACTCAATGCCTTCTCCTTATCAAGGTGTTCAAGGGTTTTTCCATATGTCGCGAAGATCGTTGCATTCATAAATGCAATGCCAGCTTTAGTAGGGTCATCATAAGAACCCAAATGACATTCATAAGAAAAACAAATGATCCCCTTCCTAATGGCGAAGTGACACCTTTATAAATTCCTCGGACTTTTTCTTCCCGAAGAATTGTTGTAAAACAGTGCAGAGCACCCTTGTACTTTGGCGATATCCTTCAAGGGACACATAATTATTCGTATCATACAATTTGTATGTTTTCATTAACTTCAAGCTAGTGATAATTGTGGTCCCTTACCTTGCATTGCGTCTGTAACCGAACTTTTACAGTGTCAAACGGATGACCTCTTTTTTATGATGCTAATTCAATGCACGAAAAAGTATTTTATCCTTAGTTAGCACCATAAATATAAGTACTGGCGACTCCACCAAGCAACCCTGCTCCAAAATCCACTGCTGGCGAAAGTTTCTTTTGCTCTTCTCTTGACATACAAAAAAAACGCGTTATCTGATAAATGAAAAAAAAATGCTAAATGAGTAATACAACGGGGTTTACAGACAGGCTGTCTGTATTTAATAAACAGTCGTCCAATAGGAGAGCATTCTCGAGAAAAAGCGCGAGTTCTGATTATTGATGGGAAAAAAGGACGAGATCACGCCATAATAATTTGCCTTAGGGTGCTTGAATTTGATGATCTTTTCCTAACTTCAATTGAACGCTGAAGTTCTTTGGTCGAATAATACCATTCATCACAGCTTTCTTGTCAGTTTTCTGATGCTAAATTGCGTCATGATGATCGAATCTCATGATTTTAGGCTCAAATTCTTGAGCATGCGAGTCGATGATTTTCTGAAGACGAGGATTTATTTCAAAGAAAGTAAAGGGCAGACATACAGATTAGTGACTCAACATTGCTGTGAGATTCAGCCACGGTTTCCGTTTTTTTCCGTCGTGAGTTTGATCCTTTGCGGTGACGGGGGCTAGCTAGCGTAACAGAATTATCAAACGTATCGAAACTGACGTTCCATCTGAATGATCCACACCCGTTCTTCCTTATCTGCTGCCAAGGCGAACAATGGAAACGTCGGACAACCGTTTTCAACTTGTGATGTTCTACTCTTTCATCTTTTTCTAGCTTTGGTTCATGGTGAGTAACTATAAGTTAATTAATTAGTAAAGTTAAACTTTATTTCCGAAAAATTATATAGCAGGAAAACACGCAAGTGTCACAAATTTGTCAGGAAAATTTCATTGAGAAGTGGTCTTATGCATGATATAATCTCAGAATATTCTCTTTAGTAAATTTTTTGTTACAGGTTGGACATCGTTGAGTTTCAGAATGAGTTCTTTTTATGCATTTTTCGCCAAAAACGTGCCCACAGATAGTCAAGCAACACTGCCAATGGTCCTTCTCACCGTAGGGTTCCAGGCATATTTCACAGCCAGGTTTGGGGGATTCTTCGTCTTCAAATACAAGTTTAGCGCCTTCCATTTTTTTCTGATAGCTATCTTTCACCAAGTTGATCTTGTGAGAGATTTTCTCTATGTTTGAATCGTGTTTTTTCAGAGTCTCTTCTGTAGTTTGCAAAAGATGCCTAATTTTTCTTGCTTGCGTTTCGAGAGTGCACAAGTAATTTCCTTCGTCCTCCAATTGTCGGTTCAAATCTTCAATTTTACATCTCGATATTCGGATGTTTTTGTTTGTCTTGTAAAGATCAGTTTTAAGGGCAGATTTTTGTTGATTAATGCCTTCTTTTTCTGCCTCCAAATTATATATCTGTTTTTGTAGTTTTTCTATATCTCTTTCGGCAGTACTTTGAATATCATTCAACCGAATTATAATTTTTTCCATGGTCGAATCAAGAATCTGTTGTCTTTCAGTCATTCTGTTAGAAAACGATCACTTGTGCTTCATTTCTTCGCTCGAGCCGCATTTTATTAAGGGAATTATTTACTCAGTATTGAGAAGGGAAAGCTTGAATTGTATCATTTTAGCAAATAGAACGAGTAATTGCATGCACAATTCTTTTTATCAAACAAATTACATAATGTGAATCATAAAATCATGCTGTAAACAGGGGTCACGTGATCAGCTGAGTTCGTTACTTTAGGTCTCATGATACGACGATTTTCCCGATGGAGCGCCACCAGCTCCGCAAGATGGCGCGTGAGCAAGCTCATTTCTAGGATAGAATGCACTGCTAAAAACATCTAATGACAATATAAAGCGAAAAATTGGCAATATATTTTTCAAAGTTTTTGCGCTATATACGGCGGCTTAAATTAATTAACAGATTCGGAGATTCGAGGACTAGAACTCGCGAGCACGATCGCTGCACATCAACCGCTTGACATTATCCGACAGATACCAAAGGTAAACACTAATGTACAGCCGTCTCGGGCAAACTATATAAAATAATCTGCATAATATATTTATTGCATCTAATGAGTGCGGTATATAAATAAGCTCATGAAATAGTCTTATATGCTTAGCTCAGTAGCAGCATGTTCGGTTCCTAATAAAACTCGCGGTCAAACGAAACGGAGAGAAACATGAATCTAATATGGACTTCATTTTCGGAAATTTGAACATTTAGAGGGCCTTGTTTCAAGCTCGATAGCATCAGATTAATTCAAATAGAGAAAATGTCCTGTCATATAGTGAATTATTTGATCCAAAAGATATCTTTTTCATATAAGCTAAAAGGTGTAATTGTCCCTTTATATCGATAAAAATCATGTTTAGGGAATGTAGTATAGGCTACAATCCATTTTACAAGACATTCTTTTCTCCGTAACGCAGCTGAGGCTATTTTTTTCCGAAATTCAATAAAAACTAAGAATAAAATCCTTTTTTCAGGCTTTAACTTTTTTCATAAAAGGATTTAAGGGAATAAAATTGCCCTAAGCAGCATACAATCATGCAAAAAGGGTTGAAAACGAAACGGACAGGCCTTGAACAAAAGAAAAGCGACACAGAGGAAATCGTTTCAAGGCCAGATCGATCAAAGCCCCTAAAAAATAAGGGATCGCCCAAATGTCCTAAATGTGGTTACAATTGTCAATTGCCAGCAGTCATGGCGAGTTCAATTAGGATAAACACTTCTTATATCGAAAAAACGAGCCCTTGAAGCGGCCAGAACCCCATAAAACCACATACCACGCGCGACGAAGTGTCGGTCCAATTTATCGATACCCTAAAATGGTAAGTGATGGCGATTATTGACAAATCGATAGACAAAAAATTCACTGTAAAAACGCGTCTTCGCATAAATTAAAAAAAAACACAGCGCTTCATGATTATCACAGACTTCGCGCTCAATGCTCCTCACATGTGTACTCCTCTATGATTCCAATGAGGTTTCTCCTTTATAGAAAATTGTCCTGTAATAGCAGCTCTGTCGGTTTTCTTATTGCTTAAAGCTACAGTGGCAGGAAAAGAGCGATTCGCCGAGGCTCGTTGCTAGATGACAGCTTTGGCGATGAGCTAGTCTTTGAGATCCCAAAAGACCTCGATCTGACAAGGAGGGCCCGAATCCGCTTCGCCTTTGGCCGAGCGCATTAGTTCCATCAACCAAATGGCGCTTTATCAAATCCGGCCAGCCCACTTAAACACCTTTTAAAACTCTTTAATCATGCAAAATGTCTAAATGAGCGACCGTGACATCAGGGGTATCAGCAGGGAGACGCCCTGCTGAGCCGTTTTGGACAAGTGCCCATAATTACCGTAATGATTTGTCTATAATTTTCATGAAAAATATCAAGTCAAACTTATATTTATTATTTATAAGAAAGAAGAACTCGGTCAAAAAGTAGAAGAAAAGTAGTATGAAACTACTGTTGAACAAGCCATATAAAACGGCCCATATTGAACTTTCAATGCTCATTAATCGGTAAAGAGTATCTTTGGTGTCAAGACATCATGTGCAGCTAATAATCCATTCTCGGACAATGTTGCGCGGCGATTGAAGCTGTCAAGTGTCCCTTTCTGGCGCGTTGTTGTCCGCGGCCGAAAAGGCCCGTTCTCGCCAAATCTGTCAGTCGAAGCTGCGATCGCGGCGAATTAATTTCAAATTATGGTCCAGTTGAGCCCCCTTTCTCAATCGATCTCATCAAAACGTGCTTTTTTGGTGAAAAATTAATGCGAACAGATACATTACGCTCGTTCTCTTCGTTTGAGCGCTCTGCTTGAAATTTGGATGATTTATTAATCGCCCTCTAAATCTTATATAATTAAAGAAACATTAGATCTTATTTCTCAATGTTCATTCTAGAGGATGATGAACGAAGTCCCAGCGATGCAATATCCTCCTGTAACTGAGCACTGGGTGAACCCGCCTGCCTGTAACGCTCAGTCCTACGCTGGCCAATATGCCTACTCAAATGGGCCCTTCAAAATGGAAAATCAAGAATCGATCTCCACGGTGAGTCTTACATAAAAACACTAGAAAGGCTTAAAATGTAGCAATTTCCATGGTAAAAATCATTTTCAGAATATTTTCGGAAACGTTCGCTACCAGCCGGGATACGATACTTTTCATAGCAATTCAAGAATTTCGACGATGGTTCCACCCGACGGTTTGGTCAAAGTGGAGCCCAATACAATGCATCCAACACCTATGCAGCCAAAGTACAATCCCATGTCGCACGGAGAGGATCGTAATCGACCAATGAGGCAACATTTGTACAAATGCGACTTGTGCAATAAAAGCTTTACGAAAAAGCCCACTCTCAAGCTTCATATGAGGTGAGAATATTCCCATCAAATAGACTAGAGTTGAAAGTAGAACGCCCATTTTAACAAAGCATCTTCAATAATATTCGCATATTCAGAACTCATACGGGTGAACGACCCTACAATTGCGCCGTGTGCTCGAAACGATTCACTCAGAAACAAAGCGTTAAAATTCACATGAGAATCCACACCGGCGAAAAACCTTTTAAATGCGGCACCTGCACCGTAAGTTTTTCATCACAATTTAATTTCCTAACTTTGCTTAAATTAAGTACACTGCGCGCACGAAGGGAAACCTCGATAATCACATGAGAAAGCACACTGGCGAAAGACCTTTTACTTGCAAAATATGTCTAAAAAGCTACACCCAAAAGTCCTCGCTCAACACGCATATCAAGACCGTTCACAGCGAAAATGCGAATGAACCGAAACGCGATAACAAGGAAAGACCTTTTCAAGTAAGACATATTTCAACGAATCTGTTCTATCAAACCTCTAGTGCACAATTTGCCACAAAAAGTACACGCAAAAGTCCTCGCTCAACACGCACATCCGCGCGATTCACAGCACTCTCCCTCTCTCCACTCGCCAAGCTCCCGACCAGTTGCCAGCAGCTTCATCTCATCCAACATCAAGCTCATCCACCTCCCTTAGTCCCTCTTCAATTTCAACTGCCAGTATTTCCGCAGCTCGAGCCGCTCAAGTCGAGCAATCTCTTCAGCAGCACCATCGGGCCTCGCTATCGCACATTCGCTCGCCTCAGCATTCATTCCAGTCCTACTCTCCGACGTCTTCATCTTCTCCAGCCAAAATGCCAGTCGCGACGGTCACTGAAATCGGTGAGCGAGACGAAGAGGGACGAGAACAGACCATGAACCAAAATGATCAGACAGGAGTTAGCAAATTTTATTTAAAAAGGTTTTAAGAGGGAAATTAGTAAATATTATATAATAAAAATCTTGCTCATTCCATCTCAGACAATATTCATCCCTTTTATCTAACACAAACAGCTTGAATTCCTCATTGATGCAGTAATCTACCTTCAGAAGACTCTGTACAGCTATTTTATTCTATTCTCACAATCTACAGTCCTCAAAAAATCTTCTAGTCCTTGTAAAAATAACCTAAACAGACCAAATAAGTGTTTTTTCAAATTCAATGTTTTCCTATTATACCTAAATGATCGTCTTTCTTATTATCTTTTACCACAATTTCACCTCGTTACAGTCTTTTCTACCTGCCATCCTCAGTTTTAACTCCCAATAAATATCTAACCATAAGATTCTCTATCAATTAATTTGAATGAAAAATGCAACTTATGATGATTCCTAACGACTTATTGCCCGTCCTCAGGTAATTTGGAGTACGGAACTGCTTCACAATAAACACTTGTTGTAAAACATTATGTTTAACATTATTGAATAATACCGTAAGCAATTTTACTCGTTGAAGCACTCTAGCGACAGTAAACACCAAGTTTAGCCGGGGAAAATGTGTCAGTAAGAGTAGAGAGATGACAGAAAGAAGAACCACACCTGTACCTTATTTCTTCAGTTTCAATATTCAGAAAAATCTCGAGAAATCAGAAAGCGCGCAAAATTCTTTCGCGGCGGCGATTGGCTGAAGAGGGAAAGCCATTTCGGCGGAAAGGGCGAAATTTGGAACGCGTTGGTGACATTTCGTGGAGAACTGATGACTTTTCGAGCGTTGAGAAGCAGTAGAGTTTATATCAGAAGATTGCTTTCAGAGAAGAATAAAGCCGTAGCGGTTGTGGAAAAAGAAAATAATGAGAAAACACAAAGGTAAGATAGCTTTTTGAGAAATATGCGTGAGTTATTAAGGAAAATTTAAAATAATTTATGTCTATTTATAAATTAAGAAATTTGGAGGACTATCAAGAAGTTCTCAACGAGCTGGAGCTTCAAAGAGCGCTGGAAGAGGCAAAAACTGGAGGGATAATCAAGCGTCCTGAAAACACAGAAATCGCACTCGTCGACACCCAACTCCCAGCTTTTTACTCGCCAGAAACGACGTTCAGAATAATGGGAAGCAAAAAATACGACGAGAAGATCAAAAAACGCGTCATACTCCGCAAGCTTCTGAAATGGACGATTCCGAGTATAAGTTTGCTTTCTTCGCCACTGTGGATCGAAAAATACTTCTGTCTCGTGAACGAACTCTTGGGAAGGTCGATTCTTGGCTCTCTCGTGCTGGAAAACGTCGCAGCTGCTCATTTTCAGCTCGTGGCTGGCGCCGTTTTATCCGCCCCTTTTTTGGCCTTCTTGATAAAACCAAGCGTGGATTTTCCGAGGTAGGAAAGACACTAGCTAGAAGGTCCGAGTTCATTCAGATTTTCCTTTCAGATATTTAATCAGTGGAATTTATGTGACTGCTGATCGCTCGCTTTCAATCAAATGCTACCACGCTCGTGGATTGAGTACAGAGAAAAAGTTCGTCTCCGTCCTCGATTCTAGCGCCGTGATGGCTGATTATTCCGACATAAGCTCGAGCCGTGGCCTTCCACTCATTGTCATCGACGATAATGCAAGCCAAACTCAGAACCCATTGCTGAATTTCTTCCGCAAAAGAAAGTTAAAATCGACGATAAATCGAAATTTCCACCACATCGAAAACTACCTCCTCGCGCCGCCAAAATCCTTCGAAGACATTCGCGAATACCAACTTTCAAAAAATACTTTAGCGCCTTTGGCGGAGAAGCAAATAGAAAATGTCTTCGTTGCGATGAAAAGAAAAGACGGGAGTTTAAATCCGATTCGTTTGGAATTCGCCGATTCTTACTTCAATATTCCGCTTCATCCGAGAATCGACAGTTTGAAAAATCTGCCACTTCTTTATTTCCAACTTTTTTCAATAGAAACGCTCAAAGCGAGCGCGCTAAAAAGAGACCTCGCGAGGAAACATTTATAATTTAAAACAAAAAGTATTTATAAAATTTATTTGAAGAGTGAGAAATCGGCGCTAGAAAATGAAGCTTGTTGCTGGATCTAGAAAGTCGGAGCTGGCGATGCTTCAAACGAACTTTGTGAAGGCTTTACTGGTGAGTGAAATTGGAATTCTTAATCCTTGGGAAAGAGGCCTGGAAATTGAGAAATGTGTTTTTATCTTATGACGGTTATTCTTGATAACGAACGAACTTTTTATTCAATTAGAATGGTCGAAGGAAAGTAAATATTCTGAATAATCCGCGGAAGAAAATAACCCCATTTCCCGTAGTTTTTTTATTTTCAATTTCCTTGTATTTCTCCTTCTGATATTTTCTTTTAGCAAAAGGCCAACCCGGAGCTTGAAATCGACATCGAAGGAATCGTCACCAAAGGAGACAAAGTTTTGGACGTGGCTCTTTCCAAAATCGGAGAAAAAAGTCTTTTTACCAAGGTAAATGATCGGCCCGCTTTAGTCGATAAAAATATCAGTAGGAACTTGAAATCGCGCTGCAAGAAGGAAAGGTTCAATTCTTGGTTCATTCCCTGAAGGATATGCCGACTACGCTGCCCGAAGGAATGGTGTTGTCGACGATTCTTGAGCGAGAATCGCCACTGGATGCGGTGGTGATAAGGAAGGATCTTGCTGATAAAGGAATGGCTTTACAAATTTTTTTCATATTGCAAGTACCGTGGTTCAAATAATTGATTTATCAAAGAAGTTTAATTCTGGCTGCGTATATAATATCGTAAAACTGATACAAAGGAATAAAAAGTCTCGATCAACTGGAGAAAACTGCTCTTATCGGCTCCAGCAGTTTGCGACGCAAGGCGCAACTGAAGCGAAAATATCCCGACTTCAAGATCGAGTCCGTCCGTGGCAACCTCAATACTCGACTGAAAAAGCTTGATAATGTGGATAAGAGCTACGAGAAAGAATATTCGGCGCTGATTCTGGCGAGAGCTGGACTTGAGCGAATGGCAAGGCAGAATGATGCATTTGTTGGGCGATTGTCGGAGACGCTAGAACCGAGTACTTGTCTTTATGCTGTCGGACAGGTTTGCTCAAAGATTGTTAAAACGGATTACTTTACCTTTGAATTTCTTCAGGGAGCCCTGGCTATAGAAACAATGGCTACTGATGAGAAAACGATCGAGCTCTTGAGCAGCCTCTCGCACGAAGAAACAACACTTCGAGTTGTGGCCGAGCGAAGTTTTATGAAAACTCTTAATGGCGGCTGCTCTGCGCCAGTAGCAACAGAATCGAATATCACGAAAGATAATGTGCTGGAACTTACTGGCGGCGTGTTTAGTTTGGATGGAAGCGAAGCGATTGTCAAGACAGAAAGTGTGAATTTGTGGTGTGTTTATGAAACGATACAGATCTCACTACCAAATTTAGCCCGGAAAAGATGGCAAAAGTAGAATATCCATCAGATTTCGTTGGAATCGTACCTTGCAAGATCGAAAAGTCGAAAATGTATTTGGCGATGAAACTCGGCCGTGAGCTCGCAGAGAAGCTCCAAAAAGAAGGCGCGATGAAAATTCTCGAAGAAGCGCGCGAAGCAAACCAAGATCCGGCACCAAATAGTTCACCAAAGAAATCTTGTCCACTTCCTGCCGCCAAAGACTTTGTAAAATCGTTGACCTCATAATTCTTATTTGCCTTATTTATTTAATAAAAGACAGTTGTTGTCGAACTACCTAAACAGAAACATGAAAATTGGCTCAGTGTATATTTGGAACTTTTCCAAGATGTAAATAACTTCCGAGTGTTTATACCGGCAGAATTGAGGGACCGAATATCGGGGAGTCCTCGTTGATTCCAAAAAATCCGATAATTTTCTATTGATACACTTTTATTCTCCTAATTTGTGTTATTTTGACGCATTTGTAAAGAATTGTTTACATTAAAAACTTAGCAATATTCATCAATTGGAACCTGAAGATAAAACGTCCCTTTGACATTGATAAAGTAGCGTGGGGCTCGTTAATCTCGTAATTCAAGATGCATTTGTCTCATCAATCAATAATTTATCGTTGCGAATTTCTCCGAAGCGACGTCAGATTCATTGAACTTGAAGGGTTGATTACTGCCTCGAGACTTGGTGGAGCGCGCGATTGCGCCACCGCCGCGCTTTTAGCGAACCGCGCGGTTAGAAATTTCGTTATACAACTTTTTGGGCTCGTTCAAGAGAGACCCTTTTTCTTTTTTAACTTGAGACTTTCGATATGAAACTCTTCAATGCTCTCCTTGCTTCAGGTAAATATCAGAGAACAGAGAAACAGTCATTTAAACGATTTAACAACGGGTTAAACGAATACTAAACTGAATACCAATAGCTGCGGCAACAGAAGTATCAGATATTCAACGTCGCAAGACCCTCGGTGAACTTCTCAGCCCCGGCGCCATCGAGCAGCTCAATCTCAATCGAAAAGGCATTCTCAACGGTGTTCTCCCAGCTCATCACCTCGAAGCACTTGAAAACCTCTGTAATCCTTGCCGAACCGATGTGCAAATTTCCGACTTCTGGATGTACACTTCTCCACCAAGAGATCTTCTTCAACGTAAGTCAAAAAATGACCATAATTGGGAGATATTTAGACGTGATGTCCCGCGGTGCCCTATTTTACTACGTTCATTCATAGAATCTGACGGCTTTTTCGTAGAAGTGCGCCCGCGGGCATAATCCAAATAGCTCACTTAGAGCCACTTTATTTATCTCTCTTATATCATGATCTTTCGGATTCGTCTTAATCCAATTTTCAGAGGGATCTCAAGAAGCTATCCTGGTCTACTATGAACACATTTGCCACGCTGTAGTGTGCCGTGATCGTAACAGCATGTGTCCACAGTGGGCTGGCGAAGGAAAGTGTCGCGAGGACTGGGCTCAACGAACCTGCTCCCAATCCTGCGGCTGCACTGCCCAGCGAACTTGCAACAGGCTTGATCAATTCACCCCAAGAGTCGACAACACCGCAGTCGTCAATCTGGAGGAAGAAGACGCTGAACACAGCGCCCCAGCAAGCATGCCAATTCACGACGCGATCAAGTATCTTGACCCTACCAGAATTCTTGCCCAGTTCACTTCTGACGTCCGAGCTACTCTTCGCGATCAGATGTGCTTTTTGCCTGATGTGGACTCGAGAATTATTGCTTCCAACGATCTCTTGAAGGTGCTTACAGAAGATCCAGAGATGGCGAAAATTCTCAATGCGCTTTCTCCCAAGACACGGTTCTGAATCAAAATTCATTTCAAACTAAGAACAATCTTGGCACCTCATTTATGTTTTTTGTACTTATATAAAAGGTGAATTGCCATGAACCTATTGAAGCTCCCAATGTACCTCACAGCCATCCCGGAAACAATGAAGGCTACTCTCGCCAACGAAGTCATCTGCGGTGGGTACGTTCGTGAGCCGCGAGCAAGCATGTGCATGGACAAGCCGATCAACCCAGAAACCTTGTTCTGCCGCGCTCGGCTTCCCCGATGGACTTACGATCGAAACACAGGCCTCTGTCGACCAATGGATTACGATGGTTGCTTCCAAACTTCGAATAGATTTTTGACCAAAGAACAGTGCGAAGAAACATGTGAACCTTACATCAAAACCGTCTCGGAAGTCAATCGTCAGAAACTCAACAAATTCATCGGAGCCTTGACGCCGTTGAACCTCCGGGAAAGCATGCTCACTCTCTTCGGCAAAACAGAAGCCGAGGAAACGACCGAAGAACTCGTTGATCAAGCCTGTAATCCTGAAATCGGCGCGATTCGACCAGACTACCGAGATGTTCTTTGCAAGAAACTCACTGAAGTTCTCAAAGAGCCGTCTGAAAAGGCTGAAGCACCGGCGATTCAGGGAACTTGCGAGGCTAAAGCCTCTGAACGAGAATTTTGCACTAAAAAACCAAGCAGAAACTTCAAGAATGCGTGCGAAGAAGCTGGTTGTTGTTGGGATCCTAAGCCAGGGGTAATTTTCTATGAAAATATAGCAGGTCATTTACTGCTTTATTTAGGCTTCTCGACCGCTCTGGAAACACTACTGTTTCAAGAAATCTGTTGCACAAAAGAGCATTGAAGCAAGCGTTGTCGAAAATGACGCAGAACACAGCGCAGCTCCAGATTGCAATGTCCCAACTCAGCGACGGTAAGAGACATTCTTCCTTGATTCCAGCACTCGCAATCGATAATTTCAGATCGTGGTGCACTGCTCGACCAAGCAACTGGGCTAACCCTGAAACGGCCAAAAACTACTGCGAGTCACAAGGCTGCTGCTTCGCTACAAATCCGAAGGGAAAAGTTTACCCAGTCTGGAAGTACTCCTGCTTCTCTGGAAACTAATACTTCCCTTTTTGCCATATTTTCCTTGTACAGCTATCTTCCTCAATTACCTTCAATCTATCTTTTTGATTTGTTTAAAAATAAATCGACAAAAAGCAACAAAAATTCGATTATATTCTGCAGTGAAAAATCGTGTGTGAAAAGTCGAAAAAAATCGATTTTAATCTTTCTTGCTATCTTCTGGCTCTGGATCATCATCGTGTCTCCCTATGTTTTTGTAGAGTTTCAGGAGATATAGGAACCAAAACGGGCATAATATATAAGTGAGGATGACAGCGGATATTTCTGGAAGGAAGAAAGAATAGGAAGACTTCACCCTGCGTACCACTGTCCACTCGCGAGATTGGCTTTTTTGGGTTATTTTTTGCCTTCTTTTTGGTAAATTTCAAGTGTTTATTTACGGCAAATAAGATAATTTAGAACCCCTTCCTAAACTTGTTCAAGTATTCAAGCGGATAGTACAGTGACGCGTAGACAACTGCGTAGCATAACATGTAAATTCCAACGGTTATTATCTGAAAGAACTTTTTTCCTTCAATTTAATTTAACGAAATCGTACGTATTTCAAGGCAATAGCACAATGATCTGCGATTTCCTCAGAACTCGCGTTTCGTCCCCAGCGCCGCATTGCGCTCACAGTGAAGCGTTCAACTTGATTGATCACATCTGTTAGGTTTCCAGTCACAACGAAAAAGTTTTCTCTCTTTTTGCCCTTTTCTTTACCGGGAGAGTTCGCCTTCATGAAAATGATATCTAACTCTTTATCACTGTCGTTCTCTGCCCTCGTTGAATTTGCGATTTCGTCCAGCTTTTTGGTGGCTTTTTAAATCTTTTCAGTACTGTTATTTTTCTGAATTATCAAGCCCGTGCATAAGTTGACATTTCTCGCGTTATTCCATTCAATCCTTGTTGTCTGATCCTCGCATCACTTTCAGCGCTCCTTTCGAACATTGAAAACGATCTCTGCATGGACGGAGCTCTTCGTTGTTGTCCATATGATGGCACTATGACCGGACTATTGACGAAATGTCTTTCGCGTAGAATATCTGCAACAGTTACAAATTATTGCTCTTTGTAAAAAATAGAGCAATATTCTTTAACTGTCCCTGGTAATGTTGGTGCTCGCCCTGGCGTATTTTTTCGTAAAATTTCTGGCTGCTGCTCATCGGGTATATCAGCTGTTATTGATGACTGATCTGAGTTGATTTCTGACATATCGGTTTCTGCTTCTTCTTCGTCTCCTTTTAGACTGCTCAGTCCAGTTACACTGCCCATCAGTTGAAGAAGTGATGATGTGCGGGATTTTATTTCTGGCTCTTGTTCTTCTTTTCTCGCTGATTAGAATTGAAGAATAATATTTACAAATTTTATACTCACGTGTGATGTACTGTGTAGAATCCAGGCCCGCGTCAACAACGTCTGAGTTAGCATCTTCATACTCTGATGATGAATCAAGCCCTGGAATGCTATCATTTTCCATTTTATGTGCTTGAGAATCTCTATTGTTAAAACAGGCGAAAGTAAGCCCTGTGAAAGGAATGATGCTGGTTTGGATAAACATGTTTCCATCTAGAAAAAAATCCATTGCCGGCTGCAAGATCTGGAAAATCATTGTAGATTTACTAAGGAGGAACATCTTGCTATAGAAATTGCGTAAAAGATAGGATCATCTTCTCGCTGCGTTCGAGAATCACATACAAATGTCAATCATGCTCATACCGTAGAACGGTTCGACTATCTATGATCTACCTATGTCGTTCTTGAACGAGGATAAGAAACTGGTGACTTTACCTGGCCAGTCAATTGACTAAAATTTGCCTATTGATAAATTCTGACTCAACGCTCGCCAGACAGAAGATGATCCACTCAGCTCGGTGACCATATTGACCCGTCTTGGTGCCCAATGGGCCGCCGGTATTTTTGCCCGCGGCTCTTTGAAAAGGGCTTTCACAGTCGAGAGGACTTGAAAATTTTCATCCAAGAACGTTCAATTTACAAGATTGTATTGTTTTCTAAAAGCTAACCCTTTAAATATTTAGAATGAGTCGATTTTGACAAGTTGGACGAGTGAAAATGGGGTGCAAGCCGACAAAGAATGGTTAGTTAAAATAGTTAAATTGAAATTGGTATAATAAGTAAAATTCTATAAAAGACGTATTCTTTGGTAGAAAATACTGGGATTACGATTTTGAGAATTCAGAAATGCGATTTTACTATAACGAAATCGCGCATTATCGATTTGAGATACGAGAAATCGATACTAAAGCGCAAATTTAGGAAACTCACTGGATAAGCCTCATGATCAGCCGAAAATAACCACGAAAGTCGACCCGAGAATCCTGCAAAAATATGAAATTCAAGGTTCGCCCAGCTTTTTACGTCAATTTCAATCTGGTTAATTTAGCGTTAATTGGAACTGGCGGCTTTTCAAAAGTCGTCAGGGTTCAGCATCGAGCGACTGGCCAGCGTTATGCAATCAAAATGGTTGAAACGCTGAATAAGGATGGACAGGAGACTTGCGAAAGAGAGCTTCAAGTTTTGAGGTAAATGACGGAAAAGCTAATAACTCACATAATGGAATATTCTAATCATTTCGTCACTTATAATTATTTCTTGAAGGCGCACGAAGCATCAAAATATTATCCAGTTGATCGAAGTGTACGAAGGATCAGACAAACGAATTTACATGGTGCTAGAGCTGGCGTCTGGGAAAGAGCTCTTCGAACGAATAATTTCGGAATCTTTCGACGAAAAAGAAGCCGTTAGAAATATCAAAATGATTCTTCAGGTAAATTTCCAGTCTTAGTAAAGCCAAATCTCTTTATAAAAAGATATTCGCCGTAATATAATATTCAGGGATTGGCATATCTTCACAACTTGGGAATTGCGCATCGAGACTTGAAGCCTGAGAATCTTCTTTACTCACATGAAGGTAAGGTTTATTTCAAGTAGAGAAGGAGACAGTCAGTTGATGAATTTCCTCCAAGAAATGTGTATATTTTTGCAATTTAGGTCGCGACGCGCGTCTTTTAATCACCGATTTTGGCTTCGCCGGTCGACGAACAACTGGTGGTTCCGAATTCACGATGAAAACAGCCTGTGGAACGGCGGAATATGTCGCGCCAGAGGTTCTTCTTTCGATTCCCTACACCGTCGGCGTCGATTTATGGGCATTGGGCGTCATCACATTCATTCTTCTCTGCGGCCGGATGCCTTTCGATCATGATAACAAAATGGATCTTTATAAGAAGATTTTGAAGGCTGAGTATTGCATGGAAGGAGAAGAATGGGAAAGCGTCTCACAAAATGGAAAGTTGTTCATTTCCTCCTTGCTCGAGTTGGACCCAAAAAAGTAAGCGAGAATCATGTTTTACATGGCTGCATCGACGGAATCGTCTTGATAACATCAAATCCTAGACGGCTAAAAGCATCAGATGCATTGAATCATGCCTGGATCATCGAGCAAAAAGCCAATTTCATCAAACGAACGGCCAACGCCAAAAGCATACGACGTACTGGAAGCGGCAAAAGCAACGAATCTTCCAAACATTCCAATGAATCAAAATCGCTCACAAGTCAGAATCGCCGAGTTCGTGCCAAGGAACTCGACGAGCTGCTCATGTACTATCGATACGGAGATAAAGAATGACTAATTCTATTTCAAAAATCTCCATTTTCCACTGTACGATTTTTCTATTAATTTTTAAATTATCAGTTTCAAAACTTAAAACTTCATGTGCCTTAAAATCTTCATTCAATTCAATGCCGTTACTTTCTTTTGCTTTCCTTCCTTTTTTTTCTTCATTGAAATACCAGTAGTTCCATGATTTAATATCTCAATCAAACTCGAATTTCGACCCTTTCAGAATGAACCTCAATAATACAGGAATCTCCTAAATGGATGATCAAAAAGACAACAAATCGGAGGGCAATAAAATGGCCGATGAAACTCCAAAACCTAGACCAAATGCCTCACTTCTAGCTGGCCTTATCAGCCAAGCTTTTGATCCTTCCTTCATTGGTCTCAAGAGGCCTATCGAAAATTCTGATTCTGGGTAATAAAACTCTCCATTTTTCATCTATCTAAAAATGCAAATAGAACCGATGAAGAAGGGGCAGCAACTCAAGAGAAGCCAGAAAATGGCTCCTCGAAAACGAAAAAGCGCAAGAAAAAAGACAAAGATCTTCGAAAGAACATTCGAAAAATCAAAGACGACCTTGAGTTGGACAAAGAAACACAAGTAAGCGCAAACAATATAAAAAGGAAAAATACGTCAGATTCCACCAGTCCGACTCATCCTAGCGCTCTTCCATTTCCTTTCCTTTTCTATAATAATTTGATTAGTGTTGAAGCGTTTTATTGTCATGATTTTCAAAAGTAAAAAAGAAAAATGCCCGTGACTCTGAAGAGAAAAATGGACTTTGACTTGAAATTTGACGATTCTGAGGATGATTCTTTCATTAATTTTTTCCTCCAGGATGCGCGAAAAGAAGAGCAAGAGCGTCTCGAGCGTCTTCGGATGCGCAACTTTGTCGATCTATCAAGTGATGGAGCGGATCACGTCAAAAAGGCAAAGCCGGTTGATGACGATTCCGACGATGATATCATCTGCATGGGTGAGGTCACGGAAGCGGCCGAGGAGGAGGATACTGCCAATTCTGGCATGCATACTAATGACGACCAGAATAAGCCTGATCAATATGGCCGGGTCCTTGGTAATAATCATCTTTGTCGTAAATTCATCGGAAATCTTATATAGTGAATGTAAATCATCCTCAAGACGAGGAAGGAGTCTACCTTGCAACGCAGATTCAGGACAAAATCAAACCCCATCAAATCGGCGGTATAAGATTCATGTACGACAACACAATCGAATCTTTGAAAAGATGCAGGAGTTCTGCAGGCTTTGGCTGCGTGCTTGCTCATGCGATGGGATTAGGAAAAACGCTTCAAGGTAAAATCAGCTGTAATGAAAATTCAAATTGCTGAATTCAATTTAGTAATCTCCTTTGCTGATGTATTTCTCCGTCACTCGGGGCATAAATACGTGATGATTATCGTGCCAGTGAACACTATTCAAAATTGGAAATCCGAATTCGCTACTTGGCTGCCTGAAAGACCTGCTTCTTCACCCCCTGATCCGAAAATTTCCTACAGGTAGAGCCGATTCTTCATAATAAAAAATTAGCTAGAGAAAGTTTTCTATGGAAATTTTGATTCTTTTATTTCCTGAAATTCTTCTTTCAGAACAAGCCCAGTTTATTGCGTGGATGAACGGTGCAATTCTACTGACGCTCGACTATCATTAATAAAAGGCTGGAGATCGACAGGAGGATGCTTGATCGTCGGCTATGAAACATTTCGAATACTCGTTACGCCCAAAAAGGTGAAGAAAAACTCCCCCGCTCCGGATCAGCATCACGTTATGATGCTACAGGAATGTCAGAATCATCTTCTCGACCCTGGTGCAGGTAAAAGCAAAATTATGTCACCAAAGACGAACCTTCTTTTTATAAAGATCTTGTAATTTGCGACGAAGGACACAGAATCAAAAACGAAAAGGCAGAATTGTCGAAAGCTCTTTCGAAGATTCGTACAAAACGGCGAGTCATTCTGACTGGAACGCCGCTGCAAAATAACCTAATCGAGTACTGGACAATGGTCGATTTTGTTAGGCCTAGGCTGCTCGGTTCAAAGAACGAATTTCAGAACATGTTCGTTGCACCTATTACCAACGGTCAAGCAAAGGTACCCTTTTTCCTCCGAAGCAACAGATAAAAAACTTCTGTAGAACGCGACACCAGATGATCGGAGACAGATGAAATATCGCAGTCATGTTCTTCACGAGCTTCTCAAGGGTTGTGTTCAGCGCCGGTCGCATGCTGTTCTTTGTCATGATCTTCCTGCAAAGGTTTTATTTGGTCGCCTTTTTGAACGTTTATTGAATAATTATCGTAGAACGAATACATTCTGATGGTTCGCCTGAGCCAGCAGCAGATTCCGTACTATCAAAAATTCACGCAGTTGAAGAACGACGACAACGAAGAAGGGTCGATGAATGCTGTTGTCGCTCACGCAACTTGCTCGAAGATTTGGAATCACCCGGATCTGCTGTATCGAACCGCTGTCCAAGGTGTGTATTCGAAATTAAGGCAGGCTTAACTCTGAGTTGCGCCACTTAGTTTCGATTTTTGCTTGAGATGGCACTGACAAGGCAGTGGCACCGTCTCTTAGATCAATGACTTTGAGGATTTGAACTTGTGGTGACTATGCTTCATGGTGTGCTTCAAGCTGAGATGGATTTAACTGCCTTTCGTACCAACGGAATTCATTCATGTTATCAAATAAAAAGGGAATTTCCGCAAGCGTAAATGAACATTTTAGGAGATGACTCTGACGCACGTGAGCTTGATGACGAGTTTGACCATTTCGATGCTGGCCTCATTAAGCCCAAAGGAAAGCCAAAGAACAAGAAGGAGCTGAAAGCGTCCGTGGAATGGGCCCGCAAGAGCGGAATCCGGGAAGATTACAGCCCTGGCCACCCAGAAGCTGGATTCAAGGTTCCCCTTCTCCTCAACATTTTGCGCAAGTCAGCGCTCAAAGGGGAAAAACTTATCTGTTTCTCTCAAAGGAAGGGGCTCGGAAAATTTCTTAAAGATATCTATCTTTACTTAGCCATCTGTGTTTTGAATTCCGAAAGAGTAAATATACATCTTCCGTTACATCGTTAGTTATAATACTGAAGTTCATCATCCCATAGAGAAATAACTTACTCTGAGCCCTATACAGCCTGGGCACACTAGATCTGCTAGGAGATTTCATCACAGCAGACCCTACACTTCCGCTGATGCCAGGTGAGCTCAACTGGGCCGGCCGTATTATGCGGATAGATGGCTCCTGTGGCTCAATGGAAAGGGAGAAGATTATAAAAAAATTCACCGATTTTCCTTTGCCGTCAATTTTGCTTATTTCGACGCGCGCCGGCTGCGTTGGAATCAATGTGACAGCTGCGACCAGAGTGGTAATGTTTGACGTCTCTTGGAATCCTGTTCATGATGCACAAGCTGTTTGTCGCATTTACAGAATCGGCCAGGAGAAAGCTTGCTTCATTTACAGGCTGGTCGCCGATGGCTGTATGGAGAGGGCGATTTACGAGCGCCAGGTTGCCAAGGGACGTTTTTGGATTAATTCTATTAATTTATTCAGGATAACATTTGCTTTTTTGGTTATTAGCGACTAGACTGTTTTTTATAACATAAATTTCGTATAGTAATGAAGGTCTTTTTATCATTTTACATCCGGTAGGTTTTTCAAGGAACACATAGAAACATGCTAATTTTATCTTGATTATCATACATGAAGCGTCATGAGTCCACTGAAAATAGACAAAGAAATGTTGCTATATAGCATTTAAGATTCTCCCGATTTAAAAATTCGTATGATACATTCCATTAAACTCAAAAAGACCTCTTTATCGCGCCGAATCGTTGACGAAAAGAACATCGACCGATTACGAGTGGATTGTAATCGCGCTCTATTAATTTTCCAAGACCAGTCTAACTTTCCTCCGCCCTTGCCGATGACCGCGGAAGAGGCCGGCGACTCAGTGATCGAAGAAGTTTCGCGAGAATGCGGCAAGTATCTTTCCCACACGCCGATTAAAATGGAAAGCCTGATTGTTGAAAGCAAGCAGCAACTAACTGCTAGCGAGAAACGTATCGCTAAACGTCAGTACGAAAGCGAGAAGAACACTAACGGGGGCTACGCATGTGGCCGTGGACGACCGCGAATGGAGCATCGCCCTATCGCGCATGTTCGACCGTTCCAATCTGGAAACTCTCCTCACGGTCATTCGAATATGCCTCCTGGAATGGGATCTCATCATCACAGCACCGCAGGCATTCCATCTTGGAGACACGCTGCTATGAACTTAGCGCGTCAAGGCACTCCGCCTTTCAATCATCAGAACAGTCCGAGCTCTTTAATCGGCGGCCTTCCTTTTGGCTCCAATCCTCTTCTCTCGCCTCGTCATTCAAGCTCTCCGGGATGCGACGGATCTTCGATACAATCCATGTCTCGCGAAACCGTTTCCTTCGGTCCTTCGATTCCTAATGAAGAGCAAAACTTCCTCAACGATTTCCCAGTTCGCGGAAGCTCTTCGTCGCAAAACGGATCGTCCTCAAATGCAGTAATTCCCCCTCCATCTGACCCCCTCCCGTTCCCCAGCTTGCTGGGCAATAACTTCAACCAGCCGAGACTAGACAACGTCTCCAGCATCATGCAGTTTCTCAAGGATGGCTACAGTAGCTCCGCTGCGCTAGACTTGCAGCGTCATCGTGAACGAACGAGTTTGAACTTGTCGAGCATCATTCCTCAAGCTCCACCGGGCGGCACCATCGACATCATCGATTCCGATTAGCTTCTAAGTTTATTCAAAATTCGTCATTTATCCAGAGAGTTCATTCCATCATCAAAATGACCTTTTTTATATTCCACAATTTCTTCTGCTTTTCTTTCATGATTTTCAGCTTCTTTGAGCGAAAGAATAACTGCACTTTAATTTCGTATTCAGAATTGAATCTCGCTTTCAACTTTTAACTTTAGCTTTAAACTCCATGATACCACTGAAAAAATATCTGTAGTTCAATGTATTTCTACTTTCGTTATATATTTCTTGTTTATTTTGCATCTTTCTCGCCCTTTTTTTCGTTTGTCTTTTTTCATAAATCGACCTCATCAGTGTTTTCTGCTGTGCAATCCGTTTTGATGTAATTTTCTTTCTCTATCCGTTTATCCATGTTTACCGATATTACCTTTCAATTATTCTAACTCCCAAAAACAACCACTGATGATTTTTGTTCTCCTGAAAAGTCCAATTAAGGTGTAAATACAAAGCACAAATGTGATCAATACTTATTGCCGACCTACTCTTTAAAAAATAACTGAATAGTACAAAAATTCTAAGTTGTAAATAATTGTCTGAAAAACTCCCCGCAAAGCTTCTCCTATCCTATCAAACATGTCCTGAAATAAAGTATACAAAATTCCTTACAAGGATATCTATGGCACTACCAATTCTTATGTAAAAATATAGATAGGCGAAAACTATTTCAAAGTGATTATTTTAGGAGCACTGTTTGGAAAATCGAAACTCGGAAAGCGCAAAAAATGGTGAAAACTCGTAATCGACCTGAGAGTCGATCGAAACGCGAAAAAGTTTCTGAACGCGTTACGGATATTATTGCTACCACGAGGAAATGGCTCTTTCCAGATGGTGTCTCCCTCAAGGAAGGGTTTTTTTACTTAAAAACATCTTGAAATCTAATCACTTATTCCAGCTTTTGCTTATTTTAGGACGAAGGGACGTTCATAAATGATTCGACTTGTGGTTTTTTATCTTCTTACTTTTCGCTAGAGTTTCCATCACAAGCTACTACCTATATCCTTTTCCACAAGTTACCGTTAACTTTCGTAACCCTCGCCGAAGCACATCCGAGATGTTGCCCACCGTCTTCCCCGCGAACGCCAAAAACACTTTATCGACAAATTCTCGTCAATGGAGCGCTTGAGGAGCTTTTGCACCTTGGCTGATAACGCTCGAGCAACAAGTTCAACCATCAACGAAGATATTTTAAAACTGGTCGTTGAAGAAAACGGAGAAATTGAGTTATCTCCACATGTGTTGTTCATCCTTCATCAGCGGCTCCCTAGCTTGAGAAATAGAATCTCTCAAATTAAAAGAGAAAGGAAAGCGTTTCATGGTGAACTTTTATGCAAAATAGCTGATTCTTTGAGGCATTGATAAAATTTGAAAAAATATGATTTTCAATATTTTGAAATTGCTTCTGATTCCTAGTCTACGAAACGTTGAAATCATTGACGTAATCATATATATCTAAATGATGAATAAATATATTAAAAACGCAAATAAAGAAATTACGATTGTCTTGATTCTATTTTGAAATTTCCAGAAAACTGCGGTGCTGATCTCCAAAATGAATACTGGAAGCTCCTTCTGACAGGGAAATGCAAGTCGAAGCAGTGGAAAGAGGAGGTGGAGAATCTGATGAGAAAAGCTGCTCATTTGCAAATACCGAACGGGTTCAAAACTGACACGAAGGTAGATTCTCTTCTGAAATTCAATAATTGAATCGTTTGGATAGATTCTCTTCGAAACTGGCAAGTCTTATGATGCGATTGTGATTCCCTCCGACGCGGTTGGAACGATGGTGATTCCGCTGTCAATCCATCCGGACGAGATTGAGACGCTTTCGACGATTTCCTACAGAAAAAATGTCCACAGGCTCATTTTGAGTTCGCGCTCCCCCTTCTTCCGAAAACTGTTCGACAGGAGGACAGATTGTCCTCTTGGCCACATTTCCTTGGTCGTCCTTGACTCTAGCATCATTCCTAGCCATCTTCTCAAGAGTACGTTGCGTCAAAAATTCCCAAGTGAAAAGATGTTTTTCTGAATAAATTTTTTTCATAACTAATTCAAGCAGACGTAATAAATTATCTTCTTAGTCGTCCTTTCGTTCTTCTACACGAGTGAACTTCCGTCCTTGGACATGGAATCGTCTCAGAAATCATGCGACCTTGCGTCTGACACTGAACTGACAGACTTGCCAATTTCCATCCGAAGAGCAGTTGCTTTGTTCGGGGTGGGCAAGATTCTTCAGATGACGTCGCTCATTCAGGTATCAAGCAAGGAAACCATAAGTAAATCTTGTCAAGGATTATATGGGGTTTTTAATTCGAGTGTTGCGCCATCTGAACATTGATGATTTTCAAGACTATCGTTCGACTGAAGCCAGTTGATGACAACTTTGAATTCCTCGTAACTGAGTTCACTCGTGTTTTTCCAATCTCGATCTACACGATCAAGTGTTACCCAAATGGGTACACCCATAAAAGACATCTTAAAAGAGTAAATACTCTTAATTAAACTGGGGTGTAAGTCTCCCAACTCCGCGGGCAGGCGTCTCAGAGACACACCCTTATACCTCCAAAATTCTTTTTCAAAATCATCGATAATCTGTCGGAGCGTGGAAACTGAGTCATTCTTTTCAATCATCCACAGAAGTATTAAAATTCCTTCAGGCAGCTGAAGACAAAATTGCTCACGAGCTGTCTTATAATACCGTTCTTCCCATCCTTCAATGGGCAGAGCGTGACCATGGCAGCTCCTTCGTTTCCCGCAAATGCCTCGCCTTCATCAGGGAGAACTTCCACCACCTCTCTCAAACGGGCATTTTGACCGGGTTGACGACAGAAGAGATGATAAAGCTGCTCCAAGATGATTATCTTCAAGCGCATGAGTTGGACGTTCTTCGCGCCGCGCTCAGATGGGCGGAAAACACTGCCCGGGAGAAGGAACCGGATATCATCAAAAAGAGAAAAAAGGAACCCTCCAACGATCTGATCAGAAATGCTCTTGGTATGATCAAAGACACTTCATACATTGTAAACGATTTCAGCGCCTCTCCTTCCTTACATCCGCCTGGAGTACATCCTTCCCGCAAACTGCCCCGATCTAGCAAAGGTCTTCCAGAGCGGCCTCATCCGAAATCCTCCCACTTCTATAGACGGATCTACAACGATCGGTCGAGGATGGGACTATGGCGACTCCCGCTCCCCTCGATTTTACAAACCTTTTGTTGAAATTTTCCTGGAGCTGAACTCAAATGAATGGTCAGAAGGTATTTTTCTTTTTGTTGATTTTGCCTTGGAAATTCCGTTTTAGAATCATGCCATGGGATTGAAACTGTGCCCCGAGCGAGTGCTGTGGGTCTAGATACTCCTGAGATCATTCAGAATTGCGTAGGAAAGGAATTGAATTTTAGCATAAAATCAAGCCGTTTTAAACGGAATCTGATGTCTTTTTGAGGTATCAATAAGCCCGACAGGCTTGGAAAATACAGTATAATTGTGATATAAGGATCACACAATAATTCCGCAAAAAGTTGACGAGATTCTCGAGCAGAATCTAATCCTCCCTTCCGAAACAGTTTGCTGCCAAGTGTTGAAAAGGCTCCACTCGCTTCAGCAAAAACACCAGCCGATTATACCGCGCCACATGCATTTCCTTCGACTCACTGCTCTAAGAGAGCATTCTCTGCCTGATGGACTCATCGCCGTCCTCCGCGATCCTTACCAGTATTTTCCAGGCTCAAAGGTAAGTGACCATTAAATCTATGAAGCCTTGGAAACATAGAAGAGTACCTTGAAACATTGTTGCATTGAAACTTTCAGAACATAAAACACCACTACGCCCTCGTCCAGCGATACCGCTACTACAAAAAACTCAACGACAACGCTTCATCCTCCGCGGCCTCACCTCCAACTGCTTCCGCTTCAAACCGCCCCTTTCACCCCCAACCTGATCTTCTTGGAAGCCCATCGAGAACGAATTCGTTAACATCTGCTCCTTCGCGATCACCACAAAAACCTTCAGGAAATTTTTTCACTCTTATTCAGGAATCTATCATTTTTAGAGTTTCAAAGTAATATATGAATTTAAATTCAAGGAAGTTCCGTCGAGTCAATATCGGAAATGTATTTGCCTAGGTGTTTTTTAATATTTATTTACAAATGTGCTTTTTGTCGCATTTCCTTTTTTCTCCGTTATATCGGATAATTTATGCCGCGATAACCTTTTTTGGAAATATGAATTAGGTCAACTGTCGCGCAACAGTCCTTCAACCATTCTAGCCATTTCGATATGTTGAAATACACAAAAAGCATCCACTCTCGTCAGGCTTATGCAATCGCCAGTAAGGAAGATCCGACAAAACTTCAGAAGTTTGACGGCGACGACTCCTGATAGAAATCAAAACAACCACAGCTGCGTCATCGACTACATTCCCTCATTGTCAGTATTAAATCTGTCTACTCGACGGTAAAGTTGCTCTTTTAGAAATAAAGGCGCAAAAGCCAAACCCACCCTCCCTTCCGGCTCAATGACTCTGCCTGACATCGCCACGACGTCGAGAGGAATCGAAAATTTAACTTACCGCACGAGCTCTTCTAATTCCTCGACGGAATAAAAATATCGTTCAAAATAATTTCAACCCGCTCCTTATGATTCCAACTTTCTCTATTCTCTTTATTCCACCAATATTCATTTCAACTTTATTCTAAAAATATTCATTCAAAGTTAATAAAAAAATCAAGTGTTCAAACATTTTTTAAAGCCTCTTCTCATCTGTGTGTATTTGAAAATGAGCTAGTGGGTGTTAAAATAGCTTTTAATTTCAGAATGGGCATAACTCCATCTTCGGAAGACAAAAACATGGAAATTTTATGTTTGAAAAATTCAAAAATCGACACTGTTCGAAATTGCCCGATTGAGATTTTTGCCAGAATCGCGATGTACCTTGGTCCAGGAGAATGCAAGCGTCTTGCCGCCTTCTTTCCAGAGATAGAAGAAGCATGGGAGGTTGCTCAAGCGATGAATTGGGGAAGGGTGTTCAACTTTTCTCTAAATTTTTCAATAATAGCAAAATTTTAGAATACTGATTGACGTAACTTTTCTAAGATAAAAGCACTGAAAACACCTTCAAGTCGTCATACCTGAAAGGTGCAGATTATGAGCTGGAAGAAAAAATCGACCGAGGATTTTCTGACGACGCGAATTTTCTCAAAGATTCGTTTAGAATTTCGACCCTGATGTCTCAAGGCTTGATTTGAAACGTCTGATCTATAAATAAATATCGAACATGTTTTATTGAATCAAACTGAAAGCAAAGGAAGACACCAGAGTCGTCCATATGCCTCGATATATCAACTGGACGAATTCGGATGAACTCGGTTATGAAATTCTCTATCTGGACTCAGTTTGTTGGCTAGAATTTAAAACAGAAATGAGTTTACCGAAGGCTCGCAGTCTTCATCTGTATTTCAAGGAAAAGGTTCTCTCCTTTTTTCTTAAAAAAATTAAAATTTGAAAAAAAACCTAAAAAGATGAAATTTGGCAACGACCGAAACAATCACCACCAAACCCGAACGCCTGAAATAACAATTCGCTCTGAAGGAAATGTCATCTCAAAAGGCTTCGTCGATGGAAAAGACATGGCCATTGCTGGATCCTGGCGTTGGGTGAAAGTTTACCAAGACAAAAAGTTCGGAAAGCTGATGACTTTCAACATTGCCAAAGCTGCGCGTTGCGAAATTCACTGGTTCAGCGAGAAGCCCTACTGGTATCATGACATCAGCTGGGGAGGCCTGACGGTTGCATCAGAGTAAAACCTGCTTTCTTCACTTTTCATTCCCATTGATACGATTCTACTGATACAATAAAATTCATAGTATAAACATCTTGGATTTTTTTGGTTGTTTTTATTTTCAATAAAATCAAGAACTTTGCATTCGCAGTGGGTAGTTTTGAGTGGTGAAAGAATACAGATGAGAATAAATAACAATTGAGCGAGGATTTTTGCGGGAGGTTTAGTTTTGTTGGTGGTACTTGACGAAATTCATTTTACGCTGGATTTTGAATGATCTAGCGGTTTGTTTGCGGAGTACAAAGCTTTCATATTGTCTTTTAATGTCGCTATCGAATGAGAAAATGGTGTTCAGGACGCTTTCTTCTTGTGGGGATACGATGCTGTTCCTGTAGCTGTTGTGGCCGAAGTTGAGCTTGTTCATTGTTCGATTTATGGCGAGAAGATCGCCGAAAGCGGCGGAGAAGAGAGCGAAGTTGACGATTTTCATTTTTTTAAATGATTTCTCAGGTCTTATGATATCGAAAGTGCAAGAAACCGGCATTTTTATAGATAACCCGGAGAGTTCAATTGGAGGCGACAGAGCGTTTTTTCGCTACAGCGCCTTTCTTTAAATATATTTTTCATGACAGGTGAATCAGCTTAAATTACGGAAGCGCGTTGTTTCCATCATCGATTGAGTGGCATTCGACTCACTTATTTCAAAGAATTACGTAAATTTATAAATAACTTTAAAATTTGATAATGATAAAATTTCTAAAACAGCCGATTATACCGTATATCGATTCATGAACAGAGTTTTCCTTGATGAATGAAAAGTTGTATCAAGTCATGGGGATAATTAAAAAAACAATGATTGCAGTCTTCTCATCCGAGAAAAAGGTAGATCGAGAATGTCCACTGTCGAAGAGTTTCAACCCCTGAGAAGATTCTACAGGTAGCCCTTCAGAAAAAAAAACAAGCGATAGATCTTTCAAGGTCGAAATGGGCAGTTCCGAAAAGCACTTCGCTAAATTTCCAAGCTTATCGCGAAATACAAGAAATCTCTCGATTGCCCAAGTCCTTCACCGATGTTGACTTTTCAACGCTCGAACGGCAACAGACAAATGCAAGTCTGAAAGTCTCGTTTGCCGAAGAGTTGGAAGATCCGGACGATTTTAAATGCTGCGATCTCCAGGAACACAAAAAAGTCACCGGAAGGAGAAAGTTTCTTTATCAACTCAAGTTGACATTTGTCAAGCTTCGAGCTACCTTTGCAGATAAAAGTAAGGATTTGAAAGGGTTTGACAAGGTTTGAGATTATTTTTTAGCAAGAAAAGAGGAAATAATTTCTAATTTCAAACATCGACAAAGCATCGTTTCTCATATTTCAACAAATTTAAACATTGACTCTGACGACAAAAAAGAGTAAGTCTAGTAGACAACCAAGTCTGTTTCTCCTTAAATTTATCTTATAAAGGATGAACGATATGTACGAGTGGGAGGACCAGTTTCAGGACTGCTATTCTCTTTCATAAAAATGTTATCAGGCTAATTATTCATTTTCCGACGATTTGTAGACATTTTTCTGGAAGCCTTCGAAAATCACATTGAATTTTAAATATAGATTTTACGTAAATAAGGAAAGAATCAGACTTAGAATAACGCTGACGTCGGAGGAGACGACGAGTCGGAGACAGAGGATGAGGAACAAGACGAGGCGGCTCTTCAGCCAACAACAGCTGATGATTTCAACAAGGTGAGCTGACCACAGAAAGTTTGATTTATTCGTCGGTAAGGGCAATATGGATGACGAGGCGGAAATGGATGATGGAGGCGATGACCCGGACAACGAAGAAGAAGAAGAGGACCAAATGGCCGAAGTCGAAAGCGAGATCGAAGCGCTTCTCGAGATTCCAGTGCTGCTTTGCGGTGAGAAATCGTTGATAAAGTAGGGTCATGGAAAGAGTCTAGTAGACGAGGATTGTCATGCTCCTAATCCGGACGGCCTTAATAGCCAGGTTTGCGGCAATTAATTCTGTTTGATTCCAAGCTCGCGCTCTAGCAGAGTGGAGATGACTCGGATGATTTCTACGAAGCTTTAGCAATCGATCAGCGAGGTTATAGTTTTTTTGTTGAATAAAAAGTAATTGCATGCCCTAACTTTAATCTTGGTTTAACAACGTCGATACTGTCTTTAGTTAGTTTGATTAATCACTTTTTAGTTGGAATGGAGGAAGCAAGAGGTGATATTGGCATGAGTGCAACTGACGATGAAATGAGCGACGATGACTTTTCGTTTGATTCTGGCGATGATCGGCCCCCAAGTTGAACGAATTTTGTAATATTTTTCTGCGAATAAAATTATTTAATGAAGGAGTTTTTGAAATTGTCTTCTATGATCTCAATCGGCTCTATTTTCCCACCCAAAAACACCGATTTGGGAAACTTTGCAATAACATTTGTCAACAAGTCTCTTCAGATCACAGCTGCAACAACGTAACCGTGTTTATAGACACTTGAGTTTCTGTACTCTAAAGAGGCACAATCGCAGAATCATTACAGGTGTCGATGCGCGTTTTCGACAACTTCACGTCAAGTCGCTCTTTCATCTTTGGTTCCGGAAAGGAAGAAGAACAAGAATGGTTTGGAAGGCAAGATTCTATGAAATTTTTCTGTGAGTGAACTTCTTCGGTCGTTTCGATTTTGAAATCAAAGTTGTAAAAAGTCAGCCGGATGCTATAACTCATAGTGTATCTTTGTTTATTCGAAAGGAAATCCTAGCGGTCACTTGGCGGGAAGCTCAAAGAAATGGTCGGAATTATTAAAACGCGTGTTAACACACCTTGTGACATTTGCGGATGGAAGTTTTCGGGAATGAAAATTCTCGAACTTTGTCCAGGTGCACCTTTAATCGCGCCAGTGATTGAGCTCGCTCTTTGCGCATCCATCAAGCTCATCCGAGCGAGTTCTCAGCATTTAAATCGTCGAAGAAATGAGTATTTGGCTGTTGAAAAATAGCTTATGAACTCATGATGTTCCGGAAATGGCAAGGAGTCTTGTTGGTGGTCCGTTTGAAGACGTAATGAAGGCAGTTTAGTACTAAAAGGCTCGTATCTTTCTTCTTTGGGCGAATTGACGATTAGCAGCTGCGGATGTAGCAGTGCCATAACCACTGACGGTGGAAGCAATAAACCACCTGTTAGCTTCATTAAATCAACCATACTAATTAATCTAGACCTCGCTTATGCTCAATTTATGAGCAGAAAGCAGACCATCCGCCGCCAAAAGAGAACCATTATCGTGATCTCGTGAGTGTCTTTTGATTGTCCTCCATGATTTCATTTGAAAATCGAATCATTTTATATCGTAAAAAGCGTAAAATCGATGGCCAAAGATGAGAGAATCCATTCCACTGGGCTCAAAACATCGTCCATCTGTAACTATAAAACCGCTCATAAACGCTCATAAATGCTGAAAATTCGACCTTGAGGTAAGCTTGTCCCGCGGCTTAATTGACAAATACGGGACATTACTCGCCCCAGGCAACATCAAACGGCGATTATGTTTACTCGCTGCCAACTCTTGGTTGTTTTACTTTTGCGCGTTATTTTACAAATGACTTTGGCTTAGCTTGAGGATTTGGGAAGAAGAGGCAATTTCCACGATGCCAAAACCAGCTTTGTGACAGATTTGAGCACTATGCAATCGACGGAGATGCACCTGCCTGTGTTCAAAGAGCTAACTGCCTCGATTGTCAAAATGTTATTTTCAAAGTTCCAAAACAGTTGAAATTTTCACGCGAACTGGGTAAATTACGTCTCGAGGAGGGTAGCTTTGGAAGACCCATTCTTCGCATAATGAAATTTTCATCGTTGATCTCCATTTCGTTGACCCCACTCATCGTTGTTTTCAATTATGAAATTTCGATTCCTATCAGTACAAACTGTTAGTTCGCCCTTATGTCATCGTTCCCTGGTGACTTTAGATACAGTTACTAACCGCGGTACTAGAAGATGGATTTCCGGTTATCTCGTTTGGTTAGATAAGGGAATCATGTTTGAGCTTTCAGATGCTATCGGCCCGCGCTGAGCACTGTAAGTTGGGCGCATTTATCGCACTTGATAGTGTTTCTTTGTTATCAAAACGTCATTCTATCGTGGTAATCTCTGATCGCCCACGAAAATGTTTAAACAGACTTATGCTCTTTATCGGCTTCAATGCCAAAAGAGACCGAGATGGCGACCCCGGAGCTAAAACAGATTCAGCATTATTCCAACTCGGAAATTTGCTGAAATACTGTCTACAATTTGTTGTACCCATTGATTTTTCATTTATACAATTATCTCAAAGTGCTTTTATTCAATTTGGGAGCAATCAATTATCGTTAACTTCATTAAAATAATCTCGCCTTGTGAGTTCAATTATCGATAAAGGACAATCAAATGAGCTCGAGCGTAAAAATCAAGGTCCTTTCCACGTGTTCCTTATCGCTTCGCTTAATTAAAAATATACAGTAGTGACCTTGATGATTTTCGAAAAATTTTTCAGGCCGAAAAATCACTTTTAAACTGTTAGTGCCATCTTCTCCGCCGTAAAAATTCGAGTCGACTCATATAGGTTTGGGTCGGTAATTCTAGAGTTTTAGGTACTTCCGGTCGATTTCAAAAAAACGTAATTCCGCTGCCGTTTTTGATACAGTAATGCAATATAGGCATGCTATATATCAAAATGATCCTCATGAAACGAGGAATGTAGGGGTACCAAAAAAGTACCTTACTATAGTAAAGTACCAAAAAATTTTTTTCATTTTTTCAATTTTGTATCATGATTTAATCATGATGATTTTAAAAAATTTGTTGGTACAAATACTGTATTGGTCAGATTTACAGCCAATCAGAAAGCCTGATCAATTTTGAGTCGATTCGACAAAATCGTATTCGTTATTTTCTAGAGAATGACGTCAAAAATGACGTCAGATGGTTTCAAAGAGCTGAAACTTTTACGTTTTAACGGTTAAGGACCCCCATCAAGAATCGTGAAAATTTGGTTCAGTGAACATTTTTCTCAAAAACTATCTGAGGTAAACCCTTACTTTCAATTGCTACTTTTAGATCAAGCCCTGGCCTGCAACCTTTCCCCTTCTAATTATCTCTCGATATCAAACTTAAGGTTATACAGGCCCTTAAAAGTAAGGTTGCTTAGTGCAGGTTTTTGGGTTTTTAGTTGGGGTATTCCCTTAATTTTTAATTTTTCAGCATAAAGTTAAGGCCATAAGCAACGACCGTTCCCTTTTAAGAGTTTATTGTCCACAGACTTAAGGATATAGCCTTGAATATTGAACTTTCGTAGCGCCGAATCCCTGTTACGAATTTATTCATTTTCAAAGAAACCCTACCTAAAATCCAGCGTAGATTTCGAAAATTCCCTTATTTTTAGTACTTTCTATAGTGTTTATACCTAAAAATCGACTTCAAAATAAAACAGACCATTGTTCTCTGAAAATTCCCATTAAAAGGTAAATCTGGATTGATGATATGAAAGATTGAAGCCTTCTCTCCAATCTAGCGGAGGATTTTGTAAAAATATTTAAAATTACGGCTTCTAGTAACTGGTTTATGATTGTACTTCGAAATGAAGAGTGGCGCGCGCAGCCAATTAGAGCGAGGGAAAATCTCACTCAGCCCATCGCTCATCCTATTTTACACGAGAAATTTTGTCGACAGCTTGGACGAAATCTAACTAGGATTCTCCCCTCGCTCTAATTGGCTGCACGCGCCACTCTCCATTTCGAAGTACAATCATAAACCAGTTACTAGAAGCCGTAATTTTTAATATTTTTACAAAATCCTCCGCTAGATTAGAGAGAAGGCTTCAATCTTTCATATCATCAATCAGATTTACCTTTTAATGGGAATTTTCAGAGAACAATGGTCTGTTTTATTTCGAAGTCGATTTTTAGGTATAAACACTACAGAAAGTACTAAAAATAAGGGAATTTTCGAAATCTACGCTAGATTTTAGGTAGGGTTCCTTTGAAAAATGAAAGAATTCGTAACAGGGATTCGGCGCTACGAAAGTTCAATATTCAAGGCTATATCCTTAAGGAGGACGGCTCCTTAAATATTTTATCAGCCAAATTAAAGGCAAATTTCTATATTTTTATTTTCAATTTATTAAAATTATAATAAAAAAGAGCAAACCAAAGTTTTTAATGAAAAAATATGCAAATTTCCAATTTTATTATTTAGGTACCTCGATTATTGTCTTGATAGGGCGCACATGCACGTTAAGTACCTCTGCAGATCATGCACCTGTGATTTTAAAAAATGGCCGGAAGTGGGAGAAAAGATTTTTTAATAAATTTATCGAACAAAATAATAAATTCAAGCAGGAACGCTGTGAGAATTAATCAAAATGAAAAACTTTAAAATGAAAAAAAAATTTTTTTGGTACTTTTCTTAACTTAAGTACCTTTTTTTGGTACCCCTACATTCCTTGTTTCATGAGGATCATTTTGATATATTACATGCCTTTACAGCATAACTGTATCAAAAACGGCAGCGGAATTACGTTTTTTTTTTAAATCGACCGGAAGTACCTAAAACTCTAGAATTACCGACCCGAACCTATATGAGTCGACTCGAATTTTTACGGCGGAGAAGATGGCACTAACAGTTAAAAAGTGATTTTTCGGCCTGAAAAATTTTTCGAAAATCATCCTTGAAGGTTGAAAACAGACAGCTCATGAGCATCCTTACGAGTCAGAAAGAAGTTGTAAATTTTTGCAACTGGCATCCGGCATCGTTTGACACCTCTTTGCAGCGTTAAACGCACAATATATCCGAACAAGCTTATCTCCTATCGAAGATGCATTTAGTCAAAGTTCAAGTAATAATTTCACAAAGAAAAATATGTTCCAAAATGTTCCGTGGGCTCAAAAACAGCCACAGATCACGATTCTTTGTCACGATTTTTGACACTTTATTACCCATTTGTCGATAAGTAAGTGAGCATTTACGTAGTCGTCGTGAGGAGGTAATTCTTATGGCAGGTATTAAAGCACGTTGTAAATCGCCGAGTAAAATTTCGCGAAAAATGTCAGCGGCGGAAATCGGCGGAAGTGTAAAAGCGGATTAGCACGTGCGCCAACTTTCCTCAAAAGTCGCTAAAAACGCTGTAAAAGGAGCGATAGGGTTAGGAGCGGGCCTGGGCTGGAGCTCAGGCGAGATTTTGATAGTTTATGAAGGTCACTGTGACTCGGTATGCGGAAGTATTACTGTCATTTCGGAGGAAAAACGACTCCGATGATCGGAGTCCGATCGAGCTCATTTTATTTCAAACTGGAGTCAGCCTGCATGCTTTGCGGTCTTATGATAGTAATACATGCTAAAAAGACAAGCGGCATATAATTTTCATTGAACCCTGATTGGGAATAATGGGCAATTAAGCGAAGGCACTTGTTCATCAAGATGATAATGCACGGTTTTGACGCGAAATGGACAGCTTCGTTTGCTGCTTTGCATCAGATGGAAGGAGGCAATAAGCGATTTTGGTGATTTGGCTGGGGAAACGGTTAACAGTAATCCTAACAGTTAGTATCTACACACAAGGTGCAAAGTCTTTGACGGAAGTGCTTGATTTAGGAGCTGTCAGCTTTTCAGCTTTAATCAGAGACATTAAACGATCGTCTCGTTTTCTCTACCCACCGCGCTGCCACTTGCCACTTGTACCCTTATTACTCTGCCAAGGTGCTATAATTCATGTTACTTTTTTCTGTTCCTGCTCGGGCTAAAAATGTTTTCCTTTTTTTCAACAATATATATTTTTTTTATTCTCGGACAAAATCATTATATACAGAAGTAACAATCGCCAATTTTATACAGTAATGAATAAATACACAACAGTTAGTTTTAGACAGTAGATACCGACAGGCCTGGAATACTGTATCAGAGTGACTGTTAGTGTAAGATACAAGTGGAAAATTTTGATGAAGGAAAAATATATATTACAGTGTTTTTTGATAACAAGTTCTGTAGTTGTTGTTTATATGTTTTCAAGCAGCAGTTTGAGGAATAATTGAAACTTCTGCTTTTTGAAGATCAGGTGCTTTAGTCGTTTGTTCGATAGGTTCAGGAATTGGCTCAGAGGTGCTACCAGAGCCGTCGCTCTTCACTGGTGAAATGGCACTCGATTCGGACTTGTTGACGTTTGAGCTTGGATCGCTAGAGCTAGAATATGCCTCGTCGATTTCTTCCTCTTCGCAGCTCGACTCCGATTTTCCCTCGAGATCTTCTGGGTTCAGTTTTGATCGGTTCTGTTTCTTCCACTTCATTCGTCGATTTTGATACCAGGTCTTGACTTGAAGCTGGGTCAGACCGAGCTCTGCAGCGAGGCCGACCCGGTCGGAAGTAGAGAGGTACTTTTTCGTGTCGAATTCGCGCTCAAGTCGAAGAAGCTGACCTTCTGTAAAAACCTGAAAGAAACGGTCAATATCAAGTCTATTCGGTTCTAGAGTTCAGCATGAGAGGGCGTTTTTATTCGCGTATTTTACAAAATAAGATCACACCAACAAATGGCTATTTATTTTTAAATTATGATTATTGCCAATTTAATTAACTAAATCGCAGCTGCTGCGGGAGAAAGGGCACCACTCACTTTAAAAATACTCGTTTGGTTTTATGAGCGCGGGACTGGTAATCGAGAAATTGTCGTCGATTATCTTGTACCATTTTGGTTAACGACTCGATAGATTACGAGCCAGCCTTGCTACTAAGTACTCGCTCTAATCACCATTACGCGCAAAAATAGCGAACACAAATCCTACCCAATGATTAATTACGCCCGCCGAGATATTTTAGGGCGATGAGTTTTCAAGGGACAGTGCATAATTCCCCCTCAAAACGACCAGATGTCCAGAATATTCCACAAAGTCTACTCCCGCGACAATAATGCCCTATCAATTGATGTGGCTGTATTTGCCTTTGCAAGATTACTGTAAATCCGTCCGCTTCAATTTCGACTTTCGTGTAAATAACTTTCACGAAATTCGAAGCTTTCATAAAGCAACTGCATCTTCTGGATAGCGTCTTCCCCGTCGTTCGTGGCGCCCGGCTGGCTCCGCGCGGGGGAAATTCTGGTGGTGCTGCTAATGCCAGAACTGTGACATCTTTTTGTCCAAATCTGTTTGGCTCAATGTCACTAAAGTTTCTAATTGAGCAGATCCGGAATTTTCAGCAATGCGAAAATTTGTACTTAGCTACGATCAAAAAAGGTCATTCCTGTCAACTTATCGGTAGTAGCAAGTCGCTTTTAAGGTTAGCGGAAGCAACTCCTCAGATTCGAAAATTAGTAATGATTGCTACAGCAGCTTATCCACTACTTTCCGCTTGAACTTTTCTGTTCTTACTTTCCGGCTCAAGTGGATTTTCCTTGAGGAACTTTAACAATCCTTAATTGTTAAAAAAGGTAGAGCGTGTTTGATCTATCGATCTTTTAGGCGGATATGCCGCCTAATGTAAAGCTCCTTGAGGGGGTATACAAGTCGCGAAGGAGTATTTACCCACTTATTGCTTCGAGTTGGGAAATTTTCAATCAAAAAGACTTTTCTCGCCGGAAAGTGCCCAAAATCAGACATGAGTGGCGCCTTTGAGGCAACAGGGGCTCATCCAGGCGAGCCACAATGGATTAAGATACTTTTGAGCAAAGTAATCCTAATTAAATTTGGCGCCTTGATTACTTATCAAACTAACTCTTGGCGGAACTACAAAATATCGATCTAAATTTACTTCAAATTTGATTTTAATTTTGTTTCATTTTCAGCAAAAAAGATTCGCCCCAAGTATAAACGTTCGCGTAATATCAGAACTACATAAAACGTCATCTAATCTGCGGTCAAAGTGCGTGCCTCAATCCGGTTGATGTTAGGGCACGCAGAAAGAGATCAATCGCGCCGAAATGGATTTGGGAATAATCGTAGAAACAACAGCTCAAACCCGATTAATTCCATTATTTCTCGATTAAGGTGCCCGCCCCGGGGGCTTTCAATATCAAAATCCCACGATTTTCCAAGCTCTAAGTAAAACCAGCTGGGAATAACTATCCCGTGCGCTTCTCTTCGAAAAGAGGCTATCAAACATTACGTGTACTAAATTTCCAAAGATCAAAGCCCTGTTGTAAAAGTTCACTAGCACTGCTTTGGATACCCTTACTTTAGTAACTTTTTATATCCTCGTGGTCGGGAGCACTTTCAGTTTTACGGCTGCGAATTCAAATCGGCATAAAATTGACATTTGCAGCACCTGTGATTATGGCAAATTTCGAATTATAGCTCGGATTAGCGTGTTTACGTCATTTTCTAGCTATTGCAATGTTACTAATAGTCTATCAAATAAGCGTTAGTTAAACTTGCGAAAGGCCTATGAAAACGGAAGTAGATTCCCGCTCAAGTACACAAAAAAACAATGATGGGCAAAAATTATCTTATTTAGAAAAAACAGGAAAGGACTCATTTATTTTAACTCCTTCTTACCGTTCGGGAGCGGCGACACTTGCGCACACGGTGGTCCAAATGCATCCGCCACAGTGGGTTAAGACCATACGGGAACATGCCGAACGGGGACAAGCCTAAAAGACAAATATTAAATAAAGAAGAAACATTACAATTTTGATAGCCTGGGGCTGACAAAGAGGGCACCCGCCGGAAGGAGTTACCCACCGCGACTTGTGTATTCCGGCTGAGCTAATCCTCCCAGAGCTATTAGCATTCGCCCATCGATCCTGCATAAAAATAAGGGGATGAAAACGATTCCCAGACGAAATTTGGGCATAGAACAAACAAGTTAACCCGTTTGAAATTCAAATATGATCATATTTCTTTCCCCTAATAGGAAACAAAAAAGTATTGCCAAAATATAATGTTCTAATTATGTTGCCAATTAAAGCCTGCTTGGGATATTGAACCCGTCAAGAAGCTGTCAAATGCACAATAGAATGTTACCTGGATTGAGTGTCGCTGGCGGGACGAGGCCGGGTACTCGCGGAGCCAAGCCTCGATTCATCGAATGCAACAGGGCAGCGTTGGTGAGCGCGATGTTGTTGCTGAGGGCAGCGGCCTGGGCCTGGGCGATGGTTTGTTGGGCATGGTGCTCGGTGATGGCTAGGAAAGGAGTGTAACTAGAGAAATAATGGAAAGCGGAAGTACCGTTCAGACGGGCTTGGCTGGAGAGGATGTCTTCTATCATGAAACTGCTCGATCTGGAAGGACGAGCTTTCTTGCTTTCTTTTTCTTGAGCTCGACAACTATTCTAGGGACATGATTTCACTTCGGTTATAGTTTCGTTTGATGTCCGATATTTAAAAACATAAAATAAAGACACTCAAGTGCCATTAAAGTCCCTATTTTCGCATTTTTATAAGGTCAAAAATGACAGCTTCTATTCAACACAACTGATTATATCGTCTATTTTGTCGAACTTTGCCTGGGCAGGAAGAAGTGGACGATGCGGATTGAACTTCACTTTCGATGGTAGCCATTCTTGGTCTTCGGGTACTCTTCGTTGATTCCCGGTGAAAACCTCTTTCTTGATTTTTTGAAGAATCGGGGGTTTGAAGGCAAACAGCTATCTTTTGGGAAAAAAAGAAGATGTGTTTTTAATTATTGGTATAAGTTTCTGGCGCACAAGGCAATCAGGGAAGACGAAGAGGGAATCGTCCAATGCGCCTCGCCCGAGTCTCAGCAGCGCCGGAGTGTGTTCGCCAGCGAGCGCCGCGGAGAGACCCCCAAAAACAATGATGGCGAGAAATTGAAAGAACTTGAATTATCGTAGTTTTGAATGTTTATTAGAAGCTTTTCACTCTTTCGATTATTATCAGCAGGTTTCCTAAAATTTAAAAGAAAGAAAAAAAGAGTCTAACTTAGCAAAAGCGTTTTGAAGACTGACTGTCACAGTACAGACTGTAACCACTGTGGTTACAACGTCGAGTCGTGTTGAGGAACTTTAATTATCATTAATTATTGCTTATAAATTATAAGTTATAATCAAAAACTTTTAGTTACAAAATTTGGCCGATTTCCGGCATATTCGGATAAAGACAGACATTCGAATCGGAATTACAGTTGAGTTATTTCAGGTGCTTAATCAGTTATTTTGAGAAGTACCAATTAAAACTTACATAATCACTTAGATTGCCAAAGATTTTAATTGAAGCTTAAAATAATCCGGTTCAATTTATATCGTCAGACACTCGCAGTCAGGGTTCGGTAATTTGAGCTCAAGCTAAAACTCATTTTGGCTAGACGCTCAAATTTCCTCAAATTGAGAACTCAAAGTGACTTGAGAAATCATTTTGAGAAGATTTGAGATTTTGAGTTTTTGGGAGATTTGAGAGTTTTGAGTTTTCAAAACTCAAATTAAGCGAGCGCTTCCTTGATTGGCTCATGGATCGCCAGAATTGATTTCTCACGTGAGCTCTCATCTCTGAGTTCTCAAAACTCAAATTAAAAAACGTGAGTCTCAAGCTTTGTTTCCTTGAGTTTTAGCGTGAGCTCAAATTACCGAACCCTGCTCGCAGTTAGAATTCTTCTATTTTATTTGGATCTCAAGATGAATATAGGAATGTTCTTTGAATGAGCGAGTTCTTTCTGAAAGAATTTACGATTGCTGAAAACAATTTTCCTAAATGTTAAAATGATAATGCCGTCATGCGATGTCATTTGATGATCTCCGGGCACCTGAAAGTTGTTAATAATTGTCGCTAATACGAGATTTACGCGCCAGGGTTGTACCATTTGCACATCTGACTCGCCACTGCTCAGTATTAGAAAATCGTCAAGAATTGCCGAGCTCAGCTATTTCCGCTTTAATAGCTAAAATGAAAGCTTAGTTAATTGAATAAATATAAAATTTAATGAACTCCTTTCCTGTCCAACTTATTAATAAAAACATTAACTGATGTATTGGCAATTTAATATCGTAAATGAAAGGTAACAAAATAATGGTATTATTAATAATAACGATTTAGTATTCATGGGATCTCAGGCCCTTCATTTCAGGATTTTATTTTAATAACATTTCAAATAAAGCTCCTGGAGAGTAATTCCTGAGAACCGGTTCGCGTGTTCCCAAACGATTCCGTCCTTAGAACAGTGTAATTCCAGCGATATAAAGCTTTAGGGGGCTTATGCTCGAGTTTGGGTTCGGATCATAACTGTCAGCGCGCGGCGCCTTGGGCACACGCGCGTTCGGGATCTTCATCTTCAAAAAGTGTTTTTGTTTGTCGTGAACTTGGCGCAAGTTCCACCGCTGAATCCGGCCATAAATCATTCAAGAAACTGTTAGTTTGTTATCCAAAACTTATTTGCATTATTTGAAGATACACTCTTAGAAATGCGCGCGTTTCTCCAAGATTGTCTAAGCTCGATAGAAGCGATTCAATCAGTCAAAAAGTTCTATCAGAAGCGTGACAGAAGTAAGCCAAGGTACTCCCCTTATTCGATAGCTACTGTCATTTGATGGGTATCATTTCCTCGAGCATTTTTGCAGGTCCTACCTTTTGCGTACTTTTCGCCTCGTAAATCGCGCGACATTAATGGCCCCAGGGCTGTGACTCTCTGAGCGGCACCAGCACAACTCAAATTAGGCTCAAAGCGGCACACGCTAATCCGTTCAGCAGTAAATTTTCAACGTGAAAATGGGCCTAGAGCAATAATGGCCGGAATTTATTGCAGGAAGCGTCAAATACCCTTTCTGTCAATCAAATTGCTCGGGCTGAGCATCAGATCATGCTATTTTTGTGAAGTATTGTCGAGCTTTTTCCACGAGGGCAGCTCGGGTTGTTCATCAATGGGATAAGGGTTACTTGATGATTGCGAGGTTAAAATATGCTAAATAATGACAACATCACAACGTCACGCACCTTTTCCCTTTCGTACTTTTCTAAGTGCTTAATTATCGCATCCGTACTGATGTAGTGTGATGCTATCCGCAGTTTTCCTCGCTTGGCAGCACAATCGAACATACAATCATAAAATATGACGACATGATTTTATAAACAATATCAAAGAAGAATGTAATGTATCAAAACTGCCTCTGACATTTTGAATAACTCATGAGCGCGTTAATTGCTGGAAATGAGAGTGCACACAAAGATCAATGGTCTGTAATGCTCTCTAACGAGGCTAACTCACACCCAGCTGAGTTTGAGCGTTGCCCCTCAAGCAATTTGCCCGTTGCGGGCACACATGGAACTTGTTGCAAAATGTTCCTCCTGGTCCTCGTAAACCTGCTTCAAAATAAAGGTCAGCCTGGAGAACACGCCTGGAGCGTTGTTTGGCCGCTCTCTTTGATCCAAGCAAAAAGCCGGAAGCGGAAAAGTGATTTGATCAAGCCGAAATTTTATAAAGTGTATCCAAATGCACATGGGAAATCGTAACTTATGCCACATCCAAAAAAGTAGAACAAGCAAGCACGGTAAATATTCACATTCCACCAAAGAAAAGTTGAAATTCATATTTCAGGAGTAAAGAATCGTAATTTCTTTCCTTTTAATTTTGACTCAGGGACCCTGAGTCAGGTTCCTGATCCGTGCTTTCGCGGCCCTGATTTGTCTTATCGGTCTGTTTCAGAGCACAGATGCAACCCCCTCTCATGATCATTTCCTGGCCACGAAAACATGTGTCTCCCATTAGAGCAATTCAAATAGTAAATGTGATCATAATATCGATATTAAAAATGTTGACCTTTTCGAGGACGAAGATTTTTGGGAAGGAAGTGGAGGAGATGCGATTATTGCCTGAGAAGTCCGTCGATGGCGCCAGTTTGACAAGACGACGGCGATGGAAGACGAAAACGGTACGTTGATAGTAGTCAAATTGCATCCTCGCTGTTTCCGAAGCGATCAGGAGATACAGTCAGGCGCTAGTTTCCTCGCTCGAGGAAAAAAAAAGAAATCGCTGGAAAAAAGTCGCTTTTTGATTTTATGCCCGCAGATGAGCGCTAAAGTAGGTTTTATCTTGTTCAGCTGTAGGAATTATTAATTTTTATGGACCCGATGGTCCCGTCCATAAATCGAATGTACTTAAATCGAGAACGATTATTTCAAAATCGAGCTTACAACAGCTCAAACCTAAAACATGAAACGTTTTACCTTCATGTTGACTTTTCAGCACATCCGGGTGCTGCCAGCGGCCATCAGTTAATCTTATATTCTATCTTCTAATAGCCGCCCATTTACACAATTAACTTTTCCCAGCATCGCCTCAATTTACGCCCAAGCTTCCGCTTGTGGCTCCATCGGAAACGTCGGGTAATATCTCATAACTTTGTTCGAACCGTAATTATTATAACTTGTCCGCAGTTTCGAAGCGTTAACTGCTCTTTATCGTCATTTGTTAGTGATTATTCAAAGCACACAATTGTAAATTTACAAAGATAAATCGATCACCAAGTCAACTAAGGAGCAATAACAGTGTATAAATTCAAAAAAGGACGCCGCAGCCGAGTCCCAAAGTGGAACAAGTCTCAAAGATAAAATGAATATTCACTCAAGCGCGATTGTGAGAAAATTAATCAAAAACAGAAAAATTGCAAGCTGGAAGTAATGAATGGCAAAAAGGCGAAAAGTGAAGGCCCGCAATTTTGTGTGCCCAAATGACCAAATGACAAATGGCGGATGCGTTATCAAGCGCCATTGAGGTCAGCTATCAAATGCTGCGGCGCAGGTACTTCCGAGTAAGAAGACACAAATGCGACCGCTAAGGCAGAAGGCATTTGTCAAGAATATCACCAGATTTCTTGCCAAGGAATTTTATAACGGCTAGATCCATTAAAACTTGCTCGTTACAAACAGGGCTCATCCAGCGAATCAATCAAAATGTGATTTTGGCAGGGCAGATGATCGCCGCCTCATTCCAAAAAATCTCCATCATTTTCGATCATTTCGCGCCAAAATCATTGTTGGATAAAAAAAAGGTGCCGAGGAAATGGCACCTTACCGGATCGCTGCGAATCCATCAAGAGGCCCGTTTCCGGATTTATCGAAAAATTAAAAAAAAATACCAAAAAATCAATCAACTCGATATGGCTTTGATTTCAACAAGAAGCTTACATCTTTAAGTCGTAAAAGATTGACTGTATGTGATTTACAGTATGCAAATTACAGTTTTAGGCAAACTTGTGGCGAAGGGTGTAGCGTGGTTATCAGAACTACACATGATAAAAATCTGCTTTAAAAATCATTAAAGACAATTAAGACCAAGCTGTGTGGCATGGAAAGTAGACGGAAGGAAGAGTGTATATCAGGGCTTCAGAGTTATAGCTTCCGCTGGTACGAGAGCGAGGTCTAAAAAGTACTTCATTAGGATGCTGGGCGAATGATAAAATTGGACATTTACAGCGCCCTAGAGATTAGTAGGTTACCGTAAACAAGGGTTAAAGGATTTCCGATGAGCGATCAACGCTTCGAGGGAGAGAACGACAAGTGAAATTACCATCATTTCTTTTGGTTCGGAATTCTGCTCTTCTGGATGACGCTGGTAGATTCCCAGCTGTGTCATTGAAATGTTATAATGTCACAGATGTTCAGATAAAGTGTCCTTATGACTGCGAAAGGACGATTTTAGCGTTCGTTAACCTTCATGAAATTTACCTTTTCAGATAAACGCAGTGCTGGGCCGGCGCTTTCGTGGAATCTTTCAATTACAGTAACCGGATGACAGTAATGAAAATTCATCTTGTTTGTGGCTGAGAAAATCGAGTTAAAAGGGCATTAGATGAAACAGCTGAAAGTTAAGGCGCTTGACGATGTAGACTCGTTTCATCCCTTGGTTATTCAAATTTAGGATCAGATCAGATCGGCGAGCATAAATTCTTCTATGATAGATGTTCTATAGAGAAGATCTGACGAATTAAATTATCCTGTTCGTAGCACTTTCACACACTCAAGCGTGACTATATTAAAAGCGTAAGCGCAATTTATCGCCTAAGCGATAGGTTAAAATGTAACGAGATGGAATACTCTATATATCTGCTGAATAAAAATACTTTATCCATCCTGTGTTTAAAAAGGGACTTGATTAATTGTCGAAGAGAGGGCTTATCATTCGGGCCTATGATTCGAGCCATCCAATATCTCTAAAATCTGAGCTAATGATTAGGGTTAGGGACTGGGAACTCTTAAGGGGGGTCCGGGGGGCGAAGCCCCCCTGGTTTAGGCCTTAGGTGGGGGGTACCGGGGGGCGTAGCCCCCTGGGTTAGGTTTAGGCTTAGGGGCAGCCCGAATGATAACCCCCTACTACCTTAATTCTGATGATTGTGTTGAAGTGTCGGCTTAGCTTCGTCAGAGTAATGATTACGACATGATTTTGAAAGTATGAATATTCTTTTTACGAATCCCATATATCCACTCGTGAAAAGAAGACGATGCTTTTGCTATAATCGCTTGTAAATATTTGACTTTTTTGTTGCATTTATCGAGTGCTATGATTGAAAGCTGACAGTATCATTTACGATTAGTGATTCTTTCGTCTTCAGCAGTACGCGTGGAATTTGTCTAATTTTCATAAAAAAAGAATGCCGGTCGCGATGAATTTCTTTATTAATTTTGATTAGGCACGATCATTTTTTGGCCCTTGACAGGTGATAGTGTGACAGTCGGATTTCCCATCGGAAGTACGTAGGTTATTGAGTGCCTAAATCATAACTGCGATCATAACTGCGATAATCGCAAAGTTAACCGATGATCGATGGCCGGGAATCGGACTTGCGCTTTCAATAAGGATAAGAAGCTGATTCGGGACCACCAGCAAGATTCCCCGAGAAAGATTTTGAAATCAACGATGACTTCCTTTCACTACCGCATCAATCTCGCCAGAAAATGACCCGCTTTTTTTGCTTTTGATATTTTTATTCGTTTCGGGGCATATTTTTGTAATATTCACAGTTGACTAGTAATATTAGTAGTAATGGCCATCCCCCTCTCGGGAAGAGTTTTTATTATTCTAGTTGAGTGGTTAATTATTACCTCCATCTCCAAGTTCTACACCACTAATTGGCACCAACGTCAAGCTCAACACCAGTTATTTACAGCCATCTGGCATGGTTGAATAAACAAGAGCCCGTTATCATATAAAATGATTCTCATGATGTCATAAACGTATATTACAGATGATAAAATTTTTTTCAGGATCTTAAAAATCTTTCCAGCATTTTTGAGACGTCAACAAGCCAGTGCATTGTCAATAAATTTAAAATAAATGGAGAAGATGATTAGGGTAATCATTGATTTCGACATTTTTTCGCGGAGATTCTATTTGCCAATCGAGTAGAAATATATTCGAAACCAAACTCATAAACGTCATTTTCTGTTGGTCACAGGCTATATATTTGGATAAAATTAGCTGATAAAGACTTTCATCATGATTAAATATGAGAGACGATATGAAGCAGTCCGGTTCTCTCGTAGAGTTATCCTGTAAATATATTTTGAAGCTCTCTCATACCCTCAGGAATTTAGAATTCCCCATGAAAGTCATGCTTTACAAGGTCTTTCTATCATGCTAATAACCTCAGGCAAAAGATCAACCGAGGTTGAAAGAAGTAGAAAACTATATTTCCTTGCCAAAGATATACCTCTGCTTCCCGATTGAAGGCACCTCAATTCAAGGCAAAAATTTCGGAAATCCTGCATCCTGCCAATTATTATTTAAGGCACATTTTCTCGCGATAAATTTTATTGGCACAAAATTTCAAGTTCATTTTTTGTAAAGAATGATTTGATAGAAACTTGCGTAGATCTTTTCTCTTTTTCGCCTTGAGTGTGAGTGTTGGCCTGTTTTCATCTAAAAGATTTTTAAATAAACCAATTCTCGTTATGACTGACCTCATCTTGATGAAAACTTTCGCTTTCTCTCGTATGGCGATCTGCGCATAAACATATTTGAATTTTAAAGCGGAGTCGACGATTTTAAAACTGAAGAACGTATTTTCCAAATCACATGCCACTAGTTTGAAATAATACGGATCCGTAGTGATGGATCTGAATGCTGATCCACTGAATGGAAGCATCATAACTGTTTCTACGTTGCTTCCTTCCGTTAAGCAAATTCCATTGTAATTAATCTTGAGTATGTGTGGTGATTTAAGAATATTTTCTGTGATGCCTCCAATTTGATAGATTCCAACTTCATAAATCGAGTCTCTCTTCAAAGTGATGTTAGGCAATTTAAGCTCTGAGCTCTTTGACAAAAGGTTGACGATCATTTTGAATAAAAATAAAAGTTCAGTTTCTATTTATAGCCAAAGTTTATAGCCTGGGGGCTAAAATGTTAAAACCCTTTTTCCACTACGACTTGCAGTTTCCTGTTGAGTTTCTTAACCATGGACTTATCATTCGCTCAGTCATCCGCCGAAGTAAAAAAACAAAAGAAACATCAGAGACTGTGCACAATCATACCAACAGTCGAATGACAACGATGCGGCGGATGACTGAGCGAATGATAAGTCCGTGGTTAAGAAACTCAACAGGAAACTGCAAGTTTAAACATTAGGTTTTAACATTTTAGCCCCCAGGCTATAAACTTTGGCTATAAATAGAAACTGAACTTTTATTTTTATTCAAAATGATCGTCAACCTTTTGTCAAAGAGCTCAGAGCTTAAATTGCCTAACATCACTTTGAAGAGAGACTCGATTTATGAAGTTGGAATCTATCAAATTGGAGGCATCACAGAAAATATTCTTAAATCACCACACATACTCAAGATTAATTACAATGGAATTTGCTTAACGGAAGGAAGCAACGTAGAAACAGTTATGATGCTTCCATTCAGTGGATCAGCATTCAGATCCATCACTACGGATCCGTATTATTTCAAACTAGTGGCATGTGATTTGGAAAATACGTTCTTCAGTTTTAAAATCGTCGACTCCGCTTTAAAATTCAAATATGTTTATGCGCAGATCGCCATACGAGAGATAGAACAATCAAAAAAGCGAAAGTTTTCATCAAGATGAGGTCAGTCATAACGAGAATTGGTTTATTTAAAAATCTTTTAGATGAAAACAGGCCAACACTCACACTCAAGGCGAAAAAGAGAAAAGATCTACGCAAGTTTCTATCAAATCATTCTTTACAAAAATGAACTTGAAATTTTGTGCCAATAAAATTTATCGCGAGAAAATGTGCCTTAAATAATAATTGGCAGGATGCAGGATTTCCGAAATTTTTGCCTTGAATTGAGGTGCCTTCAATCGGGAAGCAGAGGTATATCTTTGGCAAGGAAATATAGTTTTCTACTTCTTTCAACCTCGGTTGATCTTTTGCCTGAGGTTATTAGCATGATAGAAAGACCTTGTAAAGCATGACTTTCATGGGGAATTCTAAATTCCTGAGGGTATGAGAGAGCTTCAAAATATATTTACAGGATAACTCTACGAGAGAACCGGACTGCTTCATATCGTCTCTCATATTTAATCATGATGAAAGTCTTTATCAGCTAATTTTATCCAAATATATAGCCTGTGACCAACAGAAAATGACGTTTATGAGTTTGGTTTCGAATATATTTCTACTCGATTGGCAAATAGAATCTCCGCGAAAAAATGTCGAAATCAATGATTACCCTAATCATCTTCTCCATTTATTTTAAATTTATTGACAATGCACTGGCTTGTTGACGTCTCAAAAATGCTGGAAAGATTTTTAAGATCCTGAAAAATTTTATCATCTGTAATATACGTTTATGACATCATGAGAATCATTTTATATGATAACGGGCTCTTGTTTATTCAACCATGCCAGATGGCTGTAAATAACTGGTGTTGAGCTTGACGTTGGTGCCAATTAGTGGTGTAGAACTTGGAGATGGAGGTAATAATTAACCACTCAACTAGAATAATAAAAACTCTTCCCGAGAGGGGATGGCCATTACTACTAATATTATAATATATAGCAGAAATGACACTGTAGCAAGAAATTGAATATATAGTTTTGTTCTTTTGTTAATTGAAATTGCACGTTATTTGTGACTTATAATGATAATAATAAAATTATATAGATACGCAAGGAAAAACGAGCTTGGCAGCTCAGAAGAACAGAAAAAGACGAATATCCTAAAATGTTGTTTTTGAAGAGTTGCGGGCAGTTTTGGTGAATTTAGGCTTTCTCGGACGAATCGAGGAGTTTTTCTTTGTCGGCTTGGGCGACGCGGGCTTTTGTAGTCTGAAAAAGTTATGAAGGATGAAGTTGATGTCACGCCTTACCTGTATTTTTCGTAAGTGTAGAGAGACCCTCCAGAGAGATTAATAAGCTGTCCGATGATCAACAAGGGAGTCGCTGCAACGCCACCGAATGTGTACATGCCTGAAACACGTGTTAACAAGGCCTTTTTAAAACAGCACGAAATTTCAATAAACAAAGTGCAGGATTATGCCACTGCTCCATAATAAGACTCTCAGACTTCGAAAAGGCCGGATTAACTAACCGATAATCGTCGTCAAGGCAGATTTAATGACGCCAACGCATGCAGTGGTTAACGCAGAGTTGACCGTTGTGCAGAGGAAGATCGAGTAGCTACAGGCAAAAGTTAAATTTAGAAAATTAAAAGATAAAAGTGCTTGAGGCTCTCTTGCAAAGGCGCCTTTAACAACAACACCTCTGTTTTACCTGAAAACACAGGCGAAAGAAGTAACAACGCCGAGAGCAAAGAGGAATCCAGGCTCGCTCCAGTGAGGATAGCTCTTCATCGAGTTGTACTCTCCCGACAAGAAAACGACTGCGAAAACGATTGGGAGGCAGTTGACAGAGTTCACGTACAGGATTGTGAGAGTTTTGGCAGAAGAAGTTTTGTACGAGCCGAGCTTGTTGTCGGAACCCATTCGTTGAAGAGTCAGGAGATAGAGAGCCTGAGCAATAAGATTTGTTTTCATGGTTGTTTAATTTACCTGGGTAAGAACAGAGAGCGATCCGAAAGTGTAGCTCTTGAAGTCAAAATCCAAGTCTCCCTGAGCAGCAGTAATCGTACCAGCCGTGATCAAAATGATCGCCATGATAATTGAGGAAGTAGTTCGCTGCGGGTAAATGCAAGGTCCGAGGAGAAGAGAAGCAATAGGCACGCACCTGAAGTTTGGAAATTCGTCAAAATGGCACGTTTCTAATGTCTCACCTTCTCATTGCATTATACATCGGAATATTCATTCCAGACAAGGCAAACAAGGCTAGAATGACATTTGAGACGTAGAATAGCGAGAGCATTGACAATTTTTTGCCACGCTCGAGGGTGTAGGCCAGAACGATGTTATCATCAAGTTTACCAAGTCTTCTGAGCAGCGAGATAAGAGCCGAAAAGAGGGCAAGCTGACTAGATACGGATTTCAAGAGAGAAAAATGAAATTTAAAACTCGTTCAGCTCAAATAAATCAAAACATGCATGACTTCAAGTTCTTCCGGCGCACGTTAATTACGTCGCGAAAATAAGCCCAGTGCTTCAGCGCGAAATTGAGAGTGAACATGTTTTATGCAACTCGGAAAAATTCCAAAAACTTGAAACCCGTTATCAGAAAACCATAAAGTTTGGATAGTGGAACTCCCACGAGTTGAGCACCCACTTATTGATAAAGTTCATCGAGCCAGAACATATTCCATAGAAGAGAGCAGTGCCAAAGGCGTATCCAATTTGGCTGAAAAAGGAAAATAAAGGATGATTATTTTTGATAGAATTATTATCTCAGATAATTTATCTTTCGTTTTTGAATTTTTCACTGACGTTAATCGCGTTTTTATCGCAAATTATCCATGAATATACGCAAAATATACCAATTAAAGAAAATTATTCTCGTGATTTATTTTAAGCAATTTTTAATAGATATCAATCAGTAAAGAAGTTATACAAAATTATATAAGATATAATAAATATATATTATATATTTGTGAATAAAATTAAATTTATTGAATAAATTTATTTATTTTAATATTGAAAATGAATTATCCTATTTCAAAGATTACCTGTCCGCCATTCTTTGAAATCTCGGTCAGTCAGCGCAATCGAAATAGTTTCTCTCTTTATCACGCGAGTTGAAAGTACTTATCAGCACAGGGCAGGGCCGGAGTAATTCGAGGTGGTGGTGGAGCGCCTTCGCCCGCGGTGCTGCAGCACAATGACGCAACCGGGCAAAAATAGTGCAGAAGTAACCACAATTTTTCCACGCAGAATTTTCTCTCTTCTTTAAGTTTATGCGGAACAGAGATCCGTCTTTATTTTGCGTAGGAAGGATTTAACGACGTTTTTCCTCTTTTAAAAATGCTAGGAAAAGAAATCCGCCTTTGTTTGATGTCTTTTATTTGCTCGTTTTTGCAGATGAGACCTACTAAGTAGATTGTTTTCACGGTAAAAGTCCTGGTACAACGATAGAATCTGTATCTCGAATTCTGTCAATTTTATGGCATGCGGCATGCGTTTTATTTCATGAAATAATAACACCCAAAAAGTGAATTCTTGATTTTTATAACACCCTGTAAAATTCGGTCAGGGCATGCACCTGCATTTTATCATCAGAAGATAGCGCTCGAGATCAATTTTATGATTATAAAATGAGGATTGTTGAAAGTATTCACAAAAAAAACTACAGAAACCACCAGAAAACATTCACAAAGACGCAAAGAAAAAGATGAAACCTGGGGATCCTTCATTGATGCAAAGAAAGAAAAGACAGCCCGAGAAAGAAAACGTCGAGCAACGACCACCGAGCAACCAGAAGTCGCCAAAGAAGGCAGAGGAGAAGACAGTCCAAGAGTCACTCGTCGAGAAGGGCGAAGAGGAGGGCGAGATCTACCCCGTCGAGAAAATTATCGGGAGACGAAACTTCCGGGGAACGATCCAATACGCAGTTCTTTGGGAAAATTGGAGCATTGACGACGCAACTTGGGAGCCACTCGAGAATTTGACTGAATGCGGGGAGAAGATCAAAGAATTCGAAGAGAAACTCGCAGAGATTCGACTATTGATCAAGATCGAAAAGGTCGCTTCCTTTCTGGACTCAATCGCTGACATCTTTTAGTCATCTTTCATTGATCTTTCGTTATTGAATGTACTATTCGTCTTATACTACAAGTACCCTTACGAATGTTAAAACTTTCCCTTTAAAATTTATAGGCTATAAATAATTACGACAACTAATCTGCTAAAATCGTATCCTTTTGTAACTTTCATCCGAAGATTTGAACCGAATAAACTGAATCCTACTGAGATCGATTGACTTCGAAACTGCAAAAGTAAACAGTATTGGGCCCGGGTTTCCATTGGGCTGTCCAAGATCCCCCGCTGTAGATAGCAACTCAAGCGCGCAAAAATTTTATTGCTCAAGGCCTAGTGAGCGGGACTAGTTTTCAAAACGAGAAACGGAAGCTTCGAAAATTTCATTTTTTGAAAATGGAAGAATCAAGTACTCCTCAACCCAGAGTCTCCCGAAAAAAGAATCGAATTCAAAAAAGACGAAAGCCAAAAAGATCTGACTTCATGACAACTAACAAGAACGTCCTTCACAACTTTATTCACTACAAGGTACTGAACCTTTACATTCAAATATAATCAAGGTTCCTAGGGTGAAGTGATTACAATCATTCAAACAAGAATTAACGAAGAAGAAAGGCAAAAGTATCCGGACGGATACACGACGTTTTCAGCATACCGACGTTTTCAGCAACCGACGTTTTCAGCATAACGACGTTTTCAGCGCCGTTGAATTCGTCGGTTTGCTGAAAACGTCGGTTTGCTGAAAACATCGTTTTTCACCTGAAAACGCGTGGGCGTTTGCCGGAACGAAATTTTCAAACCAAATGGATCTAAAGGCGAGGTTCTCGCAATTTAATTGGCTAGTTAATAGTTTAAAAGCATTTCTAAATGAGTCATTAAGAATGCATTATTTAGAAAACATTATTATGCATTATTTAGAAAAATGTAAGAATTAGCTAAATTACTTCTTAATACATTATTATCATAATAATCATTAGTCACTATAAATCACCAGAAAGTTTACAGTATAAACGTATTATCTAGTTTCGTGAATCTGTTTTAAAACAATGAAAATAATGATAAATCAATATTGAAAAAGATAAAAATAATAATTTTGTTAAATATAATCTTTTGTAAATGATTCATTTAATGAATATTATTTATATATTATTTATATATTTTATGAATATTAATAATATTACATCGATTTTATGTTATTTTACGATTTACGGAAATATCGTTTTCAGATGTAGTTTGATAAAATGATTGCCTCTCTAAACGCCCACGCGTTTTCAGGTGAAAAACGACGTTTTCAGCAAACCGACGTTTTCAGCAAACCGACGAATTCAGCGGCGCTGAAAACATCGTTATGCTGAAAACGTCGGTTGCTGAAAACGTCGGTATGCTGAAAACGTCGTGTATCCTATCCGGACAGAATCCGATATTGGCCGCTGAAGCAAATCTATGATCTAAAAAATAGAGTTCGACCTGGAGAATTAGAAAAGGAAGAGGACGAGAAAGAAGATAAAGTCCCGTCAGAAAAGCCAAAATCAACCGCAGAATATGAAGTAAAAAACGAGGCGCTAAAAACCAAGTCTGCTACACTGAGCTTCATGATGAGCCCGATCCCCGGCAAAAGTCCGTAGTGATAGCGCAAACCGACTTGCCTGAATATGAAGTCGAAGAAATCATCGATAAGAGAGTAGTGAAACATGATTCCGAAGAGATCATAACTTACAAAGTGCTGTGGAAGGGATACCCACCTGAGGAGGCGACATGGGAGGGTGCTTCAAACTTGGGGAACTGCTCTGAATTGATTCAAGAGTTTGAACGAAAAAGAACATGAACTGATGCCGGAAAAATCATCGAAATAACAACTCTAAAACCTTCTAAATAAATCATTCTAACAATCCATCATGCTGTCTAGTAGAATAGTTGTCACTGTGTTGAATGTTTAAAACCAATAAATCACCAAAGCCTTTAACTTTTTCGCTTTCTTTAAAAAGCATAATGGTTAGCATTTAGGCAAACCATAAAAACGACAGGGGAGGAAGAGTTTTGAAATCTAGAGAAAAGCTGGAGTTGATAAATCTTGAAGTTTCAGGGCGTGGCAGTGAGGAACTGTGCAAGTTCCGGGTTTTCATTTCTGGATTCACTGGACTCTCACGAGTTCTGACTCAGAAGGCGCAACCCAATCACCGCCGTAAAGCGAGAGATAGCGAATTTTCAATTTTAATTCTCTGTCAGAAAAAAGGTTTCTTGAGGAGGACCAAGTACCAGATCCAGTTATGGGGAGAATAAAGAATCGGATTCAAAAAAGACCAAAGCCTAAGTTGTCGGACGCTATCTGTACTGATAAGAGCATTGTCAATAACCTCATTCATTACAAGGTAAATACGACTATTGAAGAGAATTATGAACGAATATTCAGGGCTATATAATGATGGTCATTCACACGAGACTAGAGCCAGGAGAGAAGATTGAAAATGAAGAAAACAAACGATATTGGCCGTATAAAGATATGCATCTACTGAAGAACGTAGTCAGACTAACGAAGGAACAACTTCGCCCCCAGGAGAAAGAACCAGTGAAGACAGAGAGGAAAGAAAATACCGGACGAAATCAACGACGAGGACGCGCGGCGAAAAAGCGAGGCATCGACTTCTACGCTGAAAACAACGATGACGATTTGATCTTGGATGAGCCCCAGCAGCCGGTGTTAAAGGTATTCATCTGTATGTTTTTGATGATTTATGCCCTTTCATAGACGGAGCCGGTGAGTGAGGAAAATCAAGAAGAGGAAGAAGAGGTCGACAAAATCATCGGAAAGCGCTTTGACGAACGAGCCAAAACAGTATATTATCAAGTGTTGTGGAAGGGACTGCCGCTTTCTTACGCAACATGGGAGCCCCTATCGAATCTGACGAATTGCAAGGAGTGCATCAAGGACTTTGAAAAGAAGGAAACAGCGGGAAAACCCATCCAGCAGCGCGGAAGAGGGAGGCCAAAAAAGGAGCCGTTGTTGATCAAGGCCGAATACAACGATGAAGTCCACGCTCGATCTCTACGTCCAACGCCTCGACAACGAGTTCTGTCGAATACGTCGGTAAAAGTAAGTTTTATAAACAAAAATTTGCTATATTATTCGCGGAAGGTCGAACCCTCAACGAAGAAAACGAAGAAGAAAGCAGCCTCGCAGAAGGAATGGGAAGTCCAGGAGATCATCGACAAACGCCGATTCGACAACGGAGTTATTCGATATCATGTGCTCTGGAAAGGATGGCCTCGGGAGTCAGGAACATGGGAGCGCAAAGCTAACCTCACGAACTGCGCTGCAAAGCTTAAAGAATTCGAGAAGAAGCTGTCTTCAAAAGAAAGAAAGAGTAGCAGAAGCAGACCAAGAAAGGAGGAAGTTGTAATCAAGGACAGAGGTGGTAAATTTCTCCCTAACGATATCTAAAATACCTACTATTGGCAATAGTCTATTGCTTAAAAACTAGACTTTGAGAGTAAATTATCCACCTCTAATCAAGACAGAATATCTTGAAAATCCAGAATTGCCTGTTGTCCGACAAACAAAACGGAAGAAAAAACTAGTTGATATAAAGGTATCTCAATTGTTATTATTCACAATAATATTAGTAATTTTTCGATCAAACAAATTAAAATTATTTGAAAATGAATTTATATATGGTACTTTATTTAATAAAATTTGATAGACGGAGCCTGTGGATCTAACCCAAGACTGGGACCCTGCAACGGAATGGGAAGTCGAAAAGATCATTGGAAAGCAGAGTCTCAATGACGGAACCGTTCAATACCGAGTTCTCTGGAAAGGATGGCCTGCCGAGACAGCAACATGGGAGCCCTTGATGAACCTGACAAGCTGCGACGAGAAAATTCGAGACTTCGAGAACAATGCCAACGCCAGAAGATCGAAGCGCATCAACATCCAGAAGGACCGAAAGAACCCGAATGAGCGAGAGTGAGAATACAGAATGAAAAACTGAAAGAAACATGTTACATTGTGCATAATTTTTGCTGGTTTAACATGAAATATAGCTCGATTGAAAACTAATAAATCATGAAATCCCATTTTTCTTTCAATTTCTTACATAAAAAAAGCATAAAGTAGATCTTATACAGCAGCGTGAAGATGATGAGTATCCGAAATTCCTACTACCGAGCTAAGGGGCGAATCATCGGCAGCGTGTCAAATGCCAAATCATGAGATATCGGTGACCGTTATCTTAAAAAGATTACATGATTCATGTGACATGGACTTTCCCATTTTCGTTTCTACGCAACTCTGTAGAACTCAGAATTGAAAAACAAGATCTAAACAACTTTTATCTACACGCTTGATGCGTTTCCGGATCAAAACTGATCCGTATCTCGAAAACACAGCAGAGACGCATCGCCAATACTCGAGATTTGTTTTCTAGACTCAAAAGTTCTGACTCAGAAAGCGCAAGTTGCACCCCAATCACCGCGGAAAAAGCGAGAGAAAGCAGATTTTCAATATTCTCAGTCAGGAAACAGTTTCTTGAGGAGAAGAAAGTACCAGATCCAGTCATGGGGAGAATCAAGAACCGAATTCAAAAAAGACCAAAGCCAAAGTTGTCGGATTACATTTGCACTGATAAAAACATTGTTAATAACATCATTCTTTACAAGGTAAGTTAACCTATTGAAGAGTAATTAATTATGAATGAATTTATTTAGGGTTATATAATGACGATCAAACATACTAGATTGGAGCCGGGAGAGAAGATCGACGACGAAAACAAACGATATGTGCCGTTTGAAGACATGCACCTATTGAAGAACGTAGTGAGGCTGACGAAGGAGCAACTTCGACCTCAGGAGAAAGAGCCAGTGAAGGTAGAGGGCAATAAAAGCTGCGAAGAAAATCAAGGACGAGAACACAAGGCGCAAGAAGGAGGAAAAAAATCCCAAGATGAAGATAACAACGCTGAAGTTATCTGCGATCATCTAAAACAAGTTTCGCAAAAGGTATTCTCCTTTAAATTTCTGATAGTATATTTTTACTTTTCTATAGACAGCGCCACTGCCTGATGGAACTCAAAAATCCGAAAATAAATGCAATACGCGCGTTTTACGTTCAACAGCACGAAAACGAATGCAGTCGACTACTGAGATAAAAGTAAGCCTAAGAAACTACTTCTGTTTAATTAATTTCTTATAAGAAACTCGACGCTGAAGCTCCACAAGAATCTGAGGAATCTAAAAAAGTGGGGAATTGTGAGAAACATGACAAGAGCTCCCCAGTAGCGAGCTGCGAACCTGCGTTAAATTCAGATGAAATTGAGGCGAGTCCTGAGGTGAGATAACTGTTCGACCTTTTCTCCAAGTAATCTTACAGGTGTCAAATATCAGCCCAGCTGAAGAAACCGACAAAAAGGAAGACACTCAAGGTTCATCTCGCTGCAGCCGAATTCAAGCGCCTCAAAAGAATGTGGATGGTCACAAGGTTCATTTATACATCCAAAAAAATCACCATAACTTTTATTTAGACTTCAGAAAATCAAACCAATAACCGAAGATTGCGACCGAGACCAAGAAAAAGATTGGAGCCGCGAAGAATCATCGGAAAACACCGAGTAACTAGCGGAGCAATTTGTTATTTGGTGCTTTGGAAAGGGCTCCCCAGATACTGTGCAACCTGGAAGCTCGGATCTCAGTTGCCCGCTGAGATGATAGAAAAGTTCGAAAAGACGATCAGACGGAAAGATGATACAGACCAGAATGTGTCAGGCGGACAGAAGGCAAAGAGAGGAAGACCAAAAAAGACAGAAGTTCGAGCTTTCACAAGCAAAGTCAGCGTAAGAAGATCCACTCGTATCAACAATCAAAACGTCCGACCAAATCCAAATCGACGACACCGAAAATAAAGAATAGGATCCAACGACAATTTATTTGTATGATAAATATTTTGTGATGTCTATTAAAATTCGAGTTCACATGGAAAATATATGTACTGCTCACATTCAATGCTGAAAAATCAATAAATCATAAAATTATATCTCCTCTTTATTTCCTGTTTCTGGCAGAAAAGCATGACACCTATTGAAGCAGAACAGGTCCTAAACCGGACGATCAACAACCAATACGGCCTTGTTAGAAAGATTGGCTCTGGTTCGTTCGGAACCATTTATCTGGGCACAGAGAGCAGGACCAAAACAGAGCTCGCCATCAAAGTTGAGCGCAAATACTCCCGCAAACCACAGCTTCCATTCGAAAGCCAAGTCTACAAACGGCTCAACCACCCGTTCATGAAGAGCATGAGGCCACCAGGATTCCCGAAATTGAGATATTTTGGGGTCGACAATGATTACAGTTATTTGGTAATGGATTTGGTCGGACCGACGCTAGAGTCTCTTTTCAACTTTTGCTCGAGAAGTTTCAAACTAAAAACAGTTCTGCAGATTATGGATCAACTAGGTTTTGTGACAGCTTTTTATTCATTACAGACAAAACGGACAATTCCGGAACGGGCAATTCCGGAGATTTGAGGGAAATCGTTAAAAATTTTGTAAACGCACAATTCCGGAAATTTCAGACAAAAAATTCAACTGAGAGGTCTATTTTGTATATAGGACCACCTTTTCGCGAAATATTACGAAGAATTTTCAGAAAAGAAATGAGAGAAGGGTCAAAAAAGCCATGAGTAGCACTAAAAAAGCCCATTTTCTGGTTGACACCCTTAAAAAGGCACTTTGGAAGCAAAAAATTTTCAATTAGAATTCGGACAATTCCGGAGATTTGGCGCTTTTCCCCGAAAAAAAAAATTCCGGAATTGTCCGTTTTGTCTGTATATTGATTTTCTAGTGACAAGAGTTGAACATGTCCACAGCAAGGATCTCATCCATCGAGACATCAAACCAGGTAAAAACTATGATCGAATATCTTCTTGAAATCAAAGAAGACAATCTGACAATCGGACTGGGATCGACTTCAAGTCAGATAATGATGATCGACTTCGGTCTGTCCAAATTCTACCGCCATCCGAAAACGAAAAAGCACAAAACTTTTGAAACGGACGCTTCTTTCGTGGGAACAGCAAAATTCTGCTCTAGGTACACTTCCAAAGGAGAGACATCTTCAAGACGAGATGATATGGAAAGCGTTGCGTATACTATGATTTGTAAGAGACAATAACATTTCTTCTAATGGTAGATTTTTTACTCGGAACCCTTCCTTGGGTGAATTTGAAGTCAACGACAAGATGGCAAAAGCTAGAAATGATCTTGGACTCGAAGCAAACCATGGTCGTTGAGAAAACTTTGAAAGGCTTTCCTAAGGAGCTTCAGCAATTTGTGACCTACTGCCGATCATTGAAATTCGAAGATCAGGTACAAAGTCAAATGTAAATTGGACTCTGGTTATGTCTAACTCTTCAGCCAGACTACATGTATCTACGAAATCTGCTCAGAGGCCTTGCGTTTCAGTGGAAAATAGAGTTTGATGGAGTTTATTGCTGGAACAAAAAGAAATAAAGAACAAACGAGATCAAAGAACGACCCTTTGAACTCTTCAAAACTTTTAAAGTTGCTTTGTTTATTTACTTTGATAAAGGTAGAAGGGCAAATGAACTCATGAGGAACATCTTGGAGAAATAGTTTTTTGAAATAATGTTATCATTCGTAACTTCCTCTGCAACTGAACAAAAGCTGCCAGGAATGCTGCTGAGAAATTCATCAATAATCTTTTCTTCTCGTTCTGATATCATCAAAAAACTAATGTACAGTATTTTCGATGGCTGAGGTAAAGAAGCGTGTCATGGTGCGAGGGTGGGAGTTGAGTCGTCGTGGAGTTCGTGCTATTTCTTCTTATTTCATATTTTATTAAATATTCTAGAGGTTCGTTTCTTCTTCCAAGAGATACGTTTTTACCATTCCCTTTCCTTTTACAAATATTTCACCACGTGGCACCCAGGAAAATCTACAAATATTAGTAAAGAACTGTTAAATTTGGCAAAAGTACTTTAATTTGTCTAGATTGCGCTTGTTTCCAATGAGGCAGAGCTGGTTCATGAGGTCTTCGGTGATCTGGATTTTGTCGCACAGCCCTGTACTGTCCATTCGCGACGCAACGTTAACTGTATTTCCCCAAATATCGAAGAGCAACTTTTCGATGCCCATCACTCCAGCGGTTACTTCCCCGCAGTGGGCGCCAATTCGTAATTTCCACCTTGAAAGCAATTTTAGACAAAGAAAGAAAAACATTTTTTCATACTCGAATGAAATCATATTCTGACTGAATGCTTCGACGGTCTTCTGGATGTCAATAAGAAATTCGATCATTCGCTCAATCGGATGGATGTCGACAGTTTCGTCGTGCTCGTCTTCTGACCATCTAAGACCCGCAGCGCCCATATAAGTTGAACTCGTAGTCTAAGAAAATTTTAAAAAAGAAAAGACGGCCGATAAATACCTTGATCTTGTCGATGCTGGTTCGATAGACATCCTTGTCGAGCAAATCGTCGATGTCGGAGATCAGTTCACTCAGAACACTAGAAATGATAAACTTTAAAAGTTGACAGGGAATCGAATTGGTACCGGATAAATTCAGTGCCCGAGTTGAACTGCTCTTCGTACATTTCTTGAAAGTTTGAGACGGAAGCGAAAAAGACGCCAACCATTTCGTGGTTTTTGGAATAATGTTTCTAGCAATGAAATAACCGATAATAATACTTTTGACTCTTACTCTGTCGCGGACGCAGGAGATAACATGCTCGGGGATGACGTTGTTTAATAGCGTCTTGGCAAAGTCGCGTTGTTCCTTTACCCGCTGTCGTTTCAGTTTAGCGATGATATTTGCCTAATGAGCCGATTGCAAAAGGCGAGAAAAGGGGGCATTTACCTTGAAATTGAGACGATGCGAAACCTCGTAGGCACGGTTTTCGAAGAACAGCAATAAGGAAAGCAAGAATAAGGCCATGATCCATTGGAAATAATCAGTATTCAATAAACAGTACTTTGAAATAGTTGATAAGCGGGCTAATTAACAATCTGTGGATTACCATGTACAAAGAGGAAAGGCAGAATCCGACAATAATGATGATTAAGGCGATAGTAGTGCGAAGGTTTGAAGAAAGATTGGAAAAGTTGATTGAGTGGAGCGCGCAGACAGCCAAGATGATCATCAAGTATTCGTGTGCGCCTGGAGGATAGTGTCCGGTGAGGGAGGGGTCGGGAGAGGATGAACTGTTGAGGTTGGAATCGTTTGGTTGGGAGCAATGCTCTTGCGTAGCGGCAACAATAGCTAGAATGATGATTTATTGATGGAAATTTTGCACAGAAAAATCTTTTCTCGGAGATTTTTTCTATGTAGTACATAGTATGTACTTCTCATTAGAAAATTGTTTTCCAGACAATTTTGCGATCAACTAACCTGGTAAGCATGGAAAAATAAGAAAGAGAGCTCCTAAAGTATGCCTGTATTGCCAGGACATGAGAAGGTCAATAGAAGGGCGCAAATTCTTCGCCTTGCAGAGAACCAAATAGACGATTGAAAGAACAACGCAGGCGATGAAAACGGCGAGCGCTGCCGGGTGGAAGCCAATTGCTACTGTGACGGCTGCGAAGAGCACGCTCTGGGAGATGATGCTCAAGATGATGTCGCGGCACCAACGGTCGATGGGAAATGTATTTTCAGCGAGGGAGGATGCGCTTGCGCTGAAGGAAGCATTCTCGACTTCGAAACCTTGGCGGTAAAGGTTTTCTAGGCGCAAGCTACTTCTAAAAACGGCTTTTTGATGGAGTAAAGGGGTAAAATACCTTTGGTTAGGAGTCGAACTAACAGCGAATTCGTCATTTTCAAGCTCCTTTTGGACATCTTTGAAATTGAGCGTGACGGCATTCATTAGTCCTCCACCGAGCTCTCCTCGCCGGTGGAAGTACTCTTCGGCTTTGCCGCCATGAGTTTGATCCTGATTTTCAGTTTGTTTGTGAATCAGAGCAATGGCCGTCGTCCGTGGGGCTTCCCCATATCTCCCTTCACCATTTTCAAGCTAGAATCAACAAATCAACTTTTTGATTTTGTTCACCGATTTGGTAAATTTCTGCAAACTTTCACGAAATGATAGAGCGGAGAAATTTGTTGAAAAACAAATTAATTCGATCCCGATTTTAATATAAATGGATAATCATATAATGTTTTATCCGTGCAGCGGTGTTTTTCCAGAAGCGGAATATTCCTAAAGTGGAACTCGCTATTCTGGTGGATTTGCGTGAATTACAGAATTAGCAAGGATTGAAAAGGATTAATGATTTACCAGGGATACCTGGCAGTCCTCCTCTCGGAGGGCCAGCTTTGAACCATCATAATCGTGGGTAGATCCGTCGACTGTTACAAGGTTCAGGCGATGAGTAGGATAATACAGCGCTCTTACTGTATTACAAATAAAAAATATAAAACAATGAAAACGTCCACTATTGCAGGCTCATTCAATTTTAACCTTTCCTGTCGAATTGAGCTCATCGAAGCGCTCGTTTTCGAAGAAATTCTCAGGCAGGGTTTCAATTTAATGTGCCAAGGCTATCCCATAATTTCTACATGGCTGTCCGAATCTAGTACTTTGACACCTTTTTGGAATCGTCTTGACAAGATCTGTCGATTTATTGAGCGAAAATTTAAAAAAAAATTGATGGCTTCGGACTTACATGGACTTGAAAAATGCACTAGAAAACACAAAAACCGATAAAAACTCGGAAATGAGTTTGAAATCTAAAAATCGGCCTCGATAAAACAAAAGATCTTTTTATGAGGATTCTTAAAAGGTATGATAGTACTAGGCTGGCACCTATAGTTTTCCCGCAAAACGAGAAGCAAATCTGGCACATTAAATTGAAACCGGACCTCAGGTTCGCGAACGAGCCAGGTAGTCTCGGCATATTCCGGATGCTCATGGTCCTCGAAGAGTTGGTGGAATCGAGCGCGCAGAGACACTTTCGAATTGGAATTCTCAGTTTCTTCGAAAAGCCGGTTCCAATCTTCCACTACGCCGCGGGAGTAATGGGCGCTCGGATTTGCATCTTCGAATTCAAGCCCTGCACCTTTCAAATATCCCCTTGTGCAGCCAGAAATGTGAACTCGGCCGGGAATGCCCGTCGATTCCAACTTATTTGCCCAGGTTACATCTAAAAGAAATCTGGTTGAAAGCAAATAAATCAAAGTCGAAATGTTACCTTGTCCGTACACATCAAACTTGTATCGTTTACTGCCCACAATGGCGTAAATCACCCGGCCTGAGTGGATACCGACGCGCATATCGACAATTTGCCCTTCGAAGTCTGGATTGGCTGCTTTGTGTCTTCTAGCGCTTTCGAGGGCGACATCGTTTTCTTGGCAGAAAACTAAAAGATTTCATAAGAAGATATTTTCTCGTTCGTCCAAAAGAGTACCTTTGATTGTCTTGCAGATCTTGAGCCCCATGACGACGCAGTTGTAGGCATGATCTTCATCAGGCTCTGGGCACCCAGCGACACAATAATAACAATCGCCCAAGATTGCGACTTTCTCGCACTTCATCGAATAGCAAAGTTTGTCGAATCGACCGAAGAGATCGTTGAGCATGTTGACGAGTCTGGACGCTTCCAAGCCCGAGCTCAGTCTCGTGAAGCCGACAATATCGGCAAAAAGGATGGACACTTTGTCCTGGAGAGAGATATCACCCGCAATGTGTCGCATCAGCTTGTCGTTGCTCGTGCTGATCACGCACTTGTCGGCGAGCGTTTTTGGCATGACGGAGTTGAGCAGCATTTGCGTCGTTTTCATGTCGCTCTCGTATTTCTGGTTGGCGCGGACGACTTCGCAGACGTTTTCGTACGACTTCATCAGATCGTCTTTCGTTTGGCGAAAGTGCTTGAGGCAGATGAGGTGCACAACGATTTGGAGGCATATTTCGGACGCGATGTACTTCAACTTGTCGGTGTGAGCTACGAAGAAATCCATTTTTAACTGACTTTGTAATGAAAACTTACCGTTGTAATGGAGAATAAATTCGAAGAGGATTGAATTGCACATTCCAATAATAAATAATTTGATCGTAGAGACTCTAATGGACGTATAAAGAACCAGGGTAACTTCGATATGTAGAATCCACGAAGCAAGAACATGAGGGAGTTGAGATTGAGAGCCGAGATTCGAAGTGAAAAGATCAGTCTAATGTGCGGGCTCACCTTGTGCAAATGTAAAAAACGAGTGTGTCAGATTTTTAACAGCTCTTTAAATATTTGAAAGTGGATAAATGAAAATCACACGTATTCAAAATGAGCGTTGGTTGTATCATTTGCGAGCCCGGCCGAAACAGAGAAGAGGGTAAAGAGAAGAGTTCCGACCAAGATCAAGTGATGAGAGGAGGGACGAGATCGAACGCCATTTGCGCTTTGTTTCCACCAGAAGGTTGCGGCGATTAGGAAGCCAATTATTAGTACTTTTTGAAGGATATACATTTGGCTAGCTATTTAGGGAATCAAACCCTTCTTCAAAAATAGATGCAAGAGTAAATCCATTCCTAAGAGTACTGAGGCATAAATAATCTGCCCCAAAAAGGAGCATGATTTTGAATCGACTCCGCTTTCGTCATCCAATTGACAGTACACATCAGCAGCCTCAGCATAGATGTAATAAGCTTTTGCGCCGGTTCAGCAGATTATACTCGAGCATGAATAAATTTAATTTTCAAAAGTCCGATTTTCGACAGAATTAGCTGAACGGGGAAATGGAAGGTGAGTCGGCCACCCAGACCCGATATTCAAAAATATAACAGCTGCACGCTCTCTGCCACCATAAGGCGGTGTATCAATCATCACCCAAGGGGGGAACTGGCTGTTATCAGCATGGAAATCATCACAGTACAGAGCAAATCGGCCATTATAGAATTTGGGATAACATACGACCAAAAATGGAATTCATTGAAAAACAACTGAATTTTATTATTTGATATTAGGATAACGAATCCATTGATATATTTGACTTCAAGCAACATATATATTATAAAATCACATTCTTAATATTTAATTTGAAATTCATTTTCGGCAAGTATATGGCCCATATAATATGGGCAAGAATACTACGATAAAAATGATATGTGAGAATGCACGAGATTCGCAGTAAATTATTAACCCTAATTCTTAGTAAATGCTGCGCTCCAGCCATCCCTGAATTTGAGCACTTTTCATAGGATCTTGAATGTAGATGCGAGCACCTGGCAGGAGACAAGCTGCACGATGCATCCTGCATCTCCTTGTTACCGGCTGAAGGCCTCCCCATGATGGGGGCCTATCAAAAACTCATTCAAAAATAAAAAATAGTCATTTATGAATATGATTATTATATTGACCTTCTTCTGATTATAGAGTTTATCAAATCTGCATTTCTTACCTATTAAGCTCTAGGTTATGGTTAATTTGAGATCAATTTCGAATTTTAAATTTTTTTATTTTATGAGTTTTCTATGAAAAGTTTAGCAATACTTTTCAAATGTTGAGAATTTCGAATTGAAATATAACATCAAATTCCCAATTTGGGTCCATGTTCCCTTTGGCCGATGCAGATCTATATCACTCAGCAGGTAGCATTTGGCATTGTTGGCCTTTGATGCACCGAGCTTGCTCATGCAGCTGTTATCATTTTGAAAATCTTGGTCTGGGTGGCCGACTCACCGTCCACAACCTCAGCTGAACCAGACCTAGAAATAGAGCGGCGGCTAGGAGGAGGAAAACTAAATTGTCCCTAGCCCGTCTCACTAGATCCGGAACTTGGCACTAAACGACAGTAAAGTGTCTGTAGTCAAAGTTTAGTACTTACATTGACAAAATTAGTATGAGCGGATGCATCTAATCTGGTCGAGCGCCGCGACCGAGCGCACATTATTCAACAAGTCATCACTAAAACAGTTACAGTTATAGATCTTACTGTACAGTTGCAATGCAGAAAAGGAAAAACGGTTATAAATGTCTCTTCAGTTGAAAGTGGGAAAGATGGAACGGCCTTAGACAGTGCCAAATCAGTATTGAGCCGCTTCACATATTCAAAAATCGATCAACTCGTACTATTCGTGCTCGGCTCATTACAGAGAAGCCGTCGCAATTTCAATCACACTTCCTCATTCTCTGTCTAAACTGAATTTATAACCAGTTGCAAGTTGTCCTAATTGCGAGAACTATTGCGCAACTCCTCTTTTCTTCTTGTCCTTGAAATCAAGGAAGAGAATCTGCAATTGGCAAATCCGTAATCCGGCTTATAACTGTCGAATTCGAAAGATTGGATTTAGATAAATTATAAGCTTGGTTGATGGGTAGACGATTCGGATCAACTGAGATCAATCGATATAATTGAATGATCATATCGAAATTCAGACGATTATCTACTTACTCAGTAAAATTTATTCCTCTGGCCTTTCTCTTTCTTTTCTTTTCATTGCCGGATGATTATATTCGTAAAGACAAGAAGGTATCAATAATTCATTGGCCCTCCTTGTGTCTAAATCGAGAAACTACTTACTCGCCGAAATTTTCTTTACGAAAAAAATATCCACTCCTTAGAACCGAGGATCTCTTTGATTATCCAGCCAGCTTCAGACAAAAATATAATAATCCACGGAGCGAAAAGTTTAATTAGCCGTGAACGCAGTTTTTTTTCTATTCTTGACTAAAAGAATCATCATTTCACGCGCGAAAAAAGGAAACCAAGGCGAGATTTATAAACCGCGTAAATTTAACAGTCGTAAACTCATCACATTCATAATTTTCAATCAAAAGCGGGCATTTTATTTCCACAGCTGATTGCTATTACTTTTTCAATATTTATGTCTGTCGAGGATCGCCTGACAGCTAAACTTTGCAACCTCATTACAAAGTTTAGTAAAAGAATTTCCGACTTCGGAATCCAATAGGATCTTTTATGAATGAAAAGGTTGATCTTTTGTTGACAAAAAAGAGTTCATTAGTAGGTGAACTAATTGAGTAGCAAGAGTGGCGTAGTCAGATGTTTTTTGCCGCGTCATGAGCATAAATTTAGTGTTGTAGAATTACGACTTGCTGGTTCAAACGAATTAGGAGATCATAACTCACGGAGTATCCTCGGGGAAACCACAAACAATAACTCAAAAACAGCCAACTTGTTTTTCTCGATTTTTTTTTCTGATTAATCTTCGCTATCTTAACTAATAACAAGTACCAAGAGATCGGTATTTTCAACCTTACAAATTTACGTAATGAAAATCAAAGCACCATTCTAAAAGGCAATAAAACCTACTCAAGCTGATTGTCAATGATTGATCAATGAAAATAGCCGACATAGAAATAACTACTCTTATAAAGAATAAACTTACATAAGATTTCAAGTAAATATGACCCTTAGTTAGATCAGAAGCAAACCCCTCCAAAATGGTAGGATCTCAAGTTGAGCTCTATATTTAGGGCCGACGAGCAAAAATGGACATGTCGAACCCGTGGAGATAAAAGTCTCAAACTCCAGTAGAATATACTTTATTAGCTAATTAAAAGAATTGTAGTTGTAAGTTTTTTGGTATGACCACGTGATCACGTGATAAAGACCCTCGAAAAGCTTGAAAAGCTTGCCGAGCTTGATCCCCTTATTGCATCATCTCCTCGACCGAATAGAAAGAAAGGTCTTTATTAGTTCTAGTGATTTAGTTAAAAAAATTCTTGGTTCCGTCTTTAGAAGAGGCGCTAGAAGCGATAAAATGCCTCAAAACTATCTAAAATTGAGGTAAAAATCCAAGTTTCACGGGTAACTTACATATTGTCCCAAAGTTTCACGCATTTACCTCAAGGGGTTCTAGGGGTTAATTTTTTGCTCGTCGGCCCTATCTATATTTTTGTTCTCTGAGAAAAGCTAATTTGCTGAACTTCCAAATCGACTGGCAGCATCTTTTTTCTAATTCAATGGGGATCGTGGATAAAAGGCCACTAAACTCAATTGAAAAGTCTTCATAAGCGATCTTCAATGATCTTCCAGTCTATTTTTTTTTGTTCAACTCAACATTCAACTTGGTTACTTTCGACAAAATTCTGGTTGATTGCCAGAATTACAAGGGCAAACAATAAGTAAAAAACTTACAATTGCTAAAAAGTGCTTCTTCTTTTTCAAAATCCCTTTGAAACTTCTGGTCAAATAGCTAGTATTTCCTCTTCTGATTAATTCTCCACAAAAAGCTTTCTCTGAATTGAACCAAAAATAATCACTTTTTAAAACTGAAAAAGGATAAATCAAACTTGCAAAAGGGGGTTTCAAAAACAGCAATCAGCTGTCTAAGAAAAGTGATTTGGGAAATGCACAGCGCGAAAATAAATTATCTCAGCAAAAGCTCTTAAATCCAGAGCACACAGCTTTCATCATGAATAAAACATTTCCTTCTCCCATAAATCTATCATGCTCGAAGTTCAACTCAAAATCCCAAAATCATCATCTTCTGAAATTGACACTCAATCTGTCTCTCATTCTTTCCAAATTTACAAATTTGACGAATCTGAACTATTCAGATTCAAAACAGCCAAAGTCAAAGTTCAAAAACTGCGGCGTAAATCCTCCTGATGGCGTTTAAATTAGAAGCCATCTGTTAAAACAGTTTTTGAGCAGTACTGTAAGTATTTCTGCCCTCAGGCACCTGTTACTGGCTCTTGCTATGTGCCCAAATAATGTCCTACTGATAAGAAAAAGCCGCCCAGCCACGTACTTGATAAAAACAGCCTCAACACAACCACTCGTAATGAAAATTTAACTGTAACACAAATAAACTGTTACTGTATGTATGCACACTGAATAAGCACTATCTTCTTCTTTTCTTCTTCAATAAAATAATCTCTGGACAAATATTGTTTCTTCCAACCAAATAAGCTTTAAAAATCATAATTTTTATTTCATAAAATTTATTGGAGAAAAAAGAGAGTAGAGTAGCTTCAACTCAAGGTGCCAATTTTCACTTGATTCAACTCGGGCCCTCTCTCTTTCTCTTTTCTTTCTCAACGATCCCGAGAGAGGATAAATGAGGTCGCCGCTAGAGCCAATCAGCGTAGGCGGTCCACAACAGATAGAAAGAGAGAGTCCAGTTCTGAGAAGAAGCCACTGTAATATAAATTTCCCTGGGAAGAGTTAACTTCCACTTTTCTTTTAAATGATGATCTTCTTGCTGAATATTTCAAGAGCATATTCATGAAGACAGAAATCGAATACGACTTGGGAATCCCAAGTTGGGATAGGGGCGCTAAAATTGATTTTTCTTCGGAGATCTAGAGATTTATTTCGGAAAATTATTCTTTCAAGTAGAAAATTTCAACTTTTGGCCATTGAAAATTTAAATGAAAAGGGCAATTTTGTAAGCAAAAATAGTGTGTTTTTCATGTTTTATTTACGAAAGTTTTCACAATTAAAAAAACAGCACGGGAGGAGTCAAAAATGTCTATGAGAAATCCAAACACTCGAGCAATTTAATAATAACTGTCTTCGATTTTTTATGTTTCGTTTTTTTCCTTTTCTCAGATTTGTCGTAAAGAACAAGAGGAAGCCATCGTTGACATTGAAGTAGATCTTCTTGAGCTACTGCAGTTAGTGACAGTCAGATAGGGTCGGGAGGATACTTACTGTGAAACGCGTTCCTTTCGTTTGGTCAAAAATACGCAGAAGAAGAACAAAGAGACCAAAATCAGCGGTTGCAGAATCGAGAAGCCGATCACTACTGTCTTCGATACAATAATTACAGAACTGTTTCCGTTGAACCAGCTCTTTGAACCGTCTGTTAGATTATCGTTCATTTTCCGTGTTTTCTCTGGTAACTGTTACTGCTCTTCGCAAATATGGCTAGGCTAGGTAGTATTGGGAAGAGAAGAGTACGTTTTTGGTCATTACGCCTTTCAATGATGCATGGTTTCGTACACAGAAGGAATCGCTACTGACAGGCTATCGCTGCATAACAAATTAACCGTGAAAGAATCGGGATAAGAAGAAATATGGATTGAATAGCATCAATTTTTTATGTTAGAAAATTGATAAACTTGAAGTCGCGCTATCCAATATTGTCGATAAAACTCAAGACGAGATCCAACAGATTGTCCAATAAGGCATATCTAGGGATTCTCACGGAAAAACATAGTGTACTCAAAATTTTCACTCTAGATGTAATTTTTCCGCTGATTCTGAATATGCCGAAATCATTATGAAATTCCAAGTAAGTGGATATTTATAGCTGATTAGGTCGCTTGGTGGTAAGCTCTAGTACTTGGTTCGATTTGGAAGTAATCCTTGACTCGAGTCGACTAATTCTTAGTAAACGGGTAGCTTACCACTTCCGGGAACTTTTTTGTCCAGATAACCCGCCGTTATTTGTGACAGATTTCCTACAGTAGGTCATAGTGTGCACCCACCAAGAATACGTGGGCGCGCTAATGCTTTCCGGGTCTCCCGGAGAGCGCGTAAAGCACTAGCGCGCCGTCACTTTCAGTCAATCATCCGGTGATTTCTTGAGGTGTGGGTGTCCCATATTCTTAAATTTTTCACAGGCTCGAAAGAAAAGTCTGCTTGAGAACATTTCCAAAATTAGCGTTTTTAAGCTTGTTTAGGGCTTCAAACGCAAGAAAAACTCATTTCTGGGTCGCGCTCACCCCGTAATGCTCTACCGGGGCGCTAGTCTCGGTGAGTCTACAGGTGGTTTCGAAGGGTTCTAGTTTAGCCATAGTCTTAAGATTTTGACTGATGCTGGCAAAATGTCTGTTCTATAATATATCTAAAAATTTGAAATTTATGAGCTTGTTTGCGCATACAAAAGTCTTGTTTTGTGTCAAATTTGCTGATTTCTAGGGTATTTTGCCAAAATAACTATTTTTCGAAAGCAGATAATGAATAAGCGTCATCATTTAAGTAAGTTCAAGATGTTTTTCGGTCAAATTGTCCTAAAAATAACAGAATATCATTCGACAATTTTGGGTGCGAAGGGCCGCGCCGCGCGCCATTTTTCCGTGAGAATCCCTAGGCATATCTACTGATGTAGATACTGTCGATTGAATCAAGCCTGAAATAAAGTCGGCTTCAAGTTAAAAACTCAAGAAGTGTAAAGCGCGGGTTTTCTTCATATTTTCGCACGAAGTCCCAAGCGGCTTCTCGATATTTTTTTCAGTTTTATATAGAATATTCAGCAAATTGGAAGAAAATCGCTGAATAATTGAGCAGATATACCGGTATATCTGGCAGCTCGTTCAGCACAGTTGCATAGCTATTTTTTCTGTCGGGAAATAACTTTCGCCATCTGTCGTATTAATTCAAATAGCGCGCCACTTGCCTCTTGGGATACATTTTTCCTGCTCGACCAGTGGCCACTGGCTTCTCCCGGGCAATATTCGTCAAAAAATGTCAGCGATCGATTCCGTGACTCTTTCCTAATGAGGCTTCTTTTCTCTGACCTATCGCAGTAGTTGACAAAAATTCAAAGAGAAAAAATGATGATTTTAGAATGAAAATGAAATCGGGCGAAAATGGGTAGCTTCGACCTGCGGATCCTCGAGCAAGGAGGACTCAGCTTTGAAGATTTGAAGACAAATGTCTCCAAAGTTGCGCACGAGCTGGAAAGAGATCGGAAAGCGCTCAAACATCTCAAGTCAATCTTCAGAGATGTTCCGAGCAGCATTCTTGAGCAGACCAAGCACGAGAAGTCATTGAGGTTCACTATTTATCCATTAACAATTAGATAAGAGAGAAGCCGCTTTCGGCTTTGATTATTAAAAATCAGAAAGCAAAGCGCGGCTTTTTTACATTTCTTGCGACTTCGAGCGTAATCACGTCGATCTTGGCGCGACCATTTAATATCTAATGAGAAGACCTTTCTTTACGAAAAATATTCAGCAATACGATAGTCGACCATGCGATTCCACACACTTCCGACAAAGAAACGAGCGAGTGTTTTTCGAAATACAATGATTTCATCAACGAACTCATCAAATTACAAGAGTCCTATTCGCGTCAAATGAAGTCCAGTCTCTGTGATCCGATCGTCTCAACCGTGAATTCGCTCAAAAACCTCGACACCGTGCGAAAAGACTGGGATAGCGCGAAAACGGAATACGAACGGAAAAGCAAGAAAGGAGTAGCGTTGCAAACCGAACAACCGAATTTGAAACGCTGCGCCGCCGAGTATTTCAAAAAGAGACAACGCGCCGAGTCTGGAATTGGCACAAACTTGGCGTTTTCGTTGATCGAGTTCTCGCAGAGACAGACGGAGTACTTTCAGGAAGCGTTGGACCTTTCGAAACGATTACAAATTGACCTTGAGCAGCGACAACCGAAGATTGCTCAGCAAAGGAAAAATGATGAAGTCACTTTGCAAAGGTTATAATTAAACCCAAGAAGAAAATAGAAATTTTAAACATTGATATTTCAGGCTTGATGAAATCTCAAAAAAGTACGGCGGCAGTTCACACAACGAGTCGTACTCTGTCCACCAGAATCTGATCGCGTCAAACTCGAGTGCGGGCGAGACGAAGAAGGGGACGGTGTTCGTCAAGCGTCGCCACTTAGTGTCAATCGTTCAAGGTTTCAAAAAGCGCGTGGCTCACGTTCGCGAGGACGGCTACTTCGAAATTTATCACAACAACGCGATGGAGACGCGGATCAATCTGCTAACAAGCTCCGTCAAGCGCGATCAATCGGATAGAAAGGCCTTCGAGTTGACCGCAGCAGAGAAGAATAAACCCTACATCATCATGGGCACTACTGAGCCGGAAACGGAGAATTGGGTCCAAGGTAAATTCAAATTAATTTCTTTTCAAAATCGTTTTTGTTGTTTTAAAAATAACATTTTTAGTCATCCAAAACGCTAAAAACGCTCTACTGAACAAATACTTCGAGCCCTCTGTCGACGAATTGACAAAAAAGATCCTCGCCGCGGTGAAATCCGTGCCCGGCAATGATTGCTGCGCCGATTGCGGAAGCAGGGCGCCGACTTGGTTGAGTTTGAACTTGGGCATTTTGGTGTGCGACTTTTGCGCTGGCGTGCATCGCGAAATTGGCGTCAATTTCTCCAAAATCAGATCAATTACGCTCGATGAATGGGGCACTGCGAATCTTCTCGTAGCGAGGTAAAACCTACTATATTTGCTGGTTTCTCACTTTGTAATTAGAAATCTTGGGAACGAAATTTTCAATGAAGTCTACGAAGCAAATCTGCGCCTAAGCGAAAAGCCAGACACATCATCATCTTCAGAGCATCGAACAAATTTCATCAAACAAAAGTACATCCACAAGCGTTTCATCCAAAAAACAGTCTACTCGGAACAAGAGGGCATTCAAGCGCTAGAGTCCGCGATCCAAGAGTCCGACATCCATGCTATCTTGCAAGCTTACGCTGAAGGGGCGAGACCGGAAGCGAAAAGAGACCAAATTGGCTTGAGCTGCTTGCATCTCGCTGTTGAATTTGGACAGTTGCACATTGTCGAATTTTTATTGCAAAATGCTAAGGACTCGCCGGACGGGCCAGTCGATTCTAGAGGCAATACGTTGCTGCATCACGCGCTAGAGCACTACTGCGGCAAAGATTTATGCAAACTCATTTTGAGAAAATACCCGAATGATGCATTCAAGTCTAACTACCTCGGAAAACTGCCCTCAGAGTGCACAAAGTAAGATATAATTTGATTGAGAATCACTGTAATTTACTTTTGCTAAATCGATTTTTAACTTTCAGCAGCAACGAAATTAAATCAAGCCTGAGGGATATCGAAGGGCAGCCGGACAAGTTTAAGCTTTTGAATGTCGACTATCAGTGGAATTTCGAGCGTAGCAATGGCGAATCAGATGATGAAGGGCTAGATGATCCAGCATCTATGAGCATGAGCCGGTCGAGACCGATGAGCACATCGACCAATCCAGCGCCATCAGCGAAAACTCCGAATACTCCAAGTTTGACGACGTTTTCCTCGATGGATCCACCATCGACAGATGCTAATTTTCTCGACCGCTCTACTGCGGATTCGATAACAAGGTAAGAACCTAACATTCCGTGTTTCGCACTAAAACATCAAAATGAACAGCTCACCAATGAAAACTTCCAGCCCCTCGCGCTCCAAATCACAGCGGACGAGCTCAAGCTCGAGCAATAAAATTCTTCAACATGTTCCACAGTTCACCACAAAAAATGAAGACGTCATGGATCAGCTTCGGCAACGGCTGAAGGATCCGAATCCGAGTATTCCGAGAAATATCGCTCTCGTGCCGGATCGTCACACTCCAGATCGACCGGTTGCTCGTACACGTGGATCCCAAAGCACAAAGGTAACAATATTAGTGAAAAACTTGATGTTCATAAAAATTTAGGAGCCGCGGGTAAAACTAAGACCAACTGGAAGCAACAGTTTCAGAGACAATCGGCGCTCCCAAGGAGATTCTCTCAATCGCTCGGCAAATTACCGAAACTCCGCTGAGGTAAAAAAAAACACTTTTCCTTATCTAATTCTCGAATCTATCAGTTCTCGAATCCGACTCCAAAAGCAAGAACAATCATCCCATCCATTCATAAAAGTCATTCTCCAAGCTCAACTCTTGTCAAACGAGATAGTCATGGTAAAAACTTCCTAATATGTCCCTTTACATCCTTTTTGCAGATTATGCAGAAGTAGGAATACTCGAGTCGACAAAAACATCGCCAAGTTCGCGTTCAAACACATTCCAATCCCAACCTTCGCCAAATAATTCCCTTTCCTCGAAGGATGACTACAAGCGCAAATCGCGAAGTCTCGAGTCCACACTTCGCTCTGTCGATTCTTCCAACAATTCTAGCGTCAGCAGGAATAGCTCCTTTAGCTCAAGAACATCCAGGCAAAAGGTATCTCCGTCATTCTTAAATCTTATTAAACAAATTTCTTTTCAAGCCACCATCTGAACCTGAGCAAGCGATTTTGCCCGAACCAGTGCTGGAGCAAAGCAGGTTGCCGTCAAGAGTGAGGGCGATCTACGACTGCGACGCTGATGACGATGACGAATTAACTTTCGTCGTTGGAGAGTACATCACAATTACTCGTACGCAATTAAAAAAACTTATCCATATCTTATCTCTTGTTTTAGGCGAAGAGGAAGAAGGCTGGCTCCATGGACACATCGAATCGCAGCCTCATCGCGCTGGTCTCTTGCCTCAAATCTTCGTGGAAATCCTCGAATATCGCTGAATATGAATATCCCTATTTAATGTTCGTCACATGGCCAAGCATCGAATCACAACGAATAAACATGTCACATAGAAAATGAACACTCTAACTGCTGCACTCATCAACAAAAAAATCAAGCTCACGAAAACTTTAAACAGACCTAACTCCCATCAGCGGCATCAGCAATTATAAATTCATTCATCAACTTTCACTTGTACCACCTCTTTTTAAAACTGCTTTCAAAAAATGAAAAAATACTTCAAATCATCATTGACTCTCTCTCTCTCTATTCTCAATTCTTATTCCTTTTCGTTCCGGTTGCATTACCTACTGTATTTAAAAAGAAAGAACTTTTACTTCCGAATACACAACACAAAATTCAACATCCGGCTTTACTACACTGACTACTCTCAAACCGCAATCAACAAAGACAACTATGAGGGGATTGACCAAATATTTTTGGTTTTATTTTTTACAAAAGTCCTAGAAATGTACAGAAATAGGGGATGAGTATACAAGAAGTTTAAATCGCGTCGGCCACGGGGATTTAAGCAGTTCGCATGGCGACGTAGGCGTCCTTGACCAAGTCGAATCCAGAGAGGACACCAGCTCCGGCAATACCTCGGAGAACGTTGGCACCAGCGCCCTTCATGAGTGACATGAAGCCTTCGTTTCGGATGACCTGCATGCCGCAGTCGAGGGAGGACTTGTAGTGGACGCCAGTTCCGGAAGTCATCATCATTCGTCTTCGGACGGTGTCGATGGGGTAGGAGGCGAGGCCAGAAACGACGGTCACAGCTGAGAAAGAGAGGGTTAAAATATGAAAAAATCGAAGATAGAATTTTGAGAGAATTCAATTTAAAAGTGAACTTACCCCATCCGAGAAGGAAGGAAAGGAGGAAGCTGGATTGGTCACCAAGGAACAGAGGCTTAGCAGTATCGTAGAGACCAAAGTAGAGACCTCGGTAGATAAAGATACCAACGCAAGAGATGGTGAATCCTCGGTAGAGACCAGAGATACCATCAGAAGTGAGGGTCTTTCGGTAAACATCGATCAAACCGTTGTACTGTCGTTTGCCGTCCTTGCCTGAATTAGAGAGTTAGATTTTTTGAAAAAAAAATTCGGAAAGTTTCTAGAACGACTTTTGTTGTTTTTATAAAATTTACCTTTGGCGTCGTTGGCAAGTCGAGTACGGGCGTAATCGAGGGAGTAGACGAAAGCGAGCGAGAGGGAACCAGCGAAACCACCGGAAGCGATGTTAGTCGCGAACTTGGCGGGGGCGGAAGCGTCCTTGGAGAGGGCGAACAAGCTCTTGATCTGTCCTTTGAAGGCAAAGTTCAAGGCCTGGGTGGGGAAGTATCGGAGAACGTTGGCAAGGTTTCCTCGCCAGAATGAGCCGATTCCCTAATTATCATCGTTATTTTCTTTTTCTCAAACGACTAAGGACTCAAAGAGTGCCTGAACCCACCTCGGAAGCCATGGTTCGCTTGGTGCAGTCGACGATGCCAGTGTATCGTCGATCAAGAGTGCCCTGCTTGATCATCTCATCCTGGTTCTGAACCAAGAGCTTGATGCGCTCAATGGGGGCGGCTCCAGTCTTTGAAACACCGGCGGCGACACCGGAGAGGAGGAATTCCTCAACGAAGTTCAACTTCTGGGTCATTTTGGATTTAACTAACTAAAACATAATTGTGAGAATGATGAAAGATTAACACTTCAAAAAGAAAGTTGAAATTTAAAATTTTGAAAAGAAAATTGCAAGGGCTCCGCCTGTTATTATTTTTAGCTCCTTACCGGATAGAGCGAAAAAACGAACTGACGAAAATTCGATTTTCAACTCGAAAATAGGCGAGCATTCTAGAAAATTCTAGCGCCGTGATTTGTTTTTCACCACTTTTTGCTCGTTTCAGCTCAGAATCATTGGTTTTTGCTTCAAAAGAGATCTTTTAGAATGGAAGAGGAAAGTTCAGATTCACTATCGCTCTCGGTTGTACCATATCAACCTAGAGAAATGCCAATTCATTCCGGTAAACTGAAAATTCCGCCAAAAATTCGCTAAAATCGCATTTTAGACCTAAATATCGCTCCTCCAAACTGGCTTAGACCAGTTGGACCAAAAATAAAGTAGGTACTGATAGCCCTTGAAAACATCTTTAAATCTGTCCAAATTAGAACTCCAAAGATCCGGAAGAAAACCGACAAGAAGAAGAAAATGACGTCAATGCTCGTCGCAAATCACTATTTCGAAGGTTGGTTGTTTTCGAAAATCTCTCGAACGTGAAATTCTAGAGATTTTCTTATTGCACGAAACTCAACCCTTTTAGATCATATTCCGACGGAACTTCACGATCTCAGCGGAATTGACGCAGTCGCTGCGGCAGATACGATCAAACAACTAGTCAAACTTGGAAAATCATCCGAACATGTCTCCTTGCTCATTCATCGAATTGGTGATTCGCTCTTCATGGACGATTTTGACTTGGAAAAGCTCTTCCGCGACACTTCTTCACAAACTCATCATTGGTTCAAATCTTATCTTTCCGAAATTCTGGCAAAAGATGGCAATTTCAATCAGCTAGAAAACGAGCTAATCTCTGCTCTTACCAAGCATTTGCGCTCGACTTCGATCAAAGCGCTAGAATCGAAGTTTCTGTATCATTCGTTGATGCCAGCTCAAGATGGCCAGGAAGCGCGCCGACAAGAACCGTGTGCCCACGAGGGCTGCTTTTTGCAAAATAATGTCTGGAAATTCCACGACTTGGGCTTTCTCGTCGGATCAGATATTCCAATCTTTGGCAATAAAAATCATCCTGCAGTTACGTTGCGATTAACTGACTCGCAAGAGATTAATGTCCTCACAGGAATAGATTATTGGCTCGAGAATCTTATGTTTTCCGTGCCCGAGGTGGTCATGTGCTTCCATATCAACGGAATCGTCGAGAAGTATGAAAATATTTCAACGGATGATATTCCAAAGCTTGCTGGTTTTGACCCAGAAATGGTGAAAACGACCGCGAAAAGCATCCTTTCTTTCCTGAAGTCCAAATGTACCGAGCCAGGACACACCTACTGGCTGTTCAAGGAGAAAAACGATGATGTAGTGAAGCTGTATGATCTCAGCAGCTTGTGTGACACGAAAAAGGACGAAAAGAAGAAGTCGCAAAAACCGACAAATCCTTACGTCACCCCGGTTGCGAATCTCCTCCTGAAGCTTGTTACCAACTTAGAAAACGAAACAGAAACGATCCCAGTTACCGATAAAAAGCTAAGAGACGAGAACGACGAAAACGTAACAAAACTCCTGCACCAGGCGCTACAGATTTCTGACGATTTGCCAGAAGTACGCGAAAAAGTGCTGAGAAAGCTCGCTTTTCGAATGTCTCGGAAGAAATCTGAACCAGCGAGTAGTAAAAAACCGACCAAAACCAGAAAACCATCCCAGAATCTTGAAAAGACCAAAGGAGCAACTTGCGTTATGAAAACCTCAGAAATTGTCAACCAATATGTCCATAATTCGCAGTCATTTGAGGCGAGCAAAGGCAAAAATGACATGGAAGAGGAATTGAAATGGATTTCTGCCGCTTGTCAGCTGCTCGAGAGAGATGACGATCCTACTGATGTCTATCTTGCATTTTCTAGCGCCCTGGCGACTTTTGCTGAGAGGGAGCAAGTGGGAACAAAGCCGAAGGACGAGGAACTTGCATTGATTCTTTTAGCCATTCGGTAGATTTCTTTTTCACAAACATAACGGTTGAAAATTGTTAATCAAGGTGCATTCTATATTCCGAACCTCGTGATTCCAGCCAGCAAAGGACGAGAGATGCGAATTTAACGATATTGACGGAAAGGGCAGCTGATTTACAGATACCCGTTCTAGAGAAAATTAACTTAGGAGAGCTCAGGAAGAAACTCCTGCAAAAATATCCGTCAGGTAAATTTTCTTTTGATTTCTTGAAATTTTACTACGCCGCTCTTTTCGCGTTTTTTTTTCTAGCATTCTATTTCAGTAAACTGTCTCCTATCAACCTTCGAAAATACAATAAACAAGCGTCAAGAATCCGAGCTGGGCAAATTCATCGCCCGTGACTACAAAGACGTCATCCAACTGTACGATCTAATCAAGCACCATCATCAGAACAAGGGAACTATCCACCGCAAGATCGCTTACGTCTACAATGAGATTGGGAAGAAGATGATCGATAGTCTCATAATTGCGTCGATTGAATCGAACGACAGGAAAAAGCCAGATGATTTTTCGTCAGATGAATTTAGATCTGCCGGGCTTAGGTTGGCAGTTAAAATGAACGATTGTGTCTAAAATGAACTTTTTTTAGCGCTTTTGAGACTGCTTGCTCTATTTTTGATCGATGGAATGATCCGAGTAATTTTGCCCTGTGCCACGCAAACATGGGAAGACTGTATCTTGTCCTCAGCTCAGTTAACAAACCCGACGGTGAACTGGAGGAAGCAGAGGAACAAGATCTCCTTCTCTCGATAAAGCACTATCGAAAAGCTGTCGATACAGTAAAAGAGCAGAAAATGCAGGAGAACTTCACCTGGGATTTGATTAACGCGCAGTTGAAGCTGGCTACGATGCTGCAAGAATGCCCGCCAGGTATTTTCCAACGAAAAGCGATGCAGTAGTTTAAACGACTGTTTAGTTTCTCGTTGCACGATCCGCGAGTTAGAGCGAAAGCTAATCGACATTCTGGACCAGGCAGAAAAGTACGCTACAAATCTGCTTCGGACAACTTCCCAGCCGCACCACGGCCATTTAAGACTTGCGGAGATTAATTATAGAATTGGAGCGATGCATCATGGTCACATTGTCAAAACCGGCCTCCAGAAGAAGCAACTTTCGCATTCAATCCGACTTTCGGAAAAGTATTATCTCGCTGCGGAGAAACACTTTCAATGTGTCAATTGGAAAGATCAAAATCAAGGTAGAGAAAACCCTCTTTTAGTGCCTTTTCATCGATTGAATTTTGAAGGGTGGTGTGTTCTTCATTTGCGATCGACGATTGAGCGCGTTGCTCTTATTAAAAACCACCGAAATGACAAGAACCGTCTTCTGGACGCCCTTGCGGCAATGTTACAGGCACGCACTTCTACAGACCGTCTCCAGCAAATTGACTCGAGTTATTCCGACGATGTCATAAAAACAGTCCTCAAACTCATTCAAATGGTTCTGATGGAGCTTTCCAAGAATATTTCTTCCTTCCCAAATACTTATAAAACAATGAAAATTTTGGACGTGAAAAATTTGATTCTTCGATGTATGAAAATGGACAAAAACATTCATACGATAAATGTTATCATGTCAGATATTGATGATTTGATAAGTTGACTGAATGAAATTGAAATGAATTCAAAATTCCAGCATTTTTTTCTGTTTCAAAATATCCGTTTCCGCCTCTCAACGCCACTTCCCTTCAATAAAGATAAAAAACGATTTCTTTCAATGCCACTTTTCCTTTATTATTCCTGCTAGAATGTCTGAACAATCTGATTCGGAAGAAGGAATGAGCTCCATCAACTGGTGGCTAGACTTTTTTGCTGATGCGGGAATTCCACCAACATCTGCTGCCGAGTATGCCGTTTCCTTCGCCGAGCAGAGAATCCCACAGGAATATGAAATAATTCTTGAGCTTGGCACAGACGAGTGGCGAGAACTCGGCGTTACTGTTCTTGGCGACAGACTTGCCATGAAAAATTTGGCGAAATCAGGAGGAAAAACGAAAATGGTTCGAGGATTTTTTAACTTAATTTTTACGAATTACTCCTAGGCGCCGAAAAAAGTCTCAAAGAAAATGAAAAAAGCTGTCAGAGAACCGGAAAAGCAGAGCTCAGAAGAATTCTTGAGCTCCTTCATCTCTCAAGAAAAGAAAAAGGCGAAGCCGCTGGGAAGGCAAAACGTCGAAAAAGAGCGAGTCAAGAGTAAAAATCCCTTTAGGAAATCCTCTGGAGACGAAGTTGACTTTTATCAGGAGGAAATATCTGAGCCTAGGTAAATCTTTAATGATTTGGAAGCTTTCATGATTGATTTTCAGCGCTGTAACTTTCACAGAAGAGATGGAAGATGAGCCAACAGTTCAGTTCAAAGTAACTCTCGACAAACAATTTGGCAGTAGTAGGAAAAGACAGTCAGATGTAAGCTTGCGTTCCCTTTTACTGGCAGGCATTGATTCAACATTTCAGCCCATGAAAATGTCTTCTGAGCCGAAAATCACGCGTACGATAGGGTCACATCCAGTAGTACAGGAAGATACTGTCTCTTCAACCTCAAAAGTCAACGTCACGTTCAATGGATTAACTGGATTCGGCAAGCAACCTAAACAACCAAAGATTTCCTGCTCGGTAAGCTCTCCCGAAAATATATTTTCAAGTAATTTTAGTCATTTCAACCGAGCCCAGAGAAGAAAAAGAGTAAACCTGAAACTGTCCGATCTCGATTGGGAAAGAAAAACGTAAAAAATCGACTTGGCCTGTAGAAAACTGAAGAAACTAGTCATTACACCTGACCTTTGTAGACAATTCTAGCTGCCTCCAATTTCCTTTTCATTTCTGTTGAAAACGTATTCGTGCTGGTTTTCATAAAAAATCATTCTTTATTTTCGAAAATTCAATTTCTTTCCAATCAAAAATGTCCATATTCCGTAGAAAAATGCAAGAGATTCCCAAAATCGGCTTTGGCACTTTTCGTTTATCCGGAAAGAAGGGAAAAGAAGCGGTAAAGGCTGCCATCCGGGCCGGATATAGACATATAGACACGGCGCATATGTATAAAAACGAACATTTGGTGGGAGAGGCGATTGATGAGTGTGTGAGCGAAGGAGTAGTGGAGAGGAATGAACTTTTTATGAAAGGGGCGGTTTAGTTTTCTTCTTCGATTGGGAGCGATGAAAATTAACCCATTGAAAGAACTTCAAAACTACACTCAAATTTCCACAATCCCGATCTCATGGAAGGTCAAAATTCATAGTACCTTTATTCTTATTTCTCACTTGTTTTCACCTTCTTTTGAAGAATTCCGGTGATAAAACATCAGCTCAAGCTCTTGAAACTTTCCTTTTTCGATCTTTATTTGATCCACGCGCCTTGGGGCACTTTGTCGACCGATCCTGACTCCTTTTCTGTCGATAATGTTTATGAGAACGATTTGCCTGTGATCAAGGACTTTGATCACGTGTCAATTTGGCGTGAACTTGAGAAAGCGGTGGATGCTGGGCTAGTGCGTCGTATCGGCTTGTCCAACTTTGATGAGCTCCAGGTCGATAAAATAAACACGGTTTCCAATGTTCTTTTGTGCAATTATATATGAGCAAGTTCATCAAGGTGGAAAAGCAGAGTGCATATAGCGGCCCCTGCTATTCTGTCAATTTTCGTTTTTGTCTTTTGCCAAAAGGGATAACCGATTAGAAGTCTTAGTTCTTGTCGCCGAGCTCCATATGCTAATCAAGTCGAGTGTCATCCTTTATTAAACCAAGAAGAGCTCCGAGGATGGTTGTCGCACTGAAATAATAGTGTGTTCCCATGTATTAGATATGTATGCATTTTAATCTTGAATAAGCTCTGGTTGAGAGTTTCTCTTATCGAAAGAAAGTTTAACTGGTGGTTTGACCTCTTCAATGTCGATAATAAATTTTAATTCTTGAGAAAAATCTGAGTCAAATTGACTTCTCTTACTATGGGAGGATTTTTATGTTGAAAATATAGAAAGAACTAAAACTCAACCTCTTTCTATTTTACTTGCCGCTCCAAATTGGCAGGATTAAATTATTGATGCCCTTGAAAAGGTCAAAGATCTCTTTCGATTTGTGCTCATTTTCGATAGTAGACAAGGTGACACAACCAATCAAGCTCACCATGCCGCTCATGGTTTGCATGTCATTGCGTACATGCCCCTCGGCCGCTGCAAGGCTGATGATTTCGATGGTCTAATGTTATCACAAAAGCTAGTGGTAAAACAAATTGCCCGAAAACACGCGGCCAGCCCTGAACAGGTCTTGATAGCTTTTCATATAAACAGAAACATGGCGCTGCTTGTCAAAAGGCCCGGAGTCCTATCTCAAGTACAAACTTGTTCGTAACAAATGGCATTATGATTCCAATACCAAGCCGAGATGAGCAGAGAATTGAACACAACTTCCAAGCAACTCAGATTCGCCAAGGGTGACAAATTTAATTTGCGCCATCTATGTACTGCTAGAGATATCAACACTTCAATTTACTGTAGTTAGACTCACAGTTATCACCCAGGATTAAGTCTGGACGAGGATGATTTGAAGACTCTTCTGAAAATGAACTCTTCAAAAAGCCACCGGGATAATTTCAGAAATAATGATAAAATTACCGCTTTAGATAAAGAATTTTCATCCCACCAAAGATTTTGCGAGTTTCAAGTTTATAGCAAGTCGAAAAACTTTCCAACCCGCTGGTAGTGAGTGAACTGGAGCGTTGAAAATAAATTCTATGGATCTCACTATTTTGGATCGTGTTCTGATTAAATTAAGCGTTTTGAAAATGTAAAGCGAAATGTTTATATTGCTAAAGCGTGCGGCTGAGAGCCTAGGCCTAGCTAGGTTAGGTGAGCATTGCATCAGAAATAATGGTCGAGCTGCGGCGCTGTCAGCACGGCATTCTGCCGGTGGTGGTTTGTGCTTGTCAAGGCGTTCTCGCCGACGACGAGAATCGATTTCGAGAGGGGCAGAAACCTATGAGCACGGCGATGACACCGAAAACATCAAAAATTTAGAACGCTCGAGCTTGAGCTCGGCGCTAGCCCTATCAAACTATTCACCCATGGCGCCAAGAGCTAGCAGCATGAGAAAATATAATTTTGAGAATCAGAGATCAACACAGTTGTCAATGAACAGGTACCTTCTCGAGAGCTGTTTTGTTCTGAAAATTTTTATACGATGTCGTTCTTCTATAACATGATTAACGCGAAAACTTCACTGTTATGGTGGCGAATTTCCATGAGGGCTCGCTCTTATAGACGTTAAAACCATGGAAATGATACAGATTGTCAGGATAAGCCTTCAGCCTAACGATATTCGATGACGAACAATATTTTGCTCGTCATTGCTTCATACTTACAACCTCTGTGGAATTTCTCCAATGCACTCGCAAGTTCGAGTAGCAAATTTTTCTGGCAAAGGAAAAAGGACGGATGAGCATATTCAAGCTTTTCTATCAAATTGAGATTGATTTTATTGATGAGCTTAATATAAATTCCGTGTTGAAGTGGACAGAGTGCTCGAACATCGAGCAGCAAGGCATTTTTGTCAAGTTGATCATGTTCAGATTGTTCAGTGATGCAGCCTCCAGATCGCTATCGCGCCGCTACTCTGATCCAAGCTGCTTTTCGTGGATATCGAACACGCAAAAGAAATGCTAATTTGGACTTAGTAAGTAGACAAAAAGACGTTAATGCTCAGAAAGAGTCGTTTTCTGATTAGGAATCGAAATGCGCTCTCGCGCAAAATTGAGCATTTCAAGATGAGCAAATTTGAAAATTGTAATTTAGGAGTTCGCTGCGCTTGTTGCCGAGATTGAGCCCGAGAAGGTCTGTTGGGATCGCGACTTAATTAACGTCGGCAAAGTCGAACCCGTCAAGGGCTCCTACGAAATCGATAGCGAGTGTGCATGAGAGAGATAGCTAGTTTCGTTTCGAACTCTCAATATATATGTACCCGTTCTTTTTCGATCTTGATATCGACCTTGCCTGGCATGGCGGCCATTTGCCCTCTAAGAGGCTTTGGATCAGCTCGCCGAGCTCAAATACCATTTGTCGCATTTTGGGACGGTTGCGTTGCGAATCCGACTTGAGCTGTTGCGATTTTGGGATGTCGAAGCGCTGAGCAGACGAAACTATCAACAGATTGCCTCGAAAGGAGAAACAGTTCAGACTTACTCTCGAACGAAGAATGAAGGTTGGGAGAAACAATCATTGTTAACTTGAGTATAATCATAGAAAATCAAGCTGTCTCGTCGAATATCGAATTAATCGCGACTGAGGAGGAAAAAGAACTGCCCAACAACCAAGAGTCACGAGATGTACAATCATACTCTTATATTAACTCTTATATAATGGATTTTCAGCAGGAGGATCACGGAAATCTTTGTGTTACGAAAGAGCAGCTTGATTCAAAACGACTGGAACTTCTTAACGACCTCTGGTGGCTTCAGCATTCAATCATTTCTCGCCGACAAAATCTGTCCCAGCGAACAAACAAAACCAATGAACCTCAAAACTAACAGGAACGGATGTCATACAAATAAAAACCATTGATTGTGAATTAGAATGGGTCGGATTTTGGCAGTCGGGGAATATTTGGATAGGTTTGCGGAGCTGGAAGACGATTTTGACGAGGAAAAAGAAACCGGTGATTCTAACCCCCTCTTCTTTTGAGCGCCTGGCATTAATTTTTAATTTTGAATAATTGGCGACCTTCAGTGGATCTTGGCGAGGGCAGTGAGGTCCTTTCAAGCCTCAATGACCTTGTTATAATTGACGCAGATAAGAATGGTTCGCGACCTTCCATTTTCGCTTTGCTTTGAAAATTAAATTTAGATGTTCGAATTATCAGCAACAATGTCCAAGGCGTCCAGTCTTTCTTCCAAGAGTCGAAAGGTTTTGTTTTCTTTTTAACTAAGCTTCAATAATGAGCTCGCTTAGCTTCCCATTTCCAATCGCTCGTGCCCAACGGTCCCGATGATATATTAATAATGCACGATATGAAGTATTGGAGCATGAGGTAAATCCATCGCTACGATATATGCGCGGCTAGCGTATCAATCTTTTAGAGAGATTAAAAGGGAGTGGTTTCGCGCGTCGCTTTAATTTTAATTCGAGCCTATTCCAAGCAACCGAACACAAGAATACCCGAACACGAAGTTGGACAAAATGCAAAAATAAGGGCTGGCTTCGAGCACTGGGCAAGGCTGGAGGAAAATGGGGATTTGATAGTTGGGGGGGACTGTTTTCATGGTCAAAGAGGCCATGCACACTCGTCCATCGAGGTTTGAGAAATGCTTCAGGCATCGAGATTGTCAACAGGATATTGATGGTTGAATCAGAACGGCTTGTCGTCAATCGGGAGCCAGGCTTCGTAGTCTCAGTAAATAAAAAATGCCCGTAGGAAAATGGCAACGATGCTGTTGTAAGGCAAAATGTGAAAAAGATGGCAGTGCTAGGATGGGCAACCGTATTCATAACCCAGTCGAAAAAACTTGAAGTCCTAGGTTTAATTTCATGTCATAAGCTCATTTCCTTCCCTTCTTTACCGATTTATAAATTATAAATAAGGGTACTTAAAACATGACATCCGGCTTGAAGAACTACAATCTTTGATTGACTCGTCTTCGCTTTCGAACATCCACCTCGCCGCTGGAACACATCACATTGCCGCCACTGATGGCAAACGCTGCGTCATTTCAACCCCGAAAGGAGTCAAAACCTTTACGTTCGAGGCCATCTCAGCTCTCACTGCATCATTCCGCGAGACTTTTATTTTCTTTCGTTCTTAGCTTGTTAGGCTTTAATATTTGATCAGATTGCAAAGTGAGCCTTTCAGTCTTGTGACGTTCGCGTTAAGAATGAGTAGTCCGAGGCCGCAGAAGAAAACTCAGAATAAGAAATTGGAGGTGAACGAGGAGATAGGCAGGCAACGACTCGCACAGAAGCTTACTGTAATCGATAGGCCCAAGCCGAAAATCTACCCAGTCGCGCAGAGTTCGATTTTGAGTAGAGTGCGGACCTTTATGCCAGCAATGCAGAAAGCACAAGAAGATTTATACAAGAAGATGAAGGCAGAGGTGAGCTGCAAAGCTTTGAATAACTTGAGAGACTTGTCACAATTCTCAGAACAAACATGCCAGATAAGCATTTTTTCAAGGGTGACGAAAGTGTAAATTTGGAAAATACAGAAAACGACGAGCGAGTGGTAGAGTTTAATTGTGGAATCGTACCTTCGGAACTCATTGCAGACTCATCCGATTCCGATAGCGACACCGACTCAGATGAAGAGATGGATCCAGAAGAATTGAGACTTATTCATCTGATTAACAATAAGGTAACCCCGATCATTCTCTTAGATAGGTATCAGATGACGGATTTTGATATTAAATTCTTCATATTTACAATTTTTGTACTCGAAATTATGATGTAACCAATTTGAAAGCCACATTCTGAGCCCGAGCGCCAGTCTATAGCGCCAAAAGCTCACCATTCATTTCAAGATGGGCCATCGAAACGAGGCAAGCAGTGAGGCAAGCTCGGGAAGCACAGGAAACGGAAACAAAATTGAGATGCTCAAAGACAATCAAATGATGGAGGAATAGTTTTTCGTTGACCAAAATTCTTCCTGACGCCTTTTCTCTTGTGCCTTCTCTTCTATTCCACGCCGCTTAGAAGCAAAAAGAAACTGATGAAAATAACGGTGATGACTTCTAATAACGATCATCTTTAAGAATGTCAGTTGTTATACCAGAGATTGTAATCAGAGACTTGTCGAAATACGAAGAAAGTGAATTCGAGGGTAGCCCACGATGGAGCATTATTCGAAACAATGCTGGTCTACAGTTGCAAATGTTTTGGGTAAGAACTATATTTTTCTTCATCTTGATTGATTGAGATCTATTAGCAAGCGAAATCTGACGATGAAGAAATCAAGGAAGAGAATGGAAATGTTGTCGACTACCCGATTCCTCGAAAAAACAAGAGAAAAAGGAACCCGATCAAAATTGAAAAGACTTCAGAGGATGAACGGTACTTTTACTGATTGTTGGATTGTCTCTAATTGTATTTAAGAGCTGACGGATCTGCCAGAACATCTTTAGAAGACAGTGAAACATCCAGGTACCGAAAGTCTAAAAAGACATCTTCAATTTGAATTTTTTAGCGAGATGGTAGAAGTCGACACTGCGTTGCGACCGGAACATCTGAGCCAGCTTCACGCATACCTTGCTAACTCAATATCAAACTCTTTATCATCAAGTACTTCATCTTCTTCGTCACTGCCAGCTCTTCCCAGCACGCGTGGATTGGAGGGACTTATCAATCTCAGAGGCGTTTCTCTACCTGATGGTAAAAACACTCTTTTGAAATCAAGGAGGAGAACGGATTTTTAGATACTGCAGTTAATGCGAATCCACCTCGCCCGAATAAACGCAGAAGCCCAGCTCCTCGATTTTATCCACTGACAGACCCTGTTGTCAAATTTCTTCAAGAAACTCTCGTTGAAGATACTCAAGGGCGCGTGGCTTGCTCTGATCTCAGGTATGCATAAAATGAATGAAACTAGAATGACGACGTTTTTTGCAGTGACTTATCCGCCCAGAAGTTTGGCAATGCAATCAACATGGTCTCAATGGGTATGAAACTGCGGTTTCTCTACCCTAATGTGACACGAGTCAAAATCAACAATCGAGCATTTTATACCAACGTCAAAGTCCGTGCTGGAGTTTCCTAACTTTCGACTCCTTACTTATGATTCATAAGTATGTCTTCACACAGCTTTGGTGCAGAAGCTACCCGTCCCCATTTATCCGAATACGATTTATACAAAATGCGAATAGCAAAGTTCATTCACCCTATTAATAATATTCACCTTGTTAGACGTTCACCTTAATCTGCTAAAGCATTATTCTGTATAATCCTCATGTAGGATATTCACCCTAAAGATGCTCTCTCACTATTCTTCACACTGTCAAAAATTGTTTGTCAAAGAAATGTTCTTAAAACTTTGTGTCTTTATTGGCTCCAGAAAACTAAAATAAATCGACTTCAAGCGTCACCTATTTATCGGAAACCTATCCATCAGATTAGCGATCATATCTCGGTTCATAGATTTTTTGAATAGATTCTTAGACCAGATCATGATCTCAATATATCATATTTGGGTGACGTAGAAAATGGAACGCATAAAGATAAAAGATATGCGTATTGGTGCTAATTGCCTAGCAGTACTTCCCCTTCAGTGTTAAATAGCATTTCTTATAGTTGCCAAAAACCTACAACAGGTTACTTTTCTTTAACGGAACACTGTATTGTCGCTTAAATACTTATTCTTTCATGATTTTACGCACTATTTTCTAATATATTTACCTGGTATAGGCGCTTTCGTTGGTTGTTTAGCCTCGTATTTTTTGGAGTATGTTGGCTTTTTATTTGCTTAGAAGAGGAAAGCTGCTCTCTTATAGCCAATATTTATTGGGTTTTCCCATAATTCCAGCACGGAATTCGGAGATGCGCCTATTCCAGATAAAAATTTAATACTATTTTTAACTCTCTATAGTTTCACATTGATCTTCTTATCTTCTTTAACTTCTCTGGATCCCATATTGTAGCGGGTTTCAGTGTTTTTATCGTTACATACTTCTTGAAAGTTCACATAAAAAACTTCAAAAGAAAAACTCTGTGCTAATACTATCCCTGGTGCTTTTTCGACCACAGAAAGCTTCTCTTCTATGATTTCAAAACTTTCAGCATGGACGAGGCAGCGAAACGCGTCAACACTGTCCTCGATGAATATCAGAAGAAACGAGAGGACTTTGCCCTCGACGCCGCGATCAAGATCGGTGGCGGAGCAACTATCGGATTGACTTTTGGTATTTTGACCAAGAGACTCATCAAGATCCGACGTTCCGTTGTTGCTGGCAGCTTCATCGGACTTGGAATGGCGGTTGAGCGATATTCTCAACAACTTAGGTAGGAATCTTTGAAATCTGCTTGACATCGAAGGATCTTCATCTTCAAAACTTTTCTAGCGCTCCTTACGTTCTCCCTCCAACCTGTGATGTCACCCCTGCCGCTCGATTCTTCCCTGACAAGTTCGAATGCAGCCAGGCTAACAAACTCTGCGCTCTTCTTGGACTCGGTTCATCTGTTGTTGACGAAGTAAAGGTCAGTTCAAGAGAGTTTTCAGGACTGATGCTCACGAGTTATCCTCTTGCGACATTATTTTTCATTGCCTTGAGTCACAATACGAGGCCTTGGGATATTTTCAAACTCCGCGCGAAATTGAACCAGTCTCAGAGTTGAATAAATACAAAAAATAAAGACAGAGAATCAAAAGATGGGAAACTTCTGGGCTAAATCTGAACCCGTTGTTAAGGCTGAAGCTAACGAAGTCGCAAAAGAAGTCGATCAGGTTGCCGAAACCGTCGACACCGAAGCCAAGGTCGTCGAAGCCGTCGCCGAGGAAGTCGAAGCTGTCGCTGAAAAGGCTGAAGCTCTGCCCGTGGTTGAGCCTGTCGCTGAGAAGATCGAAGAAGCTGCCGAAAAGGTCGAAGAAGTTGCCCAGGAGGTGGAAGCTGTCGCTGAGAAGGTTGAGGAAGTCGCTCAAGAGGTTGAAAAAGAGTAGGGATAAGAAATGATTCAGACTAACAGTAAGAATTTCTTATGCAAATTTTATCATTCAAAATTCAACTTCAAGCACTAAAAAAACTACAAACTAAGCACGAACTCACGAGAACTCCACTTTTGTGACCTCGTATCGGCGGTACAAGATCATTAAAAGCTTCAATTTTATGCTGACTTTCAGGCTAAAACTTGAAAACAACCACTTATCACATAAACCAATCATTAACCATCCGTAACAATAAAATGATCCAAATCATACTTATCCCACTGCAAGCGACTGAGTAATAAAACCACTAGAAGAATTACTAGAATCAAGATAAAACCATCACCAAAACATCCTTCACTCCTCCTTCATCCCTCTTCTTTCGAGCGTCCATGATGGACAAGGACCATCCATATTCGAATTTCGAACCATGCATATTTATTTATTTCAGTAAAAAAGTTCAAGTTTTGCTTTTACTGATAGTTCTATCCTGCTGAATTCCTGCAAGAGTTACTTAAAATTACGAAAAATACAATAATAAAAAGCAACATAATAAAACGCTTGTTTTTCAAAGTATATAAATTGAAATTTTCGAATTCTATATTTTGAAAGGAGGATTTTAAAAGACTTCAATTGACACTTGTTGATTGCTCAGCAAAGTAATAAATAGGAAGAATGTGCAGTCTTCTTACAAGTTCTTAATGACAGCCTTGGTGAACTGTTCAGTGGTAGCGTAGCCGCCCATATCGAGTGTTCGGGTCTTCTTCAGCTAAAATGATGGGTTATTTTCAATTCTAGCAGGTATTAATAAAATGTCTTGTAAATGGAGTGAGTAAACTGTACTCTTTGAGTAAAAATGAAATAAATTCATACCGATTTTTGTTGCTAAAATAATCAAAAATAAAGAAGAACTGCAGGTAGAAAGAGAAACTTACCTTGATGGTTTTGTTGACAGCATTTCGGATTCTTGAGCCGTACATGGAGAGGGACATATGGTCAAGCATGTTGGCGGAGGCAAGGAGAACAGCGGTAGGGTTGGCGATGTTCTTGAAGGCGGCGGCTCCAAAAGTGTGTCGAGCTCCGGATTCGAAGATGCAGTTCTGGGTCGAGTAGCATTCAGCTGGAATAATTATTGATGAGGGGTTTCTATAATGGTTCGCTTACCTGGAACAACACCAGCGCCACCAACGAGACCGGCAGCAAGGTTGTCAACGATGGCGCCGTACAAGTTAGGCATGACCATAACATCGAACTGGTGAGGGTTGGACACGAGCTGCATGCAGGTGTTGTCAACGATCATGTCCTGGGACTCGATCATTGGGTACTGCTTGGCGACTTCTCGAAATCGTCGGAGGAAGAGACCGTCACCTTTCTTCATGATGTTGGCCTTGTGGACGCAGGTGACCTTCTTTCGGCCGTGTCGGAGAGCGTAGTCGAAGGCGAACTAATTTGGTTTGATGGCGGTTGACTTTTCACAGTTTTACCTTGTGGATTCGGTCCGAGTTCTGTTCAGTGGTGATCTTGAGGGCCTCGACAACTCCCTGAATTGGCTCGTGCTCGAGGCACTTGTACTCTCCCTCGCTCTGTTCTCGGATGGCGACGATGTCAACATTGGAGAACTTCGACTGGAGACCTTCGATGGACTTGATCTTGGCGACAGCGCCGAAAACACCGAGATCGTTTCGGAGCTGGAATGACATGGACTGCTGAAGACCAGCGGCTTGAGCGTTTTCGAGTGCTCCCATCAAGCAGACACCATTCTTGGAAATGGAAGCGATCGCTTCTTCGTAAGCGCCTTCTTTAGTATTCACACCAGTGAGGCCGACTTCTTCGAATTGAACTGGAACAGTGGCGCTCTTGAAGACATCCTAAAAACGGAATAGAAACGTTGATTGGGAAAAAAGAAAGAACCTTGACGGAAGCCATCAATTCAGGACCGACTCCATCACCAGGGATGAGAGAGACAGTCTTGACAGCAGCCGACCTCGTGTTGGCAATGCTGACCAAACCTCGACGAAGCATTTTCTGAACGAGGAATTTTCTGCATTTTAATAGAAAAAATGATGTTTTTCTTTTGTAAACGAATATTAAGAGAAAAGCGATAAAAAGCAGTAAGGATAACTTTAAATAACTGTAACTGACATAGAAGGCGTGGGGAACAAGCAAAATAGGGAGTTTAATGCTCGGTTTTCATTTTTTCTTTGGTTTCATGTTTTAATCGGTGATGGCGCGCAACGTACAGGAAAAAGTGAATTGTTTCGTTTTCGTCAGGAACTGGTGAATTTCTAAAACACGCTAGAGATACTTGAGTGAAAATACAGTTTACCGAAAGTGTTGGTTAATCCCGTGGATGAACTCTGCTCGATTCTTTGAAGTGACTTGATCTTTTGAAAGATTCATCATTTATTAAAAAAAAAACAGAAAGTCTTACCTTCATAATTTGGATCTACAGAGCGTTTATATCTCTTCATCGTCGGCAGCGTCAGTTTGCCGAAATCAACAAGAAATTCGGAGTTTGCCTCTCGCTGACGCTTACTACGAGATTTTTTTGGCTTCGTTGTCTGTAAGAGAATGATAAAATAACGGCCTTTATTCTAGAGAGAAGATCTAATCATAAATTTCTTTGTCATTTTTTCCTGTTGTGGAGCATCTGAACCTGTTGTCATTATGATACTTCTTTCTCTTGATGATTCTGTCTCACGACTGTAAGGTTAATCTCCCTGTAAGCGTGATTGGCTACGCAGCTCGGCCGCGATTTCTAAACAAATTCAAGAGATGAAAGAAGGTTACTTTACTGATTCGAACACAAGATTTTAGAAATAATTTATTAGAACTGTGAAAATATGAATACATGGATAGATGCAGAAAAAAAAGGATTTAGGATGAGCTTGAGGAGACGATGATATTTTCAGCCTGTTTCACAAGCGGCATGTCTATCATTTTGCCACGGAAGACAAATGCTCCTGTTCCGCTCTTTTCGTGTTCGGCGAATTGCTCTAGAAGTTCTGTCGCCCACTGGATTTTTTCTTCGGAGGGGGAAAAGACTCGTTGGACGGTCTCGATGTTTGCTGGGTGAATGACTTGCTTGCCGGTAAATCCAAGATTTGCTCCTTGCCTCGAATTTTCTTCCAGACCTTGGAGATTCTTGAAGTCGATCCAGACCATGTCGATAGCTTGGATATTGAAAGCTTTCGCGTGAGCAACGAGTTTTTGTCGAGCGTACATTAGTTCTTCTCCATTTTGACTTCGATGAGCCCCTATAGAAGCGACGAAATCATCGGAGCCAAAGACTGTAGCTTCGTGTTTGATGTATTGGCTGTCGAGGATCGCTTGGAATGAATCCTTCATGTTGAGGAGTCCTTGCGCTGTTTCGATAAACGAAACTAACGGAACAGGAGCTTTGAGTTTCCATCGACATCTGCCAAGTGCCAGCGAATACGTTTCCACAAATTCCCTGACTTCTTCAGGTGAGTCGACTTTGGGAAGCAAGAGACAGCTTGGCGCCGACTTTAGCTCGCGAAGAATGCGCAAATCCTCGGTTAATAAACCCGATGATACGGAATTGACCCGGATACCAAACTGAATGTTGGGCATATCAGAGCGAAGTCCTTCGTATGTTTTGGCAATGTTTTCCCTAGCTTGGGCTTTTGCTGATAGAGCGACACCATCTTCAAGATCTTTGGAAGAAAAGTGAGCTAACTTGAATTTTGCGTTTCCTTACCGAGGGCGACAAAATCTGGGACGCCAGCCCCAGATAATTTTCGCAGCTTTTCAATCTTGCGCATGTCACTTCCTGGGGTGTAAAAGAGCGCTCGACGGGGCCAAACTCGACGAGCAACAACCGACATTTTTAGAAAATCTTGAATTTTGTTTGAAATCAGAGACGGTATTAATTGTTTCCAGTACGATTGCACAATCCAGAAAAGGGGAAAGGTAGGTAGTAGCGAGAGAGAAAGAGTTAGGGACCCAAAATTAGGGTAAAAAGCTTGCTCTTGAACAGTAAAGAGAGAGGAAATTATGAAATGATTTCTAACAGTAATTGTAGCTAAAGAACGCAAGTAGTCTCTGTATGCATTTTTGAATAATAAATGAATGATACTATTAGAGGAACACTTGGCAGACTCGAACGTAATGAGTTCCTAAAATGAAAAACAGAAAATGCCCAGCTCTATTTCACTATATAGAGCTGATTATAAAAAGGATTCGGTTAAAAAGAATATCCTAGATTTTAATAGCACAAAGCTTGTTTACTTGTCCTTCTTTTTGTCACCATCATCATCTTCATCGTCGTCTTCTTCTTCCTCCTCTTCTTCGTCATATGCGAACAGGGCACTCAGCTCGCCAGAGACAAGGGCAACTACAAAGGGGGCGCCAAGACAGGCTGGAACTAGATAGAGCAGGGCAGGCTATAAAAGGAAAGAAGTACTTCGAAAGAAAGATAATTCTAGCGCTACCTGTGCGTGTTTCCACACATGCATAACGTAGATAGTTGCGACCAAGCCAATAATGTAGGCGATAAAAGTAGTCAGGAAGTATTTTCTGCTGCCGGCTTTGATCTGAATCGACAGTAATAAAGAGTTGAGGAGAGAAGGAGACTTACGTTATCATCAAGTCGGAGCATAAGAGCGATCAGAATACCGGGAATGACGATGTCACCAAGACCAAGCATAGACAAACGAGAGGAGCTGTCGAAAACGTCTTGAGGGAAGACAAGTTTGATGGGGGCATCGAATTTCTAAAAGAAAACCTCTGAATATGATTGCTGTCGAACCCGGTCGGCCTATTTATAGAGAGAGCGGGGAAATTACTGATTGGAAACTTTCAACTTGCAGGATTAGAACCTAGAACCTTGGTACTTTTCCAGCGGCATTTTGCAGCTTTCATCAGTAATTTTAAACAACAGGGAGTGTGTTGCACAATGACGTACCTTTGCGACAGTGACCATTACGTCAGTACCGAAGACCCAGAAGACGTCGTAGAAGAAGAGACCGCCGAGAAGCATGCAGCCAGTCTTGTAGTTGGGCAGTGAGAGAAGCTGGACACCCTGAACGAAGAGTAATTTGTATTCGTCATTTCTCCTGAGAGCATTTCTTTGGAAACCCTTGGAGAGGGTTTCCTTTTTTGGATTGTCAGACAAGTGTCTATTTTTACTTATAATGCGATCTATATTTACCTGGATTGCGAAACAGAGACCAATGATGTTATTTGCCAGCCAGTGCTTATTGAAAAGGTAGCACGACGCAACAGCGGCTGCAAAAGCGAGAACAACGAGACCTAGAAAATATTGTAGCAAGGAGGTTTGAATACGGGTTCTGTTACTTCGTCGATTGAAGTCAAGGTCGAGCTGAGACTTCTTGTTCTCAGTAAACACGATTTTGTACTCGGCATCTTCGCAGAGTCCAGGGAAGAGGAATTTTAATTTGGGAGCAATCATTGGCTCAAGAATGGTAGTGACAGCGGCGATTCCTTTTGAAAATGTTCAGAAGCATGAAATGAGAAAGATAATCCTACCGAGGAGGAAAAAGTAGCCAGTAACAACGTAGTACATCTTATCGGCAAAGTATTTGTAACAGACATAAATTGAGAAAAGGGTGATTGAAGCCATGATCGGGAACTTGGCAGCATCTTTTGAAGATATGACTTCGATTTCGTCTAAAACCGATTGAACCTTAAAACAACGAAATAAATCCTACCAAGATCTTTTCCTTCTTCCTTATCTTTGATACGCTTCTTTCTAGCTTCAAGAGCTCTGATCGATCCAAACCAGATTGGGATCAGCGCCATAACTATCCGCAAAAACATAAAACGTGAAGTATAAAGAAAGTAATCACCAGAAAGAGCAGCATAAGCGATCATAAGGGATTGAAATGGCACTGGGGTTGGCTCTGGAACTTCATCCTCGACAATCTCCTCGACAACTTGCTCTTCAACGTCCGCCATTCTAAATGAATAAATGTCTTTTCTCTGAATCCGATTATTCTAGTGGCTTGAACAAAAGCCTTAACTTATTTAATGTGAACGAAAATGTCTCGGACACTGTTTCAATAAAAACAATTATATGTCTTATTGTCTGTCAAACGATCTGCAATCTTCAAGAGCCTTCTCCAGCCATAGCTTTTGCTTTTGCCTCCTTTTTCTTGTTTCTTTTTCTTTGTTGAAAATACGAAGTTAATTTCTTCGGTGAAATATTTCATCAACAACAGTTCCTATAATGTCTTTTCATTGAAGGATCAAATCCTCTTTCTTCCGATCCATAAACTGCCCAAGATGGCGTCTCTATCGAATAATCAAGTCCCGTAAATTTAGTTCCATTTTCTTTCCACTCATCATATAATTGTTGAAATCTAAAAAGAACCAGTCTGTAATGTCCGGTAATGCCACGTGTCCTTACCTGTGATAATCGATCCATGTCTTCCAGCCAGTTTCTGTTTTATACTTGTGGTTCGAAATAAGCACACAATTTGAATGCTCATGTTCGCAGGAAATCGAATAATCCGGCAAATGAGAGCACATTTGCTCGCAAAACTCTACCACCTCTTCGTGCCACGGCACATTTTTCATACTAAAAATAGATAAATCGATAAAATATGAAAGCCATGTTTCGCCCTTACGTTAATTCAGCGTTATTTGATGTGCCACAGTAAGTGACCCCCTTGACTTCAATGAAATCCGGTTCTCCAAGTTTGACAAGCTCGGCATAATTGTCAGCATCGAAAAAGTTGAAGCCTCCCACAAGAGTCAGACGATAAACTGTCCTTCCGCAAATATCCTTTTGGGGAAAATCAAATCAACTTTTATAGTTCAATGAAATTCCTACCTTCATGTTATGGAGCGACTGTTGGAATCGCTCCCAAAAGTCCTTGTGGAGTGGTCTATCTATCGCCTTCAACTCTGCTTGTGTGGATGCATCGATCGATGTGTAAAACTGAGTCACGGGAGGCAATGTCTTTATTTCATCGGGAAACTGAATTATTTAAAGGTAACTATCAAGCTATCAGTGTATTCAAGAAAGCATTCAAACGGAGGGGGCTAAATATAAAAATAAAATTATATATATTAACCGCGTGGGACGAATTGTACATTCCAATGTAGTTTAAGACTTTGAAGAGCCCTAGTTCAAAAACTACTGATCGTATAGATCTGAAAATTGAAATGCGCCTTTGCACATCCTTAATCTTTCGCTCTTTAAAATTTCACCGAATTATCGCGCACCACCAGTGCTCTGCAGCGGATTAACTCTGACCTACTTCGCGCTGCGCTCCTTTTCTCACTCGTAATTCAGGTCTCAATTGGGATTTTTTATTTTTTTCAAAGTGAAAATATAGGTTTTCGATACTGGAGATTTCGAATTTTGAATAATATTTACAAAAATTCAATGCGAAATCAACTCAAACGGTCAAAACAAGAGCTACAAGTAATATGAGAATGAGGTTTGCAGACAGGAAAACGGAAATTTAAGTTGAAATTATGAAAGCCTGTATTCGATTTAGTATTGTCTGTAAATTTGGCGGGAATCGGATGAGCGAGTCGCGAGTTATTCAAGCTTTCGCTTAAACTACAATGGAATGTACAATTCGTCCCGCGCTCATACGCGCGGATTCGTCCCACGCGGTTAAGATCGTCATCAAATTAGACAACGATAAAGTTCATATCATTTTTAAGCTTTGAAGTAACCTATTCTCTGTCAATTGATCTTTTATGATGATGTTGAAAAGGCGTCTGAACATTACCTGTGCGTTCGTAACAAGGTAAGACGACAAGCCATGTGAGTGAAGATAGTCCAAGAATTCGGCGATTCTCGGGTACATAATTGGCTCACCAACTAGCGACAGCGCACAGTGAACGGGATTCATCGCTTCTACCATTTTCTCAGAAGTGACTCCTGGTACTCCTCTGAGTTGTTTGACCATTCCTCTGTGACCAGCGAGCATTCCATCGACCAGCATTTTCGGCTCGTCCGTCACCCATCGCCAGCTAGTTCCAACTGGGTTGGTATGATGCCGCCAGCAGAAGACGCATTTGTTGGCGCATGCGAGACTTGGCGTCGCTTCCATGCAACGATGTGACTCGATTCCGTAGAAGGAGTGTTTGTAGCAGCCTCCCCGACCCCGAAGTTGGGCTTTCGTCCATCTGCAAATTTTCACACCGGAATGGCTTCCAACGAGGTGGTAGCCCTGTTTCGACAGTGCACCACGAAGCTTATTTCGATTTGCGAAAATATATTAAAATTTGATAATGACGAGTTCTCTCTTTTCTATCGCATTCATATTCGAACTTTTTTTACTCAATTTAAATCGATTCCTTATCTGAGAGCATCTCTTTCGCCACGCGCGTTCTTCTAGGTCTCACTTGACTGCTCGTGGGCCTCACTACATTTGCTATATCTTCGAGATCCGGTACGTTTCCACTTTTGCAACTGTTTCCAGGAAGCTCCAAATCTTCATCGCTCTCCAGTGCCTCCTCATCAGAGCTCCCCGTTTCAACACCTTCGTCGACTGGCTCTTCGACGCAACCGTTTCCAATGGTTTCGTCAATGAGCTGACAAATGTCTTTGAAGTACGCATCTGGCTTTTCTTTTAAATTGTCGATTTCAAAGTGATTGGTTCGCAATCCGCCTAGCAGAGAAAACTGCCGGGCAATCGTACGAGCTGGCTCGCAGAAAACGTCGTCACCAAAGGTAGAATCCCCGAGGATAATTGGGATCATGCCCGCACACTTTTTCAGCTCACTTTGAAGAGTTTTACACGCGTTTATATATATTGCTTTTCTTAGCTTTCTTTTGTCTACCGTTCTTATGCACAAACGGTGAGATAAACCATATAAATCTAAAACTCTGCCTTTTCGAAAAACGCCAATCTGTAGCTGACTCACTAAAGAACGACTTCAAATTGTCCACAAACTCATCATCGGGATACGATGCGCAAATGAAGACAAAGAGCGTGTTTCTACCCTTATCACAGAAAATCTCTTCCACTTGCTGAATGCTCATTTCTTGCGCATCAATTTTCACCATTTCCAATCCTTGATTGAACGCTGAAAGGTATTCCTTTACTTCATCAGTGAGTTTTTCTGCTGCACCACTTCTGCTTGCGTACAAGAAGATAACTTTTTCAACGAGTTTTTCTTTGGGAGCTTTTCTCATCTTCCCCTTTCTGACAGTTTTCTTTGGAGCACTAGAACCGCCACAGCAGCTTCCAGTGCCGCAACCTCCAGATGATTCAGGAGCTTTTTCTGGCGTTTCATCTTGGCAGCAGGCTCCAGTGTTATCTGAACACGACAAAGGCTGCTCATCTTGGCAACATGGAGTAGCTGGACCGGGGAATAAAGCTTGTGATTCCAGACGACTAAAATCTTAGTCTTGAAAAAGCTTCTCCAAAGAGCAAAAATATCACCCAAGAATATAAACTTACTTTCTCCTTTCTCGTAAATATACTGTAATGAAATATACTGCCGCTCCGAAAGCGACTCCAATACCAAGATTGAAGATCGCCTTGTCGACTCCCTTGCCCATTCTGTATTCATAATTCAAGAAACATTGATTTTTCTGGCGTAAACGTTCGTTTTATTTGAACTAATGGAAATAATTGATTTCGTGTTTCGTATTCAGTTAAGGACCAATAATAATAAAAATAGTAATAAAATGGTAACAAGCAGCAGAAGCAATAATAATTAAAATTAGTAAGTTTTATTCATAAATTGAACCTTATGCGGAACTTTTTTAGTTTTTGTCAAAAAAGAAAAAGAGAGAATGAATTTTGAACAAAGTCTGAATCAGACTTAAAAACTTGAGAACTTGGTGAACTAAGCAGACTAAAACGGCTTTGAAGTATTTCATTTCTTTTCAATTGAAATTGGTTATTTTAAGTTTCTCGAGTGAGTGTAATCAGCCCGTGTCCATAAATAGGAGTAGGAAGGATGGCAATATTCGACCAAGTTGACGTCTTTGGATCGTACATTTCCACTGTTCGGTTTATGTATTCATTTCCATGCAAACCTCCTGAATATTCATTGAAAAGATGAATTAAAATTTAGAAAAAACCTGCAACGTATATTTTTCCTTTATAAATCGTCGCAGCTCCGTGCACATGCCCTCCATTTGTGTCTTTTAGTCGCGACCACTGGTTCAGTTGCCTTTAAAAAACATCAAGTCGTGACAATATATAAATCTACTGACGTATTGAAGGCATAAACGCGGCCAGCATGGCCGACTACATATATAATCCCAGCGTTGGATACTGCCGATGCTCCGCGCTCTGGCTCGGGCAAGTCCGGGCACGGGGTCCATTCTTCGCTCGACGGATCGAAGCTGAACACTTTTGATACTGGAACATCGCCCGTCGTAGCTCCTCCTGAAAGGGATATTAACTTTGGGACTTGATAGCATAATAAATTATTGTTATTAATAATTAACCGATGATGAAAAGTTTGCCATCACAGCCAACGAGACAAGAAGATGAGATTGGAATTGGCAGTGAAACAACATCTTCCCATTCATTCGCATCCGGGATCCATCGTTCAACCGAAGATAATCGGGTCTTATTATTAACCAGGCCTCCCGCAACATACTTAAGTATTGGTTAAATTTTGCTCTTCAGCCCTTTTCTTACCAAAAGTCCATCAACTTCCGCCGAGGCATGTAAGTAACGCGCCTGTTTCATCGGAGCCATTTGCTGCCAAAGATCAAGCGAGGGAATGAACGCATGGACTTCGTCACATGCGGAGTGTTGGCTTAATCCTCCGCTAGCGACGGCCAAGTTTTTGACCTTCGCGACGCAATACATAACGTGAGCTACATTTGGCGAAGAAAGCCGTTCTGGGCGAATGACAAAAGCGTCGCTATTGTTGTTAGAGGCAAGTGGGAGTTGTTTTGTGGGAGGACGGAAGACGAAGCAGTCGGAGATTTGCTGCTTGTCTCGATTTAGCCCGCCGATAAGAGCGATTACCTCCTATAGATTCATTGAAAAGAATATCGGGAGAATTTGATAAAAACCTTGCAATACGATCTTTTCGGTTTCTGACGCTTTTGAGTCCTCGTTGATTGCATCAGTGGCCGCTGATCAGCAAGCATGTGATAGCGAGTAGCTTCTTCAAGCAGCTGCTGGCATTCACTGAAAAATTAAATGAATAACGCAGGCATTAAAGGATATGCTGAGCGGGGATTTGGCGCGCCGCCAATATTTATCTCGGAAGCTTGGCAAAGTGGCGAGCTCTTACAGTAATCAGGTGGTCTATTCGCCTCTTTCTGCTGATTTTATGCCTTTGGCGCGGCGCCAGATCATCAGAACACTACGTGATTTAGCAGGTAATTTGTGAGGTGAGACTTTTTACAGTGAAACCCCTTTAAGTTCAAGGTTTAACCCTGAGTAAAACAACTTGAGCTATCGATAAAATAATTCCTAAATCCGTGATGCCAGCGAATGCGAAGAAGATCCTTTAAATTTTCAACGACTCACCTGCTTTGTTTAATAAGCGGCTCCTTTTGAACCACGTCCAGTAAAAACTGCGGCTTGGCAAGTGGCAATCTGACATGCTGCAGCAACCGGTAGAGAAGAGCGCCATCCACTCCGCGTTCTGGGTCGGCCTTTACCCATTTTATCGCGGCTTCGTAGACCTCTTCCTCGCTTTCAATACTGAGCAAATTACTGGAAATCAGATGCTCTACTTCTTTGACGGGCAGGGTTAGAAATTCCGGATCAGAGGTGATTTCGGTAAATCGTGAAAAGGCAAAAGCCCTTGCTTCGTCAAGAAGAACGGTGCTTGTTGCGCCACGGGAGCGCTTAAAAATGGTCACGTCTCTATCGTTATAAAACATTGTTGTTGAGTTTAAGCTTGCTAGTGGTCACATGCTCAGTTCAAATAGAACAATGGCTACTACCTTGAGCGTTTGCAGCACGATGGGTACGGTAAGTCTGAGCTTGAGAAAATTTTCAACAGCTTGCTGAGCTGATGCCAGCTCCAAACGCACCGCGGTCGAGAGTAATTCCTTTGCGCCTTCGGCCGTAATTGATAGCCTAGAAGTGTAAAGAAATCCAATTAGGTCGCGCACAGCTTGACCCGGGCAATCTGTCAAGTCCAGACTCTTAATTTCCGGGCTTTCTTCAATTCGTCGTCGGAAAAAGGAAGAACTGGCGGAGAGAATTGCCTTGTGAGCTGGAATACTCGAACCATCGGGAGTTCGTAAATCAATGTCGGAAAGAAGCTCTCCGCCTTCAAGACCAGAGAGGATTTTAGAAGCGTTGCCAGCTTCGTAATGGACGATTTTGGAGGGCAACTCGGGCTGGATTGCCTCTGGGCTGAGTCTATCACTACTTGAACTAGCGCCATCTCTAGAATGATAACATAAATTCAAGGCAATTAATAGCTGTTCGGCAATTCTGGGGTGGGGCAGATTGGTTGATTTCTAAATGTGGGGTTCTTTGGGGACATTTTAGCCAATCAGAACCTATTATTCTGAGCCAATCATCATTGATCTTGCCCAATAAAACCCCACCAAACCCACAACAAATGCCTACCCCAGGTTAAAAGATAAACTGCTTACGTAATTATTTCATTTTCGCATGTTTCCGATTTGATACAGCGCACCGGGCTTGCCATTTTTCTCTTTCTAGCCTCTGGCATTTTCATATCACAAATTTAGCCAGATCTCTCAAAAGCGCTTATCAAAGTTCTATTCCAACATGATCACGATCGGGGTCGAGTTGGCAATTGCTCTGTTGATTCCTCTGAACCAGGAGCTCTGAGAGAGAGCGGCTCGTGGGCAGGAGCGGCGCCTTTTCTGACTTGGCACTGGGCCAACTGCTGAGCCATCGTCCAACATTCAGAGTGCGACGGGCCAACTACCGCACGCTCCGCGCCAACCAAGACATCACCACTACCAGCTACCAACACCACACGCTCCCTTTTTTGCCGACGCCAGGAGAAAAAATAACGCGTGCAAAAACGAACGAACGAAAGAACGGACTACCACACAACGAGAGTGCGCTTTTCAAAAAAGGAAAAAATAGATAATAGCTGAATTCACTTTCAGTCAAGTTTTTTCAGAAGAAGGGAAGTGTCTTTAGGGAATTAAAAACTACAGTAAGTCTGTTAAGACAAAGATAGCTTACTTATTTCTAAAGTTTTAGACCTCGAATTGGAATTTTAGTAAACCAAGATCTGCAAACAAAAGAAAAAGAACAAATACTAGCATTTTAAAAATGCGATACAGCAGTTGCTTTGATATATTGGGCGCGGTTATATATGTACAGTAGAAAAATACTTGAAAATTGAAAAAGATTGGAGGTGAAAAAGGGTTGTATTTTTGACGGAACAATTCCGTTCATGGAACTATTGCTGGAGTTCTGTCTTTGTTCATGGTGAAGCAGTAGGCGAAGAAGATCGCGATCATAACAGTGATCAGCGCTTGGTAAAGCCATGCGGGCTGGCCGAATGCTTCAGGTCGATCAACATGAGCAGACTGAATTTTTAGATTGAGAAAAAATGATGGCATAATGAGCAAGACTTACAGGAATGGGGAGAGGTTGGTCAGAGTGGCTCAGAGCTTGGATGGGATCATAAATCCGCGTGCTGAACTTCAGAGTGGTCTCGGTTGGCTCGCTATTGGCATCTTCCCAAGTCAACTTAATTGAAAATTATTTGCTGCTCTGAAGAATGGGAACAAAGGTCAGCTACTAATTTGAAGTCGCTCGAGAGGTTGTTAATCGAGGGATAAATTCTTCCATTTTTACCTGAGCCGAGAACTTGTGTCCATCCATGTGATAGGTGCCCGGAAGGAGCGTAATGTAAAATTTGCAACTCGCTCCGGGCATGAGTGTGATGCCATTTGGTTTCACTGAAATTTGAAGTTTGAAACTTTAGAAGATGTTTTTCCTACCTAAGTAAGATTTAGGAGCAGTAGTGCGGATCTTGACGAATGCATCAGACTCCTTCGTGTTCGTAATGAGAATCGATGACTCCCTCGGTGTTGACGGCTTTCCATGGAATTCTATGAAGTGTGTTGGATGAAGCGACATTTCCAGTCTGAAAATTATTTCTTCACTCTCTCGACCCTTTTTAAAAAGGAAATTTGAGCGGTTCAGCTTGACGGTTTATTCTCTTCGTTTTCTTCTTTTTCTTCCTCTTCCTTTGACCCTTGATAATCATCTTGATCTTTGGCAGAAGCATTCGCCCTCGATGGTAGCACAGATAACAGTGCCTCAGTCCAACTTTTGCCATTTCGAAAAGCGAGAAGGATTTCGAAGACGTGGACGATCGTCAAAACTGTTCTTTTTGAAAACTTTAAAAAATCAGGATGAAGAGGTTTCAATTCAACAAAGATGACTTACGTTGATGTTTTCTGTTATCGGCAATCGCTTTTGCACAATCCCAAGTTTCTTTGCTCGCTCAGCACAGACTCCTGGCAGTCGGTTTCGGTCGACAACACCGCCGATAATGTACATCGTTCCTGGTTCGATAGTTTCTAGCGTTTCTTCTGCCTCTGCTGTAAGATAAACACCTAAAATTCATAAGTCAAGAGGATAATGGTGGGAATAACTTACAGTTACTCATGTAATCTTCCACCTTTTTCGTTGGATCTTTGTGAACATCCCAGTTTTTCCAACCATTGGATCCATTTTCTCCTCCTGCGTGAGCATCCAAAAGCTTGCCAAGCTTTCCTGAAGTACTCTCAAAAGCTTCGTCGAATCCTAACAAGTGGAATTGCACCTTCTTTTCCGCTCGCCGATACTTTTGGTAGCAAAAACGCGTCTGCTTTGCTGAAGAAAATCGCCTTATCGCAAAACTGATAAAAATACAAAACAAAATGGTACTTACCGAGATCTAGAAGCTCGTGGTCTGTCATCTCTGCCTCTGTCGCGTAATCGATTCCGAGGTGGAAATTTTCATTGAAATTTTCCAGCGTCGTAATTTTGGGACCGCGAATCTTCGATGACTTTATTTGGCCGTTTTTACGCTTTTCTCTTCGTGCTTTAGCGCGCTCTGGTTGCTTCTCGAGCTAAATAAAAATCATGATTTCCGAGCAAAGAGGACGAAAATTCATGCTTACCCATATTTGCCTCTTCAGAATCTTCTTTCGCTGATTTTTGGACAGTTTTTCCACCGTCAAAAGCCTGTCAATCTCCTGCTTGCTCAACGTCAGTAAATTCAGAGCATTTCCAGGGGTGATTTCACCGGTTTTTTCTTCGATTTTCTTTACGAATTCGATTTCATCCTCTGCTCTGCTCAATTTTTGTTTTTCACCCTCTTGCATTCTAGAGATTATCCTGCATGAAAAAAAATGATTGAGAATATAAATATGATATTTATTACTATTATTGCACGTGTACAGAAAAATAGACCTCGTTGGATCGAGCTTTGAGCCGTCAAGAGTCAAAGACCGTTTCAAAAAGCGCCCAAAATGAAGGAAGGAGATACAGAAAATTCGAGAAGATTAGAAATAAATGAATGCTGAACTGAATTCTGTAGATGATTCAAAAGAAAGCGGCTTTATTCACTCTTTGCCCATGAAAAAACCACCGAATTTGGAAAAGACTTGCGTAGTGATTCCCTCCTCGACTTTGATAGCACGCTGTTTTTGGCTGGAGGTCTTTTTTGAAAGATTTCTCATGGTCGGCTTAATTTTTATTTGAGATTGAGAATTGTGATGAGTAGGTACCTTGGGGAGGGATGGAACTGGAAGGGATGAAAATCGAGTCGTCACTTGCGTTACTTTGAGGATGTTGTGCTGTTCGGATGCGGTGGACGTGGCAGAGTTTCTCATATTGCCGCTCATTCCAACCAAGCCGCCGTGGATGACAGACGACTGAAATCAAAGATGAGTACGTTTTCTAAAACATCCTAATTTTACCTTTACAAGAGCCTTGGCAGCGTTCTTCGTGATATTTGGTGCTAATACAGCAAGATCAAATGGATCGATCTGAATATATAATGAATTTCGCTTGTTCAAATATTTTTGATTTACCAATTGCTCGAGAGTATTTTGCAACTCTTGAATTTCAGCATCGATGATCGAATCTGTCGCTGCAGAAAGGTATCTGGAGTCGAAAAGAAGTTGAAGAGCGACAGGCTGATTCACGGAGAACCCTTTGGCTGTCCATTGATTGACAATTTTAGCCATCGCGATCGCTAATTTTTGAGAGGTGAGCTTGACAAGCTGACGATGCTGAGATTTTCGAAGCGAGTGCATTCCGTTTTTCATTATTTGATTGGACTGATAGTGAAGAGCGCACATCAGAGGATAGCTACAGATCATTTTAGTCGATCAAAATAACTGCTGAAAAGTACCTGAGATACTGTGGGACTTCTATCTTTGATTCAACGCTAGATCCACTCTCATTCTCTTCTGAAACAACTTGAGTCGCCAAAGAGGGCAACAAACGCAACAGTAAATTGTCAGGTTCTTCTGGAAACTGCTCGTGATAGACTTGAGCAGTTTGGTCAGCAACCGATTCCATCCATTTCAAGATCCCCTCGTCTCCAGTGACAATCAAATTTTCTTTGACTGTCGGCCACGCTTCCGCCAAACTAGCCGGAAGCGGCGAGCAGAGCTCAGTAAGAGTGTAGCACGAGCGGGCGATGAAAACGGCTAACGCGGGCGAAGAAGACACAATCAACTCCTTCGCGAAAGAATTGTAAGACTCGACAAAATCCTCACAGTACTTCTTGAGCACGTATCTGTCGTTTGTGAATTGGCGCGCGTCTTCGGACAGACGATCAAACTCTTGAGCGCAGTTCTTAACCAGTCCCGCAACGAAGGGATCAAACGATTTCGCTCGCAAAGAAACGTTCTTTTTGGCCCATTCGGAGTCCTTCAAATCATCCTGGTTGTTTTCATCGTTCCAGATGAATTCTTCGATTCCACCTTCAAATTTTTGAACATCGCCTGACAGAATTTCCTTGATACTTTGCTGCAAATTCTGCTGAATTTCCTTGACTCCGTTTTCGATGATGCTCTCAAGACGCTTGACAAAAACACTTGTCAGAGTTCCAAATAGGACCTTTTGAATTTGATCATCTGATTCAAAAACTCTCGCTACGATGTTTCCCCAGTCCGAAGCAAAAGCATCTTTAGCGTTGAGCGAAATCGAGTTATTGATGCTATCGCGGTAGACAGCTAGAGTTTGAGCGCTAGAAACTCGGTCGAGAAGAACTGGAAGCTGCTCTGATAGTCGCTCGGTGATCGAGTTTATCAGAGTGTTTGCTGCGGCGCTGAGCTTGTCAGAAGTTGGGATTCGATACTTGTTGTCCATCGGTGTTTCCGTCATTTTGTAGACTTCTTGAGGGAGGAAACGAGGCCAGAGCTCGGCTTTTGCGCCGATTAATTCCGAAAATGTTGTTTGCTGAGAGAGGAACAGCGGTGAATTGGACCCGTGAAGAAATAGCGTGTCATAAAGCTTGATCGAGTTATGAATGTTTCTCCCCAAGCTCTCAAGCTCATCAGAATCAACATGAGCGCCTTTTAGAAGCTGTGAGAGTCCGTTGACGCGACAGTTGACGAACTCGGAAAGAAAATCAAATTCTTGCTTCTCATTTTTCATGAAGGAAATGGTCAAGAGAGCTGTAGCGGCTTCATCGGGCGATAAATCAGCAGCTTTTAGGGACCCCTTCGCCGCGGCGATGATATTTGTTCGGAGATCTTCGAGTTTTGCGAGTTTTGACTTGAGAATAGGGACCATGACGAGAATCCCACTCGCGCCAGATTCTTGGATCAAGGATTGTTTGACTTTGGAGCCGATTATAAAGCACTGCCCAGCAAGAAGAACATTGTTCTCTTCCAAGAGCTGAGTGATTCTTTCTGGTAAAGAGGTAAGAAATCGGATTGTAGCCGCTGTAGCTCTGTAGCGAATATCAACATTCGCCTCGCTCTGCTTCTTCGAGACATCTGCCGCTTTTGCTTTCTTCTGCAGCTCCCGAAGATTGGCGATAGAGTCCTTTATCGAGCGAGAATGATGCTTCATCATTGTTATTGTATCAGCAGCTTCGATGAGATCGCGATATCTTTCACCGACCATTTGGCGGAGGTCTTCCTTCTTCCGTTCAATATCATTTCGGAGTTTCTTCTCAATCTGTCCGATTTCTTCGACGGTCTTTCCGGTAAACAAGTCATTAGGATTATTTGGCGCCGCTTCGACCATCTTTTGACCGTCTGAAATGATCGATTCTTGATTTCAGTAGATACGAATATAGTCATGCATGTATACAAATGGTAGCAGAAACGCAAACGTAAGAGAAGATAAAAAATATTTCCTGTTGGCGAAACTGAAACTATCTTGAACCTGGGGAATTCTCACATAATACTAATAAAAACTTGCAAATATAAACTTTTTGAGCTTTTTACATCTTGATATTGAATTCAGAGAAGGATGGGATGTGGTAAGCAGTACGGCTAAAAATTGATTAGGGTTAATAAAGCGGGGGTTTTTCACCTGGTTTGGGGGCGATTTTGATGCCTTTGTTGGTGAGGACGATTATGCTGATGCCGATGTTGGTGAAAATGAGGCTGGATAGTAGGTCTGGTGTAATCCATTGATGATGGGCGATCTCGACGCTGAACACGCGGCGATGCTCTTGGCGAATTTGGGCCGACAATAAATTGAAATTCAGGGAATTTTGGCTTCGTGCTGTTTTGCGTCGTGTTTCGGCGTTTTGCTCTTGGAGAAGCAGAAACTGGGGTCTGATGGACTGTCATTTCGATCACTGGTGGCTTCGGGGAGTTGACCACTCGGGCTGATTGTGTCCGCATCGGAGCATGTTCACTGGAGAACAAAATATTTGAAAGAAAAACTCGGATGATGATGGAATAGTCGAGAAGTGTTTTTTTTCATGCATCAGGCAAAATCACCCCACTCTCGTTTGTTAGTAAATGGTTACTTTTAGGGAAAATAAACAAATTGATATTTTTGACAAAGAAACAGTTCAAAAAGTCAAAGATAATTCCAGTTCCATGCCAAAGGTTCTAGGTCTAGGATTTGGGGTGACCGGAGGTGATCTGAAATGAGTCCCCGAAAATGAATCACCAAAAGTTGTGATCGAGGTTCGCGGATCACCTAAACGAGGTGATCGTAGCCGATCACCCGCCTGAAACTTTTGGTGATTTTGGTGATCGAGATCACCTCTGAATGGTGATCCAAACATTTTCGATCACCAAATTCGTGTGATTATGGTCAGGGTGGGGGCTGATATTTTGATGTCAAATCACTTTTTCGACCACTTTTTATTTGAAATTTAAAGAGATAATCTCCATTTCACTTTCTACTATCATGAAAAGGGCTCGCTCCGGGACCGACATACGCTTCAACGGTTGACGTTCAACCCCTTATCCGACTCAGTGATACTTTGCATTTAGTTACTTTATGAAATGAAATGAAAATGAAATGAACTTCTCAATACACGGGGTCGGTAAAACCGACCACGGTGACTTAGGCCCTCTTTTACTTCGAAGGTGGTAATCTATTTGACCTGATTTTTGCAATGTGCGAATTTTCGTGAAGTTTCTTAAGAAAGATGGCGCTTTGCACCAGATTTCTCTCGCGGTCTCTATCAAAAAATCGGAAGGTTTTTTCCTTGAGAATAACATGAATAGGTGAGTGTTTAAGCTTTCTAACAGTATTACCTCGACGGAAATATGAATAAGAGGACAATTATGAATAAAGGCTTTCTGATACTCGAAACGACTTTTTGTCGGAAGAAATAAAAAACTTGACGAAAAATGAATGAAAAAGTTAATTAAAGAACTTCATAAAGCGAAATTCGACAAAGGAGATCCGATCACCCGAATTTGGTGATCGAAGAACTCCCAGAAATTGATTTGGTGATCGGGACTCGATCACCTTTTTGAGGTGATCCGAGCAACCCGATCACATCTTTTGGTGATTCGTTTCTGGCGACTCATTTCAGATCACCTCCTGTCACCCCAGATCCTAGACCTAGCAAAGGTTTAGAATGAATAGTTTTTATTAAAGTTGGTTTCAAGCGCAGTGGTTGTTGTTTTTACCGACGATGGGTAACGGAACGACGAGAAGAATGATGGCCCGCATCTTGGATTGCTTGGAGTTGTTCGACGCCATTTACTTTTTTGGAAACGACTTTTCCGTTCTCGATTCTTTCAACAGTGGTTTGATTGCCGTCTTGAGTAGTTTTTGTGGTGACTTGTCTTCCGTTTATGTAAGTTGTCGACTGCGAGACGGATCGGAATCCTCCACCGCCGCCGCCGGAACTTGACATGGAGCTCATCATGTTCATGCCTCCCATGCCACCAAATGGTCCTCTAAAAGTTTCTGTTTAGAGAGAACGATAAATAGTGGCGCTTACCCGAAAGAAGACATAGTCATTGATTGATGACCCCCACCAAAAGGCGAACCAAAGGGATCACTAAAGAAAGGGTCGTTCGAAAAGCCTCCCATCATTCCTCCACCCATCATGCCGCCCTAAAATCGCTCGTATTTTTACCTCTAACAGGCTTGATCGACTTACGAAAGGATCAAAAGGATCACGTCTTGAAGATCCTCTGCTAGAGTTGCGTCTCGGTCCTCCATGCATACCGCCCATCATTTCGTCCATAATGTCGAATATCGAGCTGCTGCCAAAAAACTGTCGGAAAAGCTCGTTTGGATCGGTGAAATGGAAGCTTTCGTGGCGACTACCCCGTCTTGAGCTTCCACCGCCAGACTTCAGTCCATCCATTCCGTGCACATCGTAAATTTGTCGTTTTTTTGGATCGGAGAGGATTTCATATGCTTCGGCAATTTCTAAATAATCCCGGTAGTTATCCAGCAAAGTTCGACATTCGTACCTTTGAATTTCTTCTCTGCATGTTCTTTATTATCCACATTTTTGTCCGGATGCCATTTTAAAGCCGCTTTTCGATAAGCCTTCTTGATCTCATCTGGTGATGCATTCGAGCTGACTCCGAGGGTTTCATAGAGTCCCATTTTCTAATTTTTCTGAAGAAAAACGTCTCGAAAATACGAGAGATTGATTTTTTTTTCAAAATAAAGGAACTAGCTTGAGCGTTTCCAGCTGTCAGAAAATGGTAAATGGCAGAAAAATGATACGCTTGAACTCAGCAAATAAGAAATAAAAGAATTGCTAGTTCTGTGTTTGACTCTGAGTAAACTGGGACAGTGTACTCGCCGAGGAACCTGTAGGAAAACTGGAAGTGTTCGTTGTGTCATCGGCGAGCTGATGCGCCGCTGCCTTTTGCTCGATGTCAGTGATTTTGTTTGACATGACGAATGAGACGTTCAGTCCTTTGAGAAAGTTGGCGCGGATGAAGTTGACTTCCATTTGGGTGAAATTGTTCACTTTGAACACTCCACCATGGTCTGGAATTTCGTTTTGCCAGCGCTCCTTGAGCACATTTTTGCAGGACATCTTCAGCTTAGACACACGCACATTCCAAATATCCTTGAAATAAGTTGACTTAGTGAACTAATCAATTATTTTGTCGAAAGCATACCTCGATTAGTTGTTCTATTTCCGTAACGTCGCTCAAATTGTCTCGACAATTCTGCAGTATCTATTGAGAAAAGAATTAATTTGGACTTGAATTGTTTGAACTCAAAAACATACCATCCGTGAGATCTCACGATAGTGATAATGAAGCGGAGCGATCGCGTTTGTGTTATCAGCGTTTTCACTGTCTAGCCATTCCTTCAATTTCTCAGCCGACATCCATCTCGGTTGGTGCACGATCACCAAGCCTCGACTCTTCAAGTTCATCGCCATCCAAATGGGAATCTTCAACGGCACGCCAGGAGCGAACGGTCCATAGTTGCCAGATATCATTTGAAGTCGCGCTTCTCTGAATCGCGGGGTCACTTTAATGAGTTCGTCTTCAGCCAGGAACTCAATTTCGCATGGCAATATTGTCGCCATTCTAAGAAATAAGGGTTAAAAGAAGAGTTTTATTAGTATTGGGCAGTGCTACACTTTTGACAAGCAAATGAATGAGTGAAGATTTTCAATAAAAAAAAGTGTCAATCGCTGTAAAAACTGAATAAAAGTGCCTGTCCTAGACGGCATTGATTCGAAACCATGTTGAATCCTTGTGTCCCGGCAAGTCGTCGAAAGTCTTGAATCGCAAGGATGGGCATGAAGATTTCACCATCCCCAGCGCCGAGTTTTCGACGGATAATGATATTTCTCATGATAATGACGTTTCCAACCAGGTATCGTGGGATGTAGCCATAATCGTGTTGAGTTAGCTTCGGAACTGCTGATTTTAGGCTCTATTTTTAAAGCATTACTATTTAAAATCGCGAAATCAAAACCAATATTGAAAATATATTTAATTTTCTCAGAAAACTGAGCCCAAACTATAGGAATAATTCTCGCCTTTTTGTTGAAATGCTGAATCTCTTGCATGGTCTTTGGCTCTGTGTCGAAATCAACCATGCTCTTGCTATAAGTTGAGTCTGGATTTGACGCGTCGTAGAGCCAGAAGATAAAAAAGGAGGAAAGTTGCGAGACGCGGACAAGTAAACTCGGGCGGAGGTCAATTCTTTCTGAACTGTCTTCTAGGTCAGTTTCTTCGGACTCCTCATAGTCTTCGAATCGCACTTGAAGCTCTTTATGACTGTAAAAACGGCTTTTTTACTTTATTATTCAAGATGCTTTATTTTTGCTTGCCAACTGTTTATGCGATCAAAATTGATAACAATAATTTTCATCGAAAAAATGAAAACATGAACTCTAAGGACCCCATTTTCAAGCTGAAAAACTCTCTGAGTTTAGTTCGAGATGGCGACTCATTCGCCCATTTGAGATCTTTGTGACGACGGATTATATTTTACCCCGATTTTTATTGCCTTACTCTACAGTTAGGACGTATCGAGAAAGTTTTTCTCTCTGATTAACAAGAAGCGCTTTTAGATAGAACATGAACCGCATAAACGTTTTGAAGCGCAGAGAAAATCGGGAAAATCGACCACTTGCTGCATCCTCTCCAAGGCCTGGTCCTCCCTACGGAAGGCGAGTACTAGCGGATGTAAATGGCAGGAGCCCGGCGCTGAATATCAGGTAATATTTCAAAAGAAAATTTTGATCCATTGATGTCCATTTACTCGATCATTAGCTCGATCCCGATGAGTGGAGAGGGTAGAGGGCGTCTTCAATCGGAAGATGTCCCGAGTATGGACACCTTCTCCGAGGACACGATCGACCATCAGACTCAGGTCCCGACTGGTGACATCAGCCATTTTATTCGCAGCTTGAGGGACAAGAAAAACAAGTACAAACGAATGGTTAGTTCACCCTCTCATTATTCTCAATTCATTGTTAATTCAGGCTCTCGAGGCGAGGAAAGCACTGCAGGATCTGTCAAACATTGTGACTGACAAGCTTCCGGTCATCGACGCCCTCGAGCTCGGCGTAAACAAGATTCACAACACTGTTGAAGCGACGAAGCGACGCCAGAATGTCGTCTTCATCTTTTTGTCGCTTCTGGGGGCAATTATTTACGCTATGTTCTTAGAATGTAAAGAACTCACTGCGACAACTAACGGCAGTCCATACGTCTAAGACAGGGCTTCCGCTAGTTGTGATCACATTTCACGCCTTTTTACCTTTCACAGTTCACGAAATACATTTTCTATTAAAATCCTTCTTTGCTTTTTGTCGCATTAATGAATCAATAAGAAAGCCGCACCTGAGAATATTCCTATCAAATGGAATAAATTTGTCAAAGGCGAATGGATTTTTAAATGTCTTATCTTCCTTCATTCGAAAATAAACGTCATAAATCGCCTTCAACTCTTGAACCAAGAAATCATCCGCCAATCTGGGCATGCTCCCGTGGATAATGGTCCCATGCTCCGCGATAAGTTCATTGTTTTCATCCCAAAAGTCGTCGAAGTTCTCGAAATCGCCAAATAAATGACTCGAAATCAGAATTATTGAAGCTTTCGCTGCATTTTGAGCATTATTGTGAACCGAGCGATCTATCCTTTCCTCGCCCTGTTTCGAGACAAAGCTGTTTTCAACGACACTTAGAAAGAGATTAGAAATTGGATTGGATTCGAAATCCGATTCGAACCATGTGACCTCTAACTTGTCTAACCCTTTCCTAGAACAGTAATTTGCAACCAAAATCTGCCCAGCTGTCAACACCTTCGGCAGCTTCTTTTCCCAATCTTCATCAAACTCTCTGTTAATCGCTAACCATCCTCCATCCCCCGAGCCCTGAATCAACGGAATCTTCAAAACCCATCTGGTACTACTCTCGTTTCTATCTCTTTTCCCACGGTTGCCAAAGCTTGCGTTGAGCTTAGAAGGCAAAGATGCTGATGCGACTATTCCAGCAACCCACGTTTTTCGTAGGGCTGGTACGTCCTTGTCCTCGCTAGAGAACCTGACGAATTTGTGATTCATTCTGAACTTCAACCCTGTTAAAGACAAAGTCCCCTGTCTTCCCTACTGACTAGTCTACCCTTTCCAACAACTGTATCTACACGACCACCACGACGACTATTGATACTAACATTGGTTTGTAAAAAGGAAAAATTTATTCAAAAATCGAAGAACTCAAAAAGTATTAAAAATAAAAATGAGAATATGTTGTGCTTTCGGAAGAGGCAGGTGATATGCTGGAATGTGATGAAAACGATTTCTATTCTTTCGAGGTCTCCTCTCCGTCGATTTTGACTGAATCAATCTGCTTCTTCAAAATTTCATTGTCGAGTTTGCTTTCCATGTTGTACAACCGCTGCTCGAGAATTGCCACGGTTTGGGTGAGGACGTCCATTTGACGGACCATTTCTTGCATTACTTTTTCGACGTTAGGAGGTAGCTTTTGATCTTCGAGTGCATGTGCGATGTTTTCTTGTGTAGAATTTAACTGAAATATGATTGTATTCACGAGTAAATTTTGAAAACATGCTAATAGTTTTAATAGACTGATTTTTATTGTCAAGGAAAATTTTATTGTTTTCGGGAAAGAGGGTCTTGATAAAGATCTATATTTTACGAAATAGGTCGATAAGAAATTTTGATAGAAGATCATTATCAATAGTCTTAACAGATGGTTACGGGCTATATTTAGTGGGTCTGTGTTGCTAGAACTCATTCGTTACGAAAATGTAGCACCAGTAGAACTAGCACCTGTGTCAAGTACACATTTATCTTGTGTTTGTTTTTTTTTCTTCAAAATAAATACCAATTTAATATAGTCATATAGTTTTTTTTAAAGATTCTCACCTGAGGATCAGGCAAACTGCCAGCTATCGGTGGCCCGAGAGTCCTAACTTCAGGTGTATTTGTCTGTTCGCTAAGAGCTTTTCTACTTCGAAGACCAGTCGCTGTCGCAGGTCTACTACCAGGACGAGCAGAGCCAGGGCGCGCTGTACTCGGCCGACTGATGCTCTTTTTCTTTGGCTTTTTCTCAGGTTCCTCTTCTTCGGGAGAATCAAAATTTGTTTTCCAAACGATAACTTGCTCATCCTATAACCAACTTTTTTCTCAAGAAAATGAGACGAAATGGCTACCTGTCCACCAGAGGCAAAACGAGTTCCATCTTGAGCAAACGCTACTGAATTTACTTGACCACTGTGTCCATGAAGAGTGTAACACATGCGGCCTTCCATAATATCCAAAACTTTAAGTGTTCCGTCGTTTGAGCCTGTGAGAATCCAGCTTCCACTTGGATGAAATGCTAATTGATTGACTGGTCCTGAATGTACCTAGAAATAAAGACGATGAGTCCTAGTCGATTTCAAGAAGGGAATTTCTTACTGTGTAATGTTGAAGAAGCTTATTTGTTCTAATATCCCATATTCTCGTTGATCTATCATCGCCACACGCGGCTATGCAATTTCCACTTGGATGAAATCTAAAATAGTCCGTGGTAAAGATTTTTTTGAGAATTTCAAGCAGACCTGACGCAATTTATTTGACCAGCGCTTTCGAGAAATTCAGCAATATTGTTTTTGTTTCTCAGATCCCAGAGTTTTACGACTTTATCATCACCACCAGACACGGCTAGTCGGGAGTCCGGACTTAGCCTGACTGATCTGACCCAATTTGTGTGTCCTGTGAGGGAGAATTTGAATTGTTGTCTGTTAACTTCCCAGAGTTTTACTGTTTTATCATCACTACAAAATCCTTAGAAAAAAAGTCTAAAAGAAGAGGCCTACCTGCAGGTAATAATTTGTGAACAATCATCAGAGAAATTGATTCCTCTAACAGCCGCCGTATGTGCCTTGAAGGGTGTCGATTCTCCTTTCACAGACGGTATCCAAAGTCTGACTGTTTTATCTGATGATGCTGTAGCGATAATCTGCCCTGTTGATGAAAATTCAACATCGTTGATTGCCTCTTTGTGGCCCAAAAATCTGTACGCACGAGCTGACTGTCTAAAATTCCACACCATGAGTTCTCCATCTGCCGATCCCGTTGCCGCCTAAAATCGAGTTATTCCTAATCAAGAAACTGTCCAATTACCTGTTTTAAATTTGGATTGAATGCGACGCATTTGACAGCATCTTTGTGCCCTTTATAGTGATGCTCCACAATCGGATCACCCCCTGCGCCCATTCTAAAATATTCCGTTTCAATTTTGTTTAGGGAGCAGTAGGTGCATTGAAAAGTAGTTATAGTTAGGTAAATTATCCTATTTATTTGCCAGCAGCTTTCGCCGCCTTGGCCATTGCTAGTTTTTTCGCCTTCATGGCTTCTGCCAGCTCTTTGAATCGCAACATGCATTCTCTTTTTGATCTGGAGCCGACCTGCAAAGCGCAAGAGTAAAAATAATTCTAGAGACAAATTTTTCTTACCGCGGAGGCGATTTTTTCCCATCTTTCTGGCTCCTTCGCTCCATATGTTCTCAGAGCTGAGTAGGGCCCATTAGGTGTAAATACCCATTAGGTGTAAATTCCATTAGGTGTAATTTTCTAGAAGGTGTAACACACCTAATGGATATTTACACCTAATGGGAACTTACACCTATTGGGTGAAAATTCTTTGTTTTGGGACATTTGGTGTAAATTGTTGCCGAATTCATTTCTTTCGATCGAAAAAACTCTGCGAAATCCGACTGCTGACGAGAAAATACAAAGAAAAACAAGAAAAAAAACCTTGATCTGCCTGAATATAAATAATACGAATAAAAGAGATTCTCAATAAAACCGGTCAAGAAGGAAGCTCTTTGATAATATCGTCCTTGAAGCCTCTTTATTTTTATAAAATGAAACGACTTCTGCAGGAACCAAAGCATCGGACTTGAATTTACTTGCTCCATCAAAATCTTTTTCATCGAACTTTTTCTTTGGAAGCGAGCTCTGCGTTTGATTCGTTTATACAAGCCGATCATAATGCCTTTACACAGTTTTTGAATACTTCCCTCTAAATAATTGACAACAGAAGGAAATTCGTCACGAAGTAGGACAGTACCTGATTTGTACTTTTCGATGAAGAGACAAATCTCATGAATGAATCCTAACGAGCCAATAGTTGCAATCGACTTTTCCGAGTTAAGCTGCGACAGGATAATCATCGACTCGTTAACGACATCTTTACATTTTGACGTGCGCACAATACTGTACAAAGGTCGTAGTAGTTCTGAAGTGACGCAGCCAAATTGGAGCAATTTCAGGCACTAAATCACGATCGCGTCGTTTTCTTTGTGACTAAGCATGGTGAGCAGAAGTGGTCGGGAGTTCTGTGTCAGTTTCTCGCTCTTTGTGAAAAAAGAAATCGCTGTAGCTGCTGAGGAGGACTTGTAGTATTTCTCAAGATATGCCATCGAATCTTTGAGGTTGAGGTCTGCTTTCGGAGCTGGTACTTTCGTATTCATTGAGATCTTCATCCATTTGCAGCTGCGTTGTCGTTTTGCTTAAAACACTGTTATACAATTATATTGACTATATGAATTTGAATTCTAGTGCTTCTAGAACTTAAGTCTACAGATATTTTCATAAAAATTGAACATTTACTTCTCGATTTTCTGCAGGAGTCTACTTATTATTAGAGATAAAAATGAAGCGTAAAAAGGATGATGAAAAGAATGAGGATTTGGAATTAACAAAAGAAGTCAGCGACATGGTTAAGAAAGCGCCAAAAGCTAAACTTGAGCTCAAAGACTTGCTTACGCCTGAACGTCCCCCAACGATGATTGAAACTCAAGAAATCATCGATGATTCTACCAGTACCGATCCAAAGGAAAAGTGCTCTTTATTAATAATTGAATTACCTTGCAATTTGTCGTAAGGATAAACTTCCAAGTAGCCTCGGTCAGAAATGAGCAACCCTTTCGCGGAGAACTCTTCATCATCAAATTGAAATCTTGAGAGCACTAAATAGTTGATATCAGTTCAATTGGCAACAAGCATGGTCAATTTCATTTTCTTTATTTGCTTTGGACCTAATGAATTGTTCTCATATACTCCGCGCAATAAAGACGATTTTCAAGATCTTCCAAAAGAACTAGCAGCAAAATATCCAGGAGCAGGTCAAATAGAATGATTTACCCTTTAATATATACGGCATGCATCTTTAGGGCATTAACTTACCTAAAACGCTTCTCAATCGAGTAAATCATGTTGTGGACATCGCTTTGGCACTGTTGCTTGCCAAAATGCTGGAATTGTGACGGTTTTTTCGTGCGCTGAAATCAAAAATTATCATTTTGAGATCTGTTAAAAAGGATGGAAAAGAATGAATCTCAACTGTCAAAACCACCACGTTCGAAAGAATCTGGAAACATCTAACTGTAAAGCGAAAATATCGGTGCTTGTACGAAATTCTGATTACAAATCGAAAGAATTTTACGATGTTGAAAACTTTATAATCTACGATCCAAGAAAATCTCATGTGGCGTTTGAAGTTTGTGGCTTTGGTGGTCATTTGAATGCACTGATTGATTGTTGGAAAAGATATGTGGTTTACAGATTCCGTCGAAACGAGCTTGAATCACAGCCCCGGACTTCGAGAAAAATGCTTGAATTGTTGCAAGATGAAGTCGTTGACAGTGAAATTTCAAATCGAATTTTCGGTGGAAATGCCAAAAAGAATGCCAAAAAAGCGGCGCTTCGATTTAAAAACTCAAATGTCGCTGCCAAGGAAAAACAAATTGTGCCGACAAAATGCCACTTCTTATATATGTTTCAACGATGGTGGGCGGATTCACGACTCCCTTCCCTTAGCAACGATTTCACGCGCCACAATATAGTGTTTTTTTTGGACCATGACGCTCGCCGAAGTGAATATGCATCAAGTCTCAATATAGGAAGAGTTTTTTACCTTTATTGAGTACAGTTGAGTTGTTGTTATTGTAGATGAGACAGGTTGTTTGTGAGTTCGCTCGTGATCTGAAAAAAAATATGAAACTCGAAAAGATGGAATAATGAGTGTCGTGAGTGCCGTCAAAAAACAGTGGCCACAACTTGTGATGGTAACCGAACCTTGCCGCGATCAATCGAACAAATTCAAGGTCGGGTTTTTTTTATTTAAGTCGCTTGGTGTCGCTTATTCGGGCTTTTGTTTTCGGGGTAATCATCAAAAATCGACGGTGCGTTAAAAAACCTGTCAAGGGTTATTGCGTTGACCGAATGACTTGTCTCCTCAAAGATCACAAAGCGGAAACATATGAAGCGTTATGGGCATTCTTCAAAAGCCAAACGAATGGGCTCCCTAATCTTCGCTATGTGTGCAGTGACTGGGAGAAATCCTTTATCTCTGCTCACAAAACTGTCCTGCCCGGCGTTATTCATATAAAGTGTTCCTTCCACTTGTATCAATCCTGGAAACGCCGGGCAGGACAGGAAGGCCTCTTGAAGGCTTGGGAGGAAGAACGGACACAAGTCATCAGGAAGGTTTTATAAAATGAGATTGCTAACATTTGCTATTTTACCTTTGATCTTTTAGCATCAGCTGATTTGTAGATAAGTTTCCGCTCTCCGACTCGCTTGAGGTTTCGGTTGCCATTCGGGCAAATCTTCTGCGGAAGATGAATTTTTTCTGACTGAGCTTCAAAATGAAGAATACACAGGCGCTTTTGGTCTTCATTGGAGGTGTGTATTGATAACTGTGCGCTTAGAATGGGTATTATTTGAAATCAATTAAAAATCGTCCACAAAATCAAATTCTGACGTATTTTCGTACCTTGGCAAATAGTATCGATGAACTTGATTTTTTTTGTTGCTAGTTTGCGCTCTTGGTTGACTTAATAAAGGACTTGTAGTTTTGCTCAGCTTTTTCTTTTCTCCGGCTTTGAGGACTTCCTCGATGTTCAGATTGACATCGAGAGCTCCTGTGCATTCGCCAGCGAAGATCTTTCTCGCTCCGTGACGGATCATGTTCAACATTTCCTTTTGATTGAGCTTCTTGTTCTGATCTATTGATCATCGTTGAGGGTTTCTAAAAGGGGGATTAGTATTGTGAAAGTCAGTTAATTTCATTTTATAAAATCAATAAGGAATTGTCTGTATTCTGCGCCTTATTTCCCTGTTGGACAAGATGAATTTCGGGCTGTTTTCATCGAAATCATCACAGAAGAGTGCCAAAAAAATCTTGAAATCGACGGTAATGCTGTTGAGTCGATGGATGTTGATGACGAAAACGCGAAAAAAGAGGTGGATGTTGATGATGACGAAAACGCGAAAGAAAAGGTGGATGTTGATGACGGCGAAAAGAAGAAAAAGAAGAATGGATGGATCGCTTATCGCGACTACCTCCTCAAGAACTATTTCAACGAAGACGCCACATTCAAGCCTAGTGAATGGGCCGATAAATCATCCAATATGATCAAAACTGGGGAAATCGATAGCACTAATAACGCCAGGCTTGGTTTGATCATTTTTACCTAAATTTTTCTCCATGATTTCGACCACGGTCTCTCTATTTTTATTCGAATTGAGCAGCGCTTCTCATCAGCTTCATGACCAGCGACAACAACAGCTTGACTCGTTTCTAAAATATCAATTAACTTTTGAAATCAACGATGAACCAAGATTTAGCGAGAGTGTAAATGCACGACTCTTGCGCGGTCTGCAGTCTAAGCCTGATGTTCAAGAGCTTTGCAAAGTGATCACAAATCGCAAGAAAACGACGTTTAACGATGAGTTGAGCTATCTTGAAGATGGAAAATGGCCAATAAAAACAACGCAAAAAACTGGTACAACATGGATGGTTAAATTTAACGCTATGCAACGATTCTATCGAAAGTTGGATCGACAGTCTTCTTCCATGCCTCTAAAAATAAGCCATGCTGAGCTGAAAAAGCTTGTAATATCGACTTCAAAAGATCTAAAAGGGGCGTCGACCGAGGCAAAAAGATTACTCTCTTCAAAAGACGCACTTGACAAGTTCCTTTGTGACCTGGATCGCAGAAATCCAGTGTTTGAGACTTTTCTCGCTGGAATGAATTTCAATTTGGTCGAAAAGAAAGAAGAAAACGCAAAAAAGAAAAAGGGCTCACCTGGTCATGAAATCAACGAAGAGAACCTTCCAGCAATGGGCGAGCATAGCGGCGCCTTTGTGAGGAAAACAGATGAAATCAAGGAAGAAAAGCGTCGTATTGATGTCCTTGAAGAAGCCGCGGAATACACAGAAGTTAAGACAGCAACAAACAACGATGAATCGTCCAATTCCATTCTTCTTGAGGAATCTGAAAATGCAATGAAATACGAAAACGAGCTTGATAGAAAAATGTTCAAAACTCCAACTTTCAAGTTTGAAAAGTTTAATGGCTACAAGATGTCATTTGAAGCAGAAAATATCGCTAAAAATATACAAAAATGGCCTGAAGGACAGCTGGTCAATTTAATAGAAAAGGAGGAAGTTCGCGTCCGAGATCTGTTGCCACTTTACAAACTTCGAACAGAAACAAAAGACAAAATTCTGGACTTGTTTATCATCATTATGAGACATTACCAACAGCAACACCAAACTAATGATATTATTCTTGAAGACACGAAATTCTCACAAATGGTCTTTCAAGGAAAAAATTTTGCTGGTACTGGTTATCATCCATCAGAAATAAAACGATTTGTTTGCCCTGTCTTTATCCCTGGTCGAGTTGGACACTGGATAATTGTCAAGGCGGATAGAGAGGAAAAAATATTTACAATTTACGACTCTTTGAATTTCGAAGATTATGGAGATGTCTATCAAGGCAAATTTCAAAAAATATTAGATTAATTAACCGTATCATAAGCGCAATTGGAAATTTAATTAAGTGTTTCTTGAAGTATTCGAAGAAGACGAAAAGGACTGGGCTCCTATATATCAAAAATGCCCAAAACAAAAATACATGGACTGCGGCATTAATGTGGCGTATGGATTATTTTTCATCGTGTGCCTAAATCTGGAGAACTATTCAACAAAACTCAAGGAGAGCTCCAAAAATTTACGACTAAATTTGGCAGCGTGCATATCCACTGGCGAATTAATGATTGGTACCTGATGTTTGGCGAACCAGCTGTAAGATTTTACTTTCCAGTACTTCTTTTTCTTAAATAAACATAATCAGAAACAGAGATTTATTCAGTTATTTACTTTCGAGTACAAAAGCGTATCGCTGAGCCCCTCAACCGCAACTGCGAGGCGTTGATTATGCCAGGACATTTGGAGGACGTCGCCTTCGAAGCCTTCGATTTCGCGAGCTTCTTCGTCCGGGCCCATGATTCCTTCGAAAGACGCGATGAAGATCTAAAATGAGGGTGAGAAATCGTAAACATGGACGGAGCACTTGCCTTGTTTTTGATGGCGAAAATGATCTTTTGATCGTCATGTGACCAACAGACGTTCAAAGCAGGGCCTTCCAAATTGCACCAGGTTCCTTCATTTGTCCAGGTTACGCAGCTGAAAGAACAGTTTATTGGTCATAAATTGAGCGCAGTTTTACCTAAAAATGGCGATAGAATCGCTTTCAGAAACGACCAGTTTCTCTCCCGAGTTACTAAATCCGACGAAGGCAACACAACTTGTCCAACTTGTCGCTGAACGAGTTCTTCTCGATCCGAGTCCCAGATTTAGACAAAAGTCGCGTTCTTCGAACTCAGCGCCAGAAGCGAGCTGAACGGGTCCCAAGAAAGCGAGTGGATCGGCTTCAAAACTTTGCCAAAAAAGGTCGACATTTTCCGCGAAGGAAAGTTCTTCGTGACAGACGTTCGTGCTCTCGAGGAATTGGTCATCAGCGCCGCCTGGATTTCGCGTTCGACGCTAGAATTTTACAATTTATTTTCAAAAATCCCTTCTAAAAGATTACCTCAAGTTCATGAGTCAGCGGTCGAGGGAGATTCTCAACGATTTGATGAACTGGTCTTCCTTTTTCTGCGAATATTAACTTTCCTCTTGATTCGGAGTAGCATCTCTCTTCTGCTCCTGGACTCATCATTTTTCAGCCGGGCTGTTTTCATTAAGCTTCAATTCTTCTTCTCTTTTGTGAATATACATTTGATCATCTATCTGTAATCAAAAAAGGTACCATTAAAGGTCCTACGGGTTAGTTTTAAATATAAAAATTTATCAGAAAAAATTGCAGGAAATAGATTAAACTTCAGCTAAATAAACGTCGGCAAGAAAACATATTTCGCAGAAAGATTTCTCGTTTGAAAAAAGAAAGAAAAATGATAATTCATTGAGCGCAAATGACGAAACGCTTCAGCTTGTCACGATTACTCATCGATAGCGCGCGATTTTCAAATTTTGACTTCGAAAATTGCTCGAAAAGATGTTTTTTGTTTCTTGAGTGCAATTTAGAAAGAATTAAAAAAAAATATTTTTCCAAAAAAAAATGCTCGTTGGGGGGTCGTCGAGAATGTGTGACAGCTTGTGTCGATCCCTTTTTTACAAAATAATTTTGAAAAATATTGAACAATTAGGTGTAAATACCCATTAGGTGTAAATATCTATTAGGTGTGTTACACCTTCTAGAAAATTACACTAAATGGGTATTTACACCTAATGGGATTTACACCTAATGGGCCTCACCCTCTCAGAGCTTGCTCTAGTCGTTTCTGCTCGTCTTGAGCCCACTGAGCTGGGGCAGGCTGAAGAAAACATGAGTTCTAGAGATAAAATGGGATTCGTCTAAAACTCACCGCAGCGGCAGTACCAGCGTTTGAAGCAGCAGTGTTTTTCTTTCCATCCATGTCGCCCGATTTCTTACTGATATCTTTCTGGAACTGCTTGAAAGCATCCTGTTGTCCTGGAGCTCTCATCGATTGTTTTTCGAGTTCTTTAGCCTTCTTGAGAATTTGCTTTTCGTCTCGCTCTTTGCTTGCGCCGTGGTCGTTCATCCAGACATTGATGACTCCCCAACGATTAAGCGTTCCAGCGGGGAAGGTTACCATTGCCTTTGTCAGCAATTGGATATCATCGGTGTTCCAGCCGCCGGAAACTACTGCCGCCTTGACCTTTTCCTGTGCTGATTTTTCAGTGGCGATGGCGTTTTTCTCCGCTTCAGCAGCTTTGAAATCGACAATTGAGGATCGAACAATGTCTGCTCGAGCACTGACATCTGCTTCGTTCATTTTCTTGTTCAAATCCGCCAATTGGACGGCGTTAAACGCTGTGCAGAGATATTCAACATCTTCCATCATTTTCAGTTGCTCTTCGTCCGGGACCCAGTATTTGTCTGATTTCGCCAGGGCTCGGAACTTCTGTCGCTCTTTTTTGTTCGCTTTGACCTCCGCCTTCGCGATCGCTTTTTTCTCCTCTTCGATCTTTGCCAATCGCTCTTTCTCAGCATCTTCTTTCGCTTTCTTTTCCGCGGTGATTCTGGCCTGTTGAAGCTCTCTTTCTATCTTCGCTCGCCTAGCTTCTTCTTTTTTCTTTTGCTTCGCTTCGTCGCGGATTCGTTTTTCTTCGTCGACAAAGCGCTGGATTCGCGGATCGTTGGCGTACGCAAGATCGACGAGTTTCCGGATTCGGGACATTTCTTCCTTCTTCTTTTTCACACGACCCTGGCGGTTGTATTTTTCAATTGCTCGGCGCTCGTAACGATCTTGCGCTTGCTCTGGGTCTCCTTCGTCTTCCCAGTGGAAGTCTCGCCACGATTTGAAATCATACCAGTAGTTGTAGAAGCGATCTTTGGGAGGTTCTTTGTGAATAGATAAGAAAATTTGAACACTCGAGAAGCCGCTTGCGGCTTCGTTGAAGAATAATTAAAGCCGCACAATGCGCTGCTTTTTAGTTTTATACGGAAATTATCGAATCGAAGTGATCAGCGAACCAGGCCTACAGTCTTTCTATCGTCATCGTCATGTCCGATTGGAACAACTTTCGATCTCTGAAGAGCCCATCTTGCGTTTCTCTCGAAAACAGGGGCAAAAATCCCGTAAAAGTTTGTCTTCAAATTTGGATCATCCGCTTTTGGAATGGAATTGTTAAATTTGGGATCGACAGAATCAAATGCTCGACGCTTGACGGGGTCGGACAGAATTTCCGCGCTCTTCGTAATGATCGCGAAGTTTTCTTCGTCCTTTTTCGTCGCTGGGCGACCGAGTTTATCGGGGTGGAACTTGAGGACGAGGGCTTTGTGGACTTGCTTGATTTGCTTGGCAGTGGCCTTGTATCGGATGTCCTGGAGGCCGAGGATCGCGTAGTGATCGTTTTCCTTCCACTCAGAGGCCTTGACCTTTTCCAGCTTTACACCAGGCTCAAGTTTTTCAAAGTCGATCTCTTCAGTTTCCTCTTCCTCCTCGATAATTTCATCGGTGCTCTCTTCCTCGATTCCGAAGTTTTCCTGGAGCCAATTTTCGAAAGCCCAGCCGACCGGCTCGACTTCTTGAAAATCAAGTGGCGGTAATTTCATTCTGAAAAATATTTTCTTGATAAAAATCTGATTAGCAGTTTGTTATCATGAGTGATCAAATTCCTCAATTAGATAAAAAAATAGAATATTTTATCTCTTTACTTGATGATTAGCAGGGATTAGTTTTTGATAAAGTGACAAGTTCGTGAAATCCTCTCTGAAAAGTCGACTTTCCGAAGCCGCGGGGTACCGTGGGAATGAACCGTGGCAGACGGGGCCAATCGCGCTACGCGACTCAAAATTTACTTCAGTCGCTTGAAAAGAATAAATTCGCGAAGCGCACAACGGCGCGAATAACGCGCGCCAAAACGAAAAGGAAAAGACAAGACGCAAGAAATAAGAAAGACTGAAGAAAAAACAACTCAAGGTGATTTTGGCGTCTGTCGCCAAAAATTCATTTTGAGAAATAAGAAGAGGAAGGAAGAAAAATCGAAATTGAAATTTGGCGAAGAGGAAATTGATAAGAATGTGGCGAAAATGGGTGGTTTTCGTGCAACTTTTGACGGGATTTATTGCTGCGGAAAAAGTAGATATTGGAAAACTTCATCCGACTGTTTTCGGTAAAATTTTCTCATTGAAAAATGCCTGTAGCCGATTTAGTTCCTGGAATTCTCGGCTCTCGAGTTGAAGCAAAGCTGAACAGGACTTCTGTTCCACACTGGATTTGCTCGAAAAAGGCAGATTGGTTCAACATGTGGATGAACTACGAAATCATGGCTCCTCTTGGTGGAACTTGTTGGGTTCAGAACATGTGGATGGAGTTCGATAACGTAACGAAGACGACGCATAATCCAGAGGGAGTTCAGTTGCGGCCAGAGTGCTGGGGAGATACGGACTGCATTGAGTGGCTGGATCCACACCATTTGGTACCACCGGGCAGATATTTCCATGACATTATTCAGGTATTCATGCGGACCATTGTGAACGGATACAGAGTATTTTAATATTAGTGGTTTATCAGTTCCTACTGTTGCCCAAATTAACCAAAAATTACTTTTTTGACGAGAAATATGGCTCTTTTTTGTAAACTCTGGAAAACATCGCTGAATTTTCATCTAAATAGATTCACTTCATAAAGAAAACTTTAGGCATTCGTACGAAATGGCTACGAAGTGAACAACACCCTAACCGCCGCTACATATGACTGGAGAAAGTCCGCTTCAGAATGGGAAGTCGACTACTTTCCGAAGTTACAGAAAATGATCGAAGACATGTTTGCCAAGTTCAACAAAAAAGGTGCGAATATAAACGCATCATATGTCAAAACGAAACATGTTTAGTTGTTATCGTCGCGCATTCGATGGGGAACCCCTGTTTGCTTTCTTTCTTCAATAAAATGTCGCCAGCTTGGAAGAAGAAATATATCAAGCAGTATGCTGCCATCGCCCCTGTCTATCTTGGCGCTCCTAAATCCCTCAAAGGTAGATTTTCTCTAAAGTTTTGATGAAAATACTCTTGATTTTCTAGCCCTGATAAACGGCGAAAACGAAGGAATTCCAAGCATCCTAGTGGGGCTTATTCAGATGCGTACAATGCTCAGAACTTTTCCTAGGTAAGTTTTTCTCTCTTAAAATTAAGCTATCCCTCTCTTTAGTACGTATTATTTGGTGCCAAACAACAAGGACGACAACTGGCCAAATGAGCACGCAACGATCGTTTACACAGACGATCGAAACTACACTGCGACTGTTTCTGACATGGGTACAGTTATCCATCCTGTGGCTGTTTTACCGATAAATTTCAGTCGATCTTTTCAAAGCCATGGAAAAGCCAGATTACGATTTCGGAGTTGACATGTACCACAAATTTGGCCAAGAGCGAGTTCTCAAGGATCCCGGTGTTCCTGTTCATATCTTCTACGGTACAGGACTGGATACGACCTGTGCCATGGACTACAGAAACAAGCGTTTCCCTGATTACTCGCCTAAAGAATGTGAGTCCCTCAATTTCAGAAAATCGAAATAAATTCCATTTTTAGATCAATGCTCTGGTGATAGTACTGTGCCAGAATGGTCGTCGACATTCGGCTATTACCACTGGGCTAATGCTAAGAAAACGGAAGTGCCAAAAGCAGATCATAACGAGCTACTGCGCGATGAAGAAGTGATCAACACGATCTTGGGCTATGCGATTGAAGACTTTGATCCACCACAGCTCAAGAAGAGCAAGAACAAGCTTTATTTCAAGCCTGATCTAACTCGTGGAAAGAAGATTTTCGAGCAGGCGTATTGGCGAATTCCTGAAGAATGATATCCTTTTCTTCCTTGATTTCAGAAATCGGGAATCTGTACTATTTTTTGATAAAACTTTACTCGTAGATCCACTTTCCTGGCCAACAAATCAGAATTAATCCCCATCCTTCCAAAAATCTTAGCAGGCCCTAAAAGTGGAAAATTTCAAATAATCAATTCAAGTTTCAAATGCCCACCCTTATCTGTTTGTAATGAATGCTCTTGTGCTACTAGTCTGTCTGTAATAATGCAACTACAGTTCCGTTCTTTTATTGATCATCATTTTCATCCCTGTTTTCTCAATTTCAACAATGCCGAAAAATCTTCAAAAATAAGCGTATTCTTTTCGATTTCTCAATTTTCAAATCTGAAAATCCGCGCCCGGAGGACTTTCGTTCCGCTTAAGCGCCCACCAACCAGACCGGTTGTTTCTTTTTTACAGAAAAAAGAGAACCGACTTCTTTGATTTAGATAACAGAATAAAAGACATGAGGATATGTCGTTGAACCAGGGTGATAAGCCACTGAGTAATCGGTGCACTAGAATCGAAGTCGAGCTAGAGAAGACTGACCAGCATAATTATCCGGAATTTTCTTTTCTGTCACTGAAAAATGAGCTTGAAAAAGCGACTGAGGTTGAGGGAACGGCTGCTGATCCTGCCAATAAAGATGGTAAATCATGAAATATTTTTCAGTTAACATTTTTCTTCCAGAGGACGAGTGCGCAAGAATTGCCGCAATGCTCGAAGCGAAATACAGTAATTTTGGGAATACAGCGTCCTTCGACAAGAAAAAGCGCCGACGACACGAAAGAATAGAAGATTTCATGGACATGGGCGAAGGATACGACCAGGACGATGATTTTATTGACGACTCTGAAGCGCATGAAATTTTTGTTCCGCAGCAATACGACACCTGGCACGGCGGGTTCTACGTTAATCAGGGCCTGTTGAGGTTGAAAATGGCGGATACGGCGGAAGATGAAGTTACGTTGACGGCGGGGACGAAGCAGCGGAATTTCGGGAAACCGGTTTCAGAATCTGGAGAAAGCGACTCGGAAAAATCTGACGATGAATCGAACTCTCAAGGTGACGGTAAAGACGAAGTCGATAAGGGAAAGAAAGAGGATGAGGGTCCAAAGCGAGGTAGGCCGCCAAAGAGTCAAGAAGCAAAAGCAAAGCCTGTGGCCGAGGCAAGTACAAAAGGAACTCCTGGAAGGCCACCGAAGAATCCTGAAAGCAAAGCGACTCCTGGAAGACCGCCAAAGTCGCCATCAAAAACAGCTGAACCGAAAATCGCCGAACCACCTGTTTCGCTACCTGACGCGGATCTTCCAGAGAACATTCGGTATGCCCCCCTAAAAGGTTAAAAAAACCCACAACCTTTTTTTTCAGAACGAAATGCAACACTCTTCGAAAAATCGCCGAAGCTTCAAAAGGCATGTCATCTCAAAAGTTCTTCTCTTCTTCTGTCCTCGACTTACTTGTCGAAATCGACAATCATATTAAAGATGTTTCTCCGAAGATCCGAAACGCGACGCTTGAATACATCTCCGAACCGATGCCCTGCAAAAAAGACACCTTGATGTTGCGCCTGAAAAAGATGCGAAAGGATAAAGTCGAGTCAATCATCAAAGAACCGTTTGACAAGTTCACCGTTATGATCAAAAAGTGCGTTGATATTCAAACGATCAAATACGAAGGCCAACTTGAGAATTTTAACAAGCGCCTCGCCGAGTACAACGAAAAGTCCAAATCCGATCCAAATATGAAGAAGCCCCGGCAGCCGAGTAAAAACTTCAACTGGACAGCCGATGCCAAAGCAGATCTCTTTGACTTGGTCAAAATCAAGGAAAGCCTTTATGCGATACAGAAGCCAAAAGATACAACGCTAGAAGCGTGGATCAAGGAATTCGTAAATGTGGAAGTCAAAAGTCTCTTTCCGCCGGGATGGGTTACCTATGAAAAGCTAGAAAAGGTGATTGGAATTGAGAAGAATAAACGCGAAATGGAAGCGAATGGCGGGATCCAAACGAATGGAACGCCTAAAGTTGAGAAGAAAGTTGGAGAAAAACGAAAGCTAATGGACTCTCCTATCGATCAGCAGAAACTAAAAACAGCGAATTCCTCACAACCATCAAAAATATCAAAACCAAGTCCAGAAGCGAAGCCATCTCCTGTTCAAGCCGCCACAGCAGTCGTAAAACAGCTTCCAGTTCCAGTTACTCAAGTTAATCAGAATACAACTCTTTCGACAGAACAGCAACTCATAGCACAGAAAGTGATTCAGATCGCGATCGAAAAAAAACGAAAAGAACTCGAAGAAAAAGCCGCGGCGGAGAAAAATAAGAAAGCTCAAGAGCAGCACATGCAAAACTTGATGAAACAGCTGCAAAATAGCCAAAATGGAGGAACGCAGAATAAAATTGCGAAGGCGCCTCCAAAGTCGAAAAGATCTCCAAAAGAACTGAGAGAACAACTTGTTAAAATTCAGCAGCAAAACGCGAAAGTGCAAAAAACGACGGTTGAAAGTCAAAAGATTAGCCCATCACCACCGAAGTCTTCGCCAAAACCGATTGCTCCATCTCCCAGTCCGTCTAAGTTGCCATCGATGTCCCTTCCAAGTATTCATCAAATCGCATCTTCGCCAACGAAAACGAGCGTAATCAAAGTCAGTCCTGTCAAAGTCCAGAATACTCAACTTTTCCAACAACCGACTATCGCGAACTCGCCCCAACTGCAAGCTGCAACGCGTCGACTTTCTAATGAAAACTCAAATGTCGTTGTCTTCCCTCACACGATGCAGCATCAAGTCTCTCCAGTATCAACAGGCGTCACCCAGCAACAGCAGCATGTATCGCCAGTGCTTATCCAGCAGCAAAAGTCTCCGAGCTCGTCGAGTTTTAGCATTAACAATTTGGTCTCACAGTCGAAAAGTACCTCTCAATCATTTATCGTTCCAGTGTCTCAGGTAACAGAAATTTTTCCGATCTCTTATCAGCCGCGTTTCAGGTTCAAAATATCAGCCGTCAGCAAGTTCAAAATATTCCAATTTCTCACAAAACTTCAACTATTTCAACAAATGCTCAGGTTTGACCTTACCATCCTTTTCACAGCCGTCAACTGTTTTTTTCAGGAGTACTTCGTTCAAAAACAAGCAGTTCCTCAAAACATTGTTCAACAGCAGCAACAGCAGCAGCATTCAATGACGACGCAAAATCAAGGGCTTATCCAAGCAAGACTTCAGCAAAACGGTCATCCGTCTGCTTATCAATACATGGAGACGACAAATGGAGTATTTTTGGGAACAAATCCTATTCAAAATTTGCCTACTGACCCACTAAAGTACCCATCTAATACTCTTATCATATCGTAACGGCTTTTAAGCTCTATTGAACCAACACTGCCAATCGATATGCCTTTCTTTAACGCTTCCAGGCAGCTTTCGGGGGACAAGGTATCCCGGTAGTAAATGTTTCGTGATAAGGAAACACTTTTCACAGTCTTGCATGTACGTGATCTCTTTTTTATCTTTCTAGTTACTAATAATTTCCTAGGTTCAAAGAACGACTCCGCAGAAAAGAATATATTACTATCCTTCTAATCACTTTTACTGACCACATGTTTCTGTTCATTCTTCTACCTCAATTCAGTATTAGAATTCGAATTGAAAATATCTCATGATAAAAATTCAGACAGAAAATGGAAGGGAGTCAACCGCCAGGCGGTCCGCCTCAAGGTCAGCCAAATCCGGGAGGTGCTCCTTACGGGCACCATCCTCCAACTTCATATCCATCGCAGTATCCTCCTCAGCAGCACCCTGGCGCTTCGGGTGGCCATATGAGCGGACCTCCAGGCGGCTATCCAGGATACGCCAGCCATGGAGGCCCTCCACCAGGACATGGTGGTCCCCCAGGCGGCTATCATCCACAAATGCATCCAGGTCAGCACCCTGGCTATCCAGGTTTTCCTCGACACGCCGCCCCACCAGGTCACATGATGCATCCGCAACGACCTCCCGTAGCCGCACCTCAAGCCGCACCTGCGCAACCTCCAGCTCCACAACAGCCTGGTGCGCCCGTCACAACCGAAGCAGAAACCTACGATAATCCTTACACACCGCAACCGTCAACTCCTGGAACTGCCGATAATACAGCTTCAGAAGCTCCATCTACTCCGCAGACAGCGACAACTGACCCTGCTGCGCAATCTCAGCCAGCGCAGGCAACTCCAACTCAGCCAACACCAACACAAGCACCTGCTCATCCATCACAGGCGCCGGGTGCTCCTCCGGCTCAGCAGGGAGCTCCTCAGCCTGGATTTCCTCCGCATGGTCAGCCCGGCCCATATCCTCCACACTACCAAGGCGGTCCTCACATGCAACGGCCACCAATGCCACGACAGTACACGACTACTCCCCGTTACACTGCCGAAAATCTTACAGCTATGCAAAAAGCTCTGGCTGAGATGCAGCATCAAAATCTAACGAATGACCCGCGATATCACCAGCTTGTAAATGCGATCCGAGATGCTGAGCTTCAATTGCGTCGACAAACGCACTCTACTTTTACGCCAACGCAGTTGAGTCAACTTAGAGCGCAAATAATGGCATACAAGCAGCTTTCGCGAACTCAAAACATCGATCCACAGTTGCTTCTTCAAGTCAAAGGGCAACAAGGACAGAGAGGACCAACAGGAGCCGCTCAACCGCCTCAACCCTCGCAGGAAGCCGCTGCTACCGCACAGCCTCCTACTCCTTCAAATCCAGAAGATGGTGGATCTGAGGGAGATAAATCTTCAGTGGCAGCTGCAACTCCGAATGCTCCAGACTCAAGACCAAGCACTGCCGGTCCAGAGAAAGAAGAAGGCTCGGATAAAGAAAACGCAGAAAAGAAGGAACCGAAGCAAGAGCCAACCGATGAAGCCAAAACAAACGAACCCGATACTCCTAGAGCATTTTCCGAAGGACCGCCAGTTCAGAGAAACTCTGATTTATACGAGCTTCTTCGCGATAAGCGCCCAGGTTATGGGGCGAATAAATTGTGCCCAGTCCAGAAGCCGAAGGGAATCGACCCAGCCGTGATTTTGGAGGAAAACGAAAAAAGAATCAACGCTCGAGTGTTGAACAGAATCACAGAATTGGAAGGCCTACCAGCTAACTTGCCAGCAGAGCTGCGAATAAGAGCGCAAATCGAACTGAGAAGTCTTCGATTGCTCGGTTTTCAGAGGCAACTCAGACAGGAAGTTATTAGCGTTACAAAGCAAGATACAACTCTTGAAACGGCTCTCAACACAAATGCTTATCGACGCAAGAAAAAACAAGGTCTCAAAGACGCTCGAATTACAGAGAAGATTGAGAAGCAGCACAAGACTGAAGCCGAGCGCAGAAAGAAGCGTCTTCATCAAGATTTCCTCCTTCAGGTCATGAACCACCAGAAAGAGTTCTATGAGTACCACAAGAACAACCGGAGCAAGGTCATCAGGACGAACAAAGCTCTTATTGCTTATTACAGGTGAGCTTGCGTATTTCAATCCCGAGTTTTCATAAATGAATTCACGAATAATCGGTTCAGCTTTCTTGATTTTATTTTAGCAACTCGGAAGCGCGTCTCAAAAGAGAACAAGAACGTCGTGAAAAGGAACGTATGCGTCTGCTCAAGCAAGAAGATGAAGAAGGTTACCGAAAGCTTATTGATCGACAGAAAGATAAACGTCTTGCCCACTTGCTTGATCAGACCGATGCGTATATCAAGGAATTGACCTCCATGTTGAAGGGACACAAGGAAGAAACTGCCAAAAAGAAAAAAGTTGCTGCTGGAAGCTTCGAAGATCCCGATGACCCGAGAGTTCCGATGGTCAATACGATGAACGGAATGATTCTCAAGGGAGAAAACGCCCCGAAACGATCGCAGCTCATCGCGTTTATGCAAGCTCATCCAGGTTGGAAGCCAGTAGAGGAGCCACCAAAGGAAGAAAAGAAAGAAGGCGAAGGGGAAGCCGAGGAAAGCAAGGAAGAAAAAGAAGCGAAGGAAAATAAGGATCCAGATCGTGATGTTGAAGACGAGGATCAGAAAGACGACAAGTCTTACTACATGACGGCTCACGGAGTACAAGAAAAGATCGAAAAGCAACCGTCCATCCTTGTTGGTGGCACTTTGAAACCGTACCAAATGAAGGGTCTGGAGTGGCTGGTTTCTCTCTTCAACAATAACTTGAATGGAATTCTCGCCGATGAAATGGGTCTCGGTAAAACTATCCAAACGATTGCTATGATTACGCACTTGGTCGAATTCAAAGGCGAGATGGGTCCTTATCTAGTCATTGTCCCTCTGTCAACGCTTTCTAACTGGGTTCTCGAGTTCCAAAAGTGGGCGCCGTCGATTTCCGTCATTGGTTACAAGGGATCTCCGAATACTCGACGACTCTTAGCAAATGCTATTCGTGGCTCTCGTTTCAATGTGCTTATTACGACTTATGAATACATCATCAAGGATAAGCCGGTCCTCTCCAAAGTCAAGTGGAAGTTCCAAATTGTTGATGAAGGTCACCGAATGAAAAATCAAAGCTGCAAGCTGACACAGGTTCTCAACACTCACTATCTCTCGCCTCATCGTCTCTTGCTGACCGGTACGCCGTTGCAGAATAAGCTTCCTGAACTGTGGGCATTGATGAACTTTTTGCTTCCGTCGATTTTCAAGTCCGTTGCAACTTTTGAACAGTGGTTCAATGCGCCGTTCCAAAACGCTGGTGAAAAAGTTGAATTGAACGAAGAAGAAAGTATTCTTATCATTCGACGTTTGCACAAGGTCCTCCGTCCTTTCCTCCTTCGTCGATTGAAAAAAGAAGTCGAGACGCAACTGCCAGACAAAGTCGAGCATATCATTCGCTGCGAAATGTCTGCTCTACAGACGCAGCTTTACAAACACATGAAGCAGGGTTACATGCTCATGGATACGAACGACAAAAAGAACAAGACTGGCAACAAGGCGCTGATGAACACAATCATGCAATTGCGAAAGATCTGTAACCATCCATTCATGTTCCGTCACGTGGAAGAAGCGATCGCAGAGAAGATGTACGGCCCAGGGAGCACGACTTGCGAGGGATCCCTGCTCGTCCGATCTGCTGGTAAATTTGAGCTGATGGAACGTATTCTTCCGAAATTGAAGGCTACTGGCCACAAAGTCCTAATTTTCACCCAAATGACGCAAGTCATTCTTCTCATGGAAGATTATTTCAACCAGTACGGATACAAATATCTCCGTCTCGACGGCTCTACAAAAGCTGATGACCGAGGAGAATTGCTAAAGATGTTCAATGCGCCAGACTCTGATTATGACGTATTTGTTCTGTCTACAAGAGCTGGTGGTCTTGGTTTGAACTTGCAGACGGCCGATACCGTCATCATCTTCGATTCTGATTGGAATCCTCATCAAGATATGCAGGCACAAGATCGAGCGCATCGTATTGGTCAGCAGAACGAAGTGCGCGTCTTGCGTTTCGTTACATCGCAGTCTGTCGAGGAACGAATTCTAGCAGCGGCGCGATACAAACTCACCGTCGACGAAAAAGTCATCCAAGCTGGTAAATTCGACAACAAATCCAGCGGTTCTGAGCGACGACAAATGTTGATGGACATTATCGCTCAAGAAGGAATGGACGAAGAAGAAGACGAAATCCCAGATGACGAGACGATCAATATGATGTTGCAGCGAAGTCAGGAGGAATTCGAACTCTTTCAGAAAATGGACTCGGAGCGAATCATGAACCAGAAGCCTGGACAAGCTCGATTAATGGAAGAAGATGAACTCCCGGAATTCTTGACCAAAACCGTCGAAGAGGCGAAGGAGGAGATGGAAGATTCCGATCGATCGAAAATGTACGGAAAAGGAAGTCGAAGTCGTCGAGAGGTAAACTTCCTCAACCCTTTTTTGTTTGTTTATAATCAACTCAGGTCAATTACGGCGAAGGGTTGACGGAAGAACAATGGCTAAGTGCGGTCGACAATGGCGACGATGTTAACGCGCTCGAGGAAGCGGCCAAGAAGAGCGGGTAAGCAACATTTGAAACATCCGGCGACGGTATAAATAAATTTTTAAGCGGCAGTGGAAAGCGAAAACGTGAGGAGTCACCTGAGCAAGAGTCTTCCTCAAAAGACAGCAGAAAGAAAAAGGTAATTATTTTTTCGCCTATCCCATGATCAAGATCTTTCAATTCTTAATCCTTTCTTCAGAAATCGCAGCCCGCCCAACCGCTAGACGATGAAACGATCAAGAAAATGAAGGCCCTTGTGGACTACATCGTCGAGTACGAGGACAGGTAATGCACCCTTTCTTTTTCCCTATTTTGCTGAAGTTTGAACAGTGAATTATTAATTTTAATTCAGTGAGGGTCGCCGCCTTAGTGATCCGTTTATCCACCTGCCGCCAAAGAGAGATCTTCCAGATTACTATGAGCAGATCAAGGCAAGAAAAAAACTCAGGAATCACTCCTTTCACAATTCTTTTCTAGCGACCCGTCGATGTCTCCAAGATCCGCAACAGAATCCGCGCAGAGAAATATCGAAGCTTGGAAGACCTAGAAAAGGATATCAATACAATGTGCAAGAATGCGCAACAGTATAATATCGAGGGTTCACTGGTTTGTAGATAAAATTATGCCCCGTTCTAGTGACTATTTTAGATCTTTGACGACTCTGTAATCTTGCAGTCCGTCTTTACTTCGGCCAAGCAAATGCTCGAATCGACTGGAAAGCTCCCAACATCGCTCAAGCGAAAGCCAGAAGGTAATCAACGATATACAAATACAATCGATTATTCGAAATTCAGAGCCGCTGGACATCGATGAAGATTCAAAGAAATCTAAAAAATCGAAAAAGAAGAAGAAGCGCAAGAAAGACGAAAGCTCGGAAGAAGAAATGACTGATTCTGACGAGTATTCTGATTAATTCTAGGCATCTTTTTAACCTACCTTTTAACACAGCCATTCGCCATTTGTTCACCTTTCTCTTGAACTTTTACATGTTTATTTCTTCCGTGTTATTTCGCCCGTTTAGCCCTTATCTTATTTAACACGATTGAAACATTCGTTAATTAGTTGTTATTCATTCTTTCTTTTCGTCTCTCAAATAGTTGAAATTTCTTTCCGAAAATATCCTTCCCGCATTTCCTGCCATTACATTCTCGTCCCCTTTTTTAAATCGCGTTAAAATTGTTCCCTGTACATTTTCTTCCCCACAATTGAAAGCTCATAAGGATAACTTCTTTAGAGAAAATCCCATTTAGAAAGCAACCGTATTTAAATACTAAATACAGGAAATGTCTGACTCGGAATTCGAAGGATACACGCCCACGAAGCGTGCCAGACTTGAAGTGCCACTGGCAGCGCAAATATCGCCAAATTCGCGGATAAGGAAGCCAAAATCTGCACACAACCAAATTGCCATGATGAAAATCGATAACTCGGTGAAGGTTTGTGTTCGCTGTTGACATTTGACTAATTTGATGGGGGTTTAGAGGAGAAGAGAATCTTTTGTTGTTCGCCCAGATGACGTCTTAGCAGAGAAGATTAAGAAACTTGAGGAATTATACGACGATGCTTTTAGATCTGAAGCTCAGGTAAGAAAGAGCTTCTGAATATAAAACATCTCTTGTATTAGGAAAACCCAGAGTTGTCATTCAACGAGCTCAATCTTCGATCACTAGAAAGAATTACAAGCTCAGAAGAGTTTCTCAAAGCAGCTGACTTGTTAGACCTGCCGGTCTTACTTGGTTTGAAGACAAATAATAGTTGATTATTTTTTAACATTGAACCTGTACAAGTGCCTTATATATTTTATTTTTTTTTTACTTTCTTGCCTTGATTTATTTTTCCACAACAGTTCCTACCTTTATAATTCTTTTGGTAATTTTTTAATCATTTTCAATGATAAGAGATGAATTCGAAAAGCATACGTTTTTCACGAGCAGCCGGGATGGAAGTTCAAAAAAGAAATATCACAGATACAGAAACGCCGGTTCTCGAAAAAGTGGCGCTAGAAGAACAGCTCAAAGAAATGAAACATGACTTAGAAGATAATGACAATGGTTCGTTAAATTTCTATGTTGTTATCTCAACGAATTTTAGGCATCCCGATTCCAGACTTGAAGCTTCCAGAAGTCTTGGAAACATCAGATCATCTTCAACGCGCCTATCGTATTAAACAGCTACCTCACGATTCCTCCATGCCTGTTGTCATCACTTTTGTGTTTCTTCTTTTAGGTAAGCGCCTTTTTCATTCTTATCGATTCTGATATCAATCTTCAGTGAGCGTTCTTGCATTCAATCATCGTCGAAAAATCGTCGCTTTTATCTTGGAAGGTGGCACTCGCCGCCGCAGCCAGCGCTACACTCGTCTTACTTCAACCTGAAAACTCACCAAAAGAATCGTTGCCCTCATCCAATGTTCCAGACCTTTGTTCCAGTACTTCAACTATCCATACCCTGTATTATTTATTTCTCCCTTTCATCTCTTTTATATTTTCCCACTGTGTTCTCATTTTCAAACAGATGCCGAATTTCTTCAATAAAAAATCTTTCCTAAATTTCATAACATTTCCTTTTCCGGCCTAGAAATTCGATCGTGTCAAAGGTCCAGTATCAAACACAGCATGAATGTTGCAGAGAAAGAAGCAGCAGCCTTGTGGGTTAAATTGCAGAAAATACCGAGAATCGCCGGAGCAAGAATCTTGAAAATAAATGATAGTAAAGGGCAAAGAAATCATTTTATTTGCGAACATTGACCCATTTAAAACACTCAATATGTCAACGGAAAATAAAGTCAATACTCACAAAAGGGTTGGAGTCTCCATATTTGAGCCCTAAAAACAGCCCGCAGTATCAAATCAATTCAACCTGGTCGATCAAAGATCCAAAAAAGCTTGATGAAAGTTCATTCCTCCGCACCCACATTTTTGATAGCGCAACGAAAAACGTCTCTGAATTGAAAAACTGCGGCGGGGTTCGAGCAACGTCAGTGGTGAAGATTTCTGAAGTTCGTGAAAATGGCGAGTTTTTCCAGATTGTTGAAATTGGTGAGAAGAAAGAGCTGTTCATTGAAAAATGGAGCCAGGAACGCCGATTGCAGCGACTTGACTTGAACAAGACCATTACTTCTGTCCCTAAAGATCTTGAAATTAGTGGCGCACTTTCTGTAAGCCCTTGTGGACGATATGTTGTTTTCTCGGCAGAAACAAAGGGGCCCGATGAGAAATCTTTCTTTGATGAAGCAAAAAGCGACAGTGATAAGAAGGCAAATGATGAGACAGAGAAAGATGAACCCGTTTTCGGTCAGAAATTTTTGTCAAAGAAACCTTGGGGTGAGCAAATGACGAAAACTGTATCTCCGAATTTGGTTCTTGTTGATTTTGAAACAGAAAAGATCGAAAAACTCGCTTTCGAAAACTCCTCCCTTGGCCAGCCGCAGATTAATTCAACTGGAAATATCTTGTTTATGGCATTGGACGAAAAGCCGTTCAAACTTGGGCGAATATATTGCACAAATCGACCGATTGCGATTTATCAAACATCCGTGGCCGATTTCTCAAAGTATGAGAAGCTTACAGAAGACGATTACTCCGCAAGAAGCCCTAGATGGATCCCAGGCAATGACAGTTCTTTTATCTTTTTGAAAAGATCAACTTACGGGCCGCATTTGGAATGCGACGCGCTGTGTCAATTCACCGATGGCAAAATCCACGACATCGTTCCAGTGATAAAAGACTACCCGAAGAGCGATACTGAATTTGCTGGAATTTACTGTACCGAGCTCAAGTCCTCTCCCTTCCTCATCCTACCATCCGGAGAACCGATAATTCTTCAATCAACAATCACTAAATCTTCCGTGATCGTCTTCGCCATTTCTCTGGATGGATCTATCCAGCGAATAACCGATCCGGGCAAATCCTCCTACGTTTCTTCAATTTGTGGCGATTCAGCCGCCATCATCAGCTGCTCAGAAAACACAAGTGAAAGCGTTCACATTCTCCAAATGAAGAGCGCGACTGATTTCTCCCTCGAAGAAGTCGTCCCCGCTTCAGATTCCTTCGAACGAATTCAAGAGAACTTTGAATTGACTTCGAAGAGTAAAAGAATTTTTGAGACTCACTTTACTGGTCGAGAAGGAAATAAGAACTTGGCGCTTTATCCTCATGGTGGACCGAACTCAAATACGACCAAGAGTTTTTCGACGACGTTTATTGGGCTTGGAGAACTAGGGTAAGAATGGCCATTTATCTCACTATTAAAAATACTTTTTGGTAGTTATCAGATAATAAGCGTATTTAAAATTATAATTTATAAACTGAGTAATAATAAAATATTTTTTTATAAAATATGGTTTCGTAAAAAAATCTTTTTCAATACGGGTTCATTTGAATCTGCTGCTCAATCAATTTTAGATACGATATTCTGATGCCGAATTATACGGGCTCTGTCGGATATGGACAAGATAACGTCTACGCACTCGGCGGAAATATTGGCGATTATGATATCGACGATTGCCTCGCCGCCTTAGATCATCATTTGGCGAAGAAAAGTTACGAAAACGTTTTCGTCTTTGGTGGTTCACACGGGGGTTTCTTAACTGCTCATCTCACTGCAGCCCGGCCTGATCAATTCAGAGCCGCAGTGATCAGGTACCTTCGCGGGTGAGATTAACCTGAAGCTTTCATTTTTTGTCTCTAGAAATCCTGTCATTGATTTAAACAGCATGCACCACGTGACGGACATTCCGGACTGGAACGAGTGGCAAGGGTTGAATATTCCGCCGCTTTTGGGAAAATCACCGATCGAGGAGCAAATTCTAGAGCTTAGGAAACGATCTCCGATCGCATACGCTCATAAAGTTAAAACACCAACGCTGATGAATATTGGTCTCAAGGTCAGTCACTGATAAAATAGGTGGTGGTCTAAACTTTGAAGTTCTTACGTGCGATAAGAACTTCGTGTGGCCTAAACTTTGATCGTTCCCATGTGCGATTCTTTGAGAAAGTAGCCTAAACTTTGACTCTTCCTATGTGTGAAAGTGGTCTAAACTTTGAATTTCCCCTGAGGCGCTCTGACTAGTTCTATGTGTGTCTTCACCTTGAATGAAAAACGTAAACCTTATTGGTCTGCATCAGGGCTCTAAATAGACTAGTCCGGGCTCCGACTTAGTCCGAAGTCCGTCCGGTCTAGTCCGGCCGGACGGACCAGACTTCTGATTTTTGGCTGAGAAAATTTTCGGACTAGACCAGACCAGACTTGCCTTTTTCGCCGGACTTAGTCGGAAAAAGTCCGAAAAGTCCGAAAAGCTGGACCACTTTCAGACTTATGTTTTAGTCCGAAAAGTCCGAGAAAGTCCGAGAAGACTTGACCACTTCCAGACATATTTTCAGACCAATTAAGTCCGAAAAAGTCCGAAAAGTCTTCATTTTTCTAAGTAAAACCTTAAGGTAACATCATACACTTGATGCGGTGCCCTTGAAAAGGGTCTAAGCTTAATTTTCATCATAAAAAAAATTGATCAGTTAAGGTGATCATAATGATATAAATGCTTGAAAAATATTTTCACTTTAACTTATCGTTGTGACACCCTTAAGAGGCCTGTGAGTTTGTTTTCCTTCTAGTGCCCTAGCAACTGTCGAGCTACGAAAGAATCAAAAAATATCTCAAAAATCTTAAGGGGATCAACTCGATATCCGTTTTTAAAAAGTCATTATCAAATGACGGAGGGGTCCTTAAGCGACAAAATTTCGAAATTTATTCGAATTTTTTATCGAAAATTTTTCGAAAAATTTTCGGACTTTTTCGGACTAGACCGGACTAGACCGGATTTTTTGGCTTTTTTCTCGGACCAGACTTTTTCGGACTTTTTCGGACTTTTCCCGGACTAGACCAGACTTAAAGTCCGAGTTTTCCAATTCGGACCAGACCAGACCAGACTTGTAAATTTCGGCCAAGTGCCCGGACCTGGACAGACCGGACTTTTGATTTTCGCCTCAGATTTAGAGCCCTGGTCTGCATAAAGCGTAGTGGCCTTAGCGGGCGGTGCTCTAGTCACCGATGGCAGAACCGCCTCCGGGGAAATTCAAAGTTTAGGCCACTTTCTCAAAGAATCGCACATGGGAACGATCAAAGTTTAGGCCACACGAAGTTCTTATCGCACGTAAGAACTTCAAAGTTTAGACCACCACCTATTTTAGTTGTTAAACGAATCCTCATTTTCGATAAATTCAGGATCTAAGAGTTCCACCACCACAGGGAGATCAATGGATCAAGGCCCTCAGAAGTTACGGAGTCACTTGCGAACAATATGATTACCCAGAAGATTGTCACCCGCTTGGGAGCACGGAAACTCTTGGCGACATCTTTGTCCATCTTCATCGCTGGTTCAACATGCACAAACAATAGTTTTTATCAATCAAAAAGTTCACTGATGCAATTTTACATGTCCTTCGATTTTAAAAAGTTCAATTTATTCAAAACTTCAAGTTGAAAATCTTTAGATTGAAATCGGCTATTGACTTTTAAAATGGAGCCTTGGCATATTGTGAAGATAATTTCTGAAAAATGTTAAAATGAAAAACTGTTCTATCATATTTAAATATTGTGTTGCAGTATGCATTTAGTCTATAGTTTCGAAACAAATTATTAATGATATAAGTATTTCTTCCTTCATCCTTTCCAAAATAAGAGACGTTATCACATTAGTCTTAATGGAATTTCTGGAGAACCATAAGAAGAACCAAAAATGAAGAAACCGGTAAATTGAAAACCTCTTGTTAATTAGTGTAAGACCCGCTCGTAGTCTGTCTCGGAGGTTCTGCCCGTGATGTGTATGGATTTTTAGGGGTCAAAATTAACTGCCAGTGACTCGACTCCAGGCACGGTTAGTAGCGTCTTAATAACTACTACTCGATACTGGAAGCGCTCAATACGTGATTGTCTATTAGAATGAGTCTAAGCTCGCTTATCAAATGAATTCGAGAATTCCAACACCTTTCAATTATTCACTATCTTTCGTAAATTTCTTTTTAAAAAATGAATCCAAATCGTGACCCAAAGCTTAATTTCAGAGCTGTTAATGAATATTCAATAATAATTATTATTAATATGCTAAAAATGTTACTTCCCGAAATCTCCCGAGCGTTATTATTTTCAGATGAACAATAATGCGAATGTAAGAACGAAAAATATCCAACAGATCGACTCGATATGTTCTTGGTACGGGAGTTGGACGGAGAACGAGCGAAGGCGCTTCTTGGAAGGCCTGGCGAAACTCATTCGGCCAAGTCTGGATGACATTATGAACTCCTTAGGGGGTATCAAAATGACCAAGTAAGAGAAGGAGCAATCTTATCAGCAGATAACGCTTATCAGTAAAAAGTGTGGAGATGCCGGGTATCGATCCCGGTACCTCTCGCATGCTAAGCGAGCGCTCTACCATTTGAGCTACACCCCCTGTGCCTATCTCTCTGCAGCATGCATATATGAAGCGTTCTTCACCGGAAGTGCTAATATTTTGGTAATAATCGCTTCAAATGCATGCTAGAATGGCAATAAGGCAGAGGGGGTGTAGCTCAAATGGTAGAGCGCTCGCTTAGCATGCGAGAGGTACCGGGATCGATACCCGGCATCTCCACACCTTTTGCTTTTGCTGATAAGGGTTTTCTGCTGATAACTTATCAGTGATAAGTTAGCACCCGACAGCTGCTCAGAATAGGGTTAGGCTTCCTTCGTGTGACATTGGTTCTATGGGGTTTTCAGCAAATAAGAATTCAATCTTCTTCCTCTGAGCCAATAATAAAGCCCTATTGATTGATCCATGTGCCCAAAGTATTTTCTAGCGAGTGGTCTGCGCCAGATGTCTTTACCTGCCAAATGAAGCTCCTCCGCGACTGGTGGAACTTATGGGATCAGAACGAGCGGCAAGTGTTCGAGGAGCACTTGAATGAACTTCTCACCGACGAAGACAAACTCTACTTTCGAAACTGTATCGAAACCAACTAACAACATTTGAACCGAAATATTGAAAAAGAAATCTTTTCACTAACTAGACTTTTTGCCTTTTTAAGAATTCCCTTTTATAATAATGAAATATTCTGACATGCTATTATGTTTACGTAGACTTCTTTTGCTGTTAAGCACCAAGGTGATTTTTTGTAATAACAAGTATAAAAATATTATTAAGTGACTCTTCTTGATATTGTTAACAGGAACTACGTTCTTATCATCATGAAAAAAAACGAAAACTAACAATCAGCCTCTCAAGCTTTTTTTCCTACTTCCTTCTGTTCACGAATTCCCTATTCTTATGAGATAAATATAATAATTTCATTTTTTATATCGCTTGCTTATTTTAGAAAATGGCGGCGATTCCGTCAGAGGGTGGAATCGCACTAGAGCCGCTTCCCCCGCCCGGGCCACGAAAGCGCCGCAAGAAACGAAAGCAGAAAGCGGAGGACGAGAAGGAAATCCAGATTAATGCCGATCAAACTATTCAGCAACCGCAAGGTATGATGCTCGTGGCTTTTCTATTGTATAATTTAACGTGAAATCCTTGTGGACATGTAACTGGCGGGTGTACTTGAGCGCTCTTTCTGTGGTGTAAACACGCTCTTCTGTAGGAGCATCGATTCGCCAAAAACTAAAGAAAGTTATCAAAGGAAAAACTTTCAGAAAAAACTTTTCAAAAGCGGGAACGCCCGTCATTCTTCCTATCCTCAATAGTTACCTTCTTTCCTAGACGACTTGCTGCGAATCGGATACGATAACGAAAGCTTCGTGGAAGCAGAAGCACCTTTACCGGCCGGTGCAGTAGCCGCTGGAACAGAATCCCCACAAGTAGTATCGCCACGTTCACCTCAAACTCCCAATCACCTCGACTTGTCCCATCCACCTCAGTTTGCCCTCGAAGAAGAGCAACAGGAAGAACCGCAGCCAGCTGACAATCGAATTCTAGGCGTCAATATTCATCGCACCGACCATCTACTTTTCTCGATCAGAAAAATCGTCGTGAAACTTACTTTATTCAACGAGGCAACAGGCAGACTCATCCAAAAGTCCCTCACGGATAGAGCCGCTGTTTCATTTTACGAGAGCCAGCGGCAGATTAGCTTCATCATGCCAGTTCTAACTCAACCATTCCAAGTCGAAAAAGAACTGTCGCTTTTGCCGCGCTGGGACGAGTTGATAGAAATCAATGAACAATTCGAATTCATCCTCGGCCAGAATCCCGTTCTCTTGTTTGAAGTCCAGCAGTGCCTCCCAGAAAGCCTCGTTACCTGTGCTTGGGCTTATTTGCGGCTTAGAGGAACCGCTCAAGCTACGGTAGATCAACAAATCAGACTGCAATTATTCTCTCCACCGAAACAACGCGATCCTACTAAAATGACGGAAAGCTGTTTTGGTCTTTTAAAAAGCCGCTCGCTCTCAAGTTCAAAGATCAACTCATCCCTCCACGTGACTGTTTGCCGCTTGACTCCCTTCGACGAGCGGGAAGGACTAGCTTCGTCGGTCAATCGGTCCATGAGAGCTGACCAGTCCGAAGCTCGCGATTTCGATGAATTGGGAGCGCTTACGAGAGAGCCATCGAGGTATTTTCAAACACGTGTTGAAAAGCATAACAGTAATGAATTCAGTATTTCGTACAAGAATTCAAAAACAGGCCTTGCCATTGAGATCGACTGGGCCCGACCCGCCGGGAAACCGTGTCAAATTCCAAACAGCCGCTTTGATTTTGTAACGATCCCAGATTTCGGCGGTTTCTGCTGTCGCTATTCTCCAAATGGTCAGTGGGTTGCCTGGACGTCTGCGGCGCCGAATGAACATTGCATTGTTGTTCAATCTGCTATTGCGCCGCTTGATGGAGAGAGGATACAGAGAGTGCCTGCGCATGCAGGATTGATCTATGACTTGGACTGGAATCCCGAATCGAATAGAATTGTTGTTTGCTCGGCTGATAGAACTGCTACTGTTTGGGCTTTTGATCAGAAAGGTAAAATAAATGCTTTCTTACATACCATGGAGAAAATAGATTTTCTTCCGTAGATTGCAAGATGACCCATTTTTCGTAAAAGAACCTTTTTAGCGTGAGCACTTTTATGTAAATTTCGCATCAATATTTACTCGAAAATCTAAATTCCGCGTTCCAAAGGAACTAAATAAAGGTTTAAATATTTTCTTTCTTTTTGAAAGAAAGGTGCCAGAACAAGTCAGAGAGAAAATCAGCGGGATTGTTTATTTTGAACCCCTTAAAATCTCATGCCGAGCACCTGGTATGATGATGCTAAAGCGTTTTTCTTTCAAGATTTATCCCCTGATCCGATTGCAGTTCTTCCAGCACCGTGTTATCTCTATACTGTTCGTTTCTTCCCACAGAATCCGGATTTGGTATTTTTGGCTGGACAAAATGGCTTCATTTACGTATACTCTCTCGGCCAAGATCATCCCCAGCTTATACAAGAGCTCAATGTGGGTAAAACGATCATCAACTCGATTTCTTTCAATTTAAACGCAACGGTGCTATACGCGACGGCAGATGATGGTTTCCTCTACTCCTTCCCGATCGAGCAGGTGAATTTATTGCGGTCGGCCTTGTCAGAACCACACGTTTTTAAACCCAAAGGATTATTGTTAGTTTACAGAGGACCTACTGTATTTTTCTGTCAAACTCTTATATTTCTCGTGACAGTTTATTTACGGGTACATGTTTTGAATCCAAGGTGTCATTTTGGCCATTTTAAATGTCTGAAATTGCAGAGATTACAGTCAGAAAACTCCCTAAAAATTTATCGTGCATTTTAACAGTATTGGAATATTTTGAATTTGAGCTTATTAGCGATTCAAATATTTCTGCAAAAATCCATGTAACACGCCACGGATCAGGACTGAAAAACACTTCCGACCAACTTGGTATGTTAGTTCCAAATATTTCAGTTATAAAGAAATATGCAAAAAACGTGTTGAAAAAGTATTGGAAAACGCAGATGGAAGACGTTTCTGATTTTTTTTTCGTAATATTTTAAATTATGTAGGTCTTGCAATAAAAGTCACGTTGGTACTTGTTTCTAGGGCATAATTATTACGGCTTCGATTTCGAAGCCACTTTTGAACTTCTCTGAATCATTTATTTGAGAGATTTCCGCTCACTTTCGCAAGAAATACTCAAACCACTAGCTAAATCACCATCGCCCCGATAAATATCAAAATTAATTTGCTTCCGACCTACCTCGCAAGGTTAAAAACAAGAAGAAGCAAAATATCAAACTGGTTTATTTGAAAAATGGAACCAACAATTTGTTATTTAGGGCCTTTTGGATGGAAATCAAGTTGATAAAATAAAGATCTCTGATGAAGGAATGGAGTTTTTAATAGCTAGTCAGCTACTTATTGATTTGAAAGCCAGGAAGTTAAATACGTTCCGTCCATGTTAGTGGTTAGAATTTATTGTTAATCTCGTAACGAAATAATTTTGCACTTGCGAAACTCAAATCAGGATGTAACTGTGTGGCAGCTCATCCCAAGGCCACGAAAAAAGCCGCGATTCTGTCCCGCGACGGATGCGCGAGGATTGTGGACGTCAGGAATGTTTCTTTCGCAAGTGATTATAGATGCCTCCTTCTAAATGGGCCCCGCAATCGTGGTGCTTAGATTGAATTAAATCGGAAATAAGAAACTTTCAAACAGAGCAAATCGCATTCAGCCGCTCCCAGGTATCGAGCTGCGCAGTCAACTAACTCGACTTTGTTTTTCCGCCTGTGGAAGTCTCCTTTTCGCCGGCTCTGAGTCCGGCTCAATCGTTTGCTGGAGCACAGTAACAAATAAAAAAGGAAGCGGGTCAAATTGGAATAATTACTGTAGGAAAAAAACCCTGGAAATCATCTGGTTTGAACTGAGTAGAACTAACTAACCGGCTGATTGCGGGTGATCCTCATGTGACCGGGAGATCGGATTGATCGACCAATCTAACTTATTTTGCGGTTTTCCTGATCCGCGTAAAAGTGGTGGAAATCTCCGCTTCTGACCTGCGCAACACCGCACCATGTCGCGATATTTCTTACCATCCGCATCACCATTCCCTCGCTTCTATTTGTTATCAGACGAAAAAGGTATCCGACGATTAAAAAAACATTCCTATTCTTATCTTTCATAGGGGCTGCAAATCTGGAAATATGACATGACAAAGGCGCATTTGGAGCGATCAACACGCGTTGATATCCGACCATCGGAGACACTAAAACCTCTGCCGCGGCAAAGCGGACCTTTGGAACCACTGAGTCGGTCAGAAAACTCACTCCTCGGCAGCTCAAGTCGGCTGAGGAAGTCCGTCCTTCCTCCGATGAATACGACTAGCAATGGCACGGTGTTAAATGACGTTCGAGCGCAGTTTGAAGCTGCACTTACAAAAATTACTTCGGCAAATGCACGACACGACGACTCTTTTGTTGACAGGTTTGTTTCACAATAGTTTCTTCGAATATTTTAACAATTTTTAGGCCGATGGATCTGGCAGATCTTAACACAAGTTTTACCTCACGACTTGGTACCTCAAGTTTGACAAGATTCGGTCGCCAACGAGATGAAAACGTTGCCGAGCCCCAAGAGATCGAAAAAGTCCAAATAACCACCCATGCGCCCGTCCTGATGCGGTCACAACCTCCGCCCATGTCTGCTCAACCACCAGAGTTTAAGGCGCCGCTTCCTGTCGACGGTGAACCTAATCCGTTGAGCAACAGTCAAAACATGCGCATGGCAAGTCCAATTACAACACCGACAAAGAAGACCCGAAAGAAGAAGAAAAAATCAACCTTGGAAACATCAGAAAATCAGAAAACAATGAATGAAAGCGAAAACTTACCACCTCGGCCGCCAACGATACCCACAAATGCGACCGCAACGATTCCAAAATCTCCGTAAGTTGAATAAGTCTTGAACGTGACACTATTTTCACTCATGCATTTGTATCACTAGAAGCAAATAGGATTGCGTTGTAACAGGAGGATTTATCAATGTTCATCAAATTTCGATCAAGAGTTTCTTATTTGTAAATCATTAACTGATTGATAATTAAGACCTTCGGTGAAAAAGCGCCAAGCTCCACCTCCACCAACTCCTCTAAAATCTCCCGAAATGATGATGCCATATCCTGCTCCAAAAGCAGAACGACCAAAACCTATGACGACAAACCTCTTCGATCAGATCCGCAGTATGACGGAGCTGTAAAATCATTCCTCTCATCTTTTTTTTCTTTTACTTTTTTACTTCCCTGATATTTTTATAAATAAATTGATTATTTTTTGATACACCAACTTGTTGGAGATTCGATAATGAAGCTACCGCAAGAGGGGGTTATTTCGCACGCTGCAGAGTGTCGATTGATTTTTAAGTAGGAGCTGCATTTCATTACTGGAATCCCATAGAGCCAATCGCAAAGGGACTGGTATTCAGTCGATTAGTTGGATTGCTAGATCGGTTGATTGTAGGTCAGATTGGGTGCTTTTAGTAGTTCGATGTATTGAAATTCTAGGGCAAGTCATTTCAGTGAGCAACTGTGTTTGCTTTTCTCGCCGGAACTATTTGAATAATTTATTCTAGCATTTCGTCTATCACCTAGTTTAAAATCGCTTATGAAGTTGAAATTGTATGTTGAGCCTGACTTCTTATCCATCTATCAGAGAAAATTAGAGGTCCAGGTGTGAGAAAGATGAACAAGAATCGTGATGCCAAATCCGTTTACAAAATAAGAAAATAAAACAGAAAATACTGTTACGTGAATGGCTCGAGTCGTCATTTACCGTAGTTGGCGCTGGTGCGCTCCCGCTCCTCCGCCGCCGCGGAGGTCCTCCACCAATGTGGCGCTATGAGCTGGGACAACGTGTTTTCACGTTTTTGAATAAGTGAAGTACCTTCTCTTTTTTTCCGTTGACATTAATTACGAAAGACAGCTTTTTCGATTCGTATTGACTTTTTGTTAATTATGTTGATTCGCATAATCAGCCGCTTTGCTTTGATACGTAAGAGAAAACAAGAAACTCGCGTGTGGGAAATTATGTTTTCATTTAGAGAGAATTTATGCCGAAGATGATGGTGAAAGACATTTTGCGGTGCAAGAGAAAATGGGATTAGGCGTCGACCCGAGTCAGAATTGCCATTTTGATCAATTGCCGTATCTAGCAAATGGCCAGTACGCGTGTGAAGATAGAGGTACTTTTGCTCATGGATCTGTCTGTGATTTTCGGTAGGAGGAGCCTTTCATTTTTCAGCTTTTACAGAATGATTTAGTTGTCAAGCTAATATGGATTCATTCGAAGTAAAATGCCACTGTCTTGTCAAGCTTAGGTTCGAATTCCATTAGATCATCAATTCCTTTGTATAAATTGTTGAGGATGATTTTGAACACTGAAGTAGCGCGGAATTTTTACGTTCCAAGCCCGGACGGTTGTTTTTGGAAAATCCAAACAGATGAGGCGACTTGTCCCCGACCCAGGTTTCGTGTCTCGAGTCCGATAGGAATGTTGTTACAATAATTTATGCAGGTACATTTGCTCGATAGACATTTGAAATTACGAAGAAGGGTTTATCAATTATTGTAACACGTGAAAAGCGAGATTAAAAGTAGCTCAACCTGGAGCTGAAAATTGGTCAGAAGATCAAGAAGAATCTTCTGGTGATTCAGAACAAAGTCGCGTTTCAACCCTCGAAGTGGAGCTAGAAGAAAGCTCGAGAAGCATCGATCTTCAAGGAGATAAGATCGACGAGCTCGCTGCAAAAATAGAACTGTTAGAGAATAAAGAGAAAGAACTAGAGATCGAAAACGAAAAGCTGAAAAGAGGATTCCACGACGTTGTGTTTGAAAATTCACTAGCGCGCGCGTTATTGCTCCAAAACGTGCACGCCGCGCAGGACAGGGTGAAAATTATTTTCTCGCGAAGTTCCATTCAGACGTGTATGGGAGAGTGATAAGTACAATGTTCTGATTTTTCGGTACACTTTTGGTGCTTTGTTCAGCGCTTTTTTGATGCATCTTTTCTTGATAAAATTAGGCTTTAGTAACCTCGATTTTTTTTTCGGGAAACGGGCAAAAGGAGGCTTTTCAATTAGCGATTTTTATTCAAAACAATTGTTTATGTCACAAAAATTTAACATTAAGTTCTTTCCAGCACACCTTTATGTACGAACAAAGTGCTTTCTCATTACTAGTACATTGTTTTTCCTACTCAAGACAATTTTTACTTGTAGTTCACGTTTTCTCATCCCGTTTAAGTCATCACAAGTGGAGCAAAACCTGCGTTTCATGAAGAGCTTGGAAGGAACGGGTTGCATTAAGCCTCTTTGATCTTTGCTAATTAAAGGAAATGCAGTTGGGTAACCCGATTAGACCGTCTGAAGGCTTACGAGCACCAGCAGCGCGAACCAATTATTGAAATCAAACGAGGTGAGTCTTTTTCTGTGGAATGAATTCTGTTGCTCAGACTTTTCTCTTCAGACTTTATCAAATTGAAACAGGAGGTGACAGATAACCAGGTTCCACTAGAAGAGATTGTCGACCTCAAGGTAGGCCCTTATCACTTCTTTTGACTTCAATTAGCAAAATCCCACTGTGGTCGAGTTGGATGAATTTTCTTGATTGCCACATTCCAAAGCTGGAATTTTATATGCTCGAAATGATCTAACCAAGCAGAAATTTTATCATTTCGATGATTACTTATCTTTCTATCTATTCAGGAACTTGGAAATTTTATCCAACAACGTGTGCTATCATATTTGCTACGGTTTCAAAAAGTTAATTATTTGCGAATCGCGAATTTGCTGAGTTTTGTTTTTATTTCATTTTCATCTTTTGAAACCCATTACCAGCTTCAATCAACGCCGAAAATAGAAGAACTCAACGCAATAACTGAAAAATAACTGTACAAATAGCTTCAAAACCCCAGCTTTTTGAAATCAGCAAAACTGCCTCAACAAAATTGTACATGCAAAATAATTCTGTAAATAACACGATCAATCAAGGTATTGTAATTTTCAAGTCCATTCTGACTGTCGCTCTCGAAGGTAGTTATTTGTAGTTGCGGTGGAGGGTGACAAATGCCTTCCGTGGTTGAGAAAGGGCGAAAAGGGGATGAAATGATAGAAATTATCGTTTAGTAAACATGCGCTTGATGAGCAACTACCGTGATTGCTTTTCACAGGATCATTTATTTTTGCGTTTTTTCAAGATGCAGAGGAGTTAACAGAGCCTTGTGAGGAAATACTCGGTCGCGCACTGCGCTTGGAAAAATCGTCTTCGAACGTTGATCCGGAGGCCCCATCCATGTCAGTGACCATCAATCGCTGTAGGACGCCCTGCAGATTGCCAACGAAGCCCTATTTTTTTTATGAATTTCGAGACAGTTATTCGAGAATATCTTACTCGGAGGGATGAAAGTTCAGTCCGTAGTTGTTTGTTTTCTTCCTCAACAGCCATATCTTCCTAAATTAGGGATATTCAATTTGAATGTTCTCTTCAACTTACAATTTTCTTGACTTCTTTCCTCAGTTTCTCGCCTTCTGGGTCTTTGATCTCCTTCAGCAGCTGCAATCCTCTTGCTCTTGCCATTGTATTCTTCATGTCATCCTGGATTTTTCGAATTTGCTAGAAAAATGTACTTGATTTCGCCATAGATTTACCTTCCTTACTCTTTTCTGTGAGTCAATGACTACGTCTTTCGCTTCACAGTTGTTTTTGAGGCTTTCGTTTGTTGCTTTCAGAGCATTTATTTCGATGTCTTTCTCTTGAAGAGCCTTTTCCATCTCATTTTTAAATTGTGTGAAGAAATCGTTCATTTTGTCCATTTTGAAAAATCTTTTCGTTGAATTTCAGGGATACCTTGAGACTCAAGACTTGAGTTATGAAGAGAAGATTCAGATTCATTCGTTTTTATAGCGGGAAGAAGGGAAAGCTGAAGGTCATTGGAAGCAAATAAATTAGACAATAACGGGTTTTGTGGACATTACGTTCACCTTATCTCGATTCAAGATGCTTGAATGCCGTATAAAACTGTCACTTCTTCCATATAGGAGTGATTTGAGATTTTCTAGGAGCGTGGTAAACATACTATACACTGGTTTTACTGTCTTACAAAGCATAAACTGTATTGTTTTATTGACTCTCATCGAGAAAAGCAATCATGACGTCCATCCGTTCCACTTCCCTACACAGAGACATAGGAATTGAACTCACCACTTGCTACTAATTTGAACAAACATTCTTATCTTCATTTATTATATCCGAGCATCAACTGATTAAAGATCAAAAAGGGAAAGAAATAACAGCAAGTTGTGCGTCTTTTCTTTACGGGATACTTTCAATAACGAGAGCAGCGCCAGAGGTTCCATTCATGGCAATGAGTTCTGATGGTCGCATACTCAATTTTCTCATATCTGTTTCATTGTTTGTATTTTGTCGATAAAAGTAGTAGACTGACCCTTACGAAAAAAATTGAGGAGGTATAAATTGAAGGATAAGTTTACCTAACAGACCGATTGAAGCAATTGCCACGAAGATAATAACTCCTGGTTGATTCATTAGGGTTTCTTCTTCTTCGCATACATCTCCTGCCAAGCAAGCTTCACAGTTCGATTCCGCTTCGATTATTTTACTGTTGAGACTTTTCATTTTCGTCTGAAGCTCTTGGTCGTCCTCTATGTCTCCAACAAAAACTCTGCCGTGCGATTTTGATTCAAGTTCCTCGAGAATTGATCTTTCGGACTGTTCATCAGATTTCAAGCAGCCTTTTTTTGAAGTGAACAATCCAAAATCACCGCCAACAAATTTTCCACAACATCCACGTTTTCTCAGAAGTTTTTCGCAGTTATCTGCCTTTTTGTTCAATAAAACTCTGATTTCATAGCACTACTAATAGTTTTATCTCAGATCAAATAGAATTTATATTGCTTTCAAGGCAACTTACCGCGGTGCAGAAGTATCTCGTACATGAGCTTCCCAAAACGAATGGAAGCAGAAAAATAAAAGTCACTCTCATATATCTCTATATATACTTTCTATATTTCGGAATATATTGTTCCCTCTCCTACTCTAACTTAGAGTTCGCTTCCTTTTTCACCATTTTAACGACAGCCCCGCTAGTGAACGATTATTATTTTGCTAAAAAGTGTCCTTTTTAATGCACGTTTGTTGTAACAAACTAATTTTGTCATAAAAAATCTCATCATCATAAAATCGTCATAAAATTATCTTTCTTTTTTTTTTGATGTGGTATTTTGAAAGTGTGAAATACCAAGACCGCCGAAGACGATAGTTACCTATTCAACCTTTCACATCTACCGAAGGGCCGAAGTTCGGCCGCCGAACAATTACCTTTTATATCCTTCAGTAAATTTAATAAAGATCAAGATGGGAAAGAATAAACAGCTATAAATGAAAAGATTTTTTTGGTATACTTTCGTTATCTTCTTTTCTAATATTCTCTATAATGACAGCGGCGCCAGAAATTCCATTCATGGCGATGAGCTCTGACGGTCTCATGCTCGATTTTCTCAATTTTCTTACATTCTGCATATATTTTCTATGAGTGTATAAGACGGACGCTAACAAAAAGTCTTTTAGAAGATGAATGGAAGAATATATTTACCTAACAAACCAATGGAAACAAGAAGTCCAACGAAGATTAAAGCTTTTGGTTGTTTTGATAGCAAAAGATTCTTGCTTTTTCACAGACATCTTCCGCTGAGCAATCTTTACAGGTCGATTCTGCTTCCTTTATTTCTTCAGTGAGATATCTGATTCTTGCCTGAAGGTCTTTGTTGTCTTCTATGTCTTCAATAAATACTCGGCCGCTCGATTTTGATTCTAGTTTCTGAATGATTTTCTCTGACTTCTGATCGGATTTCAAGCAGCCTTGCTTCGATGAAAATAGACCAAAATCACTTCCAACAAATCTTCCACAGCATCCTCTCTTATTCAGAAGTTTTTCGCAGTTATCCGCTTTTTTGTTCAATAAAACTCGTATTTCATAGCACTTAATTTTATGGGAGATCAAATTTACAGCCAACTTACAGCGGTGCAAAAATATTTCGTACATGCGCTTGAAAAAACGGGGGAAACAAGAAAAATATAGAAAACTCTCATCAGGATACTAGTGCTTGATTGTTTTCAATTTCCACGATGCTGCCTGAAATGAATTTTTTATTCGCTCTTCAACTTTGACTTAGAGTACTCTGCTTCCTTTTCAACGTTTTCTCGATGGTAGAAATTGAAGAAGTTTGGTAGAAGTGCCTCTGTTGTGACTGATAGTAATCCGTTCTTGAAGGGCAACTAACTATTCTTCTCATAAAATGATCATGTCTGCTTTCCAATGCCGTATTTTCAAAATGTCACATACGGTATGTGACATACCAGAGATCAACGATCTTTGGCGTAAAATAGATGAAATACAAGTTCATTTCATAAAAAATGCTAACTTTCAGTGTTTTTTCGAAATTTAAATAAACAGAAAAGGATTACATCGCAGATTCCAAAGTGTTCTTGCAAGCAGTAAGTGCGTTGGTAAGCCCACCAACGGAGTTCTTCGCGGCGCTGATGGCCTTCTTGTACTTGTCGTTCTCGGCGGTCTTGACAGAAACGTCAGCGTTGAGTTCATCTTCGATTTGTTGCTTCTCGGCGGCTAGAAAAGAATGGAAATCGAAAACGCTGGCGGAGATTTGGTCTTACTGAGCTCAGCAATCTCAGCATCGTATTTAGCCTGCTTGGTGTTTTTAATGTCGTTGAGCTCGTTGGTGGTCTTGGTCAAACGAGCAATTTTGTTGTCAAGCTACGTAGAAGGTATTTACTGTCTGCAAGCTCAGGGAACAGTGGTACAGGTAGACTCTACTTACGCATTCGCCATATTCAATGGCTTCATCCAAATCGTAATCAGTAGTCTTGATTGTCTTTTCATTTGTTGCTCGAGTTCGCTGAAGACCATCTCGCACATCGGCAACTTGTCTGTGCTGCTTTCGAAGAGATTCGATTTGGCATTTTTGCTACAATAAAGAGGAGTTTTCGCTAAAACTAGGTGTTCTGTGAACCTGGTACTCAAGGTCTTCCATTTCCCATTTCTCCTTGAAGAGCTGGATCATCTTGTTGGTGGCGTTGTAAGCTTTTTGAACCATCTCTCGATTGACACTAATTTCATCCTTTTGAAGATCTTCAAATAGCCCTGTCTTTATCATTCTTGCCATTTAAAAAAATCCGTGCCTTGAGCAGATACTTGTTGAGGCAATCCCGGAGTTCCAAGAGCTCGCGTGGCTGGAAAAATTTTTACCAATCATTGGTGTTTGTTTTTAAATCGAATTCTTTAAGCCTTTTATATGGAAAATATAATTGCTTTTTTTGCTCAAATAATGGTTCTTTTTATTTGAGTCTGAGAATTTATCTTTTGATTTTGTAATTTGAAAAATTAAAGCTTAATTTTTCATAAAAAAAACTGGCTCCGGGCAAAGTTTCTTCAGTGTAATATCTACTCTGTCTCTCTCCAGTCCATGCAGATATTACTGTAATCATTACAGTCTGTAATGAGTAGCGTGCACATACCGTTTGTGGTTTCTTCTATAAATCATAGGGTTGATAATTTTAAATCAGTCGCGTCATGCAGTTAGTAGCGCAATAAGTAAGGGAAAAAATGAAATCCAAAAAAGAAGGTTCTCCTCCTTGATTTTTTGAGTACTCACGATGGAATTCGCATTAGCCTTAAGAATAAGAGGATGAAACATGAACAAATTCTTGATTTGGTCATCTTTAGACTCTCTCCCCAAAATGCCAAGGCGACAATATTGGGGAGAGATGATCATTTTGGTGGTATATGTACAGTAAGATTCTTACTGTATGAAAGTAGAATCGAGTCAGAATTTACTTCGAGGCATTCTTGGGCTATCCAAGAATAACGCTTTTTCAAGTCCTCCTGTTGAGTAAATAACAGTGGATGAATTCATCAACTACTATTTGATGGAATAATAAAGTGCAATTATAGATGGAAGATAGTGTGCTTGAAAGGGCTTGAAATGCTTACCGTTGACGACATTTTTCTCTAGTGCTATTTTTAAAACAAAGATGCTTCAAAGAAAAGCTTGAGTACCAAAGTTGAAGAGGTGAGAATGAGTCACACCAACTGACGTGTTTTTTTAGATCTGCATGCATTTGCTTAAATGTTCTTTTTCTTATCGCTGAAGTTTTCAAGAACTAGTCGGCATAGAAGATCCGCAGCGAAAATATTTGAGGCGCATACTTGGGGCAACGAGTTTATCCAGTTCGGTTATTTAATTTTAGACTGCAATTAGATGTTTAATTTAGGTCAGTTTTTGCGTAAACGCACATGCGTTAACTGCTGATGTGAAATCCAGATGTGTTGAACTTTAATATATTATGGAAAAAGTCTCTTTTAGAGTTACTACAGAGCTCTTTTTGTGCTTCAACTTTTCTTAGAACAGCGTCGGGATAAATATATACGGAGAGCCTACAGAAGATAAAGTTTATTTCTCAACGAGTTGGTACCTTGATTAGGAATAGCGTCGCGTTTTGTTTCTGGAAATCGTAATCGAATACGGCTTCGATAAACTCTACAAATTATAGAAAACTTGAAATCAAGGAAGAGTTTCGTACCGTTCTGCGAGGGTCGCTGCGAGCATCAAATTAGCTTTTTTAAAGGTCATTATCAATACAGATCCTTAGCTATTAGCTAACTAATCGAGTTTAGACAGCTCTAGAATTTTCTGTGTATTTTTTTGTGTTTGCTTCTGCTAAAAATCTCGTTGTTTCAATTTCTTTTTGGACCTCTTCCCTAAGATCTTCATAAGTGTTCGTTTTATTAACCGAAACAAATGAAGAGGACTTGGATAGCTTCTCAGCCTTTATACGCTGCTGGAGCTTAGGAGCACCCAATCTGTTCAAGTGAAGGAGATCTGTCCGATCGAGGACACGCGAGTCGCTCACGTACTGTCATTCTTATCTAAAACCCATTAGCGTAGACTCCTCGAATGCCTTTAAGGTGATTAGCCGGCATAACTGTATCCACGCACATATGGACAATGTATTACTGTTTTACTTTGATTGCCCACTGCCAAATCATCAATTAACTACATCCAACAACCGCTTAACGCGTTTGTTTAACCAAAAACTCAAACCTGCAAAGAAAAGACACAAAACAAGATGATTTTTGAATGGAAATTGATTTTATTCAGGAGCTGATTGACAAGACAGGTTTTTCTTGGATTGTTTCTTCTTTCGTTCTGCTCCAAAAACCTCTTCAGGTTTTGGGCTTTTGAGCAATCCCTGAAACCCAGATCGCTTGTCTCCAGGGCCTTAAAAGTATAAAGTTTAGTTATGCAAATTATTTAGCAAATAGTATAGTCGATCTATTGCTCAAAGAAAAGCGGCTAACCTGTTTTTGTCGGATGACGGACTTTGAAAATCCAAAAGACTGCCGATGCCGACCACCAAAGCCACTGACAACAACAGTTTTTCTAGAGAATTTTCGACCAAACTTAAAATCTTTGATTTTTCATTCCATGAGTTCTAGCGATGATCAGAAGGTTCAAATAGATAGGGAAAGCATCCAGTTTTCAATGTTATTCAATAAAATTGGCTTTATTCTCGAAAAAGTCTCGTAAATCCGCAGCCCTAATTGGATGTTCGCCTGAGTCTGGGACATCGGCATGAGGTTTCTCTTCATGTGGCCTACAATGTTGGGATTTTTCGCCGATTTCGCGGCGTCGTTGATCAATTATCGAAGGATGAGCCCTTCTAACTCGGTTTAGGGCTGCAAATTCTAATCGGATTCCGGTTAGTTTCACTTTGGAGCCAGGCCCAAGCCAAGAATCTTATTTCCGGTTAATCAAATTTCCACAATTGAACGATTTCCCCGGGAAAAACCAGAGTTTAGCAAAGGTAACATTATTTACAGTAGAGCCTCTGTACATTTGTGAATCGAATTAAGAAGAATAAACAGATTCTTACTGTTCCTGAAAAGCCTCATCAAATCTGTAGGACATTTTGAAGCAGAGTCGACTGAGCTTTTGTTAATTTTTGGATGATGAACAAATAATCACCAATTTATAAACAATATAATAAGACAAACTCGCGAGTCAACTCGTAAATCAATCATTCGCCTAATTTAAATATTCCATCATAAGCTTGTTATTGCACGTTTTGCCCAATCATCAACCCCTATCTCTAAAAAAGGGATAGGCTTGGCTTCTATCTTCATGTTAAACTTGCAATTATCAATTTTTGGCGCAGCTGGTCAACTGATGAACAAAACTCGCCGTGGAAGCCATTGTAGAAAAGTGGCCTGATAGCGATTTGCCATGGCAATGGAAAAAAACGAATCTACGGCTTTAGAAAAAGGATTGTAAAACATTCAAAGAAGGATTCAATAAAGACAGATTTTCTTGACGATTAGATCAGGGCTTGGCGAGCTGTGTTGAAAACCTGACGTGGTAAGGGCTCATTCTTCAGATTGGCTGAAAAAATATGACGAAGTTGCTGAACTTGAACCAACCCTATCTGTTTTGTGTATGGACTAAGGGGCAGTGTAATCGGGAATTATGAGATGGTATTACCATTATCGCTATTTACGTAAAACAAGCTTGTAAAGAAACGATTAGCGGATCCATTAGACAGTTTGTTTCCTAGTGCTTATTCATTTTAAAGTTTTTAAAAGGCGCCAAACAGTAAATGAGCTTTTCTAGGAATAATCTCTTTCGAGCACTTTTAAATCAAATGCTATAACTAACTAGCTAACCCACTTAAAACCGTAGAAAATGAAATTAACTGCTGATGGGCGCAAAAAAATGAAAAAATTAACAGAAATCAAGTGTTCTAATCAAACGCGCGTTGAGAGCCCAATTTTCACGTATAAATACGAGCCGAGAGACTTTTTCGATTTTTTATTTTTCGTTTCGTAATTTAGTAAAATAATGGAGCCAGTAATTTTTACGAGAGCTAGAAATTAAGCTACTTAGAGGCTTCTCTCGCACTTTGGTGCAATAACACAATTGACGGCGGATAATTTCTTTTTTCCCAGTACGTTTTTGCCAAGAAATCATTTTCAACTCCAAATTTGAGGGATTTTATTTTTGCGAAAGAGACTTTCACCATTTCTTTCTCAAAAAATATGAAAAATTTTTTTGTTTTGCATTTTGTCTGTTGATGTTGGTAGAGAAGGAATTTAAAATATGAAACAATCAATTTCATTTCAACAAAATTGATTGCTTGTTCTTCTTATTTTTTGTTTCATTTCAAAATATGATAGAATTTCCGCCTATTTTTCCGGTTATATCCTCTCTTCCATCTGCAGAACAGCCTCTTGAGAACAGCTGGGCCGACTTTATAATAATTTATTTTGAATCTCCCTTGATTATTATCTTTTTATCCTTGATTACCGCCAGCTTTTACCATCGAGACTCAATTAGAGATTACTTCCCGTTCTATTCATTTCCCCACATGGTCCTGACATTATATCCAAAATAGCGAACCATCTTCTCTCTCCCAGGAAAATGACTATTTTTCAATTTGATAATCTCGAGTTCAAAAATAAATGAAGCTAAACAGATAACAATTAGTCCCTTGTTTTCCTTCCCTTTTTTTGTTTGATTGATGAATTTATCGCTTAGCTAAGATTTGGAACAAACGTGTGTTTCTTTCATAATTAACGCAAAAAGCTTATTTTAGATAAAAACTCACCGGAAATCAATTAAAACATCAGAGCCCTAAAATACTCGCTGTGAGTATCGGCTCCACTGAAAAACAGATTAACGTGTATAAGCATCATAATTCGTCAAAAATGTGCAAAATTAAGGACCACGCCCAGCTCTTTAACCTTTCATTTAGCACGGGGAATAATTATTTCACGCTTGTTTTTTGACGCAGTTTTGAAAACACTGATTGACTAGTATTTTGATCAATTTATTTCGAATTTGAAGCGACTCGGCTAGTTAAAATAACCTAACCCTAGTCCCTTGCTTTATCTTTATGACCACAGAAACTGATGCTAAGTAGACCAAGTTAAAAGAAAGAATCAAAAAATGATCAGCAATCACCCTAATTGGCCATTGCACAATCTCATTATGTCACAGGACTGACACGTTCTAAAGCAATAAAGCGAAAATTAAAAAGCCCCCCTATTCCCTTATTCCTGTCAAGCCAGGAACGACACTAACTCGCCACAGACTGAGCTGTCATTTGAATTTTGGTCTTGAAAATTGGGAAGCGAAGCATAATTTCATGAATATTTTTTGGTAACGGCCAATTTAAACACTCGTCATACTGTGGCCAACCGAGTTAACCTTTAAAAATATTGGGGGCATGTCTAAAGAGATTTGTGGTCTGATGACCAAATTGCACATCAATTAATTAATTGTTGTCTGTGAACTTAATTTGTTTAAATTGCCGAATAAAATGATTTTTACTTGAAAGATTTGCCATTCATTTTTTATCAGCAACTGATTGATTCCAAGGGCAAATCATCTAATAAATTATATAGTTTATATGATGAGGCTTAAATGCCATTTTACCGGATAATTGTCTAAAAATATCGAGGGCTCCATATCTGACTCCAAGAATAAGGGGCTCACTTTGTAAATAACTCGACTAAAAGCTTATTTTTTGAAGCGCAAGACTTTTGAGGCTGGATAAATTTGGACAATCTGAAAAGAATTTAAGCCGACTTTGCGTTTCTTATCAAGCGATATCCTTGCTTGGAAAAAGTGAGAATGCGATAATGAATATTAAATTAGAACACCCAAAATTTGTTAACCTGATGACAAAATAAAGCTGACGAAGATAAATAATAGCCCCATTTGTAATTACCCCTGGTGACTTTAATCGAATTCACGGGGCTTGCTCCTGGTGTTTTTCGAAAGACTAAAACGTGATAAATTGAATTTATTTGCGATTATCTTATCAGCAAGAGGAGGCTTGTTGCTTATTTTGAATCACAATATAGAATAGAATGGAACTTGGAAATGAGATAATTGATTTTTCATAATTGAGCTTTATTTTCAAATTCAAATCTTAATTGTGTCAATAGAAGATTCTGAAGTGACTTTCGGACGTTCGCAAGAATTTGAGGGAATTTTGTATTTCCGCTATTTTGGTGGTTCACGTCCAGATATTTTGTAAAGAGAGAAGTTTTGATTTGATTTCGTAAAGATTCATTCGATTTATTAGCGATCTTCCGTCACTGCTCTTCCGAGAACTCGGGCTATTTTTAGTTCCACTTCTGAAATTATCGAATATCGGCCTCTATTTATGACATAACTTGTAACTGTCAAATCTAGGTCTTACAGTATGTTTTTCTTGTTTCAAAAAGGCGTTACGAAGAATTTCAAAAATTCATGAAGAAAATGTCATGTTAATCGTCATCATTTATATAACTTTTGTTTTAAGCCTTGATTAAGGAGGTGGTGGTCGAGAATTATGAAATGATTTTAAATTTTCGGCTTTAATTTATAGTTATTCAATGAAATAACATATATTGACTAAACTCCTATTTGTATACGGACCTGATAGACTTGCTTTTACTTCAACCTCTCAATTATTGAAGGCATTAATATTTTGATATAAAAATTAACAAATACTGAAGAACGGAGAGCGGACTACAGTTTATTTCATCAAAACCTCCTCATTTATTCGGTTCTTCTCGTTTTTTGTAGAGAATATCAAGGAAATTTTCTGGGATTGCACCTTTTTTTTCCTCGCCTGTTTTATGATCTCTCCTTAATTATAAAGTTTTCTCATAAAAATGCTATGTGATTTAAGATAAGTTAAAAATTCTTACATTTTCGCATTGCACCATCCGTCTTCCAGGGGTTTTAGATCATAAAAGAACTGGAAGGGCTCAAAACTAAGCTCGTCATCGTTTGCCGCTTTATAGTTGAATCTTGCAACTCCAAATCGTTCCGTTTTTTCCAGTTTAAGAGTTTTTAATTCCTTTAAAATCGTTATTTTCGATTAACTTGTATATTTTATACATCAAACTGATCTGACATCTCGTTGATCTTAACTTGTTGCTCCTCAACTATTTTCTTCAAACTTGTATTTTCATCCTCAATTGCTATGAATCTTTTTGCGAGCTTATCAATTTCATGCTTCATTTCGTATGTGATCTTCATTGATTCAAGACGCGCGTCGATCATCGCGCTTACATCTACCCTGTTAAGACCTAATGAAGGATAAGTTAGCTTTAAATGACTGTAGCAGCACCACAAACCATTTTGAGGTTGGTCGGTTGTGAATGAACTGATTTCAGAAAATTCAATACTTGATATAGACGGAAGATCGTCAGCCATTTTCTCTCTTTACAAAAAACTACTCGACGCGCCTGGGAGCCACAGTACGCGAGAATCTGTTTTTTTTATTTGATTTTTGGCTGAATACTACTGTTACGAGGTTTTGAGTCATAAAATCAAGAGTGAACGAACAAATTAAGAATACAAAGGAAAGTATTATAATCTTTCAGTAATAGATAAGCAGAAAAATCATCAATCCTGATTCAGAATAATTTCATGAAATACCAATCATTCGATACATATCGATTGAAGAAAATAACATTGTTGAAGTGTTTTATGTAGAAATCACATTTTATTCGAAGTGCATAAAAATCAATATTGAAATGATCGGTTTCTCTTAATTTATGATTAATAATAAGATGGTCTACCCAGAAAATGTAGACGTAGCATCTCCAGATATTTATAAAATTATTGTCTAATAAACATTCCCACAAGTTGCATTACACTTGCAGATGTCACGTGACAATGACATAAGTTCCAGAAGTTAACGGCGACTCTGGGCAAGATAGAAAAATGTGTATCAACTCTCTAAATAATAAATCTCTTGTTTCGTTCTATTCTATGCTTCTGATAAGATGCCGGAGTTCTCTGAAACTTGGACAATAGCCACGTGGAGAAGCTTTCATGAGATCATGTCTTTTATCGTGGTTGTCATTCACTGATTCGTTTTTATGTCTGGCTTTTTAGATTATGAGAATTTTCAATAACTCTTGATAGATTTTTTATGGACATTTGTAATCAAAACGAAGTTATCAGCCGCAAACTCATCTTAAGTACTCAAGATTTTATTGTCAAGATTTCTGCTATGCTTGAACCACTTCATTTTTCGTTATTTACAAACTGATTATTCAACTATATTTAGTAGTCCATATATTTCCTTATTGAGAATATATCATTGTGTAATGCTGAATAGACTATGAATTCTATCCTTTCAAGTCGATTTAAATCAGACTAGACGCCCCAAGAATACAGGCTTATTTCTCTATCCCTTCTCTGATTTCCCTCTCAAACCGGCTTCTTAGACCCCCTTGTTCTCTTGCTGCTAATAAAATTACATCTGGAAAACTCTGTTTTTCGCCATGATAGGATTCGACCCTATCGTATCCGTACAAACATCAAATTGCAAAGTTTACCCAAAACAGTCTTTAAGTTCAAGGAAAAAATCCAACAGAAAGCAGTTAGACGAAGTTTATTTCTGATGAAAAAGTTTCTAGCCCCTTTATTTGGACAGGTTTGATTTGAAACAACTCCCAGAAAAAATAAAATTTGAACGTTTTTCTTCAATTTTGCATCTTGCTCTTGAGATGTAGCGAGGAATATCCAAGTGGCTACTTAGGAAGGCTAACTGGTCGGATTCTTTTCATTAATATGGATTTTTCTGGATACCGCCGAGGAGCCGTAAGAATACGTGTTCGTTGCGCGACAAAGTGCTCGCCGTCAGCTTCAGGTGCATTAATTCAGACCAGCTAAGTAATTTCCGTAATTGCTCCTCTAATTCACACTTGACAGTGTCAACACTCAAATGCCTCAAGATGGGAAGGATTCAAGACGACTTCAAGTCCGGATCAAGAAGAAAGTCGAAGCAGATTGCGTCAAATAAACGACTCTGGCCTTTAGAAACAGGATTGATATTTACAAAAATTGAGCAAGAGCAATATTTCACTCTGAAATTGATCATTTTATTTCGAAATAATTATGATAATTAGATTTTTACTTCTTCTTGATATTATTCAAGGATTGACCTCCAATTTCGCGCTGAATATCAGAGAATGCCCGTAGATACAATTGATGTGGGTTGCTTTTGCTAATATTGAAATTTATAGAGACAAAGATCTTGGAGAAGCATGTGCTGCGCAATGCCGGCTCGAGTATGTTAGCTGCCGATTGGGGTGTTCCGACTCTTTTTGCGACACAGAATGCTTGAATGCTTATTCAGGTTGATTAAAAGTTTTTGTGCATGGTTCAAATTCAGGAAAATCAGCATGTGTTGACACTTGTCCTTGCTACCATGACTGTCCTTCTGGATGTGAGGATTGTTGGCACCCTATTTGCCAGTGTAAAGACCCTGAAACAACGAGTCCAATTTATCGGCAATGCAAAAGTGAAGCACAGACTGGCTTGAATCTATGTATGAATGACTGCCAGACCAATTCAACATGCTTCGATTCTTGTCATGAAACCTTCAAAAGAAATTTTAACCGGTGCCCATGTATGTCAGGCTGCCCGAATGGATGTCCATGTTCCAATGGTTATGTTTGCGAACGCTTTTTTACTGTTATTTGCCAAAATCGTAATGATTTGACATTGAATTACATCGTCTCCGGTAGTGGTCATTTCAAGGAAAGTGTCTTTAAAATAGAAAAGCATAAATTTGCTTTAGGAAAATCGGTACTACTCGATTCCCGAAAGTAGGGACGAATTTTATCAATATCTTGATATCGTCGGTTCTGCAGCGCTAAATGGAGAGATTTATATTTTTGGTGGAAATGAAGATAGATATAAAGTACTTTCAAATTCGTATCCTAATCAAAGCTATTTTTGAAGATTTCTCGAGTACAAGACTGCGGTATTGTTGAGTTGGCTGCAAGACTGGTAACTGAGTGGAATCATCATTATGGAGGCATCGTTACTGTGCCTTCTTCCCCTGACGAAATTCTTTTATGCTTTGGAGACGAAAACGATATCACGACTTGCGAAGAGTTCGATGGGGAGGCCGTTAGAAAAAATCCATTTAGTCTGAGACACAATCATATTGCCGGATGCTTAGGTAAGTTTTTGAAATATGAATTGTGCGTTTTCGGGTCCCTTCCAATAACATTTATAGCCACATTCGACAGCTTTGCGATCGCCATATCAGGAAACTTCGATAGAAAAGTAGAGGTCTTGGGACTTGGTGGATGGCGTGATGAAAGCGATCATCCGAGAGCATCCCAAGCGCTTGGTTGCTTGTCTGTCGGAAGAGGAACTATAACTATTGGAGGATACGACGTTGACGGCGGAACTACAAATGAGGTTTTCCATTTCAATAATGGTGTTTGGTCAAATGCTGGATTTTTGATTGAGGTGAGATTTAAGAAAAAATGCTCTTTCCAATTCCAATGATTCTTTCAGCCATCCTTTCATTCGACAAGCCTATTCTTTGATTCATATTTTGTTTCTTTTGGAAGAGGACCATCGTAAGTGATTGCTATTAAATGTCTTTATTCATCATATTTTTAGATTCAATGTTGCCGAGCGTGCCCAATGGAATGGAACATTTGTAACTTCTTCAGAAATAATCTCAACTGACTCAGAAGACTGCGACTATCCGATTGTTTTCGAGAGTGCTCCAGACGCGTGTAGTCAATCCTGTGATCAATTTTGTTTTCCACAGTAAAAAACTTATAGCTTATGAATAAATAGCCTAGATAAAAATTGGGAATTAATGCTTAAAATTTTCATAAATCCTCTAATAGAAAGGTTCGCATAAAAAGGCAATAATCGGTATAAGCTATATGCTCCAACAGAAACCAATTTCGGGAAGCCTGTGGCGGATCAGACAGGATGATCTCCTATTCTTTAGGGAGAAGAAAAACACTACTTCTAGGAAAGAAATTTTTCTTCAAGAAAACAACATTAACGAAGAGCATTATATTTTTCCCGAAATCTAAAAAAATCTTTATCGCGGCGCAACGTGTTATCATGGCATTTTGACGCGGCACTTTGGAAAGTTTTTTCTTCCAAATTTTTGGCCCAAGTGCTAGAAAAATCAAACCGTAAAGATGTGTCAAAATAGACGCCCCTTATATTTTACAAAAATATAGCGCTTATCTTTTTCAAACAAAAAATGTCAGTAAAAAGGACTTTATAATTTCATTTGTATTCTTGATCCTCTGTAATCGCCACTGACAAGCGATCTGCATGTCTACTTCTTGAACTCTTATGAAATGAACATGCCCTGCATACGTTTTTATTTTAATTAAAAATTCATCTTACAAGAACGGTGAAATAATATTTAAAAAAGGTGATGCCCTGGATGTATTTTGACCTAAGCCGCTATTTTGTTTCAATGAAAACGACTCAATTAAGTTTATACTAAACAAAAGATTAACATCCTTCCATTCAACTAAAGTAGCTTTAGTAAATGCCACATAAAAGAATTTTTCTGTTAATTGACAATCATCGGCTAATTAATAATTTTGAAAAAAAGAAAGATTTCATTTTTTCTGCATTTCGAGTTCGGTTGAGTTTTCTGCTCTGAATAAGAAATTACTTGCTAGTAGATTGAGGTTTCTGTTTAAATATGGATTATTTGATACGTCGCAATCAAGTTTTTATGATGAAAATTAAATGAAAAACATCATCGCAAAGAAAAAATGCATTATTACGAAACACCCAAAATTAGGCAATTCAAAACTCAGCGAAAGCCGGTTTTTTCGTGAAATCTCCGACTCCCGGAGTCCTGGCGCTGCCGAGTCGTTGCGCGGCGCAGCGCTCCACCGCCACCTCGATCTCCACCGTTTTCGCTAATTTATATTGTCGTGAAAAATTTTACGATTCAAATTCGTAAATCCCCCCAAACGTCAATTTTTCGCCTTTTCTCCGGCAGCTAACGATAAGTTTCCTGGAGTATTTTTTTCATTTTTTGAGAAGTCAAAAGTCAACAGATCTTTTACCATCTTCATAAACTACAGTGTGTTACAGTAGATCGAAACAATGAAGGTATTCAACAGCATTGTCGCGGTCACCTTGGCTCAGAGAACTTTCCAAACCGAAGAAACTCAACTCGGTGCAAGGTAAATTCTGGCCATAACTTATGGGCCATAAGTTATAAAAAATGATCAAAATAAGGGGTACCCCTAGTATTTTTTCTTAATAATCCGATATCCTTAAACTAAGAATATTGATTTTGACTCAAAAATGTTCCAGTTTAGACAAGACCTAAACTCATCCAGTAATTTAAGAAAGACGATATCATCTTCCAACCCCTTAAACTGTATTAACATTGATCGAATAATAAAATAGGGATAAGTTAAATCTTTATAAATATTTGTCCGATGAGCCTGATTATCTAGCGACGTAATTTATATTCACATTGATTCAAGCAATTCCGGAATAATGCCCGATTATACCGGCGAAAAGTGAAACACAATCCTTAGTGTTCAAAATTGTCAAAAGTCTGACACAAGTCTGACCTGAGACTAAAATATTTTCTGGAAGTTACTTTGGAAGCGAATTCTTATTTCAATACCTCTCAAATGTACTAGTTGATCCTCATTGTATCCGTATCTCTGCTTTTTTGTAGAAATAATTGGATAAAAAGTTATCGCGTCAAGTTTATCATTCAATAATCCCATTAAAAAGTGGTTTTACTCTTGACTTAAATCTGTGATGAGTTAACCGCTAGATTCAGCTATAAACATGCTTTCAAAACTAGCATTTCCCCTTTAGATTCTAAGTTTTAGATTCGGTAACGGCAAAATATCAATTAGCGAAAAAGAAACTCACACTATTAATTTCGTTTTTAGACGATACAACGATTTGTTGAAGATGGTGAAGAACTACAATCCTGACTTTGACGAGCGAAAATATTGGGCTTACGGTTGCCAGTGCCTCATTCTCGGTAAGAAAGTAGTCAAATCTACAGTTTTGCCAAGAATTTGCTTGTCTAGTCGACAATTTTTGATTTTAACATGAGCATTTTGCGAGTCATATTTCTCAAAAGCTACTGTCGTTACAGTTGAAAAACATTAATTATCCGCATTCTGGGTCATTTTAATAAAAGGCAAATTGGCCTTGTGCCATAATAAAAACCGCAAATGCCTGTTACAGGGAAATCCTGGCAGATCTTGAAAAAGAGGACCGTCAGTTACTAGTGGTTTGTTCTACCGGTCTTTCAAATGCTTGAATCAAAAAGTAACATGAAGGGAGGATTAAGGTAGAAGAGGATTAGGTGATCGAGATTTTCATGTCAAAAACAAGCTTATTTTTGATTGAAAAAGATCAGTTATATTTTTGTTTAACACGATTTCTGATCAAAAAGTTACGTTTGGTGATCCCCTTAGTTGTCATTCAGCTTATTTTGGTAATCACAAGTATGATTTTATTAAGCTTAACTCGGGCTCAAGTCTAGGCGGGTCCACATTATTTTGTTTAACTTCGCCAAATTGATGATACAAACACCAATCGTCAAAATTAATTGAATGCGCTCACAGTTCCTTTTTTCACGACGTCTTTTTTGCGAAGCATTGATGGTCACTTCCAATCAAACCAATAACATATCAAATCTAGCGATATTCAAACAGGCAACATGTTCTCATGTTTTGTTGTTTTGATGATAATTGACGGAACTAGGGTTCTAAGCTTCACGTCCTAAGGGGCCGTAATTGATTAACAACTCAATCAAACATTGAATCAGAAAATAGCTTCATTTTGACATTGATGAAGAGAATTCTCTAAACGAGCATAAATTAATGTAAGATAAATTAAAGTGGTGTTACCATATTTATTGCTAAAGAAAAAACTGCTTGAATAACAAATTCAACAAATTACCGTTTATTATGTACAATTCGAATCTATGTATCATCCGCCACGAAAAATGAATGTTGCTCATTTCGATTCCTTGCAAAAATATGACACGCTGCTAAACCTCTCAATTACCATTCAATAATTCTATAATGAAACCCATCGTAGGAAATCTCCAGTAACACCAGTCTTGGCCGGCGCATTTTTCCCTGAAGCCGGCCACCGTTATTATGCAACTTTTTCCTTCACGTGTTATCTAGGTCACACCTGCAGAATGAGGAATCGTTTATTTAGTCTCCACGCTACTTTTTTTTCGATAGAGTTTTAAAAAAGCAAATTTCAGGCGATCGGCCGATGAGCGAAATGGGACACGGAAAACCAATCGACCAGCTAGACGTTTCTTGCCACAAATACAAACAGTGCCAGAAGTGTGTTCGAAAGGAGTTCGGATCTGTAAGTACCGCCATCGGCGACCGACTGTAGTACTCGAGCTTTGGTTGGATTGTGCAAACATAATCCAGTTTATTCCACGGACAGGGCGATTGATGATTTTTTGGAAATAAATGTAGATCCGTCAAGTTAAAAATTAAGTCTATTTCGCCTAAGACTTTTGCGATCGCATGTATTTTCGACGAGAATAGCCAATAAATACTCATTATCCAAGAAGATGCACACCTTGGATTTATAAGAAGCTGACTGGACACAGCGCTAAATTAAGCTCATTACGGAGGGTCGAAACGTGAATGTTATTATAAATACTCTTCTCGCATTTATCTTTTAAAAATTCTGAAATTTGCTACAACTTAACTTTCAGCGAAAACGCCCGGGCATGGGTCAACTCGATTTCGCGTAATAGCAACCACGTTGTTTAGACGATTTTGTTATACTAAATCAAGTGATTCCTGTTGAAGACACAGTGCCACTTGAGAACAATTTATTTTAACACTGGGCTGGATTAAAATGAAATCAGCTTCGTTTTCAAGTATCGCGACAAAGCAAGTTTTTTTCTGGCTAAGATCCAAAATATTAAATCTTGAAAAAGCAAAATTGTAAATGTTAAGTAGAGACCGTCTGTCTTAGACTGTATGATGCCGCATCTGTAATTTCACAAGCCTTTATTTTATAAGAAAAACTTGAGAAAATATTTCGCGAATACTTTGCGGCTTTGGTTTTTTATTAGAAAAGAAAGCGCAAATTCCGGAGGTTTTATTTCTTCTACTTTTTGGGTTGTCGATTTATTTTTTACTTATCCATTTATGACCTCGCGCGTACTCATTTTACACCTTCGCCGAAAAAAGTACGGAACGTGTAATAAGGGGTATTTTGACACCGTTACGGGACTAAATGAGATCGTTTAGGAGTGCATTGGCGAGTTCGTCAAGTATAGCTGGGGAACCAGACGAAGAGAGGCCTACTGCGAGGATGCTGTTGGAACTTGCGCTAGAGCTCTTTGCGAGTGCGACTTGGACTTTTCCAAGAAGGTAAGAAATATTGATCTTTACAGATTTCCTTGTCTCTGGGAGCGATTCCTCGGGGCTTTACTTACTCGTTAGATGTGTATCAGCAAGCTTTGTTATTGCCCCCGTTGACAGGTTGAGGTTCCGATACACTTCTACTCTTCATCAGAAACCCCTACACGAAATAACAACAGTATCTAACAAGTGAACATTTTAGCTCACTCCGGAGTTGGTGAGCGTCTTTGATCCTGAGTATCACTTGTTCTACACAACTACCGGATGGAATCCTGAGGAGAGCTGCGAGAAGGGAAACGGAGTTTCAAGGAGCGGGTCATAACAATTTTCGACGTGTTTGGGCAACATAGAAATCAGTGTTAAAAATAGACTTGACTTATGTTTTGGGAGAAATTTGCAAGTTCGTAATCACACTCCGTTAGGTTTGAATGATAATTAATAATCATCATTGGGTTGATTCGAGTTCCCATCCTCATTTTGCAGAGGATAGAAAGTCATACTTGCTAGGTTAACGTTTTAACCCGTCACAGACCAGAATGCTGCGGCCCCGACGACGGACCAAAATACATCTACAATTCCTTGTCAAAACAGTGCTGTGCGGATTACTCGATCAAGAAAACGTGCCCAGCCTATTAGGCAGCTAGAGTTTGGTAAGACCCAGCTGATAATAGGCGTGCTGCCTTGCATAGGTAACAATCTAGACAAAAATAACAACAAAAAAGATATGCTTGACATATTGCTTTTTTAATTTTTTTGCTCCTCTTCATCATTGCCACAAAAGAAACCTTTATATTTAATATGCTCTGCACGGGTACGGATTGTAAGAATGCCGGCCACCAATCTTTCTGTATATACTGAACGTGAACAACTGTTTGATACGTCAAATGAATAAATGTTTAAAAATATGTGAACTTCATGACTTATTTTATTTTCGTTTAAACAGACCAAAGAGTCCTTGTTTCTCATTTGCTCGTTCCTTAAAAATAACTCTATCTTCATAATGAATGAAATGAACAAATTACCTGGTTTACTTTTCGCTCTTTTTCATACATCTCAAGATACAAATTTGCAGATTGCTCAGCCCTCGCTATTTGATTTTTCAGTTCTTTAATTTCGCTGTCTTTGTCTAAAGATGCAGGATAAGACGGTTCCTCCACATCAGTCTGTGAATATTTGTCGAACGTTCTTAAGGCATTGTTTTTTGTATCGTTAGGCTTGTCAAAAGATCTGATTTGGTTTTCAAGAGCGATGATATCAGCTTTCAATGCACTATTCTCTCTGTTTATCGTCTCAAGAAATTCAGATGAGAGATCATTTTTGGTCTTAAGAGCGCTCTCCAAGTCAGCTATTTTGGAATCGTATGACTGTTTGATCTTCTCCTCAGTCCTCTTTTCGATTTCTTTTCGTGCACTTTTTTGCTGCTGACGCTGAGTAGTAACCACTCGGTTTAATCGAGTGATCTCGCTTTGAAGTTTCTCAATTTCCGTATTTGTCTCTTTCTTGGTTTCTTCTTCTTTACCAAAAGTCAGAGAATCAATCACTTTGGTTTTGCAAGATTTACAGTTATTTGTATCATCTCCTATTAAAATTCAGAACGAAAAGTTCAATAATCTAAAGGTTTTAAATCTACAAATTATTGTGAATTTTTCCTTGACAGAAGAGCTCGCTCAAATGGTCATAGTGACTCTGAAGTGTGCTGAGCTTCGTTTGCTGCTCGGTAAACTCGGCGGTCAAGCTAACCTTAGATGCAGCAAGAACATCAAGTGCTTTCTTTGAATTCTCAACGTCTTTTTCAGTTGCTCCGAGATTTTCTTGTGTTGAGCGATAGATTGTTTCAAGTTTTTGGCCTCTGCTTCCATATTTTTGATACGATTAGCTTGTTTCTTCGAAGCCGCTTCTAGTTTCTTATTTTTGTCGAGATTTTCGTTGATTGACTTCAGATTAAGTTTTTCATCATCTTTTATTTTTCTGTTGGAAGAATTGAGGTCGCGTTAGAGTTTTCCAATTTTCGAATTTAAATCAGTTATTGTCTTCTTCAAATTATCATTTTGAATTGCCAAATCATGATTTTGCTCACCACCCATATGATTATGATACTGAAGTTGTTGAAGTTGTGATGATTTTTGATCGATTGTTAACTGTAGTTGACGCATTGTTTCCTGATTCCGAACTAAGCTTTGATTGAGTTCTTTCTTTTCCGCAAGTGTTTTTGTGTGCTTTTCTGTTAGGTGAGAATAGTTTTTCTTGGTCGCTTCATGTTTCTTTTTTATCTCTTCGAAATTCTTTAGTAAACTCTGAAAGCAAGCTGAATGCCTTCCAAATTCAGGCAGTTCCATTTTCACATTGCATCTTTCGCAAGTTTTCATATTCAGGTGAACGCATGTTTCTTTATGTTTCTTGAAGTAACTATAAAGAAACTTTTCGTTACATTCTGCAGCGGGGCAATTCAAAGTTATTGTACTCAAGACGGAAACCATTAGTCTTGAAGGTTTTGCTGTAAAGTTCAGAGCACGGCAAAGAGGGCATGATGGAAATTTGCCTTTCACATCTTCGAAGCAAACTTTACAAAGATGTCCATCACAACAATCGAGTTTCAATGGGTCCTTGAAATGTGATCAAAACTTAGGTCAATAGAAGAAAACTAACCTCAAATATCGCGCAGCAAATCGAGCAGAAGATCTCATCTTTGAGTGTCTGAATGATATCCCCTCCTTGCGAGGTATCAACTTCTGCGTCTATTCCCATTCAGTATCTCTTGTCGACTAATCTCGTTCGATTAATGCATGTTTTACCCGTGTGATGCAGCAGACTAATTTTTGGTCAAATATTTGAAGAGCGCACCTCTGACGTCTCAGCAGTCAGGAAATAGAGCCCTGCTCATCAAAACACAGTCCGCTATTTATTTCAGTTATTCCTTAGGATTATCTCACTACCATTTTACGACGACCCTAATATACGCAATACTTATTCATCACTGATTTAAGATCATATGAATTTTCGTGCCGCAGGCACTTCTTGTGGAGTCACAGTACAAGTACTTATGAGTCAAGCTGACTCTTGGTAAGAAGAGAACTAATCTGCTAACGCAAATTGCTATCCTAAGAGGTTTTTTACCAAAATGAGAAAATAATATTGAATTTTTAATTATTTATTGACGAGTGATAATAATATACAGCGAGGACGATGAGTTCCAAATACATATTTTTCCTTTCGACTATAAGAAGTAGCTCTGAGGGAGTAACACTTTTGAGGTAATTGAGCATGTCATGGAAGGTGTCAAAATTACAGCATGTTCAGAGTGAGGCAAAGCTGGAGCGGCATTTTTGAGCGTTTTGTGTTTTCTTTATTCATTTGCACTTGTAGACCTTTTTGGTGACTTCGCACTGCTCGCATTCAATTTGGCAACACCACTTGAACTCGCAGTTGCATTCTTCGATCACCTTAAAATTTTGTTAAACTCAATTTAATAAGAAGGCTCACCTTGAATTGCTCTTTGTAGTAGCCTCGTCCACAGCACATTTTCTTACAGCCGTTATCGCCCTCTGACTTTGGATCACACTCTCTTTCAGAAGTGCCCAAAATGTTCTTTTTCCTGTCTGGTTTGCAGAAATTCGGGCTCTTCTGAATCCACCACAGATCATCGTCAGGTAGAACTTTTCGCTTCTCTCGGGTATTCGGATCTTTGAGCTCTACTTCTTCGACAATGTGGCCTCCTACAGTATGTCGTTTCTTGACACTGAGTTTGATCCGCTGAGAGGAATCGTACTTTTCTTTGAGGACATTTCCGATTGTTCGAATGTCTGCCACATCGTGCCAGCATGTTTTTTGATTACAGCTTCCAGACATTCCGTGGCACTTGCAGGTCACCTGAGCTCATTTTGAGAATTGAAATCAAGGAAGAGTACCCTTTACCTTTTTCGTTCGCTCGACAGTGTTTCTACCAGCGTCCGAATTGTGAAGATTCATTTTGAGTTTTGCGATTCTGTGGTGGATTTTTTCTTTTTCTATGCGTCCCTTTTTCTTGAAGAAGTGACATAATTTGTCAGCATCCGGGCTGCGATCGTTTACAGCGCGGAGGCACTTTTCTGACTCGCCATAAGCTTCCATGTCGGCAATGTCGACGAATTGGCGAGCGAAGGTTTTTGCGTAGCCGATGTTGTCACCGCATCTATCCCACTCAGTTCCCTAAAAATTCAGTTAACGATAATACAAGGCCAAAATCTGTAAAAAGGAACTAGGTAGTTAAACCATATTTTTAGTTAAAAACCTAACTCTTAGGTAGAACACTTTACTGTAGCTGTGTAAATGGAAACAATTGTGATTTGGAGTTCTGATCTAATGAAGGCGCTAATTGAATTGATTCCGCGCCAAAAGCAATTTTTATAAATTTAGAAATTTACAGCCAACTGCAAATCCTCTTAAAATTGATTGATCCTCAAGTATATCCTGCTGCTTATTAGCGCAAAAGATCTGAACTTTAATGATTCAGGTTCAATTTCCTCAGTGGTATTTGAAAAACCCATAAACATCGCGACAAGAAAATTGAAGCTTGTCCACCGCCAAAAAATATTTCAAACGCGAGCTGAGCCACTTGAGTTGACCTTTCGACGGCGGAGAATACTGCCAAGGTAAGTTACATCCGCAGATGGTGTTTTATACAACCGAGAGGGAGGCGAGAGTGACAATTTTGAACAGCAGCCACATTTGCCTCTTTCCTGAAGCGCTTTTTTAATCCGGCCACCCGGCGCGCGTGGCATCTTCCTTGATATCGAGATCAAGAATGCCATGTTGTAATTGCCGTTTAATTAATCCGTAAAAGCTATCTCCTCTGCGCCGTAAAAAACTTCACCACTGCCGCCTATGTGGAAGTGATTACTACCTTTCAAACGTATTTATTTGATCAATGAACACTTTAGTGGCTTGTTTTTTTCGCGAAAGGTGAAACGTTTCTGATTGATCACTCCCTATTGCTAGAAAGAATTTAGAAATTAAGGAAGGCAAACCAAAAAAATAATATTTCTCCAAGGCGCGGTATGGCGTTTTGACTTTGCAGGTGTCAGTAGACCCTTATTGTACTGAGCACTCGCTTGTGGATCAATCAAATCCTGCACGGATATTTCAGCAGCTTTGGCTTTGTCTCGCCGACTTTTATAAAATATATAACAATGAGATGCTACTTTCCGGCTGATGTTCGTTCCTGGTCATTTTTTGTATAAGTCTTAATTGAGGTCAAAATAGAGCGTCAAGTTGGACCTTCCAAATAAACTTTTCCTCCGTCTGAGTGCCTCTTGTACCGATCTTGCTAGTCGACGATAATTTGCCTCACACATGTGCCCCCTTCTGAAACCCACAACACATGGGAGCTCATCAATCAAGTAAAAAAAAGAAGCTCCCCAAAAATCACTCCTCCAGCCGCACAAGCGACAATTATTTCGCGGCTTCCACAGGTTTCCTCTCACCCTCAGAATGACAAATGATCGAAAGGGTACTCACCGGTGGTAAATGAAATGGTGCCGCTTGGTAGAACATTCCACTCGATCCGCATTTGCAGGCGGCGAGATTTCTCCGACAGGCCATGGCGAGCTCCCGAACCAGAGATGCGGAGGTTATCGCGGTAATAAATGCGGTTTCTTTCGTCCCTAAAAAGATCGTATTTATGACTTTTTGACCTGTATTGCTCTCTTACCGGCTTTTGCATGGCGACCGTAGATAGTGTCTTTTCTACTTTTCTGAAAATCGGTACAGTTCCATGCTGCGCTATGAAATTGACTTTGACACTCTTGAAGAGCATTTTTTGAAGCCAAATTGACATAGTTCATGTGATCGAGCTAGAAATTCCATAATTTTCTTCACTTCGATCCGGGGCAAACCTTTGACTGACATAGCTGCTCCTGCTTCTTTGTCAAATGTCTGGATTTACAGTTTCTTTTGAGCCAGTTTCTTTCTGGGAGTGACCTAAGCACTAGATTTATGTCTATTCAAGAAGGAACTTCAAAGCAGCTCCCCTCTGAGAGCAAGTTCAAGGATTTAGTTGTATCTTTTTTGATGATTTGTGTGATTCGAAGCATTTTCAATCAAGTTAGAGCAATTTGTTGATTTGCGGTTTTCTTGATCTTTGCGTGCCCTGGTAGAACCAAAAGGGCATCATGTGACCTATGATCGGAAGGGCCATCTTGGGGCGGCGAAAAATAGATCAGTTGATTGTAATTCCTCGACGTTAGCTCGTTTATAACTGTATAAGCGCAGTAAAATGTATTCAGAGGAAGCATCATGCTGAGGCTCCCGCCCCGGGGCAAGTCAATAAGATTAGAATAAAAAGTAAGATTACAATGAAAGAAAAACTGCCAGTAGAACTTAACATACCGGGGATCATAAGGCCAGTACAAACTCCTGAGAAAGAAGTGTCAGTTTTAAAAGTGCTAAAATGTCTCTCAAAAAGGCAAACGAAGAAAATTGCCTTTTTGGCGCTAGAATTTATTCCCAAAAGTTAATACTCACGTCCATTCAGACGAGTGGACAATTGCGGCTAGCAAGAGTAGTAGTTTGTGTCGGATATGTGCCATTTGAATTGGATCAGTTTCCAGACGACCTCATCCGGCTCAGCGTTCTCAGGTTCTCCAACTTAGGGCTGCGGCCAGCTAATTATACTCGGCTTAGGTAAGGTTCGCTGCAGCGCGGTTTTCTTCTGATCCAGTTTTTTCTTCGGCGAATGAACTAAAGATATTTTAATTGAAATGCTGGTGCTGAAAAATCAGAAGTGTTGACGTTTCGGAAACATCTAATTTTCAGAATTTTCGATTATTTCGCCAAGGCAAGCACCTGAGGGAACAAACGTTTTCTGACAAGTTTATCGAGCGATTATTTCACTCACTCCAGGGCACTACGAATATCTGACAACTACTTCCGTCACTTTTGCTCTCGAAGCATTTTCGGTCAAACGAGCTGAAGGAGCAAAAGAACATGAGAAAGTGAAGAAAGTTGACCTTGATCCTCACATTTTGCGGATAAGAAGTAGCAAAGGTGTGAAAGTGTTTCCCGACCGCAATCACGTTTGGTTTAGCCGCTTGCCTGATCACACCAAGTGGTCACGTGAGCCGTGCGCCTTTCGCGCGGGGGATTTGAACAAGTGCCCTGAGCGCGCTAATTGCTTTGAGTCCGACAGCGAGACATTAGGCCACTTGAAACTACAATAATCACCGTCAAGGCCAACATAAGGTTCTTTTTTTATGTAAAATTTGCGAACGCGAGCGCTTCTGTCATCAGTAAATCGACAATATTTGCCTTGACCTCTGAAGTTTTATTGAAAATCTAAGAGTTCAACCGCGATTTTCAAGAATTTTTATGTCATTCAGTTTTGCCACAACTACAAATTTTACGAAGAAAAGCATCAAAAGCATGACAACAGACGCGCTCGTGCGTAAACTTGCCCGTTTACGATTGCATTTTAATAATGCAAGCGCTGTAAAGAGTATCCCACCGCAAGGAGGTGATTTAACTATTCGTTTTCTGCGCAATATTTAATGTCAAAAGGAGCTTTCGTGTTTACGATCTTTCTCAAGCTTCAAGCTCACGATCATGTCTTTCTCAATAGTCTTTAATCTTCAAAGACTATCAAAAATAGTTGAATATCTCCTCTTCCCGGAAAAAAGTATGAAAAAGCGCTGCACCTGAAGTAATATCGCGGCCGGCGCTATCGCTGAAAATACATTTTTTTCGATCAAAGTTTGGACAAGTTCCATAATTTTGTAAGGCGCGTTCTTTCCAACCAGTACCTGGTCGATAGTCTTGGCCATCCCCTTCTCTAGCCAAGCGACCGTAATTTATCAAGCTCAAGAAAAAGGATGAATCACTTGAAAATTGTCATTGTCACCCAACAATGCGCGGCGGACAGTTGCACGCGCTTGGCGGAGGTAATTTTTGCCCCAACAGGAAACGGCCTGTTGAGAAAACGGTTCACTTATAACCCGTTATTATCGGCCAAGTCACTACTTTATAATTACGATTTGTCGTGTACTGCGGCGGTTTGACCTTTTCCGCGCTTTTATTGTAATCCAGAAGAGTTAAAGAAGGATTGCTTTTTGCCAAAAATTAATGATAAACAAATGGGTTTTACTAGAGCTATCCCAAGATTGTCGACAAGAGTCTTGTCACAAGACACTGTTGGTCCAAGACTGCCCCTTATTCAAAAGTTTTGTCGACAATTTTGCAGTCAAAATGTCGACCTTGACGATTCATTTGTCAAGATTTTCAAGAATTCGCCTGGCAAAAATTTCAACCAAAACCAGCAGATAAAGCAGATTTATATTGTAAGAGCAAATCTCAGACTATAAGAATAAATTTACTATTTCTCCACGAAGCCGTTGTTAGCTCAGGTGCGGTGCTGTCCGCGGTGAAAAATGGTAGTGGCGGAAATCATTTATTTTTGAAAGCTTCGAAAAAAAGGGAGAAATTCCGATGCGAATTCCAGCATCACCGCCGGGGCTGAGTACGATTTTTGGCAGCGAAATCAGCGGCTGACCTCGAGGTCCAGCGAAAAAATGCAGCGTTTTGGCACCAGATTGATGAAATCCACAAGCCCTCTTGAAATGTGAATAACTCCGATTCAGATTAAGAAAAGAGAACGATCCCAGAAAACAAGATCCATGAGCGGAAAGACAAAGCGCCTCGGGGGTCATTCTCGGTGCCCAAATTGCGCCTTGAGTACCCTCCTGAAACTATTCTAGTGTCGGCGCACCAAACATCTTGACCTGGCCGATACAAGCGCTTATCGCTCAAAAATATTTGCGCGAGCAATAATAAACAAATTACAGTTTCTTGAGCCGTTCCGACTGTGATTGACACGCGCCGGGGGCTCCCGTTTTCTATTTTTTTTCTTTTCGTTGGCGATTCTCTTATTTTGCTTGTTTCCTGGGCCGCCGACCTTGAGCTATCAAAAAGTACATTTTCGACAAGCTTGATATCTTTGAAAGGCGATAAGGGCTTTGATTAAAAGAAGGTGAATTCCGCCGCCGCCACTGCGGCTTTCTTACAGTCAAATTTAGCTAGAGAGTTGGTGGCACGAAGCAGCTTCTGTTTCTATTGCATTTAAAGAAGAAAGATCAAAGAAACGATTATTTTAAATAAAACTGTCGAGGAAACAAATTTACAACTTCCTAGCTCGATATTCTGACTTTGAATTTCTGAATTGAAAGAACTCCCGTGGCGAGGCGAATCAGACTTCAATGTTGGGAGAGAGTACCCAGCAGGGAACGACGTTTTTATTAGCTGCAATTTCGAATTCCTCGAAAAGCTAGTTTTGGAATTCTGATTCGGAATTGAAGGCAACTCTGTTTCGTAGAAAAGTATTAAAAGAAAGCGTGTACTTATTGTATATCAAATAGAATTACGTTACGAAAGTCAAACAGGTGTCATTGATATGTTTTAAAACGTAAAAAGCAGGGTTTTACACACGTAAGCTCTTGAAAATATTTAATCAACAGCGGAATCCATGTTAACGTGCCATTATGAAGTGCGCCCTATCAAGTGAAGTCAAACAATGATCGAATGGGAAATTCAAAAGGTACTTTTCATTCGGTTTTCTTTCAAAAACTCTGGTTTGCTTTCTTACCTAACAGAAAATTGCAGGTATCTTCAAGTAGATTTTCTTCCGTTGAGTCTCTCTGTTTCGCAGTTTTACTGTTTTAGCTTCCGATTGTAAGTTGTCGATCGAAAAAAGAACTTGGATTTTTCTTTCTTCTTTTTTTTGTGACTTTTACTAATACAAGCTTGAATCTGTTCTGTTGGCTTTGTTGAGCTGCTAAGAAGTTTTTGGAGATAAGCTGGTTTATGGAGACCGCGGTTTTCCGTGCGAGCGCGATCCCGAGCGCCACCGAGTGAGAACGGGCGACGCGCGTTTTTGAGGATTTTATTGGACCGATAATTAATTTCTCTTTGTAAAGGAATTAATGCTGAAGTTCTATATAAGTTTATTGGTTGAAATTACGCCGAGTAAAGTGAATCTTTATAGAGGAGTAATCCTCTATTCATTCATTTTTTTATAATTTGAAATAGCAAGTAAACAGGGATCTAAATTTTTGCCGAAAATCAATTGCGATTGCGATGCGATTGCGACGCAAAATACTCCGAAAATTGCGATGCGATTGCGATTTTTTTCGCAAATTGCGAATTTTTCGCGAGTTGCGATTTTGTCGCTATTTGCGAAATTTTAGCGAAAAAATTAACTTTTCAAAGAATTAAAGAAATTTTTTTGAAGTCAGGCTTTCAATTTAGCCTTTAGAGCACAGAATATATGCTCTGAGTCAAAAAACACTCATGTCAGAATACCAAGGGAGTATTTTGACAAGACCTAAATTCGCAAAAAAATCGCAATTTGCGAATTATTAGCGAAAACTGAGTTGCGATTGCGATGCGATTGCGATTCGATCAAAAAAGTTTTTGCGATTGCGAATTTTCTGCGAAATTTCGCATCGCAATCGCAAAATATTCGCAAATTGCGATTTTCGCGAAAAAATTTAGATCCCTGCAAGTAAACTATCGAAAAGAAATCCAATATTACAAAAGATTAAATTTCATTTATGTATTCAACATTTTTCAACCGAGATGGGTCATCCCATTCCTCTTTTTTATGTTTTGATTTTTGCTATCTTTGCCCTTCAAAGAATAGCCCGAAATATCTGGGGAGGAAAGTTGTGAAAAGATAATTTTACGTTACTGGTTTTTTTATATTATAGTTGCGGAAGCAAGATTGATTGTTTAATTATAATTTTAAAATCTCAAGAATCCATTATCATAAATAACAAGGCTCGTCACGTCGCCATGCTCGTCATGATTTCAAAATAGGTCGAGGAAGCGTGAGTGAATCGCCTGCGGCTGGCACCTGTTCTAACCCTGTGCCCTCCCTTCATCCCTTTTTTTCTTTATCGTCATTAGCACTGTTCCTTTCAAGCTTTTTTCAAGCCCAAATATTTGTTTGTACTTTTTTCAATATCAAATAAAGCGAGTAAAATGTGGATCATTCCTGAGTTTATGCTCCTCAGATTCAAAACAGCTCAGGAAAGGGTTGAAGAAAATAAATTTTCTGAAGAGTTTTGCTCAAGATTTCGACCTATAAGAACAGCCCGCCACGTGCGCTAAGAGATCAAAAATGACAAGTTCAAAGTCGACGGACATAAGAGCGACCATTGTTCTAGACAAATATGGGCACGTCAATTCATTGACATCCCGATGCGCTGATATCATCGGACCTGGAGTCGACGACTTTTTAAAAAATCAAAAATTCACCGACTTTCTCGTCGATTTTTCTGAAGAAGAGCTTGTTCAGGTTTGTCATTTTCAAGCTTAACAAATGATAAATTATATTGTCAGGGCGAATATCTTGCAGAATTCAAGCGCCCAGATGGCCGAATAGTTGGAATTCAATTGACGATCATGCTGAATCTCGTGGATGAATCTGGTGGACTCGTCATTTTCCTCCGTCCTGTTGATCGTTTCATCTTTGAGCTCGTCATCAACGAAGATGGAATCATCCTTGACATGGAAAACGAGCTCGGGGAAATCATACCAGAACTGCAAGACGGAGTGATCGAAGAAATCATAGAAGAAGATCAAATACCGTTTGGAGACAGAAATAAACGACACCCAGTTACAGTCAAAACTCGCTTCGGATACTCAGTAAAGGGGCGCGCTTCTTCTGCGAGGCTCCTTTGACAGAGAAGATGGAAGGGTGTTCATGTACGATGTTGAAATCTTGAAATCAATCTCGGGCAGTTTACGATGCGATAGTCGAGGAAAAATATCGAAGATTGAGGACCCGCTGAAAATCCACGGATTTGCCTCTGACATTTTTCACGAGCAGGTAAAGACCTAAACAGCCTCTAAAAGTGTCTTCTTCATTCACCGATCGTAAAATATTCTCTTCCTTGATTTCATAAAACTGCTCAGGATGTCATGGAGGCAATATCCTTTCCAGAAGACAGTCTCTACGACACTCCAGCTCCAAAGACCCGTCCATTCAGTCCTCTCGCCCAGCGACTCCGACATAGACCGAAACCTTTTGTGAAAAATTATCAAAAATCAAATGCCTCCGGAGAACGTCTTTTCAGCCTCGCACAGGAAGGAATTCTCTAGTTCAGGGAAAATACGAATTATAACAGCTTAGAATTCTCAAAAGCAAAGTGGCTGGTTTGAAATCGTGACTAGGAAGAGGTGTTGATTTCTCTTAGAAAAGATCAATTTCTTTCGCTCTTTTCTATTTCTATCGCTTTATCGTGCTTCTTGCGCGCTTCAGAGTACTACAGAGATGTGAATTTAGTACAGTGAAAGGGATAAGATTTTTTGTCAGTTTCCTATAACTTTGCACCTCATCGTTTGGGCACGCATTACGCGGGCGCGTCCGTGTGGTCAGCCAATCCGGCCGCATCTTCAAACTGATACTGGGACGGGTCTGCCAAGGTCATCTCTTTTTCTCCTCCCTTTTTTCGTTGCCCCAGGGCTCCGTCTCAAAATCATCGAGTTTGCTGGTGAAGAACGAGAGTAATTATCGTTTTACCGGTTCGGGTATCGAGCCTGACTTAGAGAAACCAACAGACCCGGAAAAAAAGCATATTCAACTAAATCGACTTGAAGAAGATTTGAAAATTATGGCGACGAGAACGCAGGTTCAAGATGCAGAAGATGTCAGAATCGATAGAAACTTAGTCTTAGAGAAGAATCGTATGGGTCCAAAATTTGATCGTTTTTTCAAACATTTTACGAATAATCATCGATTGATACTTAAAAATGATGCTAATTTTCGACCCTCTTTGGTATGAAGTTGGCTCTAGAATCGGAACCGGTGGTTATGGCCAGGTTCATTTTCTTCAAGAAAAACGATCAGCTCAAACTGTCCGCGTTGGAAAATTCATTTTGAAGAGCAAAGTACAGAAGTGGTTTCCGCCTGGAAAACCGAACCCGCTACCATTGGAAGTGCACATCTGCTTGAATATGGCGAACAGAAATGTGATGAAGTGTGTGGATTACGTAGACATCGACAGGAACTGGTTTTTGATGGTGATGCACGATCACAACGGAACAGGTTTTATTCGCAGAAAATAATTTGTGATTGTAATGTTGAATTAGATCTCTTTGACTTCATCGAGAAAAACGACGTTGTTGATGAGAAATTGAGTCACAAAATTTTCTCGCAATTGGTCGGAGCCGTGCGTTACTTGTGCAACAAGGGGATAATTCACAGAGATATCAAGGATGAGAACGTCTTGATTGATGAAAATCACAATATCATCCTCATTGGTAATTCAAAAATAAAATGTAGCATCATATTTAAACATGAGTTTTAAGATTTTGGATCAGCGATGCAAGTTTATGGAGACGTAGAAGATGTAATCAGCCCAAGGTTCTGCGGAACGGTCAAATACTGCCCTCCTGAAGCGGTAACGAATGAGAAATTCAGAGCGATGCCTGGTGAGATTTGGGCGATGGGGGTTCTTCTTTATACTGTTCTCCATGGAGGCAACCCTTTCTACGATGTCCAGGAGATTCTTCATTCAAGACTCGAGTTCGATGAACAGTAAGAGACAAAAGATTTGCAATGAATATAAAATTATATCCAGTCTGAGTCCCTTCGTCCAAGACATTCTTTGTGGCCTCCTCAATCGCGATGCTAGACGACGATACAGTCTGCGAGACATTGAACGACACGAATGGGTCAAATCAGGACCAAAGTGAATTCGCATGATAACCTACTGTACATAGTTCTTTTACTTGAAAATTCTTCTGATACTCCCATTTGGAAGAAAATCTGGGTTTTTAGACGTAGAATAAAATGAAAAAAATTCCGCAACGATATTTGTCTCTTCAATCATTTAATTTCTCTTGATCCCAACCCCCGAGTGTGACAATATGAAGAGTACTTGAGCGGTAATCCATTGAGCACTGACGAGAAAGGCACACTTTGGCGAGTAGCAATTTTCTTCTTTACAATGGCATCTATCGGATTCATAAGGTCAGGCGTCAGAGCTCCCGACTCAGGCAGGAATTGTTTTTATTTTTATGAAGCGGGAAGATGCAGCAGGAAGTGAAAAATAGTTCTGGATCGAGAGAGGAGCTTCGTGCTGTTAGGAAAATTTCACCGCCGAGGTATTGTTTCTGTGGATCTTCAAAAATTGAGATTTTTAAGCTCGCCGGTTACTGGAAAAATTACATGTTCAAAAGTCCAATCAACAGTCAATGCATTCGCGTTCCCAAAGCAGCCAAATTTGAAGTAAATAGATAGGCAAATACTTTTTTTAAATTAAAACTTAGCCGTCGAATGTCAACATCTGATGTCAGAACAAGAAGGATGAGCTTTGATGATTTTAAAGGCGGAATAAAGCAACGAAGAAACTCGAACCCCGGTGTTTTTGCTGGAAATATCTACATAAGGTATCAGCTCAGACTTTACTCATTCAGAAAGCTCAATGGTGTGAGTTTGACGATGAGAGTTATGAGTTTATAATCGCTAGCGTAATAATAAATAAAAGCGCTTTGAACTTTCATCAGCGTCGATTATCTTTCACATGACAATTTATAGCCGCCCCTGGTCTCGAAGAACATCATCAACAGAAGACGAAATCAAAAACATTAAAAACGGTGTCATTCTTGAAGTCAAAAATCTCTGCGCACAAAATACATAGTAAATAAGAGATCAATGTCGAAATGTTTAGAATGTATTTATACAGAGCACAGACGGAATTTGTACAGTTAGTTTTCTTGCTTTACAAATATTGCTTCTTTTTTGAATTTGATGGTATTGGTCCTTTGGTTGAGTGTTTTTAAAAATATCATTTTTTTCATTATTTTTAGTTGAGTCTATTTCCCTCGTTGCACAAGTCATCGTTGCAGCAACCGACCAAAACACATGCATGCTGCCAGCGAGGATTGCACTTGTGCGATTTTCGCTGCGTCTGAACAATGAATAGTAAGTTGAAATCATGGAAGAGAATTTCTTACCTCGCAGGCGTCGCGCTTCTTGCAACCTCGAGTGAGCATTCTTCGGCCGTTTTCGCGTCGGTCGAATGTCATACAACTGTAGCCAGAGTTGAGTGGACATGCAACCTCGGCAGTACAGTCCTTTGGATCACGGACAGAGGAGCATTCGTAGCATCGCGGACTCGAAGCTAGAAATATTTTCAGTACTTGAAAGAGCGATTTCTATTGAAGGGCAGACTGCATGTTTACGCTGTCAACCCCCTTAATCAATGGAAATTTGAAAGGCATACGAGTCTGATAAACAACTGAGCGGACGTCTGTCCGTTTTCCGTCTGGCAACTTGGCGAAAATTCCGAAGCGATAAGGCCGTCCGAGAGCTAATCCGGTGATGAGGAATTGATCGTTGCCCTTGGTCACGTGTTGGCTCTTGAAACTTCCTGTTGGCGGTGACATGTTGATATAATATTCATCGTCATCCTAAGAAAGTAAATTTATATAAATTTTATTTTTTGCGCAATCCTTGAAAAAAGAGGCGAAGCTGTTGATAAAGTAAGATAACCCTAGAACTTTGTTCGCAAATAATTCTTTATCGCCTGTTACACTTCTTCTATCATGTTTACAATACTCACAGTTATCGATGACCATGTACTATTAACATGCACGGTAGAGTCCCTCTTGACCCTCGCCCGAACAACTTCAAAAGTTGGCGGCTCGGGTGCTGTCGTAAACGTCGTAATAGACACATCAGTGACTCCATTTCCAATGAGCAAGGCGAGAACCGAGACTTCGTATTCCTCAAGCGCTTGCAAATCCTGCAGCACGTGACTGATCGCAGATGTCGTGTAGTGCACATCTGAAGATTTAAATACTCTGAGAGCGAGCGCTGGGAACTTACCGTAGGCGGCAGAGTTGAGCGATTTGGCGAACACCTTGTAAGAGATGGCGGTGGGAATTTCCTCCCACTCGACCACGGCTGAAGTGGTACGGACCGTCTGGTTTGGCACCTTGATTGGTGGTCCAAGAGGGGCTAAATTTTCCGTTGATTCAGTGTAAATACACTTTTGACTTTTGACTTTTGACAACTGACTTTTTATATTTAAGAAGTAGTAGAAGATTAGATACACTTTTAAGAAATTGGTCAGGGTCTAAGGTTCCAAAAAATTGTTAAATATTTATTTATAAGCCATCTTATGGTCTTTTTTTCACAAACCTGTTTCTTGTGCAATCGTTGTCAAATCAGTCGCCCGTTGTTCGGAAACAGCTCTAATAGTAAAGCTGTACTCGCTTTCCGGCTCAAGACCCAGCGCAGTAAAAGTGGTATCCGATGTTTTCAAGGGCCAGGTATCTTCATGACCAGCTGGAACTGGATAAATATTCACAATCCAGTAGTAATCATCTGGCAGGGAATTCCATGCAAGATCGAGTCGACGAGACTTGATTGATGGGAAACTGAGGATTGGAGCTGGAGGAGCTGAGAATCGCTTGAGGCGGAAGGGGTCGGTTTCAAAGTCCTCTCCGATTCCAACGATAGAAATTTCATATTCTGTGTCGGGGGAGAAATTGTCGATGAACGTTTCTGTTGATTCTTCATATTTGGCGCCACCGATAGAAGGTGAGAATTCAAGCCGGTACATGTGAATATGCTCGACTTCTGTCCAAGAAAGCTTCATGGCATGCGAAGTGACGTCACTTGTCGTTAATTTTGACATCTTGGGCGCAGTAGAAAATGAACAAAGATGATCGTCAGTGGTCCACGTGGAGCGAGCGGATACAGCCGTGATTGTCATGTTGTAAGCAGTGTCTTCGTTGAGGTCGGATAGTTGCACGAAATTTGTGTAAATTGGGATTCGTGAGATTCCAGAAGTCGTTGGAGGAGTGATCTCAGCGTAGTAGCGATGCGCGAGTGGAACTGGATCCCAGTTGATTCTGATCGATGTGGATCGCTTGTCCTTGCTCGTTGCAACGACGGCGGGGGGAGCAGAGGTAAAGGTGAGGCTCGTACTGTCGGTAGACTTTCCTTGGAGGTGGGCGACGATTGTGACTGTGTAATCGACATCAGGGCGGGTGCCGATTAATTTGAGGCTCGTTTCTATCCTGGAGAAATCGGAATTTCCAGCAATAGGCGGATCGACGGTTATTTGATACTCTACTCTGTTTTTGATGGGAGTGAAGATCAATGAGGCCATTGTGGTTCGCGCTTCTTTGAGGATGATCTTCGGAGCCGGTGGCGCCGTTGTTTGGGAAATAACAGCTTCATTAGTCGTTGAGCCAGAGATGAGCACGGCCCAGACTGTAATTTCGTAGCGAATTTCCGCCCGCAATTCTGTTAGAAGAATTGAACTTTCGAGTAGCTCAAAGGGCTCACTGCCAGGAAGCGACTCGGGACGGGGATAGACGTCTAAAACATAATGTGCTGCTTCTGGAATGGTCGACCACTGGACGTTCATCGAACTTGTGCGGATTTCCGTGGTGTAAACAACAGGTGGAAGTGGAGCGGTAAGCTGCAAAAATGGTATTGTTATGATAAATGTTTATAAATTGTTGGGGTTCGGGGTGTTCTGAGAACAAGCCACAAATAAGGGAATCTCACCTGGTTTAGTTGAATACTGTCTGTGACAGTAACCGCCTCGATGATAGCCTTTACGCTAACGTGATAGACAGTTTCAGCATCTAATCTTTCAAGAACAAACTGTCCATCAGCAGCATCCAGCTGAAAAACCCCCTCTCCCGAAAGATCAGGAGCTGGAACGACAGCAATCTCCACCAAAGACGCATTGACAACCTAAAATTTTGAAAATTTAGAAAAATTTTAGTATGATTCAAAAAAAGCCGCCGATGGAATGCGGATAAAACGCGCGGTTCTGAAAGTTGCAAATTAAAATCTAAAAGATAAAATTTTTGAATGTATTATAGAAACCTCGCTCCAGCTTATCGTGAATTCATCTGTGCGGACGGCGCTGACAGACACTTCTGGTGGAGAAGGAGCTGTTTTGAATGTTTCGACCGACATGTCGGTTTCGAATCCGTTTCCGACGCCGATAATGTCTTTGGAGGGATGCTTTATTAGGTCTTAGAAATATTAAAGAAACCATAAAATCCAATGAAAAATTTTATTTTTAATCTTTTCGGTATTGTCGAGGATGATTATAACTGTAAAGAAAAAAATTTACCAACTAAAGATTTTTACCAAGTAAGGAATTTTACCAAGTAAGGAAACCCCGATTTTAACTCTGAACCCAATCTATCAACTATCTTGACGTATCAATATTTCTAAGATATCGTCTCTGTCAGACATAAAATGATCCCTCTCCTATAACAAAGTCCGAATCCGCAGGCAGTCCAAAGATGACAAGCTCGTTGGTCATAATCTTCTTGGGCACGTTGACAAGGGAGGGCGTTATCTGAACTTTGTAAAACTCCACTCGATCATGTGATGGCCAGTTGAAAGCGACTTCAGTCGATCGAATCGAATCAAAATAGATGGTCGGCGCTGCTGGGGCTGTTTGGAAGGTGAAAACGACGTCGTCGGTGAATCCTCCTGAAGATTGAGTGCTGATTGTAACTGTTTTTGGCTACATAAACGCGTATCATTGAATTTTTACTGGATATTCTAAAAAGTTGGATCGTGCGGGTGTGGAACATCCGTTTGCCCTTTATGTTTTGGGATAAATCCTCAATATAAAAGATTTCTGAATAAAGAGTTAGCGGCCTAAGTAACCAGTCCTGTGTATTCGGTGTCCTCATCAAGACCTTCGTACGAAATTTCGTTGTCAGTAATTACATCGTTTTTGCCGCTTGGCACAAGAGTAATCGAGTACAGCTCGTATTCTGCCCGTTTGGACCAGCTGATTTTCGCTGAGGATGATCTCAGGTCGTTTTGTTTCACCACTGGCGCGGGGACTTGTGTCTTGACCATGACGACTTGCTCATCTGTTTGGCCGAAGCCGACGTTGCAGATGATGGAGATGGAGTAGATTGTATCAGGCTTCATTTTTAGGATAGAAAAAGCTGTTCGACTTCGTTCTATTCGCTGGTCAGCGACTGGAAGAATGGCCAAAGTGTAGTCTAAAAAGGTTTGATGAAAAGAACAGTTTCTTGAAATTTCACCCTTTTCAAATTATGTGGGTTGACCAGCTCTAGAACTGCCTTGAACTTACCACTACAACTGTCATTATCGTCCCATGAAATGTCCATCGAGGTCGAGCGAATGTCGGAAAAAGACATTTGCGGCGGCTTATGTGCAGTGATCTGACTGGCCAAAGAGGGATCCGTCGTGGCAGAGCTCATTCTGGCAACCCAGTGGAAATCATATTCACTGTTTGGTTCGAGATCAGAAATCGTTGCTGAGTGCTTGTCGGCGGGAAAGACAAGTTCTCCGATGCCAGAAATCGTCAAGACGTAGGACTCGGCATTTTCAATCGGGGCCCAGTGGACAATGAGCGAGGTGGAGCGAATGTGATCGAACCAGAGATCCGCTCCAATTGGCGCTAAAAACGAAATTAAACAGAACAAAACCACCTTTTTTGAACTGTTTCTTCGTAAAACTCAACTGTTTATAACGCTATGAATACAATGTTTATTCCGCGAAAGATGTCGAACATTAAGAATCGATAAACACTCGTAATACGGTATTTTTCTGGACTTTGAGACCAAAGTTACGCGATTAAAACCGAATTAGACCTCGCGAAATTTGATTAATTTTTCTGAGAGTTTCGCGAAAATAAACTTATCGGGAAATTATTTGTTCAAGCGCGGAGTCATTACTTGGCCAGTTTTTCGCCGCCCGAGCTCGTTTAGAAAATCCGTCTAGGGCTTGAGGCTCAAGGTCGTTAGTTAATTACTAACAGAATTATACAAAAACGACGCGAGATTACGAAGTTCGCTCCTCACCTGTTGTATATCGCGCTTCAACCCAGTCGGTGTTTTTGCCTTCTAACGCCGCTCTTATTTTGAAAACGAACTCTGTTTCCGGTTCTAATCCGGAAATGATCTTGTCCACTCCATCACTGTGCAAGATAACTTCTGTATCTATTTCTGGCTCCGCAGCAGGAAAGTAAACGACTTCATATTTCTTAGCTCCGATTACGCTTGTTGATGCAAGTTTCATAGAAGTAGAAGTGATGTCATCTACAAGCAGAACAGGAGGCTCTGGCGCCGTCGTAAGCTTCACTTGATCGACCAAATCCGTCGCGACACCGTTAGCAAACTCGGCATAAATCGACAAAGTGTATTCGGTAGCAACATCCAAGTCATTCAAAGTGAAGTGGTTGGTGAAAACTTGAATGGGATTTTGGGCGCCGCGGAGCTCAGGCTCAACGTTGATTACGTAACTCTTGGCGGAGGATAAGGCCGTCCAGGTGAGTTGAGCCGAGCGAGAGAGGATGTCTTCAACTTGAACGTTTGCGAGAAGAGGAGCAGTCACGGCGCCAGTGGTTAGAGCATCGGAGGTTCCAAAGGGGAAGATTTGCACGACCTCGATCGTGTAAGATGATTCGGGGAAGAGATCCAAGAGCTCGACTGAAGCAACTCCAGCTTCGACTTCTACTGATTTTCTCTTGCTAGTTTCTGTGAAGTAGATCACTTTAGACGCGATTGGAAGGAGTCCACTGACGTTCACTACTTCCCAAGAAACGTTTATCGAGGTTGATCGAATGCTCGTCACTCCGACAGAACTAATGCCCGGAATAGCACTTGTCCTAAGCGAAATAGTAGCGGGGAATGTTTTATCGCCCTTAACAGCTTCGACAGTGACAGAAAATGTTGAATCGGGGTCCAGATTGAGGGCGGAGTAGGTGTGTGGTCCTTCCGCTGGAATTGTGACAGTTTCCGCGGCTTTGCCATTTGGTTTTCTGCAAGTAACAATGTAAGATTCTGCTCCGGGAACGGCAAGCCAGCTGACTTGGCCGGAGATGGGGGTGATGTCGGAAAGCGTAAGGGTTGGAGATTCAGGGTCAGTCACGAAATCAAGCGATGAGGACAATAATTTTCCATTATAATGAGCATCGACTGTGACAGTGTAATGACGGAATGGAGTTAAGTTTTCAGCGGAGTACCGGGCGAGAGAAATTTCTGCTCGATGAACGACAGATCCGATTGAGTCTGCAATTGTGACTGAATACTTCGCCGCGGAAGGCACCTTTGACCATGTTAGGAGGGCCGAGGTGCTATCAGTTGACTCGAGGGTTAATTCGGGATTATTAGGGTCTGTAATGAGCTCAAGGCTTGATTCGTAGACAAGGTCATCTTGTGTGATAGAAGAAAGTTCGATGAGGTAAGATGTAAACGCCTCTAAATCGAAAAATTCCACGGAATTCTCAGCAGTGGAAACGCTTTTTGCTGGGGCAGATTTATCGGCAGGTGAAATGGTGACGGAATAATCCCCAGCGAGGCCGGAGAGCGAGGTCCAGCTGATTGAGGCTGAACTCGAGCTTGTTCCCACCACAGAGAGCACAGGTGCGATTGATACTAAAAATCGTGTTGAGGACATGTTCGCTAAGTTGTTAGTAGATGACTACTAGTGACTAAGTAAGAGCTCTATCAATTTAGTTTCTTACATGATCGGAAGTCGGCAGACCCGGTGAATGATTTAGAAGGCGTCTTGGCTGTGACAGTAATTGTATAAGCCGACCAAACATTCAGATTCTTGAATTGGAATGTATTCGTGGTCGCACTGATGGTATACTCGTCGATGACTTGAGCGTTTTGAATCAATTTCGTTGAATATTCCTCGACGCCAGGCACTTGGCTCCAAGAAAATTGGACTTCGTGAGTCCCCACTTCGCTGATAGTTAGCTCAGGTGCGGCGGGGTCCGTTTTAACGTCCACTTCGGTGGACAAATCCACGTGACCAGCTGCGAAATTTGCCGTGATTGTGACCCGGTAATCTGTGTACTGTTCAATTTGCTCGTTGAGAGTGATTGAGGTGTCTGTTGTTGTGATGAGACGTGGTGAGGAAGTGGCAGCTGCTTCCGCGATCTTGAGGGTGTATCCGATTGAGCCTGGAGAAGCGGTCCAAGATAGAAAGATGCTGGAGTCAGTCACTTCTGTTTTTGTAACAGACGGAGAAGTACTTCTTGTGATAATAGTAGCTTGTTCAGAAGTGAACAGAGTTGGGTTGAAAAAAGCTTTGACGAAGATATCATATTCTGTATAAGCACTGAGCCCCTCGATAGAAGCAGACGATTGAGAAGCTGGAATGATTTTCGAATCAACTGGAATTCCGTTTTGAACGACTTCGACATTGTACTTGGTCGCGCCGAGAGCAGGGGACCAATTAACAGAAATAGAATTCGAAGTTGTGGAAAGATTTGTGATATGAACAGGAGTGGCGGGGGCGGTTCGGTGATCGACAATTGTGGCGACCGAAACGTTGTCAAGGAGAATTGCGTCGACTTCAACAGTGTAGTCGGTGTCAGGTGAGAGGTCGGTGATCTCGGCGGAGTCGTAAGTTGGGAATTCGAAGGTATTGTCATGGATTTCTCCAGAAGCAGTCTAGAGAAATATATATTGAACAAACTGAAAACCATAAGACTAAGAAATTTATAATCTTTTTAGATTAAATAGAAATTGATGAGTTGAATATATCTTAACATTCTCAACCAGACATACAACGTAGAGGTTACCACTTATCGAATTTATTCATACTACATACATCTCTATCTAGCAATAAGAATGAAAATAACAATAAATATTATTAGAATTCTAATTAATATTTATTATTAATATTTTAATATTTATTATTAATATTTATTGAAGAAAGTGTAAGCTCTCAATCAATCTGGAACTGAACGCTGTCAACGAACACTAGTGGGACACTCCAGGATCAAACAACTCTGATAATAGCCTGTCCTCCAAACCTATCAAAACACAACCTTTCACTTACTAAAACATCATCAAAAAACTGATTCAACCAGCTCAAAAATTTCAAAAACTTGTCAATTCTTACCTTCACTGTAACCAAATAGCTAACTGCCTGTTTGAGCCTGCTCCAATTGACTCTTATCTTCGTCGGGCTGAGATTGTCTACTTTTACTTCCGGCGGTGGCGGTTTTGTTACGATCGATTGTACTGAGGGTTGGTGCTTAATTGGAAATATATTTGATATGGCACTTATGACAAGAAACGTGTCCCACTGTTTTCACGTGAGCTTGATTGTATTTATATTCAATACGCTTCAAATCAGCTTGCAGAAGTAGCCATAACTAAGTTAGAACTTGATATTGTCAAAATTGAAGCACCCATGCCTGAAGCCAAAGATCTTTCGCCATCTTTATCAACTGCGTGGACCATAACTTTGTATTTCGTTTCTGGCGCCATTTCCGTAAATACATAGAATTGTTCTTCCGTGGTGAAAACTTCCTGGACAGCATTGGACGATGTGTCAAACAACATCAATTCGTAGGAATGCGCTTCTGGTACTCTATCCCAAGACAACGAGAAGTACTCGGATTCGAGGGTGGATAAGACGACATTCGGCGTGGCGATTTTTCCTTGCGTAGTAGTGGTTGTTTGAGGCGTTGTTTTCTCAATCGTTGGTGCAGCTGTTGGACTGGTTGTGATTGGCTCGTCTTCTCTGAAGCTAGTGCCGTAGAGGACATTTTTCATGTCATCTGTAACGTCGATGTTATAGTCGTCAAATCCTTTTGATTGATAATCTTCTTCATCATCATAGATTCTTGGGTCTTTAGCTTCAATGACTGGAATTTCCATTTCTCGAATATCAGGCGTTCCATCGTCTTCTGGCTCTACTGGTTCGGACATGTCCAAATCACGGTCGATGAAGGCATTGAAAGCATGCTGGGTGTTTGTCTGTGGATTGTTGAGGATGTATTGGAGAAATTTCACCATATCGTCGGTGTCGAAAGTCGGTTTAAATGCTTTTTCGTACAGCGGCGTCTCCACTGAAAGAAAAACGTGTAAGAGGCACTAATTTTGACTTAGCCGGTGTCACGTGACCACCGTCGGCTTCCGCAGAAAATTTTAAAGAAAGTTTCAAGTTCAAAGTATTTCCTCAATTCTAACTAAGAAAAATGCTCAAATTTAGGTCAATTCTTCCGCTAATTTTCGCACGAGGCGAGGTTCACTTTCGCACACTTTCTTGAAATGTGTGAAACCTGTCGCCGAGTAATTGAAGAAAATTATAGATGATGAGTTTCGACTTCTATCCATTTTGCTGTAAAATGGCTAGAAGATCGATTCGTTCTTTTACCTGGTTTTAGGATGTTCTTGCTGTTTATACATTCAGGAATGATCCTCGAAGTCCAGTCGCCTTTTTTATTACAGCTTGTCCTCGTCGTTCCATTGATTTCAAACCCCTTTTTACATGTAAAATTGCATTTCGAGCCGATTCTTTATTTCAGTTTTCAAAACTAAGAACTCCTAGCTTGCATTTTTTTCCTCGTTCAGAGCACTTGTTGAGCTCTCACTATCCTACTTCGCGCCCGGACCCCGGTTTAAATACCGTGAACGGCAGAGTTTACATAATTCTGAAGTGGTTTTAGCCTCCATCGAGGAATTACTTTTTAAGCTGATTATAAGCTGACCTCAAGTTTGTACGCAAGATTATATTCTCAACCCGGCTTTTTCTCAAAAGTGACCATTTCGGACTTTTGGGAATTCGAACGTAGCACCCTTAAATAATCGAAAATTGAAAACATTCCTGTGTCCCTTTTCTTCTTTGCCTGTACAATTTTGGAATCCATTCCTCGGCGTGGGTAAAAAATCACAGTGGCTTTTCGTCCGCACTGTTTTGAAGAAGGCATCTGTTCTGCCAAACACTAGAATATTTTAGTATCTATATCGAGTTAACCCCTTTCACTTTTCGCCCTCTTAGAATTTCTTTACTTTCGGCGGCTTGTCAAAATGTCACCAGCTGAGATTGGCGGTCTGATTTGATTACATTTTAATTTCATCAAATTTCGGCCTCACGTGACTCAGGGAGCAAAGCCACAATTGCACTTGTTCGTAATTATCTACGTACACGTTACGTAATTTAATCACGGACCTTGTCGTGAGACGCTCGCAAGAGATTGCTCAGTCGAAATTAAATTAACGATGATATTTTGTAACACTTCTAAAACTGCCGGTACAAAAGTCAGTCCAGGTTAGGGTTAAGGCTCTGGTCAGCTACCCCTAAGTTAGGGTTAGGGTTAGGGGCCCTAACCCTTAGCTTTCCTTATGACTTATAAAAATTCATAGTTTTTCAGATTTAAGAAGGATTCAATTAGACTAAACCGATACAATAATTTTGATAAAATCAGAAGAATATAATTTCAAATTTATGTCTTTCTAAAATGTCGAAAATTTCGTAAACAAAAGATGTCATCTTGCCTAATCATAATGAGTTTTATACGCGGCACAAGCCCTGTTTTTATTCAGTTACACAACTGACTGTGGTTATTCAATTTTGCGCTATGTTCCTCACCCCTGAAGTACCGTAGAAAAATCGGTGAAAATTTACCTAATATAAATATGATCGGAATCATATTTGTCTGTCTGTCTTCTTTACTTCAAGACAATTTTCATAAAAGATCTCTTTTGGTTTTCAGGCTTCTTCTTTTCTTCTTATTATCTCTTTCTTTTTATTTTCTGATAATTTGAATTTTGAAATCTCTATTAGATTCAGGTCAAGGCGGGATTAAAAAAGCTGTATACAAAAATTTATGCAGAATATTCAGATTTTTGTGAAATTAGAGAAAAAATCCGAGAAAGGCGATAGAACGGTCGAGCGCGGCGCTTAGCGAAAAACTCCGAGGGCGCTAGCGAGTACTATCAATAGTTATGTTTGTGTAGTAGGTGGTGCTAGAAACCTCGAGAAATTTTTCTATTGGGGAATTTTGATGTCTATTATTTTCAGTGGGGAAAAATGGAGAGGGGTAAACAAGGCGGGCAAGATTTGACAGGGAGACGTAGAATCGCTAGAATTTGCAAATTCAGTCAAGATACACGATAAGAAAATGGAGAACAACGCTTAGATATCATTCATAAAAGCTATCTTTAAGCATTTTGTAATGATTTTTAAACCGCGAAACGTGGGCAACCAAGCTTTTTCAACAGCCAAAGAGTTCAATCAATGGGAGAAATGGGTTAAAACCAAACCAGCGCAGACCTGCCAAATCTCGGTCTTTTATCTGGAGAACATGTCCCTATATTTTTTTCTATCTTCAATAACTCAATCTTGAAGAACTCGTCCCCTTTTCCTTCTGAGAACGGTTTTCCTTAATGTTTTTCCCAAATCTAATTCCCCGCAAAAACGTATCCTCTCGACATCCTTCTGGACATAATATCAAGTGTATACAACTTCCTGCACTCTAGTAGCTTCTCTTTTCCTCTGTTTAGTCCATAATTCCTAAGTCTATAATTCTGGATCGGGGGCTCTTTAGCTGCCTGAAATCTATTTTGTAGCACCAGGTGACATCACATTAGAATTAGAGTCGCATTTTTCGGCGTAAAATGAATTTCGCGCCACCGTGAGGCAAAATATTTATCGACGCGCAGCTCTAGAACATTGTAGCCAGAAAATTCCAAAAGAAGACTCTTCGCGAAATCTTTTAGATCATCCACGTGAATAAAGTCCTTAAAAGTTTATCTCTTTTTTAACTGACTGAATGTTCCTCATTTTAACGGATTTTCTAGCCTCAGAATTGAACCGCTTTAGAATTGAACCGCGCGGACATTTCGCGTTTAGGAAATACACTAAGCGACGCTAAAGTCGTATTTGCCCCCCGTAACCAGTCTCCTTCGCCCAGATTGTATTTACGAAACAGCATTTTCTGTTACGCTGTATGCGTATTTTTATATTGTTGGTGGCAATATGTTTGGAGCAAAGTGACAAATTTCATGATTCTTTGGTCTATTTTTTCAGAAGATTTAAAAGACGAATTCATTTTTTGATGAAAAGCCAGCTGTTCAATGGTTAATTCGACTTATAAGCTAAAATAAACACTGGCTCTCAGTGCGATCATGTCAATAATTGCCGCGGCGGTATTTTTAGATAAGTTAAGAAACGTGGTATCTGTCTAGCTGGAATTCCAACAATGCGTCGATTTTTATAATCCGCGCAAAATTTTCCCAGCCAGCATGAAAATTTAAAACGTAATGTTCAAGCGCGGTTTAGAAGAGGATGAGGCGAATTCCATACAGCTGCTCGTTTAGAGGCCTCTTCAAAGGAGACCCCACTCTCTTCATCTTTGGTTATAAATCTTGCGAATATTTGAATATTAATTTCAGAAATAGAAACAACTGACCGAGGGTTGTTTTTGGCCTTTACATGAATTATTGATTTATAACTACCGAAATTGTTTTCGTAAGAAATTGATAAGGCAACCAATGTAGAAGACCTGACTCAGGGTCTGAAGGATCTTTAACGAAAGCCGCGTAGCAGCTGATTTTTCATCTTAGATATTTCAGACTTTGACTCAGGTGGTAGGAAATTTCGCACGGACGTTTTGAACATTATTATTCGGAATTTATGAGAAGAAAGAATTCAAATTGCACAATTCTAAAATGTCTTAATACCCTTAAGACATTCTCAAGAGAGCTCGCCTAAAAATTAAAAACGGGGTAATCGTAGAACTTCTAATCAGCCACATTTTCGAGTATCGCCCCTCAGGATGATCCATCAAGAGATCCCAATTTTTCAACTTTCAAGCAAACGACTCATCCGTTCATTTGATGAAAATAACTGCTCGTAGCAAGCAAACCTGACTGGTGATAACGTGAGCACAGTTTCTAAAATTGTTGATTCAAGGAAAATGTTTGCCAAGCTGTCACCCGCTGTGCAGCGAGACACGTTCTTCTTATCACCAATTACTCGCTTTCGCCAATTCTTTCCATGAAAAATTTTCAAAGTCCAGTTAGCCCCAGCCTCTTCACAATGAAAAATTGATATGCAACTGGCAAAAGCCAGTAAATTCTGTATGCATATCGAGTTTTTATCACGTAGCCCACCCTTATCAGCATTTTTTCGCGACTCGCCCAAAACACAATTCTGTTTGGACCTGATACGGCACGGATAGATAAAGAAAAACAAAACCGAAATCTAAGTTCCCTTCAGCACTTTTTTCTGATAATCCAAATTCTATCCACGTTAGATTTTTCACCGAAAAAAGCTTTACAGCCATTATAAAGCTGATAACTGTTAGATTTATTATTGCCCACAAAGGAGTTGATGCTTGTTAACTTCTCAATACACGTGGTCGGTTCAACCGACCACGGCGACTTTGAGCCGCCGAAATTTCTCTTGTGATAATCCATTTGACCTGATTTTTGTAATGTGAGCTGAGATGACTAAAACGAACCACTTTGTGAAATTTCGGAAGTTTTCTCAAAAGTGGTGGCGTTTTGCACCGGATTTATCTTTCACTCTGCAGCTGAAAATCCAAAAAGGTTTTTTCAAAAGTAATTGTTAATCTTTATAGGTGAGTGTTCAAGCTTTCCAGCGATATGTTTTGTAACTTTTTTGCTTGCCGGAAACGCAAGTTAGAGCTAAAAGTCTTGAGCGCTCTTTATCACACACCATATTTTGCGCGCCGCGCGGGGCTGAATAATGCATTGTGGTCCCCTCACCCGACCCCGTGTTTTGAGCGCTTAGTCGCGCGCCCGTGTATTGAGAAGTTAACCTTTTTTTCGAATTTGCATTTTCAGAAGACGATGGCGCCCGCGGCACTCGCCCGAGGGCACACAGACTTTTACCAGCAGCGAAATCCAGAAATAAATATTCCATATATCATTAACCTTCTTTTATTAATATATTACAAAAAATTATTTCATAAAAAAAGAGAGAAAAAGACCAAAGATGTTAAAACTTAGAAGATAGAGGAAGATATTAAAATGGAAGCAACCAGCAATTTTACCGACAAGTCAGAGATTTTTGTCAACGAATCTTTGGTTGACCCAGAAGATGAGGAACTGAGAAAACAGGCGACTGATATTTTATTCTTGTTTTTGCCACGGGTTAAATTTTGAATCTAGTTTTTATCACAGTTTCTCTAGGATAATTTATAATTGAACTAGAAGCATCTACCCCTTCCTCGAATTTGAGTGAAAGTCAATAGTATTGACTCAATACTATAATTACGTTAAAAAGATCAATTCTTGCTACTCTATTCAAACTAGAAATCTAATTTCATAAAACATATCGACATCGATAAGAGAGGGTAAAATTTAACCCGAAAAAAGACAGGATTATGCATATTTACCGCTTTTCTTGGGCTTTATCTGGAAAGTGACCAAATATTCAATTATCAAAATCGACCTCATAAATAAATAATAACATGAGTCATGTTACATGACAGTATCAATAACGAACAAAAATCCCTTCGCCAAATCTTAAATTTAATATTTTTTCGACCAAATAATAAAACCAAATTTTCAATTTATATTTATCGTCGTTAGTCGGTACTCGAATCAACAGAAAATGACAGTGAGCAGCGTATGGCAAGGCTAAAAATTAAAGCGAATAAATTGACGCTTCTAAGCGATCAACGTGACTTTTCCGTTTGCATAATATATTGAGTCAATTTCAACTCAGCTCTGAAATTGTTCAATTCTATTTGCACAGACGAGCACCTACCGCTTGAGACAATTTGCTTAATTTTCTAGAACCAGACTATTACTCAACTTAAATTTCATAATGAAATCATAGCAAAATAGATATATTTATTAACATATCTTCTTTTAACTGTCACTTTTGAACATCCATCATCATTTTCTACGAAAAAAAAACTCGAAACTTCATTCCCTGATCAGAGGATTTGTGCCTGAAGGATGATCATTTTATTCGAGTATTTAGTCGATAAGAAGAAAATACAATTTATTCTTCCAAAAACTAATTGATGATTGTCCATCTATGGAATTTCAGATGTTCCTTGGTTACTCTTGTTATTCTTAGAAACTTCTAGGAGTATTGGAAGATGCGGTGTTTGATCATCGGAATAAGAAATAAGAACGGATCGACTTCGGATAAATTTTGCATATCCAAGTGACATATTGAAGAAATGACCTTGAACAGGGATCAAAGAAAACCGATACTCGAGCAAGTTCGAAACTGGAAGTCTATATTTGCGATTTCAGGCGTCATTGAAACCTGCTCCACTTGGAATTACAGTAATTTGCTCCCAATTTGATCCGATTGAATGTACCCGAGTGCTACTACTAATTGCCGTTTTTCAAGTCACGTGCGTCTGGATCTAAGTCTAAGAACTCGACACAAATGATCATTGGCGCTAAGCCTTCACTTTGTTTTGCGTGAATTGAAGATGCTTATTTTCGGTGCCAAGATGATCAGGGATAATTGCCGAACGTCCCGGCCCGATCTCGGCTGAGAAGAAAGATTTAGCGCCGCTCCACAGATCTCCAAACGGAAAATAACGAGTTCCACACAAATCATTTACAAATCTTCCAAGTGTCGTTTTAATCCCTCCGAGTTGCCTGCTCCGGGAGTGGATGATTGCGCGGGAGGATCATTTTGTGGAGCATTCTGTATTCTATTGAGCTGCTTACTTGGAGATTTGAGCAGCTAATGAGGTCTTTTTGTACTCGAAAAACCTCGTTTTTTATAATGAAATTGACTTATTTCACAAGAATAAAGGGTTTTACTTTGCAAATCCGGTAGACTTGATGTCCATCATAATAACCTTTTACCGGTGATGGCTTATTTTCGCTTTATTAGTACTAGATTCGATTTCCGAACCATTTCCCTTGAATACCTCTATACAAATCGATAATAGCGAGCGATAAAATTGCCTAAAATTCAAGTTCTTCATCCCCTTAGCCGAAAAAAAAACTGAACAAGGACTCGCCGAAAAAGCAATAAGTCTTCTTTATCAATCTGGCGGGTAGACTGGAGTTCCCATTGACAGATGACCAAAAAGGCTGATGCATTAGTAGAGTGAAAGGTGAAGGGTGATTTTTTAATCTTGGCGATTTACATGCAGTGCGCTTGATAATTCATTCCTCCCCAATCTTTGATCACCTCTTCTTGCAATTTACCCAAATCGATAAATTTATAAACTCTCGCTTCTCGAAATGCAGAATATAATATTACATTTGGTTACTTGAAAATAAGTCAATTTCCCTTCCTGTTTATGCGGCTACGATTGGAAAGCGCTCGATTCTCCGGACGAGTTTGGCGAGAATGAGCTTTGCATTGCTCCTCCTGGGGAACTTATGCTTCGTTGTTGAGACTGCTCTTGTTTTATGGACGATCATCAAGGTATTCCGCGTTGAAGGATTTTGAAAGAATTAATTTTCAGCCGACAACTGATGAAAAAACTTGCCGTCTTCAGGTACAACCCTCCTTAGGAAATCCATGTCAAAAGTGACATTTTTATCAAGTCCTGCGTTCCATAATTACGAACCTGATTCTTAGACGCTCAAATTCAGAAAAAAACTCTTTACAAAAAATTTTTGTTTTAGCGACTTTTAGACACTTCTTTTAGTAAGTGTATTTTTTGGTAATTTGGAACTTTGAGAAAATTTTCTGAAAATCTTTATCGTCCAAATTGGATCCGCCAAAATCTCGAAAACGAGCAAATGATACTCATTAACTCGTGAGAACTGAGCCCCTTCCACGTGACCTAAAAACGCGTCTCCTTCCTGTTTCAAAGTTGATGGAGATAAATTTCAGGAGAAACTGACAAATACGATGATGGCAGTGGCGTTTTACCCAATTTATCTTTTTCTTTGGAGCCGGCAGCTGTCAATTTACAGGTATTATTATTTCATTCAAACTGTAGATAGTACTGGATCAATTTTTCACGACTTCCACCTTTCAGGCCCGATCTTTTCACGCGTTATCGTAATATTAAATACGCAGTCGAATTTAATAATTCACGGGACGGCGACGCTACTGGCGACGTTCAAAAATATCTTCGGTAATTGAGTGCATATTCTTACGCTACTAATGGCCCGAGTAATCACATAGAAAGTAAAAAGTGACTCTTCAAACCCGTATCAACCCAGTTGCTTCTTACAGTAATAAAAAATATTCAGGGATCGTCGACTTGCATCCGCTCTGCCCGTTTGGCTTCGCGCATTCTCCAAGTTTACCCTGGAACGGATACAAAAGATTGTCCCGCTTCTTCCGCACGGAGATGTAAAAATCGGGGGCAAAATTTTTGCTTCACAAAAGAATCCTGTCAAGAATTCTGAAATTTGGGAAATCTAAAAAGCTCAAGAATTCCAAAACAGCGAAAAGGCCCCCTCCTCCTCAAGACATTCCGCTAATCAAAAATTGACAACAAACTTAACTTTTTGAGTTTGAAGAAAATCAAGCCAGAATTGGAGAATTTCTAATTCAAAAGAATATTTCTAAAAAAAAATTTTGTCTAGAAATTTTTTCTTATCAAAAAAGAAATGATAAAAATTCTGAAAATATTTATGCAATAGCTTGTTTATTCCTTATCGCCATATTTCAACTGCCTTATCAATATTCAGCAGGAGCTGAAGGCGGATAATTGTCTCATCCGGGATTAAGGGGAGCATATCGGTAATAACGTGAAATTAACCTTCGATTGCATTTCTGAGCTCTAAGAAAGGCTCAAAGGGAGCGAGTAATTGGATCCAAAACGGACTCCTCCTTCGCGAAAACGTGTGTATCCGGGTTGAAGTTTATGATTGTCAGTACACTCACGGGCTTTGTTGTGATTCTCGGCTCCACGCTTGCTGATCCGAAGAAAATCGACTTCAAAGATGGCTACTGTATCAAAGTTGATGATACTTGGAGCGTCGCTGCTGCTATTGGAACGTAAGCATAGGGTCGATATGTTATCAATTATATCAGATAGAGATAGTGTTCAAAAGAAGTTTCTAAGAGGAATTTATCTTTTTTTTCTTATCGCTTCATATTTATTTAAATATTGAAAGAAAAAATATATGAAGCTAAGTTTCGAACTTTATTACAAAACCTTGCAGAAAGAGCACACATAGTGATTATTAACCCTAAATATATTCTCTGCAATAGAATTGACATCTATTTTTAGGATGGTGATAATACAGGTAATCCTTTGGAATCCCCTCCATTTCGAATTCTGGCATGTCAACCTCCATTCTCATTATGAAAAAAGAACACCGTGGAAACCGAAAATTTGAATAATTTTCACAAAAAAGAACTCCATGGGAGCGCATTTCAACACGTTCAATTCAAAACAGGAATTTCGCCAAAACCACTTCTCATGTTTCTTCAGAGCCTTTTGCTGTTCCTGTTCTGGTACCCAATTATGACAGCTCTTTCGACGGGCCACTCGAGTCTCGGACAGTACGTTCGACGCTGCGCCATTCTAACTTTGATCAATTCGCTTTCGGATGTCACTACTTTGGCGTTTATGCTCGTCTTCATGAACACCGCTCCAGTGCCGCTCCTTGCCGTCGTCTATGTAGGTCAAATGTTCATCATTTATTTTTCAAGTCAATTTTTTAAGCCTATCAACTTGATGGTGAACTGCTGCTGCTGCATTTTCTCCTACCGAGGTGGTTCCAGTATGATTTTTCCCTGGGGAGAACTTTGTCATGGATTATCACATTTTTAACTTGGTCAAAACCAACCTATTATTTGCTTAGTCCAAACCTCAAATTACTGTCGAAAAAGCGGTTCCACTTTTTGCGTCACAATACGTTACAGTAGCACTACAGAAGCCTAGAACCCAAGCAAACTCTATGACGCGTAATCGTTCCTCTTTCACTTTTTTCTTCGAACACACTTCGAACAGATGTTGGAATTCCCGGTCTGACAGTAGCTCCCTCTGAATTTGTCGGTTTATAGTGTCATAATTGTTGTTTTGGATAAGTGTGAATCCAGACTAAAGGCGGCGGTTCAACGCAAAATTTGGACCCATCGAGCATAAATCCAAGCTTTCAAAGAGCGAAAAGGAGAATTCAACCAGCGTTTCATCGTAAGTTACAGTATCAAAACTCCAAGTTACAGTTTTTTCTTGCAGAAGTGATCGGACAGAAGGAGTGGTGACTTGCGAAAAACCGATTCCACCAGTAAAACTCTAGCTGTAAATTTAGTTTTGTGGAACTTTCTTTGTTTTCTGCGAATAATAACTGTATAATAAAGATTTATTTATCCAAAAAAAGAGCTGTCTGACCTTCTCAGTTCGACATTGACAGGACTGACGTCAAAGAAGAGCGCGATTGATAAAGCAGATTTGAGATCTGGTTTAATTTGCATTCTAGCCACAGTTTTTTGATGAGATCGAATTGAGCAGGATTTCAATTCTTACAGGTAGACAGTGACAAATAAAAGATAATGAAAAAGTGGTAAGCTCCTCTGAAGGCTCCATTTATCAATCAGAGCATGATGAAACAGCAACTTTTGAAGAAGGAAGAATGAAGTTTTGATTTCCCTAAAGACAGAACTCTTTCTATATACTGCATTACATACAGTATGCACCATACTGTATGGTACAATAATATTCTTTTATACGTAATATTAACATAACACTGTAAAATTACGACAGTTATGGTGATATTGCGTACAACAACTTGATTGATTAAAAACATGATAAAAAGTAGACAGATAATTTTTGAGCACATACTTTTTAACTAAACGAACCGTAAAAACGAGTCCGCTTTTAGTACCCTTTGATATTTTTAACAGGTCACGTGTTTGATTCGACGGGTTTTTCATGCGTTTTTGATGTTTTTAATATTGATATATGAGTATGAACATGATTGAATTTGATACGATCACATGTTGAAGATTTCGAAATTAGCGTTATGGTCTTACAGTATCATGTGATGTTAAAACGGGTGGAAGCGATGGAAGATAAATGAAAGCGAGACAATGAGTGATTATAGGGGATTTTGTTCGAAACGGGCGGGGATGAGCACCGTCTAGCTGGGCCTACAGGAAGAGATTTAAATTGGGGCCATTTAGGGCCGACCTCGTTCTGAGGAAAACTCAGAATACGTGTGTATGCGCGCCGATAATATTGTTATATTTTGAAGGTGAGTTTCTAAGTTATAAAGGGCGCCTTAGTCCAAACATTAAAACTTTCAAGGGTTAACAAGAAGATGGGTGAGCAAAGTATTAAATTTCTTCAGAAAAAAAGAGTGTCTTAATTCTTAAATTCATCATCAAAAGATACTTTGACCAATTCAAATGGTTATTTTTAAAATTGAAATCAAGGAGGACAAGCAATAATCAAAAATTTTTCTTTTATTTTAAGAAGGTTGATTGTCAGTGAATAACCTTGTAGAACCTCTACAAGGAAATTAGTTGTTGCCAAAGTGGGTATTGTAAACTTTTGACCGTCCATTTGAACCTCTTCTTGTCAGGAATGAATGTGATCTCGTTGTTTTGTAAAGCAGTTGCATGTAGGAAAGACACAGCCCGTCGAGCCTGCTCCTCGTGATTCGATCTGGATGATCCTGACGCTGAAGAAGTCGGTCACAAAGTTTCCACTTGTCGTGATTGTCCACCGCTGGTCGGTTATTTTCCAAATGGCGATTGAGCATTTTGACTTTTTTGCAGAGATAAATCTCGTTTCTTGGGTCAGCATCTTCGCAAAACTTAACGACGTCGAGAAAGTTGTGGTGGTTTGCTTTTTCTGGAGCTTGAGCTGTACTTGGTTGGTCACTCGTGTGGAAGTTTATGAACTGTTTTGCTCGATGATTTTCCCGCTCTGCCTGAATAGAGGACGTTAGATAAAGAACGGATAACCTGTTTTTTCTTACATTATGATAGTTCATAAATCGTTGATATCTTGCAAACTTCGCATCAGCGTTGAGGAAAGCCAACGATACTATAAAAATCATCATTTGTCTGATTTGATAACTGCTACTTTTCAGTCATCTGATTGAACTATGATAAACAAGGACTTACTTTTATAGTAGCGAGCTCTTCATTGATGGCGCAGTTTTAGTCTCAAACTTTGAGGCGCTCAAGAACGAAATAAAGTTCAACCGAGTTATTTTTCGTTATATGAAATACGTTATTCAATTCGATATAATACGCCTTCTTAGCTGATCTTCTACAGTGTAGAAACTAAACAACGGTCTTTAGAATCTATAGACTTTAAGAATCTAGGATAGCGCCTCACCCACCGGGATTCTTGAGTGCGGAATCGAAAGTCAAATATTTCTGTTTATACTTTAATTATCTGTTAAATTGCTTGAATGGTCGAAAATATCTTCCTGCAGCAAATAATTTTGACAATAATTTGAACTTGTTTATCTGATTCGAGACAGTAATCAATGAAATCATCCTAAAAATCGCCTATTGATTGCAATTTGAACGATTTCTTCTTGAATTTATATATTATTTGATCAAGAGAGAGGATGAAGAAGCAACTTCAAATATTATTAGGTCTGTGAGATAGAATTTTCGATTGTCAAGAATCCTGATAACTTTGAAAAATCATCTTTTAGACATAGTTATAAACAAGAGGTCTAGCTTGACGTATTGTTAGCCCTTTCAAGAGCTCTCGAATGAGTTTACCACCGTACGCGACTCCGATGGTAAAAATCGCTTTTTTACGTCTGAGGACTACGTTACGTTTAGTACCTGGTAAAAGCTTAGCGAAAGTTCATGAGAAAAATGATCAGCCCAGTTGTCAGTCGTCCAAAACCCACCACTCTTGTTGGATCCGTAAGTTGACTTGTTGACCTACAGGGATAAATATCTAGCATTATTACAATGTCATTTCTATAGGACATCGTTCTTCCCAAATCTCATTTTGGGCATGAGGAATTGTTAGTCATTGTATTGGATTACTACTTTCAAAAGAATTTTCAAAATTCTAATGGCCCATGATCGTTTTTTGCTTTATCTACTGAGCAGCTACTGTAGATTGGTTGAAATTAATCCTTCTGTTATCCCAGAATAATCTTGTTGACCGCGTGAGGTTTTGTTGACACGGAGGTTTAATTATAAAATAGCAAATCCTTCATGAAGAAAGGGAGTAATTTTGGTCAGTGATAGCTTAATTAGCATTCAGGACACCATACACACCAGGTAAGGCCATGTATCAAGCCCTATTGAGAGTCTGAATGATGAAGAATGAGGAGATCGGTTAGAAGGATCACCAAAATCGCGAGAAAATACACGGCAGAGACGGGTTTATAAACAGAACAGAACTTTTTTTCTTCATGAAAATCAATGAAGAGAAAATTTAATCATATTTTCTAGTTTACAACATCCTGAGAATTCTAACATGGGTTCTTCTCGGCAATATTTGTTTGATTATTTTTCATCATATTGTCGACCCGCCAGGTTAGTGGTCACTCAATATCACTGAGTTTATGTGAAATCAAGCATGTGGAGTGTATTTCTACCGATTGCTACCAGCGTTTGACGCATTTTATCTACTTGTCGCGATATTTGGACTTGTGGCAATGAAAGTTGACCAACAGAGCGTAAGTATTTTTTATTATTTCGAGATTTCATCGTTTCATTTCCAAAAGTATTTAAAGATATTATTAATATTTCAATACATGACGTTTTCAATGATAAATTATCACTGATAGACATATGATGATAGAGCTTTTTAATATCTTTTAGACGTACTCTTTTTTCCGGACAGCGGTTTTAACCCAAGGAAAGGAATTCATACTCCAACGAATTTATTGAATAGTTTTCACAAAAATTGATTCTCTTCGAAGCCCTCATATTTGTCGCCAATCTACTCATCTCAATGACGATACAGTCCATCACCAGCATCGACAAATCTTTACTTTTAAACTCAACAAGGGTAAAACATTCACAACCGCTCATTTTCAACATTTTTCTAGTCGGACCACAAGCACGATCTTGGCTCGTACATTGACGTGACCTGTAATTGCACATCGAAAGATATTCTCTCTCCCGACTGTACTGTCTTTTGGGATGGATTGCTCCATGATTTGGTCTTTGAGCTCGTCGGGATTATTGCATCGCTTTTGGCTGCCATTTTCGCGACACTGGCGGCAGAGAAGTAAGCATTCAAAAGATCCTTTTAATATTTTCTATTCTTAGTGCTTTCGAAAAGATGGAAAAAATAAGAAGAGCAAAGTTGAAACGATCTTCAAGTTTACGTGTCATATCAAACAATAAAATAGACAGAATTTGACCATTTCTATGCTTTCTTGTATAGTACTCAGGTATAATTGTGTTAATTTTTTTCTTGTCATTTGTGATAAATCATTTTATAAATTTATTTACAAGGAATGTTAAAAATTAGCAATATCCATCAACAAGTTTGAAATACGTCGTCGGAATGTATCCCTCTTCGCCGCTCTCAACTTTCTTAATTTTGCTCCAGCCATCGACGTCCCGCATGCTCACATCAATGATCTCTCCAGCTCGAACACTACGAAAAAATTATTCTTGAAAATTATCCAGGAAACGTACGAAATAGTGTCGTGAGATCTTTCGCCGGTGAAATCATAAAGGACTGTCGCCCGGCCAAGTGTTTCTGCAATCGACATTTCATCCCATTCTGTTCGTTCATCTTCAGCAGCACTTTTTTAGGGTTTATAAAATCATCTTTTGAATTCAAAAAAGGGGGTCCTTTATCGCCAATATAATATCGGATAATATTTGTTCATTTACCCATTCCTGAGGCCCTCCGGTCGTCCTCGTGTGCCCATCAGTTCAGCTGAAAGAGGCAGGGTTATTGGCACCGTCGACGCAGAAGGGGATGACTCTTTGGATGAAAAATCTTCCGTCCTTCTTCCAGGTCGTTTTGCTTTTGAATCGATTATGGACCTGAGCGCGGGGTCAACATCTACTGCTTTTACTCGCGTCGTCCTAGATGCAAATATTTATACAGTCGATACTGTCCGATCAGCAGTACCTTCTGTCTTTTTTCCGTTTTTCCCTGGACTCGGATTGTTTTCTGCTGCGATCAGAAGACGCTGGAATGAGAAAATGACTCGAGGATTCGCGACGCTCTCCAGAGCTTGCTTCGATTTTCGTGTTCTGGAGAGATGCCATAATTTCAGCGTTTTGCATTTCGATTGTTCGCTGAGAAAGCTTTGGCGTTGTGACTTCCTGTAATCGGAGAGTTTAAACTTTTATGGGGAAGCGAGGAAAAATACCTCTTGAAAGCCAGATGTTGTGGGGATCACAGGAGCGGGGCGCTGTTTTTGGCTGAAGACCAGGTCTGAGTCCCAGTGCCGGTCGATCGAGTCGATTTCTTTGTTCAAGGAGGTGATGCTTTGCTTTGAGGTGTCATTTGTGTCACGCAGTTTTCTCGCAATTTCTTTCAAGGAGACTTTCCAGCACTGCGTCATGTTCTGATAAATGTCCTGCTGACTGGAGCACAAGACGGGAAGAGTGTCTTTCGTCGCTTGAATTTGGAATTTTTGAAATTCCTTGGTGACTCGGCTCAGTTCGTCCCGTGCGCGCTCGGCGAGAGCTTCTTTGTCTGAAGCAATGACTCTGAAATCAGAAAGTTTGAAACGAAAAATTTTGTTGCTGTACCGAAGATTGTCTTCTTCTTTCAGGTTGTTTTTGTCGGGCCTTTCTTTGCATTTTAGATATTTCAGTCTTCAATAGGATTTAGAAAAAATCTTTTTCTTGATGGTTATTAATTTTATCATCAACTTCTTTGCTTACAAAATATATTTGAAGACAAAATCCTAGCTTGCTCAGACTCCTTTTGCCTCGTTGCCGACTTCGACTTCGCATTGACAACTCGTTTCTTGAGCTCATCCGTCGTTGATCGAATCTTTTGATCTTCCTGGAGCAGCTTCGATCTTCTTTCCCTTGATTTCTTTTCCGTCGGGCTAAGATCTTGGTTCACAGCTTGGAGCATGATTCGAGCCATTTTGTCGTTGTCGTGGCACCATTTTTGGGTGTGGCCCAGAACGCTAGAATTGCTTTAGAATGGGATGGTCTTCTGGTTTTATTCCTAGAGTACCCCCTTTTGTGCGAAAAAGAGCAGTAGTAAAAGCTACTGAATAAACCAGACCTAGCGCGTTTGGATCAAAAACAAAGGTCTTTGTGAGCCAAATCCCCTGACCAAGATGGCTTATCCCGACCACGTTTTTCTTACTTGATAAATACTTTGTTCGTCGAACTTTCCACAGCCGCGCCTTTTTGACCATTGCGATTTCCGATCGCCATAAATTTTGTTTGATGTTTGATCGTTAGTGCTTTCATCTAAAAATTTTTAATTTCGACCTCCGAAGGTCGGGAAATTTACCTTCTCAGAATATTCGATTTGAAGTTGGGCTTTTTCGGTGAGAAATTTTGCCAAACGCGAGGTTTTTTCGAGAAATATATCCAGCGCCTGAAAAGATTTATGAACAGTTTTTATTGGTAGATTATGCTGGCCTTTTGAGAGTGATTATTTTCGTTAAAATAATATTTCTGCTGTATTAAGATTTTGACTTGTCAAGGTAAAAAGCTACAAGTAAGAAGATTTGAACGATTTTAGGAAATTAACCGACCGGAAAGGAGCGTTAGAAATTCGAATACCAAAGTTATGCCTAGTGAGCATGACTCTTTCCTGGGATAAAAATATTTCTTGGGCAAACCCTAATCAACGTATTTGAAATACGGTATTTCTCATGAAGATTATTAAAAAATTTGGCTCTATAATTATTTATGCCTTAAAATTCTTTACAAAATACAAGTTTATTTATTATTTAAAAAATTATTAAACTTAAAATTTACCTCATCGTAGCCGGAAAAACTGGCGACGGAGAGTCCCCAATTTTGTGAACTCATTTTCTTCCTCTTCAAAATCTCTTTTCTTCTTATTCTTCTCTACTTTTTTCTTTACTAGTGTGTCTGGGAAAATCGATGCTCTTCAAAATTGAATCCGTATCTCTGAATCTGCCTTAGGCGTCCTCGGTGGTCTCCCAACCTTCGATCCTCCCTTTTTTCGCGAAAAAATATACAGTAAGATCTTGGCCAGTATTGACTATTTGGCTCGCTTTTTCAAAATGGATAAGTGTTTGAAATTGCTGTTAAAAAAGCAGTCGGCCGATTCAACAATGAATTTAGTGAGTCACAAAAGTTAAACAACAGAAAATTACTACCGCCATGGGCCATCAAGCGGGACATCGACGGGGAGGATCTCAGAAAACGATAAAAATCCATTTGGCACGGGACCTGGGACTCAACCTTTGTCCAAATCCAGGGCGCACCTGGAGATAGCTACGCCAGATATCGAAAGAAACTGGAAAATCAAAAGCTCGCATCAGAAAATCAAAAAATGCTTCAAGGTTTTCAATCAATTTTATGGTACTTCGACCTCAAAAAAGCTTCAACCCGACTTTACTGACAGTAAAATACAGTATTCGCCACCATTGGCGTTTCTCCAAATTCGTGTTCGCTGACAATCGAAAGAAAAAGCATGAACCTGCTATTTATTGTTACTTCAGTCTGAATGATGTGGAATACAAGAATTTCCAGCGATCATGTACAGTAGATACCAGCATCTAAAACAATTATCATTTTCAAATTGATATTCTGTGATTTACAAAAGAAAGATCATAGCGAAAAGTCCAGGCGAGCAAAAGTTAAAGAGCTTCTTTTTATTCCACTCTTCGCATGGCATATGCGCTAGAATTAATTTCGTTTCACAAATCATCAATCTCTTTGATAATTAACCGTTTTCCGTCTCTTCTGGAAGCAGATCTAGGAGCTTGTCAAAATGGCCTGGTAGCTTGATCATTTTGTCCAAGTTCTCAATTTCATAGTTTTGAGTCTTTCTTCTGTTAGTTTTAACGATTCTCGGCATTTTAAGCTCGATTCCGCAACCACAAAAGTCTAATGGAATCGATGAAAAGCCAGAGCTCTCAAATTGTGGAACTGCTTCGAAATCTGCTGACATTATTATCCAGCAATCAGACGACGCTTTGAAGCTAATCAATCAAACCAAGGGCTTAATGTTCAGCGAACCCTGTTTTCAGACAAAAAGCCACAATTCTGATATAATTAGAAGTCTACTAAAAGTAATACTAGCCATAGGAGAAATCAAGAATCACGTGGAAAAATGCATAATATTTCTAAACACTCGTCAGTGCCATGAATTGTTAACCCTTTCTACGCAAGCAGGCTCTTTTTTAGAACCTGGATTGAATAACTCAAGAGTGGACTCAATTGATAATTGATGCCCAACACGTTGAGGAATCGTCAGGTTCTGGCGATGAAGAGTTCATTTAATATTAATCGGAGCAGGGCTTGAGAAGGTTTTACAGAAACCAACTGGTCAGTTGAAATCAAGAGTGGCTCTCGATCGCACGAGATAGAGAGAAAAAATGATTAAAGAACAAGGATTTTTGCAGCAAAGTCCTCTTGAGACCAAACCCTGCACAGGTAAACCAGATGATTTCTCTTCCTTGATTTCAATAAATTTAAGTCGTGTTCAAAAATGGAAGAAAACTGGCAATTGTGGGACTTGTCCAGCTACTGATAAGCCTCGTCGTCGTCGGATTTGGAGTCGGAAGTTTCTTTCTATGGAAGAAACCTCATTGTGACGCTTGCCATTATTGGAGACCTGATGATTACTATCGAATAACAGATGGTATCCAAGTCATCTTCCATTATACTACCGAGGATGACAATTCATCTACAGAAGCTCTCACTACTCCTTCGCCAACGATGTTTACAGCTGAGCAAAATGAACTGATGGCTTTTTTGATTGTTCAAAAAACGACTGTAAATTATCAATTGCTTCAAACATATCATCAGCAAAAGTTCTAAAATGTCTTCTCTGACTACATAAAAACCAAACCTTAGCTGTCTTCATGTAAAAATTGAACGATATAATGAACTTTATGAAAGCTTCAAGAGGTAGAAGACCTTCTGATGGACCGAATCCCTGAATTGAATCAGCCTGACTGGATGAAGTACCTGAAACCCTACATTCTTCAAAAATATGAGACAAGCGTAAATCAACTTGACGCTGATTGGCAAAATGACCCAGCTGCGGCGGTAATTCTTGAAACTTCTGAAGAGGACTATGTCGGGTCTGGCGAAGAACAGGGATCAGGTATTTATACTGTTGCTATTGAAAGCGAGTTACAGTATGATTTGGGCCTCTTGAATAGGACCCGCAGCTGAATAAAGCATAGTTTGTGCATAATTAGGGCGCTGAATCGAAGACCTCATTTGTTATTGATGCGATGATATTTAGAAGATGAGATCCTTCTGATCATGAAATCCAGTTGAATATTAAATTGAAGAACAAGCAACCTTACTATCAATAGAATTCTTGATGACGCTCCCTTATTCTGATTATTTTCAGGCTACGTCAACAAAAGACAACTTCGAAATTTCGCATATCAACTCGAGTATCCTGACAAAATCAGCGAAATTTCAGAAATTGTCTCCCGCGCTATTCAAGGTTCGCTCTCTTTATTGAAAATAATGATTAAAATAAACATCAGAGGAAGAAAATGAAGAGTCTGGCTCTGGATCGGAAGCTTATGAATTCGAAGAGCCCAAGCCTTCTATTTCTAGTTCTTACAGTGATTACCCACTTTTATGCCGTCTTGGTAATCACGAAAACGTCCGTATTGCTCGTGTCCTGGTAGTTATTACTTTATGTTCGGTTTCCTTTCCTGTGATTGCGGCGCTTTTTGGGCTAGTTTCTGGATGCATGCTGAACAAAAAACACAAAAAGTAAGAGCTGTTGTCAAACTCATGAAATCATCTCGCTATTTCAGAAACCTGAGCGTTCTTCAACCCCCGCTTCCAAAAGGAGCTTCCATTTCATACATCGTCTTGTCTACTTTTGCCACATTCTCAGGTTCCATCATCATTTCTCCGAATCGAGAGTCTTATCAAAATTTAACAACAACAAACCTTCAGACCTTTATCTTATAATCATCGGTGCAATTTTTCTTCACGAAGTTCTTTTCAAACTTTCGCCAGAGGAAGGAGCCGCAAAATTTGTTCTATCAATCACTTTTTGGATCTTTCTCCTATTTGGGTTTTTGGTGAATTTGACGGTCGTGGTTTACGGGATGATGTGCTCATGCTGCTTCGACAGTGTTGATTTTGTGCGAAAATGCTCCGCTGAGAATGGACACGACCAAAAGCCCGGTTGACTACCATTTCAAAAAAGCCAAAATAATCCGCGCCCTAAATGAAAAAGTATTCAACCAAAATAAGCGAGCAAAAAGCACCTTCTCCATGTCATTTTCAAACAAGGTAAAATACAATTCTAGCGGTGTCCAAAGACTCGATTTGGACATCCAATTCGGTCAGGGATCGATTTCCCTCCGCTCAACTACAGTCTGGAACAGGCAGTCTAGCCGCACGAGCGGCGCGGCATATCAAGTGCCAAATTCGTTCATGGACGCAACTCTCAGGATCAACACAAAATTGACAAGCAATGAAAAATTTTGTAAAAACGGTAATTATTTAGACTTTCCCTACACTGGCAACACCGATGAATTCAGTCATGTCATTTCACTCTTGCCCTCCTTACATGCAGGAGGTAAGTCGTACTCGTTGTTGATTCCAATTTTTTAAGAGAATAATAAATATATTCTTCTTATTTTCAGTCTAACCCTGTTTTCACCGACTGGAGTCTCTTCCAAAACCAAGAAACTCTCCCCGCTCCGGAAGACGAAGAAATCATTTTGGGTAAAACTCACACGCCAAAATCTCGACTCGAAGAAATCCCACCCTTTCCCCTTGACGAATCTATTCAAGATGACCCACCCAAAGATGAGAATATGACAGTAATAAGTCAAGAATAATTACTTTGTAGAAAGCTGTATATTTGTAAATAAACACTTGTTTGTTTCAATCGATTTTAATTTATCAGATTTATCGAGCAAGTCTTCTGCCAATAATCGCACCGCCAAGAGCATGGCCGTTTCTAGCGCCGATAGCAGCTCCAACTAGAGCGCCTCGATTTCTTCGTCGAGCTCGCTCAGCTTCCATCTGCGCTTGAGTCGGACCAGTTCCGATGATGATCACGTCTGGGGCTCGCGATTGACTCTGACTTGGGGGCTGTTGGGGTTGAGCCTGGTTGGGTGGGTAGGGAGGCTGCTGGGCAGGGGGATATTGAGGATAACCAGGCTGAGAATAGGGCTGGTAGTTCTGAGGTGGATATTGATTTTGCTGAGGAGGGTAGTAAGGAGGAGGAGCAGAAGCTGCGGCGAGATATGGCATATCATATGCCGGATTCGCAGCTGGCGGATTTGATTGCGCTTCTGCGGCGGAAGCTTCCATGGCTTTTTTAGTATCCTCTATGTTTTCAATTTTAATGAAAGAAGGAGAATTGAACTGTTACCTTCGAATTGCTTGTCTGCAGCTTCCTTTTGCTGCCGTCTTTTCTCTTTTTCGTAAGCCTCTCGCTCTTTTGCTTTTTTGTCTTGTCGATGTTTGACTACTCCGGCTTTTGATGATTTTAACACTTTTGCGTTAGATTTTTACTCATTCTTACCAACCGCCGCGGCCTTGAGAAGTTTTCCGTCGCCGAAAAGACCCATTTTTACGAAATAATAATTTTTGGTGCAATCACTCGAAATCCCGTGCTATTTGAAGGAGCGACAAGCAAATTTGCATAACAGTGACAAATAGTCTAATTCATTAATAATTGTGCTGAATCATTTCATTTCCGTGACTTTTTTTTATAAAAAGTGAGGAAAGAAAATCATGTTCGGTAATGAGTTCATTTTAGTGCACCAGCAACTGGCAAATTTCCGCAAAAATGTTTTCCTAGGTGATCAACGATCGTCTTAGGAGCGCGGGTTTAGAAAATGATGTGGAAGTCATCAGACGTGTTTTTACAGGAATAATCTGTTTACTGGAGTTTCGAATACTCTACCGCAAGAAAAATGAAAAAAAGCTAACTCAGCTCATTTTTCAGACGAATTTGTAAGTATTATAAAAGGATAAACATCATTTTATGAAGGTAAATGACAGATAAAACTTGTCAGATGGTTACTCGTAGAATTATTGCAGCTTCCGTTTTCGTTTTTTCTTTCTCGGTCGAAGGGATTCTCGTGTAACGCTGATTTCCTCTGGTTGAAGTCGATATTCTACAGCCCGGTTGTCTTCAGATTTCTTCTTGTCCGACTTGATCGTAAAATATTGGGATCCTTAATCGTAAGATTTATGTTTTTTCTTTATTATGAACGGGCCATTCAGAATGGCCTAATTATTACCTCCTTTTTTGAATAAAAGGCGAGCGCGTTCCTTGAATGACTTCTTGTCTGGTTCAGCGGGGAAGAAAGCGGAAAAATCCTTCTCTACTTCTTTTTTGAATCGGCTGGTCACCTTGCATCCTTTCTGTCCGTAGTAATGGTTTCTTTTCAAATAGTCAATGTCCTCTCTGGTCACTGCTCCGAGCTCGACGAGTTTGTCTTCAGCTTCATCACGGGACAGCTTCATTTTTTGATTGACGTTACCAGATGAATCAGTCGTAGCTTCTTTTTCAGACGGAGTTCGTACTTTTCTTTGCGGCTTCTTTGGGAAGCTCTGGGATCCTTAAAAATTTAAAAATTCGACTTTCAAATTTTTTATGATTTACCTCCAGTTTTGAAAAGCCTCAGAGCTTTTGCATTGAAGTATTTACTGTCCGGCTCAGCAGGAAAAAATGGAGAAAAGTCCTCTTTGACCGTCTTAAGGAATCGTCTCGTGATGGCGCATTTTCCTTGCCAAAATGGTGATCCTTCTTCGACTTTTCAATTTGTTCTCTTGTAGTTTTTCCAAGCATGATCAGCGTCTCTTCGGCGTCGACCAAAGAAAGATTCATCATTGGAGGGAATTTGCTTGTTCAAGTGGTTCCGACGAATTGATATCGCTTTATGATGGCACCTCGGTTTTAGGCACCCACCTCGAGCAAAAGCTTCTTTCTCATTGGCAGAAGAAAAATATGCAGAATGAGGTTGGTTTAATCCAACCTCAGAGCGACCCATTTTCCGGAGCTGGCATTTTTCACCTGCGCGCCTTCCTCGTCCCCCGCTTTGCTCTTGTTTCACAATGTTACTACAGCTCAAAAGTGTTTCTCTCAAAAATGCAGATCAATTAGCGATTTAGAGGATCATGCAGATTTGTCATTCAACCGTAGCTCGTATCTTTTTCGGCCAAGTTCGCTGTAAAGCGGTCTCTTTGAAGATCAAGCCCTTTTTCAAAGATAAGTTTAGTTCATTATTCTTTGGCAAAAGAAATACAGTCATTTCTATCATCACTGGGTGGACTCTTGACCATGGCAAGTAACGTCTGCACTTGATTAAGTTACACATACACGTCAAGAACTTCTTGTAGACAGTTTTAAAAGAATTTTGAGGACAGAAAGTAAACAGCTCTTATCAAACCAATCTGAAGTTGTCTAGCACCGTTTGCACTCGAGATATTTACAAAAATCGGAACTGCATCAGGGCCTTATCCCATATCTTCTGTATATTATTGTGTAACCGCGCAAAGAGCTTGCTTGAAAGAGCTTCAACAAATATAGCTAAAAGAAGAGTTCTGCAGGAAAAGGAAAAGGTTGATAATCGCCCGGAAAAGAGGGTTTAGAAACAAGCACCTTGAAGTACTTTGCTACGGGAAATCAGAAACACCCTGCAACGTTTTTCTTCAAGAGGCTGAAACTCTGCCTTTTGTGGTCACTCGGACAATCTAGCTCAGTGACGGCAAGTTTTCGTAATTTAGAATTCTGTAATTGCCCCCCCCCCTTATGTAAGAAAGGAAGTGGACGAAATTTGTTTTAACTCCTTTTGCCAGACTAATAACTGATCACAATAAACCTTATTGAGTAAAATAAAGTGAACAGGGCATTGAAACTTGAGTAGTTCAAATTTTGAGCATTTTGTTATTAATAAAACAAGCTGTAAACAAAATAATTCTAATAAGACCAGGAGCAGCTTGCAACGCGCAAGATAAGCAAAATGTTTGTCGTCGATTTTGTCATTTTATAATTACTTTCGACATACTGTTGCAAGAAAAAATAGGGCAAAGAAAAAGTTTGTCCTTGAAAAATTTAGGTAGGGTCTATCTTATAAGTGCTAGACAAAGGTACTGCTAGACATGCAATTTAATGGTAAAATTCGTTGCGTCAGGGTCAAAATCCAAAGCACCGCAGAGCAGTCATTCTAAATCGAGCGGGCGACCACCTGGCTCACCCCTCCGCAGCGGCTGGTTCATTTGACTCGTCATCCTTTCAAATGGAACATCGCATTACGGCAATCGCGGAGGAAACGATGTACGACACTCTAAATGACTTCCAAAGGCCATTCTTATTAAGAAGAGCCTCCGAGAATCTTTCCCCAGGATAAAAACCGCGTTTGTTTTTGCCAAAAGATGTCCGTTGATTCTTTCCAACTCAAGAGGAGCAAGTCCAATTCAACACATCTAAACCCTTCTTTTTCTAACAAAAAATTCTTCTCCGAAAACTCAAGACTGCCAGAAAAGAAAGAGTAAACTGCCCTCATTTGTCAGAAAACGAGCGGATGATCCACTTGACAGGCTCAATGAAAAAGGCCTTTTCCGGCTCTGATTTCAGAATTGAGCCGTTGATCGAACAGTTGAACATTTCATACCAACCTGTCGCGGGTGCTCCAGAGTGCTCCTTTTGATCTTTTTGGGTGAATTGATTCATGGAGGAATTTGACGGTCTTTCCGGCAGTTTTTAAAAGAACTTATGTACTGAGAATTTCGAAAAAGTACTTATTATGCAATTTTTGAATATCTTGGATATCTAGTTGAAAATTTCAGTTATTTTTTTGATTGATTTTTAGAAATCAAGCTTAATTTTCTCAGAATTGAAAAGTAAGCGCTTATTGAAGACCATTTCTATAGTCAATAATTCTTCTTGTGAACCTGGTTGGTTACCGAAATTGTCACCGCTGAATTCATGTTTTTCTCGCAAGAAAATTTCGCGCCCAAGAGCATCTTAGAAAAGAGCCCCCGATTATTCGTATTTTTCGCGGAAGTTCGCATAAAGCCGGAGTGGCAATTCTTTGCTCTTTTAGAGTGCCGAAAGAGGAAATGAGCCAGTGACGCTGAAAGGGATCAAATTGAGCAGTTTACTTCCGAGTTAGCCGCTGAAAATGATAGTCCACTAAAGGGGCGATTATTGACGCTAGAATCTTTGTTTTGATGAAGTTAGACAGTCATCTTTGACGTAAGATTCAGGAGTTGAAATTAATGAAAAAATTTCTAGATCAATTTTTTGATTTTTATATTGATTGCCAATTTGATAACCCAGTCTAACCAAACTGGACTTGCAAGGTCTTATTTTCATAAAGACTTTCAAAAGAGATTTACATATATTTAAGTACTTGAAGTATCGAAGATGGTAGGGATCATGCCAGAAGAGCTTGCCGAGGCAATGTCAAAAGGAACTACCAAGGTAAAGCAAGGTGGGGAATTCCGAATGCTGACTTTCGACGAGTTCGCCAAGGCCCATGAAATGTTTGGACATCAAAAAGCATCCAGGACAGAACTCAAAATCAGTGCTCAATATAATTTTTTTTAGCAAAAACTAAGTTGAAAATTTCGAGCTTTTATAAAGAATGTTGTTTTTTCCAGGCCGCGGTGCGATAGAAGTTGGTTTTCAAGACGAAAAGATGCATAAACTCTTACTTGACCAACTTGATTACAAGGCATGTGAATGCTGCTGTCCTCTTTGCCCTAAAACTGAGAAAAATCTGATGTGGGGAAAGTCAAGAATAAACACATAGTTGAAATGGTGAAGAAATGCAACCCAGGAAAAAACGAGTTCCGACCATTGACTTTCGCTGAATACGCCAAGTACCATAAAATATTGGGACACGAGAAGGCCTCGAGAATGGTGGTGATGCCTCACGGACCAATGGAAATACCATTTCCAGATGAAAAAACACACAAGATCTTCCTCGACCAGCTGGACTACGCTGCCTGCGACTGCTGCTGTTCTCTCTGCCCACACAGCTCTGACGAAGACGAATATGATGATGGTCAAGAAACTGCTAAAGAAACCGCCGAGAAAGAAGAAAAGCCGCTTGATTTTAATATCTTCTACAGCTGCTTCCAATATTTCTACAAAAACAAAACTGATTAAAAAACACTAATAAATTCGACAGCAATTATCAAATACCGCGAATATTCTTTTCTTGCCTCTTTCTCTTTTTCTTCATTAGAGAGAGATCAAACTCAATCACGTTTAGAAACTAGCACGTGGTTCTGGAAATAAAATCTTCATCCTTCTGCCGGGATTATCCCTTGTTGATCTCGGGTATTGATCACCTTATGCAAGGGCTTTAAGTCCAGATAAACTAATAGATTGACGTATAATTAGAGAATGAAGTTGAATTTCAGCTTCTTATCAAAACACATTCCAGAGCCGATTTAAATAATTGCCTTAAAATTCGCCTTGAAAACTTAATGCAAAATAGGTGACAAAAACGAACACTTTTTTTTAAATTTATTTAAAAATTCTTTAAATTTTTTCACCTGAGTTTAAGATCTTGGTCAGCAATTTCAAACAACGGCTTAGCATCATATTTATTTACGGGACAGCATTCTGCCTGTAACACCTGGCCAGAACACTTTGTTGGTGCCGTTCTTCATAAACAAAAAAGTGTTGACCACAGTTTCAATGGAACACTACAGTAAATTTTCATAGGTGCAGCAAAAATTATAATGACTAGGGTTCAAAACTCTGGTTTTCAAGCTTCTTTTTCAATCATTTTCCTTAGAAATCAATCCTTGAAAATGATTTTCATGTTAATTTTCGAATAAACACGGTAGTTGAGGACCATCTTTGAAGACTCCGCAAGGGATGATTCCTGTGGTAATTGGCAGCATTATTTTGCGAATCGGAAACCTCGCAACGTTCCCTCGCTTTTCCCCAAAACCTCATTCGACTTTTCACAATTTTAACCAGAAGCTATTTCCTCGAAAAATTAAAAGTAAAAATATTTACGAAAAACTCTTGGGTCAACCAGAATTTACAAGGAAATCGACAACGACGGTTTTCTCATTTTCGACTTTCGGAAAGGAACTTTTACAGATGGGATTAGCAGTGTTGGAACATATGTTTCTCCGCGTTTCCTTGTCCGTAAGACATCGGTTTTTTCCATTGTCTTGCGGACTGAGGTTAAATAAACGTGTGAGGCTGATTTTTTCAGATTGGCTACTACTAAATATTTACTGCTGCGAAAAAAATGCTTCGTTGAACGAAGAATTCTGTTCTTTTCATACAGAATTTATTTAAATAACTAAGAGGAGAACTTGAGTATAAAGTTGGCCTATTAATGAAATATAATTTGTTCTGGCTCACTTTTCTAAGCTGTCTCATATTTGTTCAGAACAAGTTGTTCGAGGACTAAGTCTGATTATCACACTTAGTTAGACGAAGCTGTTTTCACCTCGTGTTAAAAATACCCGAGAAATAGGGCGATACTATAAAGTTTTGTCCGTATTGCGGTCTCAACATTAAAGCCCATTAAACGGGTTAAGTTTAGGGTTAGGGCTTTCAATAACGATATTTTGACTTCGGATATTTAATTTCTTGAGACTCGTCCCCAACGATTTTCCCGAAATCAGCCATTTTTGACCGGCGCTCATGATGACAACTTCAGACTCAATTTTAAGGGGTTTTGACTGCGGATGAGAAAAATTCTGAGCACCTTTTTGTAGCTCATGAACTGAAGAATCCAAACCCTGAAAGAAATTTAAGGAATTCCGACTTTGCAAAATTGTTCGGGTTCCCCTTAATAATAAACCTTTTTATAAGCTTAAATCTTGTAGATAGCAATTATAATTGTGTTCAAAAAAGTATATTACATTTCTACTTTGACATCTAAATTTTGCTTATACTCATTAACTTGCGATATTTTCAATACATATAAAACGTGTATCGCGTTTGATATTCTGAATCAGGGTGGGGAATGTCTTAAGAAAATTCAACGGCACCGGCACGGCACGGCACACCAAAAATTCCTGTGCCGTGCCGTAGACCTTTCCCCACCCTGTTCTGAATATCATATTCATTGATCGTAAATGTAGCTTTTTGTTTTATAAACTGGTGAATTTACATTCGCTGACCTGGGAATCAATGGCTGTGAAAAGGGTTAATTATACGAATTTTGATATAACGGAGGTGCTTATTTTCGCTAGGTCAGCGTAACGTGACTTGGCGTGAACTGAAAATATTGGAAATTCGATGGAACTCATGTCGAACATAAATACGACTTTATTGATTTAGAGAATATTTAGAAGCAAGCAAGGGTTGCTGTTGATGCTCTTGGGGATCATTCCGAAGCAAGAAAAACGTAGATGTTTTCTTGGCTAATTCGATATGTTCATAAACTTCAAAGGGGTGACTTTGTTAGTTCAAGATCTCAATCTCAATGGAACTTGGTTTAAATTTCATGCTCAGATTTTAAGCGCTTTTTTCTCCAGAGTTCTCACTCCCAAACCCTTCAGAAGCAAGGCCCTTCTGTACGTATGGGCCTTATTATGACTTTGATTCGGAAACTCAGGGGCAAATAAGGGGAGATTTATCATTATTCAAGCTTTTTTCTCAACAGTGTATTTAAGATTTGAACTTTATTTTCGAACGAAACGGTACTAGCGAGTTTGATAATTTCTTCCATAAGATTTGTCCGGACATGATCGCAGCGATATCAAATCAGCCGAAGATTCAGAATTGTGGCTTACTCCGGCTGATCCCGGAAATGAAATAAATTCTTATATACCTGCACTGGAACTATTATCTTATCGGATATTTACTTATTTGTCCGTAAATTGAGTAAACCACTTGCACGATACGCGGCTGATCCATTTTCATTCTTCAGAAGAAAGAGAAGTGCTTATCAAGCGGAAGGTTTAGGGTCACAATAGCGGAAATACCACAATATTGGGAACAGATAAAAATGCATCTATTTAACAGAGTATTTAATAAGACAACAAAATAAACGGGAAAGGCTCAGAGTTCCCGTTTCCGAGTTATTTGTAAATTCCAGAGCTCGCTCCCTTTGCTTTCCTACAGTAACTTTGGGTAATCAAGTTGCTGGACAAAAGGCATTATCACACGTTTTCTAGCTGCGGGTGTTGTAATCTCCTCAAATCTGCCGTATTTGATCAGAGCACTGGCCGGAACTCGATTCCCCGCTGATGCGATTTTCTTTAACCCGTTCACCGCTCGTTTCTCTTCATTTCATCATTTTAACACCTCAACGAAAAACGGCCCTGCTAAAAGTCGACGAAGAATTTCTTGAACTTCTTTTTTGTAGCTTTGAAAATAGCTTGCCATATGTAAAAATTTGCGTTAAATCAACAATGAGCGCAAAGTTTATGCTTTTAGAAATCGTTGCTTGAGTTCAATGTGTACTTTAGTTGACTTGCTTTACCGAAAACATTATTTTAATCAACCCTTGTTTAAGTGTTTATTTGGCAGCTCAAATAAAAACAGAATTGACCTTTTTTTTTCTAATAAATAATTTGAACTTAATTCGCTATTCAAATTGAGCCCCGTTAGAATTTTCTATTTTGACCGACAATTTTCTGATAGTAAATTTGTGTTTGCTTGAGTTGCCATTTGAAATGAATAATAGTAGAATAAAAACATTCCTGTTTTGCCAAAACCCCAATGGGGAAATAAAAAATACTCAAAATGGTAAATTGCATGTTTTCTTTTTTTTTTGATGATTTGTCAAAATTTATTTTTTGTTTTTTTTTATTTTTTGAGAAAGTTATTCAAGTAAGAATATTTAAGAGACAAAACTCACACCTTTCTCAGTAGAGCCCCCTAACTGATAATGAATAAACTCGTTGTTTGGGGAAAATCAACTCTCTCAGACCCTTTAATCTCGACACCTGTAAGATGCTGGTAGAAACGCGGCGAGGGGGCGAAGTTTTCGTGTAAAAATACGCGATACAGGTTCACGAAAAATTTTCTTGAAATACCGAGTGATTAAACTTATGTATTATTCAGCAGATTTTTTCATTACGGTCAGTGGTCGTTTTTCACCGAAAATTACGATTTTCACTTTGACAATAATCCAAGATAAGGACAACGGGTTAATCTCCTGACCAAACTAGTGCTCCTCTTTGAAAAAATTCTTTTTCGCTGAGCAAATTTTTCCTCTTCGCATTTTTTGTTACACATTTTGGCGGAATAAAAAGCGGCGATTAATCTGATTTGCGGCTTTTGCTGTTGCATTTAACCGCGCTTGCCAAAATCCATCGGGAAAAAACGAATTTCGCCACGGATTTGCGGCCGCCCGGAAATCATTTTCAGTAATTTTTCTTTATTGTTTATCACTGCTGATTTAGAAAGCTTGCAAACTGCGCTTCTGTATTCGGTAGAATGGATCAAGTTCAAAGAAGTGAACTTCCGACAGTGAAGAGAAGATGCACGGCATAATCTTTGTCCGGGCGGGGTTTCGTCCCTTAGAATTCACCGAATTGTTATCGCTGAATTCTATAAGTGGCTTTTCTTTCAAATGAAAGGGATGATGAGATGTTTCGGTGGCAGCGCGGGCAGTTGTTGATATAACACTGCCCTAGAATCCAATTTTACTGGGCTGCGCTTTTTCGTACAAAAATTGTTTTTTATATCTTTCCCTTTTTATTGTTCTCAAATAAGAATGAGTCAGAAATGAAGAAATTACATTTTTACAGTTTGAAATTGAGAAATGAGAGTCAGTAAAGTTTCAAAATTTGGCTCTTTTGATAAGGCTGTCTGCAGATTGGGCATACTCTCGGATTTAATTTGTTCAAACAGGGATAGCAAAACATATGCCCACATATTGTGATGCACGATCTGTGTTGAATATTTTTGTTATATTTTGTATAACAGACCTTACAGGAAAAATCATCCTCTTGTGCTTTATCGCAGTGTTGATAATGCTCAAAGAACTCTTCAAATGTAAGAGAAGCATTGCATGCAGCGTAGAAACATCTAAATCTCGCGGAGCGTAGGACCCAATCATTCAGTGTCCAAGGCTCACAAGTGCACCAATCTTTGCGATGTTCAATAAACTTTGCACAATGTCTGCAAAAATAGTCGTATGATATTGAGTCGTGGCAACTGGGGCACACTTTATACGTTTCTTTCGTTATCACTCTTAAAAAGCCTGTCAATGATATAAGTGGCTCTTTACCTACAAGCAGCTTGGACACGCTAATTTTTGATTAATCCCCATCAAATGTTTATTGGTTTCCGATTCAAAAAGATAGCTCACTGGAATCTCTCGTTTTTCAAAATCTACAACACCCTTTTTTCGTGACATATTCTAAGAGGAAATTCAATAAGAATTTTTCGAGCGAAAAATGGCCCCTCTTTTTATGAGCTCATCTGAAAGAGCATAAAAAAAGATAACTGTCATAGAAACAGTTATTTGCGTGTTGATCCTACAGTAGGATTTCAAACTTCCATCGGACAACTATTTCTTCTTCTAAAAGGGTCCAACTCGCCGAAAATTTGCAAATTCAAAACGAGTCCTGTAAGAAAGCGTCGCGAGTTGTGTTCAGAATGTCGTGCATGCGCTTTTTAGATAGCATTAGTACTTTGCGCACCAAAAGGTGTGAAAATGAGCAGTCGAAAAATGTTTCTAAATCCATTGAAAAATGCTACAATTGTTTTGACAAAAGACAATAGAATGAATGAGAATTTGACGTTTGCAGATTTTCGAATTTTTCGAAATCCAGTCGGGGTTGAGACAGTAATGATCCGTTGCGGTGCTTTTTGAATCCTTGTCTAAATAACAGTATTCACTCAAATTAGGGTTCTAGCTTTGGCGAGCCGTAGATTTGCGATTTATAGAGTTGCTGATTCAGAGATTCAGATCAATTTCAAATCAGAGCTACAGGGAAGTACTTTCGAGGAAATTACAGTATTCAGCCAGAAAATTGATGATTCATCAGTCAGGATGGTCAAATTCAAGCTGTATTTCAAAGCGAAAAATAATTATTATGACTTGTCAAAGAAGCTCAAAGAAAAATGTCTTCAAAGAAATGACATCAACAAAAAAACTTACGGTATTATATAACAAGCGTTTTTCACCATTCCTCGTTCGTTGGAATGCTCCAGCTAATTTTCTTTTCTCTCTGCTTTTGTTTTTATCTGATCAGAAATTCAGCGATTATCTATTTTTCGTAACCTGGAAATTCCGAAGCGTCCACCAAAATCAGCTGCTTGAATTTTTTCCTAATGCGCTTTTCAGTTTCCTCCAGATTGCAAAAATCCCTTTTTTCCATATTCAATGAATTTTTAATCATTATCAAGGCTTTTTGGTCCGTTAAAATGGTCCTAATCTGCTGAGAAATCTTGGCAGTCTGCAGTAAACGGTAAAAAGAAGCTCAAATCAAATTCGTTTTTTTTTGCACTTTTCCAAATTCGCTATCAGATGGAAAAGTTCCGAGTGTCTATTTTGAACTGCGATTTGGGAGATTGTGCACTGAGTTTATAAAACAAGTTATCTCCTAAGAATACTGTTTTTATAAAAGCTTCTCACATTACAAAAAGTCCAGATTTAGAGCCTAGAAATGCTTAATTCAAAAAATAGCATCGGAGCTTTGAATTTTCAATCAAGCAATGATTTAGTTCCAAAAAATGGATTTTTATACAAGACCGAAAATAGCGGAGATTATACAATCGAAAACTGTTAATTCTTAATTAAACTTAGCCGATTGAAATTTTCTAGAAGGGGCTACAATTAGAGCTACCCCTTGAAACCCTTTGAAACTAACCCCGGGGCTGTGGCCTGGGACCCCCCTCCTCCCCCTCCTGACACAAAACCAATATCAAGGGGATTCACTCTTCCCAATCAAGGGTTTTCAATCCCTAACCCTAACTTGTTTAGCTCGAAAAAAACTATGGTTTAAAAAAGACAGACTTCATCCATTTTCTTCTACCACCCGTATCCGTTTTGATCTTCTTGTTCCTTTTCTGCATCTCCGAGTACGTCACCTGATAGATGACCAGATTAGTACTTGGCACGAGTCTGTCAGAGTTTGCGTCTTTCGCCCGTGACGATCGGGCGCGCGCGCTCTCGTCCAGACTCAGATGGCGCTCGTGAGCTAGCAGCGCGCGCACGACCGCTGCTCAGCGCTGGCGACCGATTTTTTCGTGAAATTTTGTTTTTGCTCATCGACCGAAATTTGTACTCAGCACTTTCATAAAACACACGCTTTTAACGCTTTTTATACTTTTAGCTTTTTTGCATAGACATTTTCATCCATAGAGATCAACAGAGAAACATTGTCGAAATCAGTACTTTTTAACTAAAGTAGAAAAACCGTAGTTATGCTTTGCCACTCGCGGGGACCGAAATTCCCGCGATTCCGGAAAAAGAACAAACCGGAATCGACGGAAAAGTCCATTTCATCGGACCATTCCGCCAGGTATAAAAAATATGCGCGAAATAGCGCGAAGAGAGGCTGACGAAGACGGGTTAAATCTTACGTGAAGAATTTTTGAGATGTTTCAGGACAGATTTTAAAAGGATATTAGAGGAAGAGAATGTTATTTTGTTAATTTTTATGGGATGGTCTCTGGAACCGACAAAAAAATTTCGACAAATTTTGCGTAGGCGGCTACTCGGCAGCTGATTGTCCAGTTTGCCGAATCCAGGCTTCTGATTGGTTGAAAATTTCCACGCAAAATTTGTCGAATTTTTTTTGTCGGTTCCAGACACCTCCCCATTTTTATTTCATAAAAATTTTTATTTTCAAATATTGGATCTTTTTGTTTAAATTTTCTATACTTTTTGCCATTTTGAGAAACCATTTAACTCATTCCTTTTTGCTTATTTTATTATTTTTACTGGTTTTATTTATCTTGAACCTCAGGAAAAAATTTTTGCATACTCTGGGTGAATTTTTGCTCAAAATCATTCAAAAAACAAGTCGCTCCAATTTTTCCTCCAGGAAACCGTATCTCCTAGACCGGAAATTGAGTTAACCCTGATTTGCTCACCCTGTCTACCACCACTCGTTCCTTCCCCAAAACACTAGCCAAAACATAAATCAACACCCGAAGGTTGAATTCGCAGATTTCAAAAACAAACACTTTTACACCGCGAGAAAGGGGTTTTCCCATGCGCGGAGGGGTTAAATTAGCGGGCAAAGCGACGCGTCCCGTGAGTTGGAGCTTCTTTGTTGACTGTTATTCAGATATTTTGGGAACAAAATTTTTCTTGAACTTGATTTGAAAACCGTAAAATGCTATTTTCTATTTAAAATTTGTATTTAAAATATTCCTTTATGATCGACTCCATCAACAAATTGCAATTCTAAGCGCAAAATATGCAACCTCGGAAAATTAAATGAATAAAAAAACTGTTCTTATAAAAAAATATATTTGGATTCCAGGTTAAATCATAAATCCAACTAAGTGCTCCTCAAGTTTAACCCCTTAGCGTCGCTTGGGTCACGACTCCAGCTCGTAATGAGACTCTCGCATTGAGTGAGCTCCCCCTCTTCCCTTAATCTATTCCTCAGTAAAAGTCCAAAACGTAAATTTGCCTTTGAGTTAATTACCGGTTCGTTTTTCAAATTTCAAAGTTATCCCTTTTTCAACCGGAAATTTACGTGAGCCGGAATTTCGAGACATTTTTTCTTTCGTTTCCATATTCACGAAAAGGGGATATACACAAAACGGGACTTCGCCCGGCGTCGTTTCCGGTGAAGAATGAGCTTAACCCAACTCCAACTCAGCAGGTTTCAATTCTGGGCCTGGGTCCGAGCTGCGGTGGAGTCTTGACGCGCGCTAGAACCGCCGGACACATCTCAGGAACGTATAACTTGGGCTTATTAGCACTATCGACGAGCTTTAAAACAGCGCTGTGATGTAATTACAGACACGAAAATGTGGCCAAAGTGGTGCGTTTTTCAAAAGTCCAAGATGAGTACTGAATTTCAGCAGTAGTCATCGTTAAAATGAAAAACCAAAGTAGTGATACCCAAATTTAATTCGCGATAATAATGATAAAATCATTTATGTATTTGCGAGAATTAATTCTTACTTATCTTTATATACAGTTATTCCAGAAAAGTTGAAAAAGGACACATCAATCGCTTCCCCCAGCGCTAGTTTATTTTACCTTCGTGGTGCGACTTTTTTATTTCTTGGAGATTCCCGGCTGTCGGCCCGAGCGTCTTTTATGTTTTCCCGTTTTTTCGCCCAGACGGGTTAAGTTTCTCAGGGCCAAATTGTCTGAAAATGATTCTGTTTTCGACTCTTTTTTCAATTGACGAATCAATCGACTTTTCTTCGATTTTTAAGGTCGCTAGCGTTTTGACTCAAAAAGATACTGTAACTGTAAGTCTAGTACAAATATGATTTCATCAAATTCTAGCCCAGCGATGATGCTCTAAAATATGACGCATAGAACCAGATTAGTTTTAAAGTTTCGCTAGTTCCTTTAAAAATTACTCGAAAGCCCTAGAAAATATTTTTTAAAGCTGGGATTAAGGTTTACACGTTCGTTCGAGCTGATTAGATCACGTGCTGGATCTGGCGGCGACTTCTAAGGGGAAATACAAGTTCCGCCAAAAACAGCTCTAGCACGGCGCGAAAAACGGGATTTGCTGACACTTTGGGGCTTAAACGAACCTCGTAAATATAAATCCAGCGAGTTATAAACACATCTGTTTTCGCTAAAAACGAATCATCCGAAGACTCCGCATTTTTCAGCTACAGTTTTTTCTTTGATCAAAAAATAGTCTTCTTAAGGGGGTCCCCCATGAAAAAAAACAATGGGGACCCCCTAGAAGTCTTCTTTTTTAAAATCAGATTTGCAATTTATGCAAAAACCTGAGTCAGCATCCTGAAAAAGCTTTGATGAAAAGAAGCAAAATTAAGGGTATCAACTACCAAAAAGGACTCTATCAAGAGAAGACACAGAAGAATGAATATTGCTTGTTTTATGATTGTTGGATTATCCAGCTCTTAACCCTATTTAGAAAGAATTATAAGTAGTAAAAGGTTGGTTTCGTAAATCCTGTCTAAGAGAATAATTATCTCTAGTAAGGGAGTCAACTATTCTCACGTTATCTTGGGCACGTTTGTCAAAAAAAATATTCTAGAGGCAAGTGTGTAAGCCGATCAATTCAAAAGTTATCAGCGCCTGAATTTTGCGCTCGAGTGTTGCCCAAACATCCCCCAAAAAATGCTCGAAATTGCATAAAAAACAGGATTTAGACTAAATGGCAGATAAACTTTTATAGAGTGCCGCGCAAGAATTGGTCAAGTACCGAATATTGCTTCTCTAATAGCTCGAATTTTTCAATAAAAATTGCCGCTTGCGGCTTCGAGAAAGTGAAAATAAAAAAAAGCCGCGCTATGTTTTTAAACTTTCGATTTTAGAAAGATGAATTTTTGAGTTCATTTCTTTAATATAACTTTCACATCGTTGAGAAATCAATCAAGTGATTTGACGTTCACATTCTAGTGCTTTCTAAAGTTTGTTTACCATTACTGCTACATTTTCGCGTAATTTGGGAAACTCGGGAAAGGGAAAGAGAATGTAATTTCATAAGCGTCTGATCTGAACATTGATGCCCGTCTCGATAAGACTTGAGACGTATTCTAACGGACGTGCGGCAGACGTGGCCGGAGTTTCGTGAATTCTCAGCGCGACCGACTGGACCGCTAAATTCACCACTTCTCCGCTGCCCAGACGATTTCATAAAGTGAGTGACCTTTTTTAAAGTCAGTTCCGGCGCATTTAAATGTTCCAATAAGAAAAAATCGAGAAGCCGCTTGCGGCTTCGAGTCAAAAAAAAGACAAAGACGCGCGAAGCGCGGCTTTTTCAATATTTTTTCTCGAAGCTGCAAGCGACTTCTCGACTTTTCCCATCGAATTATTTTAAAACGCCAGTAGAATGGAAAAGGCGCTTGCGGGTTCGAGTCAAAAACAGAAAGTCACGGGAATCGCGGCTTTTTCCAAATTGAAACTCGAAACCGCAAGCGGCTTCTCGATTTTGTCAGTGATAGTCAACTGTTCAAATTTTTTGAAAATAACAAGAGATGACGTTTTCTTTCTGTCTCCCCCGCCAGCAGGTGATTGTTTCAGTGATTCTGATGCAAGGGCGGGGTCGTACATCAGTTCCATCAACCAGTTTTCTTGGAGGCAGCTGTTTTCAGCTGCGCGCGTGACAAACATTTCGCGTTTTACTCTTTCTTTTCTCACCTCGTGTTTGACAAGCAATTTTTATTCACTCGTTTCGCCGGGTATTCAATTTGAAAGTTGTGGTCAGTTCCGAGTTGATTCGACTACGACGCATGTTCTTCATGTTCATCTTAGTAGTGAACTAGTCCCGTAATCAACCGATTAATTTATTTTGTGTTTGAGCTGTTTTCTTGTTCTGAGGATCTAATTTGTCTCAGATTCTGCCAGAGTACCAGAACTGGGCTTTGTTTATTGCTACGTTCTATTCAATAAAGCGTTCTGTGGCGTGAATTCGAAATTAATCGAGTTCTACAGAAGCCTCAGCAGGAATTTATGAACCTCAAGAAATGATTGTCAAAACAATCAGGCTTGATTGAATTTCCCACAGTCGGAATAATGGGATTTCATAGTGCAGTAAAATAAGGGTGTCACTCAACAAATTCTCTGAGAAGAAAAAACGAGATTAATGATGTCTACCCCCTTAAAATACCCCCTAGAATTAGAATTATACCATCAATGGCTTACTTTCTTCACGTTTTTTTCTATCCCTTGATTAGTAATCAACTGCTCTTGACAATAATCCCCTCTCTTCTAATTGATCCACGTGACTACTCGTTTTATAACGAGCAAGTCCGAATCAAATTCAAATCTCAATCCGGAAATGCGCCGCACTGAGCTGTATTTCCGCCCACCGCGTCACTCCTCGATCCTCCATTTTTGCTCGATCAAGAGCCGGTGAATACATAACCGCCAAAAATCTCGTACAAAATCCATCATAGAAGATAGTCAAAGTGCTCTTTTTCAAAAAAACAGGTGCAGGTTTTAGTAAGAGCATCAGCTAGACTGGCAATTTTCTTGACACAACTAGTCATGAAGGAATCTTTTAGCTGAACTTTTACCGATGGTAACATGTGAAGAAAACCTGAGTCAGCATCCTGAAAGCCGCGTTGCGGCTTTTTAAAGAACGAAGCTGCAAAGCGGCTTCGCCAAAGATTGGAATAGCGGCTTTAAATTCAACCTTTTTTAGGAACTTTTTAGTGAATCAAAATTTTTTTTCTTTGATTTTCAAAAAGGTAAAATAAGTGTCATTGCATCAAATCTCCTCTTTCCAAATAGGTATCAAAACCACTAAAAATACCGTAAGCCGTCTATGAGCGAATAATGGAACCTCAAATCGTAAGGTCGTCTCTCCGCAGCGAAAAATAGTAGCTCGATTTTTGTTTCGCCACAGCTGTCAATCGCGTAGAAAGAAAACGTGGGCCCCCTTGTCTAAGTGTTACAGTAAAACCCCTTTGATGAAATAATATCAATTAGTGTCAAGCTTATCAGTGCGGCTCGAGCGAGCGCTCACCCGCCGAGCGACTAAAAGCTTCCGCCAGGTGCAGCAAACTTTCTTTTTCTCGGAGATCTTTCTTGCACAATTTTTTTCTTTCATAAGAGTAGGAAAGGGTTCGGAAGAAAACGTGATTGTTTTTATCGCTTACGCTCCGTATCTTAGGACTTTCCAGTGTATGGTATTATGACGTAGAATATAAAGAAGGGAATAAGCTTAGATAATAAGGGGGTGAATTGAGAAAGTCAGCAGATTAGAATTTTAAGATGTGGATTCTCCGATTTCTAATCCTGGATTTTATTATTGGCCATACAAATCATGAGAGAGATTAAAGGACTTTTTGAAGTGCTGGATTTTTTGTTATTCCATAATTTTCCCTGATTTTTTGTCGAAAAAGTCGGTTTCTTTTTCGACCAAAAATCTTGTCCAAAGAAGTATTGAACTCCCGATGACTCAGTATTAAGGATCCACATAGCTTTGGAACCTGTAGTTGGGTATGTTGCTCTGAACTGTAAGTGTCATCAGGCTTATTTTCTCGCCAAGTCGTCAGTGCCACTCATAAGTGCATCTTCGCGCACTTTTCCAATCATCTTCCCTAGCCACTTTCAGTCGCTAAATAAACTCCTTTCGCTTGTTTACTCATAAACCGTAATGTTTCCTTCAAAAGACGAACGGTTTTATGTAACCGGCTAGGAATAGACGCTGTTTAAATTTAACGCGATTGTGAATCCAAAAATGGAACGGTCTTTTTTGAACAGGATTTTGATTGAAAAATACGCTTTTAGAAAGGGGCCGGATTACAGCGAAAATAACCGAAAAGGTCGGGAAAAGAAAATAAATACCAAAAGGAACCACACTCGCAAAATTATATTACGTCAGGGATTGCTTTGAATCCTGGTGTAGAGCAGACGTTCCTCCTTATTTAAGCATGAAGAATCCGTAGTTTCTTGTGATTTTTGACAAAATAACTTCGAATCTTCTTTTTGTAAAATTATTTTTTTGAAAAAGTTTGAAAAAAGGTGTTTGTCAAGATAGTTTTTAGTGGACTTGGCAACAATTTCCAAAACCAATTATAAAAATAGAACGAGTTTATCAATGAACGAGCGGTTCTCAAAAACAACCAGCCTTATTTTCTTGAAAACGCGTTTCATGGTTCTTTATCATTCTCTTTTCTATTGAATTTGAGCCACTTTTAGTCCTCAAATTGATGCTTTTTTAGAAAAAATGTTTTCATAAACTTTTTTTCTTTTATTGCTTTTAAATTTCAAAAGGCGGATAGTGCGGTGAGCACCCTTAAAATCCTCCGTTTTATAATATATTTTCCCCTGGAGACGATTTTGGTGGATAAGGAGCTATTTAAACAAAATGTCTAAAAAGTGCGATTACATGAAAATTTGCTCAGCCCCTCCCTTAACCCACCGCATGTGTCGTAGAGACACTTGGCCTGACAGTCACGTGGATCTCCTTAAGTCGAGCAAGCGGCTTTCAATAAATCGAAATCCGCGCTAACTGCGAATTCTCTTACTCGCTAAACTTTCAACCTTTTTTAGCAGCGACTGAGTTTTAGAGCAGTGGCTCATTTGTTGAATCGGATTATCGGACTTGTCTTAGCAAGAATTACTACTACGACTGCTAAGTAATGGATTTCTACCTTTTTTGGATACTTTTCTGTACACGTACTTATCCGTCAATCAATCTTGAAGAGCATTTTTTGGGGATCAAGTTCTTTTTCAAAGTTTTTTTTTAATAAAAAAATGTTATTTTTCTTCCCGAAAAATGTGGATACGTAGCGCATATCTTGAACCTGTCCCTCTTTTAAAAATATCCTTTCTAAATATTTTATCTGTCCTGATCCCTTTCCTGTTTATTTTGCCCCGGATGAGCTTACTGTTATTTTCAACACGCGCCGCCATATCTGAAATGAAAACGTTCCAACAGGAAAACGAAAGCAGCTAATTTCAATTTAAAAAAAAGATCGAAAGTTGCACTTCACGATTTAGCCCGTCCTTGTCGAGCTGCTCAAATGCGGCGAAATAATCGTAATTTTTGGGAGAGGGATTAACGTTGGTTTTTTAGGGATTCTGGAATAAGTTACGATGAAATGTCACCAACAAGCAATGATGTTTCCGAAAAGGTAAATTTGAGACTTTTCAAAACATAAAAAGAAGTCTTATATCAACCCCGATCTAGGGAGTTTTTTACGAAATAATCTGGTATTCGTATAAACCATTTGCGACCTTTGAGACAGTAATTTGACAGTCGATCTTGTCCAAATTCAAACTTATCTCTCCTGAGCCCACTTCTGAGCACATGTAATTTAGAAGATGGGTTACACTCCTTTTTACAATTCGGTTGAACTTATCCCTTCCTCGCCCACCTGCGGCTGGAAATATCCTCTCTCAAGGAAACCGGAGATCCAAAATCGGGACATTAAGTTATTCTGATAAGGCCAAGGCTCTAAGAGGCAAACCAAAGTAGGAAACGAAGCCAAGAGGATAATGATTTCAGTTTCACGAAAGAAGAAGCAATCAAGAATGTCCCAAGAATATTTTTATCTCGAAACTTGTCACTTGTGTTAATGTCTTTTTAGATTTCCGAACCCGAGAAGCCATTATTGGCGACAAAGTATACTCAACGTGACAAGTCTCTGCGACTCAATCACGGCGGATGGGACAGAAACGAAAAAGCAGAAAAGGTAAAGAAGCCATCAAAAATTAAGGATATACGTTTGCTAATTTGAGTGAGTATTTAAGACTAATCGTGACGTTAGACGTCCAGGTCTCACACAAGGTGCACCTGCGGTTGCGCAAAAAACGTCAAGATAGCTGGCCTCTAGCTTTCAGTCAGATTGCTCGACTGATAGTTTTTGCATGAAAAGTTAAGGGGGAGGTCGACGAGAATCGGGATTTCTGTGACCAAAAATGCGGAGAAACCCGATTAGATATGAAAATTCTGACTTTTCAGATTGAAAGAAAAGGGTTTGAAAAATTAACCGGCGAAAAGCAGAAAAAAAAATTTTTTTGAAAAATTTTTCAAAATCAGGGTTGAAGTGGGGGCGTCTCGTGACCAAAAAATCTCGAAAACCGAGTTTTTTTTTCGTCATCAAATATAATTAATAAATAGTTTAGACCCTTAAAAATTAACCGGCGATCAAAAAATTAAGGGTTACTATCATAAAAAAAATTTTCTTATTGATTAAAAATATTCGATTTTCGTCAAAATCGACATTTTTACCCATTTTTTCATGGAAATTTCTGCAAAAATCACAAAAACTGGTATTTTTTTAAATTATTAGTCAGAAATCATTTTAAAACAATGCCTAGTCCATAATAATCAGTTTCAGATAGTTTTTGGACGAAATCACCAAATAATAATTTTCAAAAAATTTCAAGTTCGAGACTCAAAATCGAAAATTTTACATTTAAAAGTTTACAAATTGAGAAAAAGCTAGGAACCAAATTTACTCCTTTTTTATCGAGGAATCCAAAAATATAATCAAAATTTTGAAAAAGCGAAAAAAAATTTCTCGACGACCTCCCCCTTAAGGGTTATCTACGTAGGCTAAAGAACAGTTCCGAATAATTAAATAAAGATAGAAGCTTATAGAAAGTCTAAAGAAATGACCAGGTGCTCTTTTGGGTTAAGAATATAAACAGAGCTTTTTTATAGAAAATTCTAATTTTTGAAAATTCTAGGCAGGTAAGGGATGATTCTAAAATTGAATAATTAATCCCCAAATAATCTTCATAGAAGGCGTGAGAATCCGATATCCAATGGATTAAAACCCCTCTTACGATCGTTTGATCCCGTATTTGTGAGAGCTCGGGATCTTGTCGAAAGTTTCTTGAGAATCTCAGCAAATTTTTGCTTGTGTACAAGGACCCACAGTTTATCCTGTTAGACATAAACATCGCCGAATCTTTAGACGAGCCGTCTATGAGAAGAAATTCTTGCTTGAAAGAGCCATTTTTTAATACTTGTGTTGCTCACGTAACAAGTACATTCCACTCGAGAGGTGGGTATTTGGGAACACTTATTTGGCAATTTTGGTAGTCCAATTTTGATGATGGATCGCGCTGAGCTAAACCGGTCGCGGTTGAAAGGGTCTACTTCCAGAAGGTTAGACGCTGCCAATTATGCAGTTTCACCTTGCAGAAGCTCTTTGCATGATTCTCTAGCGCCTGGTTCTCAAGAAATCTTGACAGACTGAATGACCTAAAGTTCTTGTACTGAAGATAGCTACCCTATTTTAGAGCTTCCTTCTGTTACCGCGGTTTCAGTTTCAGAATTTACTCTAGTGACACCCTTATTTTGTAAGAAATCCTAAAAGAAGCATGTAACGAGGGATGATTTCTGACTAGAAATGTGTCAAGAAACATCTGAGGAAAGATTTGGCCGACCTTTTCAAGTCGAATGAATCCTATCACACAGCTTGCGAAAGAATGTCAATTCTTCGTCAATTTTACTTGGATTTTGTTCAATGTTTGCAAATCTTGTTATGTTTCACGTGACTTAGACTAGTTTTTAAATAAAAATCATTTACACATCGAAATAGAACAATGTCTTACCAGGAATTTGACTCTAAAAGTGCTAATAAGTTAATCAACTTGATTACCGGAAGAATTACTAGTTTACTTTACTTCTGACCGGATAGAAAAACAGTCTATCTGTCAAAGAATTATCAAAAACAAATAATGTAACAACAACAATATATAATACTCGGATGAGAATATCAATAACAGCGCTAGATGATCTTAGGCGCATTAAAATTGAGCCGGCCGGACTTTCTAAAACTGCAACTGACTACTGAATACGTAGAAAAACATTGCCACAGCGGCTTGGCCTATTTGATCTTAAACTTGAACGAAGAGTTTTTTACTCAATTTATTGCATAAGAGTACTTAGTTAGCAAACTTAATTTTTGAATGATACTAGGGAAAGAAATAGTCTATATTTTCATATAATAAAATAAGGGTGTCGCTATGTTAGTTCATAGAGAAAAACACGCTTGAAAAATGGCCAGTTCTTTCCAAAAAAGACGTTTCTAATGGCCTTTTCTTGTTTTAAGGACAGTTCTCAAATGAACTTATGTTCCTATTTATCTCTCCTTCCTCTTTTTAACGCACCCTCCATTTCATTCTACCGTTATTTTCTGCCGATTAGAACATCGGGCATATCGGACGCCGCAGCCTTAAGCTTCCACTAAGCCTCATGATTTTTGCAGCCTCTTCGTTTTATCGCCCTCGTCCGGTAATCTCACCGCGCATTTCCTGAATTCTCCCAACGTGATTTTCCTCATCCTCAAAATTTTTGAACAAGAGAAGGAGCCAAACGGAATGATAGAGAGCTTCGTAACAATGTTCGATCTCGGGCCGCACCTGGAAGTTTATTATCTGGTACTCGTTCTTTTTACGCACTATCTTTTGCTCGTAAGAGTTAACGAAAGAAGTTATGTTTGTTAAAAAACGTGATGTAGAATTTAACGAAACGTTCTCGTAAGCAGATGCAAGATGATACAGATAGCCGCAGCGGCAATTAGATAACGAGGAGGCTAAACGAAAAGCCACGGGTCAATAGACTATTGACAATAGTCTGTTGATTCAGTCCTTCTTATGGCTTTATTCATGTTTTTCATATCTTCCTTTGATTGGTAGCTTTTCAGTGATTGGGATATGCATTGTTTTTCATGAATTTGAAGCGTTTTCAAATATTTTATGCCACGTAACGCGACAAAAATGACCCGTCGACTTGAGAGTCTTTCTCGCGTCTGAGATATTTTGCCAGGGCTTGATTGTTTTCTCAGCCCACTAGACGAGCCTTCAAACCTGATCAAACAAATCATCCATTGCTGTCCTTATTAGTTATTACCGCATCTGCAATTTTCAATTGAGTCTGTCATATTATTACCGATTGGCCGCTCAACTAACCATCGAAATTATAGACTCAAACGCTTAGGGTATCTGTTTCTTGTTCAGCCGCATGAAAAAAAGTAGCGAAATCGTAACGGAAATTATTGACTTTTGAGCTTTTCCCGATTTTTGGTTCTATCTCTTTCAAATTTGACCTAATGACCCTTTGAAATTCTTAAATTGAAAATTGGCAATTTCATTGGCTCGTGGGAAAAAAAAAGACTTTTGATTGGCGGAAAATATTTAATAAAGCGATTATACCGGTATAAAGCACTATTATACAGCCTAGAATTTTCAGTGTCATTATCGACTTTTTATCAGTTCATTAATTATAGTTTATGAAAGTAAGGCTTTGATAATTTACTGGAGCTCGGACAGTATCTCGCCCCCGAAAGTCACAATTTCGATAACCACGGCATTGGACTCTAAATATAGTTTTGGGTTGATTGAGCGCGTTTACCGAAATAGCAATAGTTATGAGCAAATTAGAATCTATCGACTTCCGCGGTGAATAGACCGCGAATGGACCGGTCGGTACTCTTGCGCACCGCAAATCCTCTCAGACTGAAGGACAAACGTGCCGCACAATTTCACTCTCTCGAGACCACGCTTGTTAGCGCAAACATTTATATATACAGCAAAAACGCTAAATAACCATTTTTCAGGAATTCTCCGAACCAGTCTACCCAAGCATCAACGAAGTCCTCCGACTAGGAGGCCCGTACCCACAGACGATCAGATCAAGCTTCAACGACTTCTGGTTTCGCGGATTTCATGATCAAAGCCCCTTCTCTTGGGTTGGAGATAAACTCCTAGAAGCTGTTTCGAACCAAGAACCGCCAAAATTGGATGAAGAATGTGAAGAAATTACTTACAGAAAACACTTTATTGGAAAGGTAAAAAGACTTTTTCTTTTCTTTTTTTTTCAATTTTAAGTTTCGCGCCAAATTTAATTTTTTGAAAATTGTGCGTAAATTTGATTGGATACCACCTCCATTATAGGCTTTAATTTATAGCCTATCATAGGTTAATTCAATCTCAATTTTCGATAAGAAAATGGAGTTTGGAAGTCCCACATTCTGTTTTTCCTATCACAAGAGCTTCCCCTCTACTCGGAAAAGTGGCACAAGTTCCAGCAAGCCTTATCCACATTCTGACAGGCTATTAACTTCCTCTTTCACAGATTTTGGGCCTCTCTTACTGCTTGTCAAAGAGTCGAGTGCATTTTTTAGGTTCTAAATCACACGACTCTAAACTGCCTTAAAAATGTAGTTAACTAGGCAAAAACATCTCTACGCGTTATTTTCGGCTGCGTTCACGTTATCGCTTGGCCGATTTTTAAATATTGCCCGGGTGTCTCTTATCGGAGCGAGTTGCTTTTCGTGACATTCCAGCTAAAATGTTCCATTCCATCGTTTACGCAAGCTAAGTAGACACTTAATTCTAGCTGCTCATTTTATCGGTAGTTTAGAACTATTTTACATTTCGCAAGAGTCAAGAATTATTTCAAGAAAAATAATTTTTTCCGATTTCGTGCAAAAATATAATTTTTAAAATTTGCGCCTAGCCTTTCCTAACTCATTGTTTAATCGAAAATGTTTATATGAGAAGGTTTTTTGTGAAGAAAATTTGAAATTTTTATGGATATTTATTTGAATTTTGAATTCCGCGCCATATCGGCCTATTCAAATAGCGCGCCTTCATTTGATTGGATTTTATCGCTAATATCCTCGCCATGATTCCATGGCAAGATGGCCGAGTGGTCTAAGGCGCTGCGTTCAGGTCGCAGTCCTCTTTGAGGGCGTGGGTTCGAATCCCACTCTTGTCATACTTTTTTCATTTTACTGTCAGATCTTACTGTAAAAACGATATGTTTGGCCTCTTTTAGAGAGCTCATCCCTCCTCTCAACTTTTCCTTTAGGAGCATTTGAACTTCTACGGCCGCGACGAAGAATACGGCCCCATCATCCTTTCCGTAAAAGTCGAAGAAGAAGAGTACCGAGTTATCATCAGATGCCGAGATGGAAACTTTGAACGAAAATTCAAGCTGCAAAACGATGCAAGTGGACCGCTAGAATGGGCAAAGAGTGTAGTTCCTCAATTGACTGCGAAAGGATGCAGATTCAATCCTGTTCTATGCATTAACGCCTGGCAACGAATCGGTAAGATTTCATTTATTGAAGAAGAAGTCAAAATGTCTACTAATAGTTTTGGTGCATTTCATAATTTATCGTCAATTATATAATTCAATGAATAATTCTACAATGAGGATCTTCTTTTCATAAATCATTTTATTTTGATCCTGAGTCAGGATTCGTGATTGATTTAACACAGTTATTTTATGCCCAGGAACAGCTGTTTCCAATTCTTATCAGATCTGGAACATGCCAAGTCCTTGCCAGATTAATAGTTCGATTTTCATGGTGTTGATTTTTACTAACTAATTGATAGTTATTAACTTGATTTTTAAATATTTTCTTGAGCTTATTAAAACATTTACTTTTAGTGACTTTCGACGAGCACGCGAACACGAAGAAAAATCACAAATTCGCGGTCTTCCTTCAGAAGTTTGGGCAAACAACTGAAGATGAGCTGCTCTCCAACTCTTCCGGAAACGCGTCGTTCCAAGAGTTCCTCTCTTTCCTTGGCGAGGAGACTTCGCTCAAAGATCATTCTGGGTAAGAAAAAAGCGTGACCCGAATTTGCCATCTTCTAAACCGGAAATATGCTTTCATAAGAGTTCAAAACGAAGAAACAGTGTATTCTAAATTAGGCTTTCAATTTCACGCTGACCTTAGGAGCTTCGTTTAACGGTTAAGGGACGCCCGAGCAGACTTATTCTCGCCGCAAAGATCAGACCAAAGACTAGAAATTACAGTGCGTGGAAAATTGCCGCCCTAGTTGGTGCATGCGCTTCCCAAGCTATTGATCCAACAATTGAACTAGGCAGGCTCTTCCCACGTGGCGTAATAAGGATATCGTTATCCAGTTCGGAAAGTGGTCGTTTTCGAGTGAATTTTATTTTTTATGAATAACAAGAAGAAATCCTTAGATATTCCGGTAACCACCAAAAAACGCTAGATGTGGCACCGGCAAAATACCTCGCGTATTTAATGATTAATTTTATCAGAAGATTTCGTTTTGACGAAAATCAGTTCTCTCTTTCTTAGAAAACTTTTATGGTCTTTGTGAATAGTTAGTTACTCACAGCAGAATCTGATTAATGGTGGCAAGATACTTCATAAGCTTGACTTAGGATATCATTCTTATACAAGTAATTGATTTATTAAAGATTTTAGATGCTAAAAATGAATTAAACTGCGTTGTTAGCAAATTTCTATCGAAAGATTAAAATTATACACTTCCGATTCTAGCCACGATCCTATTTCTTGGTTTCACCAAGCCATAATCTTTATCAGATCGACTAGTTATTCACGAAAAACATCTTTGTTGAACCTTTATTTTTGCCAACTCAGAAAAGCATTTCGAGAAAGCAATCTGGATTTCTTTTCATAAGTCTTAACCCGTTGAGAACATAAGTCTGGCTTCGGCTTAAAAATTTAACATGTGTCGTAATATTCGCGTGATTGTGTACGAGTACTCGTATTTTTCCTCCTTGCGTGTCCCAGCAGCCGGGTTAAACCCAGAATTAGCCCACTCAGAATGCTCTGAACCTTTCTAATGTTTAATTGCGGGGCCTTAACCCGTCCACGCAGCGGTGCCCCGCTAGAATTTCTTAACTCAGCTGTCGTTATTTTCGCTGAACTCGCTGCGCACTGTAATTTTTCGCCCATTACTCCACGTCAGGAGTTAAAATTAGAAGATTTTCAAGCGATTCTTATGCAACTTTTGAACTTAAATCTTAACTTAACTTGTTATATTCAGATTCCGCGGCGGACTTACTCCAGTTACTGATGGCGACAAGACTGTATACACAAAGTTTGACAACAGGAAAAGGGTTGAAAAGACCATGAAAAAGATAACAATATCCATAGACTTTTTGACGCAAAATGAGTTTTCATGAAAAAATATATCGATGTTAAATAAATTTTAGGCAGAAAAAATTAATTTTAGACAAATTTTACGATGAAAAAGAAATTTTTAGGTGATTAATGAAATCTTGATGTTTCCATAAAATATTTTTTCGTCGAATCAGCAAATATTAAATCAGAAATATTAATTTAACACCAATATATCATGTTCTGATTTCTAACTGATTTTTTGTTTTTGGACACGAGTTTTTACAGAAATTAAGCGTGGCAAGTTCTCACGCTTAGGGTCATTCGTAAAAATGTATCCATCGAAATTTATTTTTGGCACCCCTTAACGAAAAATTCTTGTAGTGCTAAGTGACCTAATCTGCCGACGCTAAGGGGTTAAACCTTTACTGACATTTTCAAAAATAGTCAACACGCCATTTGTCAGTAACAAATTTCGCGCGTCAAATTTTCTGTCTTCTTACAGTAGCTTACTCAAAGTTAGAAGGCTCAATTCAAGCGATTAAGCGCGCATCGGGGGATGTTTTTCAATTTTGAGATGATCCGTAGGTTTTAAATTTGTTAGTTTTTAAAGTGAGTTTTCGCAAGTTTGGAGTTTGTTTGGGTGCGACCTCCGCAAATAGACAAGTCCAAAAACGTGTTGAAATCGGATCAGCTAAATGAGTGTGGGATGACTAAGTTCGTGGGGACTAGGTTCGTGGGACTAGGTTCGTGGGTGGCTGGCTGGAAAACGTGGTTCGTGGGACTAGGTTCGTGAGTTTTTGATTTTATATGTAAATTTTTATTTATAATAATTAAGTGTTATTTATATGTATATATTTATTCATATATATTTATATATATGTATTGTAATTATATGATCATATAATATAATATTGCTATCTAAATATAGGTTCGGGGTTTTTGATTGGTTAGAATTTTTATTCTATAAGGAAAAATATGTGCGACTAGGTTCGTGGGACTAGGTTCGTGGGTTTTTAATTGGTAATTATTTTTATTCTATAAGGAGAAATTATGTGCGACTAGGTTCGTGGGACTAGGTTCGTGGGTTTTGAAATTTTTCTTATAAGGAAAAAGAGGGTGCGACTAGGTTCGTGGGACTAGGTTCGTGAAGACTAGGTTCGTGAAGACAAGGTTCGTGAAGACTAGGTTCGTGAAGACAAGGTTCGTGGGACTAGGTTCGTGAAGATTAGGTTCGTGAAGACTAGGTTCGTGAGACTAGGTTCGTGAGACTAGGTTCGTGAGACTAGGTTCGTGGAATTTGGATTTTTATATGTATTTTTTTATTTTTTTGTTTGTTATGGTTAGGTTTTAAATAATACAATGGGAGAGCTATACTCTCACCATTTTTTTAAGCATGAAGTAAGGCAACCATTGTTATTCAGCGCTAACATAGAAATTAAGTTAAAGAGCCTAGCGGCTTATTTGGGGGTGGGGGGTGGGAAAGTCATTTTTTACCATTCAACTTTACCCAATTTTAAAACTTACGAACCTTGTCCCACGAACCTAGTCGCACCCCATTTTCCCTATATAATAAAAATTTTAAAACCCACGAACCTAGTCCCACGAACCTAGTCGCACTTCATTGTTCCTTATAAAAAAAAATTTCAAAACCCACGAACCTAGTCCCACGAACCTAGTCGCACTTCATTGTTCCTTATAAAAAAATTTAAAAACCCACGAACCTAGTCCCACGAACCTAGTCGCACTCAATTGTTCCCTATAAAAAATTTATAATTTTTATAATACTTATAGAAAAATCTCTAATTTCAAAACCCACGAACCTAGCACCCCTACGAACCTAGTCCCACGAACCTAGTCGCACCACATTGTTCCTTATAGAAAGGAAACCATACCCCATCTTGCATACTTTGGCATAACCACCTACGAACCTAGTCCCACGAACCTAGTCCTTACGAACTTAGTCATCAATCCCCTAAATGAAGTGGCGAGCTTCTACCTGGTACCTACTCCTACCAACTCGAGTCTTTGTTTTTGCATAATGCAGAAAGCAGGAATTCTTTTGGGCGTTCCCAGTTTTTATTCCAATCTTTTTGCGTCCGTTTTTTTATTTTTTCATTTTTCCTTTCTTTTGGCTCTTAGATGTTTTTGTTGTAATGAGATTTGAAGCAAAGCAATTTGAAAATGAATGAATTGAATTTCAACCCTTTTGAAAGGGAAATTATGTTCCACGTCTCAACTCTTCTCCCTACTGATCCTGACGATAAGCAACAGGTATGATATACAGCAATTTACATAGACAGGCATTACGGGTTAATTTTCAAGCCCTAACCCTAACCCCGGAGGTGATCGTAAAATTGGCATAGAAACTAGAATTTCTGGTTGTTGACTCAGAGTCACATTAGTGCACTCAAGAATGGACGGTAAAATGGGCTCAGAGTGAGCTGTCCCAGGGTTTTCGTTTCATCCCTTTTCTAATCCGCACATGTTCCGATTGCACAACACGCTCTTCTTGGAAACTCCCCATTTTACCCTTTCTGAGTTTTTCGATTTATCGAGCAACGGTCAAAAGACAGCCAGTTTTTTATCTTCTAAACTCGCCATTTGGGCCTTAATTTCTTAATTGCCAAATGGAGAATTTTCTATTTTAGATCAGATGTTGAATATCTGGACGATGCGTGGCAAAATTCAAAAACTAACCATCGATTATTTCATTTAACATATTTCCGCGCATCTCTCCCGCCAAATTGATCATAACTCTTCTTTTCCGTACTTTCATGAGAAACAACATTCATGCTTTAGGTGGCCAAAAAGCGGCATTTGGGAAATGATGTCGTCGCCGTGGTTTTCCAGGAGCGTAATACACCCTTCTGCCCAAGTTTGATGCAGACCAAGGTCACCCACTGCTATGTTGTCGTTCAGCCCATGGATGTGGATGGACCTACTCAGTACAAGGTAAAAATGAAAACCGTAATCTAATGAAAAGCAATTTGAGACTTGATTTTTTTTCAATTTTATGAATTGAAGATAAAATAAAATTTTTCAAAAAAGACCAATTTTCATTAAAAAAACCACATTTGGTTCTGAAATTTGCCCATTCTTGCATTGATAAATTCTGCGCGCTTAGAGTTTCAGCATTGATCCTCTATTAGGGCTGCTTAATCCGGCTCATCTGCTCTTTTCCGATAACTAGCTAGCCACATTAGACCCCAATCACGTTTTCATATTTGCTTTTTTTCTCGCAATCAAGCACTTCTTAAAAAAAAAAACTCCAAAAGTCAAATTCTTTAACGACCTTAAAATTACAAGGTCATTTTTTATCTTTCTTTTTGGGCCTCAATTTGTCAAGCAGACAGTCCAGTATATGTAATTTCTAATTTGCAATTTCGGTTAGTACAGTTACACAATCTCTTCCTCCCCTAGAAGCCAAATCACGTGCGGTTAGACGGACGTGTGAACTTCTATTTACAAAGGTGTGTCCATTCTTATCTGCTAGCATTACAGGAGGGAAGCACTTGCGCCTCCCCACCAACTCTTTAGTTACATAATCAACTCGATCCCAACACCTGCCCAAGAGAGAAGATGATACTGTCGTTTAGTCAACGTTCTATTATTAAGGACCTTCCTCTCGATATCTTTTAGGCAGTCTTTCAACCCTTCTCTTGGCGTGTGACCGCTTCTTTTCGACCCCTTTTTTGACTCGAAAGCTGGACTTCAGTTTTGGGAAAATCCTCTTATTAAATTTCTTCCCATAGTCGATAGTATTATTCATTTTTCCGAAAAAATTCAAATCGTAAGAAAATCGTGACTCCTTCTTTTTCTCATCCCCTCTGAAGAATTCTGTAAATCCATTTTTTCAATGGGAAAAGTTAGGTCTTTGGCGATGAAATAATGGCCGTGTTCTGAAGTGGAAAGTAACCACGTGCGGACATTCCGACTTCTAATTTCGATTAAATATCGGTCCAAGCAAAGTCGGCAAAAAATGTGTTCAACACGCCGCTAAGATTTTTCGACCTGATAATCTCATTCGCAGATTAACTTAATTCCAACACATAATCTTAATTTTAAAAAGTCATTTCAGCAAATTTCATTTTTTTTTTCTTCTATTGTAAGCGTAACAGTTACAGTAACAGTTGAAAATAAAGGAAGGAAGGGAGTTTTGTAAGATCAAATCAAAAAACTAGAGCAACAAATCGAAACACGTCTTCAGGAAATTTTTGAACAAGGATGGGCTATTTCCGAAGGTGGAGATTTATTTCCGACCCTTTTTCTGGGTTTCCGATCGTTCACTTCAGCACGCACTTAGTAATTTGACGAGCGCCAAAATTGACGAAAGTGGCTACGTTGACTTTTTCAGAATTACTCGAAAAAAAAATGAATTTATATTTTCCGGAACGAGTACTCTCTAAGCATCGATTGATTTTGCTCTATCTTGACAATGCCATAATAGAATTATTAAGATTTCCGTTTGCTGCCGAAAAGATGTTCCCGATTTTGGCCCGAAGCTGCCCGAGCCGCCCGTGTTCAAATCCGGCGCTTGCTTCAGAAAATATCTCTTGTGCAAGTTGATCAACGCGGAGAACGCGTGCTACTCAAGCTGCGAGTTTAACATGCTCAGGCGTAGAAACAGGTTTGTTCACATTTTCGACAAATTTACATTTCAAGCACTCTTCTTTTGTGGTTCTAATTTATTAGAATAGAATGACCAAAGGTTGCCAAAAGAGGTGATAACTTTTTATTCAAAAATTTTTTCTTCTTCATTTGAGAGTCATTTTCTCCCAAATATTTGATTGGGGCTCAATCAATTATCAAAGAATATTTTGCCCCTCAATTTAGCTCAATCGTCATCTTTAGATCTGATCTAATCGAGACTCTTTACAACGAGCTTTCTGCTGCCTCCGATGGTATGTCGACGAAACGCTCTCATATCCAACGACCACTCCATACCAACAAGTCATTCTTTGATGCGATTCAACAGAACAACAAGGTAATTACAAAATAATTGGCTCTGTAATGGAATAGGAGCAGTTGGAGGGACAAGCTTCCACTCACACTTGAGAAGAACGGGTACTTTAGATGGAGCGATCTATTTTCCAAGTGTGATGGACACGTCTAATCCTAAATCAGATGATTAATGATCGCCCCATCGCTCTAGAATTTCATCAATCAGGGTTGCTCCCATACAAATCATCTGATTGAGCCTTGTTTACAATGACAGGGATACCCTTAACAGAAAAGATCTAAAGATATTATTTTTAAGATGCGCCGATTGTCCTCCCATTCGTCTGAGAATTCCTCAGAATCGACGCTCGTTCGGGAACAAAACAGAAAAATAATCCGGCGCTCGGGCATTCGCCGAGAACTCGTGCAGAAATATAACTTGCAGAAGATGCAAAACGACTCAGGAATTTCATCGAAGGATTCGAGCTCAGAAAACGAGTCGCCAGCTGAGGAGATTTCCGATGCTATTACTGACAGGTACAATGAGATATTTTTATGAAAAACCATAATTATAGAAAAATAAATTTAAATTTATATCTTTTATTCTAAGACGGTTTCGGCAAATATAAAAAAGCATGTGTTCTAAGTAGGAATGACTCGAATTTCGAACCGAAATTCAAAGGGATAAAAAACTTAATTTTAAGGGACATGGACAGCATCAAATCAGAAATCCTGTCTTTTGATTTCAACCACGAAAAAACCAGCCTCAAGAGCTTCTCCCCCTCTTTGGGCACCTTGTCGATGCAAATCAACAGCATCAAGATCGGCGGATCCAGGAAAGAGTTCGAAACAAAACGGTTCAATTCACAATTGCCCACTTTTGACGAGGTTTCCTTAGACGTTCCAGGGACGACCACAAGGGATTATCGTTTTGCATAAATTAAAACAAGGCTGATTCAGTGGCCTTTTCTTCGCGGCTTATTTTCGGGAAGGAATTATCAACGGCCTTCATAAGTAATCATCTTCATTAGCGATCCTCGATTTCCCTAAATCCAAAAATCTCAAACTTTTGAAAAGTGACAGCTTGGGCGAAGAAATTTTCATCGATGACCTGGTGACCTCTGTAACGAATGCGACGACTTTAACTACTTTCTCTTCCGCAGATTTGAAGCCAAATCGCGCCCCATTACCACTTCCAAAATCAGAGTCATCTGCTTTAACTACAGTTTCATCAGTAACGCCTGTATCTTTCCCATCTGTTCCGAAAACGCTCGCGCCTCTTAAAACTACAGCTACAGCTACAGTCGCAACTGTGCCAACCAGCTCCGCTAAACCGCAAATTTCAACCACCGCTTCCGCAAGTATAAAAAGCACAACAGGTCAAGTACAAACAGCATCAACAACTGTCAAGCCCGCACCAATCACGCAGTCCTCCAAATCGCCCTCCACAGTCACTGTCATCCCGAAAAAGGAGCAAATTACAGAAGCATCGATGAAAGAAATCAAAACAACAACAAGCACACCCGGTAAGTTATTTCTTTTTTTCAAGCCGCAAAAAACTGTTCGTTTTTAAATTTCAACCTTTTTTCCGTGTTGTTATTTTCTAGCAAGGTGCATGAAGTTCTATTTAGTAAACTACGATTATGGGTATGAACCGAGTTACTACTACGAAAATGAAGTGAGTGTCGTCTCAGAAGTATCGTCTGTTGCATCTCTGCCAGCACAAACAAGGTAAATATTTTTCAATATAAAAACCATAAAAAGCTTTTCCGAAAATTCTTTATGAAATTTTTTAAGTCTCGATAGTTGACTAAGCGTGTAAACTTTTGGCTTACATGTGGCCGCTACTAGGGCTTAATAATTCGTGATTATTAATTACCAAATCTATTTCAGAAAACTTCCACCAGGAGCAGTGCCAATGCCACACATGCAGGCGTGGTAATATCACCGCGAATAATTATTTATTATAAAAATATTTTATTTATACATAATTATCCGTCTTCTTTAATACATAAAATAATCCCTGTAAATAATTATCCGCCGATATTTTACGAGCTGCTGTGTATAGGCCCAACGGTAAAACAATTAAAAATATAAAAAAAAAGCGTGCGGAAAAATTGCACGCGAAATCCGACGTAGCACAAAACTGTGCAATGATGAAAACACAAAGAATTCCAGAAGCAAATCCAGTCCAATACAAATGTACAATGACCTCCAGAACTTTCCACTATGCAGAAAAAAACTGAAACTGAAAGAAAACGACTTTTCGCCTTCTCATGAATACTCACGAAGATCGACTCTCTATCGCCATCCCCAGACCAGTTTTTTGTTTTCTAAAGCAAAAAAACAAAAGCTCTTTCTAATACATTTCCGTCCATAAAGAAAGAGAAATCATCCCTTCTCTCTCACACGCTTTCGTGCATTTTAACCCGCCGCCGCGCGCAGGTAAGCGCATTCAGTTGCGCGAGCTGTCAACACACGTTTTTTTCGCGAGAAAACTCTGGGAAGGGGATGAGTCGATAATTACACACTGTACATTTCGCTAATCACTGTAAATAAACTACTTGCCCATGTTACAGAGACCTGAGCGCGGAGGGGTTCTTAACTCCCGCACGACATGGATCTCAAACAAGTAAATGTGCGCGCAAGAAATTTTAAACGCCAAAAGATGCTGGTATATTCTTCACTTGCTCATTTGTTCATTTCGTTGAGGTTTGTAGAAAGAATTTTGCTTGTCTTCTTTATCTTTATGTAAAATCAATCCAGTGGTTCAGCAAAGTCGCTTATCAGATATACAACGCCACGGAAAACACAGAGTCGGTGAATAAAAACAGCACACGTGGCCATAAAACTCATTCTATCTTGCCATACCGTCGTTTATTGACAGAAAAGGGCACGAGTTTGGTCTTCAAGGTCTTCAAAAGTCGAGATTTTCCGATCTTCAAGAACGGAAGATTCTGAGAAAATTCGCTGAAAACAGTACAGTATTTCCTTTCTCAAGTAAATAATTTCATCTTTGCGTGGAACGTGTTTGAGTACTACCCGCTTGTGTTAGAGTAATTCTAGCAAAACAACAAACTTGAGCGCAGGTGGCTCAGTTCGGATAAGAAATTGTAACGAGCAGGAAGATTGAGAGAGCAGGGGTGCTGAAGTTCTTAACGAACTTTAGAATATCATCTCTTTCTTGTTCTTCTTTGAAGCGAATTCTTTGAGACGCGTTGTTGGGTTTAAAGCCGTGTAGTATTGCGCGAGGTGCGGAAATCGGCGAATCCGCAAAGGTGAAAGCCTTTCTCCTGAACGTGTTAAGTTTGCCACCGCCGAGCTTGAGGAGTTAATCCCTTTTGGCTAGTCAATTTCCTGCTTGGATCATTGCGGTGCGCACAGCATTTGATTAGATTCGCCCTAAGCCAATTAATTTATTAAAGCTACGAGCCCCTTAGGTAAACCCTTGTAAACACGATCAACACTCATTACAGTCGATTTCCGGCCCTTACGCTTGAGCTGTTATACCATCAGTTGCGATAATTGCATGACGTAATAGAATATCTGTACGACAACCATCGCAAAACAAAAATCTATCATAATTACGGGTTTCCGAATGACGATTCTTATGGTCAATGCTAGTCATAAAGAATATCATGACTTCTATACAATATGAATTCATCATAATAACGGTTAAAACGCTATTATGACAAATTCACAACACAAAGCAAATTATGAAATGATTTGTGATGATATACTCTATGACTACTTAGAAAACTACTTTCTTAAAAATCGATCATAAATTCGATTTTTTGATACCCTTGTCATTCAGTTTTGTAAGTAATCAACGCATCCGGATTTTTAAAACATAATTCCATCTTCTAAAATAGGCTATTTTCAGAATAGATATATCTTTATGCTCCGTAAAATGCAGCTCCCCGTGCTATTATTATTATTCAAATTAGCCAGGTAGACAAAAGCCGTTGTAAGGGGGTTGAGGTCCAGGCACTTTCCGGCGCTGGAAAGACGAATTCCGATCCAGCGAGTTAAAAGTTTATTTCCTCCGCGCTGATTTAGACTCTCTTCGCTTTCAATTTAATACTGCGTTATTATTTACATCGCGAGCTGGAATTATTTCTTGCTTTCGGTGCTTGCTTTTTTGATCGATCTAAACGTGTATACTTTTGACTTTCCTAAATAAACATATTTAATGTACTAAAATGAAACGAACAAAAATAAATACGAGCAAGTTTATTGAAATCTGTCAAATTCATCATTTTTGGTCACCAGTCAGTTATCAACAATATTTTCTCATGTAAGTACTCAATCAACGGCCATTCAAACTGTCAGTTACAATTACCGAGTGAACGCGTAAAAAGCTGCCCCGTTCAGCCATTCTTCTAGGGCAACCTATCATCTAGGGCTACCCATCGAAGTTGAAAAATTATCAAATCTAACAGTGTTCTCCACGTATACCTAAGAAGACTCGTAACTAGGAGACTTTTCAACCACATAAACTAAAATCCCCTTGTGTTATCTTTCTTGTCTGAGACGAAAAAGCACGGCATCAACCCTTCTCTGAGAGACAATTCTAGCTCTAAGTACAATAAGATAGCCAGGTCGTGACAAAAACATCCGGATCTAATCGTCCACAATTGCGTAATCATCGTCGATTACATTGTTTACGCTTTGACGAGCAGTCCGGGCAGCCCGCGCAGTCATCTGCTGTTTTGCCAAGTACTTTAAAATGATGCTTTGAGGCTTCCGTTAAAACGTTTGCTTCCGCAGAAGAATATACGTCTCGCTCAGTTTAGCTATCTCAGTTACAACTAATCATATGATTTCAAACAGTGCACATGTTTCTTTTTTAAAACTAGGTCATTTAGATCGTTCTATTATCTTAGAAGGACTTTTATAGCGAAAATAGAGACTGAAACATGCCAAATTTCGACATTTCGAAAAAAGAAAAACTAAACTTGATGAAGAGAATAGCGTTTTTATGCAAGTGCATTTTTGCGGCTCCCTTCAGGATCATGATAACCCCACCGCAATTCGTCATTCTTCGTTTTGCCTCGCTCTGTTATTTCCTAATGAACATTTCTGTCTTCTATACAGTAGTTTTCTCTTCGGCAGTACTTTTTCAATATTTATCCATCAATCAGGAATGCGATAGAAGCGTTTTATTTGCACGGGCGCAAAACACCGTCTTAGACTCTTTGCTGGTCAAATTTCAGATATTTGTGAAATGTCCACAGAAGAGAAGCGAGGTTTCGACTTAGTATGGGACCACTTGCCTCATATTTCTGGCTACCAGCTGAGAATCACTGGTATGGCCGGTTATGCTGCGATTGTAGGCGGTTTAATGGCGATTTATCCGGTTTTCGCTCAGGAAATGATTTTAATTTCTTATTTTTTGTCTAAAGTTCATGCTGCACTGAAGCAAATGGCTACTGAATCTTGTCCAAGAAGCTCATGAACAAGTTGACTACTCCCTTACGACCCCAATCCCTTCAAAACAAGATTTTTTTAATCATTAAAAAGTATAAACCTCCTTATCGTTGTGAAACCTACTTCGACACTGAGCCAAAATTCTCAAGCCTAACCTGGGACCAAATCAATAACCTAACAGGCCCTTCCGCTGAAAGTTGCCAAGGATGGTCTTCAGATGAAAAAGGCTGTTACTACTGCAAGTTTGACGAATCTACTGTCGACTCTTGCTGGGAAAAGTTCTATGATTACTTTGATGGCTTGAAGAAATGCCTTGGAGAAGATGCTCAAAAAGAGGGGACATGGATGTCGTGCGAGGATGAATTTGCTTTCGACAGGTCGATAAGGAATGTGACAAATTTGGTGTTCGACAAAGGCGATCCTTGGGAATCAGCAGTCACTCAATTCAAACTCATTTGCGGAATGGAATGGTTTGACTCTCTTTCTACTGCGATGGGACTGGTTGGTTTGATGATTGGAGCCTTTGTTGCTGGATTGTATACTGATAAGTTCGGAAGAAAGAATGCTATTCTGGTTTGGAACTTTATTACGATGGTGTTTTTGATTATTCATGCTTTTATGGAAAGGGTCAATCGCTAAAAATATTTCTAATCCTTGTCAGCCAATAATTATTTGTTTGTTTTTTGACCGAATTTCAGCCTGATAAATATGGCTTCCTCGCCCTTCGAGTTCTTGGCAATGGAGCTCAGCATGTCTCATGGCTCGCGCAAATGACTTATTCGATGGAAGTCCTCGGCCCGACCCGCCGCTCGATTTCTGGAGCAATGACCCACGTTTACTTCTCAATTGGGTACATGGCCACTTCTGGTGTGGCTTATTTTCTGCCTGATTGGAGAGGCTTTACTCTCTGCTACGCCGGTATCTGTGCCTTGGCAGTATTGACCATTCCGTTTTATCCTGAAAGCCCTTCGTTTTTGTACTCAAGAAATAAGAGCCAAGAAGCTAGGGAGATTCTCAAAGGAATGGCGGATTCGACGAAAGCGGAACTACCCGATTCTGTGCTCGACCAAATCGAAGACCAAATGAAGAATTCTGAGAATGAAAATGATTCTGAAGCGGCTGTTGAGTCCTACACAATGCTAGATCTGTTCAAGTACCGTAGCACCGCCCTGATAAGCCTAAATATCGGATTGGCATTCACCGCGAACACATTGGTTTATTATGGCCTTTCTTTCAACGTCGACTCATTGTCGGGAAGTGTTTACGTGAACAACGTGGTGAATGGATTTGTAGAGCTTTTGGCCTATATTGTGGTGATGGGAACTCTCGATAAACTTGGTAAGATCTCTGTTTTACGGAGCTCTCTTGATTATTGCCAAATCTTTGGCAGAAAATGATGACCTTCTTATTTTTGGTTGCAATACAAATGATCATTTTTAATTGGATGTTAATCAGTGTAAATATTTTTCATTTAATTTTGAATAATCATCGTCTAAAATAGGCTCTCGTCTGTTCAGATAATTTGATTTTTTTTTATAATTTTAAGAATTTTCTTTTAAAAAAAGCTTATTTTTCAGGTCGAAAAATGGTCTGCGGTGGTCTGATGATTTTTGGCGGAGCTGTCTGCCTCGGTTGTATGGCGCTAGAAGCCGCAGCTGATTCTGCTGATGACAAAACCGCACTTTTAGAGGCTCAAAGATGGATGGCCTTTGTCGGTAAATTCGCCATCTCTGGATCTTTTTGTGCTGTTTATGTTTTTGCTGCTGAAGTTTTTCCGACCGTTTTGAGATCTACAGGTTATAAGAAAATAAAGAGAATGATTTTGAACTTGATTTTAGGAATTGGCTTCGGATCGATGTTTGGTCGAATTGGTGGATTTCTCAGCCCCTTTATTATCCAGATTCCCGCCACCTGGATAATCTACCTCGTGAGTTGTATTTTTCTCATTTTTATTGAATGCTTCTTTCAGATTTTTGGAGCATTTGGAATAGTGAGCGGCGCATTGGTATTTTTCCTCCCAGAAACAAACGGAAAACCGACATTGCAAACGCTCGAGGAAGCTCTAGAATTTTACAAAAATCCAACGGCGAGCAAAACGTATCAAGTGTCCCCTACAAATTCGCAAAGAAATTCAAAGAATGAGAAAATCTCTGGAGAAGAAGAGGATGAAGCTGATTTTTAGACTTTCAAAAACAAACTATTTTGTTAAAAAAATATGAAAACAATCCATCTAAAAGGGAAAAGCTCCATTTACGTCTTGTCCAAGGCGCTCTAACAAAATTCTAGCAGGGCAATTTTGAGATAATGGAGCAGCGTGATCCTCTTACATCCACCTTGCAATAGTTTGTTATTCCGCTAAGCAAAATTATGGCTACTTTTCTTGCTTATAGTTTGTCTTTTTCACTGTCAGTCGTTTTAGAAATGAGCTATGTAAATCACTAGAAAGGCGGGGCGGATGCTTCTTTGAATTTGTTAATTTTAATGGAACTCGTCTTTTAAAACTTACGTAAATAATGAGTAAATTGCGAATACTGAAATTGTGAATTTACGCGAAAATGATAAATGCATCAATTTTACGACAATACCACGACATTTTACGAAGAAAACAAATGGCTTTGATGAACTTGTCAGATGTCCATCACAAACTTTCAGGGGTCTAAATACTTTCCACGCTAGGGATAAGCGGCGATAAGCGCTGCTTCAAGATTTGGAGCAACAAAGGCATTTCTAGCGATATCGGATACACGAAGGTGTTTATGTTCACGGGGATTACTCCTCCCAGCCACTTGCATCTTTCTTGAACTTTTTCTGCATAATAAAGAGGTTTTTTAATTGCTTCTTCTTTGCGACGATAAATGATAAGAATGAACTCGTTCTCGCAAGAAAACGCTGAGAAACAAGGTTGCCCCTTTTTTTATCTCAGTATTCATCATCTATTAACAGTAAAGCTCAAAATATCGACACAGGTTTTGGCTCCTTCTCCACCTGTTTCTCAGGCGCCTTGCAAATTTCCGGACTTGCTTTTCCGCAGTTTGAAAAATCGCTGTTTCCAGTTTGGTCTTCGTTGATTTTTTCTTTCGCTTTTTCGAGCGCTTTCATATCGTTTTCGAATTTTTTCAATGTCTCCGCATCTATATCTGCGTTCTATCAAAAAAGGTAGGTTTGGTAGAATATTGAATAATTTACCTTGTGTCGATAAGAATTTAAATGCTGCATCAACTGGGCTTCTGAATTGAGCACGATGTCGCATTTTTTGCATCTATACTGGCCCTAATTATGATTTTAGATGATTTATCCTTCATTTCTTTTGACTAACGACTTTCGGAATCGCCGAGGGGATATTCACAGGAGTCAAGCCTCTACTCAGACTGTACTGGACCATCTTGTGCCTGGTGGATCCCAAGTGCTGGGTCAACTGCTGCCTCGAGTTCACCGTCAAATCGCAGATCTCGCAGTGCAGATCAGGCATGCCTACAAATCTCTCGGTCAATCAAGATCGAATTTGGCTCTTTACTACTTTTTATTTTCTCGACGCAATCAGGCAGAGGATCAGGCAGCTGAATCGAAGTCGAAGCCTTGGGCTTGTCTTTTCGGGAGTTAACTTGCCCTAGAATCGAGATAGTTAAATCGAGGAAAATTTCAAATGGGAAATTTTCAAGTACCAGGTCTGATAAACGAAGGACATCCGATTATCTGCGTCATTTCAGAGCCCTAAAAAGCAAAAGAGTCAAACAACAAAGTAGACCGGGGAAAAATCACACAATTTTTCGTCGCTTCCGTTTTGCTTTTCCAGGCGCCTAAAATAGAAATGAATTTATGAAAATTTGGACGAGTGGTTTTTCTTGCTTTTGATACCTTGTTTTGGTGAAATTGAGGAACACCCGCTTGAGGGAGGCTTTGGAGGAGATTCGGCATGATCATTTGACTGAAGTTTTGGAGCTGGTTTGGGTCCATTTGTCCGCCCGGAACGACGACGAAAATCGGCTGAACAAAGCGTTATTTCATGTTCGAAAAGACATTTTCCGGGCTTATATTTTAAATGAAGAAATGCAGAATAAAAATATAGTGTGAAAAAAAAAGTTTCTTGAGATAAGCAAAAACCACTGTGTGGCTTTTCCACCTTCTTATACAAACAAACATGCGGCTTTAGATTCTATCCCCATAATTAGCAGCGAAAGTTCCCCCTTCGATAAGAACCTGAAAATTTTGTTGCCCTCCGAGGCTTCTGTTATTTCTGGCGGCGCCTCCTTTCATCCTCTTTTTTTCTCTTTTGGATACTGGCTTTTTGGTGCTTTCAGTTCGTGATTTTGTCGATTTCGTCGAGTAAAATTAAATATAAACGTGGCACTCTGCTGTATAAATCGCTGAATAATAAATGCGGAGATTTTTTTTTATTTCTGTTCCTTTTTTCTCCTGCGAGGACGCGTGTGTGTGCCTAAATTTTTATCAGAAAGTGTAGTGTTGACGGCGGATCGGCTTATTGATGGCCAAGGATTTATAAGTAAAAGAGACGGCCAAGGACCGCTTAGCGCAGGGTAAAAACGAGGCGACGACAGGCTTCACGGTCGATATATGAACAGTCAAAAATAACGCAGTAAACTATCTAGCAAAAAGAAAAAGACGCAGGGTCGAGTCAGAGGTGCTGACGAGGTCGATTTACTGGGTTGTTTTTTAATAAGACCTTTTTGCCTTGAAAATTCAGAATTATGTGAACTTAGAAAAAAAATTTGATTTCTGACGGAATGGCGAGTCGGAAACTGGCATCCTGTATTGCCGGAATCAAGAATCCGGTGTTAATTGATCGATTGTTTGATTGCCGTCTTAGAATTATTTTTCGGGTGCCAGTTAAATAATTCACCGATGCAGTACTAACCCTTCACTTTTTCGATGAAAAGAATACCGCGTTAGAATGACTGTAGGCTTGTCTGCTAGTAGCACTGTATCTGACAAGCACAAATTCTGTTAAAAGAACAGCGTTATTAATTTTTAAATTGATTTTCTTTGATGAAGTGGAAACCCTTCTTATCCCCTCACGTCAGCCCCTTTCTATTCTATTGATTTGAATCAAACACTAACGGACAAACAGAGTTAAAAAAAGCTGGTAGAAAGGTTTATTTAGTAGTTGTTTTCTGTCTTTGTCGATCAGAATGGGTTGATGTCCCGGAGGAAACAGATTTCTTTGCATTTTGAGTTTGAGCTTTTCTTGCTTCTTTTTCCGAGTACGTAAGAGGTGGAGGGTTGGACGCTCTAGGCTTGCCATTGTTGAGCCGTTTGCCTTCATTTTCAATCTTCTTTATTGCCGCCTCAATATTTTCGTCATCTCTAGGCTCTGATTCTCCCTCTACCTCGACCAGAGAATCCACCATCTGTTCTAGAGCTGGATCGACTTTTATCACGGTCTTTTCTGGCACTTCTTCTGCGATTGTTTGAGTTGCGGCTGCTTTTTCTCTGATGATTGTTTTCTTTCTTTCCTGTGACTTAACCCAGTCGTCAAATGCTTAATTAACTGTAACTGGATTTGATAGAATGCTTGCTTACATGTTGTGCTGGTCTGCCTGTCAGCCATAAGATTGAAATCACTCGAAGAAGTCACTAAAATATATGTTTATTGGATAAATAAAAAAGATGTGGACAGAGAAATCATTTTTCTGCATTTTGAGCTTCAGGTTTTTGAGATGGCGGATCAACTTTTGGCTTGTCGATGGTCTTAGATCTTTCAAGCTTTTCATTTTCCGAGTTATCAATAGAAATTATAGGTTCCTTTTTTATGGGAGCTCCTTTCGGTGATTCTTTTGGTGTATGTGTGGGGGATTTTTTAGGTGCTTCTTTAGAAGATTCTTCTGGAGGACTTTTAGGGGATTCTTTAGGGAGAGTTTGGGGAGATTCTTTAGCAGAATGTTTAGGAGACTCTTTAGCGGTTTCTTTGGGACTTTCTATTGGAGCTTGTTTAGGAGCTTCCTCAGAATTTCCAGTGGAAGCCTTCGGCTCATCAGCATTCGCCTTACCCGGTGGCACCGGCGGGGTAGGAACTGGGGTTGATTCGACAGTTGTTTCTTCTTCCTCTTCAGATGGATAGTAGTCCTCTTTTAACGGCTTCTCCTCTCGCTTTTTCTTTTCCTTCGCAACTTGTTTTCTAGCTTTCTCACTCGCGATTGCAGCTAAAGGGTCGTATTTACTTCTTCGAAGAGCTTCCATCTTTCTTTGTCGCTCGAAGTGATCGTAGATGTAGTCTTAGAAATAATAAAAAGCCGGAGTATCTAACCATATAAATTATATGATATAATTTACCAGTTCCTTCCAAGGCTTTGCTATGAACGGGTTCCATTTCGCCATCGATTTTGCTTTGTGAGCAAATTATGTAAGAAACCTCCTTTTGAAATTCACTGGGATGTTCGACAGTATCAACAGTTGGCTTTTTACCTGAAAAATTGTTTAATATAATAATTAATAAATCTCAGCTAACCATTTGCATTTGAAATGATTTTGTAGATCTTCTTCGGTCCTTGATTGTACATGTATTTGATTCCATTAGGATGATTTACTTTGAGAACTTCTTTGTTTAAAGTCTTGAAGAATTTTTCCATGAGAATATTTATTTTTATCGTTTTTTCTTCGAGGTAAGCATCAACAATTTTTTTATCTCTAGTTTGGTCGCACCATTGGTAGTAATTCTTTGAATCCTCTGGGTACATTTCAAGTGTAACCTTGTAGACGTTCACAGGATCACTTAAAATTTGATAATCTTTGTTGATTTCAAAATGATACTTGTTTAAATAGACTGGAAGCAAGATGCTATTTGTCCTTCTTTTGAATTTCCTCGGGTATGAGCCCTGTGGATTCAGTCTTTTGGTCGTAAACTGCTCAACTTCATCCCTCTTTGCTTTTTCTGCTGCTTCAGCTTTTTCTAATTCTCGGCGTCTTTCTGCATCTTTCTTTTCTTGCAGGTCTTTTGCATTTGTAAGCTAAAAACAATTTATCTTTATTATAAAAACAATAATCACCTTGATATCTTCTGGCATATCGTAATCAACACACACAACATCAAGATATGGGGTCACCAATTTTTCTTCTTCCGGGGTAAATTTCATAAATTGGGCTCTGTTTTGAGACTTCAAGCTTGAGAAGTCCCTACTCATTTTTAGCCATTTTCGGTGCTTCTTTTTGAACATTTCTTTTCTTTTTTCATGAGCCCAGTGGTGGTATGGCTAAATAATTTCATAGAAAAAGTTTCGGTGAATATCTTACAATAAATTCTTCACAAAGCTGCTCGAAACTTGTTACTTCTGTTGGAGGGTCAGTAAGAAGATAAATTGCTGAAAATGTTTTACTGACGACCAACCGTATTGCTTACTATTGAAATATGGAAGCTCTTTCACAATTTCCTTCAAAATAATTCTCTTGACAGCATCGAGGCCAGTATCTTTTACAATTTCTCCATCAGAGTTTCGGTATTTCTCCATGGTCAAATATCGTTTCGTATTGTTTATCGCAATAACCTTTCCGTCTCGAATGTCCGCATTATTCAGATAAACTCTTAGACGGATCTTGTCTTCAGGAACTTTAAGAACTTTGCCAAGCCCACGAGAATGATAAACTAAGACATCGTTGATTTTAGCTAAGAATTTTTCATAAACCTGAAGTATGTTCATCTTCTTGCAATGGTTCCGGTGTCTTGTTTTTATATTTTTTCAGCGCTTTGTCCCAGGGAGCAATACTTATTTAGGTCTTTTTAATTATACTTATACTTGTTTTAAATTATATCAACCTTTCCTTTCAGAAAACGACTCTGAGTTTTCGTAATCTTGGCTGTTCAAGACGCCATAATTGTTGGCAGAGTAGCCACTACTCTGGCGACGACCATCTTGGATGGATAAAACCGAGCTCATGTACGAAGAATCGTCTCTACCTGAATGCATTTTTGCTAAGTTCCTTGAGCTCTAGACTTAATCTCTTCTGGGTCTGTATAAACAGACGGAGATTGAGTGCTGGAACTATGGTCAGGCTTTAGTTCTGACAAGTCTGACTGGCGTACTACCCGTTGTCAAGGAGTTGACGAAGTCCGTTTACCGAGCTAAAAACTATCAGTACACAGATGAATTCTTATCAATGTCACCACAGTACCGGTATCTACTCCGTCTCTAACTGATAGCGTATATTTCCACGCATACAAACAGATTCTGTAGGAGCCTAACGATCACAACAACTATCACAAAAACACACATTGACCTGTCAATACAAATTGGAATTTTTTTAAACGAATAAGTTCTGAAATCATGGAAGACTAAGCCTGAGTTTTAGAGGAGAGACCTCAGTCATTTATTTAGTTTGAATCTTTTTCAAGGAGACTCTTCTCCCAAATTGTGATTTTTATTTATTAAATTGAGTTCTAATTGTATTTATATTTCTATATTATTGGCCACAGCAATTAATTTTTAAAATCTCATTATAGTAATGATATTATAACGCGTCAAGAAAACCAAAAGATTTTTCAAAAATATATTACCTGAAAATTAAGATTTTCTCGAAGTTCTCCTTCTGATCTTTTCTACTGAAAGTTCTGCATGCAACTCAAAGTCGATTAGGCCCAGTATCAATATTTGAAAGTACGCGATAACTTTTATCAGCGTAGAAAGAGCTTTATTGGCAATAAATTATTGCTTACTTTTCGGTGACAGCTTCAAAATATCGTGAAGGAAATTCGCAGCATAAGTTCGTTTTCTCAAGTTTTTACTAAATCAAATTGGAAGTAAAGTCATTCACTCAAGTACTGTATGGAATGCTTAGATGTTTGAGCAATCTGCTGATATTCACTTATCTCAGATACTTATTTCCGGAATTTGACATGATCTGGAAATTATTAAATCATTCATCAATCGTACAATATTTTTGAAATTTATTTTGCCATTTAATAAAAAAAAACATGGTTGTCTATACAGAAATAAGGGTGTACAAAAGTGTTATTCTTATCATTCAGAAAATCTTTTCCTCGGACGGAAAAAGCGTCAAAAGCGATATCAAATCTTCATGTTGCGTCGTAGGGATCGTACTCAGCACTGGCCAAGGGCGCTGAGACTTCCATCGGCGCAACAGTCGATCATGAATGGGTTGTACGTTTTCACCGAGCAGCATTGTTTCGAAGGTCCGGAGACGAATGGTCGTCTAAATTTGCATTTAAAAAATGATGAAAAAAGTTCGCGCGACCTTTTTCCGGGTAGGCCGCAGCATTGGTCGGGCTCTCCTCCTTCTTCGTTGGAAATTCGTCTCATCGACAATTTTGGTTTTCCATTGCCTTTTTCATCTTGTCTGTATCTCATAGGACATTCAGCTTCTCTGTCGAAACCAGCCATTCGCTTCGAATAAATCGATGAAAAGTCGGCGAGTTGAACTTTCTTTTTTAGGTTCTCTCACTTTTCGCAATATTTTTTTTCAAAAATAATCGAAAATCTCTACGAGGAAAATTTTCATTTAGGACCCTAGCTTGATAAATTCTCTATCGCATTCGCATGTCGATCGTTGGCAGCTATTTTCTGCATCTCGACAGATCATGTCCTGAAATTTAAAATTGAAATCAACGAAGAGAACTTTTGTTGTATTCTTACGTTGTATTCGTCTCCAGGAGCAGAGGTAAATTTGTAGCCATTGTAAGGATGACATCGTTTAGACTGCTCATGATCGATGTTAATGCATTTCAGGCACTCCTGAAGAGCATGGCATGCCGAGTCTGAATGAAAAATGTTGTTTAGAAACACGTGATCGAGGACTAGTCACTCTTGTGGGATCTTGATGGTTTGTTGTTGCCGCAAACCGGATCTGCCCGTAAACAACCGCGGTCACAGATCGTGATTCAAACAGATGTAAACAAACTGCCCAATAGATGGAAATTGGATCAATCAGCAGCGTTTATTTGTTAATTAAGAGATTTTTGCGTCTAATGCGTTTTTCTGCTGCCAACAACTTTTTGTCGAATTTGAAAACAAAAGGCTTACCAAGAGGGTCAATTGGTCGTCCAATTCCCGGAGTGAGAATATCTTCCTTGATGTTCAAGAAGCAATAGCATCCGTACTCGAGCCAGTCACGTGAGCTTCGCTCTGGTTCAGCGTATTTTAAAAGTCGAAGGAGCTGTTTTCCTTTCTTTTTCTTCTGCTTGTTCATGCGCTAGAAATGTGGATACATGACTTTGATGGGGAATTAAGCTAACCTTTTCTGAGTTTTTGCCGCCGCCTCGACCCCTAACTATGTCAGCTAGAATCATGTCGATTTCAAGATCCTCTGCGTCGTCAAATTCCAAATCTCCCCTAAAAAGATGCATTTATATTGATTTTTTTCTTAACAAGCCATTTTTATTATTAAAATTTATATTTTTGAATCCCTTTCAAATTATTAGAGACAAATTTCTGATTCTTTTTTGAATAATTTTCACTGCTAAAGTTGTTACTTACTCAAATTCTGTTTCCTCAATCTCAAAATTTTCTTCCTGAATCTCGTTGATAGATGATCCACTTTCAATCGAAGAAAGTTGCGCGGTAACTGCGGTAGAGGCGAGTAAAATTGCTGGGAGTCGCATTTTGGAAGTGTTGTTTCTATCGCTTACGTCCTTTTATCAAGAACGCTAAAAAAGAAGAATCGGGCGTCGGTTGTTTAGCGGCTGGAGTCTCTTGCTATTTGAGAGTTGCGCGGCGGCGGTGGAGCTTTCTTCAAACAGCGGCGGTAAGGAGCGAGCGCCATTCTGATTAGGAGCAGCTCGGGGATAAAGTGAAAACGTAATTATGTTCTTTTTTCTAGAAAGGTCGAGGATGAACACCAACTTTTGTTATCCTTCAGTAGTTTTGATCGTCTTCTTCCAACATGGTGCTCCGGAAGGAATATCGAATTCCGCTGCCTATTTCTCTGGGTACACCCTTAATCCTAGTTGGAAACATATTTTCTTTATAATCAGAAAAGTTTCTATTTTCTTCTTTGTGATAAATTTTGATCATCTTCTTTTCAGACGAATACAACCGCGCCCAATATTACACCACAATCATCTCCGAAAAAGATTTCGCCAAGAACGGAGAAGGAATCGAGCGACTTGAAAAGCGCCAAGAAGGCGACAAGGAATATCAAAAGCGCCATTACCACGTGCACTCGCTCATGCCCTCGCCTATTCAAAAAGTCATCAAGAAGGAACAAAGCATTCTTATAGAAGAAGGTACTGCTAATTAGTAATTACCGTCAAAGTGCCCTGAGAGTACTTAACCTTGTGATTTGTAAAATAGAAAATCGCTGACGAGTTACGAGTTCCGGTTCCTGTTTAGACAGATAGTTGTCCGCGATCCTAAGGGTATCCCTCTAAAAAGACCTTCTTTTTTAGGCTGGCTCGAGTGGCCAAACTACGAGACCAAATTCACCAACACTTACATGGGCGAAAACTTCCTGATTGAAATCAAAAGCGTTCACAAAGCTGATTTGGGAGAAAGCGAAAATGTTCATGAACTATCTGAAAAAGATTGGAAGGACACGGAAGTTGTGAATATCGATATTGCTGATGCTGACGCGAAGGAATGGGATCCAAAGTTGGTCGATATGAAGAAGTTTGGGAGAGTGAATGTCGAAAGGGGATGGATTGGGAAGCTGAAAAATGATTCTCATATGGAAGTTTGGGTTTATTTCTAAGTAGGGTTCGAGCTCTACTAGATTCAATAAAAGCAGCTAAATAAACCCAGCAGAAGGATACCCGTATATGACTTGCTACAAATTGGTGACGGTCAAATTCAAATGGTGGGGACTTGAAACGCTCGTCACGAAATTCGCGCATTACTGGGAGAAAAAGGCGTTTATCACCTTCCACTGTCAGATGATCTGCTGCATGGACAAGCACGATAAGTTCCCTGGATGGTTGAATTCCGACATGGAGCAAATTGAGAAGATGGAGGAAGACGAACTCAAAGAAATTACACAAAGGTTGTCTGCGATTCAAATGTAATGGTTTGATCTGGAAGATATTATTTAATAAACTTGTTTTATAATAAAACAGACATCTGTCAAATTGCTTGCAACTAAAAAGTGTTGAACTCTGATAATTAAATTCTAATAGATTGCTACCTCTAAAGAAAGAAATCTGTCGAGCCGGTGCCTCAAATCTCTCCGGGAATCTGCCTTTTTAGACCTTTCGTTGAGCCCAAATAAACAATTCAACCACCGAGCTATCGTGAGGCGAAAATTCTACTTGAAGCGTTTTGTCACGCCAAAATCTAATGAATACACCGCCACTTCCACTTGCAAAGTTCATGATTGTCATTTTAAATTTCGGTGTTCTTTCCTAGGAGAAGTTAACAAGGTTGAGATAAGGTCGACAGCGATGAAATGAACGCTATGTCGGACTGAAAAAAGCCCGTTCTTGCAGAAAAAATATATTTTGAAGCAAACATTAACATTTGTATTTAATAAATTAAAAAATCAATGTTTGAAAATTTTAGAGGCTACAGTAATCGACAGGACTAACAAAAATTAATGGAAAGTAGTTTTCATATCCTTGTTCATCTGCAATAATGCTCGTAAAGTTTACTTCTTCATTTCCATCTTCACCCAGTTTTATGAGTTGAATAGGCGATACTTTTTTCATTCTAATTAAATGAGAAATTCCGGGAGAAACAAAAATAGAGCTCTCCAATTGAATCGCTGATGAATAAGCAATTGCCTTAAAGTAACGAGAAAAGCGAGCGGAAAAAGTTAAAAGCAATTTACTTTTAAAAGGACTCCTTCAGACGACCAATTGTTATTCCACAATTTCCAAATTTCGTTGCATATTTCAAATATAAAACCATCCTCTGAGAACGATCCTCCAATCGTCAAAAGACTCCCTGAAGGCAAACCAATTGTAGAAAAACTGTAGATCCATCTGAAATTGTTGCAATATAACAAGAGTTTTTTTTCGCACCTCGGATGGGGTTTCAAGTATATCCAGCCTTTTTCTGTCAATGTTTCCACTGCACGATCTCCAGATGATAAGGCTCCTCCGACGGCAGTTGGACGACCTTTATAGAGGCCTAACTCGCCGTATTCGTGTCCTGCTCTCGTGGAAGATGTTTTCTTTGAACTCAATCCATCAAAAGACTCGCATTTTGAGTTTTTCTCTACGTCGAAACAAATAATTGCTAAACACAGATTTTCGATTAAGATTTTAACAAAAACACAAAAAAAAAATTATTTAGATAAACCTATACTACCGCCGGTAAGTGTTAAAGTTGAATGACTGTGCCCATAAATAGGGCTCACCATTTGCTTTATATTTCTTCTCCTAAGAGGTACTTTATTTATATTAATGTTGACCCGGCAGCTGCGTGGCGAGCCCTAGGACCATAACTATGAAACAATCGTGCTGATAATTCCGTGAATCGGCACCCATCTAACCGTGCTATCTAAAAATTAAATTTATAAAAAAATCTTTATGTTATCTTAACTTTGTATTTATCTTCGTCTCCTCCAAATATATGGACCTGACCATTAACAAGTGCGTGTCTTGTTGAGTAAAGATATTTGGAAAGGTAATTGTCGTATTCAAAGGGAGGTGAAAAGAACGCTTCTTTACTGACGATTCTGCCGTCGAGTAATGCATAATTCTCGCGGGGCAAGGACATTTCAGAACGTAAAACATTGATTTTAAAGCTTGAAGATGTTGAGTAGATGAAGTTTTTGATTTTCGAGGCGTGATCGAATTTAAAAATACGGATCTTTTTGTTTTTCATTGTCTTGATCAAGTCTTTGCTCATCTGAATTTCCGATTTCGTTTCGCTATGTTTCTTTTCATTCTTAAATTTTTTGAAAACCAGAGTCAGAAATAAAATCATGAGAATAATTCTAAAAGCGTGAATCTCAAAAAATTCCTCAACAACTTCAAGAGTAACCGATCCGATCGATTGATTCGACTTCAAATAAAGTACACATTGCTTTAGTTGAGAAGCATCTGAATTGAAAACGAATGTTTCATCAAAATAAGCAGAGTCCATCCAAATCGAGCTATTTTCGAAAATCCCGAAGTTCATCAAACTTTTCTCATCGTAAAATCTCAAATCAAGAATTTTCGTTGATTTTGAAGCGCGCAACTGCTCCTCAAAATCGATCTCAAATTGAAATTTTTCTGTCCCATTCAATCTCAGCTCGATAGTTGAAATATGCTTTAGCTCTTCAAGCGCAGAAAAGTAATTATCCGGAATGATGGTATTGTGATAAAAGCTTGGACGAGGAAATCTCGGCTGTGAGGCTGCATTTTTGGCAAAAGCTGGGAAGACATCGTCGTGGAACGCGAAAAAAGGGTTGCTGGTCACGTGAATTTTCGTATCTGCCGTTTGCTGAGTAAAAGATAACTCAGTCCGTTCATTTTGTAGGATTCAAAAAATTGATTCTTTCATTAAAAATGTTAAATAATATGTTTGAATCTTTTCCGAAATCAAAGTCAATTTTGAAAAACGAATCGAAGACGTAGTTTTGAATGAAGATCTTTTCGTCGCTAACAATCACATTTGCAAAGTACTCACACTCGTCGTTTATAAGTCCACCAATATTTGTGAAGAAGGGATCATCCATAGCGAATAATTTCGAAATACAAGGTGTTTTTTCTTCGTATCTGACAAGAGACCCGATCCACTCACTACAAAGCGTTATAAATTTCCCTTCTTTTTCCAGTAACACCGAGTAGAGTGTGTTTGAGAGCAGGATACTTCTCGTCACTAGAATCAACACAAGCATTCCCGAGTCAGTCTTCTTTGAGTTATCAATCAATTACTCTGCTTTTCTCAATTCTTAACCAAAATTATGAACTCTTATCAAAGGAACAACATGCACGGGATCCAAGTCTCTGAACTCAGCCGACAATCCGATCTCATTCTTTCGCCACCCTTTTTCCAACTCTTCGCTTCTTCGAATCCTGTTCAAGGCAACAGTCGTGGAGAGCTTGATATAATGATCGCCCATCTTCACGCTCATCAGATGAAAAACCCCGTTAAAGCTAATTGATGACACTTTGGCGTTGAAATGGTTGCTTGCGATGAATCCTTGGCCTTCCTCGAAGCGGTCCAAGTTATAATCAGGAGCGAAGTAGAAGCACTTCTCATTTCTCTCTGTCGGTGAGCTTTGAGTGGTCAAAAACATAAATGAAAATAATATAATATAATATATCCTTATTTGACCCTGAACAGATGACGACAACTGGAAACACCTTTTTGCCTTTCTCTTTTTGACGAATTTCAATGTGATGAGTTCCAATGGACGAGCCAAAATGAAAGACAAAAAATTTTCTGAAAAAAAAAATATTTCTTTTATTAGTTTATTCTCTATATTATAAGGACTATATGTAGGGTTTTTCACGGAACGGCGCGGCCCGCTCTGGGGTCCATCCACGAATATTAAAAGTCGTCTATTGAAGCGAAATTGATAATTCAAAAAATGAAACCGACTTATTCAAGGGAATAGATTCATAATATCGCATTAGTTTTTCTTTCTTATGCAAGAATTCGCTGCAAGACGGTTTTTCTTACTAAATTTCGATTTTTTAATCTGAGTACATCAAAATACACTCTCTATTTTCAAATATGTAGGAAATAAGATGTTTAATTTTCAGCTCTCAAAATTTGGGATTTCGGAAACTTTCGGAAGGTGTTCGAATCGACAGATAAGTGAGTGAAAGTGACTGCGCGCTAGTGCTTTACGCCGCTGCGCGGGACGCCCAAAAAGCATTAGCGCGCGCCATAATCCCAGCGGGTGGTTTCTATGACCTAGTATCGGAAATCTGATGCGAATTACACCGGGTGATTTGCACAAACAGTTTCCCGGAAGTGTCAAGCTTCGTATTTGAGATGAATTAGTCGGATTTATATCACTCGGGACAACAAAACTGATGAGATCCTATTTTATCTTCCTTATCATTATTGCACCACCACCAAGTCAGAATTTGATAATAATTTTCACATATTTGAACTCAGCGGCTCAAGAAACACTTATTTAGAAATTATCAGGCCCATTGAATGATATACTATTTTCCGTGAAAAACCCTAACTATATGGTTATAATTTGGGAAGCCCCTAACTCTAACGGTTAGAGTCTAACCTTGCAGCTAAGCCCCGAGACTCCTCCCTAACGTTTAACCAAGAGGACTTCGCCCCCAACCGGGACCCCAGAGCTTTCAGTCCTCTAACCCGAAACCCAAAACGAGATAATGAGTTTTCCTACTAACATATTTTTGTTCCGATTAACAGTTATCATCGGCGCAGTGCCATCCTCTTTCACTCTCATCAAATTGCCAATAGCATCGACCAAATAGTGCTCGTCATTCAGAAAAGTAGCGCCTGTTGACTTGAAATGCGTTTTTAATAAAAAGAATCTACGTTTGTTGGTTTGCTACTGGTAGTAATCTACTGAAGAAGTAAAAACGTTCATAAGGCAAGAAAGAGTCCGTATCATTTACACGAATTTTCTTTTTGTGATCATCCAAAGAAGAAAGGACAATCGGAAATGTCATTTTTTCTGCTTTCCGATCATGCCAGCGACCAGTTATCACTGAATCTGATATCCAAATGCGGTCGGTTTTATATGGTTTTGGTTTCTGCAAGTCAAAAACAGGCGCCAATTTCTGATATGAATCCAATTTCTCGCACTCATAAAAAGGACATGGACAGCCATAGGGACAATACTTTTCAGTTGGGCAAACTTCTCCGGCGGATTCAGAAGATCTTGTCAGTTCAAAACACATCGACTCACAAGGGGAGATCGACTTCGTTCTTGTTGATGTCAAAAGAAGCGTTTTTGAACAAAGATGGCGACAGACTTTTTGATCGTAGAACTTTTTCTTCTTGCAGCGAATGAGATTGACTTGATTTTCCTCATTATCAAAACGAATGGGTTCCCTCTCAGGAAGCTTAATTTTGGAAGCAGGTTCCGGGAGAATGAATTCTTTTGTTTCATAACATTCTTTCATTAGATGTCCACAATAGTGAAGTTCGGCGATTTTTATACATTTCTTGTAATTTCGGTGACAAGTTGAAGTAAGAAAAGTTGCCACGCCTCGAGATTTCTCCAAAGATACGAAATTTGCTAAAAATATTCACAATTACTTGACGAACCTGATTCGTAAATAATATTTCGAGCCTACAGTCAGCAAATAACGGTTGTTAAGTTACCTATGAGCATGATTGTGATCCAAAAAATAGAACCTAAAATCAAATAAGTTTGAGTTCGAATACTTCTGATTGTCAAGACTTCTTCCGGAAATAAAAATACCTCTTTCTTCTTTTGTCTCAAAACGCCGATACAGTCGCAATCAAGACACTTTTAATTCAATGAGTCAAGGTTAAAAAAGCGAAATTGGAAGTACCCTGACTTTAGTTTGTAAAAATACATTTTTTGTCCATTCATTTTTGTCACTGATAACCATAGCAAGCAATCTCTGGAAAATAAGTAAAGTATTTCTTAGGGTAAAATCTGAATGAATTGTTTTATGAGGGTTCCACCTGCCCTTGCGGTTCGACAGTTTTGTGTCATCTTTAAATGTTACTGCTAACATTTCAGAATAACCGATTTTTTCGTCCCATTCAACAAATTTTTCTAGGTCGAAATGAACGAAATTTATTATTTACATTTAAACTTGCATTAGTATAAAAAGGTTTTATGATAAGAAGTCACTTTTCTTCTGTCGAACCATTTCCATTAATTCTCATTATACTGGCAGATAAAGCATTTCCTAAAAATAAGTGAACAAAAAGCACATGAAGGCGAGAACCTTGAGTATAAATAACCAACTCTTCTGGAAAGCGCCGGACGACCTCGGGAATATCAGCGATTTTGTTGAACTCAACGTCGAGGATTTTCAGCTTTCTCATCTCCAAAAGTTTTTTCGGCACCTCTTTGAGATGATTGTAGCCTATCCAAAGGCCGCTGATCTCCGAGCAGAGACAGAGATTTAGGGGAATAGCAGATATTCGATTGTGGTCAATGTGGAGGTATCGCAATGAGTTGAGGATGCAGATTGAGTTGTCTAGATATCGAATCTTGTTGTAGGAGAGCCACAAGGCCTCCACGCTTGTCATTCGATTTTTATAGACGCGGAAGATTTTGATTTTGTTGTTGTTCAGGTAAATATTCTTCAATGAGTCCAAACTAGTAATCTACGAAACATCAAATTCGTCTCTCTTACTTGTACAGAAAATTCGGAACTTGGCCAAGTCGATTGTTTGCAAAAGAAGCCACTTCTAAGTTCGGAAGAGAGCCAGATTCTATGTCGAATTTAGCAAGTCCTTGATTCTCTATATACATGCTCGTCAGTCCAACCATGGAATATTTGAGGATATCTTGGCATGGAGCAACGACGATGTTTTTGATGCATTTTGAGTTTTGCGCTGACATTTGGCGGATATAACTTTCAATACGATTAAAAGAACTGTCTCTTATAACATATACTCGGAATTTTTTTGTGCGTTTCCTGATTTTCCTCCCATTCACATGCGTATGCTCCAAAATAAACTCGTCGTTGTTCGATGTCTCAAGAAGGCAAGTCTGCTCTGTCGTTTGAAAAACCCTTCTCTGACACTTTCGTAACATATTGTTTAAACAATGTTCATGCCTTTTGAAGAGAATGGCCGTACTATTGGCGGATAAATAATTCAGCGAGGACCTGACGAGTCTTCTGCGCTGCCGGAGATCCTCTTCGTTGATGGATGCCGAGTGTATTGATAATGTGAATAATGAATAGCCCCCGCAAACCCATTCAGGAGACTTACCACCGTCCACTAGAGTAAATATGACCTATTCATATAAGACTTCATTGAATATAAAAATATCTTAGATCTGAGTTGGCAACTTTCAATCCTCTTCAAGGAAGTTCCTTGATATGAAGAAGAGTATCCTGCGGCAGGATTCCTGCCTGCATGAACGAATCCTTATTGTGTATTCGTTCTTATATGAAATACGCGGAAATTCATATAAGAAGCAATATATGTGAAATTTAAGAGTTGAAAAGTTTATTGCAATCGTGTGTGTTTGGTAAAGGTTTTTTGTTGACTAGACATGTTTCAGGAGCAGTCTTGGCAAAGGTTATCAGATAATATAGTACAATGCTAGAGTAAGTTATAGGAGATCATTGAGCTGAACTGAATGATCATTATTCGACTTTAATTCTAATGCTTGTAAGTAACAGAAATTGGGTCGCCATTGAACTTGAAAAAATAGTAAATAAGGTACATTATTGAATAAAAAACGACGAAAATGAATAGTTTGTTATCAAGGAATAGTGAATACAAGAAAGATTGGAAACTGTGAATAGGGAGTTTATGTAAGGCCGAATTCTTCTAAGATCGAACGAGTCACTTCTTGCTCTTGGTCTTCTTCTTGCATTTGATCTGCTGCTTCTATCGCGTGCAGGACCTTAGGGGGAGAAATATTTCATAACGAAGGGATCGGAGAGTCTACCTTCTTTTTGCTGGATTCCTGAAGTTGTCCAGCTAGTAAATACTCGTCAATAACAAAGTACGCTTTTTCGAAATTGAAGATGATATCCAACTCGCACACAGATCCAAAATACTTGTCCAAAATTTCAACATATCGATGGATTACTTCCAACACCTAAAAATATGTTTCAGAGTTTTTTCTCTTTGGAAACCGACCTCGAGTTCATTTTCGTCCTGATCGACTCCGCAGCAAAAGTACAGGGATGCATATCTTTTGTACACCACTTTCATGCCCATAAAATCAACGAAATTCGACATTTTTGGCTTTCTTTGGAGGACTGTGTTCACAATGTCTCTTGATATCTTCTTTCTCTCCTTATCTGAAGAAAAATCTGAAGCTGGAATAAAATCGACGAAGGCGAACCTGGAACGGAATGAAACCACTTCGTCAGTCGGATCTTCCCCTGCCGGGAGAATAAAATCATAAAATTATACATCTCTAAAAATAAAAAAGAAGATAAATAGAAATTTAAAAAGAAAGGAGATTGAAAATCGCTGAAGAAAGTTGAATGAAGGAAGACAGGTAAAACATGGATTTTTGAAGAACATCGATGGAAAAAAGACGTTGGAAGCGGATAAGTGTATGAAAAGAGGATTAAATCATGCCGAGTTCTTTCAAATGCTCGAGCACAGCTCGTTCCTCATCCCAGAGATCGCTTTCATGAAGCTCTCTGGCGATCTAAATTGCTTGATAATAATCAGTCGGCTGGGTAAATCTTACCTCTTTTTTACTTGATTCTTGTAAATGCCCGGCAAGAATGATTTCGTCGAGAATTTGGTAACTTCTTTCAAACTCAAAGATCATGTCTACTTCACAGACTGATCCGAACTGGGAGTCGAGCATTTCGACAAAGAGTCGAATGATATTCAAAGCATCGAACTCGTTGTCGTCCATGTCGATGCAAAGGGCGAAAAAGAGGGATGCGAACTTTTTGTAGACGATTTTGTATCCTAAATTAGAGTTTCAGTTTTACACCAGATTCGGGGCCGACGAAAAAGTTACCGAAAAACTCGACGATGGAGGAATAGCTCTTATCCCTGTTGCAAACTAAATCGACTATCGATTTCGTGAATCGCTCCCGATCCACCTCGCAGGAATACCATTTCTGCAGGCGCATTTTCGATTGCTTGTTGAACACCAAAACGGCGTGGAACATTCTAGAATAGAGAAACCCTTTAGAGGTTGATTTTGCATTGAGAAACAGTTTCAAAGAGCTCCAACAGAGATTCAAAATAGGATGGAAAGCGAAGCGCTTGCAAGAAAATTGGTGCGAAGAGCGAGGGAAGCTATGGTTCTTGTTGAAAATTTACAGTATGACATTGAAAACAATGACAAACCGGCGAAATTGGAAATGCTCGAAAGTGTAAGTTTCAATTCTCTTTGCCAATGAAGAAAGTAATTTAGCTTCTCTCTAATAATCTTCAAGCTCAAGCATCAATAAGAAAACAGGAATGAAACAAAATCTATTAAAATAAAATCAGCAGAAAATGCGATTCGGTTCCTTCGAAAAGCTAGAAACTTGCGACGACGAACAAAACGCAGATATGGACATCAGCTTCGAGCACCCTCAACCTGCAAATTACACATCGATCGGCTCAATTCAACTGGAAAAGGTTCTAGCAAAGAAGCCGAGTTTATCTCTCCAAACCGAGGAGGAACTATCCGCAATGACCGAGATCGCGAAAAGTGTTGCTACAAAACTCGGCCATTTCGATGAGTTCGACGAGAGCGAGTCCTCAGATGAGGCACGGGCTTCAATAATCAAATAAACAAGTATTTTAAACTAGTCTCAGAAGCCCGAAAAAGTCATTGATCACTGGGACAGATACGTACTCCAAAATCCAGAGCTTGGATCAGAGCTCGAAACAGTCAAAAGGATCAAAAGAAACTCGTCAAAAATAAAAAATGTTTGTCATTAAATTGTCTAAAGCATTTATTAATAATATTACATGTATGGTATCATTTTCAGACTCTCAAACAGAAACAAATAAAAAAAAACACATATTTTTTAAAATCGTGATAAAATCTCATAAATGGACAATTCACAAGTTGTTTCGTGAGACCAGAAGGTGGCGATTGAGTTTAAAAAATAAATATTTAAAATAATTAATAAATGAAATAATAATTGAAGAATTCACTTTTTTTAAGTGTGAGTCAGGCAGATTGGAGAAGTAGAAAAAATAGTACTAGGTGCCTGGTGAAAGTACTGTAAATTGAGTGTACCGGTCTTCTTTCTTTTTTTGGTTGAGTGACAGTTGTGCTGGGTGAGGTTTTCAAAAAGATTGGCGCAAAGAAAAAGATCCATTGAGAATGAAGTTAAATAAGGCCGGCCATTCGCATCATCGGATTGGCGTACATCATCGGTTGACATGGCGGGTGCTCGACGGCTTTGAACTCGTTGGGAATCGGGACCAGATTGTTGTCGGGTCGAATGGTAAGATAGGCTCCGTCGTTGCCTCTTTGATCGCAGTAATTGGGCGCTTGGAATAAATTATAAACAATTCTATCAAGCGATTTCCTACCTGAGAAGATAGTCCAGCACTTTCCATTGTGCGCAGACTCCCAACCCTTTTCCTTCACTTCGTGCGATCTGATGATGTAGTCTAGTCCGTTCTGTTTGCAAAACTCGGCAGTGATATCGGGACCGAACTGTGCAGAAGTGCCTCGTTTCGAGGTTCCACGACCAGGCGCATCTTGAGGATCGGCCCACAGAAGATCTGTCAATGTTCCTGGAAAGAAGAATTCAAATGACTTTTGAAAGGAGGGATTTTACCGGCTTCGCCTGGCTCGCAGAATCTATCGAGCTTTCTGATGTCGTCGAGTTCGATATTGTCAACCATTGGAAGACCGCCATGCATTACCAGGACTCGTTTATTGATAAGATACGCGACGGGGAGCGACTGGAAGAGCGTCTGGAATGTTCGGAAAGCATTTGGACCGACTAGGACCAAAATAAAATAACAACAAAATCTGATTGAGTACCTTTATGCTTGACTTCTCCTTCAAAGCCATAAAGCTCGTTCATGTTCTTTGTTTCGTGATTTCCACGAGTCAAATACATGCACTTGGGATCGTGCAGCCACCATCCGAGGAGAGTCATGAACACTTCAAGACCCCATGATCCACGGTCGACGAAATCACCGTTGAACAAATACGGATTCTCGGGAGAAGGAGGACCATTCAACTTGAAAATATTGCAAAGATCGTAGTACTGTCCGTGCGTGTCTCCGCAAACTGTCAGTTTACTGCAAAAAGCCGTTTTAAGAAAAATAAATAGTATGAAAATGTTTAACTTCTCAATACACGGGCGCGCGACTAAGCGCTCAAAACACGGGGTCGGGTGAGGGGACCACAATTCATTATTCAGCCCCGCGCGGCGCGCAAAATTAGGAGTGTGATAAAGAGCGCTCAAGACTTTCAGCTCTTACTTGCGTTTCCGGCAAGCAAAAAAGTTACAATACATATCGCTGGAAAGCTTGAACACTCAGCTATCAAGATTAACAATTACTTTTGAAAAACACTTTTTGGATTTTCAGCTGCAGAGTCAAAGATAAATCCGGTGCAAAACGCCAGCACTTTTGAGAAAACTTCCGAAATTTCACAAAGTGGTTCGTTTTAGTCATCTTAGCTCACATTACAAAAATCATGTCAAATGGATTATCACCAGAGAAATTACGGTGGCTCAAAGTCGCCGTGGTCGGTTCAACCGACCACGTGTATTGAGAAGTTAAGCTCTTACCCATCGTCTGGAACAGAAATATCAATCATCGTCGGCAGCTTTCGGAACTTTTCCAGCGCAATAGTGAGCATGTGGAAGATATATCTCTTGTGAAGCTCTTTCTGCGCTTTGAAGGTGGTTTCCAGCTGTTCCATAAACTCAACTGTTGGCTGGCAGTTTTCGTTGAGTCGAGGGCCTTTGTATGAGTCAGAAACCTACCAAAAAAGGATGAAGCAAAGCCGAGATAATTGATATTTACCGTGATGTTCTCATAATTTGTCAGTGGGGCTTCCTCCTTCTCTTCCGATGCGATTGCTCTTTCGAAAGCTCTCTGTTTTACAATCTGAAAACTCCCATAAATCCCCGTTTCTCACAACAAACATTTAAATAAATTGATCACCAGTAGGTCAACTCTAATTTGAGACGGATCTCTCAGAGAGTCTCTCTTCGGCTTTTTTTCGGTCGAAAATTTGAATTTTTTCATTATAAAAGAGCACCTTTCTACACTCTGTCACTTTCTTGCGCACATCGGGATCCTTTGGCTTCACTTTGAAGACGCTCTCGTAATCCTTTAGCGCCTTGGAGAACTGACCCATTGCCATGTTCGCTGAGGCACGTCGGTAATAGCCCTTGATGTACTTTGGATCGCACTCGATTGCTGAAAGCAAGGATCAATGGAAGAGGAGAATTTCTCCGAATTTACCTCGGCCGGCATCTTCCAAAGCAGCGCCGAATGACTCTGTTTTTAAATAGGCGAAACTTCTGTTCGAATACAAAACAGCTTCAATAGAGGTTTTCAACCTATATTTTCTCTCCTTCACACTAGGCTCAGCAACCTGTCAAGAAAACCTGAGTCAGGTGTGTGAAAGATGTGCCCGGTTTTTAAAGTCGTATGATAAAAGACCTTTTCCTGATGTTCCATCAACTTCAATAGCTTTCGAGTACAATTCTAGCGCTCTTTCGTAATCTTTATTTTTGAACACTTCATTTGCTTGATTTTTCAGCTCTTCCGCGGCGGGATCCATTCTTCAAAATTGACAGTTTTTAGTCAAAAAACAATATTGAAAATTGAAACATGGACTGTATTACAGAAGAACATTTAGTAGTCGGGAAAAAAGGTGAGAAAAAAGAGGCGTGTTGAGTAAGGGCCTGAACTGATGATTTTTAAGCAGAGCCGAGTAAATAATTTGATTTCAAATTGAAGATAAAAATGAATATGAATTTTGAACTTCGTTAATAAAAGAGAAAGAGAGGGAGAGGTTCAGGTGAAGAGGTTTTTCAGGAAGAAGAAGTTCCGGAATCGTTCAAGCTCTGAATCGATCAATTATAAAATCTTGAAATAATGGAAATTAGCATACATCGATCAGTTCCCAGAAGCCGTCGGACTTTCGCTTGTATTTTCTGACTTTGTTCTGGAAAATCGTCTCTAATGGCTCAGGATGCTGCATGATCACTTTTATGGCTTCTTTGGTGCAGTGCGCGAAATCGGGCTTTTCAACGTTAGGAGATGTAGAGAGGTATTGACGGATGAGCGCATCTTTTCGAAATTATTCATGAAAAATGATGATTTTGGAAGATTTACCGGGAAGAAGATAATATTTTTCAGCGTTAGGCCAGGCTTGGTAATCGAAGGGACCAATTTGAAGCTCGTGATTTTGGTAGTCGTAGATGTTGAGACAGTCGCCCGTTCCACGGAAAAGTCTGGCAGTGCGGATTGGAATATCTGGGCCTTTGTACATGAACTTGGCTGGAAAGCTAAATTTAGTGTTTGCGTTGGTGCGCTAGAAAAGCAGAACGAACCAGTAGCCTCCGTGAACTTCTATGGCGACTCCATACAAAATCGGGCGCGGTCGATTTGCGAAATATTCAGTGTTCTGGGAGAGGACGCACAAGCTGTTCAAATATATCTGAATTTCGGTTCTTCATTAATTCAATCTTTCAAACTACTTTTTCTGGTCGTTTTGTGCACGCGCGGAGGATACCTTCGGTAACTTCTAGTGAGCAATCTTCCTCGTCTGCGTACCCTCCGATCACATGAATTTCCAGGCGGCCGAGGGAGTCGTCTTTTGGATTCGTCAACGCCTGTCAAAGAAATTAAAGTCCAATTTTTCTCAGTATAAGGGTACCTGCGTTGACATGATCATAGATGCAATGGCTTCATCTGTATTTGACCCGTCTAAATGGCTGAGGCAGACTGCTCGGCTGCCCGTATGCCGCACACAAACGATATTGCAGGTTGTGGCGTTGTCTGTGCCGATGTACTAAAGGGAATTTTCAATATTTTGATAGACAAAGTATCTCTTTACTTTAGTCATTTCATCTTCCGGCACAGTGGCGGCAAACTCCCGCTGATTGACATAAAGAACTCCTGGCGCTCCGAGTCGCGTTTCTGGCAGTTTTACAAGCTGCTGCGAGTCTTTGACATATTCAGGGAAGTTTTCGTAAATAAGCTCTGGATCGACGATTTCTTTTTCTTCAATAAAGCGACATTTCGCTCCTTTTCCCACGCACAAAACCATTAATCTAGAAACAACGAAATCTTTAGTTGCGTGGGCTTAAAATTTGACAAATCTTATTGGCTGCCTGCTCCGATGTCTCAAGCTTACTGAAGCCTAACTCATCGGATCTAACGGTTTCTTGATAATCTAATAATATTAAATGATGCCGAAATTTCCTGCAGGTAGGCGCTTGATGAAAGAATTTTTGAACACTGATTTTGGTTTATTACTTCATATCAATTCATTTTGAAAGTTTTAAATTTGTGAAAGTCTAATGAAAACAAAGAAGAAAGGGTGAGAAATGCAGAGGAAAATAAATAAATTGCAATAATACTATCGAGCAGTAAATTTTTGAACATATAAATTCTAGAGCGAGGATACAAGCATTCTTTGAGGCTGTGACGGTTGACTCAACATTCCATTGTGGCAGTCTTTTTCGGGATTCATTAAATTTATGAATATAAATTTAGAATTTCAAATTTTGTTAGTGACCGTTCCACTAGAACGATCCAAATGAAACTAACAGCGGAGCATCACCGAAGATCACAACAGGAAAAGCTCCCCGCCGAGTGTTTTCTGGTGCCACCAGTTTAAAAGCGGTATTATTTAGGGATCTGCGATGCGCGTTTCCCAAGCACAGATTAACTCTCATTCAAATGTATCGAAATCATTTAGAACATTGTACCAAGAAAACCGTATCAATAAAAATAAAGCTTTATCATGAATAGCTCTGGAGATTTTCTGCTCGTAAATGATAAATAAAACAGTTGTCTATATTTTGAGATCCTTTCCTTGACATCGTTGAGCAGGGTTTGCCTACTTTTCGTCCAGTCGCATTCTTTTATTCTCCTAATTACGATCGGTAGGGAAACTCGATGAAAAATGAGCTTTTTTTAGGGCTTAGTAGGGAGGAAGTATAATACAGTTTTAGAAAGCCCAGGAGCTGGGGATCATTTTGACTATTGATAGTAAGGGGTTTGACTCATGCCCTGGGGCACTTTTGGCCTTCCAAAGGGCCAAATTTCTGGTACTCTTCGGATAAGGGACCGTAACTTCTAGTATCCCGGGTCTATGGAAATAAAACTTATACTCGGTTGTAGAGGAGGCTCTGACGGTTCCGAATATGTATAGAAAACCACCGGGACCCCCACCTCTAGAAGGTGCTAGAGGCTCTAGAAGTTGAGGAAGTCAACCAAAAATCGGTACTTTTTGTCAAAAAAGTGCTGGAAATGCTGTATTTTCATTCGAAATCGATTAAAATAACATTTTTGATGATTCTGTTAGATTAAAAATAAGTTTTGGGGTAATTTTGGGCTTTTTTAGGTCATCAAAAGCGAAAACTAGAATTTGCTGAAAATTCACCTCAAATGACCTCAACTGAAATTTTTGAATATCACAAAATCGCTAGAAATTATTTTTAATCGATTTCGAATGAAAATACAACAATTCCAGCCTTTTTTAGGCAAAAAGTACCGATTTTTGGTTGACTTCCTCAACTTCTAGAGCCTCTAGCACCTTCTAGAGGTGGGGGTCCCGGTGGTTTTCTATACATATTCGGAACCGTCAGAGCCTCCTCTACAACCGAGTATAAGTTTTATTTCCATAGACCCGGGATACTAGAAGTTACGGTCCCTTATCCGAAGAGTACCAGAAATTTGGCCCTTTGGAAGGCCAAAAGTGCCCCAGGGCATGAGTCAAACCCCTTACTATCAATAGTCAAAATGATCCCCAGCTCCTGGGCTTTCTAAAACTGTATTATACTTCCTCCCTACTAAGCCCTAAAAAAAGCTCATTTTTCATCGAGTTTCCCTAACGATCGGCATTACTTTTCCGACGGATTTCGCGTTGATCAGCATTTGTTTCGTAACATTCGCCACGTTCACTTCTTCATTTTCTTTCCAACTTTTTCCGTGGTCCAAATTTTTATCAGCAATGGAAAGTTACGGTTAGTAAATAACTATTCTCCGGCTACATTTCAAAAAAATAATTCAATTTTCATTTCTCAAAAGACAATCTGACTGGTTCGATCGCGCGGGCGCCCAATTAGCGCAAGCATCGATTTCGCCATATGAAAATTCTCTTTCTAAGCCATTATGGTCTTTTTCGCGAGAAAGTAAAAACTAACGATAAACTGTAATTTGAACCCTGTCAATCATAATCGGTCACCATTGCCATCGATGCATACTGCATTCCCATTTCTCGAGCAATTGACGCTAGAATTGCCCTTTTTATAACAGTTTTTCACGAAAACTACCTTCAGGACACGTTGTCATATTGACAATTTCTGCGTTGTAAACATTTCTAAAAACGCAAGATTCCGCAAAAGTCGAGAATCTGGGTCCTTCGATGCAAACTGTCGTTCCTCTCGTTTTGTGTTCAACCCCACTTTCGCGAAGAGACTCTATCAGAATCTCTCGTAAATCTTCATCGAATGCTGGTTTTGACGGCAGATGAATAATTCTAAAAAACTTATAATACTCTAATATTTATCGTCTCTTTCTTACCCTCTGGGTCCTCCATTTTCGATGGCAGTTCCAACATGCGTATTCAACCTGTAACCCTTGGTCATGTCAATATAGTCTGATAAGACTACCAAATCGCCCGGCCTGTACTCCTCCTTCAAGCTTCCACAAGCTGTAGTCGCTACAATGTGCGTCACCCCGAGCCGCTTCAGTGCCCACAAGTTCGCACAATAATTCACTAAAATAGAACTTGATAAAATCCCACAAAACTATCTTACCTTGGCTGGGAGACTTGTTGTGCAATCTGCCATGTCTGGAGAGAATGAAGACCGTCTCTCCATTGACTTCTCCTTTAAAAATGGTCGAAGGGTGTCCCCAAGGCGTATTCTCTATGTTTTCTAGCTCTTCTCTGTTCGCCACGATCGTAGGGTCATCTAACCCTGTTCCGCCAATAATCGCTATCACTACTGTACTCATTCTGAAATCTTTGAAATTCAAATTGAAGTCTGTGTAATTTGAAGTTTTTAATTTATTTTGAATAAGAAATATCAATAAATTTTCATAATATTCTTAAAGGCCAGCTTAATGGGCCTAACGGTTTCGCTATCCACATGGATACTTGGCGATTTGTCTGTTTCATTTTATTTTCTTAAAATTTTTTCTATATCATATTTTTCCGAATTATGCTCTCTCCTCAAAGGTCGTTTCTGTCGTCTCTTCAGGGGCCCAGACTGCTCTCTATCATCATCGGCAGCCTTTAAAAATTATCGTTTCATTTATCCTTCCCGTTTTCTCGGTGCATCGGCGAATCTGGCCATATATAGTGAAACCAATGTCGCTTAGCCGGGACCGACCGAGTCGTGAGTCAAACTCACTGAAAAATTACATCATTAGCTTAGTTCTAAGCTCTGCTCAGAGTTGAGTCAGTAGCCTAAGGAATCGGACGGGCCGGGGGCAAAACCTCTTGTTTCTATTTTAAGTTTTTAAATAATAGATGGAGTAGTATGACCTTGTAACCTCGGATCATCGTGTGCCTCTTTGACTTTTCCTTGCCTATTTGATTGTAATTTATTTAGAATGCAAACATGTTTGTACAGTCAGAGAATCAGTCGCCTGATGAAATCTGCAGAGATGAAGAGTGTGACTCTTACCAAACTATTGATCGCTTCTGAATTCGTTTTTCAATTCCAATGAGATCAAGAATCAAGAGCGATGATCGTGAACTTGAGCTGCTGGAGGCGATTGTTGCGCTCGTTAAAACCTCCAAGAGCGCGCGGCAAAGCTCAAAAAGGCTCTCTCCCCACAGCTGATGAGTACTACCGAACCAAATAACAACAGTCAAGTGTGAAGAAAACCCACGCGAGCCCGGTGCTTTTGTCCCTTTTCAACCCCCTTTTTGTTTTATGAAATCGAGATTTGAACAAAAATGAGAGGATCGAAATGTCTGGTAACGATAATTTCCGCGACTTCTGCCGGAGATTACTCGCCCTACGATACCCATTATGCCCAGGGAATTCATGCGTATGAGAATGTAAGGCTTCTACCCTCGTATTGTTATAAAAAGTTATTTACAGGAAAACTGGACCGAGGCAATAACCGAATTCGAACGAGCAATAGAAGAGAGAAACCGTTATTTAGAAGCAAAGGTGCATTGCTCAATCGATAGCTGTGGAAACATCACCGGCGATTCCCTAAAGTCCCTTTCCATCGGATCCGGCTTTAGTCAATACGTCATCGCTCGCGGGCTCTGTCTTTACAAATGTATGTCTGAGGCGATTGGGAAGAAATACGTCGATTGGAGGATTTTACCTTCGGTGGATGAAGAATTTCAAGCTCGCCTGCCGTACCAGTATCTCAATGTCGCCTATTTCAAAAGTGGAAACATCAGAAAAGCGTTGGAAACTGCCTTTACTTTCTTCAACGCTGATCCTTCCGATCCAGGTGATTTTCACCCCTCTTTCTTCTTTCATATCATCTTTTTAGAGATGCAGGATACCCTGGCTTTTTACCAAGAAATGGAAGAAGTTGACGACTCCATGTTTGTCGATATAGAAAATCCAGAGCATCTAAAGCACTACGAAATCGCCCAGTCAGTTTATCAGCTCGAAGATTATCCTCAAGCGATTTCCGAATTCGAGCAAAGCCTTCATTGGTACTGGGACAGTATGGACGAATGCAGAGCGCTCTGCGATGCTCCGTTTGATTTCGGCGACGATTATCCAGACGAGCTGCCAAATTATCATCTTTTCCAGACAAAAATGGTTGCACAGCTACTCGAATGCCGGCTCAAGTGCGTCAAACAAATGGAACTGCCATGCGGCCGGTACCATCGTCGGTCGAACAGCGATCTTCTGCCGATTCATTACCATTATTTGATGTTTGCTTATCACGAAATCGGGGATGATCCAAAGGCGGCTTCGATGGCAAAGACATATCTGACATTTCATCCTGACAATGAGCCTATGCAGATAAATATACAGTTCTTCGATCAGGAAGTTTACGAAGCTGCACAGCCAGAAGAAAAAGCCGTCAAGTTTCACAAAAAACTCATGCGAGAAGTAAAAATGCTCGAATACCTTGAACATCACTTTGGCCCGACATATGGGTTCAAATACGACTATGCCTTGCTCACGCCCTTTCCCGACGAAATGTTTTTCGAAGCGGAAGATGAGCGGCTTATGAATGAAGATATCGGAGATATTGACGAGAACTCGCAAACTCCCTGGGATCCTGAGAACGAGGTCAAAGATCCGCCGACTTTTGGACCATCTTATGATACTCCCTTCCCTACTGGTGCTGAAATGTAAGTTACTTTGATATTAAAATGCGCTGATAATACCTCTTCTTAGAGGTTACGAATCGGTGGCGGAGAAAATCGATGATCTTCTTTTCGACCCCCTTGCGGAACCTGACAAAGTGAAACAGGTCGATACCGTTCACGGAAAACTGCCGTATTACTCTGCTGGTGATGAGAAATTCGGATATGTCGTGCGAGATTCGCCGAAATATAGCGTTTTTGACGATGGGCCAGCTGTGAATGCAGAAGGACCAGTCGCTGATGGAGCTGTTTTGAAGCAAAACTCGACACGTATTTGTTCTTCTATTTTTTGCATTTTCAATTGTTCTTTTAGATCTTGCGGGACCGACGAGATTTGTCATGGACGGTCTTTTATCAGATGAGCAGTGCGAGTCCTTGTATAAACTCGCTTCTTACGGTATTGTTGGAGACGGCTACGAAGGGGACAAGAAACCTCACTCAAAAGGAGAAGAGTTTGCTGGAATCAGCCTTCTCACTGCAGCTAGATTGGCAGATATTGGAGCGGTAGAGACAGCAGCGGTTCAGCTCTATCACGACATCAATTCTAAGTTAGCAAAGATCGTCAAAGAGTATTTCAAGCTGGAGACTGATCTTTATATCGGTAAGCCTAGTCCTGATTCAGTTTTGGAGTTGACTTTCTTCATCTAGATTTCATTCATCTGGTTTGTCGAGATCCGAAGGATGAAAAAACGACCGACGAAGATGGGAACATCATTCTTTCGCACCCAGTCCACCCCGACAACTGTCTCTACCTCCCCGACGGAACTTGCCCCCGTCGGCCGCCAGCATACGTCTGGCGAGAATACTCGGCCGTGCTCTATTTGAACGAAGACATTGAAGGAGGCGAGATCTTCTTCGCGGATCCAAGCGGCAAATACGCACTCGCAGGGGTCAAGCCGAAGTGCGGCCGTCTTGTTGGCTTCTGCGCCGGGACAGACTGTCTTCACGGTGTCAAAAAGCTCACCGGAGGCAAACGTTGCGCCTTGCCTATTTGGTACACGACGAGAAAAGAGAAAGAAGATTTCACGCTCGAAGATGCTCGTGCGATTCTCAAAAGACTCAATTCTAGCTCTGCATCAAACACAGATTCTGACAGTTCTGAAAAAATGCCCTCTGAAAAAACTGAACTCTAAGTAAAAAAAATGAAAAAAAGACTAGAAATATTGAAAAGCAAATAAATTAAAAACGTCTGTACAAAATGCTGAAAGAAATGAGAGATCTTCTGTTATGAATCATTATAATCGACCGATCAATTTGAATTGCCTTCGGTAAATGAGAGTCAGTAAAGTGGCAGGCTGTGAACACTTTTTTTCAGAAAATGGGATGGTTTCAATAAGTCAACTTGTTCATTATACTCATGATGTCGCGAAGCAGGTGCTTCTTGAGGCGAGAGAAAGGTCCAGGAAAACTGCGAATATAAAGGCTTTCATAGGTATGAAAATTCAATCAAAAAATCTACCACAATCATTCTTTAGCGGACAATGCTCTCACCCATCTGGCTTCGTACATCATGCAGCCGCCTCCCCCAGAGCTACTCAACCTATCCCTTTCCGTCTTTGCCAATTTACTGAGCGACGAAGATGCCAAACGCCAAATCAACCGCGAACAAATTCAAGGACTCATCCGTCTCCTCGACGAAACAACTGCAGATGAAGACTTCGACGGCACACAAGAAGTTCAAATTGAAATGAAAGGGCGATTGATTCGAGCGCTGACGAATGTTGCCCAAGGAAGCGCCGCCAATCGCGATATTTTGGTCGAAAACGGCGCGTTCAAGAGCATCGGCGCAGCGACTCTTTCCGAAGAGAATCCCGACCTGTACGAGGTCGCCTGCCGAGCACTGAGAATCATTCCATCAGACGCAGTCCAGCGAAAACTCGCAGCAACAACATGTGCGGAAATCCCGGCGAAGGCGCTACTCATGGATCGCAAAATCGCCAGGTCCGCCGTCAGAGCAGTTTCTAATCTGTCAAAAGCTATCAATCCGCATTTGACGTCATCCCTTCTCCATTACGATGGAAAGCCAATCAAGGTTCTTCTCAGAGCGATCACCTCTAGGTAAAGTTAAAACATGGGCATCATCGTAATTTTTTTTATTTTAGCCACTCAGATTGGTAATTTTTTATCTTTCATTTATCGATTTTACAAGATTTTCACTTTGCTTGAGCGTTTTCTATTAATATTTTTCATTTAACGAACTTCATTTATTGACAATTACGATTTTTGATAATAACAATAATGCAATAAAAACTGACTCAAATCACGAGTTATCAAGTTCAATTGCGTGCGTTTATCAATTTATCAGAAAACAGTGCGAGACATCAGTCTCTTGAGTGAAGGGAAACAAAACAAGAGACGATGGGATCAGAATAAAAGTCATTGAAATCAAATTCAGGACAATTTCGACGCGCCAGGATGCACTCAGTGCAGTTTTACGGCTGACCCAGAGAGTCGGAGCGCTACGACCGAAGATTTGCTCCTACGGCGGTCTGCAGCTCTTCAAAGCTAACTTAGAGAAAACGGGAGGCGGGTACACTCGTTTCGGGATCCCCTTCCTCCGCTCAATTTGCTGCTGCATTAGAGAAGCAATAAATCGAAAGAAAGTGCGAGAAATTGGCTGCCTGAGAAACTTTTCGAAAATTCTTGAAAAGCCAATTACTTCGGAAACAAAACCGCTGGCGGAAGGAGATGAGTGGATTCTGATGGCAAAAGCGATTGTTCTGACTTCGCTCACGAACTTTTATTATGACGATGAAGGGATAACGGAAATGATATCGTTGGATTTTGCTTCGTCGATTGCTACTCTCGTAAGTTCTGAAGCCATTATCTCAGTTTACTTTTCCAAATATATATGAAATAATAAAATAAAAAATATAATTTCAAATAAAATTTGATTACAATCGACTTTAACAGTTGCACAATAATAAGCAAAAATACATTTATTTCAAATATTCTTGTGCTGCATAACGATGTCGGTTAATAACTGCTCCTTCCTAAAGGCTTGAGTTTCATTTTAATTTTTCGTCAGTGAAGAATCGTTATATTCATTTTCATGTCATTCTTCGAAAATTTTCGAATTGTCTCGTAAATTATGATCTTCTATTTATGTAAAAAATTCCAAATGTAATCTTGTCTCCCTCTTTATGGCGTGAGCAAGCATTATCCAATTTCACGCAAATTTATGAAACCAAGTGATGCTAGAACCAATTTCAAAGAAATCAATGAATTTTCAGCTTCCTGAAACACTGATCGACATCGCCGAAAGCCCAGATGCACCGACCGACTACGACCATCAAATTGCTGCTAGCTCCGATTTGCCCACCGCTTTCAACAAAGTAGACCTCGTTGCTCCTCTAACCGCGCCGCAGAATTCCGTCCAGAAGATGAAAAGACTTCAAAGTAGCTCTTCGTCTGATGAGTCTTTTGAATCAGGTCTTAGCCCTCCCAGCTCGCCTGTCAGAAGAGCATTCAAAAGAAGAAAACGCAGTCATAGAACTTGGAGCAGTAGCTCTGACGAAAGTCTCGGAACTCCTGGATTGCCCGCTTCTCGCGATCGCTTATCAGCAATTGAAGCTTCGCCCGACCGAAGCAGATCTGCAAGCCCCTTGTCAATTTTACCTACTCCACCTCCAACACCTAATCATGAGCCAACCCAAACTCCCCCTGTGCAAGAAAAAGTCTCGAATAAACTGACTCAGGAAGAAGCCGCGATTACAATTCTCAACAGATTCATGATGGTCAAACCAAACGAAACAATCGAGCAATTATCAAAGCCAGAAGTCATCATTGCGATATTTTCGTACATCAGCAAAGGCGGCCAGCTGAATTGGATAATTCAGAAGATCATGGAAAGCATCATCTCAAAGGGAAAATTTAGCAATCTTCTGATCGCAAATTTCATGACCGTCTTGGCAAAGACAATCGAAGACCGATACACTCTTGATCTCCCGGAAGACAAAAAGGACGATCTTCTTTGCAACATCACTGCGAAATGGATAGAAGAATTTGTTGTTGCTTCAAGAGAACATATTTTCACAATAGACGCTTGGCTAGAAGCCGGAGAGGATGATCAACAACTGGCGGTGGCGCGAACGATTCCATTTTTGCTCAGTGACGAGTCTAACTGGCTTCATTTGCCGGCTTCTTTCGATATTTTAAAAGTGAGTGTAAAAGGGAAAAGCAGCCTGGTTAAGAAAATCTTTAGGATAATATTGATGAGCACAGTTTTCGATCAATCCTTGCGTTTTGCACCGAAGCACTAAAAAAGATCCCCCGGATTGCAGATAATTCGGAATCCCATAATTCGGAATCGCTTATGATTGGTAAAGATTACGATGATAAGCGGACCGTGACGGTGAAACTCGCAGACTGCAGCGTGACTGTCTCGCGGCGAAGGTTGGAAGAGATTTCACCAATGTTTCAGGAACGGAATTCTTCGGAGTCAAGAATAATGATTTCATCTGATAAAATCACTTCTGACCAATGATTTTTCCGCATCAAATTGAGTTTACTCAATTGGTTAACCAATAAGAATATTCCAAAAAAGGCGATGTTACATCACGCCGATTCAGCGCAATTCACCGAATCTACCGATCTTATCCAATTGCCTACTTTCGATTCGGAGATTGTTTCGTTCGTCCTTGGAGTTTCCAAAACAAAACCAAAAGATCCTATCTCTGTTGATCTCTTTTGCCAACAGTATTTGATCGAGGAAAACATCAGACAAAAAATTCAAAGGTAAAAAGCTTACAGACATCAAGGACATAATTAATAATTATAAAACTTAGCGCGCTTTGGGACTCGATCAAAAAAGGGTTGGAAGATGGTGAAAACGAGTCCCTTCTGATTCACGTTTCGGAAAACTCGAATTCCGAGCAGCTTTTGCCCTGGCCAGTGCGCGTCGTCGAGCACTTGGTTGACTTTTCCAACCGCTCGTTTTTCAAAAGATTTTTCTTCTCCCAATCAGGTAACGCCCCGTTATTCGCCCGATTCAGAAAAAATAAGAGAAATTTTAAGATCATGTTTTCAACATTCTGAATTATCTTCTGAGAGTTTCTTCACCGACATCAACATCCTGACTCAAATTTCAACTTTCAACATCATCTTTTTTTTTCAACTATGTCTATCTTGCAGTTTTCTCTGAGTTTCTGTGACTTGAATTTTCGCTGTTTCTTTACATTCGAGAAAAATCATTTTAATTTTTTTACGCAATTTTTTATCATTTCTAGACTTGCGATAACAAAAACTTTTGGTGAGTTTATGGACTAATGAATTATTCACAACATGAAGATCGACAGCGCTAAGGGACGGATTTACAGAGATTCTTCGTTTATTTGTTTTACACTTCAGTGGAAATTTTATGTAATTTCCAGCCTCATACCTACTCGAGAAGGCTACATTTTTAGGATTAAAAAAGAAAGGCTCTAGCAAAAAATGTAAATCCCGAATGAAGCTGAAAAAGAGTCACACAGAACCTCCCGCCGATTGCGCCGAGCTTATCGAGAAGCTCGTCGGGCTCAACCACGATGAACTACTCGATACCTTGACGAAAATCAACACATGGACAGTTGGCAAGTGCGAGCTTTACCACTGGGTTTCTGTGCTCGACAAGTTCGATGAGATCCTCGGCGAGGCTTGTTCGACTGTTGAAGGGCACCAATGGTACTACAAAGTGGACAAGGATTCGAAGCTTCGCGATCTTGTTCTCGGGATCTTGAACTTTACCGCCTTGCTCATTGAGTACTCTTGCTCCCGTCACATCTACAATAGGTACAAATAATGACATTACCCAATAGCGAAATGCTATTTTTAGCATCGATCATGTAATCTCGCTCATGTGCGTCGCAGACCTGGACGTCACCCATTCTGTTCTCAACCTTCTCTACACTTTCACCAAGCGATCTACCTATTTAACTCGCCTAAATCAGGATACGCGTAAACGACTCATTGCCCAGCTCACCTATTTAGCAGACTCCTGGGGTGGGAAAGGTACCTTTTATCAACTCCAAGCTCACGACTTATTCTTACTCTAGAAAACGGCTACGGCCTGGCAGAATGTTGCACGGAAAGTGACAACCGCCAAAAGTCCGCCACAACGCTTCACTTCGACTTCCGCGTCGAAGATGACAGCAAAAACGATCAACACCAAATCGAATCCAAAATCGAGTCAATCTATATACAGGATATGTCGGTCTTTACCGACCCTCTTGGAAAAATTATGGAAGAGCTTCTTGACATGTACAACCGCTTGCCCAAAAATCTTCACATGAAGCTTTACACTCAACTTCGACTTGGTAATTTCACTCTTCATTTTTCTCTATTTCGATCTTTTTTACTTAGCCCATTCATTCGGAAACAGCGCTGACCGGCTCAAGTGCGTTCAAGTCCGACTCCATGCAATTTCTGTTCTTGTTTTCATGAGCACTTCCGAAGCGTCGATGAGTCCCGTTCTCTATCCCGGCTTTGTCGAAGAAATCGTCGACTTGCTCATGCTTGAAGCTGATGAAAAGCTCATCGAGATCAAAGCCGCCGCTTTACGAACGATCACATCCATCGTCCATCTCGACCACCATCCGCGCCTCGTCACGATCATCGATGCCACTGGAAGTGGCGAGTACCACGGCCTTTTGCCAAAACTCATTCGTGAGTGCATCGCATCGATGACAAGCGAAGACGCGGCTGAACAAGGTGCGCCCGCTCGATTTCCTCATAGCCTCTCCACTGCCTTATTTTCCTTCCTCTACCACTTGTCCAGCTATGAGAGTGGCGCCGAAGCCCTTGTCAACTCTGGCATGGTCGAGAGCCTCCTCACTGTCATCCAGAAGATAGGCGATCAGCAAGACCAGATAATGTTCGTCACACGAGCTGTTCGAATCGTCGACTTGGTCACAAACGTCGAGATGACCAGCTTCTCTGGATTAAAAGGCGTTCAAATCTTCATCGATCGACTTGAGCGCGAAGTGGCCAGCTGCAGGGTGGAAGCTCCAAGAGAACTCGAGCCAAGAAAGAAATCAGCTGATGGGACAATGGAGATCGACGAAAATCTCCAAGAGTTTACCAAGAAAGGAGTGCAATGCATGCCCCAGCGATCAGCCTTGTTCAAATCGATCCTCAACTTTTTGAAGAAGACGATTCAAGACCAAACGATGGCCGAATCCATCAGGCACATTATGGAGAGCTCACTGCCAAAATCCCTCAAACACATCATCTCCAACTGCGACTACTACGGCGCGAGCTTGTTCCTTGTCGCACTCGAGGTTGTACAATTCTACGTGTTTCACGAGCCATCTTTGCTTTCCAACATGCAAGAAACCGGCATTACTGATGTTATCCTTCAAGCTCTTTTGATCAAAGGTCCTCCAGCGACCAAAGAAGTCCTTCAGTTTCTTCCCGCCATTTTTACAGCTATGTGCATGAATGAAGCTGGCCTCAACGAGTTCCAGAGCTACAACCCATTCGAGAAGATGTTCAGAGTTCTGATCAACATCGACTATCTCCAGGCGATGAAAAAACGCCGTAGTTCTGAGTCAGCAACGGATACTGCTGGAACTCTTGGCTCATCTGTTGATGAACTGATGCGTCATCAGAACTCTCTTCGAAAGCCTGCGATCGCAGCGGCTATCGACCTTTTGCACCATCTTGTTGATATTGGAAACAACCCTGATACCATCGTCGTAAAAACTCTGTCCAGCACTTCGAAAGTCGATGCTACTGTTACAGCTGAACCAGTAACAATTGACCAGGAAACTCAATCTGACGAGGAACGCGCAACGATGGACGGAGAGTTCGTAGATGACGGAAATGTTGAAAATCCAAAGAAGCGACGTAAACTCGTCGACATGATTGAGGAACAGAAGAAAATAAAAGAACCTGAGAAAGTCCCATTGATGGAATACATCGTCAACGTTTGCAAGTTCCTCGACTCGATGCTTTCGAACAATAACACTCCTGATCACTGCAAAGAATTTATCGCAGCCGGCGGTGTTCCAGTCTTGCTGAAACTTGTTTCACTAAAATCACTTCCGCTAGATTTCCCAACTTCGGCAGCGGCTCAGCAAGTCGCTTCTGTTCTACGAGTGGTGTTCGTCCTCTCAAAGGACAAGTCTGTGCTGAAAGCAACGATAGATGTCGTAAAAGAGTGGCTTGACAAATATGACCAATACTGGCAACAGGAGTCCTCCAAGGCAACGATTGAGTCACCTTCATTGATGTTGCGTGAATATACTGATAGCACATTGGATCCGGTCAGATCTTCAATTGAAATGCCAATTTTTCAGCTAACGAGCAAGATCTTCGGCTTCGTAAATCTCCTTCAAAATATGACGAGCAATGTTCAAAACGAAGCACGTGTTATCTGTGTCAAAGTGTGGAGCAGTGAGACAAGCTTAAAAGTTCTTGATGGCTTCGCGAAGCTCTATCGAAATCTGATTTGGGAAAGTTCTTGCATGATTGAAATAATGGAGGACAAGATGGAAATCGAAGGCCTTGGAAAAGCTGATCTCGACCGAATCTGTACAATTGACTGGTCAGAAGAGGTCAGTCCGCTGCCATCAGCGAGTGCATCATCTGCGTCATCGAATGCGACAACACCTGTGGACTCAAATCCTTTGAGCGGAGCTTCACCAACATCTGTGCTTCAAGACGAAGTTGGATCGTTGAATATCGGCTCTCCTTCCGAGCAAAATCGACCACTCAAACGACGATCTCCTGATCCACAAGACGCTCAAAGAATAGAGCAGCTAATGAAGAAAGATAAGACGATGAAGATTCGAAAGATGATCAAAGACGTCCCATACGAAGCTGCCCAGAATCTCGGCGTCAAGCTCTCAACCCTGTTCCAGCTCCTGGTCAAGTTTGCCACAGCGCCAGCTCGGAGTAACCGCCGAAATCCAAACAAAATTCCACCGTCCACTTCTGCGCGAATGATTGCCAGCGAACTGATAAAACATATCACTGATACACTTGTTTGGAAGCCGCCGATTCAAGTTTCATCAACAAAATTCCGTCTTTTCTTTGGTCGATCCGCTACGCAGCTTCTCAGCGCGTTGCTCCTTGATGAATGCAAAGTTCCTTACATGCTGATGCTCCAGCATTTGGATTGTGTCGATGGCTTGCGAAAGATGGAAAGCGCACTGTATTCCTCGATCGAAGATGCAGCTGGCGAAAGTCTTGAAAGCCTTCTTGAAAAAGAAACTCTCCCAAGAGGGGTCGGTGAACATCTTTCCGAGTGGCTTACTCTCATTGAAAAGCTTGTGGACACTCGAAAATACGATCAGAAACCAACTGATCGAACGTATGTCGATATGCCTGAGAACTACGCGCCATATCATGTTCCGTTCAAACGAGCCAGCTTCCTAGCTCATGCTCACACGATCGCTTTCCGCGCGATCAAGTTGCTCTGGGGCAAAAAGTGCTTGACAAACTTTGGAACGAAGAAAGAGTCATCCCGACTTTTGGAAAATATTCTCACAGTCTTGCGACACATCATCAAGTCGGAAGACTTCATCGATGAAGCTCTTACAGTTGAGCGAGAGTCTAGCGAAATCAATGCAAGCAATCGTAACAAGTCGATTCATGCATACTTTTTGAACGAAACAGAAGCTGACTGCAAGAAACATAACGGATTTAATCCGAGATTCAGCAAGATCATTCAGCAACTTGTAGCTGGTGAACAACTTGATGCAATTTTCGAAGAATTCAAGTGGTTGGAACCGAAAGAGTTCATCGATCGTCTGTACAGAAACCAGGACGGCTCATCAGAAAATCGTGATTTGGGAGAAGGAGGATCAAGAAGGCCAGCATCGAACGCGATGGTCGACGCTTTGTCACTTCTTAGTCAAGAAAGACAGTCGCAAAGCCGAGCAAGTACAGTTCGAGAAGCTACGAACAGATTGGACACCCTGCGAAGCAACTTAGAACGAATTCGGACCGATCTGGAAAATTCGGCAAATCGAGACAATGATCATGCAACGCTGTTGGCTAATAATGTGGAAACACTCGTAAGCATGGGATACAGTGATGATCTTGCTCGTCGAGCACTTGCTCAAACGAGAAATAATCTTACAGAAGCGATTGAATTCTGTTTGTCTGCACCCGCAGATGAAGATGACGAGCTAGCGATGGCGATTCGACTGAGTCTTGGCGAGCCCACGCGTGATCCAGACTTGCCTGCCTTGGAATATGCTTCCTCGGAAGAAGAACCGCCAGTCAATTTAGTTGAGCCTTCTCCTCCTCGAGAGCTTACTTCGTTTGATAAGTTGAAAAAACTAAATAGTGAAAACGTCGCACGATTTGCTGCACTCTTGGCTTGTGGAGACTACATGCAATCTTTGGAAAGAAAAGACTCGCCCTACATCGAGCCTGCCGAAGTGCGAGCTTTCTCGGAAAATATGACAAGCGGCTGCTTCCAAATGCTCGAAGATGATCCAAAAGCGGTTTATTCTGTTTCTGATCTCTTGATCGCCACCATGCGTCGAAGCGACAAGTCGTGGACTCAGCAAGCAATCACAGACATAGTTTCAAAGATCAACCTCACGGCCAAGGATGTGCTGGAAAAGCAAAACTGCGTTCAAAAGACGGTTGAAAAATCATCTGATCCAGGGCTGGCAAATTAGGGTCCTAACAGCCGCACTACCGAAAAATTGTTAGGGTTCTAACTCAAAATTAGTGCGAATTAGTGCGGCATCCCCGTCCTACCCGTCCTATTTTTTTCCTTGATATTTTTTCGTCTATTAGGACTGAATCGCCGCCCTAACCGTACTAATTATGAGGCTCTTTTTCATCATCCAATCGGCGCGCGCTTACCACCAGGCGCGGAGGACAAATTGGTGGAAGATTGAAAAAAGAATGGAGCTGATTGGATGAGAAAAACGAATGACCCGCCATGATTGGCGCACCAATAAGCGCGCGCCTCTTTTAGGACGATTTTAGTGCGGCTTTTTCCAACTCGTACTAATCGCACTAAAAAGTTATAAAATGAGAGTTAGGGTTCTAACAATAGGGTTCTAACTCAAATTAGTGCGGCTGGCGGGACCCTAATTTGCCAGCCCTGATCTGATCCAAATTTTTCGAAGGGTCTGCTGACATCGCTCAGGGACAGTGGTTTCGATCCAGGCCAGTTGCGAAAAGCCTCGCAAGATCTTTCAACAGGCCTGTTGCTTCTTACTTTATTGTTTGATGAAGCAAAGATGAACTGTGCTAAAGCAATCGATGATAACAAGCTTATGGACACGATTGTCGAGCTTTTAACGATGGCAAAAGGCCTTATCGATGGAGTGTGCCAGGAGGAAGTTCCAAAATGGGTCTCCTCTAGTCTTCTTCTTGCCGATCTTTATCAAAAGATCTCTCTTGCTGATGAGCGCCGTAAACAACTGGACCTGATCTACTCCAATCAAAAAATCGTATGGAAGTACTACGAAGAACGGGAGAAACGATGGAAGGCGTACACTGACGATGAAAATAACAAGATCACGAAGGCGTACGAAAAAGGCGATACTTCCTGCAGACTTATTGGAAGGCGAAAGTATTTCATTTGCTTTAGTCGAATGATTCAACAAAGCGATGAGACTCCAAGTAAGAAACCAATCATGCGCTTCTACAGCGGTGCAAAAAAGGATGATAAAGCGATGGATGCATCACCAAAAGCCACCCTTGAAGCTCTTGCTCAAGATAGTGTGAAACTGACTGACGATCAGGCGCAGCATCTTATTGATTGCTGTGTGGCACTCTGTACAAGACAAAATACCGATTCAGACACTATCCATTCAAGTCTTCGAATTATTCTCCGAGTGACAAAGAAGCACTCTTTGGCTCTTTTCTTTGCCGAACGAGGAGGCCTTGAAATGATGTTCAAACTGAATCAAAATCAAGGCTTCTCAGGATTCTACTCTATCGCTTCTCTGCTAATTCGGCACTTGCTGGAGTCGCCAGCGATCCTGAAAGCTTGCTTCCGAAAGACAGTCGCTCTTTTCGCTACAACCAGCAGTGCCCAAGCAAGTCTTGGCGTGCATGATCGCGCAACTTCTTCACGAAGTTCTCACCGAGAAATAAATTTGATGCTTCGTCAGCTGAGTCCGGTTGCTTGTAGAAATCCGGACCTCTTTATCGAAGTTGTCCAAAAGCAACTGAAGATCAATATTCGAAATTATCATGGCGGAAAAGACATTTCAAACGTCAGTGCAGATACTGCTCGAGACGCATTCTTGAATAGCAAAGACAACGAGAAAGAAAACATTAAGAAAAATCCAGCGCCGGAGCTCACGAACATTCTCCAATTTCTCATAAACAAACTAGGCACTTTTTCGGAAGAGAAGGACAAGGAAATGGAAGATGAGCCACAACAACAGCCAAAACCACAGCCGCTGCTATCCCAAAGTTTGCTTTTGCGAATTCTTGCTGAAGTCATCAGCTCATATCCAGCTTGTGCTAGTGCTCTCTGCAAACTGAAAATTGCTTGCGTCGATTCAAATCTAATGGAGTTCATCATTGACAAGCTTTTACTTCACAAAGGAGAAACGACCCCAGATAATCTTTGTCTGAATCTTCTCGCTTGCTTCGCAGCCTGTGACCATGCGAAAGTCAAGAACACTTTTATCGCAGAATTGAAGAATGGCCTTGCTAGAATTGTAAAGCAGCCCGAATCGTCGCAAAAGCACCATCATCTTCGCGCGATTGTAGAGTTGGTCCTCGTTGCTATCAAGCGAAACAGCCCTCCTCAAAAGGATGACTCTTTGCGTGGTATCAGAAGTATCCCCGACAAAGATATTAACTCGCTCTCTATAACTATGGTGAAGCGTGGGGTTGCACAAGATCTTGCCAGGACTATACATACCTTAGATCTTTCCAGTCCTCATCTTTCTGTCACGATAAACATCATCTTCAGGGCACTCGAAACGCTTTCTAAAGTCACAGGAATCGCCATCAATATCAAGAGTGATTCAAGCTCAAAGAAGTCTAAAAATGGAGTTGCAACTACTTCTGCTAATGCGAATGATCTTAGCCCAGCAGACAACAGTCCTCTTGGAGCACCATCATCATCTCATGTTCTTGAAGACTTCCCGGAATTGATCGCGGCTGAGCGCGAAATGCGACAACAAGCCAATGAAGCTCTTATGAACATTATTGCTAACGAAGAGCGAATCCATGAGTCGAGAAGAAATCGGCAAATGCTTATTGATGCAATGCCACCTCCTTCAAATCCTGATCGCCGAGATGACAACGATCAAGGGTCAAATATGGAATACGAAGATGAGCAAAGTCAAGAAGAATCGGTCGAAGCTGAAAATGAAACTGAGCCTGAGGATCTACCTGAGCTCCAGGACCTCTATCAAGCCGATGCTAATATGCACGATGATCACGATCATGGTGAAGAGGAGGATGAGGATGAAGACGGGGGTGAAGACGTTGATGACGATGAAGATGAAGACGACGATGATGATGATGAAGATCGGGGTGACGGTCGCAACTACACCGAGAATGATTACCTCCTTCCCGAAGGCGTCGGCATGGATCCACCAACTGAGGACATGGAAGAGGACATGAATCGCAGTGACGATGAAGAAGAAGACGATGACGACGACGAAGAGTCCATCGAGTTTCCTATTCCCGGCGAATCAGGTCACTATGAAGGCGAAACCTACGAAATTCTTGATCCTTTTAATCACAGAGACATGATCCCCGGTATTGTTCCAATGGATCTTATGCCTCGTCGAGGACTTGAGCGTTTCATGGACCGGCCTACTATGGAGAATTTTAGCGATACTTTCGTTAACTCCTGGGGTCGCGGGCGAGATCATATCCCCTTCGGTGGTCGATTCCGCCACAGAGCAATCCGCACCCGAGGCGCAAGCTCAACGAGTAACCAGCCCCCACCGCCGGACAATTCATCTCGAAATCTTCTTCAGCCACTCAACCCAACTCATCCTCTTCTAAGCCGAGTCGGAACTGGAAGCAATTCAAGCGCAACTCAACGCAATTCCACGTCAAGTGCGCGCGACTACGTCTTGTCTTATTCAGGTCGAAACTGGGAAAGTTTAGGAAATCAGGTCTACCCATATTACTTCCATCGTCATCGACTTCGACCGCAGAATATTTACAACAGCCCAGGAACCTTCTTTAGTCGTGATCTATCCAGAAGTGCTAACAACTCGCTACCATTTTCTAGTGCTCAAATGAACATAAATGATTTACTACCTGATCATATGGCAATCTCCAGATCGTCGCGACATTCCGATGAGAGACTCGGAGAAACGGAAGTAACATTCCCATCCGCGTTTTATCGATGGGCCGAAGAGGCGACAGTTCTCGACGGGGAAAGTATTCACAATGTTGTACTGATTGTAAGAAACGACATTATGCCAGTTCTTGAAGAGCGCTGTAAGAAAGATCTTGAGGAAGCCGAGAAAGCTCGTAAGATACGCGAAGAAGAGCGACAGAAAGCTGAAAAGAAAAAGAAAGAGGAGGCGGAGAAGAAAAACAAGAAGAATTGAAAAAGAAGGCTGCTGAAGAAGCAGAAGAAGCCGAAAAGAGAGCAAAAGAAGAGTCGGAAAATGCAGAAAAGCAAGATGAGCCGAAGACCGAGCCAGAAAATCCAACAGCGGAGCAGCAACCCAGTGCAACCGGGCCAAATCCAAATGCATCATTCGCTGAGATTCTCAACTCTACTGGTGACCTCGCTAATCTGGACACAAGTGCTGGTGATATTCCTCAAGAATTCACTGAAGCTATCCAGGCTGCCTCCCAAGAAGCAGCTGCTTCTCAGGGGGCAACTTCTCAAAGTAACACTGCTCCCGCTGAAACTGATGCTACGTCCCAACCAGTCGATATTGCACCAACAACTGCTGTTTCAGCTCCGGAGACACGATCAATCAACCCCTGGCAGGAAATGGATCCCGCTATCCTCAACGAATTGCCCGAAGAAGTTCGACGTGAAGTTTACGCAAGCGTTCTAGATAATGTCCGCCGAGAAACATCGACTGCAGTGGAGTCGACTACTCTTGATCCTATCAACGAAGAGTTCTTGAATGCTTTACCTGCAAATATTCGTCACGAAGTACAAGCTGCTCATGAGCGCGTCAACTCTGATCTGAGCGAAAGAGCCGCTCGTGTTGGAGCACAAGCGACAGCGCAGAGCTCCTCTGGGGCCACAGGTGGCGATGGTAATATCGAAGAGTGGATTCGAACACTACCTCAGGATCTCCGTCGAACCATTTTGACGGATATGGCCGAAGAAAACGTCGCCGCGCTGCCTGAAGATCTTCAAACTGAAGCTCGTACTCTTCAACAGCGAACACTTCGAGGCATCAATGCGTTGGAAAGTTACCGTCGCAGAACTATCCGTCCTTCTAATTTCACTGGCAGAGCGAATTACCTCGGTCGATATGAATCGCGCCGTGGTACTGATTCTGACACAAGATCAAGCGAGAAAAAGACCATTCCTCATCTGTCACCAAAGTACATGATCGACGCCGAAAGTCTATCCTGCATCCTCGCAGTACTTTTTGTCAACGACAACGGAATCCAGCAGCGAAAGCTGCACATGATTCTCAAGAATTTCGCCATGCACGGGTCGACCTGTAACTGGCTCATCACTTCTCTGCTAGATATTATTCACAGAACGACCAACACCTCTTCAAACGCCCAAGATAAGTCTTACATTGTGCCCAATTGGCTGAGCCTCAAGCTCGAAGCCTCCCTCGGCGCCCGCCATAGTGTCTTCCAAATCAAGAATGATCAGCTCGAGATCCACCCTCAAGCTGCCTCGTACATTTGCAGATCGGTTATCGAATCGCTCACTTACCTAGCCAAGTGGAATACCAAGTTCTTCAATGCTTCACCATGCCACACTCAGTCAACGGTGCCTCCTTTCTGGGATTTATTGTTCAAGCTCGAGAAAGACAGTTCATCTGTAAGTCATCCTATCTTTATTCTTGTTCGTAACCAACTTTTGTAGAGCAATTTCGGAAAGAAAGCAGACCCTCAGTGCCAGCTACACACATCCGATAACGACGTTCAAGCCGTAAAATCCCTCGAGCAGCTGAACAAATCCGTCTTTGCCTCTCTTCTACGTATGCTCAATCACCCTGTTATCAACGAAAGCAAGTCTCTTCTTGATAAAACTCTCACGCTCATCTCAATCGTTGCCATCGACCTTCCAGTCATCAATGGTGGCCAAGAAAAAATCTTCCAGAATGAAATTTCAAATTTGGTGAGTATTCTTGGTCGTGTTTCTTCAGAGGAAGGAACTCATGAATGCACCCAAATTTTGCTGGAATTGTCGCGATGCCACATCAGCTTTAGAATTCAAGTTCTGGACGAGCTTATCGCCGGTGCTTCAGTGTTCGGGAAGAAGCTCGAGGGACAACTCCGACAGCTTCTGACGGAGCTGAAAGCCAAAACAAAGGAAGAGCGCGAAGCAAGCAACAAAAACGAACTCATAGTTCCAGCAATGCAGAAGCTTACCTCTAAAAACTCAATTCAAGGTAAATTTGTAACTCAAAAATATATCAATATCTCCCGTCCTAGCTTCATTCTTGCGTTTGCTCAAGATCATCGAAGAGCTTCGACGATCAGACTTTGGCAATAAATCTAGCGGATCTATGCGAGGAAGTCTCAACTGGCGAGAAAACGGCCAGCGAGGAAGTCGGTCAAGAGGGCGCGATGCATATTCTTGGCTTCACCGCGGCATGCAAAGTTCCCGTTTCCACTTTGATGAGACCCTGAATGATGTGATTCACGGTATGTATACTCCGAATATGCTTAGAGGTTAGTCCAGGTATAATTTGAATTCAATATTATATCTCATTTATTAACATTTATCTCGATTTTTAATATTGACTATTCAATATTCGTATCGAGCTTGATTGTGGGTGATTTTCCCGGCGCATGAGAGATGGAGTGTAATTCTCTTGATTTTGTAGCGGCCATCTCGCGGAATCGCCCCGACACTGCCGAAACGATCATTGATGTTATGGAACGTCAACTTTCAGGGCGAGGAGGAATACAAGATGTTGGCGTTTTACTCCCACGTTTCATGCGAAGCGGTAGCGGCAGTGTGACTTTGCGCGATAATGAACCTCGAAGTGGTTCGGCTAGCGGAACTCAAAGGCCTTCTACGAACGATGCGGAGGAGAGTGCGAAGAATGCGAAATTGAAGCAGGCGAAGGAAGAAAGTGAAAAACTCAAGAAAGAAGCTGCATGCTTGAACGAGTATTTGGCGGACTTGCTCAACTTATCAGAATTGTGGCAAATTCTTTCTGACTCACTCGGTAACATCAAACATAAAACATTAGTTTCTTAAAATTTAGGTGAACTTGATGTCAACAAGGACAGCCACACATTCATGGTTCTCCAGCCAGCAGTCGAGGCATTCTTCATGGTCCATGCGACTTCAACGGAAACTGAATCTGAGAAGAAAGAGACGAAGCAAGAAATGCTCGCGCATATTGAAAAGATCGCGCCTCTTCCTGAATCTCCAGGGGAAGAGAAAGAGGATGAGTCGACTTCGGAGCAGAATAAGTACAAGAACTTGCCTCAAAATACTGTCAAGTTCTTGCAATTTGCTGAGAAACACAAGGTATGAAAAAATAATGAGCTAAGATTTTACTCAATCTTCAGGCGGTTCTCAATCAAATTCTTCGACAATCGAGTACTCAGCTGGTCGATGGACCATTTTCTGTTCTCACGAAGCATATTCGACTGTTGGACTTCGACATCAAGCGTCGCTACTTCCGAAAAGAACTTGACAAGATCAAGGAGAATACTCCCCGAGGCGACACTGCGATCCACGTCAATCGAGAGACAATCTTCGATGACTCATTCAGAGAGCTTCACAGAAAGAAGCCGGAAGATTGGAAGGGCAAGCTCTACATTGTGTTCAACAATGAAGAAGGGCAGGATGCTGGTGGCTTGTTGAGAGAATGGTACAATTGAAATAATTTAACTTCTTTTAAATTTATTTAGGTTCCTGGTGATTTCAAGGCAGATGTTCAACCCGAACTACGCTCTATTCGCTCAAGCGGCTAACGACCGTGTAACTTACAGAATCAACCCTTATTCTGATGTTAACCCAACTGACAAGCTGTAAGTGAATTCGAAAAGTACTCTCCCTTGACTTCATTCCTAGTTATTTCAACTTTGTTGGTCACGTGGTTGCAAAGGCGATTCTCGATAACAAGCTGCTCGAATGCTACTTCACCAGAGCATTCTACAAGCACATGTTGGGCGTTACAGTCACATACAAGGATATGGAAGCTGAAGATTTGGAACTTTACCGCTCGTTGCTGTTCCTTATCAACAATCCTGTTGCTGATCTTGGCTATGAGGTGATTCTTTCGACTGATATTTCTTTTTAACAAATTCATAGATAACCTTTTCAATGGATTTCGAACGATTTGGAAAGACGGAAACGATTGACTTGAAGGAAAACGGCAGGAACGTTCCTGTAACGGATGAGAACAAACTTGAATACGTACATCTTATTTGCCAGGAGAAGATGGTTGGTTCGGTGAAGAATCAGGTTAGAAAAGAGCATCCTGGTAATCGTTAACTCGGTTATTTTATAGCTGCGAGCGTTCTTGGAAGGATTTTACGATATCATCCCCCGCAGATTGATATCGATCTTCGACGAGCACGAATTGGAACTGCTGATTTCTGGCCTTCCTACAATCGACATTGACGATTTGAAGGCCAACACGGAGTACCAAAAGTACAACGCGAACTCGCTTCAAATTCAGGTATGAATTATTCAATTAGTTGAGTCCCTAAACTCTGCTTTAGTGGTTCTGGCGCGCATTGAAGAGTTTCAACCAGGAGGAACGAGCCAAGTTCCTTCAATTTGTTACTGGAACATCCAAGGTTCCGCTGCGTGGATTTGCCAATCTTGAAGGTAATCATCGCTTCTTTTATATTCATTTTTTACAATATTTGAAAAGGTATGAACGGAACTCAAAAGTTCCAAATCCATCGAGACGAGCGGTCCACTTCACGACTTCCATGTGCGCACACATGTTTCAATCAACTTGACCTGCCAGTGTACGAGACTTATGAAAAACTCCGTACCCAAATGCTAAAAGGTAGCTAATCTTTCCTACTTCAGACAGTAACAATCCATTTCTAGCTATTACAGAAAGTAGCGAAGGTTTTGGACTTGCGTAAGCACAAGCTGCTCGCTTCCTTCTCACCCTTTTCTTCACTCCCACCACGAGACAGAACCTTCTCATATCCTGCTAGCTTTTTGCATGTTCAACTCCTACAGATAACACACGAATAAACACAGTTATTATACAAATAAACTCAGCATTAGTTTCAACCATTCTTTTAACTTGAAAGTTTGAAACTCATATAATAACCCCTATTTTACACCCATCCTGTCCCATCTGGAGCCCGATAATTGCATAAATTATGCTGCATAACTTTCTGCCATGATGCATAAATGCTTCATAAATCATCACAAATGCTTTCGGTTTATGTTTTTTTATTCAGTAATGTTGCGATTTTTCATTGCAGCGAGGAGGTACTTGAATCCAGTTTTCATCAGTTTTTCTTGCATTTCGACTTCTTCAGTCAGATCCTAAGAATTCTTATTACATTTGTAATTGAAGGATTTTAATTTATTTTTCCCTGAAAAAAAAAAATAAAAAAAAGAAGTCCTTTTCAAACGCTCCTGTTCATGAATGATTATGGACTTACGCAAACTCGCTGAAGAAGATGGAAGATGAGAACGCCAAAGAAGCCAATGATGGCGCCAACGAAGAACATCAAGACCTGGTTAGTTCGGCTGTTGCGTTGGATCTTCTCCAAGATTTGATCTTCGTTAAAAGTTTGAATCTTCATAGTTTTAAATAGAGTTTTACGATATGATTTTTGGCAGTCGATCATGTCATTGATGACCGGAGACTCTAATTATTGTTGCCGAGAAAATTCACTATCATAACGTAAAACTCTGTTTTTATTCAAAAATTCTCAAATTGATCGTCTGTTCTTTCCAAGATTCGCGACTTCTGTCGTCTGGCGTTCGTTTTCCGAAAATGTTAAAGTCTTCTAGAGCTGAGATCTTTTTTTCTCGAAATTTGTGTTTCATCTTTCTAGACCAGCTTTCTTTATTTGAAAAGACGCAAAATTGGTGGCAGTTCCAAATTCTTGAAACTCAGAACTTGAACTCAACTTGAATTTTTCTAACGAAATGGATGAGAAAGACAAAGCCCTGGTCGGTATCGTTCATCGCCGTCAGTCGAAGAAGCCTGAGCCCTTTCAGGTACGTTTCCCTCTCTTTTTACGAATTCTCCAAGATGACTACAAGCAGAAATATGACGTTAGAGTCTTACAGTAACACTTATTTCAGGTAAAACATGCGCCTGTAAAAAAAAGAAAGCGCAAGTATCAGCGGAAGAGCTTAGCGAACCAAACTGAGCAGCAGCCTGCACCGATCCCGCCCCCGACTAAGATTATCGTAAGTATATGCACGGTAAATTTGAAAAAAAAATCCTTTAGAAGCGAACGAAGCCTGCTGCTCCCAAAAAAATCAAACCGGAGATAATTGATCTCACGAAAGAAACACAACCATCAGAAAGAGCTCTGCGAATGGTAGTTAACGAGTTTCTGAACATGAAGACAGTGTGGAAGATGACAGTGGTTCACGTAAGTTTTACGAAATTTATGAATCAAACTCAATCATCGTTTTAGCTGCGAATCCTCATCACAATGAGATACCCCGAACTCGACGAAAAGGAGGTGCACTTCGACAAGCGGTGGAGAAAATGGGTCAAGGATGAACTCGAAGTTCGATTGAAGCGTTTCATTCCTCCTTCTGCTCATCAGGATTAAACTGACCATCGTTAGAACCACTGTCATAATAAAGGGCATCCGAAAAAAATCCTTGAAATTTGAAGTTGAGTCTCATCTTTCTGATTATTGAAGACTAGTCCAACGGAAGCTCATAAAAGAGTTTTCAATTAGAAAAGTAACTTTGAGGAGTTACCAATAAAAACATTCGAAGCATAACGACTCGGAACTCCATAGTTTTTATGGCCTCATCAAATTTAGGTTGATAACTTATCGACCTAGATTTCGGCGGCGGCTCCAATCCAATTTTTCATAAGATTATCTCATTTACGATCTCCAGCTGGCGGCCAAAATCGCCATAGCAATCGGTTACGAGATGGCGCTCGAAAAATGACCCTATAAAAAAACCTTTCTCATAAATCTTCAACCTTCGAATCCTCAGTTGAGAAATGTCGTCTTTAGCCGACCTAGAGGCGAGAATAGAGAATGACGAACAGAACCTCAACCAATTTTTCCTGCTCCTCATGGGTGCGATCGTGATGCTGATGCAATCTGGCTTTGCATTTTTGGAAGCTGGATCCGTACGAGCAAAGAATGTGGTCAACATTTTGGTCAAGAATGTCCTCGATTGCTGTAAGTACAAATCGAAGTTATAAACACTAACCGGCTTTACAGTCATCGGTGCACTTATCTACTGGGCTTTTGGATACGCCTTTGCTTACGGTGATGTTTCTGCGGACCATCCTTCTGCTGGTGCCAATAGATTCATCGGGTTCAAATACTTTTTCTCGTAAGTTCGATTCGTTATATTCTCCGTTCATGCATTAATTCAGCATCGATATTGATGATGGAACTGGCTTCTTCGCCACGTGGTTCTTCCAATTCGTCTTTGCGGCTACTGCGGCTACGATCGTCTCTGGCGCAGTTGCTGAGCGATGCCAGTTCGGTGCTTACATGATCTACAGTACTTTCATTACAGGCTTCATCTATCCCGTCGTGACCCATTGGACTTGGTCGGGAACCGGATGGCTTCAAAATCAGCTCATCGAGAGCATGCACCGTCACACTTACGACGCTGACGGAAAACTTGTTTACGACGTTGATAATCCCGTTGGCTTCGTTGACTTTGCCGGCTCAGCAATCGTTCACTGTACTGGCGGCATTGCCGCATTTATGGGTGCTTGGGTGATTGGCCCGCGAATTGGACGATTTGATAAGGAGGATAGCACCATGCCTGGTCATTCAACTCCTTTCGCCGCTCTCGGTGCCTTCATTCTTTTCCTCGGCTTCCTCGCTTTCAACGGTGGTTCTGAGCTTGCGATTGTTGGAGGAGACCATGCAGTCGTCGTTGCCGCCGCCTTTGTCAATACCATTATTGGCGGTGCAGCAGGAGCCATCTTCGCCGTCACTATCAACTATGTCGTTGCCTGGATCAAGGGCGAGCCTCGTTACTGGTCCCTTCTCGTCACCATCAATGGTGGACTTGCTGGAATGGTTGCCATGTGCGCCGGCTGTAATGTTCTTCACCAAGGAGCTGCTTTTGGACTTGGCGCTATGGGTGGCATCACTTTGATGTGGTTTTCGTGGGCGATGAAAAAATTGAAAATTGATGATCCTCTTGATGCATTTGCCGTTCACTTTGGCGGTGGTATCGTTGGTATTCTCGCCACACCGGTGTTTATGAACGGTGGAGTCGTGCATTGGAAGAATTGTGCTGACCAAAAAGATGCCTACAGGTAAAACTAACTTTCATATGAAATTTCTAATTCAATTTCTAGCGCTGCTTTCCCAGCCGTGACCAATCCTGACGCCGAAGGATACTTTTCCTGTGATCACTTTGAATACAAAGTCTTTGCCTGGAACCTCGCTGGATTCTTGGCCATCACACTTTGGGCCGGCGGCCTCTCTTTCCTCACTTTCTACTCTCTCAAACTGCTTGGCATTCTTCGAGTGCCAAAAGAAGACGAAATCAAAGGTCTTGATGTTGGCAAGCACGGTGAGCCAGCCTACCCGATTGAAGCTTACCTTGATGGTCAAATTCCCAACGTCCCAAAATTCGCCGAAGATATGGCTCTGGCGCAACGAAGAGCAGATTGAAAATTTCAATTATACTTTCGTTGATTCCGCATGTTTCAGTAAATTAAATTGATGAATTGGAAATAAATTGAGAAATACATGAGTGCAGCGTTTTTTCATCAGTTTTGCGGCTGAAAACTTAATCTTGCGTCCAAGTTTATTGTTATGCAAGCTTCTGTACAGGATTGAATCTTTAAAAAGCAATATTGCCGCTCTCCTTGAGAAAGTCCTTCTAATTAGTTGCTGAGATTTCATTGCTTTTACTCGAACTAGAGAGAAAAATGGCCTTTTTACGCCTTTCTGTTATTCAGCCTTCTTTTTAAATGCATTTTATAGTAAGAATATTTATAAGTAATATTGAAAAACTCATTTTATTTTTAACTTTAGTTGAACTTTTGACCTTAGACCCCCACATCTATTCATTAATGTGAATTATGCATTTGAATTCTGAATCGTTATATTATGATCACAGGCGTAATTTAATATTCTAACTCCGATAATTAATTCTCGCTTCCTCGCCTGGCGTATAAAATCAGGCGTTAGCCTAATTAATATATATTTTCGAGGACAAGAAAAAGATATGCCGATGCTGCTATTTGGGAAATTTCGAAAATTGATCTGGAGTGGGCAGTCGCATGAGAGAGGGCCAAATTATGGAAAAGAACTCACTTCACGTGGTAAGAACTTATTATTCGGTAACTCAGTTTGGCAGAGGATAAGTTTATTGACCAATGCTAATTATAGCCTATTAGCCTCATGATAACCTTATTTGTGCACGCATTGTTCTCAGAAGAGGTTCAAAACCTCGAAATTATACAACCAATACTCATCGTAGGAAGAAAGAGACAGAGAGTTAAATATGCGAGCTTTATTACGAAAAGATTCCATTGGCATTCGCAGATTGTCAACTTGGGGCATTCAAGCAGTAAAAAGTATGTAAGACAAGACCATAAGGAGACAATATTTTTATTTATGGCCGAAGTCATTCTAACTGTCGATTGGCTTTTTACAATTCTTTTTATCATTATTGTTGTCTTTCTCAGACAAAAATCAACGGATTTTAAGTGCCTGATGGCAACAAAATATCGAAAGAAATGTCGTCTGCTTTATGTATAACGGTTTTAATGTAAATTCAAAAAGGCAGAAGGGCAGATCTCAGAACCGGCCCGATACTCGCCACTTTATTCTCTAAGAGGCCTCTTTTTTTCAAATGAAAAATTAACCGCAAGAAAAGAACTGCCATGACTTAATTATCTTTTGCAAACAAAATGTTTATACGTATGTGTATGTTCAATTTCTGCGGTTTTTGGCCTCCGATAAAGTTCGCGGTTTCAGCCAGTCAATTTATTTGGTGGTTGCGAGTATAAAAACTCTTTTTTTTTTAATTTTTTTGCTGAGAGGAGTACTGAAGAAAAGAGGATGATTGAGCTTGAAGGAGGTAAAATGAGCTAACCAATAAAATAAATCAACAAGCACCAAGCAAAAACGCAGCGTTTTGCCGTAGCCGGACAATCTGTCACTCAGTCAGAATATGCTGCATAATCATTTATTTACAAAATATTTATGAGGCTTTCATTGAAAGTGGAACCCTCTCTGTATTTCTGTGACCAATAATCATTTTTTACCAAAAAAATCTTTTGTATTTTTCGACTTGAGAGAGCGGGTTTAAGTTTACTATCTTTCTGCTCATTGAGTTTGAATTTTTAATGGGCTCAATACTGTCGCTCCCGGAGATACTCCCGGATGATAGTATGAGCTTGTTCTGTGACATTCTCTGAATAGAAAATAATTTAATTTTTGAAAAACCCTATTTGAAAAAAATGGTGAAAGCGGAGATTTACAACAATGTTATTATCACCAAGGACCAGTCTTGAAATTTTTGATTCGTTCATCGAAATCAAGGAAGAGTCGATTTTCGAACTGAAAGGCAGCCACTAGAGTTGGCTCAAGAAGCCGCAAATATGCAAAAGAAACAGAGGCCAGCAAAAAGCAAGTGTATTTAATATTAATATTCATGCAATTCTATTCCTTGATTTTAAAGATCAAACATCTTGGTTCATCAGCTGACTCAATTTCTTGACGTTTCAAAAACTTGAAGCTCAAAAACTTCCTTTTTTGATAAAAGAGACTTGGTCAAAAGCTTATTATATTAGAGATAATTTGTTAATAATTATCCAAAAGGATAGCAGACGGTATGACAAGAATTTTCAATCAGATTTCTTCATATAAAATCATTGACACTTCGAAGTATCAAGATTGTCTCCTCTACCTGTTCACGAGTTAAAATTCATTTGAACTGAAAATTTAATCAAGGAACAGACTACAGTGTATTACTTTTCCGAACAGAATGTCCTCAGATGCTTTAATTATTTTTTCTCAATTTACTTCCCCAAGTCCGCTAGTCAAAGAAACGCTTTTGCATAAACAATCGCATAATATTTTCGCTTTTTCGCTTCATTTTTCCATCAAAAGAATTTATTCGCATTAATTTGCAACTAATCAGAAACTGGGCTAATTGATTCGAAGAAGAAAGAGAGAGAAGGAAAATGACTTTTGTTTTAGTAGAGAATAAAGGCAACATGGACAAGAAGGCATTTTTGCTTTTACTTGGATACATCGGATACTTGTTTCTTGGAGCAGCAGTTTTTCTTCACCTGGAAAAGTCAATACAGGTATGTGGAATATTCCAAGTGAAGAAGTTTTTTTTAACTAAAATCTAGGTTAACAAAAATCTGTTAGCTGTCATCCCTATTTGTTTTTCTGCCACACAGCAGATGGCTGACATGATTATTGAAAACCTTCTCCTCAGTTTTGTTTAGGAAGAAGACTGTAAATATGCAAATACAACGCTTCAAATGGAAATCATGGACTTTGGAAACCAATACTTTTACGACCTTGGTCTGAATCGAAAATTATGCAAGGGGATCAACCGTTTAGATGAACTCTACGCTACCGCCAGCGACCACAGCCACAAGTAAGATACAAGTCCTACCCGATTTGGGTATAATTAATTCAATTTTAAAGAGAGCAAGTGACCGAGCTCTTTACTATGTGGGCTGAGGACGATTGCTCGGAAGAACGATACACGCACGTGTTAGGCGAGGTTAAATCAGTTCAATTACAGTTATGAATAATTCAAGCAGGCAAATACTGTTTTTATGCTGAGCAAAGTTGTTTAACCGGTGGTAAAGCAAGGCTCACAAAAGAAGCAGAAAACAACACGGCCTTTCAAGATGAATTTAGAGAAGTTTACGGAGAGCTGATAAAATTCGCTGGCTTTGAGAGTTTTGACGAGGAACATCTGAACATAACTGGCGCTGTTTTCAGGTGAGTCCTTATCAGAGGTAAATATTTTTAACGCCTGATTATTACGCTCCCCCAAAGAGCACCTGCTTTGACTCCATAAAAAGGATCTTGCAAAGCTAGAAAAGAAAAAAAAAACATATTTTTTGATAATTTTAAAATGTTTCAAATGATAGTTCAAACTGTTTAAGAAAGTCCTCGGTTTTCTTAATAAATTATAATAAAAAAGGCAATCATTAAAATACTGAGTAAATACTCTTTTGTAGAAATTTGATGAGCAGAGGAGTTGGCATTGTCACAGAAAATTACTTCACATTGATCGAGTCCTGCGCAGAAAAGTGGACATTTCATTCAGGAAAACAGGGTCAACAGTTTGTCTATAAATACTTAATCAGCGCCAAAGTCAAATTATGACCCAGTAACCAGCTTTTTTCTTTGCTGGGACAGTTGCAACGACGATCGGGTATGGCCAGCTCGTTCCAACGACCGACGAGAGTCGCATATTTTGCATCGTCTTCGCCGCCATTGGAATTCCATACTTTGCCTACATGACTTCTGTCATCTCGCAATCAATTAATAATGGACTGGACCGATTGACAAAGAAATTTGGTGTCACGGTAAATAATTAAATCCAATCGAGTTTTATTGGCTTTTTAGACATCTAGATTAATTTATGTTCTTGGGGGCATTTCGGTGCTTGTTGTTATTCCAGTTGTTGGTTTTGTAAGAATAGAAGGTAAAGAAAGATAGCATAGATCTTGATTGAACCCGCATTAAACTTTCAGAGTGGACGCTTGTAGAAGCTGTTTATTTTTCTCTGATTTCCTTGTCGACCATCGGGTTCGGCGATTTGGTCCCCCGGGAAGAACCACCGACAAAGTACGGTATGTATTGGCGAAAGTGGCCTTGTGAAGCTTAATTATTTTGTGTTTTGGCTAGGGATGGAGTTGGAAGGGTGTAAAGACCAGTAATTAGAACTACAGTAGTGTAACCACTCTGAGTTATAAATTCATATAGGACAAAAAAGTAGAAATAAAAAAGTAATTGCATTTATAGAAGATTAATATGAAAAAGTTCAATCTTTTTAACCTGCAATTTTTACCCCGGGAAACTGGCATGATTCGTAGTTCACGTCTAAAATTCCCTCGAAAACCGCCTAATTAGCAACCTTTTTAGCGACCCACATAAATAATGTCACTGCCTGTTACGACACGCTCACAAACCCGATCCCTCGGAGTTCTCGTCACGTTGATCCTAGCCAAGGAGACTGCAAACCGGTTAGTATCTATTCCTCTGACCCAGATCTTTGATAGTTTATTAGAGCGTAAGGAGATGTTTCTTGAGGGGTATTTCTGATTCAATATCCGCTTTCATATTTTATCAGCCCTATTTCTTGAGTAAAAAGAAATTTGGATGAAGCATTATTATTTTAATCAATATTTAATGCATTTTTCCTTATTTTTACCAATTTTTACTTCGCTTTTTGTGAGGGTTTTTTTGAAGGGACTAAAGTTCATTTGCAGAATGTGTATCCGGAATCGGTAGAATTAGTCTTTGATGTTTACCGAGTTTGCGTATTCTTTTGGATTCTGACTGGATTGACGTGGCTTGGTGGCATCATCCAAATGGTTTGGTACGCAGAGCAACTTTATAGATGCATTATCGGATAATTATTCATTTAGTTCGTTGGTTTCGAATTCGAGAAAAAACGAGTCGCAGGCCAGGGATCTAAATTTTTGCCGAAAATCAATTGCGATTGCGATGCGATTGCGACGCAAAATAGTCCGGAAATTGCAATGCGATTGCGATTTTTTTCGCAAATTGCGAATTTTTCGCGAATTGCGATTTTGTCGCCATTTGCGAAATTTTAGCGTAAAAAGTAATTTTTCAAAGGATTTAAGACTATTTTTTGAGGTCAGGCTTACAATTAAGCCTTTAGAACACAGAAAATAGGCTCTGAGTCAAAGAAAACCCATGTCAGAATAACGAAGGAGCATTTTGACAAGACCAAAGTTCGCAAAAAAATCGCAATTTGCGAATTATTGACGAAAACTGAGTTGCGATTGCGATGCGATTGCGATTCGATCAAAAAATAATTTGCGATTGCGAATTTTCTGCGAAATTTCGCATCGCAATCGCAAAATATTCGCAAATTGCGATTTTCGCGAAAAAATTTAGATCCCTGTCGCAGGCTGTATCCATGACGGAGAGCTTTCTCGTCACTGGCGGAGAAACGGAGAAAGGTCACGGGTTGTTGAAATTCTGAGCTAAAGAAATCTCCAATTTTATATCCATATTTTATCTAACTGATGAATTTCCAATCTGGCTCAGTGCCTGTTCCGTGCTCTTGCTGCGCTGATTGTATTTATCGCAACCAAAAAGTGCTCAATGGAAAAACCGCTGGCGAAAGCAAACCACCGAAAAATGGCAATGTCACAAAATATATTCAAAATGGAAATTCAAACGGCTCCATTAATCTTAATCTGAGTAAAGGTACAGCCGACGATTCGCGGGTATTGAGTATTTTGTAGCTCATAACAAGAGAGTTTATGATGGACCATATTTTTCTTTTCCGGAGCCGTCTTTCGGTATTTTCGCTTTCTTGAGATCTGGAATTCCAGAGCTAAGTTGTAGCTTATCCTACCTAGTGCTAGCTTAAAATTCGCGAAAGCGCCGAAATCATTAACTGTTCTCTCAGCCATTACCTCTCTCATCATCTAAAAACAACTGTCATCATAACCATCTGTTCTCATAGTGTAAATAACCGAAAAGTTCCAAAACAGAAGAAAGCTAACTCCTGATCAAAAGGTGATTTACCGCTCAAGCCCAAACCCTGCAAGCAAACTTCCGCCGCACCCCACTCTCAAAACTCAAGCAAGCAAAAAAGAAAGAGAAAACTCAAACCAAGATTTTTCTACAGAAAACAGACCTATTCACTTCCAGTTACTCCCGTAAAACACCAGTCGAAATATAATATAAACATTTCGCAAGACATCACTTACCAGGTAAGATGAATAATTGAGAACAAGGATGAGTTCATATTCATATTAAATATCGAAAAACACTAAGTGGTACAAAATATCCTTTCAGCACATCAGTTCACAACCCGAAGGCCACGCAAGAATCGACATTTTGGCCGATAGCGCATCAGAACATCGCCGTCGGCGCTACAAACAACCACCTTTCCGCATAAAATTGTAGACTTCGATATCTCTGTACCTATCATTAATATTGAAAACTGCCAGAATATCAATATATTATTTGTACATTATAAACTGTGGATTGAGGTAATGTTTATTGGCAAAAAGGACGAGTTGACGGTTATTTGATTATTGGCGAGGCAGATAAGAGGCCCTTAATTAGGGTAATTTCGTCACGAGAGAATTATTAAGTATGTCTTCGTCTTCTGTAGGGTTTTCTTCTGCATTTGAATTCTCCTTCATCAAATATATCCCATGTCTTTGAGCTGCCATTGCAGATTAGCGGCTTGCTAATTAGCTCTGAATTTCGCTGGAAAATAAAGCCATTCACGCATTTGACATCGCACATTTCTTCCAGCCCGTTGGAGGACATTCGGCAGTTGAACGAAAGTCGCTCTGCTCGGGCGACTTTGAAATTGGGATTCTGGCACATTCGGCAAGTTCTTTAATGGTAAAATTAAAAAATTATTGAAGTTAATTATTTACCCAAGTTTCCCGGACCAAACTGGACGGTCCCCAATAAGCTTGCACGTGACTTTGACGCGTCCAGCAATAATCATATCGGAATCGTTGCAGATCAATCGGCAGGTATGTCGTTCACACTCGACCCTGCCAGTTTTCGTTGCGCGAGGAGTCGTATTGAATCGCTAAATGGAAATAAAATTATGTCACCTTCTATATTGATGAATTCTTACCGACTCGCATTTGTCATGCCAAGCAAATTTCCATGACGGTTCTTCGATTAGCGTTTCTTCAGCAATGAAGTCTGAGGATGCATCATTTTCCATTGCTTGTGAAAACCCAGCCGGAAGGAGACTCGTAAATTTGGGACAAGGAGGAACGAGACATACCCCCGTCTCGGCAGATGAGCCTGGACATAAATTATTAACAGGACATGTTCTGGTTCTGACGGAAAAAGCCGTTCCGCATGTCTGAGTGCAGGCGGACCAAGACGACCAACGCTCCCAGGATATTGATGCGATTTGAAATGCTATGTTTGTCGTCATGTCTGGCAGAGATGTCGTTTCAAAGTCAGGTAATGTTGATTCAGTCTCATCGATTGTGGGTGCTACCTCTGTTGAAAAAATTGAGGATGTTGTGCTGATGTTGATAGCAGAAAGAAATTCAGATGTTGTTTCGGTAGAAATCGTTGTGGATGTTGTAGTTGTCGTAGTTGTGGAGGTTATAGTTGTTGTTGTCGTAGTAGTTGTCTTTGTAGTAGTTGTAGTTGTAGTTGTAGTCGTAGTTGTAGTTGTAGTCGTTGTTGTTGTTGGACTCGTTGTCGTTGTTGTAGTCGTTGTAGTCGTTGTAGTCGTTGTAGAAGTTGTAGTACTTGTAGTAGATGTAGTCGTTGTAGTCGTGGTTATTGGTGTGGTCGTTCTTGTTGTTGTAGTTGTTGTTGTAGTTGTAGTTGTAGTCGTTGTTGTTGTTGTACTCGTTGTCGTTGTTGTAGTCGTTGTAGTCGTTGTAGTCGTTGTAGAAGTTGTAGTACTTGTAGTAGTTGTAGTCGTTGTAGTTGTTTTTGTCGTGGTTGTTGATGTATTGGTTGTTGAGGTCATAACTCTTATAGTAGTAGTAATTGATGACCTGCTTGTTGTTGATGCAGCTAAGCTAGAAGAAGTCGATGACGTTGTCTTGGCTGATGTCACGGTGGCTTCCTCATCTTTTCACGCATTATAAAATTATCATTGAGATTTATAAAAATAGTATTTCTTGGTTCCATGACATTTATGATACGTGCCTTTCCCAGCTGAATTTTCCTCAATCGAGGAAAGAAATTCCGTGAGTCCGATTACATCACTCGTGCTACTCGCCTCAGAATTCTCACAGCGAAAAAGCTCAGGATCCTTATTCCATCCACAACTAGTCGGTCCACAGCTGCAACGAATCACATTTCTTTCCTCAGATGAGATGGAATTTTCATTGCAGATGAGTGAGCATCGAATTCCGTCGACATGATGGAAAGTTGACTGAGCCAAGAACTTTTCAACATTTTTCATGTAGAACTTAGGCCCATTTACGTGACAAATCCATTTGCCTCTGAATGTGCTTGGCAAAGCTGGACACAGTAGTTCGGGCTCCTTCGATGTTGTCGTGGATGATGTTGAAGTTGTCTTGACTGTCGTTGTACTGATCACTTCCGTAGTTGTTGTTTCAGGCTCAGTGGTAGTCTCACTGTCCCAAGAACATTTCACTTTTCTTGGGTTTTTGTTCCACGAGCATTTTTCATCCTTGCACGTGCATTTGAAAAACTGAAAATAAATACAAAACCAAGGAAGAGTTTCAACTCACGTTTGGCCCCTTGACATTCACGAGATTGGCCTCCGGAGCGCATTTCATCGCACACTTCGTATTATGGGTGACATCTTCGTCATTTCCATTGTATCGGAATCGGAAGCCGTTGATGTCACACACCCACATTCCCATAAACTGTTCGGGAACTTGCAGCCCTCCGCAATTTTTCCCTGAGTTCTTCTGTGCTTCTTTTTGAGAAGTTACTTGAGCAGCAGGAGTAGGAGTGGCTCTGCTTGGTTTACAGTTAGCGTCTGCAAGCGCGATATTCCACGAGCAGTCTTTTCCGTTCGGACATCGACACGTCGCCAAATTCTTTTTGTTCATCCCCTGAACTGCCATGCCCTTAGCACAAGTAAGTGAGCAGGTACTTTTGTGCTCGAGAATCTCCGTGGAGCAATCCCAAAAGCCTCTTATTCCTTGTGGCGGGGGAGAAACGCACGTCGAAGCCGAATTTTCTTTCTTTTTTGGAACACACTTCGAATTATGAATAAACGGAACCCACTTGCAAAATCGTCCTTTGCAGTTGCAATCAAAATCCTGAAAGTCTCGTTAAAATCGGTAAAAAAACAAATTGGCATACAAAAATGGCGCTGCCTTCTGGTTCAAAATCTTCATCGCAAATGAGAGAACAAATCACTTCCCCGGAGAAATCGTCTTTTTCGCGTTGATTTCTGCATTTCCATCTGCCATTCGGCTCCTCTGGCGGACTTCTGCAGCTTTTGACCCCTTTTTAGCGTTGGATATTTTTCTAGATGCGTTTTAGCAAACCATAACCGTATTATTCTGACATTGTGCTAAAAATTTTACAGCTGAGGTCAACTTTAACGGATAAACATGTAAATTGTTCTACGGATAAATTTGTCTGGGTACATATTTAGACTATTTCACTTTGTTTAGCACCAAAAAATGAAGAACTAATTTTTGCAAAAGGGGGCCAGGCGCCCCCTCCAAGAGCAAATCAAATTTCCAACCACTCTCCTTTGCCACTTGCCGACTTGAGGAACACAGGATTCTCGTAATCGAATGACGCTAGAATTTCCTCATCTTTTTATGGTTACGCGTATGCCGCATCAAAACGCAGTCGCTGGAAATGACCCCCGATTTGATTAGTATGCCTTATTTACAGTTAAAAATTTACAGTAACAAAATTTTTTTGCAGCATTAAATATGCTTCACGATGAAAATTTGATAAAAGTGCGAAGGTTGCATTTCTAAGGAACTCAGAACGGCTCCTGATATTTTTGCTAGCTCAATCGAATCATCTTTTGGAAGATTTACCGTGACCAGCGACTCCCCCCAAAATACCGCAAAAAAGTCCCTCCACGCTCGATGTGGAGGTCAAGAGTCCCAGCCAAAATACCGAAATTGAAATGTGCGTTACCACTTCCTTCATATTGCTGAAAATAAAATTCGCTGTCAAGTTCTTCCATAAACAGCGGATCTCGCTCATCGATCTCTGTCACGTGGACGAATTCCGTCAACCCATCCGTATCCAATCTTATAAAACAACCAAAGCATGAGTTGATTAAAAACGTGCAAAAAATCAGCAAGTTTCTTTTATTTTTCATTTTTATGTAAACAGCCTTTATCGCGCCACTATCATGACATTTTATGATAATCACGAGAGCTCAATGGCGCCGCTGAAATTTAATTTTTAATGGCAAAATGTGAAGCATAAATTGATTTTGGCATTTAACTCTTGTAAAATGAACGATGAGTAAATTTGATTAATGCATGGTGGTCGTTTTTTAACTTTCTATAAGAAACGTTTCCTTTATTCTTTGTACTGAAAGTTAGAAAACCGACGTTCTATTCTCACCCGCAGCATCACTACAGGTTCCTAGCATTTTCCAAAAGCTGAATCGCAAATTGCAACTAAGGTTGGCGGATATCTACCGTAACTAACGCGATTGGCGATTCTAGCGCTCCCAAGAAATACTGCTGCTCAGAGCACGAAGCAAAAGGTCAGCGCACCTCCACCGCCACCCTTGCCCAGTATAAATACTCCACAAAGTCAGCGAATCATCATCACAATCAATTACTCAAACAGTAATACAATCAAAGAAACATTTGATAAAAATGAAGGTTTTCGCTGCTCTCTCCGCCGTCGCCCTCGCTCAGGATGTCCGACAAATGAGCTCTCACGAACGACTCGACTCTGTAAGTCCTTAGCTTACTGTACCAGCTTCTTATTTCTTCACCTTAGGTCTCTGAGAACATCAACACCTGGATTGATACCTACATCTCCGACCACAACCGAGTCAACAAGTACAGAGACCAATTCACCAATCTTGTCAACTACCTTGACGCCAAGTTGGATATGCAGTGCGCTGGAGAGAACCAAGACGAAGTCGAGCAACTTGCTGCTGATGGTAAGCAAACCCTTCTTATCCCTTCTTAAAAATAATTAAAGATGCTATCGTCGAGCTCGGCGCCGAGGAGAGATCCGAAAGCGAATGAAGATCCTCAACCGAGTCCACCGAGTCCATCTCCTCGGTTGCAACCGACCCAACAAGGCCAAGAGACGAATCACAAAACTCACCACCAAGTTCCTCAACGCCCTTGCCAAGGTCCAGAACTAAATATTGAAAACTCAAGTGTTATAATGAGCTGACTTTGACTGTGATACAAAATATTTATCCTTTCAATAAAATTAACAAAATTCAACAATTGTTTTTACTGAACTAATTTCAAAGCGGAGATCAAAGCATCATCATGCCCCGAGGTTAAATATACTGAGCTTGCAACAACCAGTTGTCCCTAAAAGCACCCTTTTTTATCAGAGTAAAAATGTCGGATAGAACATCATCCATTTCCTGTAGCGAGCTCAGTGATTATAGAGATATAGAGCTACCAGAGGAAAATCTTGGTGGATTCAATGGAGGGATTCTCATGGTTCTCAGCAAAAAATTAAAACAGCAAGAACAATTTTTCGACAGTGAATTAAAAGATATTAAAAAGATACAACATGTCAAAAACCGTGAGTTTCTCAATGAACTTGAAAATAATAGAATGACGGTGGAGGAAATTGAGAAAAGGGTTGAAATTTCACTGCTTGAAAGCGAAAAGAATCAACAGTTGAGAAACATAAAGCTTGAGAAACTTATTGAAGATGTTCAAGAAATAAAGAAAAAGTATGAAGAAAAAATTGAGGAGTGTGAATATTATGACAAGCAACGAAACAACGAGATGAAGGAAATCAGAAAACGACTTGACGAGTATGAAAAGAATGAACTTGTTGAAAAAGAAAGCAAGACGCATCCATTTAGTTATATTTTTTTAATAATTATGATTGGTATGGAATTATGTGCTGATGATTCTTCCGCTCCCGTCACTCAAGTCTTTCTTGGTAAATACGGAGACGACTTTTTTCGTTTGATATCCATGTTTATGACTTCTGTGAGCAGTTCTCAACAGTGCTTATTTTACTTTCTTCGATTCGCTTACCTACTAATCTATATATTCTTGCGGATTCTTTCAATTACGTGCAGTGCTTATTTTATATTACCAGTCACATTATTTTACTTGACGATGTATTACTGTGGGGATGTAATATCCAACCCAGTGGAAAATAAAATTAGGGAAAAGTTTTTAGAACGAGACGCTTCGACCAGTAAACTAGATGAAATTTTTCTTGGCCGTGTCACTTTGTCAATGAGAATGCAACTATTAAAAATAAAAGTAGGCCTATTCTTTCACAGAAACAGAGATATCCTCTGGGTCTTGACAGGACCCATGATTTACGGTGTCGCAATAGGACTTGGGTTTAACTTTCTTTACGGAATCTATCAGGTGGCTCTATTCTTCTGTTACTGTCTTATAAAATTTATATCATAAATTATGATTCATAATACATGATTTAAATGTTTTTTAAGAAGTGTATTTTATTTGACAAATAAAGATAAAGCACGTATTCGATGATTATTTCCAGGCTGAAAGCGCAGCTGCTTAATCCTCGTCAGGCTAAAAATATTTGTATGTGCTCTATTTCATGTTTCTTCTTGGGGTGCACCTCTATTGGTAATAAATGAATAAAAAAGAAATTATTTCTTACAAGGGTTGTAAGTATCAAGTATTTATATCAATTTCAAATTGAAGCCGATAATAAACGAGGATGAAATTGAATGTGCGTGTGTGTTCTTTGAAGCAAGTTATTATTTTCTTTTATTTTGACAAACCTCAAGCGTATGCCAAAGCGCGACAGGTCTTCGCGGTACGTTGATCATCCCCATCCAGTGCTTCAGAGCCTGTCCTGTCGCTTTTTTACTCACATGGTTTGAATAAAGGTATGTCGAATATTTGAGAACATGATAATTTCTAACCCTTTTCCTGAGAACAACCTTGCCAATTGGATCATTTGAGCCAACTTGGTCATGATCCACTACTTTGATCACAAGCTCTACTGACTGTAGCTGCTCCTGTTTGACAGAGTTCATCGTGGGACCATCTAGATTATCCTCCCTACTCGTTCGTAGATAATGCATAGATCGGGATGATGGGAAAAAGAAGCGACGTAGATTATAAATTGCTTTCTATTCCTTCACATCCACTCGAAAAACTCGTTCCTGAGTGACTTCAAAGGCAAATGACTCGTTGTAATACGGCGTTAATGTATTCTTTTTGACGGATGTCTTCTTCTTCTTCAGCCTTGGAATTTAGATTACATCATAAATGAACAAATGCGCCGGATTCACCGCTTTCCGTTTCGGTTGAGGTAAATCTTCACATATGGATCCGATAATCCATAAGCGTCCATCTTCTTAAGATTCTTCGCTTCTGAACAGGATGTTGAGGATAGGTTTAACCCGCCTTCATCCGGTTCGTTTCTTACCTAAGATTCCGACAGTCATCTTTCCAGAAGTAGGCACGTAGCGCAAGCTGAAGCAAATGTCCCCCAACGTTGTCTGAAAAAGCAGTCATTTTTGGAGACATGGAAGAGTTCAACCTGCGTGAGAGATTTGATCGGCTTCATTCCACAAAACGGCTCAGCCAAATCGATGCTGGAAAGAGGAATCTGCACTTAATTCATCGGTTTTAATGAAAAGGACTTATGCAAAATAAGAGTGTCTATTTGCTTTCGTCGCCCAATTTTCGCATTTCCAGCTAGATCTTTTCATTCAAAAGGTCGGGAAATGAACTTATAGAATAATTATCGACAGTCTGAGTGCTTTCCGTAGACGCGAAGGGATTACTTTTGAACTTTGGGTCTTCAACGAAAATACCTGATCCGATTGAATCGTGCTTCCCGAAGCGGTCATAATCGTAGATCCCAAATACTTTGATGGGCTTCTTATTGGTTTTCTGGTCAATAAATTGGATACATGTGCTTTTCTATCGATGAAATAGAGCAAGGACCAATAAGATGGACCGAAAATGAAATCTAGCCAATGGGATTGAGAAAATCAGGTTCAAAAAGCCCTGGCAAGGGTCTTATGCGCAATATCCTTGTACAAAAGCGGCATGTCGAATCGCTCATCAAAAACTGGATCTAGTGTTTTTCGATGAACCTTCGTTGATAATTTTCGCTTCTTATCCGGCAAGAAGAACAGTTTTACATAAGGGTCTTTTCGGGTTTAAAATCGCTTCAAAACTGACGAGTGGAATTAATGAGCGCAGCCTGGTAGAAAACAACATGCTGAAGACAACTCACAACATGTAAAAATATATACAGTATATAATATACTGTATATTATAAAATATGCTGTAGGTCAAGTTAAGAAGATAATCGCTAAGAAGGGATATATAAACTCGGTCCTGATGTGCCTCCTATATCCATGGCAGGTAAATTAGTTGCTTTCTTCACGTGGACTTTAAGGAGATTGGCATCAAAGGAGTAATCTAAATTATCATACAGCTGTGTACTAAAACGTGCAAATTGAATTTCACGCTGCCTTCACATCAACATCTTGTGCGTTTTTATTCTTACACAATCACAATAAATTATTGTTTATAATCCGATCAATCATAAGTATGATTCTCTTACCAAGGGAGAAAAAAAGCGTGCCTTCATAACGATACTTATTTATTTCAACAAAGAATCTGTGTATTACTCTTTTATCGCTTCCTAGATTATTTTCTTCTTTTGACTTTTTACTCTCCATGTTTTCTCTTAATATTTTTTTCACTGAAAATTGTTTATCACCGAATCGGTTTTTTTATAAGGTAGCGCCGACCGCCAGAAGATGTCGTCACTCACTACTCAGATTCACTCATCCTTTTTTGTATTGACCACTTTTTCGCTGATTTGTATAATTTATCATTTAACTAATGCATATTGATATAGAACTTGAAAGGTGTTTATCATCATTTACTGAATAAAATCGATATAAAAAATAGCTTCAGTTAAATATTGAAAATATAATACGGTATAATATCGACTCGATATTATCGAGAACATCAATTTGAGGTATTATATCAATATGAAGGTACTCACCATAGAATTAAAAATATATATGTGAATTTGAAAAGTTGAACAGCTGAGTCAACCGATATTTCAACCACTTTAAAATTGATATATTGGAAAAACACGTAATAGTGTTTGCAGCTCGGTTAACCATATTTTAAGCCTCTTTGAACTCATATCGATTTATAATTTCGATGCTGAAAGTTTATTTGGTCTTCAATCGACGATTAAAAAAGAATACTTGAATAATTGATGGTCATTTATTCTATTTGAATGGAGATAATGCTGATAACTTGAAGATACCATCAAAAATAGCTTATAAAAATGATATAAGAGTTCGTTTTTATTGCAGGCTTAACGTTTTCGGAACAGAAATTCCATCATCAGAGCCGGTTGCTTGAAAACTTGACGATCTTTTAGCAAAGGAGAAACTGACCTTTTCTTGTAGAAGAATGAACTGATCAATATTCCGAATAATAACTTGATCCCTAGCCACATTCTAGAGAAAATAATCTAACCCGAACTATTTTTATAATCTCAGAGGCTCCAATTGCCTTCAAAATGATATAAATATATTAATTTATCAACAGATAAATAGAAGAACAACGATTATTGGCACATAGATTCTAACTCTTGAACAGCGTATTGAAGCTGGGTAGCAGTAAATCTTTAAACGTAGTTTCCTGGAGCTAAACGAATATTTCCGCGGTATATTTCCTTGCAGCCTTCGTTTTCTTCGTTGATCTCGATTTCCGGAAACTTATCAATAGCGCGGCAAAGGTCAGGAGTGCTACGAATGCTATAGCTGGAACGTCAAAGCTCAGGTCGAAATTTCTTTGCTCGCAGAGTCTCCCTGTATAAGATTTTTTGCATTTACAAGTCGGCACATTATCGTGAATAACAGTTCTTCCGCCGTTCAAGCAAGGTATTCTGTTTCGTCTTCGCACCATTTTTCAATTTCTTTTCTGCTAATAATTCACCTTAGGTTGATTCTTATATTTAAAAATGATGGTGGCGTCCTTTCATCATAAAATAACGTAAGTATTTTTGCTCTCTAGCGTTAAAATTACTATTGTAAATGTGTAAATATATTTTGGAATGATTAATTTACAATACAGCTAGCTGCTTTTTTAATAACATGATGATGCCATCGCTCATCCAAGCTGCTCGAAAATTGGGACTAAACGAATTTATGGAAGTGCATTTTTAGATAACCAATAAGATTGCTGTATTTGGCCTACCGGCCAATCAAAACCCTGATCCATAAAATTACTTCCATAAATTGTTGTCCCGAAAATTGAGTTGTTTGTTTCAAGAGACAAAACTCATTATTGATAATATTATCGTTTTAATCGTCAAAATATAGGCATGCACAGATAAAGCAGAAATAATGTTTGAGAATGTCGAAGCATTTGAAGCACGAATACTAGTAAAAGTAGCTTTGGCAGTTGCGAGCGGCACAAATAAAAGTGAAATCAAGGAAGAAAGGTTAGACGAAAATCTCACGGGTTTTTGATTCCGTTTTTTCTTGAAGTTTTTGATCGGCGTATTTTCTTCTCAAGGAGATTTTCGTGATTGATGATTTTGCAAGAAAAGCGCCACCAATAAGAAGAGCGGCTAGTGCGACTAACGCGATAAATGCAACTGGAGAGCTGTAACTTGCAAAGTCGAAGAATCGGGATTGACAGTGTCTTCCAGTGAAACCATCCAAGCACTTGCATGTGGGCAAATCATCGTGAATTACTGTTATTCCGCCGTTGAAGCAAGTTAGTTGGTATCGTGATCTGACCATTTTGTTTGTTTGATTTTTATGGACCAGCCAGCTCAACCGAGCTCATTTATATGACAAGGGGAAAACATGATTGAGTATGAACTTCCATGGCGCCACAGAGAAAAATATTACATATAGTAGTTAACGAGCTCTCTAGCGATAGACTTTTCTTTCCAAGAATTTCAAGAGCAAATTGATTACCATGATACAGTCAGCGATCAATCATCATTCATTAAAATGAACTAATTCGGCACTAGAAATCCCCGGGGGCGATTCAGCGTACCCTAAACATAAAGTAACTGGGGAAGAACAAATTCAGAAATAAAATGTCAGAAAGAGGAAATTCCAGCTGGAAACAATATCTGCCCTTTGAAAATAATAAGCTAAATTATGCAGCGTTATTTTTCTGCTTGGCGATCTCTTCTCATAATGCATATAACTACCTTCATCCGGAAGTTGCAATAGAGCCATTTATGGACGCTTATTTCGTAAATTCCGCGATTAAAAAAGAGGAATTCGAAGAACTTGAGAAATATGTGTTAAAGCACGTATCTGGAGAGGATTTTGCTGGAGTAAGGAAGAACTTCAAGCCGACAACAAATATTCTGGAGCATTCGAGAGACAAAGCGTACTGGGAAGGCCCTGTGAGAGAAACTGCTTGCCCAGTTCAAATCAGAAGGGTAGAAAAATAATTCTATTGAAGGGTTATTTCAAACTTTTTAGAGCCTGGAGCCACTAGAGCGAAGGGTACCCGATGTAGTCGGCATTGGATTCGCTAAGTGTGGCACTGGAACACTTCAATTTCTCGATTGCCACCCCAGAGTAACGATGAGATCGACGGAGCCGAAAATCTACAATTCGATAAATACTGAGATTATACTCAAAGAAATGGGTTACGCAGCAACAGAGCTTGACTACTTGAATTTTGAAGCTGTCAAGAAAGAATATCTCTCAAAATTGCCTCTCGTCGCAAAAGATGAGATATTGATCGAAAAATCGCCCATTTATACAGAGGATGATGGAAATGGACAGATCGAAGGTAATTTTTTTTTTCATTCTTATTTTCCAATAGCCTGTAATTTCAGCGAACGCAAAAGCAATGAAAAGAATCAATCCAAATACAAAAATCATCGCGATCGCCTGCGACCCGATCAAAAGGGGTTACTCTATGTTTCAAATGGAAGGCAGAAGAACAAAAATACGACTCGCCGATCATCAAAATATCAAAAGGTGCAAGGCTTGTCTCCACGGAACGGTGAATGAAACAATACAGGAATACACCGAGACCATTAGCAAAGAGCAGTATGGACCAGGGACGGGGTTTGAAGAATATGTCTTAGGTTTACGACCTTTTGTCGACGAATTCGGGTAAGAGAAAAATTCTCTGAAAGCTTCCAATTCAAAATTTTAAGAGCGGAAAACGTCCTCCTCCTCGACGGGGAAAACTTGATCGCGAACCCGAACGAAGAGTGGAGCCGGCTGCTTGAATTCCTCGGCTTGGAAAAAGACTCACTGAAATTCTACCACGACAAAGAAAAGGGATTTCCATGTCTCGAATCTCCGCTAAAATACTGTCTCAATGGCGCTAAAGGGATTTCACGAAAAGAAGATGTCAGACAACTATATCCAAAAGAAACAGAAATCTGGCGGAAGGCTTTTTCACCCAAGATCAAAGAGTTGATTTCGTATATGAAGATTTGCGACAAAATTGACAGAAAGTGCTGTAGAAAATTGAAGAAAGAAGCGACATCATTTTCTTGGGCTTATGAATATGCTTGTTGAACAGTCATCTCTGTTATTAATCTGTTTATTTCTAAACCAATAAAACTATTAATAGGATCATATTCATAAATCATTCATAAAAATAAAAATTTTCAAATGCGATAATCATATTTGAAATATGGAATTTAAATTTAATTAATCATTGCTAAAATAGTATTTCTATGACTAAAAATGTGAAAAAAAGGGCAAAAAAGGGAAAATCAATCACTCAATTACTATAAAAGCCACGCATTTGGCATATCATTTCTCGCATTCTAAAAAAAAATTAAAAGAAAAAATTACCCCGAGAGAAAAACATGGTCTATAATTTCTAAAATATGCGATTTCGGACTCGTCTAAGAAACATATTATCCTGCATTATATTTTGTAAGTAGTACTCGCTGATTCTATAATGATGGCTTTTTGAAGGACAAAAAGCGGATTCGGATACTTACAACTTATCCTTTTTTGTAATTTACCTTCGGAAGAAAATTAAATTGGCTTCCCTCCCATTGCTATTTTACGATCAGTAAAAGAAAATGCCATAATCAAATGTAATTTTCCCTTTCCCTTGAATTATGAATCGACTCAATGCTGTATAAAATGGCGATAGGTGCTCTAATGATCTCAAAACATGTTGAAACCAACTTGTGCGAGTTCGGACTACCCGGGTAGCTTATGAGTAAATGAATAAAAGATCATGAGAATCTAACACCAAATCCTCCTATTTTATGACGAGAATCTTCGCGATAACGCTTTTGTTTTCACGGAAACTCGTGGACCCTGAGTCATCTCCAAAACAAACGTAATTACGTTTTCCCTTTCACGCTTATAAAGAAACCGAAAAATGAATTCCTTAGACCTAATCATAGCTCAAGACAAAAAGGAGCAAAACTTGAAAACCATTTTCAGAAGAAAATGACGAGCCCAAAAGAGAGACTTGAATTCGCCGACACACTTCGCCAAAATGTCGACCATTGCAACTACGCGAGTCGGACTGCAGCTCCGGCTAAAGAGCGGCCTAGGATCAACGATCCTCTTATAACCGTTCGACCACAACCGACAAGAAAGGACTTCCAATATTTCATGGGGGTTATGTTGAAACGATCGAGTGCCAAGCCGCCAACTTAAAAATCATCGGCAACCTGCTCAAACAGGAGAATTACTACTCAGAACACGACCAGCGGCGACAGGAACAAGTGAACATCGTGCAGAACATGTTCGATGGCTTTCGCTACAGCGGACCGCTTCAGAAAAATATTACAAGCCTGCGAATTCCACTCAACGACAATGTTCATGAACTTCAAAGCTGATGTCGGGCCGATGTTAACTTCTTCAAGGAAGGAAAATAATCGAGCTTGAACATTTTCATTCCAACCATTATATATTTTTTAATCTGTGCGATTCTGTATCCTTTTTCTGCTGCCTATTTTACGTGTTATTACTTGCTTCTATTTTTTTATTTTCAACGGAAATTCGATGTCAATAAATTCAAAATCATCCTTGCTGTCTTCAAATTGCTCATTCAATCGACTAAAGCTTTAATATATAAATTCTTATACAATTCGGACGGAAATTGATGTCTGGTTCCAGATCTAACCTTTAGAATCAGGAAGGAAAGGTAGAAACTAGCTGAGCCACGCCCAACGGAAGTGCCTCTCAGAGAGTCTCAGCCTTGATTTTCCGTTCAAACGAGATTCTTCAAAGTAGTAGAGGCTGTACCTTCTGCCAGCTGTGACACTACTCCTTCCACCAAATTTAGATGTTTCAACATAGTGCTCGTTTCGTGTATATTGCGATATTGATAGAAAAATTAGATTTTTCCGGAAAATACTTACTAAATAAGGTAAGAAATAATTTTCACGAACTAATTTATAGAACAAGTTTTCATAAAAATACCTAGACATCTTCATAAAGGTATGAACTATGAAAAAAAAACAAAAAGAACACTTTATTTAGTGAAGATTGAAAGCTGAATTTATTCGCGATATATGTTACAAATGAAAATATAAGCACTCAAGATTCTACAAGTCCGATTTTTTCGACATGGTCAATCTTCTCAGAATTCCGGATCGTCGACGCTTGGGCGAGGGGATCGCCTCTTCCCAGATGACGATGTCGTCGTCGATTTTGACTTCGATCGATCGTCGTTTGGAGGCAGATCGTGTGATGGGTTTTCGGAAGATTGAGCCGAAGAGCGACTTGCGCTTTCGCTTCGGAAGCTTGAATTCGGATGCGGCGGATTGGATGGAGGTAGTGGACGTGTTTAGGATATCGCTTTCTGAAAAGGAGCTTTAGTAAGGGTCTCTCAATAACTGATGAAATTAAGGCTAAAAGTTCATCCCTATAAAAGTTTGTCTTATTCAATTAAGCAGGGAGTTTCCAAAGGATTTATGGCCCCGCAATAAATCTGGTCCTCCTTCCAACTCGCTATAAAACATAAGGGTCTAAAAGTTCGAGCCCCATAAACGACGATAGATGAAAGAAACGGTCAATTTTTATCGTCCCTTGCTTATCTTTCATGGCTCTGCCCATGAGTACCCACGCCGCGATATTTTTAAATACAGTGCTTATGCGCCATTTATGTTGATGGCTATCGGCCACTCCAATTGAAGTAGCTCCCACGTGCTTATCCGGGAGAACCAGCAACATCCTTATCGCCTCTCCCTTGCTTTCCTTTTTTTGCAATTGATGCATATCTCGAAAGAGAAAAAAGGTATTTCTTACCGTTGAGATCGGCCAAGTTGGAGCAGGAAGCGTATCTGGCGCTCTTTGGAGTCAAGAGCGATCGCTTTGATGCGAAACTCCGGCGCTTCGGAGTGACTGTAGTGGTTGGAAGGGAGTCTACAGATTCAAGAGCATCTTCGGGAATGGCACATGTGATGACTTCTTCGCGAATGGGCGAGATGCACGAGATGGAGTCGTTCATATTTGCTGAAAGGCAGACTTAGAATAAGTTACTTATTTTTCCCTTTTTTCGATCATGAGTGCCTTATATTTACTTTTGGTTTATTTACGACTCCGATAGTATTTGCGGATTAGGATTAGCTAATTTGCAGGTCACAAGACGCGCCGGGAGGCATTGTCCTTAATTTTTCCTTTCTCTAAATTAGGCTGACCTAATTAAGGGTATCCTGGTGGAGGGGAAAATCGATTGCCCCATGAATCGCTTATTGCAATTTTCCGTGAGCTGGAATCAATCAGGCTTTATTTTTTGAAAGAATCAGGCTGATTTCCCCGTGTCCAGCGCGTGAAATTTATTTCCCTAATTTCTTGGCATCAAAAAAAAGCTCGAAGTTAGATTCTAGAGCGGCTAATTAGATCAAACACCCGTGGCCCGTCTGTTATGCAAATTTGCTTCAAGGGCTAAATTTTACATAAAAAACCTTTTTAGGCGGCCTTCTTTTGAAGGTGAATATTTGATTTTGGAGAAACCCACAACAAGGAAAAAAAATTGAGAATGAAGTAATAAACAATTCTCAAATGTCAAATCAGTTGTGTACTTCCGGTGGTAAAAATCTAAATCAATTATGACGCGAATTTGTTGGTCTAGCTGTCAAAAAGCAGAAGAGTATTAGATAATTAAGATAATTTGCATTGACGGGGTGATATTTTGGCAAAAAATCATCTTCCTGATAGCAAAAATGGAAAATTTTCGTAACAGGAAAATCGTCATCAAAATTCCCAAAAAAGACAAAATACTCAAAGACAGTCAGAATCTAATAAAAGCAACACCTGACGAGAATAAATTTCGTCTACTTTCGTCAACAAATTAGCTGAAATCAAGGATGAGTATCGACTTTTCCAAAATTGGAAAGATTCGCGCGAAAACAAGCTCCGTCAAATTTACTTCCGCTTTACTGGCTCCGTAATCGGATGCGCATTTTGTAAATCTCGTCGGATTACTTTGTCACGGGCGGCCGGGTCGCGGCTCTTTCGTCCTTGGAGGATCTTCGTCTCAAGTTTGAGGCTCGTGTGAAATTTCGCCCTTATCTCCTTGAAGATTTAGGCCCCATTATCTGGCTCCCGCTACTTGACTTCATGAGCCCTTGATCTTGTGTAATGGCCGGTCATGGGAGAATTGGGGTGTAAAAATGAGGTTCTAGGGCGAGACAAACATTAGGTCGAGAAAAATAGATAATGACCTGATTTTGAAAGCTTCAAAGCTTCAAGATTTAATTCTATGGAAGTGAGCCAAAAAGCGAAACTCAGAATTTAATTGATCGATTAATTATGATTTAACTGGCTTTAAATAGTTAGTAAACGACCGTAAATAGTTCAACAAACGAAATTTTTAACTATTTTTCTACATAATAAATCTTGAAGTGAACATAAAAATTTACTCTTATTTAACTTTCCCAAAATTGATTCTTTCCCTGTTCAATCATTATTTTTTTATTTGTACCTGATGCTGAGGTTCTCTGGTGCTTTCGATAATCTGCAGGTTGTCAACAAGTCAAGTTTTTCGATGTAATTTTTACTCGAAATTTAGCTCTGTAATGAATTCTGCGTTGGCCAGCTCCCCGCCAATCTATGAATTTTGAATGAGGGCGCGGCGGGTGGCGCTCCGGAGTCGCCGCTCCTGAGCTCGGCACGCGCGCGCGAGGTTTGAAAAATAAGGAATTTGCTCAAGGTGAGGCGACCTGCCGGTGCATTAGCATCATGGGTGGTGCCCTGCCAGGCTCAAATAGATTCTTTATCAATCCTCCTTTCATATTGATATGCGAAAACGACGCGTCGCGATGACTTTCACACGGCCGGGTTCTCAGTTGACAAATGACGCCCGTATGCATATTATTAGCGACATGCAAAAACAGACCGAAAACATGCATGAACAAAATGCTCTTGAAATTTTAGAATTGAAAACTGGACGAAAGAAATCAAGGCTTGACGATTTGGGTGGGAGTAATTTACACTCTCGAGCTGCTGTTGACGGATCCTTCAATCTGGACAATAGGCTGAAGTGAAATGGCCCTTTAGGCCTCATTGAGTCCTCATAATGTCAATCGAGTACGTATAGCTCCTGCTTCTCAGCTTGTTACTCGTTTTTGAGATTCAAAAAACGCGCTCTGTACAAATAGAATAGGGCCTTTGTGTGACAAAAAATGCTGATTGTACTTTTCGTAAAATGCAGCTCCAGCAGCATCAACTTCTTGTTAAAACTAAATTGACCTCAAAAATGACCAATTGATCGTTTGAAAGTCCGAAGTTGTTTCTCACGCTACCGGAAGGACTCTTGAGACACTCAGAGGCCGCGTTTGATGCGGTGGCGGAATATGTTGTTTTGGGACTGGCCGCTATTTTTTGATATCGCCCGATAAGCAAGCAGAAAGTTCAGAAGCTCGGGTCAGGCTACACATTCCCAGCCTTTCCGGGATGCCAGGAGCAAAACTTGTTAGTAAGAACTGCCCATATTGAAGCACTGCTCCGGATGTTTCGAGCAAAACGGCTGTCAAGAATATGAATCTACTAATCACTTTTCGAGCACTGGAAAATTTTCATGAAGTGGAGACGTTCAAAACTTCCCCTTTCCCAAATTTTTGAACCTAAAACAACGCTGGTGTCTATCATTTCCTCCTGGATGCACTTCCGGTCCATATCACATTTTACCGTGGGTACTATACATCCTTAGTCCCGTGAAATAGACCGTGAAAAATGCATCGGCTCAGCAGGAGTTTCCATCCTGAAAATGCATATTCTCGATAATCCTCCCCAAAATTGAGGTTCATATTGGAATTCAATTTGGCCCTGTCGCAGCGTGGGACAATGACATGTGACAATTGTTTGGCTAAAAATAGAAATATTCCAGATTATACAGATTATGCAGCTTGTTGGAGCATGACCCCGTTGGTGCTAATTTTAGAACCAAGGTTACGAACTTAGCGAGGGAAGAATCGAGGGGGTCAACGGAGGATCGACGGTAAGAGCCGAGATTAGTGAGGAAACTCGGGGGATGGATCAGAAAATGACGGGCATCCGGATTCACGCGTACGATGCACTCTTTGAAAGACCACAAAGATGCTTTTCTCCTGGCAAATTTAAGTTTTTCTTGTTCGTCCAGTACGAGTTTGAAATTTATAATTTGTTATCAATGATAACTTATCATCCTGACCAACACTGACTTGAGAACTTCCTCAAGAACAGACTGAACTCATCATTTTTCAAATCGGCAAAATCAAATTGATGCAGCATTAATTATCGAACCGATAATAGACGAGATAGGTCCCTTATCGTGCCATCCTTGTAATTCAGGGTCCCCTCCCAGTACTTAGGTTGAAATTAAGGACTCGAGGAACAGCTGTATCTGAATTTTACAAGCTACCGCTCTCACAAATTCGCGAAAAACTTATCCACTGAATGGGTCTTTCAATAAAGTGGATAAGATATCGTCGAAAACGTTATTCGGGATAGCTTCCCTTCATGACTTTGAGAGCAATTTCAAAGCGTATCTGTGCCCTTGTAATCCGTAGTAAAAGGAAATTCTAGAGCTGTTTATAAACTGACCTTGTTCTCGCGGTCGGCGACATGGATCTGGAAGCGATTACAGCCTCTGAAGTCGGGGTACCGTTATCAATGCCGCGCATCAGCTTTCATTGCGAGCGGGCTAATGAGTCCGGAACATTCGGATTACCTTGAATCGGCGCCAAAAAGAGGAACAAAAAGGGGGCCTTTTTGACCTCAGATGAACGACCGATTGGGAAGGCATATAAGTTCATCTGATGAACTTTTTTTCTAGTGCTGTCTGGCAGACAAAATCACAGTTTATGAGACAAACAAAATTAAGGCTTGGATAGAATGTTTTATATACAGAATTAGCTGCCTTCTCGCCAGTGTTTTCTCTATAAGTAAACACTGACCGAAAACTGGTGCTAACAAAATTTCGGCGACTTCAAACGAGTTTGAAAGATGTCAAGCAAAATGGTATACAAACGTTGCGCCTCTTATATCTTCTCGGTCAAGGGTGGAAGTGCGTGTGGGAATGTGGCTGTTATTTTCCCGGGTGTCTTTTTATATTGATATAACCTGGCATTTACGATTTTTGTACCCTATCTCCTCCGCCTTGCTTTCTTACAAAACTGTTTTGGGGACAACTTCCGGCCAAGTGGCTTCCTTAAAACTTGTTTCAAATGCTTCATTTTTCCCGGAAGTGGTTGACCTAAGTATTTTTGAAAAATATTGTTTGCCAAAAATTTTTAAATTGGAAGCGAGGGTATAATTTTGGGCAAGAGGGGAAGGAGGAAATTATAAATAGATATCGAATGCGCTTGGCGACATTTTTGGGGGCAATTTTCAGAGGCAAGAATTCGAGAAAAATTATACAGGCTTCGTTTGGCATGAAAATTTTAGGCACCAAAGCTCGATAAAACACTCGATTACGAGCTGAGCTGAGCACACACTTTCGTTTTTTTGCTCCCCAAATAAAAAGCTGTCACGCGCGCAACCTTACGAGCTACGGAAAATTTAAGGAGCGTAGGGCAAATAGTAAAGGGCTAACGACAGTCGTTTATGGGTTTTCTTCCGCAATATTTACCGGTAGTCAAGATGGGCGTTTATGGATTACTCTGGTGGGAGGAAAACAGGATCAGAGGAGCCGCTTTTTAGAAAAGCGTCGAAGATAGATGATGATGGATAAACAACGAAATTATCGGATTTTCGAAAAAGAATGATTTGCAAAAGGGCAAGTATCTTTGCGTTTTCTTTTAGAAATAATTTTGTTGTCAGTTAAATTCCAAGTCCTCATTTTATGAATAATTTCGACACTCGCAGATTTCCCTGGCGAAGGTCCAAACAAAATTTGTTATCAAAAAAAATTTTTCTGGCTCATTGCTATCGCCCTATTGCTCATTCTAAATTGTATTCTACGACACTTATCAGTACTTCGGCAAACCACTTCGCAATTATCCTTATCAATGTTTTATAGACCTTCGAGCACGGGCGTATTTACAAGGTTGACCTTTTTCGACGCAGATGTTAGTAAATATTGGGTCTTGCTTGGCCATGTCTGACATTTTCGCGATGGGACTCTCCCATGTAACAGAGGCTCATGTCGGATTTTCTGATGAATTGACCCTTTTCCGCGCTTTCGATGAGATAAAGGCCCTGATCAAGTGGCTAGGACTCAAATGGTTCCAGTAAGTTTCGAGCAAGGAGTGAGTTTTTCAGATGCGTAGAAAGAGTGATCCAGTTTCTGCCTCGTAAAGTCACTGATCATTGATCAGTGATCAAAGGTATTGCAAGGGGGTAATGATGCACCCTCCGCGGATTTAATTTCTTTGGCTGACCTTTCAAGTGCTGTCCAAGATGTTAGCTAATTTACGCGAAAATTGGCCCTTGAAGATGAGCCGGAGCGTTTCAGTGAGCGGATTTCGTCTAGGACTTCTTAGTTCTCTAAATCCGCTATTTATTCTTGGCGAGGCTTTATCGGATAATCAAAATAAACTATTCGGCGAGATATGAGGGATTAAGAAATTGGCTAATTATCGCTAACAAAATTATACATCCACAAAAAGATTTTCCCATTGCGGATTCTAGTGTCGATTATGGTCTTATCGTAAACCCGAAGATCTAATCCCACACGAGTTTGTATACTTTAGGCGTGGCTCTCAAGCTGCCCCTACACCCCAGGAGATTCCCCCCAAACACAGCAAGAGCTCAAGAATCGAAATCTTTGTTGATTTTGGCAAGTGCTTCACCGGTTGTAGGAAATCAGCGAGTGTTGCTGTTGTTTGGTATGGATGCACGTGCGTGAATAATTTACACCCAAACACCTTGCTGATTTATAAATATTGAATAATTCGCCGCTTGTGGCGGAAATCCGAATTAATATCGACTTGTGGAAAGCCCGGCGTGAGCTCTTGCGGGATTTTTTCTCCTAGCTCACTCACATTACTTTTCATACTAACTTCCCTTCTTGCTGTGACGATAAGCCTGTGTTTTCCACACAATAAACCATTTCAAATCCTTCCTTCGACAAAAGGAAACGAGCCTGAAAACTTTGGCAACTCTCTATCGCAAAAAGAAGGAACTGATTATCCCCAATCACCTGGCCGCCGCTTTGATCGTTCTTCCCTTCCGACCTTTATGATGCCATAACACCACTAAATACCCCCGCTCCAGTGATTTTTTCAAGCCATTATGCTTATTGTTCCATCCCACCTGCTGATGATAGAATGGCAATACACAGAACTTGTCCAAAATCGAAGATATATTTTCCCACATGCCTAGGTGTAATGGTAGAAAAATGGACCACATGATCGCCTTTTTAAAACTTCAATTATGATGCAGATTTAGAATCGCTAGGTCGTGGCGATCATTTTGATACCAAGATCATCGGAATCGGACTAAATTTTCGACCGAGAATGACCATCTGAAGTCCCAAAATGAGCGCTAGAAATTTTCGAGCGCCCGGAAAGGATGAATACTCCATCCAGTCATTTAACCCATAGTCTCACTTTGTAGAGCAGGTTTTATTCTCCCAGAATCACTTCACAGAAGTTGTGAACAGAGAGTCTAGTACGGACGAGCGCCGAAAGAAGCCGAAAAATGGGGAAAATCAATGCCAAATTTGGTTTCCGAGAACTCGCACTAACGATTTCGCCTTGATTTTGCACGTTTTTGGGGGCATCTTTCGGCGCTGGTCCTTACTAGAATCCCTGTTCACAATTTCTGTGAAGTGATTCTGGGAGAATAAAACCTGCTCTACAAAGTGAGACTATAGCTTAAATGACTGGATGGAGTATTCATCCTTTCCGGGCGCTCGAAAATTTCTAGCGCTCATTTTGGGACTTCAGATGGTCATTCTCGGTCGAAAATCTAGTCCGATTCCGATGATTTTGGTATCAAAATGATCGCCACGACCTAGCGATTCTAAATCTGCATCATAATTGAAGTTTTAAAAAGGCGATCATGTGGTCCATTTTTCTACCATTACACCTACACATGCCGCGACCTAATGAACCTAAATCTGGGCCATGGCGCGAGAAAATTAGGCTAATGAGGAAACTTTTGGATATTCGATGGGAAGGGCTCCGTGGAATGCATCGGGCTGGAATTACACATGTTCTCATGCCGATTTGCCCAATCTACGAGACAAAGAAGATTTCAGTTAAGAAAATCGCCATGCAAATAGCAACACCTTCCTTCAAGTGTCGGTTCTGGCTCCCCTTGAATCCATAATTAGCACCCTGCCCACGTGACCCTTCTCGAGAAAATCTCAAAGGCAGATTTCAACCCTCAGGTGCCCATTTTGCGCCTCCTTGAAAATCTTGAGTCAACAAGATCCCTTCGAAATGCGCCTTTGAAGGGCCTTTACTCTTAGAAAAATAAACCCACTGACCATTGCGAGGCAATTTTCAATTTCGATCAAGAAGAAAGAGAATGAGCCGAACGAGTTGGTAAATTTGAATTGGGACTGTCATTGGGTTGTTAAAATATTTGGCTTTATTGTGGGGCGAAGAATGGGCTTGTTTTATATATTTGTAGGTCAATTGTTGTTGGTGTTTGATTTTTATCTTGCTGAAAATGCTTTTGAATGGCGATGAATTAAAATACTGTAATTCGAGGACGATGTGCATCTTAATCCTATTTTCATTTCCCCAGGCCGACCGGAAATCGCTCCTCTGTTCGCCGATGTTCCGCCTTTCCGGCTCATTATTTCCAATTCCCCATCCCCTCTCCGGTTACTCAGAAGGCGGAAAGTTTCAAACCAACCGACAAGTGAGCAGACAAAGGGTTGACGCTTCCGTACCTTTCAAAAATAACCACCGAACATTCGAATCAATTAAAAAGAGAGGCCTTTGTCCGATTGTCTGGGCAGAACTGATCGCGTTCCGCGAGTTTGAAAATCAATTCGAAGACAATGACACAACATGAGCACGAAAAATGCCAGCTGTCAGATTTGTCATTGTTACTTGAAATCAAAGACGACGCATCCATGTCGAAATTAAAAGTTTCTGTGTATTGAAAACTGCGCCAAATTTTGCGCCCGCTTTTTCAATTTATTTTTATAGGGGCTGTAAATTACGGTTAGTTTCGCTGCAACAGGTGCAGCCTTGCTCGATGGAAAATGCCGTGCGTCAACGATGTGGAAAAATTAATCTAACGAAGATAATCACGTTCCTAGAGCTACTCAAGAGCTCGATCATAAATCCGCTTGGTCTTAATTAATCGCATTTGGGGCTCGCGAGGCAAATATTCTCTCATGCTCCTGGAAGACGAGCTTCGTAAAATATTTGACATACCCTCGGACAAAGAAATAAACACCATGCTATCAGATAGATAGCATATCAATCTTACCAATGTATCAAGGATAGGTAAGGTGTTGGGAGCAATTATTTTTGTATATCTTTATTATCAATCAGCAGAACTACGATTATCAGTGAATTAAAATAAATTAAAAAATCATAGAATCAGTCGAACATAAAATGCTCTCCCGGAAAACACGGAACAATATCATGTCATTAAGGGTAATCCTATACATCAGCGCGGCGCTGCTCGGTCGATCCGCGCTCCGCCAGAACCTATTTCTCACAAGGCCATAAAATCTGAACGGAGTGAGATTTTTTCAAAATTCAAAAAGATTCTGAATGCTGAAAGTTTCTTCTATTACTCTAGCAAAAATGAAAGAAATCGGCAACCAGGAACCATCTGAAAACTGCCGGTTTCCTCCAACAGATATTTCCGCCACATTTCTTATCCAAATTCCACGAAAATCAGATGGTCTTGTAGAGGATCGTCTGTTCTACAATTCCTGTCTTTTAGATTTTCTTTTTGCGCTCTCAAAAATTCTCTATGATAGTTTGAAGAGAGCGCTATTCTTCTCTGCGCGAGCGCGCCGTGAGAAATAGGAAGCAAAGAGGCGCGAGGAAGAATAACGCTCTTTTCAAATGACCATATATAGTTTTCGAGAGCGTAAAAAGAAAATCTAAGACAGAGGAATTGTAGAACAGACGATCCTCTACAAGACCATCTGATTTTTGTGAAATTTGAATGAGAAATGTGGCGGAAAATGTCTTATGAAGGAAACCGGCGGTTTTCAGATGGTTCCTCGTTGCCGATTTGTTTCATTTTTGTTAGAGGAACAGAAGAGAAGTTATGGGTAGAGAATCTTTTTGAATTTTGAAAATATCTCATTCCGTTCGGATTTTATGGCCTAGTGAAAATAGGTTCTGGCGGAGCGCGGATCGAGCGAGCAGCGCTGCGCCGATGTATAGGATTACCCTTAAGAAAAGAAATTTCCACATTTACTGTTCGATGAATTCCTTCACATGCTCGGCTGTCACTTCAGGATCATTGACGTAGAAGTGATGGTTTCCTCCAAAAGGCCAAGTGATTTCCATCCTTTGCAGCGACTTTCCTACAAAAATTTTAATCCTCAGTCGAATAGACGGTGATTATTTCAACTTACGTAAAAACTCCTTTGCCGCTCTTCCCGTATTACTTTTGTAGACATCCATGTCGATTCCTTTTAAGCCTTCGCGAGTTTGAAGAAGTGCTTGAACTTTCACATCAGATTCGACAATGGTATTGTACAAATCCTTCATTTGATCTTGACGGGGTTTATAAAAAAATTATCCTTTTCCACATGTGTGAGCACATCTTACCAACAGAATTAGGGCTATTTTTGAAGAGTGGACTTGCCTCTTATTCATGCATATAAATATCACTCAATTATACCAATCTTCTGATTAGATAAATTTGAAAGACGTCAATAGTTGAGAACACACCTGAAAATTCCCATCTTATCCATCCATCAGATGATATAACAAAGATTATTTTTATTTGCGAAACCCCGGTCCTACGCTCATGACTCCAGGAGTAGCTAACGCTAAGGCGCGGTTCAAATTTAATTGCCTCAACTTGCTTTTGATGTAGCTCTGCCAATTTACATATTTACCCTTTATAACCATATATTTTTAGAATCCTTATGAGAAGATCTAGTGCTTTAATATCTTCGATTTTCGAATTTCCGATTTATATCGGATTTTTATCGGTTTCCCGCATTTCCAACGAGTAATACCCAAACAATTATATATTTTCAGAATCCTCTCGACGTGAACTTTTCTCTTATCGAGTTATTTTTCCGGATTAACGGTTTTGTCGGTCATTTATCGGTTTTTTACCGGCATTCAAGCTAGATAGTGACTATTATACCTTTTCTGAAAGCACTCATTCAGAACTATTACTTCTTCATACTTTCAATCTTCAAATCAAAATATTATCGCTTCTTTATCGCTCCGAACCGCGAGAGTCGATTTTTCGACCAAAAAGGATGAAGAGTCACCAAAAGTTTCTCCCTGTGAAATGAATCATATTTGACCAACTAGAGAATGAAATCGAGCCGAGATCATTTCAAAAAAAAGAGAGAAGCAGAGATCAAAAGAGATAGAGAGAGAAAGCGCTAGAATCCCTCGCACCAACTGATCCCCGCCACTTTTCAAAAGCGCGTTTTTTCTTTTCTTTCATTATGATCGAGAGACTGTCACTAAAAAAGAAGAAAGCAGCGAAAAAGAAGATCGAAACGGACATGAATTGAAAAAACTAGAATTGGAAAATGAAATGCTCAAAATGGAAATTGCCAGACGCGTTTCTCACGCTAAAAATAGTTTCGTGAAAGTATTTCGATGGGCCTGTTGTCGTTTTTTGTCGGTTTTTTTGTGGGGAAAATTGGTTTCAAAGAATTTACAAACAGTAGTCATGTAAATAACGATTCTAGAGCCAAAAAGAAGCAAAGATCATCAAACCATCAATGGAGAAGAATCTTTCGATGATTTTGGATTCCATTTTTTCAGTCGATTTACGTAAACTGGACAGTAAAGAAGCGACTTTTGTTCGTCAAATGAGAGGTAAAATCGAAAAGTTGCTACAACCGATAACAAAAACAAAAGCCATTGCCACCGGACATTCTGAAACTCTCCCATGGATAGTTCGAGACATCGAATACGATATCATATCAAAGGAAGACATGAAATATTCTGATATGAGCGACTTCTGGATGAAACATCCAAAGTATAAAGAACTTGACAGATGCCTTGGGGACACACGACCATCTTCATACAGCTCTACAACCACAGATGATGCCCTCAAAACAAGTTTATGCCAGTTTTTCGAAGAGAATTCCGATTTGGACACACGAGTTCGAAGCGAAGTTCAAGTTCTTGGTCAAATAAAACGTAAACGATATCTGCGAAAGCCATTTTGGATATTGTTGAAGCAATATAAAGCAGAAAAAGGGCCGGAATGCTGTCTTAACACCCTTCGGAAAATATATAAAAGCATTTTTCCAGCTGGCTATCTCTTCCTGATGATAATTCTATTCTCCGATGCGTCTGCCCGAGTCACCTTCAAGTGGAACTCTTCTGCAAGGCTATAAATCGAGTTTCTATGCGACCTGCAATATCCGAAGAACAATTATTGGGCACGACAGTATGCGAAAACGGCGGACATGCAGTCAGATGCTTGGAAAATGCTTGCTCAACATGTGATGACAGCGAAGATGGATATGCTCTTGCTCGAGCACGCCTAGAGCTGCTCATGGAACTTGTACCAGACGATGCAGATGTTACCTATGCCCAGCTATGTGAAATCGAAAAAGTCGACGCCAACAATAACAGATACAAGCGAGAGCAAATTCTCATGCAATGTGCACCAAAGGTGGAGTTCCTTGATTTGCTGACCGACTACCTTCTGAGAGGATGCATGTCTTCTGGTGCCCAAAAGAAACTGCTGAACCACTACAAACTCAACGAAGAGTACAACTTCAGCAGGAGTCTTCTAGACATCTGCACCTACGATAACGATGCCCTAATGATCACGACGGATTACGGTAGGAGTTGCGATCATCAGATAAAGTCCTTACCATCCATCAGAATCAACTTTTCTAGAGGATTCGAAGGCTCTAGAATATCTTACAGGAAGATTCACAGGCCTAGTCAGACCTATTCCTGATGATCTGGAGGCTCTAGAATGCCTTATAGGAAGATTCACAGGGCTAGTCAGAACTATTCCTGATGATCTGGAGGCTCTAGAATGTCTTATAGGAAGATTCACAGGGCTAGTCAGAACTATTCCTGATGATCTGGAGGCTCTAGAATGCCTTATAGGAAGATTCACAGGGCTAGTCAGAACTATTCCTGATGATCTGGAGGCTCTAGAATGTCTTATAGGAAGATTCACAGGGCTAGTCAGAACTATTCCTGATGATCTGGAGGCTCTAGAATGCCTTATAGGAAGATTCACAGGGCTAGTCAGAACTATTCCTGATGATCTGGAGGCTCTAGAATGTCTTATAGGAAGATTCACAGGGCTAGTCAGAACTATTCCTGATGATCTGGAGGCTCTAGAATATCTTACAGGAAGATTTTGAAGGGTAGTCAGACCTATATAAGACATTCTAGAGCCTCCAGATCAACAGGAATATTTCTGACTAGCCCTGTGAATCTTCCTATAAGACATTCTAGAGCCTCCAGATCGTCAGGAATAGTTCTGACTAGGCCTGTGAATCTTCCTATAAGACATTCTAGAGCCTCCAGATCATCAGAAATAGTTCTGACTAGGCCTGTGAATCTTCCTATAAGACATTATAGAGCCTCTTGATCATCTGGATTACTTCTGACTAGCCCTGTGAATCTTCCTATATACTTCTGATACTGACGTTATATTATAGCGATGGGTGTCAGTGCCAGAGAAATACAGGAAACGCAAACTATGCATTTCCGGAAGGATGTGTTCCCGCTACTCTCGGATATTAGCTATGGAAAGTGCCCAGACGGAAAGCCTCGGAAGATCTACACACATCTCCTTGCAGAAGTCAGAACTCCGAAGGATCCACAGTTCTCCCTTGCCGGAATCAGAATGTCCTTGGAGAAAGCGTATCAGTTGTATGGCCCCAAGAAGAACCTCTTTGTACAAAGTGACGGGGCGGAAAGCCAGTTTTGGAGTGCCGAAATGTATTACACCCTTCCCAAGTTCTTCAACAGCCTCGATGAACGGTTCAACTTCCAGACAATCATCTGGTACAAGACAGTGTCAGGGCACGGAAAAGGTAAGCAAGTCCCTATTTAACATTCTTTTGATTTCGTAGGTGAAATCGACTCGAGTCATGGCTGCGTGAAGAGAGATCTCACCAACCTCTACAACAATCTTGGCCGTAACGACCTGAATGGGGATGGTCTTGACGTTATTGGTTTGGTTGACAGCGCTGCTGGACTCGTCGACTACTTGAACAAGGATATGAAATGCCATTTTGGCGACCTTCATAGTGATAAAGATGATAGCCGAGGATACTTTCTGAGTGGAAGGTATATTTCCGAGTTCCAGCGTGACCCAGACCTTCAAATTGCCGGAAAAACTGTCAACGGCAGTCGATCGGAATGGTTTCATATTATTCATTCATCAAAATATCCATAAAAAGTGTAAATTAACCTAAAAAGTATCATATGCTTCGCCTTTGCAAAGACGAAAACGGAAAATGGGAAGAAACAAGGTTACAATTCAAAAAACGACCGACCGCCACATTTTGTGAGAGAACTCTCACGAGACAAGAAGAAAAAAACAACATTTGCCCAGACGAAAACTGCCACCTACCATCGAGCCTCCATTGGATTGACGTTATTCTTAAATTATAATTCTGAAAGTTTCAATAATATTTTCTTCAATAACTATTGCCATCAAAATAAAGGACAAACTGATAATTAAGCTCATATTTATAACATTCAGATGATGTAAGATGGTCTTTGAGCAGGGCCATGACCTGCGGAAGCGCCGCTCGCTGAGCAAACGCTTGAGCGTTCGAGCGCATAAGGTAATATGGCTTTTTCATTATATTTATACTTATAAACCGACTTTTCATACAAAAAAACCGACTAAAACCGACAATAAACGGACATTTCTACTCACTACACTTTCAGTGGAAAGGACTTGAAATGGGCTTTCAGAAAATGTATCATACCCCTTATCTATCTTGAATATTTATGAAAAACCGATAAATGACCGGTAAAACCAGTAAACCGACGTAAAAAGATGACCAGTGGAAAATTGACATCGAGAGGATTCTAAAAATATAAAATTGTCCAAGCGTTACTTGTACGAAATGGGAAAAACCGATAAAAATCCGATATAAACCGGAAATTCAAGAATCGGACATATTAAAGCACTAGATCATCACATGAGGATTCTAAAAATATATGGTTATATGGGGTTAGTATGTAAACTAGCGAAGCTACATGAAAAGTAAGTTGAGGCAATTAAATTTGAACTCCACCTAAGCGCCTATCTCGGTTGAGCTGAAACTTTCCATTCTCAAGTTTCCTCGCTGCTCTTTCAAGCCACAGTTCTTTGGCGGTGTCACTCAGACCTGATCCGAGTCGTTCCATACCAATATCGAGCCTTCGAAAGAGCTCCTCCTGAAAAAAATCCGTTCCAGACATAACGCATTCCAGAATGACCAACCTTGGTGTTTTGATATTCTTCTTTTTCTCTGTAGTTTACATTTTCCAAAAAGGCCTTCTTCGTATGGCCCTTGAAATCGTCCCTGATCAAGGGCATTCCTGCCGAATCGAGCAAGATCAAACGCTCCACTTTCTCCGGGAAGAGTGCCGTGTACATTCCGGAAACGCCACCGCCAAGAGAATGCCCAATCAAGTTCACTTTCGAGACATCAAGGGATTCAACAATGTGGCTCAGGGCAAGAGGGTAGATGTTGAATTGATACATCGAGCCATCAGGTAGACGATCTGGAATATTTTTTGAATGATCAAAGTTCAATTTTGGAGAGAAACGACTTGAAAGTCGAGAAGACTTGTGAGGGAGTGGGCCCGAGGATGCAAATACTCGTCGTTTAGTCGAGTATTTACCCATTTCAAAAACTTGTTGATATGTCAAAAAAGTAAATTTATGGGCCATCAATGCTCAGCAAATATTTTTAGCCCAATTTGTTTTTGAACAACTTACCGGATAGGCCGTGCCCAACAAGGTCCAAAGCGATGTAGTGGTTTTCCTAAAAGTTGGATTTTCATCCTTCTTGAAGCATTATTTTCTACCTGAGGTAGTTTACTGAGAAGAGGCTTGAAGAGGCCGCAATTATCTTGCCAGCCGTGGAGGCAGACGTAAACGTTTTTCGAATTCGGGTTTCCGATAGACAATCCGCGGATTTTACCCCACGGGAGTTTGTAAGCGACTTGACGAAATTGCCCAGACATGATTTACGTTTTCCTCTGAAATGCCGAAAAATAGACAAATGATAGGTCAAATATGCTGTGTAGCTGCTTCTTTATGGCACCAGTTTCCATATGTTTAAAAAAGAAAAAAGAGAATCCTCAATCATTTTACTTTTATAAATATTTTTAGATAATCGTTGTTTTTGCAGTAGTGATAAAATTTCAAGCAAAAGGGACAATGGAAGAAATCGAAAAGGATGGTAAAAATCAGAGGTTTGTGGTAGCAGGGTTTTCGCGGATTTTTAACAAAGCGTCTTCCTTGGTCTTGTGCTCGAAAAGTTTGCTCGTTGGCTAAGACAAGGGTTTAAATTGAACAAAAGAAGAGGGTACCTTCAGATCAAGATCAACGATTTCCATTTTGAAGTGAATGTCACCATCTTTCTTGGGAATAAATACGATCATAAGACTACAATCTTTGATAGTTTTGGAGATCAGATGTCGTCGAACAATGTCAACATCCGATAAGTCAGTTTGCTTCTTTGCCGAGGCTAGCCAATTGTGTGAAGGGTTTTCCAAATCTTCCACTTGCTTTGGGCTTAGTCTTTTGAAACTTTCTAGGGAAGGGTAAGAAAGAGAAGAGAGAGAATGGGTTTACCGAGAACTTCATTGGCACTGTGTGAGCTTGTCCTTTGAAGTGCAGCTAGAGCGCGTAATGGGCCGTTCTGATAACATGAAAGAGAACTTTCGGAATTTTTGAAATTTTCATTTTTGAATGTTGACGAGAAACAATGCTCGTCGTTTTCACTTGAGAAGATTTTGGTCAAGAAATTTTGGGTTTTTCACTAACCTGGCGCCGAGCACATTGCACAGATCGAAAATAACCTTGTCGAGGGCATCTGGAAAGCCGCATAATTTCTCGATTAATTGGGGGAAACGTTTTGCGCAAGATGCGCCAACGTGTTCCAAAGTTTCCATCGAGTAAATCAGCTCTCCGTCACAGAAAAATCGCAGATTGTTTTGAGGGTTTTCGAGGAGCTACGATAAATTAATCAATTCAAAATTATATAATGCTCGAGGTAGATTACATCTATGAAATAAAAAGAGTTTATTTTTATATTTTATGGCCCAAAATTATAAGATTCAATTACACGCATCTGTGGGTTTAATGAAGCAATTAATAAGATCCCTAATCGTACTCAAATTGTCATACTTACTGAAATCATATCATATGATTTTCATGACAGCACATGATACCAATTATACCCTTATGTAATCAGATGATTGCCTTACATAATAAATCAATTAGGAAGACTTACATGAGCGAAGGCGAAACGTTTGCGATTAAGATCAGAAGAAAAAAGGTCGACGGGGCAGTAGGCTGATCGGGAATCATATTTGCCGCGGCGGATCTTTTCGAGTTGCATGAGGCAGAACTGGCAGGATCGGCGATTTGGTTGAACAAAAGAACACTATTTCAGAAATATAGTTGAGTTAAAATCTTGAATAACCTTGGGCTTGAGCTCTATGGCGATATTGGAAACAAAAGGAATATTTTGACAGAAATCATCTTGTAGTACAGCGAATCTCGCTCCTGGAGGGATCACCTTATCTTTCCTAGTTCAAAATTTATGCTGATTTTCTTAAAATGCGAGCCTTACCGAGCGGGTGGGCGATCATTGGAAATTCTTTTTGATAAGCGATTACAGAAATCTGCGGGGAGACATACCAAGCTTCCAGAATCCGCCTGAAGTCCGAATTCTGCAAGCAGAGGGCTCTTAGGAAGTGATAATAGGAATCAGTTTGATGGATTTCTTACGACAACTAATTTTTCAAAGCGTAGTCTTCGTTCAATCTCTCGCTTGTCCTCTTCTAGCGTCCGTTCCAGGCCAATAGGCGCTTTGATAAAACGAAGGACTTTACGAAGGGATTGGTTGAAGACAACGAGGTGTTTTCCGCCCTCTGCTCGATATGCCTGTAAAGGTCAGTAAAAAAAGGAAATTGAAAGAGTTCTTACCCAGTCTTTTGGGTCCCAGTGCATAACAGTTATTTGTTCATCATTATTGTTAACTCATAAGATACGAATTTTCTCGCCCAAATTTCACTGAAAAATTAAAAACCGTCAAGAATTATTGCTTCAGTTTTTTAGCTTGGAGACAATCATGAGCACTAGAAAGCCAATAATTCTTCATAAAAGAGCCAAAATCACGCTTTGGTCCGAGAGATTCGAATATCTACTTCTGTCAGCGGCCTTGAATTGTCAAAGCCTCTCTTTTTAGAAAATAATCAGTGGATTTCTAACGTGCCAGTATTGCATTACAGGGAGAATAGGGATAAAAAGTGACAGTTGTAAATAAGGGTTTTAAAGATTCAGAGGAAGCTAAGAATAGCTCCGGGGATCATTTGACAACGTGAGAGGAAGCTATAAAAGTAAAATCCTCGATGTACTGTAGATATTCTGTGAGATATTGGCCGGCACTTGAGCTCAGACCCAAGATGTCCATCCTTCGTACATGAGCGCAAGGTTGTGAATCGCCCGTGCTTCTGAGATCACGTGATCGACCTGGTCGGAAACGGACTTTTGAAGATTCTCGTCAGGATCAAGTCCATCAAGTTTTTGCTGGATTCGTCGGAGGATGAGGATGGCCGTTTGATTGCGTTGGTTCTTTTTGAAGTTGAAAGCTTTTGGCGTCACTAACTTTCGATAAAAAATAAGTTCAACCTTCCTTTGCGGGCTCTGTTTTTGCGGCGCTGGAAGTTCTAAAGTTCTGGCCAAAATTCAGACTCGGGTCTTGTGATGGTGCTTGGGGCGGTAACTCTTTTTCTGAGCTCTCTGAGTTTGCCTGTTCTTGTTCGGCCAGGGCAAACAGCGACGTATTGATCTTAAACGCGTTTACGTTCCTAATTCAATTCGTTTTATTTGGTCTAACGAAGTATTCTGTATTCAGAACGACGGATCGTAATTCTTTATGATTATGCATGATCTTAGGACAGCGATTCGGGTATTTACGAGACTAGGAAGACGTCGAAAAAACCTGTAAAAGATACTACAAGTGTCGGATCTTTCTGTTCTTGAGAAAATGTTAAAAAGAAAAATCTGTAAATTAACAGATCTTCAAATTGAATCTCTATATTTTTACTAACTTGCTATCGTCAAATATTAATCATTGTCCACTAAGGGATAAAAAATCTGCAAACGTTGCCTTTGTAGTCTCATCGAGTAGTGAATTGGTGTCGCTGATTAGTCTCTCTGCCAGAACAATAGACTCCGACTGGGAGGAAAGTTCATTTGCCAGGTCCTTCAAGCTCTCCGCGTAATCCGCATAAGCCTCGAGCCAGCCTTTCGCTTTCGCCGAGGCGGGATTCGACGCTGGGATTTCTTGCAGCAACTTGACCACCTCGCGGAGAACTTTTTTACGCTGATTATGTAGCGAGGCGAGGAAGTTCGAGAACTCTTTGATGGAGACTTTCACTTGCTTGATTTTATTGTTCGAGTGTGACTTCGAGTGGTTGAGATTGGAGCTCTGGGAGTTAAAGTTTTATTTTTGAACGTTCGAGTATCTCGTCCATTGATTAAATAATCATATCTCAGTAGAGGTAAGTTATCAATACTCAGACGAATTGATTACCTTTACTTTCAGTTCCTGGCGACAGTTCTGCCTCCATCTATCCGGCACAAACGGCGTCTTATCATCGAGAACAGGAGGTGTGAGTTCTGTGAGAGTAACTTCTTCCGGTTGAATCTGATTCGAGCAAATCTGGTAGTCGCCGATGATCTTTATCGAGGTCTCGATGAGCTTCAAATTGTCTGAATCAAATTTGTTGCTTTCAAAGCCCGGAAGACGGAGAGATTCAAACGTATAAACGCCTTCAATAAATCGTTCTACGCGTTTCGCGATTTCCGAGTTTTCCGCAAGCATCGTCCGACGATCTTCTTTTGCCAGAAGAACTGCTTGCTCGATGGGCTTTACTCTTGGATTCGTGCCGCTTGACCATTTGAGTCGCTTCAATAAGTCTTGTTCGTTGATTTCAGTATTCTTGATAATATCAACAATTGCTTTGTCCAGGTTGCGCAACTCCTCGAGTATTTCTTGGAAATCCTTGATCACGCGCGATCGCATATTAGCCTGATCAAGTTGATCACAAAGCACATCTTCGTGGAGCCATTGGAAAGAGGTCTTCTGAAGCATTGCTCGTTTCAGACAGGAGTTTATCAAGTGAGATCGTTGGGACAATCGGCGGGTGATGTCGAACATTTTCCAGTTGCGGATGTAGTTCATTACAACGGCAGTTGTCTTCACGATGTCGGTCTGAAATGAAAATTAACGTTTTGATTGACACAATCTTTCAGAAATAGTCCGTCCTTTGTCGCATTTTTACGGTCAATTAGACTGAATTTATTCGATGAATAGAGGCGATAGTCTAGGCCGCACTAATTATTTATTTGTATAATCGTTCGTAACTCTTAGTCGGCAAAAATCAATCAAAACTAAAAATACCGTACCTCTTCTTCTTCCTTTTTCAAGGCCCTTTCGACGACTGCTGTCAAGTCTTTAGCATCAATCGCCCCTGATGATAGCTCTTCAGATCCGCACGCTTCGATAAGAGCACAGGATACGCGTCCCATTGCGTAACTGGGCATGCCGAGCAGCACCTCTTGAATGAAATTCGCAATAAACACCTTGATCGGCTTTGCCAGCTCCTCTTCTGAAAGCAGTTTTGGATTTGTCTCGGACTGGGAGCTGAAAGAAAGCGCATTTCCTCGAACGAGTGAAAAGAAACTCGAGAGAGCTTCAAGTTGTCGCAGGAAGAGAAGTCGGCGGAGGTATCGCGAATCGTAGGTTTCGTTTCGGATGAGCTTCTTTGCTGGAGATATTGAGTGATTCCAGCGTTCAGGGATCACCAAGTCAAAGAAGAACGACACGAGCTTTTCAGTCGCGACTGTGATATCCTGAAAGAATAATTAAAAAAGGGCAGTGTGAAGGTTATTAAGTCACCTGGAAAATATCGTTGCACATTTTTACGAGCATAAGTCCTGGCAGCGCGTTTCCATCACTTCCCATCCCTTCGCATAGCTCGTCGAAATGTCTCTCGAGTATCTGTGCCGTTTCCAAATACTGCTCTGTCGTAGCATCTACTTGTCTACTTCTGAGCACAGAGCTAAAAATAGACGATCATGAATAGGGGTCCTTTAAAAAAACGTCAGAAAATGTTGTTGACCGTTTTCTCTACTACCTCAAGTTGCTGATCATCTTTGACAGAGGCTGAGAATAGGCCAAGTTGATGATGCCATCGATAAGCTGAGTGCTTTCTTCAACCTTTTAGTACAAGTTTTCGATGAGTTTCATTACAGCAGATTATTCGAAAATTAGAGTGCTCTCTGATTAATGGATTTGACAACGAAAGATCAAAGATCGATATAAGGGGTCAGTTGAAACCAGTTTGATTGATCCTATGCGGCGAGCTAGGAATAAACGAGGAATAATTAGACAAATCAAAAACTTTCCTGAAGCAACGAAACGGCTTCTGGAACAATGTATCCTCTCCATTCGGAGTATAATTTGCCTAGACAAGTATACACATCGCTTGTCAAATGGATGTCCAACAAGTTCAGCGGCGCCACTGCCGTTGGAAAAACTCTTGCGCAAATTGTCGCGATTTCTTTCTGCTCAAAATAAAGCGATTTCAATTCTTCAAAGAACCAGTCTCCTGATTTCGAATTGATCGACGCCAGCTTAGGCCCAGCTGTAGCTACATGTTCTTCCATCGTGATGGATTTCATGTAGTTCTGCGAAAAGACTTTGACGAGACATTGAAGAGTTGGAAGCTCGGCTCGAGGAAGATCAGCAAGTAGATCGTCCGTCGCCATTTCAACTGCTTTCATTGCTGTTGTAATATCAGCGAAAACATTTTCTTGTTGCGCTTGTCGCCTTTGAATTTCGGTCAATTTCGCCTGGAGTCCTTCTCTGGGTTCGTCGATCTGGGAGGAGAGGCAGAGCGCCTTGGCTTTGATGAGACGCTTGCGAGTGCCGTTCATCGACGAGTCCTCCAGCTCCAGCAGCCTTTCATGTGCGTTCTTGATTGAAGTACACGCGTCAATGCTCATCTCGTTTTCGAGCTTGAGAATGGCATTCGCCCAGAAGTTGATTCGATGAGAGTTCACGACCGTTTTCGGATACAACTGACGAATACTAATGTATGCGGCGAGCATCTTCACCCCTCGATGCGTGATTTGATGTCGCCGTGCCAGAGTGGTATTGAGCTGGTTGTACAAATCACTCGCTTGGGCTGATAATTGCTTCTGCCCGATTTCTTTCATATAAACCTCTGCACTTTGGGCAGCGAAGGGCATGCTACTGACTGGCGTTAGTAATTCATCAACCAAAAGTTCGATTTCTCGTGCGGAGTTCAAGCCGATCTGCTCGGACGCTTGTTGAAAGTGCCCGAGACGCAGTCGTTTCTCATGCAACAGCTCCTTGAGGTTTTGGTTTTTATTTTGCATGATCTTGTAGCGCTTGAATCGATCGCCAAGAGTTCGCAAATGACCTTCAGAAATCTGGTCCAAGTATCGAGAAGCAGTGGTGATTTGCTTATGCGTTTCTTGCTCTTTTGATAGTTTGACGTTGACAACTTCGTATTCTTCTAGTTTTTCGATGAGTGCAGCGAGGTGACGGTTCGTTTCTTCTTGAATGCCGATCATTGGCTGACGAACTTCAAGAAGTCGAGTAGCAAGAAGAGAACGCTGAATTTCCCTGTCCATTTCTCCTTTGTCCGGCTGATTCGTAGCAGCTGCTCCCCCATAAATCGCACCTGCGTATCCAGCATCAACGGCGCCGGTCCAGTCGACAAGCGGATCATAGACGAACGCCTCTAGCAGCGTCATAAGGGTATCTCGACCTTCTCGCAAAGTTCGCATGGTCTTTTCGCAAGCCTCTTTGAATGGTCCGTGGAGACCAGCAATTCCAAGTGCACCTTCCATATTCTGCGTGAGTCGGAATGGAACGCGTTCAGGAACTCGGAGCGTTGCACCCTTTTCAAAGCAGATGTTGTAATCAATATGAACGATTTCGCCAGTTTCTTGGTCGAAAAGAATGTTATCTAAATGACGATCGCCAAGGCCAATAACATAACCCAGCATGCTCATCACTGCCAAAGACTTGGAAAAGATTGTTTGAGTGTTCAAAAAGTCCGCGGAGCAAGTTGAATTGCACCAGAGCTCTTTTTCAATCAAATCGTTAGGCGTATCTTTGACGAGTTCTCGATGCGCTTCTCTGAGAATGGAACTTGGCCATTCTCTTCGACTCGATTTCTCTGGGTTGACTCCCGCAGCAGCCAAAGCAGGGTAAACCTTGTTGTTAAATACGTCCACTGGACGATCGACTTTGACGTTATCAGACACATTGAGCTTATCTTGTTGTCGAATTTGCCATTTTTGTAGAAAACAAAGAAGGGATTAGACCCATGGACCCATCCGATCAAGCCAGATCTTGAGCCAAGAGGAGTAACGCTGTAGTTTCTCGCTGACAGACCAGTTGGAAGCAGACTGTTACAAACAGATAGAAACTGCATGATACGCTCGTCTAGATGGAGATCCTCCAGGCCTTTGAAGAGATAGGTGTATGTTCTCCCGTCTCCTCCCCGGAGATGAAGTTTCTTGGGTCTAGTCTTTGTCGGAAGGATGGTGAGCAGACCATGGAATTTTGTCACAGTCAGCCCAGAACGACCAGGCACTGGTAGGTAGGTATCCTTGAGTTTCGCCAATTTTGGGGAGATTTCTTTCAACGCCAGCTGCCCACGCTTTCCAGCTCGCGCCAAGAGTTCCTGGTGAAGTTGCTTGAATGGGGCCCAGGAAAGAGCAGGCTGCATGGGAGCAGGATTGGACTTGAGGCGATTGAGAGCCTCTTGAATGAGTTTTCCGTAACGGCGTTGGAATTTCTCTTCCATGGGGGTTTCTGGCTTTGCTGCTGTAATCTGGGCCAGATGTTGAAACGCAGTGAGCACGGGCTTCATTTGTGCCTGTTGGAGTTCGTTCATCATCTTACTTTTCTGATCACTTGTCAATGAAGCATTCGCGTTTAATCGTTTCGCTTCCTCAGCAAGTCTGGAAAGTCGTCGCTGGATATCGGAATAGTGCTGTGTCAGACTTCCAAGCCACAATTCGTCCCAGAGGAGGGTGATTCGTCTCAGTTCGTGAACGACTACTTCTACGTCTTTTACGACAATCGGACTGAGATTATTTCTGATTCTCTGGAGCGAAGCTTGCTGCTCAGAAAGCGACGATGACGAAATGGTTTGTTTTTGTTCATTTGAATCAAAGTCCCGAAGACCAGCTTCAATTCGATGATCAGCCTTCGTCAGCGCGACAACAACGGCGAAAACGACCTCATCAGGTTTTTGTTGGGCGATTCGCTCGAGTAGCTCAGTAATCGCATTTCGAACGTAGGGCTCGGGATGATGAAGACGAGAGAATAACTGCGGGACAATTTCAAGCCAGGATGAAACAGAAGAAGTTCTCAAACCAGTTTCCAGCACGGTTTTCAGTCCACCAGAATGTTTTGCGAGAAGTCTTTTTAGAGTTTTAAAAGGCCTTTGTGGTTATCGGAAATAAGATAATATCTAAAGGGAATCCCTTTAGAAACTTTCCTTAAGAGACGTAATGAAGCATCGATATCCTTGTCAGCTACTCTCAACGCATCAAAATAGGCTGTGGCCGCCCTGGAGTACAGTTCAAATAGCCGATCGGATACCATACGCCAAATATTGAGCATTGTTGCAGTAATGCTGCCATATTGGTACAGCCATGGAAATTGATTGTACAATTTAACAGTGACTTGTTCTTCTTGTTGGAGAATCGAAATATTGTCGACGTTGTCTTCTGGGTATTCGATTAGCTGAGTCCTGCCGATAAGATCTCGCATTAGAGAAAATTGCGCTTGGAATTCTTCTTCGCTCTTCCAAATTACGTTTCTCAACGAGTTCTCCATGATCGAGCTTTCATGAGGCGTCAAGGTGACCAGACCAGATTTAGTTGCTCCGTCGATAACTCGCTTTCCCCACTTGTAGCAAAAGCTTCCAAGCGCTCGGTGAGCCTTTGCGTAGCTAGGTTGTTTGATAGACGCAAGATTTACAAGACATCCAAGGACAGCTTCTTGCTTCGCCTCTTCAAGCAATGATGGTCGGACGAGGGTTTTATCTTTGATATTTTGCTCAGCAGTGACCAAAAAGGCCAGAGAGTTGCAAAGATGATTTCGGCTCCCACCCGTTGCCATGATTTCTAATTCCGGGCCAATGTTCTTCCAGTCTTTCTCTGCCCAGGAAACGAGGTTCAAAAGAGATTTCCCGATCTCCTTATCTGCTGGAATATTGAAACCAGAGCTTGCATGAGGCCCAGACAGTTGCGGAACCTGTCGTTGCAATCTTTCGGATGTTGTGTGACCGAGTCTCATTATTGCATCCCGATAATTCCCAAGAGCAGCGAGTCGCTTACATTCCTGTCGCTCAATTTTATAGATAATATCCAGATCAACAGTTCTTCTGTTTGAACGAGCCTCCTTTTCAACAAGGAGCCTAGCTTTGCGGAAAAGAATGCTTGCTCTATTGAAGTTCTCCCTTGTTCGCTCAAATCTACCTTCCTCGAGACAGGAAATTGATGATTGATTGCGAACTCTGCAAATAATCGGAATCTCGCAGCATTCAGCAAGTTTTGCTCGTATCTTCAGGCTTTGGTAGTTCTTCTGCGATCCCTTGACGTCTCGCACGAGGGATGAGCCGTGGAGAATTCCGATCGCATCTTGCTTGATTTGACATGGCCACTGAAGACCTTCAGCCAGAATCATTGTTCGTCCTACGTCCTCCAATGTGTCTAGTGATCTATTTTCTCGATCAACCTTCGCCATAACCAGTTGAACATCGGCAATTTGCTTCATGAGCGGCCAACGCCAGGTAGTCTCCGGAACTTTTGCCAAATAATCACGGCAGCTTCCGAGCACCTCTTGTTTGTCAAAGTTCTGGATTCCATCAAGATCGTAGTTTTTCATGCATTTCACATAATCGAGATTGCCAAGTTGAGGATAATCCGAGTTACTTTCCAGCCAATTTTGAGCCTTCTCCCAGGATGAGATCGCCAAGAATGACTCGGAAATTTGCTGACGGACGAAGATTTCAGCGGTATTTACGTGATCATCCTCCGGATTCGCGACGCGCCTATCCTCTTCACGGTTTAAATACTCTTGGTAGATAGCTATTGCTGGCTCAAATTTTCCATCAGCTTGGCGCGCACAGCCTTTCAGCCAGACAAAGTTCATGTCAATGTCGAGCTTTCTCGCCCAGTAGTAAAGCCCTGAGAGTCTCGATTCATCTTTGAGAGCAATACCAGCTTCTGCGCACATCATCAGAGTTCTCTCCAAGTTTGACCGATCAATTTCTATCTTCCGTCCGGCCGGAACAAGAATATTTAACAATTGCTGTCCATGATGCCAGGCATCAGCAGGCAATCCACAGTGAAGAGAGACGCGCATGATACTGAGACGGAGACCTCGAAGCCATTTGACACAGATTGATTTGTTGTTGATGAAAAATGTTCGGACGCTGGAATTGAAATTTTAATTTGGGGACTTTCCATTATTTTCGATTGACGTAAATTATAGTGGAATAAAAAACGAAACTGAGTTTATGAGTGACAAAATGGCTTATGGTGAGAAAATGGCAAAAAGCAGGACTAAATTATTGTTATTTATTAATAAAATCATGGAGGAGGCTGGAAACTCACTTCGTCCTCCCTGGGTCGAGTTCATTAATTTGCCTCGTAGACTTCTCATTAGAAATTGTAAAATATTTTCCACATATATTATATACTCCTAAGCAATGGAAACTCTTACCTTTTCGAAGACGTCGGCAGCGTCACACATCCTTCGTAGGCATTGAAAAATAGTCTCTCTAAATTGCCAAGAAAAGCAATCAGCAACCGAGGTCTCGTGAGCAAAAGTTTCACATGCTCATCGGATTTCTTTGGCAGTTTCGCTGTGGGCATGCCCAAGCTACGTTCAAATCCCCTGATTCCTTTTTCAATTGAATTCAAGGTCTGAATATTTGAACCGAGTGGCGTTTTCAGCCTATTCTCCACACAAAAGGCGGCGGCGTCCCATAAAGCCCAAAAGTTCAAATGCTGATTCGTAGCTGCCAGATTTCCTTTCGTCTCTCTTCCTGACCACCAGACTCCTCGTTCGAGCATTTCGAATAGCCCCTCATCTTTTGCATTCAACAACAAGTCCATAACGCCGGAAAATTGTTCATTCTTGAATTGCTGTGGTCGGCACATTAGAGCTCGTCGGGCGATCCAAGCTCGGTACAAAACTGTATTTCGGGAGTTTTCATCAAAGTCCTTTTCAGTAAAATTGTTCATTGCTGAAGCAGGAATATTCAGCAGCAACTTGTTGTAGGAGTCTGCAATTTCATGATCAGCATGGCTTGAAAGCCAGAAAACGCCGCGAATGACATGTTTCGCAACGCTCTCCGGAGCAGCTCCGATTGCGTATTCAAGACATCTGTGGATTGCGAGCAACTGGCCTCGGTCAGCTTGCCAGGCGGCTTCGACAGTAGCTTCAGTGAGCTCTTCGAATTCCGATACGCATGTGAGCCCTCTTTTGTTGTCTGGTCGGCCGAGTTCGGTTTTATTCACACAGCGGATAATGTCTTTTGCCCAAGAAATGGCTAAATCTCGCACCGAAAAAGCCCCGTTCTTCTTTGTGAGAAGAAATGACACGAACTTCATCAATCGAGGGTAGTACTTTTTGAGCGGATGAAGAGCTTCTTTATTCATCAATCTTGTATTTCCCAAGAAATTGTTGATGAAATGACCATGACACTCACAGTGAGATCTCAGTGCAGTGACCAAAGCAAACTCCAAGGCTGGATAATTGAGTTCAACCATTGCGGGACGCAGTTCTTTTTCGACGAGGACGAAGAAAGATGGCTGAATTTCATGGACTGAGAGTACGTTTACCTTTGTGCTGGCAAATTCGGTAAGAGCGGTTACCAGGAAGAGGGCGCTGAAAGATAAGATTGAACCAGGTGGACGTATGGTAAACAGCTGTTATAGTTTCATAAATATTCGGTTATTGTAAAGAGTGAATTCGTTTTTGAAATGAAATCAGTAATTCCTTCGTGATCTATGGTGTATCCCAAAAACTCTTTTTCCGGAAAAATAAAAATTATAAAAGTATAAAATGAACACATCATCATAGTTGTAATAAACAGAGTAAAATTTGATGTGATACAAAATACTTTTTTACTGTACCTGTGTAAGGCTCTTTGTTCTGAAGCAAAATCATGAACATCGTCGACTTTCGCATTACTCATTGTCATATATTTCTTGATCGCATAAATTTCAATTCTCTTCGTAGCACCATGATATCTCAAGAGCTCATTCAGCGTCAATTGCAGCTCTCCAAGAACGCAGTAGTACGCTGATTGCTGAATAACTTGGCTGACAGAGCATCCAAGAGCAGATTGGTAGACTCCGAGGAGTTCCGCTACCGTATCTGGGTGTTGAATATTCTTCCAGTGAGAGAGTTCGTTGATGAAAGTTGTCGCAAATTCTTCAGGCAATCCACAGGGCGCTTCTTGGATCAAAACGAGGACCAGGGTGATTGCCATGATGCAATTCGACTCGGGAACTGCATCGATCAGCTTTCTTGTGAATTCCAAGACGCTTGTCGGAATTTGTTTCTGCTGCCATCCAGAAGTAGAGCCAGATACGAGCATGCAGGTCAGTTCGACGACGTATTTCGTGAGAGATTCCAGAGCGCAGAATCGCTTTTTTGTCAAGAACTCGTTTGAAATATTGACGATGACGTTCAACTGTCTACTGAGAAATGAATCATCAAAGTAATTATTCTTCGTAAAAGTCTCTAGCCCGATTGCTCGCATCAAACACTTGTAGGTTATCAACCTGTACTCAAGCTGCTTGAGTGTGTTTCCCAGAGGAGTAGCGAAAACGTCCCAATTCTCCGGATTTTCTTCGAACTCTTTGTAGCCCTTTTTCGCATCGTCCGTAAACTCGCGAATGTCTTTGAGAAAGTCGTCAAAGTACTGGACTGTTTGGTGCATATTCTGGCGCCAGAAACGGTCCAAATCGAGCATTGACTGGCACAGCTCCATGTAACTTTCCATATCATCCGTCGGTTCAACAAGCCAGCCGATGATGATGTCAGAAACGTCTTCAAAGCGCTCCAGAAACATGGATTCGTACGATTTCGACAATGAAATCATCGGGCTGAGGATGCAGAGCAGTGCTTGAAGGCTTTCTGCTTCTTCTAGCGCCTTGACAAGAGGATCAATGACGATGCTCATGTTTGCGAGAAAATGCTCCTTGGGACGAGAGGTGAGAAAGATGTCGATGAAGACGAAGAAGTTCTCGCGGAATCGATGATCGAGCAGATCGTCTGACTCAAATTGGGTTGCTACCCAGTTGAGTACAGGAACAACGATGGATTCATCGAAATCGTGAATAATCTTCATCAAATTCAAGAGGATTTCTGCAGAGTATTCTGTAAAGACGACGCCATTGACTCGGCTTCGGGACGATTCATGGAAGATTTTCAAGATATTTTCGAAGATTTCTTCCCAATTGTCGCAGAGCAACCGCTTTCGTTCTGAAGCTCGTTCTTCATCTGTCGATTTGAGAAAGTGAATTAGGTTTTCTAAGGAGGTGTATCTTTTCGGACGATCGTGGAGATCAGGCTGAGAAGCTTTCTTTGCATAGCGAAGAATTCGCTCCAGATCGTCGGGTTTATCCTTTGGGCCCATTTCGATTATCTGCACATTTTCTTAAATAGATTTGGTTCGATCTTGATCTGTGAAATTGGTACAGGCGTGCTAGTAGATATTGGTTCATTCGAAGGGGTACTAAAAGAGGCACAGGATGGATGAGAAATTCACAATTGTCATTCATTTATCCTTAGAAAAATGATTTTTAATCAAATGAATCTACGAAATTAAGTCTATTTTCGTCACTCATGAATTTTGCGTATGAAATGTTTCTGAAAGATTAAAGCAATTTCATATTCACTGACATTTTATGAATTTTCTGTATATTTCTCTGTATTAAAAATGAAACGAAAAAACCATAAAACTTTGTGTTCGAATCTCCTTGCGCTCGGATTGGCCGTGCGACCGGAAAATCGAATTCAGCGTTTGATCATTTTTGAAATACTGAACTTTGAGCGATACGACTTTTGTTGCAGTATTTATCGGGAAAAGAGAAAATATTTTTCAGTATGGAATTGTTATTTGTAAATACAGATTTCGGAGTACACGCGTACAACCCCTTCAATCGCCAAGAATGTCTCAAGTATTCAGTCCCTTCAAATGGAAGTTGCATTATCGACGACGAAATAATCATTATTCACGCGAATAAGCCTCTTATTTATGCTTTCAAGCTTCAACGATCTATCCAGGTACCATTCTCAACCCAAATTAGACTCTCAAAAGTCGCTCTTAGACGCCGAAAAAGTTCGTTCTTCCAGGAAAGCCAATGGCTATTTGTTCCCCAGGAATTGGAAAATTCGTCTTTGTCGGAATTTCTGGATCTCTGTACATTTGGCACGTGACTTCTGGCAGATGTATCCACAGCATACAATGTCATTTTCAGGATATTAACAGAATTGCTTCGAATGAGCATTTTACTGTCACTTCTAGTCCTGATGGGTTGAGTTTTCAAATACACTTTTTGCGGAATAGAATCTTTTCATGATAAGAGCTTTTAAAAACTCATTACAGTCAAGTCAACATCTTCGAAACAGTCTCCTTACTGGACGTCAACGCGCAGCCAAAAGCGCTGATCAAGTTGAATGCTCACTCACTGCCCATCACTGATGTCTTCTTGGAAGAAGATTTGCTTTACACAAGCTCGAGTGATTTTACTGTCAAGATTTGGTCATTGGAAGAGTTGAAAGAAAATAGATCGGAGAAAGAAAAGAAGATCAAGCAGAGTAGCTTGCTTTTGTCGACATTGGACTTTCCAGCGGCAGTAACGTCAATTGCACTAGAAGGAAGTATGAAGACGCTTTTTGCTTCGACGAGTGATGGAAGGTTTGGGAGAAATTTAAGGGACGTTTATTCGATATTTTAGGCTGCACAAAATGGATATGTCGCTGAAGTTGCTAGAAAAAGGACCTCATAAAACGGATCAAACTGATTGGAGACATGATGCTAGTCATGGAGATATATTTATAGGTAATTATGCATCATTTTTACAGCTTGTTGCTATCAGAAGTACCAAGTCGTAAAGATTTTTTCCTATTTATCAACTTATTGACTAGTTATTTAAATCAGGACATGGGTCAGTGAGACAGGCTAAATGTTTCCAATCAACTAAAGACTTTCCAACACCAAATTTAAACCTTGAATTTTATCAGAAACGAGCCTCGATGGACTGGATTGCTTGACATCAAGTGGCAACACACTTAGAATTTGGACTTCAGACAGCGCAGCCTTACTTCGGTCAATTCAACTTGCCGGATGCTGCCATAGTTTCTATTCAAAAGTGGATATCTGGGGCATACTCAAAACAGACCTGGGAAAAGTCAAGAGCAAGTCAGCTTCTATGGAGAAAGTTCAGCATGTTCCGAGCAAAGATGATGTCTTATTGAGGTAAAAACAACTTAAAAGCCCTCAATAAAGAGTTGTTTAGGTTCGAGAGTTTAAAGAAAACAAACTGTCCATTAATGGAGCTTGTCTCCTTACGAGCAACACAGCCGAAAGCAGAAAGTATAGAGAGAACGGAAGAAAACGATTCAGAAATTAAAAGGCTAAAGAAACTCAATTCAGAGCTCTACAGACAGCTCGCTGTGAAAGTACTTGAATGAACATTGAACGACTCTCCTCAACTCAATTAATCAATTGACAACCTTTAGAATGTCGCATCACAATCGCCCTCACCATTCTCGAAATCAACACAACGGCCAGGGAAATCGTCAGCACGGGAATAGAGGAGCTCCGCCAGTTCATAAGCCGAATACGATCACTGTCAGCCAAGCTTTAGAAGACATTGAGCAGTTCCAAAATAAATATGGATTCAGCAATACGGATAGTATGCAAGATCGAAGCAGAGAATTAAACTATAAACAGGAAGAAAGTGCTCTGTCAAATAAATTTCAAGAAGCGCTTGGGATTAACCAGGGTCAAATAAATGGATTAGGAAAGAGGAGTTTAACTGCTAACCATCGTGACGCACACCTCGAAACTCCTCAAAAGTAAAGCTTCAGCATGCGGACGCGATTCGAGCTTTCATGGAAGATCCAAAGCGTCACGAATACGCCGCATTCAGAACATTCGAGTTCATCTTCCGAATTCCGGAGCATCTTGATTTCGACAGATTGAACAGAGAGAGCACCTCGACAAACGAGATGCGTTACAAACTGTTGTGTAAGCTCATGTCACTTGGCATCTGTAAAGCGTGCGCTGGTCTAGTCGACAATCGGGACAAACGGGATGATCACAGATACAATCGGACGTTGAATGCGATTGCGTTGTGGATGAAAATTAATCATAAGAAGATCGCGCACGTAAGCACATTGTCCTTTTCAAACTCTTCATCAATGTCTAGTCCCTGGCAAAGCAGGTCTACAAAGAATACTCCTTTACATCTCCAGCAGGAGGCGATCTGTACAAACTCGCGCTCGTCAGTCCTCGTCTTTGCGCAATGCTCATTTCTTGCTTTGGCGAAATCTATCGCGATTCTCTTCCTCCCCCTCTCTTGCTCGATATTATTGCGACTTGGTTAGATAACGAGCCCCTTTCTTTGTTCTATCCGCTCTACCAGAACTCGAATATATGGCTGGGTTTTCTAAAACCAGAGCACTACACGGATGCAAACAAATTTATTCCAATGGCTGGATTGAAAGATTTAATTGGTAAGGCGTCTTTGGTATTCTCTATCTGAATATTTTAGCTTGGAGCATACGCTTGGCGCTAGAAAACAACGAAAAAGATCCGTGGCGTTATCATCTGGTTCTTATCCGTAGTATTTCGACCCTGACGAAAGTTCAAAGCAAAATGACGCAGAGAAAGAATGAACTTCGTCTATGGCCACGTGAGTCGATCCGCGCGCTCGTAGGAGAGCTCATGCAAGTTTCCAAAAAGATGGATGATCAGTTGACCAACGATGGGTCGGCCAAGGCAGATACTGTCATGGAAACTGTGATAGATAGGTATTTCATGATGCGATGGAAACTTGATGATTTCCAACACAATGACTTTCAGATTCGCGCAAATAGCTCATGCTATGAAATGCCAAGGCGCCATGAAAGACTGCTCTCCTGCCCAATTCAATTCGCTTGTCTGTGTACTGCCAAGGACAAAAATGCTAGACATTGCTTCTGGCACCAAATAAACTTCAAATATTATCAATTTTCCGTGAATCTTACACTGAACTTTTCAGAGAAAATGCTCGAAATAAGCAAAGAAAGCGTGATACAAACCCTTCTTGATCATGGAGGCCGTATGCCGCAGAAACAACTTTCGTCAATCTATAAGCCTCTTCTAGCCGACAAAACTCAACGCCCGCTTTTTCAAAAGATCGTGAATCAGGTCGCATTTGTCAAAACGAAGGAAGAAAATGGAGAGGCTATAAAAGTAGTTTTTCTGAAGAAAGAGCTTCGATCAAGGTTCGTGTCGTACATTTTCTGAATAGTAGCCTAGAACAATTATCTAGTCCTTCCTCAGCATCTGTCACATCTTCTTCCCGCGGAAGTCCAGCGAGTCAAAGTCGAGTATTTATCCCCGACGCGATCAGGTATAAAAACTTGACTTTTATCGCTGACTAAATTTGCCAATCCATTCAGAGAAATTATGCCACAAGGCTCTTCTGGGTATTCATCTCCACCGAGCACAATTACAAAGCCGACTCGACGTATTTCGCCCGACAGATCTTCTTACACTAATTCGGATCGCTCATATAATGCTCCACCTGCTCCTATTTCAAATTTGAGACCACAGAATCTCGAGAAAGTTCGAAACTCCCCAAGGTAAAGAAAATTTTATTTATCAATTTATTGATTTTTAAGACATTCCCCACGAAACTCGCCTCGAGATTCACCAAGGGATTCTCCAAGAGACTCCCCAAGAGATACACCGCGTGAATCATCGACACCTCGTCACATAACTCCGCGAGAATCCCCTCGATCTTCGCCCCTTCACATGGAATCTCGTCCTCGCGCTCCTAAAACTATGGCTCCTCCTCCGCCGAAAGCCGCCCCTGCGCCTCCCCCCGTCAAAACTGCCCCCAGTAGAGAAGTGACTTCAGATTTTCCTCCACCGCCTCCGATCGTCGTCGAGCCAGCGTCTTCGTCTTCAACCCCTCCGCCTCCAGCAACTTCAATGCTTCCTCCATCGATTCCAGACGAATTCAAGCGTCCAAAGGACCCTCCACGAAAAATGTCGATCGACAGCTCAAAGCGAACAATTTTAGGAACGGATAAAACTTGCTGAAAACACAATTGATTTTCGTTTCTGTTTTTCAAGTGCCTGAAAGTTGAGACTCAGTTTCAAGTGGCGCCTTTTTATTATCTATTTTGTCTTTATCCCAAGAGAAGCTGACAGAAACATGAACATGAAGCTTTCTGGAAGCAAGGAGAGTTTAAATTCGCTGCATTCTGCTAGTACGAACAGAAATCAACTCGGCGAGCTGGAGAAAAATTGGTTTGAATTTTCAATGGAAGGAAACATCGATGAAGTGAAAAGGGCGCTGAAGGAAAAACCTGAAATCTTGGAGCATAAAGATTATATTCTTGGGGTAGGATAACTGATTCTAGTGCAGTTTTGAGGCATATTATTTAGTATACTGCGGCTCATTGGGCGGTGAAGACGGAAAATGTGGATCTTTTGAAAATTTTAGTGGCGTCCGGCCTTGATCCTAATTGCAAAAGTCACAATGGGGGAACTCTTCTCCATTTAGGAATGGCTCGAGATCTCATTTTTGTACTCTCCTACGGAATATCGAGAAAGCCTCGAAAGCTGTCCAATCCGGTCATTACAAAATCCTCGATTACCTCCTGAACCTGAGAACAAACGCAACTCTTGTTGTTGACATTCACGCGCGGGACAACCTCGGAAAGCTTCCAAGACACTACCTTTCAGAAGAAAACTTCGACAGGGAGCAATACCAGCGTCTGGTTAAAACTATTGGTAAGTCGTTTTAAAATAATCATTTGAAATAGATAAAATTTGCACAAATCGTTGTTACAATGATAATTGATCAACTCACTTTCAATCAAGGAAATCAACTTCGAGGTAAGCAACACGAAGTAGCGCCGAATCGGTGTGCTTTGGTGACAAATTATATTCCCGTAGCATGGTGTTTTTTTACTCGTAGCATTTTTAAAGAAATCTAGTTGTTTTTGCTTCGTCTTCCCATTACATCTATTGACTTCATTTTGTAGCTCCACCTCGCAGCAGAGAAACAGACGACCTACCGAAGCCAGAGCCGAACGCATTTGAAAACCGTAGAAGGCATTTGAGTTCCAAATCTGGCAAAGATAAAAACCTCGAAATTCCTGAGAGCTCTACCAAACCGTCCCGATCAAATACCATTTCAAAATCGGTCAAACACTTTTTCAAGCGCGAAAAATCGCCAAAAAGAGAGATAAAAAAACTTGACATTATTCACGATTTCAACGATAGTATTTAAACATGACACAAAACGAAAATCTGGAATTTTCAATTAAAAAAACCCATGACACTTTCTCTAACTTGATATCACGAAAGATATCCCCCTAACAAGTTTAATTATCAAGCTTACTAACTCAAGCAAAGTCCCGTGCGAAAGGAGTCAAAAGGCAGCATTTTCCAATCAATGCGCAAGGGCACCTCGGCTTTCCTCGACAGCAAAATTAACAAAAAGAGTTCAACCAGCAATCTGGGCTCAACTAACTTCAAGCAAAACAGTCCTTCGTCACGTGGCTGGAATAATCTCTAACCCTGCACATTTACTTGAACAGAAAGTATTTTCAAACCACTACAATCCATGCACGATTTCTTCATTCATCCTTCTTTATTCTTAGCCTCCAAAAATGACAGTTTGTACAAAAAAAACATTCAACAATTCTTCTGTACATCTTCTTTAAAAAAAGTAATAAACAAAAAGATACTCCTTTCAACAAAGATATTTTTTTACTTCCGGTCTCCCTGTCGAAAATTATTTTCCACAAGATAGAAAAGGAATCTGAGACCCGGAGCGTGTAGCAGCTGATCTTGTCACCTGTCGCAAAGTTGTTAAAAAGGTCAAGTTTGTCATTTTTTCGCTGCAATATTTTTTCAACCTCTCAAGAGATTTTCAAAGTTTTTGGAAGAGAATATACAAGTCACTGTAAGTACGCGGGGTTTTGAAAAGTAACATGGCGGCACTACTAGAATGATTCGTATAAGCTCGCAAGTTAGTCGGATTATCGCGTTTCGTTTTGCCTCTCGCTCGATTCCCTCGAATGATCCCCTCTACGATGAGCTTGCCATCTCTGGATCATCTTCATCAGATCATTCCTTGCAAAACAAAAGCGCGCAACTAGCTGAAGCCAAAAAAGAGCTCCGGGATTTTCGAAAAATTGAGGATCTGGTCAAGCGCAAAAATAGCTATTTTCGCGCAGAAGCAGACCAGATCGACCAAATCCTCAAAATCGAGCAGATTGCGGCTTCAAACGGACTCGAGCTTGATATTGTCCAGCATATTGTGACCAAATCGGACGAATATGAGGCGAAATATCAGTTTACTGATGCTGTCGTGCAGTACCCATATACTAACGGCGATGCGAGACGCTTCTCAAAGGCGAAAAACAAACGATTTGCGAATTTTCACAAAGCTATTTTGAACGAAAAGCTTTTAGACTAGGGTTTTAATTGTTCTACGAGGATTCTCTTCCTTGATTTCAGGTCAAATTGAACCCTTTCGAAAGCCATTTGCGAACGACCTTCTTTTGAAACAATGAGAAACGTCAGCTCAGAAATCAATTCCAAGTTTAACTTTACCAAACCACTCGGGAATATCAGACTCTTGGTCGAAAATCTCAAGCATTCCCAAAACATTATCTCTGTTATCAATACTTGCAACCATTTCGGAGTCCATTCTGTTCACCTTACCGCTAGTTCAACCGATTGTTTTTCGCCTGAAATTCTTGCCGAGACAAATTGTGGCTTCTTGAGCTTGCCGATCGAGGAAAACGTTCAACTCGATCAAGAGTGGGATAGAAATGGGTTTGCGCCTTTTTTCGTTCTCATGGCGGAATCAGCTGACTATTTTGAAGATCCAGATTTAGTAGCGGTGTTTCACTCGGGAATAGACTGGTCCTATCCGAATATAGTTCTGGTTTTCGGTCAAGAGTCGAGCGGCATTTCAAAGTCTTTCTATGAAATAGTTTCAAAGCACCGACCAGTTGTGGGGGTTATTGAAACATCTCTCGATCTTCCGCTTAGTTTATCCAGCAGTGTAGCCGTTACTGTATCTGAAGCTTACCGACAGAATTCATCGCCCTAAAATCTTCCTTAATTTATCCTTTCAGAAACGGGTCAGACTTTATCATGGGCAAGAAAGCGAAGAACAACAAGCTTGTCAAGGCCGGCGGAGCCAAGCGCGCCGTCTTGATGCCCCTGATCAAGGAGCTGTACCAAATGACCTCCACCGTCGACAAACGACCCAACATCGAGGAGGTGTACAGACTGGCCCAGGCGATCGAAGAGAAACAGTCCTCCTTCATCCCACCTAGCTACAACATCGACAGAGTTCAGGCTGGGAATGAGCTTATTGATCAATTGAAAAGGTAAAATTTTTCTTTTCATCTCCTCGTTAATTATTCGTTTAGTCAATACAACTGTAACATCAACGCGGAGGCTGAGTCCGACGACCTTGGCGGCGTCCGACTTCGACTAACCGAAGACTGTGAAAACAACAACACAGTTCTCGATATCCCAATCGATGCCTGCATCACAACTGTCAATAGAGAAGAGATGGTAATGCAACCTTTTTCTTTCCAACCCGTTTATCTTTCACCTAGACAGTTCTGGATGCCTGCAGAACAGATCCAGTCCTCGGCAACATGGTCAACGTTCAGCTGGCGCTGAATTTGTTGTTTGAAGTTTTTGAAAACAAAAACTCAAAGCATTATCATTACTTGCGAACGCTGCCCGCAAAGCCTGACACTGTTGTTGCCCAAAAACTTGAAGATATTCTTCCACTCCAAGGCTCAAGGTAATTTCTAAACGATCATCGGCATTCGGTAGTATCTATTCGGTAGCATTTGGATGGAAGCTGAACCACTTCTTATCGCTGTTCATCGGCAGTACGCTCGTCTTTACCAGATGATCTCGAACTCGCCAGTTCCCGGATTCGAAAACCTCCGAAACGGCTTTACGCTTTCCGCCTACAAATGGGCCGTTCAAATCGTCCAGACTAGGCAAAATGGATACCCGGGCGTGAATCACATGGAACTGAACGATTTGGTGCTGATCCCTGTTTTGGACTTGTGTAATCATGCTTTTGAACCGACAGTTAAAATAACTCAAACTGGCGAGGATAAATTTAAAGGTTGATGGAACACCTTTCTCCTGCTAAAACTGATTTAGGTTTGAAATTATCCCTCTCCCCGAAAAAAGACGATCTGAAGAAGGGGAGTGAGTTGAGTCTGAAATACTCGCCAACTTGTTCGTCCGAATTCTTTATTCATTTGGGCTTCATTCCCGAAGAAATTCCAAATGATTGCTCGAGACTGAAATTAAGTCTTCCAAAATGTAAACAATTCTAAAAAGCGACCAATGAAAACTCAAATTTTCAGCCGGATCTGATTGGAGAATCGGTCTCCTCTCACTCTTGCCAATCAAGTCTCCGTTCAAAATTGGAAAAGACAATGTTCCATTCGATTTGATCAATTTTATCCGGGTCTTCCATATGTCTGAGGAAGTTGCCAAGGTCAAATTTGAAGAAATGAAGACTGCCGAACGGGTAAGCGACTCTAAATCCACCCAAATCAATCCATTTAGATCGACTTGTCTCTCGGCGAAGAAGAATCGAAAGTATTCGACTTTCTCCTGCTCCGTTTGCGCTTGATGATCGCCAACGTCGACCGCTGTCTTCAAAAATGCCCAGAAGAGTCTCTCTCCAAAAAGCTCCTGCAAAACGAGCGTACTAACTTTACAGAAGCAGTTGAATATATTCAAACGCTCAAGGAGTAAAGTACTCTCCTTGATTCATTTCTAGTCTAATTCAAAACTCGTTAAACAAAAACGTTTTAGCCATATGATTAAAATCTGAATTATTGCCTTTTTATTTATTTTAATTTATACTTTTAAGATATATAAATTGCCTTTCTTTTAAATTTGTAAATAATGTGAATTTTTGCCCATGAGTGTTTTTTGCTTTTCTTTGTCTTGCCGTGATGCCAAAATGTTCGTGTTCATATCCTTTTTTTTCTGCCCGACTTCTTCCTGAAATCCATTGATTTACCTATTTATAAATTTACTACAAGTACTTGTTTTTTCTATTTAAATTATTGAGCATATTAACAGTATTTTATTCACACCTGACTTCAATACATGTTTTACTCGTTTTTCTTTTCAAATAAATTTCATACATTTTGGTCATCTAAGAATGCCTCAACCGCTTGTTTGGAAAGCTCAGTGGATCAGATTTTCTTTTGCGCCGAAAATTTCGATGAGACAGATTCATGCCTTTCTGACAGATATTGGACCGTATGAATTGAAAGAAAAACAAGGAAGTATGAACGTCAGATTCTGTCAACCAGATGTAGAAGACGATTTTATCAAGAATGGTCGGAGAAAGGCGAGGATTGAAATCGGCGATGGGATAGTCCTGGACATTCAGCCGGTTGAGGATGAAAAGATGAAGCAAGCTGCATTGGTAAGAGATTTTTTGCCAAAAAATTTTTGGTGAATGATTTTGAAAGAATTTTTTAGTCGCAGTTGAAAACACGAATCGCCCACGAAGCCGCTTCAGCGATAAAAGCTGAACCAGAAATCTTGGAGTCGATGGGAGAGTTCTTCAGAGGTACGGTTCATATCCGAGGTCGAGTAGCTAAACCTCCTTTTTAGAGTCTGACTTCACAAAACATGAAGAATTCTGTGCTCGCCGAGAAGAGCAAGGGGACGCTCTGGAATCTGTTATCGAAAAGCTTATCCAACTGCCACCGCTTGATCTTCCTGCTCCTGAAGATATTGAAATCCTAGATCTGCCAATTCCAGACGATTTCGGAGAGATCGATCGACTGATTGCCAAAGAGGTGGCAAATGCAACGAAAGAAGAGATGCTCCGGGCTGAGACGTTCGTCGATAAAATGATGGCTGATGCTGGTACCCCACTTTCGTCGGATACTCTTCTTGAGAAAAAAGAGATACGAAAAGATCTGAACTATAATTTTGAGGGTTTATCAACAAAACCAGCTTGGAATAACGAAAAGACAAAGAAATTCGTTTCGAAGGAACTCGCTAACCGACCGGCAATGGGTTAAATTTACGCACATTTTTGTCACTGTCAAACCGTTCACTCACTGTCATGAAAATAATTTTTTACTTCACATGCTGCTATCCAGTTATTTTTACTAAAACTTTTAATAACTCAATAAAATAACCTTATTTAAAAATAAGTTTCATTATCTACGAATTTCAGAGCACAATGTGCTCGATTGGGCGTTTCGAAGCACTATGGCGCGCACTAGAATATTCCTCAAAGGATAAAGTCGAATCCCTTTTGCAAGAAACAGGCTATCTGAATGGTCTACGGGACGGCTTGTCCATCTTCAAAACAGCAGGAGGCTCTCCAGCAATCAAACAAATTGAAAACGATAAAAACTTGAACGCTACAGACAAATTACTGATTACCCGTTTCTCGGCACTAATGAATCTTGACGAGCAGCAAGCGAAATCGACGACAGAAGCGTACTTTGGCTCTCAATTGAAGAAAATGGTGCAGAAAGATCAATTTGAGTCCGAAGCAGATAGTAACAAATCTGAAGAACTGTCTGAAATACTGTCCTTTTTCTGCGCGGATAAACTGTATCTTTTGAGGAGCATCGAGCTTGTCCTATCACTTAAAAATTCAAATCGAGCAGATCTTGGAGTCAGTAATGTCAAGATCGAAGGGAAGTCTCTTATTGACCAGCTTGAAAAGCTTCTCAAATCTCCGCCCGTGCCGAACAGAAGTCGCGATCTCAACTCACAAATGATCTCCGTCCTTCACCTACAGCACCTCCGCGAAAGAATGCGCTTGCTGCAATGTATTCTTCTATACGTCCAAACTCATACTTTTCAAAAGCCAGAAATCGAGCGGCTCTTCAAAATCTCGAAAAAGTTCTTCTTCCTCCTCAATCCTTCCACTGCCTATCTCGTCGACGCTACTGTCGTCTCGAAGCTAACCGAATCTGCTGCCGTTCTACTCCAACTAGTCCTTATCAAAACTCTCTCATCAAGCGTCTTTCTCTCTGATTCCGTGGACAGGTCTTTCCTAGAAACAGTCAACGACAGTCTCACAGTCCTGTTCGACACCGAAGTCAAAATTCTCTCGCCACTTCAGCTTGCCTGGGCGATGGTCAGATTTGTCCAGGCAGAATCTTTTCCATCCGCGGACGAGACGATCTTGACTGAAAGACTCGCCACGATGGCATTCGAAAGTGGTCTGTGGCACATTGCTAGAACTATGATCGACATGCATCACTTGAGTCAAAGCATTGCCGGCGACGCTGCTGCAGCAACCATTCTTTCCTTGGTGAATACAACTCTTGAGCGATTTGACGCAGAAAGTGCTGGCGGAGTCATCGAATTAACGGAAACAATCGCCGCCTGCTTGAGTAAAGATGATGTTTCCGAGAGTTTCTGGTCGAAATTTGAGCTGAGAGATCCAGAGGCACATGAACTGCCTGGAATTGCTGGATTCATGAGCACGCAGATCAAAATGTTGCCCCTGGATTTTGAAGTTACTTTCAAACTCTTGGCAGCATCGTGTTCAGCGAAAAAACCAACAGAAGCTGTTGCTAGAGTTTTAGGAGAGATACAGTTTGTTACCGAGCAGATTACAGGAGAAGAAACAGCCGAAGAAATTTTTGATGGAGAGAATGATCAATGGCAGCTGAGGATTCCCAAGCAAGTTGCTTGCTTTGATGTCCCAGAAGGAGCAGTAGGCAGTCTTTATCAGTTCCACTTTGGAGCTGTTGTACAGTGGGAACTCGAAGAGAAGGGTTCCGCCTGGCCAATGATCGAGCAGCTCTTGAATTCGCCGAATTATTCTTCGGAAGTCTTGGCTGCAGGGCTGAGAATTTACTCGAGATGCAGAACAGAGGCTTCCGGAGCAACGAGACCTCCTTGCATGAGACACATTCTATACCGACTTTTCAAAACTAAACTCGGCCGTTACTCGTACGACAAAGATTTTAACCTGATGAAGAAAATCCTCCACGCCGTTTTATCAGAAGGAGAGACGAAGAGCTTGTCAGAATCATTTTCAGTCTTTCAAAGTATTCTACCAAATCACAACAATAGTAAGAGCAGCCACTGGCGACAGATTTTCATGGACGAGCGCGAATCCGGAAAGTTTGATGTCGTTGCGGTCATTCTGGATATGATGGATCATTTTGCTTCAAAGAGCACGGAGCTTTCTCTTGGACAGGATGATCTTCTGAACTCGAGCATAGAAACAGTCCTAACCGAGCTTTTCCCCAGTCACTTGTCCTGGAAATATAACTCCGTGAGCACCAGGATCTCCATTTCTCTCAGACTTCTCAACATTATCAAAACATGCTACGATCGCCCGAAACTCAGGCACAGTTCACAAAAGATTCTCTTCCTTGATTTAAAACTTGATTTTTGTGAACTGAAAATAGTGTTATGGCAAAAATGGTTCGAAATTTGTTCCAAACTGATGAAGCAATGTGCAAAACAATGCTGCTACTGTGCTGCGTAGACTCAAATGAGCTGGATGAATCTGCTGCGTCTTCTGTTGTATTTACTGAATTATTGGCAAAACAAGTGTCTTCTTCGTTTTATTCTATGGAACATATTCTCAAAGTTGCACAGGTAATAGTAATTTATATTTATTGAAGTCGCGTATTTATTATACAGATCAGTTCAAAAGATGTATGAACTGGATATGTTAAGTAATCATGGTTCATTTAATAATTTCAGCAAAATGACTCGTCAATGATCGAAGAAATCCTGACATCGAAAACATCCGGCGCCGAATCCATAGGTTGTTGCGTAATCAAGGCAGTCTCTGGTTTTATCTTCAATCGTTCGGATACAAAACTGCCATTTCATGCGATTCGTCTTCTTCGGCGACTTTGTCACTTCAACTCTATCTCACTTCACGCGACTTTAGGATCTCATGTTTATTCACTCAAAAGGTACATATCCAACAACAAGTCGTATTAGTTTTGCCTTTCATTTCATTCAGATTTTGAAATTTTCGATTATATTTATAGCTGAAGTATCTCCCGCTTTGTAATAAGTCCGAACCATTTTTAGTTCAATCCTGCGGAAAATCGAGGACGAAGAAAACTTCAAAGATTTACAGATTCCAATCGTCGAACTCTTAGCTACAATCGCGGAGCATCAACCCTCTTTGCTCGAAATTTTCCTCGGCCTCGAAGATAAAGACAAAGAGTCAGGGGAAAAGAAAATCGGCAAACAATCTTGCCTACCATTTGTTCTTGATCTTATTGAAACAAGGTTCTAAAATATTTGTTGGGGAAATTTTTAAATGTCTATTTAGCGATGAAAATATAGCATTCAGCGAAATGGAGAGCGCTTTCAGATTTTTGCATGCACTCTGGGCGGGAAAGAAAGATTCGCACAAGTATTTCAAAGTCTTGAGAATTCTGAGAAAGCGAGATGACTTCTGGGAGTCAATCTTCAAGCCTCTGTATACGAACATTGGCGAATCTGATGCTCTCTTACGGTAATAGCGCTTATCTGATTGTAATATTCACTCCTAAAATTAGGAACCATGCGACGATAACAGTTCTTTCTCATGTCTTGTCTATCATTGCTTACGAGTTCTACTACTCGACGAAGATTGACGATGCATTTTCGAAAGAACTTAAAATGCTTGCTGACTCGAAAAAGATGGAAGACTGGGTTGAAGTGATAGAAGATGCGCCAATTCAGTTGGCCGAGTTGCAGAACTCAAAGGTAAAGAATGGCCTGTTCTCCAGCGCTAGAATTATGTTAAGGCATTTAACGATGAACGAGATGCACTCTTGTGTCTTTGTGAAAGCTGGAGATGCTTCTGGTTGATCTTCAATAAAGAGGATTACTTTTCAATCGAATCGAAGCGCAAGTTCTTTTACTCACAGATCGTAGCTGGCGCAGAAGTCCTTCCATCCCTCGTGAACCGACTCGAAAGTGGCGAGGATGCGACTAGCTTGCAACATGTTGCTGCTTTGATCTCATCAAGCTGCATCTCCGCAGCTAAAAAGTGCCTTGGTGGATTTGAAGCCGCAAAGGTAAATTTGGGTTCTCTTCCTTGATTTCAATTACTCTTTTCAGAACATCGACATGCTCTTGCACTCTCAAAAGTCACTCGAAGCTCTGGAAGAGTATGCAACTGAGCCTCAAATTCGAAATACTGTTATCGACTGGCTCACTCTTTGTACCTTGTTCCTGCATCAGATTTCTAGCGATATGGATATGGGACTAATTTCAAGTTTGCATTCAATTTGCACGAGACTGCTTCAATCAGGCGAGGTGAAACTCCAAGTTCAAGCTGTACTTTTGGTTCAGCAGACGTTTATTTCGAGCTCGGTGAAATCGTGGAGACAGGTTTGAAAATGTACAGATAAAGAGATGAGTGTTGTTGATTATAGGTTGCGTCGAAGAATTATATCATGGAAACGATGATCGAGTTGCTTTGTACAGTTATAAAAGAGCGAGAAAATTTCAATTTGGCTGATATTATCATCACATTCTTGGTGACAGTAATCGAGGAAGAAGGTGAGTCGTTTTAGAACATTTTGATAATGTTGCGACTTCGAAATTGTTTTCGGCAGATGGGGCAGTTAAAGTTAGATCTTCTCATCAGAGTTTGGAGACAACCGTAGCAGAATTGATGTCCACACTGCAAACAGCATTTCTGACGTTCATTTCCATAGGGTTCTAGGCAGATCATGCATTCACCCTTACTTGACGAACGAATATAATTGTTCAATTGATTATTTTCGGCAGCGACTTTTCGACTCACTTCGCAGATTTTTTCTATTTGTTCGCATAGTTGATCATTTTCCTGTCTCAACTCATCGAAACGATCTTCATTTTGTAAACGCCAGTCTTCGTAACGATCTTCTTCTTGTTTGTTCATCAAATCGCAAAGCTCGAAAACGTTAAACACAATAAACTGATGGAAACTCATATGAAAAATCGCAAAGTGATACTTTTTCCTCTTCCAGATCTTCATTTATTCGTTCTTGAATCGAAAGCATTTGTAGAGTACGCGCATTTTTATTTTGCTGGATTTGATATTCTTTCGCAAGACCGACGAATCGAATCTTCATTACATTTAAAAAGATCAACGGGTTTTCCATCTCAAGAGCTTTCAAATTGGCTCCCACATTTTGATTAGGATCGCGATACCAGATTGTATCCTCTTCTTCTTTGGTCTCAAGCAAAGCGAGCGTTTCGTCAAGTTTTCCACTTTGGAGAGCTTTTTCAAAGAATGTAGCTGCTCTCTTCTTTAGCATACTCGTTTGGGTCGCGAGAGTTTTCTCTTTCGTGTATTCGTTCTCTTTGAAACTATCATTCGTCTGTAGACCCGGCAGGAACCGATCGAAAGCAGACTTTTCTCTTTTCTCAGCAGATACAGCGCTCTGGTCGCCATCGTGGTCGCGGCCTTCTAATCGATAGGGATCCCATAAATAGCAAAAGTCTGTTATTTTTGTCATTTGAATTCAAATTTGAAAGTTTTTTTTTAATTTCTACTATTCAGTCAGACTTGGATAAGGAAGGTACTCAATTTATATGATTCGGTGTTTATTTAGTAGGGCAAAAACCACTTAGCAGTAGCGCCAAACAACATCGCCAAACACAGGCTAAAATTTGTGCAGTACTCGAAATGGGTCGTCCCTGAATGACTGACAGTTAAATAGGCTAACCTATTCTTCAGCTATTTGCAAGCACATATCGGACCTGGCGGTGATGTCTCGGCTTATTCTCAGCTCCGAGAAGCTTTACGACCCTGTGTCCGAACAATCGTCGAACGAGTGGCCAAGTTTGTACAAGCGACTTACTGTCCTCAATATCACGATGCAAAACCGCCTCGGACCTAGATTCCTTTCTGACAACCTCGACTGGGTTGGAGTTCATCAGGAGCGAATTCTGTATATCTTGGGCTTTGCTTTCAAAGAACCGCTTGCTATTGAGTCATTGAAGGAGCTCATGACTGTTATTATGTATCTGAATGGACTGGCAGAACATAAAGAAGCCTGGATTACTCAAGTCGGACAAGGAGGCAATTCGGCAGCGCAGACGATTCAAGCTGTAGCGAGGATTGTTATTCACATACCCAAGTTTTTCGAACACTCGAAGGTATTTTCCCTGTCGTAAAATATTCTTACCAGAGCTTCAGCTAACCGTTCGACTTGCAAGAGAAGAGAATCAAGATGAGTGCGTTCAGCTTTTGATCAAAATCTGCGCACTTAGCTTTGAGCTCATGTCGAAATTCTCCGCTCCAGTCAACCAAATCCTTCTCGACGAAGGCCTTGATGCTGCCCAATATCAAACCATCCTGCAGCCAGTTATGCACCATGTTCCTGACAGTCATCTACCTTCCTATGGAGCTGCGATGTCTTGCCTAAGCCTCGGTGTTGGGCTTTTGGAAAGATGCACGAAGAGTACTGACGATGTCAAGTTCAAGAAGCAGGATGTGATGTATATGATCGACCAGTCTTTGAATCTGATAATGAGCCAAGCTGCTATTCTCGTAAGTTCAATTGAACATTCTTTGACATTAAAATTTCCGTAGTTCCTGAAGACGGATCACAAAGCACGCGAACTAGGACAATTCAAAAACTACTTGGGATCAGAACTTGAGCATTGTATTGTCGCAGTTCAACGAAGTTGCCGTGGCTCTTGGACTGTTTCACCATCAGGTTCTCTCAAAAATCACAGGCGATCAGGTTACACTATATTTTCAGCGTCTCCCCGAAGATCTCTCCGTCGAGCACGATCACAAACCGAAGGCAAGAACGATACCGAACACGGTATGCTCCAGCTTGCCGATCAGTTCCGAAAAGATGTTCTTTTATGAAAAAATGACTTTCAAATTAATACTCAGTTCACTCTTCCACATGCATGGTTTAGGTCAATTATGTTTCCCACTGCCGTTAAATAAAATAAAATAAAAGATCTTTTCAAAAAATAATTTCAGATGGTAAAGCTTGAGACAGAAAATGATGAAGAGAAAATTGTGGTTTTCTGCGTCGATGGCACAGCCGGGCTCGCTCCTTATTGGAAGCAAATGAAGAGAAATTATATCCGCCCTTCAATTCTGGCTCTTCAAGATTTGAAAAATGTAGAATCGGGTCAATACGGCTCTACCTGTTTCTCCACTGTGGTTTACGGAGCTGGTGATGGATTCGGCGGCCCTTATCATTGCATCAAAGAATATGAGGATACTTTTCGGCCAAAGACAGTTTTAGAGGACTTCGAAAATCTTGAACTTCAAGGCGGGGGTTTGGAAGATAGAACTCACTTGATTGAAGCCCTATCTGTTGCGTTGACAATTCTCGGGACATCCAATGCTCCTGAGAAGCACATCGTTATCATCACCAACAGCGACTTCTACGATACAAAAGTTCACAATATCAACAACATGTTTTACACGCAAACGCTAGAACAGCTCGTCCAAGCATCAGTTTCTTGCCAAGCAAGAGTATCTGTTATCACGCCGCGGGTGATCAACTCGCTCAAGAATTTGTTCAATTCTGCTAATTTCGACGGTGCACAAAGCCAAGGAAATAAAATCGACGGGCATCACATGATCCTTACGCATTTTCCAATGGAGAATCAACCAGATCCCCCACAAAGTGTCGATTCTCAACGCCAGTCCCAGTCGACTCCACAGAAAGAAGAAGTGAAGACAGAAGTTAAATCCGAGCCTCCATCTCAAGAAATGCCTCAAACACAAATCGCGCAGAATCCGACGATGATGCAAAATACACAAGATCCGCCAAAGAGCATGGCGTTTAACCAAGGTGTATCTGGACAAATGCAACAGCCAGTGATGTCTCAAGCAGGAGGAATGCCGCAAAATCCCGGACAAATGGGCGGACAAGTTCAGCAACAAATGCAAAATCAACAGCAACCACAGCAAATGAATCAACAACAAATGAGCCAGCAGCAAATGCAACAACAAGGTCATCCAGGCCAACAAATCAATCAACAACAGAATCAGCAACAAAACCAACAACAGCAACAACAACAACCTAATTCCCAGCAGCAAAATAATCCCCAACAAAGTTAGTCGAAAGAGAGAATCCGACTTTATAATAATTTTAGACCAACAACAACAGTCGCAGAAAAAAATCTGGACTGGGGAGCTCAAATGGGCAGATCCCGCTGAACCTTCCCAAGAACGCCGAATCGGATGCTCGCTTTCCGCCCAGTCCCAGCCAGAAGTGGGCGAGGAATTCTTGAGAGGCTGCCAGCCTATTCTGAAAGTCAATTTCATTGATCAACCCATTCTTCAGGTGAACTCACTTTTCAGCGCAGTTTATAAATGCTTTTTTAGGCGGTGAAAGGCTTCTTTCAAAACTCAACCGTTTTATTGTTCAATTGGAATGAAAATCCAGTACCTTCTATAGGAAGAGAGATTCTCGGCAATCTTCACGGCATTATGACGCAGAAAAATCAAGTGGGAGTTATTAACGTCTCTGGGCAGGTTAGTCTTCCTTGATTTCAATTAGACATTTATTTTCTTTCCTAGGGTCAGAATCCGCCGAAAATGCTCGTAATGGTCTTCAACCAAAAGAATCGTAGCTTTTTGGGATTGATCCCCAACGATCCCGAGGGCTTCTTTACCAAGCTGAAAGAGGTTTATCAAATGAAGCGTCCTGCCCAGGATAGCATGAAGCAACAAAATCCCCAGCAGCCTCAGCAGCAACAACAAAACCCACAGCAACAGCAACAACAGCAGCAAAATCCTCAACAGATGAACCAGCATCAGATGAATCCGAATATGCAAAGGCCCATGGTTTCGATGCCGATGAACACACAGGTAAACATAATAAGTCCATGTATTGGATCATGCTCATTTGAAATCATTTCCATAGATGCAGGGAATGATGCAAATGCGAGGAGCTGTGCCGAACCAGATGAACCCTGGTCAGCCCGTCATGGGCATGCAAAACTATATGCAACGACCACAAGGCCAGGTAACCTTTCTTTCCTTTATACAACCTAATCTACTTCAGATGGGCCAGCAGCAAATGGATCAGCAGCAGCACCATCATCAGCAACAGAACCCGCAGCAGATGCAGCAATTTCAAATGCAGCAAATGCAACAGCAGAATCAACGCCAGAATTTCAACCCGTCGCAGAACAACGAGCAGCTGCGCCATTTACTGATCCAGAACAACAACAGAAACCCACAAATGAATCAGAACCAGGGTTATGGCAACCAAGGGTTTTAAATTTGCCTCTAAAATTCTACTTATTGACTCTTTCCACTCGCTGCCCATTCTTTGTAAACAAATGTTTTTCCCCTTTTCGTGCAATCCTTCCTACCTTCGTTCAAAAAGCTTCAAATCGATCAATCTTTTCATTTTTAAGACAAAATGTCGAAATCGGATGACAGTCAACCGCTCAAGAACATCGTCGTGTTTGTGATCTATTCAGCAGTTTTCATTCTCATGTTTATCCTCCTTGCGAAGAGACAGATTTTCCGAATGAAGCTTCGGTACGACAAAAACTTCGACACGGGAAATGTTAATCTTCTCCCGAAATCATTTATCGATTCTGTGGATGAAAAGCTTGCAGCGGCAATAAAAGCGCGCCATCCTCCCCAACTGTTGCCAAGTTTGGACGAGGAAGTGACAGATCTGTGGCCGGAAACGAAGGTCCGCATGCGTGCTTTGGCAATCGTGGACGAGACGTTTATCAAGGAGCTGGAACCACTAGGAGACGATATTGCTAAAACACCAGAAGAAGATATTCTCGAATGGTATGAAAGGATCGCGAAGAAGTTTTCGACGCAGAATATCAGGTAGAAACGGGTAATGTGAGCAATAATAAGCAGTTCTAGCGCTCAAAACTTTCGCACTCTGGTAAATGCAATTCACGACTCCTACGTTCACGCTCGCTACATGGCCGAGCCATTTCCAACTAAAAACTACCACCAACTCGCCGAGAACTGCAAAACGGCCTTGGAGCGGCTCAGGTTACTAACTCGAATATTTATCGCGCTAACAAAAGTCTTTCCTAATCCGTATTCTAACCCGACAATTCAGAAAAGTGGCAAAAAGATATCCTAACAGCAAGAAAAAGTCCAAGAGCGCGACAGCTCAAGCCATTGGCACGGCGAAAAACGCCTTTCAAGCCGGGGCAACAATATTCACAACAGCAATACGCGGCGGTTCTTCAAAGGAGGAGCATCAAAAACTTTTGTAATTACAAAAAAATCTAAGAATTTCTTCATTCTTCACATGAAATTTACCTTCTAATCATTCCCTGTAATAAATTTCCACCGTCGCAGTTTCATCCACGAGATACAGTATTCATCTCGTGAAGTTCTTTGGCCCTTCAATTTCGATTAATTCATTGCAGTCTTATAAAAGTCATATAATAATCAGTGATATCAAGGAAGAGTAAAGGTTATTTATGTTCTGATGGAATCTCGTCGAGGACAGAGCTGATAGAAATGTTGTTGAGGACATTCGACGGAAGACTAGCGCGACGAAGGGATGCACGTCGAATTCGCTGGAGTTGTTTTGCTCTCTGGTTTTCATTTGAGGATTGAGAATGGATGCTTTCTGCCATTGACATGCGGCGGAAATTCTCAACTCGGCTAATAGGGTCAGATGAAATAGTCTCGGGCTCTTTTTGCATCCCAAGACGATGGAGTTTTCTCTGAAGAGGATGAAATTGATAGCTATGTAGAGGTAGACTGACCTGGTAGTCGATGAATTTATCGCCACTTTTGATAAACATGGGCAAATCCTTCATGTCGCTGTTCAAATTGTCACTTGTAGGTTTTTCTGACTTGCGGCAAGCATTGATCATATCTGGGAGAAACCAGAGAAGGCCAAATGTAACTCCGATGCATGCTCGAAAAATGCCCATGTTTTCGTCTTTGAAGACCTTTTGAAGGATCCCAGTGATGACGAGTCTACGCAATTGTAAGAGAAAGGCTGCCGAACTCAACTTACGTAGTTATGATGAACCAAGCAGCACAGCTAAAGAAGAAGTTGAAAGTGTTGAATCTAGCCAGTGCGCCTTGGACAACCCGTCGTTTGATTTCAGTCTCAGTTCCTTCATTAGAGTCGCCATCTGAGTTTTTTATCCGAACATCTCTAATCATGCACTATAAAATCAACAGAAAAGAAAAAAATACTGACTTGACTTCAAGTTCGGGAATAAGCTTCGCATTATCTTCAAAAAATACCGATCTTCTTCGTTGACTGGAATTACTGAAATCAAATTATAGAACAGTTCTATCAGACCTCTTATCTTACTTTGAGACTGTACTCGTTGATCGCTGAATATCCGTAATACTAGTGTCCAAACTCATTTTCTCTCTCGTTTATTTTTGCCTCGGAGTTTTTGTCGGAAAGGATTATTGAAACATGTTCTAGAGACCTGTATTTATGTTTGTCTAGAGAATGTACATGCATTGGATGATCCTTGGCTTAGCCTAAACAGTTGCATTTGTGTACTTTGTTGAATTCAGAATACCCAGTCGCGCCAGTTTTCAGGTTTTCTATAGTCTAAATTCAGGCTAAACAAAAGGCGTCTTCCAATACCAGTAAAACTCAGTAGATGCTCGTATTTGGTAATCTAGCGCTGCTTCCTGCACCTGCAAAGAAGAAAGCGTCGGAACAAAGAGCTCATCCTTCTTGGCTTATTTTTTGAAAAAATATCATCAGACAGAAGCAACAAAAGGAACAAGAATAGAAAGCGAAGGGAGTGTTTTTTCAATGCTTCTTCAGTGGTTGACGTACACGTGCACTTCGTAGCTAACTTCTTTGCCGCTCAGTTTCAATGTTGATAAAACTGGTTCTTTATATTTGTGCAAAAGCGCCAGCTTGTTATAGCAACTAGTTACGTTATGTAACCTTTCGAGGTCTGAAATTATTTCGCCATCTCGGCCATTTTCCTAATGCATTTCGAAGGACTTGTCGCCAACACCTGTTCCGGTCCTTATCTCTGCACCGGAAAAGAGCCTCTTCAAGAGCCGATTCTATGTTTTCGAGAGGATTCGATTGTTGATTAGCTTTCATCATTTTATGGTGCAATCATGATTTCAGACATGTGCTCTGGAAACACGATCTCTTCGAAGGCTTAAAATGGGATGATCCTTCACGTCGTTCGGGAACGGAAAATTCATAGGAATATATTTCTAAGGTTTTTTATTTCGACATTAAAAGATCCCCCGTTTCTTGATCTCTCGAAATTATTTTAGTTGTTATTTACAGATGTCTTTAAATTCATTTATGTAACGTTCGTTTACGTTGGATTTTCCCAGGCTGGACAAGATAAAAATGCAAAATTTCGTGAACGGTGGAGTCAGCTGCGCTTCCGTCAGTTTCTCGAAATTTTGGCGAAAAAAATTCGAAGATATGCATCACTACAGATTGCGGAGTCGTTGAGGCGACGCCCAGGGACCCAAAAGGGTTCCGGCTAAGCTGACTTTTGTTCAACCCGGAACTAAGCCTTTCACGATGCCATTTTTTCAGAAGAGCCTCAAGAAGGTCACCCTCGCCCAATTTGGTGATTCTAACCGTCTGTTATGTAATCAAGCTTTTTTGAAGCAAGCTCATTTTCATTTTTAAAAATTTCGAAAATCAGTTTCTTCAGGAATTGAAATAGATTCTTATAGGAAACAAGCTGGCCCTCGAGAACACGCCAACTGAGTTGTAAAGGAAAGATAGCGAAATAACTAGACAAAAAAGAAATGAAATCAACATGTTCCTGATTTGGTCGACTTCACGTTGTGGCCCAACTAGAACGGGAAGATCCTTGATTGACTCAGTAGGAACGCTAGAATATTTCAAAACGGATGGATTGAGGCTCTGGCGGCGAGAAAAAAGAGAATCTCACTTACCGCTTCCACTTGGACATGTCCAACTGGTCGATCTTTCTGTCTGCTTTGAAGTCGTGGTCGATCACAGTCATGAAGTACCTGAAAAAGCACTGTCAGGTTCAAATTTGGATATTATTGCAAAATCTTCGAGCGAAAAGAGAATATGTCTTCGATTTGACATTGTCAATGTCACATTGATTAACGTTTGATGTCGAAGAAAATGTAATATCATTTTCTGATAAAATCCTGACAAGTGTCCAATATTGTTTATCAAACGTGGGGGAGGAAAACGGGGATTTATGTTTACAAGATAATTAGCTTGTGGAGTCCAGAGCTGACCTATCCAGTGGCCCCTTGGCAACGGAAGGGTCAGTTGATTTTTTTTATTTTGAAATGTTCCTGTCATCACTTTAGGGATTTCGCTAATCATTGATTGCTATTGGTGTTTATGTGCAAATTAGTGCAGTAAATAGCAATTTCTGCAGAACCAGAAACGCGAAAGAGCGGTGGGTTGAAACTTTCGAATGAAATAATTTGCCCCTAATTAGCACTGCTCACATTAGTATAAGGCGAAAAGGTTGAAATTACCTGGATGGGAACGGCAGCGTCATCAGCAAATTATACATCTTCGCAGCGGGTTTGACGGTCGACGAAACACCTGGTCGCTCTTTTTCGCGACCGAGTATCAACGAAATCCCGGATGAGCTATTTACTGCGCGAACCGAGCTATCCGTGTTCCTTACTTATTTATGGGAAAGCGAGATAACATGAATTTCGGGCGGTAAATTTTGAAAACGAGTCGGGTTTTTAAATGACTAGTCTTCTTAAGATTTTCTATGCGGTAATTTCAACATTAAAAATTAAGGAAAGCTTTATATTCTGTCAAACCCACATGACGGAACTCCTCCAAGAATAATAACTCTTCCAATTTTCGGCCTCCATTCTTCCGAATTCATCCATTTGTCCAGCTCATCCATGCTATAATCGCCGGACAGAAAATCTGCGCCCTATAATTTATTGTCAGGCTTTTCTGACTCATGCACCTTCGTGACATAATGATCCTATGAGTCCGGAAAGGAAGAAAACTGAGAAAAAGGGCGGAAGGCATCAAGCGATAGGGGTAATTTTCTAATGCGCAAATTCCAGCGCGAGTTTGGAAAGATTCGCTGTCACATGTCTTGACGTCAATTTCTCATGTCGTTACAGAAGGCGAAGAATTTAAGCTACTCGTAGATTGGATGCTCCGAGTGTTGCATCACAAAAATAGATAGTTCTTTAAGGCGCCTAGTTTTTGGATCCCGAGTGGGCTCGGGAGAACCCCCTTCCGGTGTAGAAGTGCCCCACGACATGGAAAATCGACTTTTGTAATGCACAGGAATATTCATACAAGATGGCCATTTACGGTGATTACGCAGCTTTATTGAATACTGAGAACCAACTACTGGTATTTTTACTGAATATCTTAAAGAAATTCACGGAAAAGGATTACAAAAAGATTAAGCTTATCCAAAGATCTCAACTTTGGTAATAGCAGGCAGTTACAAGCTTGTACTTGTTGTTAATAACGAAGGACCTTAATCTTGTTCAATTGAATGTTCTCTATTTCCGATTGGACCGAAATTGCCCAGCTTTTTGTGGTTGAAAATTCCAGGTTCAAAACTAAGCTTATCACGACCATGAACCTGTTCACGTCTGTGATAAGAAAAGATTCGACCTTGCTCACATGAGAGAGGCGATTTTCTGGCAGTTAGATTTTCTGGCAGTTAGACTTTCTGGCAAAGGCGATTTTCTGGCACTGCCAGAAAATCTAACTTCCAGAAAATCGCCTTTGCCAGAAAGTCTAACTGCCAGAAAGTCTCACTGCCAGAAAATCGCCTCTTTTGATTTTGAATCTACAGTTAATGATCCTAGAAGGTAAAAAAAACGGAGAGGGTTTTCGACAGTACCACCAATTTTTTCTTACACGTTATTTTTTTAAATTCATTGACAAAAGCCACGTTTGATCCATTTTTTTTTTAAGATTATTGGCTGTAGCAAACATAAATCAGCTTCTTCCGGGAATTTTTGTGTTAAGGCTATAACCTCTCTTTTGGACTCTCTGGAAAATGGACTTCCCTTGGTCGATTTCAAAAATTTAAAAGGCATACATAGTTGTTTTCTCCTAAAGAATTCAAAAATGCAACCAAAAAATATTTTTCATCGGTAATTTTTTGCCCTAGGATCATTCAAAAATCGCCATTCGGTTTTCCGGCAAAACTGGAAGTTCTGAGGTAGAATAAATCCGATAATTATATTAAGTAGGGCATATTCTATGATCCCTATGGAAAAAATAATAAGAAATTGTCCAAATTAGGATTATAGTTCTCTCTTCTTTTAAAACTCTTTTGTTTATAGACTGACGCTTGAGCTCCGCGCAGCCAATCAGAGCGCGATGAATCGCTTGACTCACACGCTCGCCAACAGCGCTCTCTTTCTGGCCTGGAGGATAGCACTCCGCGCAGCGCGTCCACGCGCATTTTTATCCTCAGGTGCCAGCACTAACATGGCCCTAGAGTGAAAATTTGAAGAGATATCGAGAATTTTTTCCATAGGGATTGTAGAGAAGGCTTTAATCTATTTATTGATCGAAAAAAATCTACCTCTGTAATGGTAAAATTCTTCGGAAAACCGAATGGCGTTTTTTAAATGATCGTAAAAACGAAATTTCGAAAGAAAAAATAATTTTTGATCGCATTTCTCAAATCTACGATAGATTTTGAGTATATAAGCCTTTTTAATTTTTGAAATCGATCAAGGGAAGTCCGTTGTCCAGAGAGGCAAAAAGAGAGGTTATAGCCTTAATCAGCCGGTGTTATTTGCATCTGATTTCGAGTACTTGGTCACAGTGGGCACCCACTGAGATAATGGCGCACGCTAATGCTTTATGAAATTGAACTTGTTATAAAACTCTCTAGAAAATTCTTCCTCAGGTGGTGAAATCGCCTTTATAGGCTGGATATTATTTGAAATTCTGCAAGAAACTCTTTTTAATAAAATCTTTTTATAAATTCGAAAACTGGTGATTATCACACAAATTTCATTTCGGAGCAGTTTCAGCAGGAGTTTGCACCTTTCGACGGGAGCGTTTGATCTAAAAGCCGACTATTCAGGGCGCTAAAAAAGACTACGAATTGGGAATTGAGATTTCTGCGCTAAAATGGGAATTGAAATTTCTTGCTGTTTTCGGAGTGACAAACGGGTTCACAGGCAGCTGAAAAGTTAGATTTTGATTTTTTTGAGAAAATGGAGAATGATGAGGAAGAAAAATCGGATAAAAAAATTGAAAATGACACCGATTACACCACCTTCTGAGGAAGAATTTTCAGGAGAGTTTTATAACAAGTTCAGTTTCGAAAAGCATGAGCGTGCGCCATTATCTCAGTGGGTGCCCACTGTGACCAAGTACTTGAAATCAGATGCAAATAACACCGGGTTATTAACCCGTTAACAGGCGCGTGGCTGTCTCACGGCCACGCGTGGAAATGAGTAGCAAATCGTATGCATGGATCCATGATTTCACTCAATCACAGACAGGCAAAAGCGTAGGCAAAATCGACCACCCTGTTAACGGGTTAACACAAAAATTCCCGGAAGAAGCTGATTTATGTTTGCTACAGATGAATTACCATAAGAATTTTTCGGGCAAAAAATTTTTTTGAGATATTGGTATATTCTGAAAGCCCGTAAAAGTTATACAGAATCACCAAATTCTAGGGTCAGATGACGTCATTATGACGTCATCGGGCTGATTTGAAAATTTTGTCTTTGGAACGCTTTTTCGAGCCGAAAACGTTTTTAATTTTATCTTTCTCGACGGATTTGGATTTTCCATGAAAAACTACGTAGGGACCCGGGATCAAACCATTGAATATCAACCATTACCGACCGGTTCAATTTTTGAAACCGGTCGGTTCGAAAAATAAACCTCGGGTCCCTACGTAGTTTTTGATGGCGAACAACATGCCATCAATCGAAAAATCTATTTCCAGCAAAAACCGCCTCAAAAAGCGTTCCAAAGTCTCATGAATTTGGAGCCTTTTCGGACATTTATTCATCATAAATGACGTCATAATGACGTCATTGAGCCCTAGAAATTTGGGAATCGACTAATTTTGACTTGGGCTTTCAGAATATGTTCTTATCTCAAAAATTTTTTCGGCCGAAAAATTCTTATGGTAATTCATCTACAGCCAATAATCTTGAATAAATGGGTCAAAAGTGGCTTTTGTCAATGAATTTTTATAAAACGTGTAAGAAAACATTGGTGGTACTGTCGAAAACCCTCTCCTTTTTTTACCTTCAAGGATCACTAACTGTAGATTCAAAATCAAAAGAGGCGATTTTCTGGAAATTAGATTTTCTGGCATATAAGATTTTCTGGCAGTGCCAGAAAATCGCCTTTGCCAGAAAGTCTAACTGCCAGAAAGTCTAACTGCCAGAAAATCGCCTCTCTCTGCTCACATTTTCTCTTATCAGTGTGTACACTGTTTTTATGAAGATGAACAGAACAAAATGAGGAGCTCCAGAGTTGAATTTTCGAATTTCCTTAGCTAGAAAAGCTCTAATTTCTCAACGTGCTTTTCGAGATGGGCTGGTCTTATGTGCACTTGAAATGCGTGCTTAGAGCATTAAGGGTATTACCTCTGGAGTCTGCTTGAGTGATTTGGAGATGACTGCCCAGTAAAATCCTCCGGCTTTGTGGAATCCATCTGTCCTGGTTTCTAGGTCAATATGTTTCTCTTCTGTTACGAACCCGATTAGAAAACATAGTTAGATTAGTTAAAACTTGATCCCTCTTTGCCATTGACTCGCAAAATTACTAGGCATGTCATAATCCCCTCTTCCAGGTACGATCGTAGGTACACTTGGATAAGTTCTAGAGCTGCGGAAGAGCTTTGACCTCCGCCGTGAAGAGCCTCCAGTTATCTAAAACTACCCTTGAAAACTTCTCGCGAAAAGGAGCAATTTTCAACTCGCTTTAACTTTTAAATCAAAACAGAAAATGTGAAGCAGCAAAGAACTGATCCTTCAGATTGAAAAAGCCCAAGACGAAAAAGTTTCGTGAAGAACGAAGTAATGAAACTTAGCGAAGATGAAGGATTGCGACTTGTGATTAAATCGCGCTCCGTACTTCCTCTTTTATGCGACCCTCACGTGCCCGGAACCCACTGGGAGTAGAACACGAGACGTAATTTGTTACGCCGAGGAAGGGAGTTTGATGCATAATAATGGCTCGCTTTGAGACAGTTATTTGTCTAATTAATAAAGGGGATATTGACTAATTACGAGTAGCAAGTTTACTATTCATTAGAAAGAAGGTTCTTTTTATTGCATTTTGACCTATTCCTGCATTCGTTGAAGACTTTTCAAGTCGGATATCGAAAAAGATGAACCTCATTAAATGATAATTCATCATTAAAGTCATGATTTTCTAGCGACACGTCAAATTAAAACTGCGCAAGGGCATAGAACAAGTTCCACAAAAGACTTGTCGCTAACTCGCACCCCGGCAAGTTTAACCGGTTGACACGCCGAGTGGCGCGAAAATAAGCCACTGGCAGCGAAAGCTAAACACTCAGCGGGGAGACTTGAGAATTCTTAAAAAATTAAGAATTTCAGGCGAATCCGCCGCTCTCTTCAAACGTGTTAGATAGCATCCACTTGGAGAAATCAGTAAACAAAATGGTAAAAATGGAACTTCCGGTAAATAGAAGCAGCGAATTTGAATTCTGTAATCATTATGCTCCCCAAGAAATATGTTTCGAAAGAGCCTGAGAATAGCAGAGACCATAAATCTCGCTTTGAGAGGGTTCATCCATAGCGTCAACCGCAAGAATTCGATATCCGTTCCTTTAGGTCCACCGACCAAGAGTGTGCGTTTCCCATTTTTCAAGAACTCATCTAAAAATCAAATGTTATTTCAATCAGTTTATTTCGTTGGATCGGGGCAGAAGCGGGTTTCATTAGGGTTCAGAATTAGACAAAAAACAGAATTCGGGCAAGGCACGGACCGCTAATCTAACCGCAAACATTAAAATAACAGAACGCTCCCCGTTGGTATTGCGCTGTTTCTGCGGGTATCACTAGGCAAGAAAGAGCCCAAGCTTCTAAAACAAACTTGAATTAGCCGTTAGGTCACGGACTATTCAATAACTGCCTTCATCTATTTAGAGCATTTTTAGAAAAGAAGCAAAATAATGGTACCTTATATTTTTAGACAAGATTTCTAAAGCCGGCTCTGGGAAAGTTTTACTTTGGATTTTGTTGTTGCATCAGTAACTACTTCCCAAGAGAGTGTCAGAGCGGTAGTTACGGCTTGGGAGGGGCGATATCTAAAGTGGGTAATGGATGAAAGCAGATGGCCGTCGTCCTCTGATTTCAGCCTAACCACTTACTCAACAGCTTGGTAAACATAAATCCAAAAAAAATACTTATTAGATGATACTATGGTAGGCGCGGTCCGCTTCTTTAAAAATAATTATTTATTCATTTTACAGGCATTTTTACATAGGGACGATGTCGTGACTTTCTCCCAAGGGCCCCGCTTCACTCGCGACGAGAGTTGATACAGTGCTAGAATTAAATTTAGAAAATAGGCTTCAATCATTAACAAAATTGAATTTAGAAATAACTGACCATATATTTATAAATAAGATAATAATTTTTACCTTTCCGCATAGTTTATTTTGATCCTCTTACGAAGATTCATTTTGTTATCCCTCTAAAATAAATTCTCTTTAAGTAAATACATTAATCTCTAATAAATTATAATTACAGAATAAAAAATTTATTCCAAAACAGTTTAAAACTGCCCTCTCTCTTTCTCTCTCTCTCTCTCTCTTTCCGCGCGTATTCCTTATCAGCCGGCGCGGCGTTCTGCAGACCCCCAACTCTCCTTTTCCCACGACCCCCCAGATCTCTCCTTTTCACGCGCGCGCGGCGCCTTATCAGTTCCACCTCCAAAACTCTCCTTTCGGCGCGCGCATTCGTCTCCGCCGTCCTTTTCTCCTTTTTCGCTCCTTATCAGTATATTTTCTATTTTCAATCTTTCATCTTTCCATTTCTCCTTTTTTCCAATTTTCCGATCGTTCAAATTTTAAAGTACTGAAATTTCGACACGAAACACTAGTAGCACCTAAGTACACTGTTCCAAAATTTATTATTCCTTGAAAATCTTTATTCTTATTATTATATACAGAAGAAAGAAGAAACTGTTCATTTATTTTATTTTACTCTCACTCTTCCTTGATTTCAACTGCAAATAAAATTTTCTGAACAAGGGGGGAGTACTATGGTAGGCGCTCCAGAGCACGAGAGCGCGTCCTCAAAAAGGGACGTCTCTCGGGCCCAGAGCGCAGTCAGCCCGCACTCTCCCCGACAGTCAGACAGCCCACTAGATTCCGAGCCAGTTGTAGATGAGTCTAACTACGCAAGATACTTAAGAAGCCGCCAAACAAACACATGATGATCGAGCTGATTTTTGACTTGAAAAAGAAAAGTCTTCTGAGAAATTAACGCTGGGGATGAACTTATCTAATATGGCGTAATATACAGAAGGGAGGTGCAAAAGAAGTGGATTTGAGGTTTACCTTGCTCGTGGTGCAGCATTCGCAAGTAGTACCTAAAGAGAATGAATAAAAGAGGTTTTTAGAAGTTTTTAGGTATAAATAAAAATTGGAAATTATTGCGAATTTTCGAAAGAAACGGCCTTTCGTGTTAGGTCAGAGAGAGTCAGACGGCATGGCTCGGTGAATTCATGTCTATCAGTCCAAGCCCTCTGCTCATTCTGTTTTTTACGTGACGACTAATTACAACTAACAGAAAATACAACACACAAGCAAAGATAAGGAACTCCTCGTGAAATTTCATTTTATGAAGGACCCTCCTTAATTCTGAGTTTTAACGTCAAAATCAAACGATTTGGAAATATCGGCTCTTGGGAGTGTTTGAGTTTCTCATCAAGGATGTTTTTCAAGGACAAAAAACGAATTATAAAAGGTCATTTTTAATTTTTATCTGGAACTTTCGGAGTAATTATTTTTTGGAAGTTTTGAACTCCGATGGTCCTGGTATTATTTTGAAAGCTTGACATCTGAAGGAATTGTCCCTGGAATGTGGATTGAGCGCAATTAGTGGCTTGGGTACTTTTACGCGGAATACAAGTCTCAACGTTGAGTCTCCACCGGGGTCTTCAATTTTTGAGTGCCAGCTCAAGACCGCCTATTTCGGCGTCATTAATACTTCCGTTCGAGGCCGTTCCGAGCCTAAGTCGCAGTTTTACGCCATAAAACGTTGCCCCCGAATTTCGATTCGTTACGGCCGTAATTGCTTCAAATTTTCAGCTGATCGAGGATTTATTGAATCATAAAATCATAAAAATCAAATAGCAATGTATTTTGACGGCGACCTTTTTTTGGTTCATTTTAACTTACTGCCACTCATTGTACAGCTTCCAGGGCAATTTTCCCTCTGTAAGTCCGATGCCTCCTTCTCTATCTCTCGCTACCAATGCGTTCCAGACCAATTTATCGCTCATCTTTACTGTTTTTATCAATCTCTTAAAAACGTCTCTTCCAAGAGTTATGAGACTCCGACAAAGATGATCAGGATTTTATTGAATTTCGTTGCTTCAAATCAAACAGAGGTAACGATTTTTATATTTGCGCGTTTTGTAGAAAGGATAAGATGACGCAACGAAATCTTTTCAGGAAGGTAAGATAGAACTTTCGATTTTGCTGCCAGACAAGTTTCATTGAAGAAGAATAAAGATGATGGGGTGTGAACGCCGACTTAGAAAATAACGTAATTGTGTTTTCGAGTTGCATGTTCTTGGGGTCAGTGGAACCGGTCATTTCTGCTCGAGAGAAGACGATCCTGCGGGTGGTTGAAGCGTCATTTTCGAGCCCATTACCGGAATGATTATCGCAAACTAGAGCCCTCTAATACCAAAAAAGTCCTCCTCAAGAATTCTTCTCAAGCTCTTTTTAGGTTATAAAATCTTTAACCTAGATTTTTAGAGATTCGGTTAGTTTAGAAATTGCTTTTCTTCGCTCATATCTCTCACAGTAACACACTTCCTTATCATTCTTTATGCCAGTAGTACCGAATCTTTTTCGATCAAAATGGAAGAATATTTTTTAACCGAGCGAAACTACGGTGGTAAAAAAAGATGACCCAAGATCGCAATCGGCAAATTTTCAGCAAATTTTTGGATGAACTTTTGTCGAAAGAGGTTGATATCTGTACGTCAGGTAATTGCGCGTTTCCTTCCTATTTACTGCTCCCACGTCCTCCCATCCCCAAATGAGCTGCTAATGAACAGCGAACAACAAGCAAATTCGTGGCTAGTCGGCATAATCTTTTCTCAAACTTGTCTTTTAAGCACTGTATGTTGAGCAAGAAGATTCCGCCGAGCGTTTAGGGTGGTAGCAAGGAAACAGCATTTTTGTGATGAAATTATGCATAGATGTAGTCAGAAAAAGAGGCGAGAATTTCGAAGGAACATTGTAAGTACTGTTAGCTCTGTACATTGTTGTTGACTGATTCTCAAGAATTTCCGCTAGTTCAAGTGCTCCAAATCTAACTCAAGGGCGATTGGCTGGCAAAACTCATACTGGAGGAACGACGTACTACTTCTGTAAAAATTCATGTGAAAAAAGTCGAACACCAATTCTCCCAGTTGGTTTTTGCCAGATATTTTCTGCTGTCTTTTTCTTTCTCTGCGCGATTTCTCGACTTTCTTGTTTGCTATTTTCAAATTAGGTTTCATGTGGTATCTCTGTTTGAGTACATTTACTCTGGGACCGGCCCCTTTTATAAATCGTAAAAGCAAAACAAAAATGCCTCGTAAACTCGCCCAGAACGGTGCTAACGAGGCAACGACGTAAAAACGCATCGTCCGTGGAGGGGGGAAAAGTTTATAGCACCTTGTGTACTATAAATTTTTCTCGGAAAATTAGACCCCCCACTTTCAAAAGGATAGACGTTCAACTTGAGCGGTTTTTTTGTTCTTTGGGATTTATTCTTTGAGGGAGCAGATTGATGGGGGTCTAGAAACATTTTCAGTAAGGGATAAATTGAACTAATGGCTAGCAGACTGTAGGGGTATCTTCAAGCTAAGGGGCAGATACCAAGTATAAGTATCAATTTCTTCTGCACCTGTGAAGTCAACTTGTGAGGCCTCATGTTTTTCAGATTATCGACTTCTAGTGCACCTGTTCGAGGAATAAAAAGCACGGGCTGTGAGGAAATTTTCACATTTACTGAAAAATCAGATTTTAAAATGCAATCCGAATCAAAGATGTGATTGATAATGTCAGTATATTTTTGAGTGTTCTATTAAAAACCATGATAAAAATTTTATGAAATGAAAATCAAAAATACAAATAATAGTAGTTTATATATATAGTTGTTTTCGCAAATCTGTCAATTTATATCCCTGTTCATATCTGTTTAAAATAAACCCAAAATATAGAAAATCAGTTTGTTTCTCAGACTGTTTAATTGATTGAAATTCCATCAGCCTGAAAATCTGCACCAAAAATTCCATGATTTATTTTTTTTGAAATTTTCACTTTGCAAAATGCTCCATCAAAAAGGAGACAAGATTGAGATAAGAAATTTGGCGAATTGGAACTTCTCATTTGTCATCGTGAAACTCGAAGAGCGTACTTTAGGCTCAACCGCTCGATCAATCAGCTCAACCCATCGGCAGTGGCATTACGGTAGATTCAGCAGCAGTGCTCTAAAAAGAGTTATCTCCTTGTATTTGTCCAATCTCGCGGTATGCCACCACTACGGAAATAACAAGATAACGAATATCAACGTTCCACGCATAAGAGCAATTTTTAACAAGGAGGCTTATAAAATTTCAGCCTGGAATACTTACAGCTACTTTTTTAGAACAGTTGCGCGGCGGCAAAATTCCATTTGGCTTGAGAAAAGGGAACATTTCCATTTCAAGCAGATTTTGTTAGAACATCTGAATGTTCGGCGCTGGAATTTTTCACAAGAAGCTCAAAATGTTCGAACTTCTTTCTTTCACCTTTTAAAATACTGGCAGGTTACTGTAGCTCCTCGGAGAAGCCTATCCGCGTTTAATAGAGCGATAATTTTCTAAAACCCAATTTTTTTTGATAGACGATTTATCGCTAAGTACGCCCTTAAAACTGCCATGCTTGATTAACCGCAAAAAGATACTGTATGTATAAATCACAAGTGCAGAATATAATATTCTGAGTATTTATATTTTTGAGATTGACTTCGTTAATATTGAATCATGAGGATCGTTTTCGAACGTTTTCGTTTATTTAAAACATCATCAGTTAGTTTTCTTTCTTTTTACTGTCGTAACAGTTTCTAGTTTTCCTGATGAATCATCAGTGATGATGTTTTAAATAAACGAAAACGTTCGAAAACGATCCTCATGATTCAATATTCTGAGTATTCTTATCATTCGGACCCCAAACAACGAATCTTTATTTCCAAACTGCCAGCAGTCCTTTATCTGAGTTCCGCTTAGAGGATCCTTAAAATTGGAAAACATATAAATATACAAATATCGTTCCTGAGTGGCGACCCGCTGCGTTAAGCGAAGGTCGCTTATCATTTGTGATAACCGGAGTTTCCGAAATCCGCTTGTCGGTGTGTTCCGTTCCGTATGCCCTTCTCGCTCGTGTCCTGATTTCGATAATCTTATCCACCGCGGGACAACTTATTTACCACTTAAAACCAGAAGGTTTCAGACAATAGACCCGCATCGCGGTTTTTTCGTTAGCTCAGGGCTCATTATCGATATAATCACTTCAAAATTGCAAATTTTCAAGTTCAGATTTTATTTATTTATCTTTATGTATAAGGTACCATATCAGGGAAAGGATAATGGTTCATTTTGAAGTTGAAAAAACTATCCGAGTTTTTTTTAAAGCCAAGCTCTTATTTTTTTGTTGAAAAATCTGTTCAAATTTGATAAAAGTGACTGTATTGCTGTTTCATTTTGAGAAATCTTGAACGATGAAAATTACTGATTTTCATCCACCTTATATGCGTATAATCAATGGTTTGTTCCTGAGGCAATATGGAGCAAATAATATTTGCCAAATTTTCATACCGTTTCCTGAAAATTTCAACAGCTAGCCTACGGAAAAACAGCTGTTCCACAGCCTTAAAGCCACCTACATCGGGTTGTTTTTCCTAGTTTTTTTTTCAAAATGAAACGACTTTCGCTCTTATTTTTGTAGTCCTTTTACGGGAAAGCATTTTAAAATTGAAATTGATCTGTTCTGATAATATTTCCATGTTTCAAAATGACGCATTTAACTCTCCAAGCTTTCGATATACTGCTAAGATATATCATATATGACTTTATGAATATGTATTATTTACGAATCTTTAATAATATAATTTCCGCTAATAAATCCACGCCAATGTCCTTGAAATTTGATGAGCTTTGCATATTTTTATTTTCAAGTGGTCTTAAATTAATTCTCAAAATGCAGATTTCATCCGGAAAAATCTCTCTTCTCTCAGCTGCCGTTCTAATGAGACATGGATTTGTAAAGAGAAGCTAGTTACAGATGTTAACAGGAGTAGCTAAACACGCGTGTAAGATTTATAAATATGCTAACTCGCGTTTTACAGCGACTTTCTTGCTGAAATTTTCGTGGAAAAGAGCTCGTAACTGGCAGCGATAATCGGCTCAAAATCTTCGGCTGAAGAAAATATAATGGCCGCTCATTAGTAATCGCTGGTTTTGGTTATAATACGAATTATATAAAGCTATTGTGGCCAAAAATACACCTGATGTTTTGCGCGCCGTTTTCACCAGCATCAAAGAGTGCACGTCTAAAAAAATGTTCCTGAGTCAGAACTAGAAACAAAGGATTTCACCTTGCGTGTTCTAAGATTCGCCTTAGTTTGCTTCTGCGCGGCCCCATGTTCTTGGTACCTGCGGCAAGTTGAGCTCTGTGTATTTGTGGTTTCTTTGTTGAACCGAGTCTTAGCCTCTCAGGAACTTTAGGTGATACCAAGGGTTAACGTGAGAAAGCATAAGCAGCCTACATTTCAGCAGAAAGACAAGCAAATATAGCGTTATTTTCATTTATTTTACTACAGACACTAGAACAACAGATATTCGTATTTGGCATTCAGATTCATTTTAGACAAGATAGAAGAATTCTTAAGCAGGAAATTTTCTATTTTTTTTTTGAAAATACGAAAAAACAGCCATTTTATGGTCAATTAATACGATGAAATCGTTTGAACAGCTGTTTTTTGAGGTCAGGTGTCTCTGAGATTGGAGGCACATTGCCTTGAAAAAGCAGATGCACTAGTGGCATAAATACACCGCTTTACTTAAAATTTCATTTCATTGTTTTTCAAATGAGTCGAAAGCGTATTAAGAACCAAAGAATGGACTTCCATATATTTTAAAAATATTTTAATAAATTCTGTCAATATTATTGTTGCTTTCATAACTAAATTCCTGGCCCTGAACAGTAGAAGTTAGGGTATGAATTAGGCTCCATTAAGTACGTTTCTTCCAAAAGATGCATCGCTAGAATCGATTTTTGAAAGGTATAATCAGGATCCAGCGCGTGTCAAAATCTTCCGCTTGAGGTGCCTTATCTGTGGCTTATCATAATGATGGGCCATACGGTAGGTGAAGTGCTGTCTTTTGATAAAGAATGATGAGTCTAGGACACGCATGTTCTTACTCATTTTCGGTACTGCTGTTACTGTTGTAGACTGGTGTTTCTAAAAAGTCAGCAAAAGAAGCTCCAGAGAGTTCTAAAGCGAGTCAGGTGCCAGTTTCCGCTGCTACTCGACGAGCGGAACACCTCAAGCCGCTCCAGAACGCGGAAGTGATAAATTTGCGATATGCAAGAATTATGTGACGGCTTGTTCCACTTACCAGAAACTGCATCACTGGAGCATTACATTACACTGGCTGCTAGTAATGACGATTCAAGTGGATTCACAGAGGATCAAACAAATAAGGTCAAGAAGATCTCAAAACAATAAAAATCAATTGAGCAGTAAAATTGAGCGAGTGAGGGAGCTTTCTTCAGTAAGTTGAAAAATGTGATTTTATAAAATGAATCAAGAATATTGAAATGATGGTAAGCCGATTGCAGATCAAAAATTTGTTCACTTGAAGAGTTAAATTTCCTGAATAAAATATTCTTTACTTATTACCAGTGTTTTCTTTTTATTAGCAGCGACTCATTTCATAACGGCAGATGAAGCTTCTCCCGGTTGAATTTCCTTTATTCCTCCTTATTTTCCCCTAAACACGCGTTCAAAAGATCTCGCAAAAACTCCCCTGACAGCAGAAAGTTTTCAACAGAACAGTGATCAGTAGAATCGTCAAGCAGAGAGAAAGATCTGAAAATCAAGTAAAGGAGTTCTCACTATTGAATCGTCTAAGCCAAATATTGTGACGGTTTTTGGTAGCGCATTTTTGGTGGAGGTGTTTGTAAACAGTCTTTTTTTTGGAGCGATTATACAATTTTGATGGATTAGAAATTCTAATCAAACTTTCATAAATGGCTTCTAAAAGGTCGAAATTCATTGAAATTAGCTTTTCTGATTGGCTTAAATGGCTGAAATCGAATTTCTTATTGGCTGAACTCCTAAAAGACGCGATGACGATATCTTTTTACACAGAAACGATCAGGAAAATTGGCTACAAGGGACCGGTTCTAGTATTTTGATTCTACGAAGAAAATTAGTTTAAAAAGAAAACTTCACAGAATTAGAAATTTTCACGCAACTTTTTCTGAAGAAAAAACATGAAGGGGCGCGGATTAAAGTGTGTTTGCGGCTGCCCAAAATCATACCCTTTTTAGCGTCTTTATTATTCTTGAGCTGGCGCGCGCGAAGACTAAACTCCAAATTCAGTTTAAAAATACTTGTATCGTGCCGGGGCAAAGTGAGCCCAGCGCGATATTTTCAAATTTAGACTGTTCAAACAAAGCATTCTAGAGGCGAAAAGTCAACCCTTCTGAATTTATTAAGCACGCCGAAAAGCGCGAGCCCGCACTTTCGACGAATTTAAAATCAATTTTGGAAATAAGAATCGATTGAAAGCGTGATCATCTGAAAGCATATCGACGGCTTTGCGAATTTAGGGTAATTTCAATAAAACAAGAATCCCCAAAAAACCTTATTTTAGGAGTCTTGGACACGCAACTCGACCACGTCGCTCGACACTCGTAAAATCCACCATCAGTTAGTAGCTTTATTGGAGCTTCTCTAATAAATTTTGTTTATGGTCTCATGGGGCTTCGTTGAACTCTCATAAATTTTGTAGCATCGACTGGAAGGACCCGGCGATTACGCTGCCCAAGAAACGAAGAGTTCATCATCTTCCTAAAATCGAAGTTCCTACCAAATCTGCGTAATAAAAATCGACAATTACTTATTTTTTTTTCTATGAAAATGATTTAAAAAGGGAGAGGTAGATAAAAATTTTGATAAACAACTGTTTATTTGCTGGCATAAGAGAGCGTTTTTATCTACCCATTGCACCTGCTGTTCTACTCGGTATAAGAATGGGAGAATGAAAGCTTCAAATGGAATCTTTAATGAAATGAATTGTCACCTGATAATTTGAAACCTAGATACTCGATTTCTTCTCAAAATTTTTTAAAATCCTTGCTCTTACAAAATGTTAACAAAAGTACCAATTGTGTATGTTGTTGTTACGGAAAGAAATAATTTATTGAATAAAAGATAATAGTAAAATCATGCAGAAAAAGACACCGAAGCCATTAGTTTTGACGGTTTGTGAAGCAGAACAATAAAATTGCGGGTCTCCTTCGAATCTGGTCCCCGGCTCGATCCAGCACGTCTAAAAAGATCCCATTAGCATCGAAGTACCGAATCCGGCGTCTGCAACGGAGATGATCTCTTTACTCGCTGCAACATACCTTTCCAGCGCAGAGAAGTTCTCGCCGTCGCGCAGCTGTGTTGATCTGTTCAAAACATTCCTCCTCCGAGGTCCCGACTGGAGACTTTCTAGAGACAGCCACTTGAGCTTGACAGCGAATTTCTTCACGATCTCCAAGCCCAAAAGCAACAAAAATCACCTGCATAGAAAACAACAAATTCCGGAGAATTTTCAATCTCAAAAATAAGCAAAAAACATAAACTAAGAATAGAAATCACCGTCATTTTAGTCTCGACCTCGATTCCTTGAAGGACGAAATCTTCAAAATCATCGCAAAGTTCTCCTTCTCCCATTCAATAAACTCGCCGCAGTCGTTCTAAGAAATCCCATGTTTTCATTCCCCATCAAAAAATCTAACCTCTAATAAGCTTTGAGCTTGAGGCAAGCCGACATTGGATTCGCCAGAGCCGTCAGGATCATCACTTGCGGACACGTTTCCAAATCTAAGAGCTTGGTGGTCAACTGATATTTTTGTAGGGAGAGCTTTTTAAGATTTTCAAACATTAAATCAACCTGAAATGGTTCGGTTTAAACTTAAAAGAGCGGAAGATAAGGAGATTTTTATCTGAAAAATATGGCCTAAAAACAGCTGTTGAACCTTATAAAAAAGAAGTTCTTTATTTTGGAATACCTTGATAACAAAAACTTTGCTTAAAATGAATCAAATTGGAAGAATCTTTGTTGGAAGACCAATTTATTACTTTTCTGACATAAGGGACATTTTGCTGTGAATTGCTGGAATAAAAATCTTTTTTTTCTTTTTTCTTTTTTTTTTTTTTAAATGAGACTTTACTTCGGTTAGGCATTTCATTTTGCTCGTAATATACACATGTGAGTTGATCCAAATAGAAATATATAGATATGGTAGCTCAATCTGAGATTTATAAGAGAAACTTTCAAATAAACATCTTTATTACTTTTCCTGTGATTATTCGACCTTATTTATAATACCTTATTTATAACTTATTTGTAATTATATATATTTGGTAATAAAGTGAATAAATATTCCATTACCTGCAAGCTCTGATCTCAATACATTGCAGTTCAGATTCCAAGGATCCCGTTAAATGCGATTGCTAGAAGCATCCATTAGAAATGGTGATTTCTTTATCAGTCATCGCGTTATCACCACTTGAGTCTCACCTCGTCAAAAAGCGTTCCCTTGAAGCCATTCTCGAGGAAGTAGCTAACTCCGACAAGCAGATTTTCCAGCGCTGATCTGCCATCTTAACAGAAATTTTAAACTGGCAATAATCGAATCTCTTCTCGCTTGATGGGTTTATTCTGCCGCCCGATCGCCGCCAGATCCAATCAAAATAATCGTTTTTATAATTTAGAAAGCATCATCGAGTTGCATTTATCTAAGCTTATTTGAACTTGATAGACGAACACTATGCGTGCGGCCTGGCGTAAAAATTCAATCAAAACAGAGCCAGAGTGGCTGAGAGGACACTTGGGTTCGTTGATCAGCCAATTTTCAATTTTCGCGATAAATTGAAGCATCTTTTTATAGATATTTTTTATCATTAAGGTTTCCGTATTTTTGACCAATAAGAAGCTGAAATCTTATCGATAATTTGATTGGCCAAATTCAGCTAATTAGATTCTCGTCGTTGCCAGCCAATCAGAATTTTCGACAGATCTATCAAGAATCCTATTGGTCCATCAAAAAATTTCAGCTTTCCTATTGGTAGAATTTCGAGTTCTTCCCTGAAAAGACCGCAAAATTGAGCAAAAGCTGATTTAGGCCTTTTAGGAAAGAAAATATTAAATTTCCGTTATTCAATTTTTCGGTAAACAAAATTTTCGGCTCCAAATAAACTCGAGTAATTCAATATCCGCAAAATGTTACCGCTGCTCTCCGGGAACCGATTGAGCAAGTCCAAACTCCAAGTCGCATAAAACTCGATTTCACTTTTTCAAATTGAAATTTCCGAAAGATAAAATATTTCTTTGAAAAGTTTCGCCCGTTCCATATGCATGACTGCAAGCTTTCCAATTTTCTTCGCAGCCGAGGAGTGGGCAGCATTCCAGAGCTCTGAAATTCTCGTCACTGGCTGGTTTTTATCGCTGATTTCAGAATTGCTGCGGCTTTCATTACCTTCTGATAGTCGAAATCGAGTGACTTCAGCGTCGACTATGCGAGCGATTGAAATTTCATCATTTGCCTAAATTACTGTCAGCCTAACAGTCAGTTTTTAAATTTGGAAATATTGGCAATGGAAATCATTTTGAAAAGCAAAGTACTTTTTTGGTTGAACACGGCAGCAAATTGCTGCCCTGTCGAATTAATTCTAAAAAAAAGTGGGAATTATCCTGTCGTTGACTCTGTTTTTCACGAGCAAGTGGATAATCAGAGGCTTGATGAACCTGTTGTCTGAGAGGTTGAACGAGCTCCGCCGAGCAATTATCAAAGCTCGAGTGCTGCTGCTGGTGCTCCGCTTGCTGCAGTTCCGTCGAGAGCGCTTCGAGAGTCTTCCCAAATAAAACAGAAAAATCCTCAAGTAAAATTACAACCCTGCAAGGACCGCCTTCTTCGGACAGCGAAGCAGTCAGAATTCCAGAGCCACTAGTAGTAGTAAATTCTTTAATACGTTTCTGGCGGTCTCGAGAGAATACTCCGGAAATAATAACTTGTTGAATTAAGGAAGTATTAATACAGTGTTTTTCAATTGAATTCGTTGATGTTCAATTGCGATAGAGAGCCGCAAAAGGCATGCGGGCCCCTTCCCTTTATGTTTTGAGAATACATCAAACGAGGTCCCTTTTCTTGTGGGCTTGACAACAAGAACGGGGACTGGATGAACCGCGCTTCGCTGGAATCTGACCGCTCTTTTGTAGATACCTGGAGATGACTGCGGTAAGAACTAACCCGCTTCAGCATAGACACCCATTCGGTTTTATTCAGAATACTCCGTTCAAATCTAAATTTTTTACTTTTAAATTTTGCTTTTTTCTTCAGCAAAAAATTGATTTCCCTTTTCAAATTGCATAAAAGAAAAAGCGAAGTTGCCTGAGCCGGATGATCCGATTCCTTTTATCAAAATATGATTTGGTCCTTTGAGTCTGCAGACTCGGCAACCACGTGGTTTTGTGACCTGGAGAAGATGTGTTCTAATTGAAACTTACCGGTATAATTCAGGAGAATGAGGACGTCTTTTTTGCATTTTTCAAATTTTATGAAAAATTGTAAAATATAATTTTTCATGATAAGAGTTTAATGAGTTTCATCATGAATTTAAAAAAATGTTCTGGCTTGCACTGGCGCCGAGCAGAGTCATCACAGGAATCTGAGAAAAGGTTCCACTTTTCGCTGCTTTTCCTGGCATTTCGCCTGGCAAAGTTCAGCATGTGTTTCCACGGTGGAAATCGGCCAAAATCGCGTTGCGGGTCGGGGGCCGCCCAGCTGCCCTCTCCCGCATTTCGTACACCGTTAATCGAGAATTATCATTTTTACGAAAAATAAATTTCATTTCTTCGAAAAAATTTTTACGCAATCAAAAAAATATTAATTGAAAATTTTTCATTGAAATTTGTTTAATTTTATTAATTTAACTTCTATTAAAATATTTCTAGCAATGAGTCAACGAATAGAAGATAAATTAAAACAGCAGAATTCGTAAGAACCTATTTCCATGTGGAATGTTGGGGTTGCGCGAGGGCGAAGCTGAAGAAATTTTGTAGCGCGTCCGGCGCAGTGAATTGAGCCCGAGTATATAACAGATCGAACACGGCTGAGTCGGAGACGAAATGTTTGGAGCCACCACCAACCACGTTTCCCAACTCTAGGAAACCCGCTAGTGTCGAAATTTTGTTCGACTTTATCTGAAAAAGAAGCTTTATCAACTTGAAAATCTGTCAAAAGAAAGGTTCACAATTGAGGCCCAAAATTCATTATTCATTTCAAAAACGGTCCTTTTTAAAAAAAATTTGCATAACAATTTTTTAAGCAAAATCAGCTGAAAAAGAATCGTGTAATCACGAGTCTAAAAAAGCGGGTGGCGCCATTGAAAGTCGATTTTTTCAAGTGGAAAGTGCTTTCTTCCCGGCTGGCGTGTTCAGCCTGGCAGAGGAATCGGGTTTCTCCTAAATCCAGACACATCTGTCAACTAGCTTGACAGAGCTGGAACGCACTTCTAGCGTGACCGACCGCAACAAGAAGCAGGGTTTCCTTATCCTGTAAATTAGGATTTCTTGTAGAAAAGCACTGACTCATTCATCATCTTCCTATCGTAATTTTCGACAGGTTTTTGATTAATGTAGTGACACCCTTATTTAATCAAATCATTTTTCAACCACGTTTGTTGAAAAGAATGAGTCACAAAAAAGCAATTCCATAAAATCTCATGAAACTCTCAAGCTCAAATTAAGCTAGTTAGAAGGTGCTCATAAGGGCACCAATTTTCGGGATGATAATGGCTTGGCAAGAACTAATGTTCCAATTTGGGCGGGAACTCATTTCCCGAAAAACAGATCAATCAAGCATTTGTTTATCTAACCGATTCCAGGGAAGAGATTTTTTTTTGTCTCTTCTTCTGCTGATTTTTTGAATTAACGAGGAGAAAAAGTAACAGCGGTAATTTGGAAGAAGTTTCCTTGTTTGAGGGAACTGAAGAACACTCAACTTGAAAGCACCAATTTCAATGGTCCCACCACTTGCCAAGGAGGAGCGGGTTCTTTAGAATCCCTTAAGAATTTTTATTGTTTCTTGGACTTTCTTAGATCTCAGCTCGAACTTTCAAAAGAGCAAAGAAAATATGAAAAAAGATTTTCGCAAATTATGAGTCTTGGAGAAAGTCCGCTGAAGACACTGTTCAGGGCAGATTTAACTTTAAACTCTAATGTCAAAAAAGAGGCCGATTACGAAAGCGGCAAATGAGCCAACTGCCCCTCCCTGCTTTTTTTCAAAAAGAAGAAACCCGCCCGCTTGTTTCTGCCGATAACGTAAACCCTTAAAACTAAACTAATCTGTGTTTCCCCAGCGGATCGGTTCCCAAGTCAGAAATTCGAAAGTGAACGCACGTTTTTTTTCACGACCATGTGAAGTGTATGAAAACATGATAGGTTAATCTTATCGAATTTATGTTTCAAGGTCGTCAATTTAGCGAAAAACTGTAGATAATCCTTTATCGAAAGGCTCCATTTTAAAAATTATTTTATTACTTTTTAGGTGGTTTACTTTTTCAAATTAACATAGTGACGCCCTTATTTTTTCTCTCGCTAGGGGTCGTAAATGTCCTTATTAGTCGAATATTATTCTACAGAAATTCTTACTCTACGAAAAATAAGCGAAGATTTCTGATCTAACAGATATACAGACTAACCAGTAATCCAATTTTACAGTAAGATTACGGCACTCGATTTTAGAATCTAAAAGAAATAAGCTGCAATTCTTGCAAGAAAAGAAGGCGCCGTTCTAATTTGAATTTTCGGCGGTAATGGATTTTGACTAACCTGGCGTAGAAAGTTTAAAAGCTCGCATAAATCCTCAGCCTCGGCGAGTAAGCTTCTGAATTTTGCGCTGATCTCATAGTTGGACGAGGGGCGCAGGAGACGACGCAGCGCCTTAAAATTACTCAAGAACGTTGCTTCTTTTTTTCTAAAATTAGTGTCTTTATTTTTTATTATCCGGCATGTGAATTTTATCAAAGCTCTTCCAGGACCCTGACTCAAGTTTTCTACATACAGCTGGGCTTGGCAGCCTGTTTAGAAAACCTGAGTCGGGGTCTGAAAGAGCTTCAAAACGGACTTTAAAAACAGTTTGGAAAGGTTATTTTAGCGAAGCCGCTTCGCGGCTTCGTATTTAAAAAGCCGCTACGCGGCTTTCAAGTGAAGCTCTATCAGACCCTGACTCAGGTTTTCTACACAGGTCGCCGAGCAAAGGTAGGGACATTTACCACGAACATGAGAGCTAGAAATTTAAACCGCAAATTAAAAGCGAAAATGTATAAAAACTCGAATCTATACAAAAGTTAACCTGACCAAAAAATGCGCAACTGGAAATGTAATATCCTTTTTGGGGCGTGTTGTTTCGGTGGTGCGTTCTAGAGTGGAGTCCTGTGGCTCGTTACTGGTGCCAGACGGGCTTTGTTCACTGAAAACGAGGGCCGAGCTGCTCTCGCGTTACCGATTCGGCGGCCGCCGAAATTTACTCTAGAAAAAATACTTAGCCCCGCCGCAGCGCAATCAATCACTGATTGAATTTGAGCGTAAGAAAAGCGGAAACGCAATTCATCATTGAACCAAGTCCAATTTTCTCGACTTCTTATTCATTCTCAGATTCATTCAGCTCTTTCCAAGGGCTTAGTCCTTAGAAACAGCTTGTCTTATCATTATCCGCCCAATTTCATTGAAAACTGATTAAGCAATTTTCTCATGACCATCGAGTCGATTTCAAAAACCGGTGAATACGAAACAACCGTATAATTCAACTAGAACTGCTGCCAAGTCTCCTGTATTTGCTCAAAATTAACCGGAAGCTTGTTAATTTCCTTCCTGCATGAAAAAAAAGTCTAAAATCAGATCGGCGATCACTTTGACTTTTGTCAAAAAATCTAAGCGCTGATTAATTGACCTTTTTTCGATTACACCTCTGGATTCTTAATTTTACAAGTTTGAGATTTCTTCCTTTTCCTGAAATTTTAAATGACCGAATTTCAGTGAAAAAGGGATGGGCTAACGTCCGCCCAGCTGCAGTAGTAAGACAGTATCCACCTGTGCTCACTATGCAAATTTTATTTACTCAAGAAAATGTCGTGTCTCAAATTTTTCCCGAATTTCAAAACCAAAGATGACCGAAAATTGCTTAATTCTTGCAACGTGCTAGAGATACCAGCTCCGAGTTTTTTTCATTGATCAGCTGCTGCTTCTTTTGCGTTCCGGGGTTTCCTTATCGACCCTCGTTCAACGTGGCTTCAATCAAACCCGCTTTTACGGTGGTGCAAGGCACTTCACGTCAGTTTTTCTTTCCTGCTGTTTCAGCTGCGCGAGCTTATATTCATAGGCTTTATGAAATTACAGGCGCTTTTTAGGTAGACACAGTCGCAAGCCTGCAATTTTCAAGGCTCCTTTTTTCATTGACCTTTTTCAATCAAAAATTGGAGTAAACAATGTCCACGAAATTTGAAATTTCAAGTTTCAAGTTTTCAATTTACCACGAGGGTGATTTTGGTAAGAGCCAGATTACAGCTTTTCGGAACATTTTTCGATCTGGTTCTGTGCTAGTCTAAATGGCAAATTATTTACAGTCTGAGAAAATTAAAATTCTTTAAGACAGACAGATTATTTTATATACAGTCATATTATGCAAGCTTCTAATCGCCAAAAGAAACAGGAAGTCGGGTAAAAATACTGTTGTTTTTTCATAAAGCCCGTGCTTGTAAGCTACGTGTCCGCCCTTATGTCATTCCTCCCCTCTCCTTTCTGGAAGCAATGGAAAGTCCAGACTCAGCGAAAACATCCTGTCCACTTTCCCACATCAAACGTGAATAGACCGGCCATAAATAGCCTTGAAGCCGTCAAAAATGGAAAAACCGAAAAATAAAGGTCGAATCTGAGCGTGGCGCGGATAGTTGTCTCCCGCTAATTTGGTTTTTAGTCCCTTTTTCTTGGTCGAAGGGACTTAACTGATTTGTTGATTCAATAAACACCTAATGGCCACCTGACCGGGGAATGAGGTTTTTCTTGAAGTTGCTCATATTATATTATATTATATTATATTATATTATATTATATTATATTATATTATATTATATTATATTATATTATATTATATTATATTATATTATATTATATTATATTATATTATATTATATTATATTATATTATATTATATTATATTATATTATATTATATTATATTATATTATATTATATTATATTATATTATATTATATTATATTTAGGCATAACTACTTACGATTTGTTTTCGTTCTTCTTTTTCATTTCGCCCAAACTTGTATTCAGGCTCACTAGAAAAATATACCATATAGTTAGCTGTCCTTTTTTGCAACATCTGAATCATGTTCGAGGCGTAAAATTGAGAGCCACGTGCTCCAAGAGGTAGTTATCTATCGAGTAAAAACGAAAGCTGGCGAACTGAGTGGTGTAATATTTCTGTGAACGGGAGAGGGCCTAGCGAGGATTAGAAACAGGTGGAGTAGTGTCAATCTTGGGTGCATAATCCCTTTTCCTCGTATTTTCAAATAAACATCAATTTTTGAAGCTTTTGGAAATTTCAAACCTAGCCACGTTTTTTCCGCAGTGATAAAATTAACTCATCACTTTTACGTCTATCAAATATCGCAGCTTTTATCGCGGCCAATTTAGCGGCTTGAATTTCAGAAATCATCAAATGAATTTCAATTGATTTCGCCTAATTGATCATTTTTAATCTGTTCACGTGGGTACCATGAATTTTGATAAATGGGCGAATTAAGGGGGTAGACATCGTTTTAGCGGGCTTTTTCCTTAGATTTAACGTAAGAAAGCCGTATTTTTTGGAAAATAAGGGTCTCAGCCTGTTAAATCTAGGAGAAAGAAGTGCCCGAAAATCAGGTTTAGCGATGTCTACACCCTTAGGTATTTGAATTTCGAAATTCAGGAACGAAAACGTGGAAATTCTGGCAACAAATGCATGTTGATAGAAATTAAATTCTCGTTAATTGCGTCTTGCCTCGAAAATTATTCTGTTCAACATGCGCTAACAGGCGCAAATTTCATTATCGATTTCAGCAAAATGATGATTTGCAAGATCCCGCTCTTACCGGAAAATCGAGAACTTGTCGCCGCCAAGCTGCAGGGACACCACTTTGACAAGCTTGTCGACAGTGAAATCGGCGAATTGTGGCTGTTTAGAATCGCTGCTCAAGCCGGAACCAGCGGAGGACAGGTCGACAGGAATAAGCTCACAAAGGGATCCCGCGACAAAAAAAAATAACGTAAACAAGAAGCGCCTTCTTCTGCGAATAATTACGGTCCCCGATTAGCTCGCGAAAAAAGTCAGCAAAAGAAAGATTGCTTGTTTCCGAACGTGTGGCTAATTCGGGTTAAGCGAATTTGCAACAACCCCTGCGCCTGTGGGTTAAATTTTGACTCGCCACCTTTTCGCTTATTTTTGGTTTTCAGATCTCTTTTTTCTTCTACCCTCTATCGAAAAACCATTTTCCTGGAAGCGCAAAAGAGGGCTATCAGCAGATCCTTCCGTAAATCCATTGTCGTCATTTTCTTCTAAAGAAACAGGAGAGCTCTCGCTAGTGAACGCGAAAAGCACCTTGCCGATAAACTAAACCGGTTATCAGCCAGCCTGTTACTCGCCACACGCGCCGTAGATTTGCATAAAAACGCAATACATTTTATGAAAAAACGATTTCACCATTGTTTCCGTTCGGAATCCCTAGGGAAACTCGATGAAAAATGAGCTTTTTTTAGGGCTTAGTAGGGAGGAAGTATAATACAGTTTTAGAAAGCCCAGGAGCTGGGGATCATTTTGACTATTGATAGTAAGGGGTTTGACTCATGCCCTGGGGCACTTTTGGCCTTCCAAAGGGCCAAATTTCTGGTACTCTTCGGATAAGGGACCATAACTTCTAGTATCCCGGGTCTATGGAAATAAAACTTATACTCGGTTGTAGAGGAGGCTCTGACGGTTCCGAATATGTATAGAAAACCACCGGGACCCCCACCTCTAGAAGGCGCTAGAGGCTCTAGAAGTTGAGGAAGTCAACCAAAAATCGGTACTTTTTGTCAAAAAAGTGCTGGAAATGCTGTATTTTCATTCGAAATCGATTAAAATTACATTTTTGATGATTCTGTTAGATTAAAAATAAGTTTTGGGGTAATTTTGGGCACTTTTAGGTCATCAAAAGCGAAAACTAGAATTTGCTGAAAATTCACCTCAAATGACCTCAACTGAAATTTTTGAATATCACAAAATCGCTAGAAATTATTTATAATCGATTTCGAATGAAAATACAACAATTCCAGCCATTTTTAGGCAAAAAGTACCGATTTTTGGTTGACTTCCTCAACTTCTAGAGCCTCTAGCACCTTCTAGAGGTGGGGGTCCCGGTGGTTTTCTATACATATTCGGAACCGTCAGAGCCTCCTCTACAACCGAGTATAAGTTTTATTTCCATAGACCCGGGATACTAGAAGTTATGGTCCCTTATCCGAAGAGTACCAGAAATTTGGCCCTTTGGAAGGCCAAAAGTGCCCCAGGGCATGAGTCAAACCCCTTACTATCAATAGTCAAAATGATCCCCAGCTCCTGGGCTTTCTAAAACTGTATTATACTTCCTCCCTACTAAGCCCTAAAAAAAGCTCATTTTTCATCGAGTTTCCCTAGGAATCCCCGTTACCAAGTGATGACAGAAAAAAGGCTCTTTTTGGAACAGGCTGGGTGTCAATTATCTCACCCGCCGTCAAATATCAAATTTGGAGGAGGCGGAGCTTCTAAACATACGTGTCACCTTCCGTCAATTCGAGTTAGTCTCTTCCTTACAGGCGGCGCGCGAAAGTGGCTAACCTGATCGCAGACCGCTAATGAGCGCTCCGTCGGGCCCTGTCCAGGCGCGGTCACCACTTCAGAAACCTCCTAACGTGTGAAATTCTGCGGAATATGGCCGATTAAGGATGCCCGTTAGAACAAATCTGTAATTCAAAAGCGTCAAAATTGTCTCTCAGACAAGACATTTTGGGTTAAATTTACCGACTTTTTATTGAAAAAAAGAAGGGTCATGTAACTCATGTTGATTCTAGCGCCGAATTCTGGATCGCATCATCGCTGGATTTAAAAATATTTCGTGAAATTAAGCTTTCAGCTGGGGATTTCTATATGTTGTCACTATGCTTACGATAGTGTTTGACGCATGTTTATAAATTCCATCTTTTGGGGCCTCCTCGCCTCCTCGCAACAACAATTTACGAAAGCGTTTAAAAATTTGAAAACTTTTAAAGTCAAGTGGCTGGCATTTAATTGCGCAACGACTCAAAAGTACAGTAGTGCAGAAGCGGCGCAGGGGCACCTGGCTGGGTGTTGAGAGCGTTTAACCTTTAGCTGCCCAAACTCGATTACTGTGGGTGACGGCGTTGCGTTCAACCTACTTCCCGTCTTCCCAAGCGAGTGTCAGTCTTTGACAGGCGGCGCGTCATGTCTAGTATTAACCCGCACTGCCGATAACCTTACTGCAGTCCACCTTAGCACTTTATCGCAGCTCTAGACATAACCCGACTCCTGTTTTGTTTCCAACGTAGTTTCAAAAAAAGCCACCTGCGAAGTTACTGCGTCATTTCGGTTATCAGTTATCATTTCGGAATGACCTTACAACTGAACTCGTTTTAATTACTGATTTTACTCAGATGATGAGAACTAGTCGATTTTTCGGTTCTCAATAATTGAAGCTTATATTTACACAGGCCAAAACCTGTGTAAGAGACCTGAGTCAGGGTCGTAAAAGGGCTGAAACTCAGAAATACTATCTTGAGTTTCTCTCTGTGAGTGAAAAATCTGATAAGATAAAAAGAGCGTTCTGTTTATCATTAAGGATGCAGAGAGCATAAGTCGGGTTCCACCCCAAAAACACTGCGCTTACGAATCGATAAGAATCTACGGAGAAACTAACTTTAGTAGCGGAAAGTCATTTGCAGCCTCGATCACTTTCAGATTTGCCTTGCAGATTAAATTTTGTTCAATTCGTTTCAGAAAAAAATTTTAGCCCATGAAAATATTTTTGGAAGCTTTTTAAAATTAGGCCTATGCAAATCTGGTTCGTTAGCGCTTCGCTAAAGTGAGCTTTTTCGTATTTTAGAGCGCGCGCTTTTAAAACCTCCAGGTGCCTAATTTTGACTTTGCTTTATCCCGTGGCAGACAACTGGCATTGTCGCGTTGCTTTCCCAGGACAGCTTCTACTATCTATTATATTCCTGTTGTCCAGGACTTTTTCAAAAGTTAACAAAGATTATCGGTCTTAAAAATCATTTTTTTAACAAAAAGATTTTCCTAATCGAAGTTTTATTGAACAAAACAGCCGATAACCGACCTATTTAATTGCTTTTTCACCGCAAAAACTCTAGTAAAAGCATTTTTATTTTTTTTCTAAAGTGCACTCTAGTAGAGTCCCCTTCTCCCCTGGCCCTCGCAACTGTCGCGGGGCGATCGTTAAAACTCGCTTTTTCATAATTTTCGCCTGGCGCGGACCCCTAAATTTTCTTCTCACGGTAAACATTAGATTCCAAATCGCCATTTCTCGAAAGTCATTCATTTCCCACGTCTGCTCATGATCAAAAAAATAATAAGAATTTTGAAGTCATTTGAAAACTTCTAAATCAAAATAAAAGGCATCCAAAAATTCTTTCTTTTAATTAAAATTTTTCGTAATAAAACAAAAAAAAAAACGAAGATATAAAGCTTTGAAAATAATTCCAGGAGCTTTTTGGTGCGTTTTAAAGTTGTGTAACCCTGATGGCTGATAACCTTCTAGCATCCATCTGCGAGCGTTGATGGAGCCGTCAAGGTTTCGTATAAAGTCTCCTGCGAGCTAGGAATGTCGGCTGAGAAGGAGCGCAGCTTGAGTGCTTGTTTGAGAGCCCGTTTATCTTGGTACTTACTTGACCGGCTTTTACGAAGCCGCTTTTCAAGGAAAATTGCCAAACCAATTCATTACAATTATCATTACGTGTTTTCTTTTACTCAATCATCAACATTGAACCTTTTCAGTAGTTCTAAAATCAAAATTGCTTACGAGAGCATTTTGCAAGAAGTTATAAATAAGATTTGAAAATTGAGTTTGCCAAAAATAAGTTGGGCCGATTTCCGGATTGGTGATCGAGTTTGTCAATTTGGAATCGGTGATTTTGGCTCTCATATTGATTTATCTATTATTTTTGTTCCCGTATTTGAAACTACGTACATTAAATTTTAGTCGATGCGAAAAATTAATCAAAAAATTTATTCCTATTTTAGAGAACTTTCTTATGGTCCTTTTTCCTTCTAGTAATTGAAAATTTAGAAATTGTCGTCAGAAGGCCTTAGACAAGTTTTCCTTTCCTGGGATGGAGAAAAGATGAATTTTGGAGGAAATCCCTTGAGTCGCTGGAGATTTGGCTGAGTCGACTCGCGTTAGAAATGAACAGGCTTGGACTCGCTGTCGGCTCGTTTTCCAGCTTCGTGAAATTCAGCCCTTGGCCTAGGCCGAGCCAGAAAAACTGAAAAGCGGGATTATGTCAAGGTGAAGTGCTGATCGTTTTTATACTTGCCTCAGCTTATCGTGATATTCTAGCGGCGGTGCGGAAATTGTCCGCGGCGAGATTTTGTCGGGAGCGGATAAAGAACCGACGACGCAGATACTGTCCGTGGTCCCCACTGATAAGCTACTCCTGACGTGGTTATCAGAAAGCTTCTGACTCGAATGTTCAAGCTTCCAGATAGGTGACTAACAATTTGAGCGAACAGGGCGGGGATGGCGATTTTTCGTCTGGATTTGATTAGGCCCGAAAAGGAGGGGATTCCAACCCTGATTTCCAGCGCATTATTTGATTGTTTCAAAGGAAGAAAATCCTAAGTAAGCTTATGCAAGAAGATTGACCAAGCAAAAAGGACCAAGGTCAAGCAAAACGAATCTTCTAAAGGCAATCTTCCGCGAAGCAAAAAACTTTCGCCACTTTGAGTTTTGAGTTTTGGCGAGCTGCGATGATAACCCCTGTGCGGTGGCCAAGTGCTGAGGCGATTAAAAATCCTCTGATGTGGAAGGTCACTAATTAAAGAAAACATTTGTTTTTGGCGGTTCTTCCGAATCAAGCGCTTTCGCGAAAAAAAATACACGTACCTCTAATGGACAAGTGCAGATTTGTTCGCTGCGGCAGAAATGAAAGTGCAAATTGACAACTTCCGAGAAAATGTGTTTTTATTTCAAATCCCAGGATTAGACGATTTTAAAGACAGTCATTATAAAGAGGTCTTGTCTCATCCTCAACCCTAACCCTAACCTTTCCTTTACTAAGTGGGGGGGATGATCCATTTTCGAATTTGAACTTCCTTGACACGAGAAAACGACCGTCAGGTTAGAACCGTAGTTCGCTTATGTTCCGGATTAGCGTACTGATTCACACTGGCCACCTTTTTGGCTCAAGAGGGATCATCCAAATTCCACGGACTAGCCATGGTCACGTCTTCTTTTATTTCTTTTTAGAGCCTTTTCCAAGCGCTTGATAAGCTACTATCTTATACGTAAAGATACGGCCGGTGTTAAGACAATACGATATAGATGGCTGCGCAGTGACCGCGGAGGATAAATATTCACTTCTACAGCACTAGAATAGTTGACCACTAATCAAGCTTTCTTGCAGTTAAGTTACATGCGATCCTTACCCCAAAAAATATCATAAATTGAAAGATAGTCTAGTTTAGCAAGCTTTTTAGTGAGGGGTGGTCTTATTATGAGAACCAATTGTAGGATTTTCCTTCACTTCGAAATTATAGATTGTTTATAAATGTCGGATTACTGGGAGGGCTACTCTGGATCAGCGGAAATGCAAATGTTTGACATGCACCTTGCCGGTCCAGAAGCAGACGCGGAATGCACGAGACGGTTAAATTATTCTCCCGTGGATTAAACACTCTTGTGCTCGGCATAAATACTCACGCTTGGTCTGTTCTTTCACTCCTCCTTATTTAACCCGTTACGGCGGGCGTGGTACTGATTGTGATTAGAGTTGTCTCACTTCCTAGTCATATTTATCGGAAAGCCTGTTTTAGCAACAAAACCCACTCGTTTCCGAAACATTGACAAAACAGATAAGAATGAAAAAAGGGCCCTTGGCTGTTTTCAGTTCTGCGGACACAGGTTAAGCTCTTCAACAGCCTCAGTTGAAAAGAGATAAGCAGCCCTTTTTTATGCCCGCCCTGGCCGAACGTAAATAGACAAAAATTCCTTGAACAGAGCATTTTTTGCGAAATTCTTAAGATTGATTTTGAACGGTATTAAATTTGGCTGTATTAACCTGTTTCGTCTCATTTGCCTCATTTCAACTTCCTGCGTTATGAATAATCGCTTTATCCTAATGTGGCATTAATATTCTCGTGACGCGTCGATTCTTGAATGCGAATTTAGCAGTAGCAGGGGATGGGAGCTGTCCAACTGCGGAAATCGCGAAATCGCCGATTGAACGCGCAATGAAGTAATTTCGAGCGAAACAATTCGAAAATTATAAATTATAAAAACCGCTTATCGTCTGGCAGAACCGGCAGCAGGAGCAGTGAATGGTTAGACTTTATCGTTTTGATTGCACCCTTTTGTACTCAGAAGTTGCGGTTGGTCTGCTTTTCCAGCGTCTGGGACCATTTAAGGGCCCGCAAATGACAGTAACTTTCCGATAGAGTCACTTTTAACGATTCTTTTTGAAAGAAAAGTGTTCAAAGGGTGGAGTTCCTTCATGATTTCACTGAAAAATCAGCTCAAAATGTGCAATTCTTTGAAAATCCTTAAACTATCACTTTGTAGCCCTAGACTTTTCTTTTGGGGAGCACATTCCTGGCGCGGAGAACAGTGCACGGACTGACAAGTGGAACTGAACATTTTTGGTTAATTGAGGCCCTTTTTGAATAACACCCAAAATACTCCCTTTTGATCGAGCACTGGCACTCAACGTGCCCGAGCACGCGCCGTTTTCTGTTACAAAAAGCGGACCAGTTTTAATTTCAGAATTGACGAAATGAGAAAAGCCTCGTTACAAACGAGCACTTACCGAAATTCCCCGTTTCTGGGTTCAGCTTTAGTCCAACGCAGCTTGCTTTTTCGTCATCTGAAAACAAAATAGTGATCTTTTAATCGTTTAATTTCGTTTCAGCCCTTAATCTGTGCAAAGGGTGTCTTGCTAGTACAACTAAAAATTGAGTCATTGTTAACGAGAGACAAAGCTTCTAATTAATTAACCCGTCGCCGCAGTTTAAAACTGGTTGTTTTGACAAGAATCTAATTACAACAATACACCCAAATCCTAACTGTCCCGTGTTGTTACTTGTTGCGCAGTAATTATCGTAAAAACACTCTCCGGAGCAGATAATAAAAAAAGAGCAAATCAAAACCAAGCCGCCTACGCATTTGCACCGAACCGGTAGTTTCGCTTTTGCTTTCCGAATTTTATTTCCTAACTTGATCATCACCCTTGGCCACTCGCACCGGTAACGCTATTATCTTCAGTTATAAAATTGATTTTCCAGCTCCGTCTAAATTTTCGCCTCCGTTGTGGATTTTTGATCATTTCTGATCGGTAGATTTAATTGGGTAGAAAGTCGACCGAGCAGCAACACATTAGGCTCGGGATTATGTGATTAGTGATCGAGATTACATAGCCGATTAGCGAACGTTATGTAGTAACTGTTTGAAAACACCGTAGCGTCCGCGTGGTTGTCTTCCGCAAATTACGATTATGAAAGTTTATTTGGTATAATTTCTATTCAAATAATTATACCGCGCGATTCTTTCCCGCGTTAATTATAACTGAGGCGTGTAAAATCGACTGTATTTTTTATTTTAACAGAGATTGAAGCTGGAAGCACTGGCTGTGCCAGTCTCCAGCTCGTCGATTCAAATCGTATAAGTAAAAGGAGCTGATAGTATGCAGCGTGGCGGCTAATTCGTCCAATTCAATCAAGCCGTGCGCGGCGACTTATGCCGAGCTCATATGACTACCCACCGCGTGTTACACCACAGTCACTCGTTTTCTTTTGCACCCAGGTAGACTAGCTGAGCTTCAAAGGGCTCTCTTAATCCTTATGATATTATTACCAACCCTGATTGACACCAGAGCCGCTAGAGAGATCATCAACAAAAGCTTTGAAAAAAGAGATGAACGCGGAAAACACGTAACTTCTCGCGCCGAAGCTGGATTATCCGCTGAGTGACCCTTTCTAAAGCTCTTCTTACCGTGTTATAAAACCCTGTTAGAAAAAGTTCTAGGCTGTGTTATCTTGATTCCCCGAGCTCAATCGCTAATGCTGTCTACCGGCTAGCATGCTACTACTGTTTATATCCGTAAAATCAACGACTTTTATCAGACAACTTTTCGATGCCAATTTATCTCAACGATATTAATAGACGCTAAAATTATCAATTATCATTAACCAGAAGCGACCGTGTCTGGCGGACGAAAGGGATTTAATCGAAATGCTTGGCGCCATTTCCGGTTTTGACCTTGGTTGGAACGAATTGCTTGGAAAATTGATTTTGAGCAAATCAAACTTGGATTTGAGGATTTTCGCGCGGCGGGCATCACCATCTGAATTGAAAGAGGGAGGAGGCGACCGAGAATGAATTTATTGAGTTATGCTAGTGAGTTGGAAACGAAATTAAACGCCTAGGAAACGTGGAGGCTCCTTGGATAAAACGATTGTGGTCCAAGGACGTACTCAAGGATTTTAACCAATTGGTGACGACGCGGGTGATTTTTAGGACAAAAACTATGGTATAAGAGTTTTTTGGTTGACTCTTTCTATAAACGAGGAAGTTCATTAGTTTGTAAAAACGAAATAAAATCGGCCAAAAGTTCAAATGCTCCCCAATTCGCGGGTTTTAATCGTGACCCAGGGAAACATACATACGGCCGACCACAAAGACGGACGTGACGATGATAATCGACTGAAATTTCCGAGTTTCAGTCAACCACAGGCATCTATATCTGCATACTACAAGGCCAGAAAATGACTGTTTCGAAGGAAAAGCGTAAGAAAGGACGGGACTTCAAGGGTTTTTTATTACGCCATTGAATTTCGCGCAAATGGAAATGAAATCTATCCAAATAAAAGAATTGTTCGAAGGAATCGAAAATGCGATAAGCTATTAGTTGTTACGGCTAGTTGCATTCTAACGCGTTAGGTCCTTTTTAAAGACAGATGGCGATAGCTGTTATCGACAAGCACTCGACTTGCTCAAAAATGCTTGAAACGTTGATCCGACTGGAGTGTTGCTTAGCGACTCCTTATCGCAATTGCCTTAACTGTAAATGCAAGTGTGTGTTTATGGCGTATTTTATAACGCTTCTTTAGAATGATAGAACATTCCATATTCTGCTGATTATCGGCTAAAAGAGCAAGCATCAAGAATCACGATTTTCGACTCGAAATCAACATGAAAAAAGAACACGCGCCATCTAAAGTTGGTTATTCTCCACGCTTCTCAGCGGAATCAATAATTCTAGCGTGCGCTCCAACTCACCCTGCCATCAATAACACCTCGATCCAGCAGCACGTTTTCACTCTTTATTATTCCCTGAGCGCTGAAAAGATAGACCGAACCGGAAAGCGACAACGAATTTTCGATTGTCGGAAGTTTTCACTACCAACATAACTGAAGCAAGCAGCAACACGAGCAAGTGGAGTTGCAAATATCGAAAATATAAAATTAGCTTTTGCCAAAAATAAAGAAAAATGACGGGCAAAGTTGTGGAAATAAAAGTAAACATTAGTTAAAACATGACCTCTGAAAAGAAGGAAGAGGAGGTGCTTATTAAGGAGCCACTTGATAGATGAATGAGCGTCATTCTTTCTCCAGAACAAACCCCGTAAGAATGATTGCATAAGAAGGCGTATTCTAAGAACGATTTCTGACCCTCTCTCCGCTTAATGATGAAGCTGAGTATATAACGGTTGGTGGCGGTTTCTGACGGGTCGCACATGTCGCGTGTCATTTGGAAGAAGTTAGAAGCTCCCAGCGACACGTTCCGGCCTGCAAAGTCTTCGCCTGACTTCCGACAACTTCCAGATCTCGATTTCTGTTTACGCATATATTATCCTATTTCTGGACGGGATGAGCCGAGGAGGGCGCGAAATTATTTTCTCGCCGACGAGCGCGTGAAAATAAAACACCCAAATCAAAGCCTAAGTGGAATAAAAACATTTAAAAAGAGAAGAAGTGAAGAATCTTGATTTCCTTTGCAAACGAAAAAAGTGCAAAGTACCTTCTCCGGAAAATAAAGAAAGAAAAAGCCTGGGAATGAGGTCTGAGTACGTCGAGAGAGGAGAGTGCTTGATCTTAGCAACTTGTGAATTTGAGATTCCAGCGAAGGAATGGAACGCATGAGACGGGAAATCATTAGCCCTTATCGAGTTATTGATAAGAGCCAATCATACAACCGTTTACTACGCAAGGAACATGATTTCTCTACTGCTAGCTACTGTCTAAAATCTAAAAATGCTCCATAAACTTGATCATGACATTTATTCTAGAGCCTTACCGTTTTTCTTGAACCAATAATGTCTATTTCTACTTGGTAAAGCATTCAATTATCTGTCGAGTCAAAGAAAGAGATCCTAGACTTGGGCGTGTCAAAGCCTTGGTAAACACGCGCACGAGGGTTAACCCTTCAAGTTCGTCGAAAACCAAGTTCGCGCTATCAAAAGTATTGCATGTAGCAGGCGGTGCGATTACGCACCTCCCTGTTTTACCAAAAAATTAGAAATTATCGGAAACAAAATTTTCTCGAATCATTTTTTGCGCAAGAGCTCTTTTATCGGGCTGTTTGATCGTGTCGGCTCTGACGAGCTGAACAGCTCGTCAAAGGTTATCTCGCCAGAGAAAAAAGTACAGTTAAAAGAAGCAAAAGAATGCTTCTAAGACGAGATAGCGGAAAACCGCAGCAATGATGATTATCCCAATAAGTCGATACTTTGAAGAGAAGTAAAACCGCCGCAAAGCAGTTTAATGTCCTTTCATTATGGTCTCCCTTCTCATCACCACGTTGTTATTTTACTAACGGTAAAAAAGGCAGTTCGGAACGATTACGACGAAGCTGGTATTGCCGCTTGCTTTTGATTAGAAATTGTTGCATTCTCTTCTATTTCAAAGTGCTCGAGAAACGATTATTGTTTAAATAATCAAGTTAAAGAAAAAGGAAAAAAAACGTACGGTGTAGAAAAAGATATCAAGAATAGAATAGAACTGATCTCGTGATCCCAAAATGGAAGGTTCTTGATAATCCCGGTCTCCATTTTCTCGAGCACCACTTTGTCGGCTCAAAAACGTGTGTTTCCTATGCGTTGATATTTATTGCTCGCCTTTTGCGTTAACCTCATAAAGCAACAATATTTATTCAATTCTGCCCGCGCCGTTTATAAATCCCTGATCTTAAATTTAAGATTAAACAGTAGCTCCATCTCCGTCCTTTTTCCGTGCAGTGTGAGCTCACCGAAATAATTGACCAAAATGGCAAAACGTGTGAAGCCGTACAGCTTCTAAATTGCGAAAAATTGTCCGTTATCAAGGACGTAAGCACCAAAACACCGTATTTTCTCATCAAAAGAACAACTGTCCATTTTCCATTTTTTACCTTTTTCCGTCTTTTTCTTGGTTTGTATTTATAACTGATTTCAGCATGAAAATTAGTCTTGTATCAAAATAGAAATTATCGATTATCAACAAGTGCAAGGTCAAAAAATTAACAACCAAGTTCCTTTTCGCAACGAACAAGATCCACGTGGCTGCAACTGGGCCTACTTGAGCAACCGGGTCCACGTGTTGTGCCTTTTTGAACGGCTCTGGTTAGACCGCAGTCTACTAAACGGTGACCCCGTTCATGTTAGTGCAAGCTGCCCGTGATCCCCACTGTAGCTCTTTTCTGCCTGTACTTGATTCGCCTGTTCGCTCGTTTGATCGGTGTGATGTGTCGATCCAGATTCCCTCACGCTCATTGATCACGTGAGAGCGTCGATCGCTTGAAAACGGGAGAGCATCAAAGGAAGAGAATCCACGAAGCAAATCAAACTCTTCGCAGAATTTCGGCGTCCAGATCCGCGCATTTCTGTCCAGTCGCTTGCATTCTTCTTCCGACTAAAAATAAAATTATGATCCAAATTTTAGACCCAGGCCAATCATCAATGATGAAAAATATTTCACGTTTCAATTTCGAAATTGAAATTTCGAAAAATTTTGAAAAAATTGCGAAAAAAGGTTTGATGATGATCAATTAATAAAAAAATTGGAAAACCGGTTCTAAAATATTTTTATGGAAGTTTGGCATCAAGGATTTATCTCCGCGCCCGCGGTTTCGAATTACCAGTGGAAACGGGGGGTTCAATCTCGGAGATTTATCGGTAAATTTAGTAGAAAGTGAAAATCGAATGTTGATTTGATGGACCGTAAGAGCGCCAGCGGGACTTAGAAGTTATCGCTCTCTTTTGAAGAGCGCATAAATAAGGGCGACGAGAACCTTTTCTGTTTGATAGTGATAAGAAAGCAAGCGTTCTGATCTGCCCTGTTTCGGTACTTGATGAAGGGAGGGTATAAAAAGGAGATGAACCCTTAGCTTTTTTCCGGCCACGTTTTTTTGCGCAAAATCGTGGAAATTTAAGAATTACCTGATCGTAAGAAGAGGGTGTCTTCAAAACTGCATAGCATAACTCTTCGGCGTAGAAGTTATGGAACCCTTGAGGACATGACCTTTTGGAAGGCTCCACGCGATGGGAGTGGGCTTTCGCCACCTAACCTGGATTTCTCAAAAATTAAATTTCCGCGAGTAAAGTTCATCCCTTTACCCTTTTGATACGCGGCTACTGTATCAATCCTTCGACCCGTTTATCCGTTCGGAAATCCGTTTCTCGTCATTTTCTCTATTTTCCGCAACTTTCAGAAAAATCAATAAAGTCAGATTCAGGCGCATTAGGAGCGCATACCTCCACTTCTCAAAACTGGACTGACTCAAAACTGGTCTAATTTATTCGAATCCTTCAAATATTCAGAAGCACTACCCTTCTTTGTCCCGCATGCTCTTGCGCTAGAATATCTCATTTCTCAAAAGATCAGGTGCTCAGCCACATTTTTTCTTTCTTAGAAAAGCTTTATTAAGCGTCTAACGCGATATTTCGATGAACCTAATTGTCATTTTCAGCCGCCCACTAAGTTGTTGTTTTCGCCAAAATTTTACGTTTTGGGCTTAATTTTTGGTGAGCGCAGAAATGTGTTGAAAATGCGCTAATTGCGCCACACTGACATAAAAGAACTTGTCCAACTTCTGGGCCGGCATTCCGGCATGAACAGTACACCTTCGCGGAAATGAATTCAAGTCGAAATACAGTAGCTACTCTAAACAAAACCAAAGAAGGAAGAACTACTCGTGTAATTGATAATTCAAGCGGAACAGTAGATTACAGAAATCGATAGGGAACACGTACCTGTACAAAAAAGATAAGGATCGGTTTCATACACCTGTAGTGAGGTATAAATGGCGCTAGAAAAATTCAAGTTTCACAAATCGGACAAAAAATGAATCAATTCCTTCATCGAATCGAATTCGATTTTCTTCTTCCACTACTGCTTGTCGACTTTTTATTAATTCAATAATATATAACTCATAATTACTTTATTTTGATGTTGCTAAGGGAAAGGTTTGAATTTTGGTATTTTGTAAAATGTTAGCCACGTCAACTTTTCGTGAAAATGTTATGAACGTTTGAAGCAGAGTTTTTGAAGCTCGTTGGCAAAATTCTTGATATCCGTTGAATGTTTGGTTACGTGGTGGGAAGATCGGAACGCTTGATCCAGCAAAGTTGCGCTCGTCGGGAGGAATGTCGCCGCAGGAAGCCCCAGTTCACAGAAGAGCACATCCAACCGCATGCCAAGGCGCAAAAGGCATTGCGCAAATCACAAGTCCTCTTGCAATTTCCTTCTTTAGGAGCTATAAAGACGATGCCCATATTTAAAACTATAACATATTACACTGTACTTACAGTGTTCGACCTCAGTTAACCTTGAATTATGTAAATGTCAATCATTGCGTCGACATTTGAAAAATAATAAAAAAAAAGTATTTAAGAAGGTCTTTTTATAGCAAAAAGTTAAAAAATGATCCTTCAAGGATTCTTAATCTTCAAAAATCCACAAATCAACAACCCGACTTACAGGCAATGCATTGAAGAAGCTGCCTCTAGTCTAAAAAAATGTGTGACGGCTTGTGATCCGAACAATGCTTGCTTCAATGCATGTCATGAAAGCTTTCTTCGCACCTCTTCGAACTGCCCCTGCATGGCAAAATGTCCCGCAGGTTGTCCCTGCGAAGATGGATATAATTGTGAGCCATTTATGACTGCAATTTGTGAGCAACGATCTGGCACCTACCCTGGGGGACAATATAAGTACATTCTTTCTCCTGATGGTCATTTTAAAGAAAACCGATTATACCACTCGCCAATTATTAATGATATTCCATATTTGGAAAAGGCAAGATATGGAATCCTGAATGGTGAGGTCTACTTCTTTGGCGGAACCAGTGATAACAAAAAGATTGCGAAACTGACTGATTGTGGAATAGAAGAACTTTCAGTTAGACTTTTGAACAACTTTTCATCCTGGGCAAGAACTGTTACTCTTCCAACAAATCCGGATGAAATTATGCTATGCTCGACCCATGCTGTGCCATATACAAAATGTGAAAATTTCGATGGCCAAATTTCACGAAACAACCCGTTTATAATGAATTATCCGCATAAATGTGGCTGCATAGCTCTTGACAATAATTTTCCAACAATAATTGATGGAGGAGATTACACAGCTGAAGGGCCTCTTCCAATTCTTTCTAAAGTTGAGTCTCTTGGTATCAGTGGTTGGAGGGAAGAGCAAGATCATCCGTTGGAGATTCGATGTCCGGCTTGTACTTCTGTTGGTGACGGACTTATTACTATTGGAGGCCAAACAAGAGAAGAAGGTGTCGATACTTATCTGAACGATGCTTTTCTATTTAGTAATAAAGTCTGGTCTTTTGCTGGACAAATAAAACAGGTGATTTCTCCCTTCTTCTTAAAAATATCTTTTTCTTCCAGCGTGGTGGATTGTCAACTCTTCTTTTTTATGGTACACATCTTTTCAATTTTCCTGGTTGGCAAGGGTGAGTGCATTGCAAAATACGATATTACTGATTATTGTGTTTTCAGCGATTCCGTAAAAAAGGTTGAGAGAATATCATGGAATGGAACGTATGTTACTGGAACGACTATCATCAACGAAGAAACTGGCTATTGCTACAGGCCGATTGTCTTTGAAACTCTTCCAGATGCCTGCGCAGATACTTGCGAAGAGTACTGTTTTCCGTGAATTTTGAATAACTGAATAAATGATTCGTTTCTGATTTGAAAATCTGATTAGAGCATTATTTAATTGTCTAGCTCTAGAATCACGTGCCATGCTCTACAACGGTCAAACACAGCACTTGACATAATCGATGCAATCACGTGTCGGGAGAGCAGAGACAAATCTGATCTTGGTGTCATAATATCAAACCCAGTTTTGTTTTCTGAAAATATATTTGATTGAAAAGCAACTAATTTGATCAAATCCGCTTGTAATTACTAATCACCGGCCACGTTTTATTAATAATAACTGGCTTTAGAAAGTGTCTTCTAGCACTTGAGGGCAATCAAAATTTTGGCAACGAAAAAGCCTAGAAAGTGGTTACCAGAAACTTATAAAAAATTGCTCGGTCGACTACGTGGTTTATAATTTAACATTTTTCGAAATTTCATGCTCCCATTAGACCTGGCTTACCGCGGATAATCCAGGCCAAGGTTTTCAAAGAAGCATCCGAGCCTCTGCTTGGCGGATTGACCACCGTGAAAGCGAGAGCCAGCCAAAAGTGGAAAGGATGACTTTTTATACTGACCGTAATTTGTCAATTACCGAGGTTGTAATCTACTTACAAGTAAACAATTTTCATACAGTAATATGCCAATCTAAGACTAAAGTCAACAGTCAATATTAACCATCGTAAAAGCCGAGATGAAAAAAAAAATTTTATCCAATATTTGCTTCTCTATGTATTTAAGAAATTGATCACTCTCATCAGATTTTGTTGAAAAGAGAAAATGAATGAGCTTTATCTAAAAGAAGAGTTCGTGACAGACTTCGGCGAATACGGAAAGTGCAAACGTTGCAATCGGTTGAACTGCTATTCATTGAATAACTTTGAAATTTCATTTTAGTATACCTGAAAGGTTCGCTACACATTACGGTGACATTTGTTGTTTTCCTTGCTTCAAAACATATCACCCCAAATGGGAAATTTGGAGTCATATTACAAAAAAGTCGACAGCAAAATTTAAATGCCCAGGAGAAGAACCTTGTCAGAAGAGAGATCTCACCTTTCAGGATCTTATTCTTGGCTCATGTTGTGAGAGTGCATCAACGTGGAATAATCCTAAAAGTATTGAAAATGAAAGAGTAGAATTAAAATAAATTTTTCAGATGGAGAATACGAAAAAATAAGATTGGTTCAGAAATATTATGAAGAAAGCATAGAAGAAGAGCAGAAATTAAAGAAAGATGTTGAAGATGCAAAAAATAATATCAAGAAAGCAATAAACAAAGAAAAATGTGCTCGACAAGAACTTGCTGCTGCAATCAAAGAAATAAAAGTCATGGAAGCTAGGCTGGTTGAAGCTCAAAAAATGCACAACGATGCAACCAAGCAAGCTAATAGTAGAAAACGAAAAGCACGGATGGTTTTTCTCTTTGGTGAAATGGCGAAGTCTGAAATGTCCACGAAATGCATCAAAAAAGAAATCAACGGAGAGAACTCACAAAGTTGATTAATTGAAGACCCAACGAGGGCTCCTGTAAGAAATCTGATCCCCAATAAAATTTGAACAAAGATGATTTCAAAAAACTTTTTGTGGGGCCGGAAATCGTAAAAAATCTGCAAGTGCAGTTTTCTTCAGCTCGTCTAGACGAGTTGAATGATGGGTCTAACTCCTGATAACTCTAAGGATTTACCGGTTTACCGGCTGGTTACCGGAAAATACGTTGTCAGCGGCCGTTTTTGTTCTAGAAGTGGTAAACAGATGATCGACCCCGGAACTTGTTTCTTATACTCAGTTCTACTGCAGGCTAAAAGATGAAAGTCGTATCAATAGTCTGAAGAGAGTTATCATTAAAAATAGTAAATTTTACATATATTTCGTAGTTGCTGCACGTTCCTGATTTCTAGTCCCATTTTCGCCAAAAATAGTATTTTAGTGATAACTCTCTTCAGACTATTGATACGACTTTCATCTTTTAGCCTGCAGTAGAACTGAGTATAAGAAACAAGTTCCGGGGTCGATCATCTGTTTACCACTTCTAGAACAAAAACGGCCGCTGACAACGTATTTTCCGGTAACCAGCCGGTAAACCGGTAAATCCTTAGAGTTATCAGGAGTTAGACCCATCATTCAACTCGTCTCGACGAGCTGAAGAAAACTGCACTTGCAGATTTTTTACGATTTTCGGCCCCACAAAAAGTTTTTTAAAATCATCAAAGAGAAATGAGTTTTCTGTTTGTCAGAATATTGAAAGATAATATAACTATAATCAGATAAATTATTTTGTTTTGCTGCTTAGTTGTAAAAAAGAACGGTGATTACCAAAGCTGACGTTATCGTCATCGCACGCACAGCAGAAGATAACAAAAAACACACAGCGAAATATTATCTCAATTATAAGAAAGACGAGATAGAAGCAACAAACTGGCGACCTTGCGTGAGTGGATAATTTAGGCCTTTTTACTTGGCCCAGCCGAGCACTTTTGAATGACACTCATGAGTCGCGGCACATGTGATTCTCAGTCCAAAGAGGCCGTGTGAGCGAAAACGTGCTAGAAACTGGATCTGACTCGTTAATTGCACAGTTAAATTCTAGCTCTTCGTTTGCTCTTTGTTTTGACATGTGTGGATTCCGGGATAATAGCATTACAGTCAATTGAGCCCCGAATAACCATACTTCTAATTCATAACTGCCTGTATGTCCTAATGCCTTCATCGATTTCACGCTTCTCAATCCTTTGAACTTCCCAAAAGTCCGCGCGAAATTCAATAGCCTCATCTTATTGACGAAATTTTTATTTTTATCTCGTTTTTTTCATAATTTTCGGGCGACTTTTTGACGCTTTAAAAATAATTTGTAAACCTACCCCGCGATAAACGAAAGAGACACCTTTATCAGTTAGCGCTTCTTCTATTAAAAAAATCTAAGTAGGACGTACAGTAACGTGCAGGTGCTTGACGCAACGGCTCAGAAGGTTTATTGCGCTCATGTAGCACTTGTGCGAGAGTATCCAGGGCCGTCTTTCTTCATGAGCCGGTCGCCACGTCCGCTACCATTTGCATCCGATCTATCCGACACGTCTGTTTTAAAGCATCTTTCTGAGCCCGTATAAACATGTTCAAACGCAGACGTAAATCCTCACTCTTATCGCAAACTCAAATAAGCCAAAATCACACGCACACATGTTCAGATAACTCTCAATTAGACCAATCCGCGCCTGCAGATGTTTTATTCCAAATTTTAACTTCTAAAATTTCCGATAAAAACAGACATAAGCGGGATTTGAAAGATTTTTATTCTCTCTCGAGAAGATTGCAAAAAATGCAATGATCCCAAAAGAGAAAACTTTATTTGGTAACATGACATATACAAAAGTTGATTTATGTACAGTCAAATGCAGTAAATACGAGCTCAAGCTGAGAAACGGCCTTTTTTAGATGGAAAATCATGATGTTGGCAAGTGGCTGTTAGCAAGTGGAAATTTGCTGTTTAAATTTAGCCAATAAGAAATCTCAAAAAGCCAGCTTTGATTTAATCAAGCAAAAAGAACTGAGCAAATATTCGCTTTAGATTTATTCCAGAGCGAATGGGTGCACTAGAACTCTTGAAAAGCGAAATTGAGACCAGAGGAATAATTCGAGAGGCCAATTTTCTCAACCAGAAGCAAGGGACAATTTCAGACGACTTTAATCTTTCACAACTTCTTCTTTTACCTCAGCTGGCAGAGCAAAGTAAAAATGAAATTTTAAAGCCGCCTTTTATCCAAAGAATTGAGCAAAAATGTTAAAAATGCGCGGGGTCGCACTAACCCTAGCGCCAAGCATCAAATTCCCGACTCCGGCTTCCTTAAAAATATTTTTCAAAGAAGCCAAGTTGAAATTTGATGATGGCTCATTCACGGCAGAACACTCTTTCCCATCTGATGACAAGAAAGGAAGATTTTTGGTCAAAATTGCATTTGTGATTTTTCGAAAATTAAATTAATAAGAAAATTTTAAAATACATAATTTTAAATCAATCTTATCAAAATAAATTTTCATAAGCGACTCAATTATTTGAGATACTTATTTAATTCGTTGGAAAATTTCTTTTAAACTTTTATCTGGATAAAATTATAATAATTTCAGGGTCATATCGCCCCTACGTTTTTGTTGTTGATCGCACAAATCACGTGATTTTTGTGCATTTTGGAAGACTATTGATTTTGTTAAATTTTGACGGAAAATATACAGCTGGGCGCTTTTGATCGAGTTTACCGAATTTTATCTTTGTAACGATACTTTTTGATTATAAGCGGTAAGTTGAAATTGATTTGACGAAGAATGGTAAAATTGGTTTGAAGACAAAAAGACTTTGGCGGTAAGTTTTGATTAAAATTGGTTTTCTTTCTTTTGCTATTTACAGGGCGAAGCGGCCAATTTTTATGACCAATTTTTGGACACGATTTTCGGCCAATTTTGTTTGTTTTGTGAAAATTGGGACCTCTAGTCTTTGACAGGAAAAAAATATTGAGAGGGAGTAAACTCGATCTAGAGCATGAGGTCTGCGTGAATGTAGGGCGACTCGCCAAGTACAGTGCGTTGCACGTCGTGGTGCAAAATGTGCTGCCGGATGTAGGAAGGCTGCGGGGGTAAGTCGGTGCGCTCCGACTGGAGCTCGCGAATGTGATCGGCGAATTTCACCTCGCCCCAAGTCATCTTGAGACACTGATCGCCCGATTTTCGACGAAGCTTAATCCGACGGATCCAAGGAGTAAGTCGCTGCTGGGCATAAGCCTTAAATATTTTTGTTTAGCAAGGATGCCTTCTTAGGACAATCCTACATCGACGCAGCGCTCCTCGACGTCGCGCAACTGGGCGCGAAGCTTGTTGACTTCCAAGCTCATCTTGTCACGCCCGAATTTCTCCACGGCAATGTCGAGTTTCTTCTCGAAGTGATCGTAGAGCGAAGCATCTAGTGAGTTCCATTCGCGAATTTTGCGTGCTCATAAATGGTCAACAACACATTCCTGAAAGAAAAAGCCCACGACTTTCGAGCCAAAATGACGATGGCACCCAAGAGCTCGAAAAACTGGCGCGCAATTTGAAATCTTAATTTAGGCTCTAAAATTTTAATAATCAAAATTGAGGTTTCTTATTTTAATTGAAATTTTAAATAATTTTGAAGCTTATATTCTTTTTAAAATTTAGTAGCTCGAAAAAGTTTAGACTTGCACTGCTCCGAATCGATAAACATGTCCGACGAAGTTAAAATATAGAATTTGCATGTTTGGATTTTCAATTTGAAAAATCTCGAAATCTGAGTAAGCGCATCGCCAGATGCATACGAGGGGCCAGTCAAGTGGCATGAAAGTGGGACGCATGCTAGGGAGTCAAAATATTAGAAAGATTAAGCCGCTCTGAAATAAAAACTGAAAAATTATTCCCGCCACCGGTTAGACTGCCGCATCCTAAAATATGGTTAGTCTCATTTTGAAAGAGCTTTAAATCACATTTTACATCAATTATGTTCAAAATAAGCTAGTATAAGTACTGTACCTTTGGTTTAAAAATGGATGTTCTTCTGTATGGCGTTTTTCGTCAAGTCTTTGTTTCAAAATATAATAGCCGCTTAGCGGCTATTTGACCGATGATATCACATTAAAGCCGCGCAGCATCTTTTTTCAAGACAAAAACTAAGCTTTTATTATGCCCTCGTAAAGAACTACTGTAACTAAAAGTTCATCAGATTCAATTTATGACTAGTGAATACGTGTCCACTTTTTTTAAAGTCGTTGTTGATTGATTCGAAATAATCATTCATGATAATTGTTCTCGAAAATGCATTTGATTGATATGAGAAATTAAGGTGAAGTAAACTACTTTCTACATGTAGTGATTCTATCTACTGATTAATCGACCGTGTCCTTCATCCGTAGTAAGTTCTGTGCTCTGCGTTTCTCTTCTGACCTTCAGCGCCAGGTAGATGACATCTTCGTCGGACATGCAAAGAAGATCTCGGAGTAGAACGATCGACTCTTCAAAACGATCGGTGATCATGACCAAATCAAAGATCTTGTCCATCTCCTCGATAGCGTATCTGAAAAGGAAAATAAACGGATGAGCGAAAAATCCAACTTCGCCAGAATCCAACTCAAGGCGGCACTTTTAATTTGCGTACTGCTGGAGTAGGCCAATTACCAAATCATCAAATTAAAAACTCGCGACGTCGATTCTAACGTCAACGACTGCATTTTATGCACTTTGAGCTTGATCATTTGGAAGAAGAAAAAAAAAACGGTTTTTAGTATAATTTACCTTGCATATTCTCGACTGGTATCTTCGTTGTCGAATCCCAAATCGTATGCCATGTAGTTTTTGGCTCTGAAAAATTATGTTAAAAAAATATTTTAAAAATCTATTTTAAAATTAAGGGTTTCACAACGATTTTCGTGAAATTGTAAAATGAATAATTTTCTTTTAAAAATCAGGTTTTTCGAAGTCTACATCCTTAAAAATTATGGTCAAAGCTCACTTACCGGAAATACCAGGGAGTCGATTTATCGTAGAACCTTTCCGGGTCGCTGAGGAAGTTCTTCAAAGTGCCGTTTCTTCCGACCCACTGGGCGAAGGGGTAGTCGCGGAAGAAGCCGAAGATGGACTCGTAATTTGAGATTGGATTTCGCATGATAGTAACATACGCAGCGTTATCATGCATCTTCTTCTCGATCTCCTCGTAGTTGAAGCGGAAATGGTGGCATAGAACGTCGTACTTTTCGGCCACGGGGTCGACCAATCGCTGGTCGAAGCTGACCGGGTATCCGGCCAACTCCCAGTGGTCTTGGATTGGAAGACCCACGAGCATTGAGTTGCGCTCGGCGTGGCGGAGGATCATGTTTGTGATTGTCGTTCCTGAAAAGAAAAGTTAAATCTTCCCCATTATTTCAACCCTCATTTGAATTTTCTCCCTTCTTGGAAGAAATCAGAGACTACAGTACTAAAATTTCGGGCTTTTAAATGCCAGACCTTTCAATTCGGAAAGGCTAAGCCTATGAGCCGAATCAAGTGTGATCCAAGACCGCCCGGGCGAAAAGAAAAAGAGTGCTGAAAAGAGCGGTCCAAATTCCTCCCCAACCGCGCACTCACTTCTCGTAATTCAAAAAACGATCGAGAGGGCGTTGTCAGAATTATTATAATGAGAAGGCCCTGTAAGCTCTTGAAAAGGCATTTTCTTAAGGGCGCGGGCGGATAAACGTGAACTTTTTTGTTTTGAGAAAAAATAGGAAATTGCATTGTTTTTTATTTATTTACCTCCAGTTTTGTGCGTTTTGACGAAAACGACCGGGTCCGGCTGACAGGTATCGCGCTCGCCGGAAACCATGTCTTCGAATTTCTTCGTGAACGAAGGAGTAACTACGATTGGCTCGTATTCTTCTGCTGCTGCCCGTTTTGGACGCATCATTCCGCCAAGAAGCGAATCCTTCGTCTGAAAATTCAGTAAGTTTTTTGAAAAAGAAATTTCTGATAAGATCTCTTCGACTCCCAAATTGTTGACAGTAACAAAAATGAAACTGTACTTACTCTGTAGTGAAAATGAACATTGAGCAGGATAACAAAACAGAGAGCTATCAAACTGCCCCTTGCAGCTAGCAAAATCTCCAGTAATGTCGACGATTTGCCGGCTACTTCTGTTGTTCTTTTCTTTGAACGCTTATTTGGATTTTTATTTGAGATCAATAAAAATACGAAGCTAATGAAAAATCAAAATTAGGGTTAGGGTTATGTTTTTAACACATTTTCTTCAAAATAAAACATATTGACACCCTTATTTTCGATGAGAAAAGGACCCTCCAGGCTTACTCTGATTGGTTTTAGCTAAATAAAATGAGAATTTAATTAATAGTGTTGGCATTCAGATACAGAAATTCATCCAAAATCGACCAAAAAATTTCGATATTCAGATGAATAAAATATTTCTAATATATCTTTTTCAAAAGAATAAAAGAAAGTCGTTCCTTTTAGAGTTGATTTTTTAATAAATTGATGGAAGAACGAGTAGGGAATTCGAAATAGAAAATCACGAGTTGCGAAAAACGAAAGTGAAGCCGAGTGTGGATTTTGGCAGCGTTCGAAAAAAGGGAAGCCGTGTTTGGTTTCAGAAAGTGTCTTAAGACAGAATAGATATTGACAAATACGTGGACAACAAATCGGTGAACAGTGTCTTTCCCCGTTCTAGGATTTCACGATGGGAGTTCTAAACAAAAAGAAATCGAATCCCAAAAAACTAGAACACGTTGAAAAAAGTAGTGAGTCAGACTGAGAGTAAGGATGAGGAAATTCATGTTTGGAAGGGTACTACTGTTCATTTTTAACAGTAGAATGAACGTGATAGTAAAACCTAAAGAGGCTTATAAAATTGAAGAGTCCGGAAAGAGACACGGTTTAATAGGATCGAGATACACTCGCGGTTGAATAATACCAAGTTATGTGGTTAAATATTCAACGCCGTTTTTACGCATCGTAAATGCACTTATTTTGAATATGAGTTTTCAGGTGATTTGATTATTGAAAGTTTTGTGTCTCTTGTTCATATCACTGTAAATTTAGTTTGACGATTTGATGGTGATAACTTAAGGGTATCCATAAGTTAACAAATTTTTGCTCTAAAACTTTTTATAAGCTACATTTTAATAATAAAATCTTAAGGACCCCTAGTGTATACAGAGAGAAAATGCTGTTTGAAAATTGCTAGGAGGTCGAGGGGGGATCCTTAAAATAAATAGAAACAAAAAGCTTATTTCTTCCATGGCAAGGATTAGTGATTTATTAAAAGAAACAATAATTTTTCAAATAAATAATTCAAAATAAAATTATCAAAAATAAATAACCGAAATTTAAAATTTTCCGAAAATGAAATTTAACAAAATATTAAAATCCGTTCCTTGAGTACGCGTTGGCCATCGTCGCTAACTGCGACAAACTTATTGTGGTAGTTCGCGGAAGTCATAATTTTACTTTTCTTCGCGTTTTGCTACAAAGTAAGTGTTCATAAATCAAAGTAATCTTCGTGAATAGAATCTCTCAAAGTGGTTTCTTTCTTCTATTTTACCGGTTGTTGTTAATTTTTTCAAAAATGTGAATTGGTTTCTTCTTTTTTGATTTTAATCTCTCATGCTATTGAGGCCGTTGTCCTTTTTGGTCAGCCGGCCAAAGAAAAATGATTTCTTCGTAGGATATTCCTCTGTTAAAAAATAACGATTACAAAAATTCAATATAAAAAAGCATATATAGAATTGGGTGCTTAAGCAAAAATATTGGCGCGCAGCGAAGAGGAAGCGCTCCGCCACTAGGAGGAAAAGTGGCGCTGCAGAGCACCGCGCCGCAGAGAAGAGGAGTGATCACGATCCGAGGCGAGATGGACCGCGAGCGCCACCACTTTGGAGAACTGCCGGATAATGCCACAGAATAGGAGATTTTTGTCGCTAACTTAATAAGTGTTGAAATACCAGCAGATGTATTTTTTACTCGATGGCGTTATTGATATTTTTTCTTATTTATGATTTCGAAACTTTTTTCGTTATAAATAATTTTGTTTATTTTTCTGCTATTCAGAATTTATGAACAGCCTTTTCTTCCTTCTTTTTGCCTTGATATAATTTTTTATCATAAAAATTTTTTATATTTAATTATTTTGTCATATTGAATCATAAAAAAACTCGTGAAAAATACGTTAAAAATATTTTTTTTCTGTTATTTTTTAGATTAAAAAAATAATATCATTTTTAAAATTCTGACAAATTTAAGTTTTTTTCAAGTATTTTAATTTTTTATTAAAAAATTATGTCTCGCCGCAAAACTCTATGTCCTCTTAACATTATGGATTGCTTTCAAAAGACCTGCTTAAAAATGCAAAATTATGCGGAAATTATTATCCAAGGCGGGTTCGACCTCGATTTGCCAGAAAACGAGATTCTTGAGTGCGTTTTTCTGAGTGTTTATAAGTGCGTTAGGCTTGTTAATGAACACATGTTCTATTCGCTGCAGCGCGAAATAAGCGGAATTTGTTTTTAGAAACTAGACCACGTTTCTAAGCGGAGCATATTTATTTGAGCTAGCAATAGTGGCTACATGAGGATTTAAGCAAAAAAGACGAATGAACGTCACTTGCGCAATCTCTGAAACGAGCAACAAATCATTCTGGGAATTTGAAGTAAAAGCGAGACATTTTCAATTTGATAAAGAATGACATTCTCGGGGCGAAATCGAGTCAATTTAGGGGGGACAAGGAGAGAGGTGTGAAATCTCATACCGTGGTTTTCCATCTTAAGAGCGCCCAACTTAAGAGCGTTTTTGCCAATATTTTCCATATTTTCTCATCTGAAAAAATCCCAACTTTAGAGCGTTTTTAGGAATTTTTAATTAATAATTAGAATAACGTTTGTTTCAACCTGAAAAATCATTGAAAAAAATTGTTTTCTACGCTTTTTTTCAGGTGAAATCATAGCCTCTGATTCAAAGATCGTAATTTTTTTATCATAAAATGGTAAAAATGACCTCAGATGCATTTTTAGAGTTTTGGAAAAAGTTCATTTTATGCATTTTCATTCATCATTTTTTCCCACTGTCATCCTAGTTTGATCGTAAATTTTCCAACTTAAGAGCGTTTTGGTCTACCCTTGTCATCTGAAAAACGCTCTTAAGATGGAAAACGACGGTAATTTGGGCGAATTCGAACATTCTTTTATTGTACTTTCTCGCTTCAAGAACTTCGAAAAAGAGAGGACGAAAAGTGAAATTATGACCGATTAGCCTTCAAAATTGGGTAATATAAAACAAAACATTGATGTAGCGAGTCGGGGTTTAGAAAATGCTGAAAGCTAAGCTTACGGATTTCCCGCGATTGCGAGACAACAGACTTGAAAGGGTCTTTTAGGCCCTCTTTTTATAAGACCACCGATGAACCACCTAATGAATCATCTCAAACTACCGTGAGAATGAGCCGTTTTTGCGCAAGAAAAAGGGGCCGCTGCTGCTGTAGATTCTTATGGAAAAGGAAATTTAAGCGATGATATTTGATTATCACGGAAATTTGGGCCTTTCAAGTTTTTGGAGCCGGATTCAATGTCGTTGACTAATTGGAATTGAGGGCGTCTGGGCAGAACGTGGCGAAGAAATGGCACCCGGGTAATGCCCATTTTTTTGGATCATCCCTCTCAAGTAAACCGTTCATTCCAAGACATCTGCTGAATACTACCCATGCCAATCCGTTTTCTCGTGTCACTGTAGCCTCGTTTTATAAAGCGCTTTCTTCAATAGAAAGTATAGCTTTTTGTCGTCAAAGCGACCCCTTTGAGCCTCAAATTCGGACATTTTATTGGCTAAAAATCGATTGTAATTATGCTTGTTAAATGCCAAACAAATTGATACACAATTATAAAATCCTAAAAGCCACAATTGTGTTTCTAAAGTGGCTCATTTCAGCGCAAGACGGAGCGCCGAGAAACCGCGGGTCAATATTTGTTCCATCCTCTAACAGTGCGGTAACAACTTTTTTGAAAATCGAAGGTGAGCATAAACTTCCAGGAGAAAGGGGCTGCGTCTTTTCGCCTGCAACGTTATTTGGATTTGGCGAATTTCAACTGGCCTGGTTCATCCTCTTCCGATCCATTATCGCTCTGACTCTAAGCCGGCTCTCTCTTGTTATCATTGTAGATTTCGCAGCAGGACGCCGAGCACTGCTTTTCGCAGAAGAATGCCTTTTATCGCCAGAATTACTTACGTGATCCTCTTATGCTATAAAAGGCTGATAAGCCGTTTCTTGGACTATCGCACGTAACAATAACATATTTTTCACAAAGTGGGTATATTTGACTGGTTTATTTTTGGCAGAACATTTTGGATCCTAGACGGAAATACTGACAGATGACGTTTTTGACCTGAATACATTGAATTTGCATACTTTCAAGTGGTAAGATACTCTTAAAATCTCAAGGCATACATTACGAACTTTTTAAGGAGGTAGATATCAAGATATCGCCATTTTCTGTCAGACTTTTCTCCCAAGGTTAAAAAAGTAACACCCTTATTTTACTTCGGAAACAAAAACTTTAGACCTTTCTCTATTTCTTATGGAAGCTGAAATTTTGAATTTCAAAAATATTTTCTACAAAATTTTTCGTCAAAGATCGCTAACTTTCAAAAAATGGTCATTTTGGCGACAATCGAAGGTGCCCGATCTACATTGTAGCACCTCGAAAGCTCAATGAATCTACATTTCTTGCTTCCATAGGAAAGAGACAATTGCCTGAAATTAATTTTGCCAAATGTGCCATATATGGCACAAGGACTTTCCACCACCCATTTTTCTCTCCGTCATCATTTCGGGTTCTTCCATTTTTACTCATTTTCGGGCAATAGTCTGGGCTTGGGTTTGGGTTTGTTTTTTTAGCTCGGGTTCTGGTTCGAGTTCGGATCTTGGTTAAGGTTCGGGTTCGGCCATTATATGGGGCCTAGGACGACGGAAAAGATGATGTGCCATATATGGCACATTTGGCGGCGGGGGTTGAAATTTTAGTTTGGCGGCGTAAGGTTAAACGGTAGTTCACTTACCTGTAAGATCGATCATGTTCGTCGTCATCTTCGCTCGAATCAGCAGCTTGCCGAGAATGAGCTGTTTTCTTTTGCATCTTACGTGGGTCTTCGATCAAATCGCCAGCTGATTTTTTCGACAAGCTGTTCCTGCCCGTGTTCAATCGCTCCGAGTGCTCGGAAATCGCATCGAGCTGGGGCGAGTGCAGTGGTTTCTCGCGCTTTAGGGAAGTTCTCGAAAGTGGCCGAACTTAGCAGATTTAGAAATCGTTATCATCAGCGTTCGACCGCCGCAAGAAGTGTTCATCAAAAGACCGGATTTTCGGACTTGCTCGCTTGCACAACGGACGCGCAACCGGTGATCTTCAAATTTTCAAAACATATGATTAATTGACCTAAGTATTCAGAAAACTCTGTCTTGAGTCCATTTTGGGCAACTTTCGAGAGGATTAAACTTGGAAAATAATTACTACGAAATTTTTAGAGTAATGAATTTAAATAAAATCCTCTTCCTTTGTGACTCATCGGAGCATTATTTGGAGAAGGTCCACTTCTCGGCGTCGAGGTTCCATCTGGGGCTTCAATTATCGGCGCGTTGTCAGTTGCTAATTCTAGTGAATTCTTCTCACTTTCAAAAATGTAAGATTGGCCACCTGCGCCGAATCTATCGTTATTTTTAAGTCGCGAAGTCATATCATCAGAGAACGAGCTGATCCGCATTGGAAACATTTTTATCACTATTTGAACACGTTTTATTAACAATTAACAAAAAAAAAAGATATTCTAAATTGTTATTTATCGCTAATCGTGGCGCTTTTTGCTATCTTAAAATAGCAGTGAGAATCTAAGCAATGATTCTGAAGAAAAGAAGAAAGCTGTCCAATGTTCCTGTGATCTGAAAAAGTCGTGTTCTGAATCTGGTCAGAGTTGAGTGTGGTGTTTCCGAAGTTGGGGCGTCGGCCTCCACCTCCTCCGTGAGCGGCTGTGGTCGAACGGGAGCCGCCGGAACCTGCAATGGGAAGGTAAGGGCGCGTCCTACCGACAACGCTATTTTTGGCTGGATAATTATGTTTTGATCGGGTCAAGGAGGGACACCGAGCAGGATGAATTTCGAAATAAGGCTTGTCTGTTTTACAGTTACTCACTGTATTCAGGATAATCGTCTGGATGAAACAACTCCGCCTGTCTTCCCCATCTTGCGAATTCCTTTCGAAAGGGGCCCCAGCTCAATAAAGAGGCGGCCACGTTAACCATGGGTGCTAGTAGAACACGATCAATTATCAGCAAGCTAATTTGGTACCAAATTGTTGATTTGGATAAGTGACGATAAGCTAGAACGCGCACCTGTGGGATCGCGAATGACGGGCGCCTGATCTGGAGATGTTTGCAGAGGCAGCTAAACACTACCTTTTAGCTCTTATTTTTACACGTCAGTTTTCTTGCCACCGTTATTACCTGATAATCAGCTGAAGAATAGAATCTACTCCACTGTATAATCGTCCTTGGTCCACTGAAAAGCTCAACTTGTAAAACTCGCCTTCCCATTTTTTCTAAAATCGTCGCTTCAAAGAGTTCAGAAATAATTTAAGCCAACGAGTATTTAAATTACAGCTCTGTGTCATGTTTTTTAAGGCGTGAAATTTTAAATTGACTCTTATTTTTTAGTTTTTTTCGGGGCAAAAAAATTCACTGCGCTTGAATTTTCAATGACAGAAAAAAAGTTATTCCGAATAATGGAATTATTATCTGTAAAAACTGAAGCCAAAAATTTGAAAAAACAAAAGAGCTCGTTCGGTGTAAGATAGTTCAATTCGTTGGATTATAATTTATTTGATTATTGTTCCGTGTTCTGTTTGAAGTGTTCTAGTTTAGCGACAGTCCCTGAACTGTCAATCATAGAACCTATATTAAGCCCTATCAAAGCCCCCTTTCTCGGAGTCAGTTGTGATTCTCGCTGAGTCCCACTTTCACCGTCAGCTGTACACGATTGCTCCTCTCCGTTTTCTATTCTCAATAAACCAGTCAATATCTCCACGAGCTAGCGGCCGTTCGTGTTTGACTCCACGAGATTTAGTCTCAGTTCTCAGAACACCTCACTGGAGACTGAAAGGGATTTTTTTCTTTTCAAACGCCTCCGGAAAATTCCAGTCAACTAGAGATCTACAAAGAAGTAGCCAAGAGCATCGACAATTAACGATCGATCCAGCCACTTCAAATTCAATTTCTCAATCCAGTTCCAGTCACCTAGAGATTTACAATAGAAGACGTCACGATACGAATTCCGATAACGATCTTTTGACTCCAACTGCGAACTTCCAAACTTTACTCCAGCTCTAGAACCGGCCAACTGCTCTTCGCGGCGCCACCAACTGCAGCACCCACAACAACTCAAACAACCACGCCAACTCCTCCGATGACGCTTTGCTCAAACGGGTCAAAGGTACGAGAGGATTAAAGGTCTGTAATTTTTGGAATCACGATGTTGGTCGGAAATTATTTCTTTTCGAAAATCGAGTCATTGACTTCTGAATAAGAATATCGACCACTTCAGGATCCATCAATGTTTTTGGTCAAAATTTTAGGAAAATGTCGAAATGATCATAGTCCCGATCGAATATGAAATTTATTTTCAGTTTCGAAAATTGGGAAATTATCAAAGAACTCATTTTCTCGCTTCCTCATTTTCAGTATTGTCTTGTCTTAACCACATAAATTTTCACTTTTTGAAAATGCTGGTTATCTTGACTTTACTTGAAAGTTTTCTCTTCTTTATGTATAGGGCTTGAGAAGAAAAATTGCAGATGAGAAAATCTTTGAAAGGCGACAGTTTTTTCGTATGAAAGTACTGAAGCAACACATATCAGTTACGCTTACTTGGTGAAAATTTCATCATCAGATTCTGATATTGATCAATAAGAGGACCCAAAGAACGCGTTAATGGTCTTTGTTCACCTTTGTTATGATTATTGCTCAAGGGTCGGATTTTTTGCCAGGGATATTAATTGACTACTGATGGGGTGTTGGATAGCGGAAAAAATCTCATCGGAGCCTGGGTTGCGCTTGTAAGGCTAGTAACAAGACATCCCACTGACGGGCGCTCTGATTCGTCCGTTTAAATTTTCTCGAATTTTCCATAAGATTCACGTAACCCGTTTTTCCAACATCTGACGAATCAGAGCGCCGACCGAGAAAATGTGTGGTAACTGGCCTCACTAGCCTAACTCAGGCCCTCTTGGGATAGGCACTCTGATTCGCCACAGCGCTCTGATGGAAATTCCGCTATCAAACACCCCATCAGTAGATCAACCAGATGTGTAGCTAGCCGCCCCGCTCAAAGTTCAGTTCCAAACAAGCCGCAGTGAAATAGCTCCGTCATGGACCTCTCGCAGGGTGATTATTTTTCTAAATTCTAATGTGCTTATGTTTTCGCGGGAGGGAGTAAGGTGCCAAAGCGCCGAAGCTTTCTGAATCAATTTTTCACTAACGATTCGACCCATAGAACAAACCATTTGGAACTGGTCGGGTATAAACTGTTCTATTCATAATGCACTTAGTTAAATAATCACTAGCTTCCCAAGTTCAATTACACTCTTGGAAATCTATCTTTTGTTTCCTTCCATCAATCTTGAATTCTTGTGCACAATCAAGGTGAAATGAGCACTAGAAATTATAAGCGTCCCTCGTATATCGACATCAACTCTCCTATTGACCATTGAAGACCTCCTCTCGATAGTGTAAACGGGGGAAGGATAAGGAACTAGCTATCCCATCATTAAACCTTTGGAATGCTTTCTATAAAGGTCTGTTTGACTATCGACCTTATGGCATTAAGGGTCACACGATAGTCCGACCAGATTAACACTCTGGTTCAGATAAAAATCTGAGGCTTAGTAGCGAGTCAATCGTAGGAATTCCATAAGATCAGTTAGGCCCTAAAATCCTTCAAGGTTGTAGTAAACCACCCGTTGCACCCTTAATACCTTTAGACCCAAGTAGCCAATGAGCACTGATGATACGATCAACAACTCTTACTTCAACGAAACTTCCGACGACAATTATGATCTTCTCGCCTGCAACTCCTTCTCTCCCGCCCGAACTCATCTCATCTCTTCATCTTAGTCAAGATCAACATCTCCTTCGTCATTGTGAACGATCTCATCGTCAATCATCAACTTACCTTCTGCTTTCTCTTCGACCCCGTCCTCACGTGTGCTTACTCTCTCCTAACCAGAGAGGATCATCATCGTCGCCGACACACTCGCCGCCTCTGATCTCCTCCAAATACTTCTCAAAGAAAACCAATTCTTTACTACTGTATTAACTCCACTTTCTTATTTCAACTTCATGAACTTTTGTGTGTGTGTTCTCATTCTTCTCTGTTAGTGTATTTATAACACTGATCATCATTTCCCTAAGTGGGGGAAGGGTGAAGTGTTCTAGTTTAGCGACAGTCCCTGAACTGTCAATCATAGAACCTATATTAAGCCCTATCAAAGCCCCCTTTCTCGGAGTCAGTTGTGATTCTCGCTGAGTCCCACTTTCACCGTAAGCTGTACACGATTGCTCCTCTCCGTTTTCTATTCTCAATAAACCAGTCAATATCTCCACGAGCTAGCGGCCGTTCGTGTTTGACTCCACGAGATTTAGTCTCAGTTCTCAGAACACCTCATGTTGAAATTTGAACCCTGACGATGGTGATCCTGGGCTTGACAGTTAATTTCGTTAGCTCGTGGAAGGCATTTATGGCCAATAAAGACTCGAGTGGGCTCAAGGGTGACGGCCACGTGGTTCAATCTCATCCACTGCTACTTATCTCTGCCATTTTACCCCCTCCAAGTTCGTACTGTCTTTGAATGTCGGCCTCTTGAGCCCAGAACAAAAGATAGTCGTTGGGTTCCCAAGTCCGCCCGCCCCAGTCAATCGAGTTTCTCCAAGAGATAGCACTTCGAATTGCATGTCTGAAGGGCACTTAAAGGGTTTGAAATTACGTTGAATTGAGTACCTCACAATTTCATCTTGTTCCATAACAAAGATGTCTCTTCGTTCAATGACAGCTGGAATGTACCAAAGTGCGTGGACTTGATTTTCAGAACGAGCTGAGAGTTGATAAAGTTCTTTTAACCCTCCCTCGCGTTCTGTCCAATCATAACAGAAGTAAATGTCGGCGATAAAGGAGCTGAAGTCAAGCTTTTGCCGGCTGAAATCAAGGAAGAGAATCATAAAAAATGCAGTAAAAGAAAATCATTTTCAAGCCAGTCCTGAAGACAATCGTTTCCAGGAAAGGCACCCTGTAAGAACTGTAGTATCTGATCACTTTCACTTGCGAAACCCTTCACTTCTTCCGCCACTACTTGCAAAAATGCAGGTTGCCACTTTCTTTGCGCATCAAAAGGAAGTGATTTTGAGTAGATGACAATGATTCCATGTGGCTTTGACGGGCAAAACGTCTGGAGATAAATTGGGCCACCGAGGTAAAATCGCTGAATAGGAAGATTCAAGCCCTTTTCGCAGATTTGCAGCATTTCATCGGTCAATTCTTCGATTTTCGATTTGAGCTCAGAAAGATGACTCTTTTGCACTTTTTCTGGGAGGATTGTCGGGGTCGCGCATCCTGCTTCTGCTGGAGAGATGTACGGTCGCTGCTGGATGTTCTCTTCTATGTTTCCAGTGGAGAAAAGCTGCATCAGACGCCAAGCGAAATCGGAGGTAAATTTAATTGAAACGGTCTTGACTTGTTGAGTGTTTGGGACGCTCAAAGAAAGCAGCTCATAATCTACAAAACTATTATCTCGAGAAAACTAATGATTTTTGATAATACCTCGCGAAAGAGATCCAAGTTGATATTTCAAAATTTTATTATCGGCTTGAAGTTTTATGACATTTCTTCGCTCTTTATCAGATGTCGGCGATGGAGCTAGAATTGATCTCGCTTACTTTCGTGCCTAGTGTTTTCGTTTACCTGGTGTTTTAAAGACAAGCAGCTGAGTGGTAAACTCGATTCGGACAGCAAATGTGAGCAAGTCGTTTTTTGAGGAGACGAAGGTGAAATCAGAGTCGTTGAAGAAATCTCTTGGGTTGATATTAAACTTGCAGACCTCCGACTCAGACCAGCTCTCGTTGAAATAGCCGGATAGTCGGCCCTTGTCGTTGATGAGATTCATGTTTGGAGCTCTAGCGAGCATTGTTGAAGTAGCCGCACGAATCAGTCTTTCTCTAACGGGCTCATGGGCTTTGTCACGATTGAGAACAACTCTTGAAGGGACGAGATAAACGTTCCAGGCGACATATTTATGATGCATTTCTGGAATCGAATTGGAGTCAACATCAGGCATGTCAAGTTTGAAGCTAAAGAAATCGCCGAGAAGAGTTTTGAGCGTCCATTGAGTTGAAGTCAGATCTTTAGAAAAAGTAAGTATAAAAATAACATCTCCCGATTTCACGCATCAGAATCTTTGAAAAAGCTTAGACAAATTTCTAAACGTGCCCTTCCAAAACTTTCCGCATAACCCCCGCCGCAATCCATTTTCTAAACGGTTCCGATTAGGTGTCGCCGGCCTATAAATATACCCAAGTCGCAGCGAACTTTCATAACTACTGCGTAAAAAGACACAAAAAGAGTATTGTGATATGAAGCTTTTGTCGATTTTTGTTGGAATTTTGAGCTTGGCTGAAGCTCAGAAAAGCAAAGCAAGATCGAATGATGAAAAAATAAGAGTGCAAGCTGCAAGAAATAGAGATAAGATCAATGCTAAGGTACCTCCCAGATTTAATAATAAAGCCTCAAAAACATATTAAGAAAGACAAATTGGAGAAAATCTTTGACTCCCAAGCAGCCTGGTTCAAAGAAAACTTCGGCCCTGGTTTGAAACTAACGTGAAAAATATTCGCTAATCATTTTTCAGGAAGTATGACAACAGACGAATACACTCCTCACGCCAGACGAATCTATCGAAACTGGCTCTCAAAGTACGAAAGAAACAAGGATCGAATGATCGCTCGTCTGGAGAAATGTGGGCTTCAGTCCATCTCCCACAGTAGAAAGAATAAGGGTCGAAATCGTCGACAAGCTACGGAAGAAGAAATTATTGAAGGAAAATTGGTCAAAATCAATCTCAAATATTTAATCCAATTAATTTTCGTTCGCAGCATTTTTAACCAAAGAAAGGCTTCCCAAAATACACCCGCGAGGAAGTTCAAGAATTCCTCAAGAAAAATGGCGTCACTCCCAATGTTCGCCCTCTTGGTCCCCAAGTTCGAGGGCGAGGCAGAAAGAAATCGAGCTTTGAGTCAAGCTTCCGGTCAGCTCAAAATAAATTCGCCGACAACACTGATGACTTCGTCGAGTGGGCTAATCACTACATTTCCCAGTGTCGACCTCACCAACCGGATCTTCAGATGTCTCGATTCGCTCAGGTAAGAAAACAGCCCTCTTTACCCTTTTCTAACAGAAATTTTAGTGGTATGTGGTCTTGAACCAAAAGCTCATTTCAAAGAACAACCATTTGGATGCCTCTCAACGCGGTGGATTTGACATCTACAAGCTCGACGAGGAATAATCGCGATTTTTTATACTCACATCTGTATAGAGTTTTTTTTAAGAAAACAATTATACTTTCTCAACTGTACTCCTCCGTCTCTATTTATAAATAAATACCTTCAAACTCATTCAGCACGAAAATCGGATAGGTATCAGGGTTGCTTAGCGGAATAAACTCTTCAACCATGTAGGAGAGTTGGAGAAACTCAATTTTGAGGTGGATGTCGACTTCGCTGTCAAAGAGTCGTTGACCTGCTCGACCGTCAAATCTGGCTGGTCGATCGGTTTCTGAGATTTCGTTAGCAGGAAAGATGCTTTCGAATTCTTCTGATTGATAGACTTCGTTCAGGTAGATTCTTGAGTTATGTTTACAACAACCATAAGATAGTGTTTATAAATAAACTTTATGAATTTTAGCTTCATTTTATCGATGATAAACTTGTTATACCTCCTCCCATGTCACTTAGGAAAAACCTAGTATTGATAATAAAAAGTCAAGTAAACCATTCCTTGTCCTACATCTTGATAATTGTCTGCCCGTAGCGCACTGAAGCCGTACCAAAATTTTGCCCCTGTTTTCCATATCTTCGCCATTTGGATAGACCACAAGTCTCCAAGCAAATCCGCCAACTGTAAATTGATTGCATTCTATTACCGTAAACGGATTCGTCGGGTCTATCCCAGGTAGCGTCAATTCTTCTTCGTAAAAAATCCGAATGCCTTTGATTTCCAGCTGAATCTCCATCTTGTTGATGTCGTAGATGTATCCTCTGTGTCGTTGGCATACGCGGTCTTTTCTAGCAAACTCTTTCCAGCCCCAGGAGAAGACTTCGTCTTTTTGGCTGAAAGTTCGGCCTTCTGGGGGGCTTTCATTTCGAACAGTGGCTTTTGCATTTTGAGGATTGATGATTGAGAAGGCATATTTGAGCGTTGCGGATACGCCTTTGTCGAGATGAACAACTCTCAGATACAAACTGATATATTCAGCCGAAGATCTAAAAGAATAAACGACAATAGGTGGGGTACAGTAAGACCTTACCTGCTTGTATAAATGTACCAATCAAGTCCGCCAAATCTAAACTGGTTGGATCTCACTTCAATCGAATACAAATCGTCTGGGTTCTCGAGCAAAAAGGTAAAGATGTGGGTCTCTTCGGAATCATGAAGGTTCAAATATCGATGGAGCTGCAAATTCGGAGCCATCGTTATTTGAAAAATGAAGATGGAAGTCGTTGTTTAGGGGCGGCAAGCTCAAGAGCACTTGAAAATTTCCTCATTGTCTTCTTCATTTTGGAAGGTTTTTCACACCTAAGGAAGCTTTTATAATAGGTTTTCATAAAATACCGGTACGGTAAATTATTGAAAAGTTTTCTTCCATGATCTCAGGTAATGAAACTTTTCATCATCAATTTCAAATCTGGCGCGACGAAGAAACTCTCTAGATTCGAGTCGATATAGAAAGGAAGCCATTGGCCGATAATTTTCGAGGCAGGAAACAGTCCGCAGATCTCACAAAAATCGCAGCATCTTGCCACTTTGAAAAAAGGGAGAGAAATGAAACCCGGACGGAAACGAGACTTAGAGGAATGTTCCGAAACACCCTTGTTCTATACGCCCAGTACTTTGGAGACAACCATCCCGACCGGTAAAAGAGGAGATTTTATTAGTGTTATGATTGTTCAGTGATGACTGGAGAATGTGATAGCCGACGACGCAAAAATGGACGAGGAGGAAAGTTTCATTAAAAATGCATTAGTCGGTTCATCGTTAGTTCGCGGAAGTTATATCGTATCGTAATTATTAAATAACGATTTTCTGTGAAAAACAGGAAAAAGTCTTTCATAGAAACTTCTTTTTCAAAATAGATTCATTTCATATTGATGATATTTTTCGAACGCTTCCGTTTATATTTCCTTTTTTCTGATAAGAATCATGATATCTTTTTTTTTGATTTTTATCAGAATGACTTTGATATGGTTAGGTTATTTCTGTGATTATTTCGTCTCGGCGGGGTATTTTACTTTTGAGACCTTACAGAGGGCGATTGAAGATTTTAGAACTATCCTTTGAAACTTTGAAAGTGACTGTAAAATGCAGTAGCTGCTGCATGTTCCTCTGGATTGTCCTCATGATCATGATCGGTTTTCTTATCGGTAAGTCGTTTTGTTCAACAGCGAAAAAACTTTGCTTCCGTAGGGCATCACTTCTACCGTTCAGGTTCAATCATCAACACTGTGACTAGTCCAGACTATGAAGCTGGCGAAGGAAAACCTGCAAATGCTCTATTGAAGATGGACACTCAAGTTATCGATGTAAGAAATGATAATTTTTCCCCATTCAAATGGATAACTAGAAACTTCAGGGATTGGAGAAAGAGGTTGAAATTTCGGAAATCAAGGAAGAGTTTGAATCTCCTGTTGGAAGATCTTTTGAGAAGGCAGGCAACTCTATCCGAGGAGCATGGAATGGAGTAGTAAATGCTTTTGGGAATTTATTTGGATAGAAATGAGTGTTTATTCCTGCCGGCTGTACTTGAATAAATATGAATAGTAAACAAATCGTCTAAAACGACTATATTCTGACTTGTCAAACAGTAAAAATATACATTGACAATGTATTACTGAGTTTATTTAACAGTAGTCTGCAGGCATTTCATAAAGAACCGGAATCCAAGTTCTGACGCTATATCCAATTACTTGCGTATCAATCAATTGATCGCCTTGAAAATCGAGTCGTTGAATAGCGTGAGGACTTTTATCTCCAGAGACGATGAAAATCGAGTCTTTGATCATTATTGCCGATCCATCCGAGTCAGGCTAAATAAAAAAATACTAAGGAATGCTAGATTTTTCACATTACGTAGTTAAGATTGCCTATTTTTTCCCAAACGCCGTCATCAAGAAGCCAAATAGTTGAGTAGTAAACATAATCAACCAAAGGATCATCATGAGCATAATAGTATCCTCCGGCAAGCAAAAGATTCCCGCTTGGAAGGCCTATCAAAAAAGGATACGCTACTTGCCTAAAAAGTTTCAAAATGTGAATATACAATTTACGAAATTATACTTTTCCGGAAAGTCGGTTAAATTGGACCAGCCAGTGCAATCGAGAGTCTCCACTTTATTCACCTCGTCCCCCAGGCACTTCCAACAGTCGTTGGCTTTCCTCTGTAGAAACCGAGTTTTCCACCTCGGTGTGGAAAATTCGTCCTGTAAGTCGAGACTGTCGAACTTGAAGTTGTATCGAAAACTTCGCATCTGACGTGCGGCCATTCGGCATCAAAGCAAATCAACGCTTTTTCGCCAGCTTCTATTGAGAGTGCAGCAGACATGAACGAAATATCATTAATTAATCGTGTGGATATTTCTATCCATTCGCAGCCTACCAATCGAGCAATCTTAATTCATTTATAACTTTTGAGTGAATGTCAAGTTTTCCCACTTTATGTCCATCGGTTTCTCCTCCAAAAATAAAGAGCTCGTTTTGAAGAAGAGCATGAGGCGCGAATCTGAGATAGTCGTCAGTCGGTGCTGTGATGTTTGCAGCTCTCGTTACCGACCCATCTATGGTAATCGAAAATGCCTCCATCAAGCTACCTCCCATATTATTTCCCATAATCAATAGACTAGGCAAAACTGCCCTACGATGAAGATCTTCGTACTGATGAGTGTAATAGAAAGAACTCAATTTTGTGCGCTCGTCATATTTAAAAATACGGACTTTTCTGTTTTTGACAGTTTCAAGGCTGGTTAAGTTGATAACTGAGTGAGTTTTGTTCTTACTTCCGGAATACTTTCTTCAGTTACTTTTGAAATTAAAATTCACTTTTCCGCAATTTATAAAAGGGTTGAAATCTATTTTTTCTAAAAAATATTGAGGGCACCAATTAATAACTTTTCCTCATGAATTTCCAGGGTTGAGTTCTTCGTGTTTAAATGAAACAATAATTTTCCTAAGCTTTTTGTTGTTGACTTCAAAATAAAAAGATCGCCAAATAAAAAATAATCAGAACTCATCCAAATAGAGCCATTTTTATTGATTCCGAAGCAGAAGAGATTTGTCCCGTCAAGAAAGTCGCCTCCGAGAAAGTTGATTTCCTCAAAATTTTGAGTATCATCATGAAATTTCATTTCGAATTGAAAGGTGTCTGTTCCATTAAATTTTATCTCAACGGTCGAAATATGTTTTAACTCTTCCAACTTGAAAAAAATAGAATCAGGAATGATTACTGTGTAGTCGAATTTAGTGCCCGACAGAGGGAATTTCTGCTGGGAAACAGTATTTTTTGCAAAGGCAGGGAAGATGTCGTCGTGAAAGGCAAAAGAAGGATTGCTCGTTACATGCATTTTCATTTTCGACTTTTGTTGGACAAAGTCAAGCTCGATTTTTGCTGTTTAAAGGGTTATATAACAAAGTCTGTTTTTTAAACACCTTTCAATTTTAACCCTCTCCGAAATTGAATTCGATTTCAAAAGTTATATCAAAAACAGTATTTTGAATAAAGACTCTCTCGTTATTAATGATTCCTTGTCCAAAATACTCGCATTCGTCATTGTTCACTCCTTCTTGATCCGTATAATTGGGATCATCTTGAGAAAACAGCTTTGAAAAACAATAAGATTGTTCTTTGTCCTTTATGTCTTCGTAATTAATGAGAGAACCAATCCATTCACGTCCAAGCGTCAAAAATTTTCCTTCTGCTTCCAATAGCACAGAATAAAGCGTGTTCGACAGATCGATATGTCTTTTCATCTGGGGTCGGCAAAAATATTGGAAGTGGTGGTCTTCTCCCTTTTTCTAAGAGAAAATCTAGCAACATCATTGAAATTGTGCTTCTATTCAATCGGTCCACCTACCAGCGCTTGATGGCTTGACGACCCCACCTTGTCACTACAATTAATAGAAGACGTCCCGATTCGATCTTTCTTTGGTTAAATTAAATAAAATAAAAGTATGCTGCAGACTGTATGCAGTATATAAGTCACTTCAAAAAACATTTTCAACCTTTTTCAAAGGAAAAACGTCAACTTTGTCTAGATCCCTTAATTCCGACGGGAAATGAATCTCATTCTTTTTCCAGCCTTTCTCAAGTTCTTCGTCTTTTCGTATTCTGTTCAAAACAAGAGTCGTCGACAATTTAATGTAATGCTCACCCATTCGAACACTCATCAGATAAAATACTGACTTGAAGCTGACTGATGAGACTTTCGCATTGAAGTGGTTGCTGGCGATGTAGCCCTGGGCTTCTTCAAAACGGTTCAAGTTATAATCTGGAGCGTAGTAGAAGCATTTGTCTTCCCTGCCGGTGGGGCGGCTTGAAATGGTCAATTTTTTTCCGTTATTTATATAAATTTTCTTATCATTTTTGACCTTTTCAGATGACAACAACTGGAAACACTTTTGTCTGCTTATCTTCTCCACGAACAACTATTTGGTGAGTTCCAATCGTAGATCGAAAGTGGAAAACGAAGAAACCGCTTCAAATTAAGTAAAGAAAAATAATTCAGTCAAATTTGCCCACATTCTTTTGAGTCCGTTAGCAATGAATTCCGAGTCGGCTCCACTTTCCTTCAATATAAGCATGTTTCCAAGAGCATCGACCAAATAATGCTTTCCATTTATAAAAGTTGCACCAGTTGCCTTTTATGTTTTCACTGAGATTATAATTTTTAGTGGGCACTCTTCAATAGAGATTATTTTTTATTGCGAAACAAGAGAAGGCTAGTCTAGCCTGGCTTAAAAGGCTCTCAGAGAAAACTTTCATAAGAATAAAAAGAATCAGAAACATTTATACGTTTATTATTCCCGTCAAAATCGGAAAATAAAATTGGATATTTTTGACTTTGGACATCCTTTCTGCTTGTCCAGCGAGTTCTTATAATTTTATGATCTTGATCTGAGGTAATGATTGTCCTGAAAAATTTCAAATATGTATTGTCATTCGTTGTAGCGATCAGTTCGTTCGACATCTGCTCTTCTGTTTTGTTTAGATTTTTTTCTGTCGATTTTTTCTGAAGATCGAAAACGGGAATCAGCTTCTGGCGCGATTCGAATTTCTCACACTCGTAAAAAGGGCAAGGACAGCCGCTTGAACAGTATTTCTGAAGAGGGCAGATTTCTCCAGCGGCATCAGAAGATCTTGACAGTTGAAAACACATCGACTCACAGGGCGACATTGATGTATTCCTCCTTGATTCCGAAACGAGCGAATTCGAACAAAGATGGCGGCAGATTTTTTGGTCGTAAAAATGCTTCTTCTGACATCGAAGAACGTTAACTTCGTTTTCTTCTTTAGAAAACATCAATGGTTCTTTTTCTCTTGGAACAATTTGAGTAACAGGTTCAGGGAGGATAAATTTTTGAGTTTCGTAGCAGTTCTTCATGAGATGCCCGCAGTAGTCCATTGTTGCTTCTTGAACGCATTTCTTATAGTTTCGATGGCAAGTCGTAGTCAAAAAAGTTGTTCTGCCGCGTAATTTTTGTAAGGAATAAAAATTTGCTATGCATTTAAAAATATTTTTTTTGTAATAAGAGAAGTACCTATGAGCATAACAGTAATCCAGAAAATAGTACCAAGGGTAAGATAACTGAAAAGCTGACGATTTGTTGCGTTTCCATGTTTCGCAAGGCTCATTTTCGCGGTCACCTTTTTCTTCCATGTTTTTTTCGTCTTTGATTCTCTTATATCAATTTTTTGTGTACGAATGCTTCTAGTGGTCAAAACCTCCAGGGGCAACAGGTAAATCTTCCTTCCTTTTTGTCGAAGAACACCAATGCAGTCACAATCAAGGCACTTTTAAAATCATTTTAATAAGTATTGAGTAACTCAATTTGAGTTGTGATAAGGATCCCTTTCCCATCATTATAATGACTTTTTCGGGTGATACCGTAATGACATATAAAACCTTTATTCTTTTTTGAAAAATCGAATTTGTTGTCCTCTCATCTTTCTCTTCGATAACCATAACGACTGATAACTAAGGATTCCTCAGTGAGGATAAAACATTTCTGTTGGAGAGTGCTATGCTTGGGTTTATGACTAACAGTTTTTTACTAGCATTTTGACAGCTTTTTCTCCGGCGTTGTTCCTTCTTGAATGTCACTTGGATGGGATTCGCCCTTTGCCCAAGAGCCTCACTTGCACAGAATGTATTTTACTTTTAAGACCTTACAGAGCTGGATTGAAGATTTTAGAACTATAATTTGAAGCTCTAAAAGTGACAGTTTAATGCAGTAGCTGCTGCATGTTCCTCTGGATTGTTCTCATGATCATGATCGGGTCTCTTATCGGTAAGTCGTCTTGTTCAACAGCGAAAAAATTTTGCTTTCGTAGGGCATCACTTCTACCGTTCAGGTTCAATCATCAACACTGTGACTAGCCCAGACTATCAAGCAGGCGAAGACGATCCTGCAAATGCTCAATTGAAGATGGATATTCAAGATATCGAGGTAAGAAATTGTGGGATCAGCGAACTGCGTACAATAAAGCAGGACGATTTTCTGCCAACCATGGCTTCAAAAGTGCTCACACTTGTCGCTCTATCTGTCGGCTCAATCCTGGCGGTGAAAGCCGAACTTGACGCATAATTAACCGTTGACATCAGTTTATTCGACGATTTACTGAAAATTTTAAGCCCGTCGGCATCAGGCAGACATTTCACGTCCTTATGGTCGAAAATTATATCTCTTCCTAGCACCATGGGAATCTCGTTTTCAATGATAAGGATTTTGACGTGCGAGAACCAGTGGCCACCAATTTCGAGATGAGAGTTGAGGAGGCCAACCAGCCGTCCGGCTCCGATTCCAGCGACTTTGCCATCGTATGGCTCTATAATATTAACTAGCTGCGGTGGAACATCCCGTTTTGATATCATTGTTATTGAGCTGCCAGTGTCCACGAGCGCATTGAAAGAGAAGGCTTTACCGGCCGGCGCGCTTATTTTTAAATTTACACGGGGTTGAATTGCCCCGGTGTATGCTTGATTTGTGTTTTCGTTGGTGATAACTGGGTCTGACGCGTAGCACGTGGCATCAGCCCTTATCAAAAAATCCGTTGGTCGGTTTGAGATGAACATTGTCTCCTTACTCGCCTCGTCCACGGAAATCTCCTTGTCGGTTTCATCCGACTGGTGCTCGTCCTCTTCGTTAGTTACTTGTTTCTTGAAGCCGCGCTTTTTATTCAAGCGGTTTCCACTTGAATTAGCTGAGCCTCCGCCCGAGCTACCATACTTCTTGTTGTCCGCGTTGAATGCGCTTTTTCGGTCATTTTTCTGGCCGTCGTTTTGGTTCTTTTTTTGATACCGGCCACCTCTCATACTTCGCCCGTAATAAGTTGAGATTTCACCTCCACCTCTCTGGCTCTGGTAGTACTCGGCTTGTTCTGCGAGGTTCCCGGTATTAGATATCTTCTTCCATACTGGGGCCATCGAATTGTATAAATCATTGTGATGTACCTGTATGATAGTTGCCATGATCGACGCTCCAAGGTGGTCCATTAGGCGGTCCACTGTTAGCGGCTCGACAATCTCGATCCCGATAGCAGGCTCGTTTCCAGCTTCCTGCTTCAATGCCTGTTTCTTAAGGCTTTTTTCGATTGTCGCCTTCGCCGCTTCAAGATTGAGGTTTATCTGCGTCGCAAGCTTCTTGAAACCTTTACGTTTGTCGTAAGGCGTATTGAGTGCCCTCTGTAGACTTTGTATCGCCGTGATTCCATCACTGAAATTCGCGAATATTTCCTTCTTGAGCTCTTCCCAAGACTTGTGACCGTTTCCCATTCGATGAGTTACATGTACGGAGCATCGCGATTTGACGTCGACGATGAATTCTCTTTCGAGTTTCATGTTGGGTTTCACGCTCAAGTCGAATACCTTCTGGCAGCGCGCGATAAATGTATTAGTGCTCTCAAAGGAGCCACCTTCAAAAATAGGGACGTCGCCCAGCTGCGTCCTGATAGAGCTTAAATCGCTCTGGTCCTTCCTGGAGAAGTCTCCGCCGTCGAGGTCTTTTGCCGAAGCAATTAGCTTTCCTCGCAGCGATTTGATTTTCTTTTCGATGTCGTCTTTTTTCGTTGCATCAGACTTCACTTCCTCGCAATCGAGAAGTTTTTCGTAGATTTCTATCTCTTTGGCGAGTTCTTGAGCTCTTTCCATGACAGCGGTGCGAAACAGGAATTGATTTTAGTCCTTGCAATGACAACGGATTCTCGTACCTTTTCTTTGCACCCTTTAATAATTTCTCTGAAAGGGTGACCCTCGCGGGATTTTTTTACGTGGTTTTCAGGATGACGAATCTCTCGGTCAATCGGATCAACGACGTGGATTCGTATTGGAAACGAACTGGTACCAATTTGTGGGATCAGCGAACTGCGTACAATAAATAACACTAGTTACTTTAAGCTGGGACTTTATTGTTAAGTCGGTAAGTTGAGAATGCCGGCTCTCTTACTCGAGGAGCTGACGTTTAGCGGCAGGTGTGAGAGAAGAAAGATAGATTTCCAAATATGGAAATGGTAAAGGCATGGAAGTTACATGATAAAGTGGTGATCGAATAAGTACAGTCTGTCGAGTCCCACAAAATGATCATTTTTCTTTTTCACTCGAATAACAAAAAACTTCAGGGATTGGAGAACGAGGCTGAAATCTCGGAAATCAAGGAAGAGTTCGAATCTACTGTTGGAAGATCTTTTGACAAGGCAGGCAACCCTATTCGAGGAGCATTGAATGAAGCAGTTGGTGTCTTAAAAATCTATTCGGCTAGAAATGAATGTTCCTGTTATTTGAGTTCGAATAAAAATTAATAGAAAACAAATCGTCTAAAGCGCCCATTTTTTATTCAACACTGCTCAGAATACATGCAATAACAAATTTCCAATAAGACAATTTATAAAATTATTGTTGAACAGAAATCTGCGGTAACTTCATAAAGAACTGGAATCCAATTTTTGACATAATTGGCATAGCTTCCTATCACTTCTACACTAAGTAGCCGATCCCCTTCGAAATCGAGTCGTTCAATTTCGTTTGGACTATTTTCTCCTGAGACGATAAAAATTGAGTTTTTAATCATTATTGCCGATCCATCCGAGTCAGGCTTAATCAAAAGAATGTTTTCACAAATTGTTTCATATGTACCTTATTAAGATTGCCGATTTTTTTCCAAACATTGTCAGCTAGAAGCCAAATCATTGAGTAAAAAGGATCCCGGTCATGGCGGCTCAACCCTCCAGCCAGAATTAGATTGCCGCTTGGAAGGCCCATCAAAACGGGATAAGCTATTTGACTTAAAAGTTTTGATAACTAAATGATGGTAAATTGAAATACTTGAACGGAAAATTTGCTAAATTAGACCAGCCATATAAATGGAGAGTCTCCACTTTATTCAGTCCGTCTCCGTCGGAACTTCCAACAGTTGTTGGATTACCCCTGTAGAAAGCGAGTTTACCACCAGTATGAGAAAAGTTCGATTTATAAGTTGATGTTGAAGTTGAAGTTGTCGTATTAAAAACTTCACATTTTACGTGCGGAAAGGCGCCGTCAAAGCATATCAACGCACTCTCGCCAGCATCAACTGTGAGCGCAGCAGACATAAACGAAAAGTGGTGGATCAAGCGTGTCGATAAATATTTCCATTCGCAGCCAACCAATTTGGATATCTTGATTCAGTTATTTTAAGGATTGCTCATTTTCTTACTTTATATCCATCTATTTCTCCGCCAAAAGTATAAAGCTCATTTTGTAAAAGAGCATGAGGGGCGAAGGATACAAAGTTGTCTCTCGGTGCATGGATTCTTGAAGCTGTTTTTGCCGACCCATCTATAGTAATCGTAAATGCCTCCTTCAAGTTTCTTCCCATAACCAGTATTGCCGTCTTTTTATTTTGACTCATAAGCTGCCCTATGTGCTGACCATAAGTGCCATAATGAGAAGTATAATGAAAAGAGCTCACTATCGTGCGGTCGTCAAATTTAAAGATACGGACTTTTCTGTTTTTGACAGCTTCTAGGCCGGTAAGCTTGATAACTGAGTTAATCGTATGTTGTGTTCCGGAATACTTTGATCAGTTTTTGGCAAAAGATGACTTTATTAAAATTTGAGTGCCTAAACCAATTTATAACTTTTCCTCAATAATTTCAAGGGATGAGTCAGACGAACGAAAGTGAAACAACAAATTTCTTAAACTCTCAGCATGTGACTTCAAAAAAATATGATCAAAATAATCAGAATCCATCCATAACGATCCATTAAGATTAATTCCAAAGCAGAAGAGGTCTTTCCCATCAACAAATTTAGCTGTAAGAAACTCAATTTCTTTGAATGAACTGGTATGAATATCTTTGAGAAATTTCATCTCGAATTGAAAACTGTCAGTTCCATTCAATTTCAACTCGACAGTCGAAATATGTCTCAATTCTTCTAACTTGAAAAAAAACAGAATCAGGAATGATCGCTTTGTAGTTAAAGTAAGTGCCCGTCCGAGGAAAAGGCTGCTGGGAAACAGCATTCTTCACAAAAGCAGGAAAGACGTCGTCATGAAAGGCAAAAAATGGATTGCTCGTCACGTGCATTTTCATCATCGATCTTTGTTGGACAAATTCAAGCTCGATTTGTGCTGTCAGAGGGTTTCATGGAACCTGTTTTTAAGTCCATTATATTTTCAACCCTCTCCAAAATTGAATTTGATTTCAAAAGTTATGTCAAAAACAGTATTTTGAACAAAGACTCTCTCGTTATTAATGATTCCTTGCCCAAAATACTCGCATTCGTCATTGTTAATTCCTTTTTGATCTGTATAGTTGGGATCATCTTGAGAAAACAAAGTTGAAAAGCAATAAGATTGTTCAACATCTGTTATATGCTCATATGTTATCAGAGAGCCAATCCACTCACGTCCTATTGTCAAGAATTTTCCTTCTGCCTCCAAGAGCACAGAATAAAGTGTGTTTGACAAATTTATACTTCTTGTCCCCGGGGTCAGAAAAATTGTGGAAATGGTGGTTGGGAATGTATTGATTGGTTGGTAAATAACCTCGGTTGGTCGGTAGCCAAAACGCTTCCCCTAAAAAGTACAGCGCCACCATTGAAAATAGAATCCGCATGGGATTATTTCTATCGATATAATATGGACCATATTATATGGTTCATATTGGATCCTTGACTACACGGACATCAGGTAGTCACTACATGGTAGTCACTGCCCCCTACCATCATCATTGATGATTCATCAAAACACTCAATCAACCAGCTTTTGGTGGATTGCCGACCCCAGCTTGTCACTACAATTAAAAGGAGCCGTTCGGAATCGATCTTTTTTGGTTGAAAAGATTGCTTACAAATTTTGTTATACAAAAGGAAAATAACATACCCCACCCCCAAGTTTTCGCGCATTCCTCGGTACATTTTCCGTAATTTACTGTTCCTCGTTTGTTCAAAACCCCCCAAATTTACGCGGCTTAAGGATATAGCCGTTCTCAAGGCACTTTCGTAGCGCCAAAAGGGGACGATAAAATTTTTTCATTTCAAAAAGAACCCTACCTAAAATTGCCTAAGAAACCCGATTCTAGTGTTATTTTTAATTTTTTAATGGAAAAT